GGGGGGGGGGGGGGGGAAATGAAAATCGTTGCTATTCGACGTTTCTGCAGTGCAGCGAGAGAGGCCTTGCTTGCGTGCCCCGAGCTATACGGAATGATAGTACATAATCGCGGCCGAAATATTTGGTAGTGGTCATGCGAAGCAATGTAAGGTTATGGTTATGGTTATGGTTACTGTAAATGCAATCAGGGCATCATAACGAGCGATTGACACTGTGTGATGCCTAGGTAGTACCCAGAAAAAAGATGCTCGTGGTCTGGAATCTGACGCCGCGTTGGATTCCTCCACTGCACTGTACCCGCCGCAACCCCAACTTTCTCAAAGGCCAAGAATGACACAGGCGTTTTCCGACCTACACGCAGTTGACGCCCGAATTTATAGGCCTCTGACAACATCCTTGAGCACTGCGTACGTGTGCTGCAGGCCGAGAAATCAATGGCAGGCACAGAATCTTTCCCAAACTGGCAGTTCCGCAGCGCAAAGAACCTTGGATCACGTGTCCCCCCCATAGTGTACCACACTGGCGGTCCGATGCCGTCCCACGGGCCAATCAGACGCACCGCCAAGCCGCCCACGCTGCTATTATTAGCCGTACGGTAAGAAGGGCAACAACGCGGTAATTTACGTTCTTCCTCCTCTCGAATCGAGCTACGCTATATTATCACACCACATCAACCAGTAAACAGTGGCGCCCGCGATCGAAAGTATACAAAAATACGACTTGACGAGGGCCGGGCAGAGTCCGATTTTACTTGCACAAAATGTCAGGTCAAGGTGTGTGATATGTCGCTTGTCGATCACGCTTACTAGGCGTAACTAACCTGCTTGACGATGCATATCATCATGCATCATTTCCAAGGTCAAGAAGCCGCGTCCCTTTGTCCTTGGTTCGGAGGGCTAGTTACCTGCTAAGCTATCACATCACCAACATTTTCGTGCCTGGGTGGATTGTTGGCGCCACTGACGGCCTTTTATATGTAGGTTACTTCACTCGCCAATGACAACGCAGTAATCTGGGCATCAAATTCCAAATTGTGCATCGGCTCCTTTCTCTATAAGGAGCTTGACCATGTCAAATCGCCCGGAATATGTCGCGCGCATTTGAGGGGTATGGCCGCGCTCGTATATCCGCCGCCATTGTCTAGGAGAATATCGAGTATTGGTTTGTTGCCACTGCACGCTGCGAAGGCTACAGGCCACAGCACAACCAGTAGATGCTGTTTGTTTGGCATGTTTGCATCAGTAGCCCGACACCAGATTGCATTTTCCAACTTCGCGCAGTCCCGTCAGTACTTATAACTTTACAGCCGAAGCGCCCTTGATTATCAAAAGGAGCTATGGCGTCTTACCGGCGTCGTGGACTAAGTTCTATGGTATGAAGATAGAGCTCCATACACATCTGATAGCCCTAGAAGCTAGAAACACTGGGAAGGGCCTACCAATACCCTTTCTTATGCAGGAAAGTCATTTAAATCCAGTGTCTCTAATATTTGAGGAGAACCTCTTCCCTTTACTTTGACTTATTCAACTAAGTGATACTTGCAGTTGGACTCTCATAATACACGTCGAAACACTCGGCCTGATATTTATCGAGGACTTAGTCGAGGAGAGCCAGCACTAACCATCCTCTGGGAATAGAATTGCCTCCAAGGGCACCATAGGCCAGCCAAGTATCTCCGTTTCCAAATTTGCCTGCCACAAGCTTTCCAAGCGCGTGACCATAGCATACTCTTTATATTCAAGCAGATTCCATACTGTCCACAATAACTTATCCTCAAGCGGGTCATACTCGAAGAAGTTCTTACGGTCAAATCTAGGCCCACAAAGCATCTCTTCATCATCGCTCTCATTGTCCATTCTTGCCAATTCCTCACTCGAACAATTTTGACTTGATATAACCGTGCAACTTCCTTCTGATGGGTAGTCCAGTTGACGTCGTATTGGCCTCTGTCGGAGATTCGGAAACTTCCTACGCCACTCCGCGACAATGCTAGGAACTTTGTTCTGATACCATAAGCGTTGTGGATTCTTGAAGAAGATATTAGAGAAACGCATTACTTTCAGCTGTGTGAGTGGACTGAATTTTTGCAATAGCGGCAAAGAGAGGTATAAGAGAGTGGCAGCCATGTCAAGCACTATCAGCTGTGGGCATTGCTGTGCGATGTCTTTAAGCAATGCACCATTCATATGAAAGTGAAAATGGAGGCAGAGAATTTCGAGATAAGGTAAGACACTTAATATGCCAGTGAACACGCCTTCTTTTAGTTCCAAGTCCGGCGCGCCCGAAACCTCAAGGCGTTGTAGCAGCGGGCACCCGTGTGCTATATCTAGGAGCACAGCCGGGTCATGAAGCCCACACCGCAAAATAAAGCATCGAAGGCGTCGATATCTGGAAAGCTGTCGGATTTCATCATCGCTGATCTCGTAAGACGGTAGTTCATAGTTGAACAATATGAGGATCTGAAGATTCTCGAATGCTGGGAATTGCGGCCGCCAGTGTAGGAATCCAAGGGAAAGCTGTAAAGCTTTCAGCCTTGCCCAAAGCAATTCACATTCCTTCCTGGGCAGTTCCACACGTTGCACCATATGTAAATCTAGCGCTAAAGCCTGCAGGTTTTGCTGTTGTTCAAGACAGCGCAAAAGCTTCGCGATATCAGCAGAGCTATTGGACCAACCGTTTGTATTCACGTCCTGTAAACGAAAAAGCTGCAGATTACAACACCTGATTAGTTCCCAAAAATCTTTGATTGGGTGGTGGCGTGATGATCGATAAATCGCGAGAGCTCTGATGTTTGAAAATTGACGACCCTGTGGGAATTAGAAATCATAAACATATCCGGAGGGAGCAGGCTTTCAGTCAAGATGAAGGCACAAGTAGAACTTACAATAGGTGGAACTCCCAGGTTACTCATTAGAATTTTACAATAGCTGCTATCGATAGCCAAAAATTGAATCGTTGGGCTACACAGGAGATCGGAAGTAATCGATAAGTCTTGTCCTATAACCTCGCAAGGAATGATCAGACTCGTAAGTCCGTTTCCTTGCCCCAGAGACTGCCCATGGCTCATTGCAAGACAATTTTCGAGGCATACTCGCCTTTGCTCCTCTCCTATTCTACCAAATTGGTTTGGAGAAAGTAGTAGATGCTCCACAAAGCTCATATTTCGTGCAAAGTGTTCTCTTGATATTGTAAAGAGGGAATTGAGCGACTTGATATCTGGTGTGCGGAATTTCATGTCGACTATTGAGCCTCTATAGAGCCTCTTCAAAGCTAGCATATTCCAAACACTGTTCACACAGGCACAATTTATCAGACATTTTACAGTTTCCACGTTGTCGAGGACCATCTCGACAATTTCGAGGGGTAAATATGGGCTTGTAGCCATTATGGTGTGAAAGGAGGGACCTTCAACCCCCCGGAGATGCTTGTCAGTTGTCTTGATATGAATGAATGAAATATGGGTTCATAGTTGAATGAGTGAAGAGTTCGACTGAGGATCTAATGTACCCAAAGAGCTGAAGATGGGAGTTGAAGGCAAGGGTTCAAGTGTGGCTGTTGAAGAAAAAGGGCCAGGAGGAACTCATCAAGGTAAATACAAGACGCACAAGGCGGGGGAAGTGCCGATAGTCAGAGAACTTAACAGTTGCGTGTGATTGGTTACACTTTATGCGTTAATTTTTTTTCTTTTTTGTTTTATCTTTAAATGTATGCTCATGTCTCTGTTCTTCTCTGTGAGTCAAGGCTCAGGCTTGTCTTCGTTGTCAGTGCAAAATGTTCATGCAGCCTGGTCCTGTCTTCTCCGAATGCATACAAAAAGGATAAGATCTTTGAATATGTGCTCATTGCAACATGTATTATCCAATATAACCATGGTCATCGCCAATGCTAACACAAATAGCCGCTTGAGAAAGATGAAGACGAAGAAAAAAAAGAAACCTCTATATGTACAATACAAGATCGAAAATGAGTTCCATGATCAAGCCCGGTCTCCACCCATCAAGCAATGCAGAAAAATTTATGCCTTGGCGCCGGAGTGAAGAGATAGATCGAAAATTATCAGGGTCCAAAAAAGGGGGGAAAGGAGGGGAAAAAAAAAAAAAAAGAAAAAGAAACTTGTTAATACACTGGGCAAAATCGAAGTGCTCGACAACTGCCGTATAGCTCCTTGGAAATAGAGCTTGGATTATATTCGAATTCTCGGCTGGCGAGTAGATATGGGGGGGGTTTTTTTTTTTTGGTAGGCAGCGAAACTAAACGGGCCGCTTCCTGTTTTGTTTATTCAAAGACGACCTTGCGGGCAACCTGTATACGTTTCGTCAGCAAGTGAGTTTGACAATATTTCGAAATTGAAACCAAAGAAAAGATTTCCCAGAACATACACTCCAGGCACCTGCAATGCTAGCCACAATACCGCCGGAGATGAGCATCGGTTTTGTGCCCCGAGTGCTCTTAAAGATCATTCCACTCAAAGCACCGGCAGCAATGCTGTTGGCCGCATCGTGCTTTCCGCGTGTATATCCTATCATCGAGTTGATTCCATTGTAAACCATAGCCACGACACCTGCACTATTTCCCAAGAAAGGTCCCCGTCGCGTGATGGAGTTGAGAACGCCATTGAGACGCAGTTTGGGTGGTGCGGTGACTGGTGTTCGTTGGAGACCCTCTGCGAGTCCCCAGGCGCCTCCTATTGTCAGACCAGCCAAATATGTCGTACCGGCGCCATAGCAGAGATCGTCTGACCAACCCCTCGAAGGCAGAGCCGATCGTGATCCGGGAAGTTCGTCAAGGACAGAGTCCTCCAGGGTGAGGTAATCTAGGGTGTCTTGGTTGAGACCAGCAAGTGGGTGGAGCTGGGAAGGATCGGGAAAAGATCCGTGGCCGATAATAGATGAAACATCTGGTGCCGAGTTGGGATCGAATGTATCTTGAGTCGTTGTCGACTTGCGGCCACTGAAAGAGTCCCAGATCGCCATTGTAGGCAAAATAAACGGGTATTAAGAACACGGAATAGAATCGAAGTTTGAAGAGAAAACCTGCCGGTCGAGGCAGGAATACAAGCGAATTGTTAAGCGGCGGATATGCGAACTGGATGATGATGCTGGATGTCGAAGCGGAGGTTGGGTTTGCATAGACCGGCTGATATCGAAGAAGCTCCGAAAAACTTCTTTTTCTCTGGCAGAAAGAGTCACGGCCCAAAGCGGTTAGGGGCTCCGGAGCGGCGGAAAAACTCACGTCCGACGCTCGAAGAATAAACCGCGCTAGTTCCAATGGGGAAACAGGCCTTAAATTTCCACAGAGTGGGATGTTGGATTCGAGAAGACAACGATATGAACAACTGAACAGACAGTGTCTTGCATTATTGTCACGGGAAGCGGAAATAATGGCAGCCGCTGATGCTGACCCTGTTAACGGTGGCAGTAGCATTCAACATGCTGCCACACACATAAATTCTCTCGCCAACAATATACAACTGCTTCCCGCAAATGTCTTATTCGATATTTGCAAGATGGGGAGCCTCAGGGATTTTGTCCAGAACTGCGAAGATGAACAGTGAGTCTCGAATGCTGGATTATGAAAATTATGTAGGAGATGGCTCGATCTAATGTTTCCTCAAAAGTCAGGTGAAATGTGTATGGGAATCACTGTTCCTTACAGTCTCGACTAGAACTATACCGCAAGGTCATACACACCTTGCCTGCAATGCATTCGTGCAGTTTATGCAGAATGCATTGTCTTCAAGAATACAAACCACGCAGCGTCTGGGGTATTCACATAAGACATGGCTCTCTGTCTTCGAAGTGGTTTTGACCAGGCTCGAGGAGGCCGCCTTAAGACCAATGAAACAGGTTCTCGCTACTTTGACCAAGATTCTTGTAAACCATCCAGATATTGATGAAGCTCGCTTGATATTTGCGGGAATTAAGGATGCAATTATGCCCAGTATAATCCTGGGAGATCCGAAGTCACGCGTGAAATCGTCCCTCGCCTGTTTGGAGAGGTTTGTACGTGATGGAATATCTCCATTGACGTTAATGTCACTGGTCTACGACTGGTTGGCTGCGCACTATGGCAAATGGCGACCTCTGTTTGCGGAGCAATTTCAAATTGTATCGACAGATATATCGCACTTCTCTAGCACCAATGCCAGCTACATTGATGCTGGCATCGACGTAAAGCGCAGCGTCGCTATAATATTCAATTTGGCTTTACTGATGCATGCCGAAAATCAAGGCCATAGCCAAGCCGTTGGAACTTTGATGGCTTTATTGTACACCAAATCAGACAACACTGAAGACAAACTCTTACAGAGCTGCTATCCTCTTGCAAGCTGGACTTTGCCAACAAAGTATGCCATGCTACAAATGATGGATACGTTAGATGGGAAGTCCAAAACACTACTCTCGTCACTTTTAGGATCTGACATAAGAGGATTTCGAGCTTTCATTGCGGAACTACCCTTGGAGACAGTACTCTCTGGGGATATGAAAAGCGAGAGAACTATTGATGAGTTTCTTTTGCTGTTTTCTGCTTTGAGAATAGGCAAGGAAGTTGGCTTTGTACATGAAGACAGTAAGTCTCAAACAATCCGCAGTTCCATCTCTCCAACTAACCTGTTAAAAGGCATCAAGGAAACTAAAGCTGCATCGAAGCAGAGTGCAAATATACTAGTCTTAAATAGCGAACTTTTTGGACGCTTTTTGCTGCATAACGAAGCGACAATCAGGCTATCGACTCTGTCACTACTGATAACAGCAAGCCCCCCGAGCATGCCTATCTCTGCAGCTGCATTGAGGTCAATCTTAGCAGGCCTGCCTTCTGTATATGCGGAATCCGACTCTCAGTTCCGCCAAGAAGTGCTGAGTCTCATAAAACAGCTCATGCCGCGTTTGCGAGGTGCAATGACACAGAAAGATTTCCTGGAAAAGGAGGGAAAGGACGCCAAAATATTCATGGAGAACTATATCAATTTTCTGGAGGAGGAACTGATACCTACCGCTTCTTATCAACGCCACATATCCGCGTTGAAGTCGATTTCTGTTGTGGTAAACAGTGGCGTTGATCCGAACGCTACACATGTCCCACAGAACGAACAGGTCCTGTGGCGGTATAAGATACATGTTCTACGACCAAGCCTTTTTCGACTACTGGTGGACCTTCTTCTATCTTCATTCGACGACATCAGAGGACTTGCTCTGGAAATAATCAGTCTTTTCCCAAGTCAAGTCCCTGATCTTCCGGAAGTTAAAGGATCTGATATTAGGGAACGGCTTATCACTGCCCTGTCAAGGGCCGAGGCACTAGCTAGCAGGACAAGTCGTGCGGATCATGCAGACACTGTTGCTAGACTGTACCATGGTCTTTTCTCTATGGCTGACAAGGTGAATGGCGCTGTTACTGGCAATTCATGGTTTGACACCAAGATTGGAGTCGTCGATGAAATTTTAAAGAGACTGGAGGGGAAACTTTTCCATGACGCGGGACTTTTCTACACGTCCCCTCAAGATGCGCCACTCCACGGACATACGTCCGCTCTGAGGTGAGTTGGTTATTTCTAGTTTGGGTGAAAGGAAGCTAATTCACTTTGCGTAGATATATTGTTGCAACTCCAGCATTTCATTGTACTATTTCAAACGCTTCAGACCCAAATGATCCAACGTGGCGAAGAGTTCATGATCGAATAATAGCAGTTTGCGAACGTACCTGGACAAGCGTCAAGCCCGTACTGTGCGTCGACTCGCCTGAGGGACACACCGACGAGCTTCTAGATGACTTTATGGTAGGCCCGAAGGACCTGCTCTCATATTCGTGGCGCGCCTTGAAAGATTCTAGGTAAGAATACTATTTGCCAACATGGATTTTTTATGCTATGCTTATACAAAAGCAGTCTTTTACTCCATGCGATCGTTTCAAACACAACATACGCACCACGAGACGGCGGAAATGGCATGCTGCGCGCCGATTACGAGGCCATTGGTACGCTTAGCTTCGTCCAGCTATCACAGCTTCGACACCGAGGGGCATTTAGTGCGGTTTCACAAACTTTTGAAACATGCTGCGTGCGGTGCGCTGAGAGCCGAGACCTTGAAATTTCCAGTCTTCCAGATATGTGGTACCAGGTTAGCCAGATGGGACCCTTGTCGACTTTGAAAGTATACAATGACTGACACCGAGTAGGAGTCTTTGAAATTAATCCAGGACCAAGCTTCTAAATTGACAAGAAGATCGGCTGGCTTGCCAGCTTTAGTCAATGGGATATCCATTGCCAAGTCTGGCAAACCCCTGTTTGACAAGATCATGAACGAACTCTTAGAAACATCAAATTCCCCGGCGGCGCAAGCCGCTAGCTACCATGAGCTTTCTCTTCCCCAAGTTCACGCTATGAACTGCTTGAGGAGTATTCTCACCAACACGAAATTAGCATCACGCACTGAGCCTCGTGTCATGCCGATTCTCAGACTTGCTGCGGATTGCCTAAGCTCCCCAATGTAAGTCATGAAAACAGATAAAACAGGACTACACAGATCTGGAATTACGAACTGACTGCTTTTCTAGCTGGGCTATCCGGAACTGTGGTCTAATGCTTTTCCATGCCCTGATGAATAGGATGTGTAAACGGACGCCCGGAACACGATTTGGATTCAGCGGCGCTTCGGGCACTGAGTCTAACATGACTATTCCTTTCCAGAAGTATACCGGGTTAACTCAGCTTATGGCTGAATTACTGGCATCTGCAGATGAAGCACGGTATTCCTCTAATGATGAAAAGGGGACGTTGACTTCTGCTGAAACAGAGAAAGTGTTCCCAGCCCTGGAAATTCTTGCCGAGAAAATCCCATCTACTGTTGATGATGACGATGCTTTGCTTCGCGATTTGGTCTTGGTTCATGTCAAGAGTACTATCTGGGCTGTCCGTGACCATTCAGCCAGAGTATATGCGTCCCTACTGCGCTCTGATGAGATACTGTCCTCGACGAATGCATTGCTTGATGGTAATGTTACGAGGCTGTCTCAGATACATATACATGGAAAATTGCTGTGTATAAGATATGCCTTGTTGAGAATCTGGCACTCTGATTATTGGCGAGGTAAGCGGCTGCATCGGAGACATCGAGGAGCTATTTTTCTAACTCGGAGTAGATAATTATGATGGCATCCTTGCGACTGTACGAAAAGCATTTGTTGTCTTTTTCCCTCATATACGGTCCCCTTTCGGTCAGGCTGCATTGTTCGATATTCTATCAGATGCACTCGAAAGCATCGTTAACTCTGGCAACGAAGGCAAGAACTTTCAAGCTCCTCTCATTCTAGATACTGAACTAACAGGCAATCCTTAAATTCCAGTTATCACCCAGACAATAAGTTTCGCGAACGAGGTTCTCGATACCTATGGAATAGAGCACAGCCTGGCAGAACTAGTCAGTACTGTACCAGAGAGTCTAGACCGATTCAATTCAATGCGCGCCGAATCTCTGCTCCGTCGCTCGCTTACTTGGTGTATCATACTGACAAATTCCCTGTCACTCATCGTCTCCGAACCCGAATCGTCGCCAGCCAAGCTCATCGGGCCGTTCTTCGACCTTTCCACGAGTGACAGTGATGCTGCCTGCTGGATCTTGGAGCGCGTCCGCGTCTTGTGTTGTGGCTACGAGAAGCAGAAAAATTTCCTCAGTCTTTATCTTCTTATCTTGCTTCAGGGCTTTCACGAGGAGAATATCAAAGCGAATACAGCCCTGAATCTGGCAGAAATCTTAGAGGATGCCTTAGAAAAGGATGTGCAGGTGGACTTTTTGAGTAAATGGGCACGCGTGTCAGATCATCTCGCCATTCAATCTCAGGAAAGTATTTGGGGTCGAGAATTAGCCGAAAACGTGCTTCGTCTGCAAGGCTCTCTGCTGGCTTTGAAATACATGTATGCAGAGAGCACAGATCTGGCAAAATCAGCCGGAGAACTCGAGTCGATTGATCTGCGACGTTGGGCTGTTACTCTTCGGTCTGCCTTGAATGAGGACACGGTATGCATTTGGTTTGATTCTATATCCTTCATTTATAATTGCTTGTTGGCTAATACTAGTTTTATGATAGGTTTATTCCGCCCGGTTTTCTGCCATCATGTCCCTGAAGACCTTCAGTCGGGTACTTCGCAAGCCTGATCAATCCGCCGATACGTCTCTTGTATCACTCGAGCTTTACATGCTACTTCACGACATGCTAAATGACGACGATGACGAGCTCCGCTCGCTTTCAGCGCTTATTGCTTCGCGAATTCTCTCGTATTCAGCACTGTTTCCCAACCGAACAGTTGCCCTGAGTTCGGTGCCTGCAAGTGAAAGCCTGACAGAATTTATGGCTGTTACTTACTCATCTCAATCATCCTTGTTTCATCACAGCATTGCGCGATTGATGGGGCCATCCATTCGCCAGAAGGACCGGTCCAGGCCAGATTTTATTCCTTTCAAGACACTTTTTGAAGGATATTGCACAGAGAGCGCTGTGCTTTTCGAAGTAGAGAAACAAAACTTGTTCATTGACGACGTTCGAGAGTGCGATAATTGGACGAAGGTTTTCAAACAGTTAGACAGATCTATTCATGATAAAGACATGATCAGCAAGCTTGCAAAATGGGCGTCGGAGGGATTGGGGTATCTCAATGATAGGATGGCGCCATCCCCTGACAGACAGGAAGACAATATTATGGGCTGGACATCGAAGCCTGAGGTGTATGCCCTGGGAGCTTTGTTGTTCAATGTTGCATCGCTGCTCATCTTCATCTCTGCAGAATCAGATATGAAGATTGCCAGGACAGCTGATAATATCATACCAACAGCAGCCCTTAAAGAGGCATTGAACACTCTCCATGAAAGAGGGCGATCAATCTTCCTGCATCCTCACTGGTTGAATAGGGTCCAAGCTGCAATTTCTGTTAGAGAGAAAGATAGCTAGGATAGGAAAAAGAAGAAAATGTATACAAAGATTTTTCTATTTAGCTGCTTTGTGTTGAACAATGCTTTTTCTAAAAAGAGGGGAACATAAAGGCAAGGCGGTCACAATCCTAGCTGTCCAGTCTCCAATATGAGGGTCTGAATGGATTTCACGGACCAGACCACCCAAGTTGAAATCAGTTGATTCAGTCACGGTAACTTCCTTCGGTTTCCTGACAGCTTTTAATTGCTTTTCTGCGCTTTACCTCACTGTTGGAGAATCAAGAGTCCTCTTGTAATACCTTCTAAATGGCGTCTTTTCTTTCTCACCCAAGTGCCTTCTCTGCTCAGTCTTCTTCTGTTCCCTGACACCTTAGAATATCCCTTACCTGTGCACGACTTTCTGAATTCTTCAACCTCCATCACAGTCAAAGAGCCCTCAAGCCTCAGCGACGACCAGTCAGAGAAGTGATAGTGACAAGCAGCTCTGGGACCCTTCCAGAATGGAGCCTTGGTTCAAGTTGTCGCTTTTATTGGCGTCAATTGCCGCTACTCTCATTATACTGAGCACTGTGGTGCTGTATAAGTCTTCTCGCCCTAAGAGCCTTCGTCCACGTCATGTCAATATCGAAGAGAACAACATAGTCAGCAATAATCTTCCAGACAGCCCTCCGTTCAATTCCTGGGTCAACTCCTGGAGTTGGCTGCGCCGCTACAACACCAAGGGATACGAGCCTGTCCCTGTATCAGAATCAGATGCAAATCCTGTCAGTCCCATTCCTCCAACAGATATTCACGAACCGCCGGCAAAAGACCCCCCAATTGCACGTCTTGAATACAATATTTTGAATGTGGATTTAGAGCGTGGTGTCCCCAAGGCTCTTCATCCAGAATTTGACAGGACAACAGATAAAAGACGATCCAGAGGCAAGGCTCGATTCATCAATCGTGAGAACGGCAAAAACGAGCGCACACCCCTCCTATCACGTTCGCGCAGCGTGAGCCCATATAAGCCTACATTTCCTCCTGGTCGCGGCGGCTCCATGCCTATAGATATTCCGAAGAAAAAGACAGAGCGGCCTACCTTCCCACTGCCCCCAAAGCTCATATGGAAAACGCTCACGCCATATGAAAGGGCTGGCATGGTCTGGTGGCGCAATTAAAGGACCCGCCGAATCCAGAGCGCGAGAACAGCCAGAAGCCGCGGTCAGGATCAACTAGAAAACACCTCAAAGAAATGTGCATGGGAGGGCATCCGGAGAGTGTGTGGGAAACCCCTCCGTAAACTCGCTTTCGGGGCCATGAGGCTTCGTTCGGGTCATGTGCGTCATAGATTGTACACGCAGAGAAATGCTTAGACGAGCGTAAATGCGCATTATGGTAAGCCACCACCCTCTCTTTTCTTTGTCGTGTCCAGACAATATGGATTCTAATCCAATGCAGTAGTAACTTCATTCGCGCGGACCTCCACTCATTTCAAGCTTAGACTTTGGAGGCTTAAATAGTTTATGGGACATTCTTTGTGATCCCATCCACTCAGTTAGCACGGCATATCTCTAGATCAACCACAGACAGTGCTCGCCAGAATCGATGCTTGATGGTCTGCAATTGTATTTCTTAGACTTTCGGAAGAACTCCCCGGTAAGAGCGGTGAGTTAGCTGGGGCGAAGGTAGGAAAAGCAATGTGGATTTATGCGGACCGGATTTTTATCTTGATAGACTGAGGGAGTACTTGCTGTACAAAGAAAACCATCAACAATAAACCTCTTTTTTCCGGGTCTAATTGAGTCATCGCTGATGTAACATACCAATCAATGTACGTGCTTTCCATGAAGAGACCCATCCGGGCACTGGAATTCCTTTCCACGAGGCAAGACAAGGGAAAAATGAACGTTGGAATGTAGCTGAAGCCTCCCGTTACATGAGGGATTTCAATAGCACATGGCACCAATGTCTATGTGCCCTGAGTCCTTTGTTTCGAGTCTTTGGTACGCCCAGAAGGCAGTCCAGAGCGTGGTTCGCAGCATGTAGGAAGTTTAGCGTTTCTTTGGTAGTAGTGATGGTGGTGGTGGTGTAGTTGTGGTTGAGGACTCTATTTGCGGAATGACTATAAAAAGATGCTGCGTCGTTGTGCCTCCTAGAGCACCTTCCCCCAGCGCCTTCCCTTCTTCCTCCCTCCCTCCTTCTTTCCTTCCTTGGTTCTTTCCTCGACTGGCTGCCTGTCTGACTGCTTTCTCTCCAAGCGTCAACTTCCCCTCAATACCAAACGCCTCGTATCATCTTCTTCATTTCCTACGACACTCTCCACTCTCCGCATCGCATGCAGCTCTCTGCTACCTAGGTATTCATACACTTCCTACATTCACACTCATCTGTCGCTCCGCAGACAATCATGGTGAAAGCCATTGACGCCGTGCGCTCTGTCGCCAACTCCTTGTCCTCTGTGCCTCTCTCGTTCTCTCGCACAGTCTTCAAACAAGATGTCTCCCGTCTCTGCGCAGCTCTCAGGGCTGACTACAACGACCACGTCATGGACAAGGTCCTCGAAGCCTACGATGAGAACTTCCATCGCAGCGCCGTGCTGTGGAAAGCCACCAATCGCCCCAAGGATGGCATCGCTTTTCGCTTCTATGAACGTCAGAAGGTGGATGTGATTGGGCCAGCCATCAAGCACGGTCTACTGAAAGGCCATCACGAGATGATTCCACTCATATCTTCCTGGGCCAACCTCTACCCAAATGCAATTGCTTCCTGCGACTTTGATCCGTCCAAGGGGCTCAACAAAACCTGGGTCTGGCTAGCTGGGCGCCACCCTGTTGGCGAACTCCTCAAAGCACCCCATGTTCCTAAAGCACTCTGTGCCCTCGAGAACAAGTTCAAGTCCATTGGCTTGGATACGGTACGCCATGCGGCTGTCGATTGGCGCTCGTCAACTGTCAACGTTTATTTTTGGGTCCGAGGACCACTGGACGTGGAAAGAGCCAATAGCCTGATCGCTTTGTCGAGAGCAGGCCCCATTTATGAGCAAAAACTGGCCGAGATCCAACCGTTTTTGCGGCGCGAAGGCTTTACTTTTGCAACCACCATCGACGCACATACCGGAGATTTTAAACGCGTTGCTATCTATGCTCTCCAGCTAGACAATGACAAGCTGCCTCGGGTGGGAGATCGTCTTGCCACCTTCTTCCAAGACGCAAAGAGCTACGACAAACGTGACCTGAACATCATTGCCTGGAGTTTTGGGGGAGGATCGACTGGTGTCTCAGATTACATCAAGGGTGAACGGAGCTACAGCGGAAATCTTGAGGAAGTTCTGGGGGGCTGGGGTTCGCCCATGCAAGCGAACAAGCTTTAACTCCTTCCTTACTATGCTAGTATTGTTGTTGCAGCGTCTCGTGCAAGCAAGCCTAGCATCGGACGATGGTATGAGCGAAGAGTTCGTTTCTTTCACTCCATTTCCTTTCACGGCAGACGGTGGAAAGGGGCTTGTATGACGCCTGATGTACATATCTATTTGCCTTCATGTGTCTCTTTGACTATGACTTTTTAATATGGGGTCCATCAAACTGGAGTGCTATATTCTCGAAACAAAACAATTCCCTTTGCGAGTAGAAAATTTCCTAAAACGGGCATGTCAGACGGGCTTAAAATAGGGCCCTATGCGTGGATGCCTCAGGCAGCATATGCAGCACGCCGGAGTCCTGCCAGTCGGACCGTGCCTCAGGCAGCGTGCAGGCAGCCATCCCCGCGCAGAGCATGTTTGGTTGAACCGCAGACCTTCGATTTTCAGATCATGAATTGGCACATTCACGGCTCTTCCTGCGCTTTTTGATTTCCTACGCAACGCAGAATAGACTAACGCCTGCCCGGAAATACTTGCTCTCTCCTTGTTCCCACAAGTTTGGTCCAGCCTCCTTAGCGCTGCTCGGCTATTCTCTGTTTTACAAAGACGACGACCGTTCTCTTTGTTGCTTTGGAGTCGAACCTCCATCTTCGCCTTTTTAGCCTTTTCGTTGCTTTTCAACGATAACGCTTATAATTTTCCTCTGCTGCTGATTGAACGCCGCCTTCGCCGTTGTCGTCCGCTGGGCGATTGTTGATTGTACCTCCGGAGGCAGCTCTCCTCCGTCCAGACTTCCGCGCTTCCCTAATCTCAACTACCGAACAACAATGTGGAACGACGAAGACAATAATCCGTATGGCGCATTTGACCGCCCTGATGGCCACCTTTCTGATTCCTTGCACTCCGGCGCTGTATCACCCCGTAAGTGTCTCTCTGTCCTTGCCTGCCCCCCGGCGGGCCAATGACGTCGTGCGCCTAACGAAAGGTCAAGCTCCATACGACCGCGATATCTCGTCGCCTTCATCGCCAGTCTCTACGCTACCAGACTACGTATCACGCATAACCGACACCGACGATGAGGGCGATGATGACTACGGGGCTCAGCCAGCCAAGACGTCGGGTCGCAGAAAGAGCGTTTATGACAGTCGTATTGAACAGATTCTCTATGAAAACCCTGAAATGCCCATATTAATTACCGATGCTGGAAAGAATCATGAAGGGGGCGGCGGATACATTGTATACACCATCCGCACCGGGGTAAGAGCTCCTGAGAATTTACTCATTGCTTCCATTGCCGATACATTGGCTCATCTGTTTTCCCACAGGACTTGGAGGTACGCCGTCGTTACTCAGAGTTCGCTTCTCTTCGACAGACGCTTGTCAATCTTCACCCAACGCTTGTGGTCCCTCCGATACCTGAGAAACATACAATGGCCGATTATGCGGCGAAACCAACCAAGGCCAAAGAAGATACTGCGATTATCGAACTCCGAAGACGCATGCTCGGTGTGTTCTTGAATCGTTGTCGAAGGATGAAGGAAGTTCGTGAAGACGGTGTCTGGTGGCGTTTCCTGGATCCTAATGTCAGCTGGGTGAGTAGTTCTAGTCTTAAGACGAATCCAGGTTCGAAACGGTGTGTACTTACATAGCTATAGAGCGAGGTCTTGCATTCACATCCAGCGTCCTCGGTCCCGAAGAACAACCTCAAGGCTCCTCCGCTTGATCCAGCGAATCCCACGCCGGCCCACGCCTGGCTCCCTGTCCCTTCGACATCAGCGAAGTTGAGATCGTCGACGGGAACAACAGCCACTGGCATACCAACTTCACCCTCAGATCCCCCCAAAGCACCCCCTTCTGTCGCACAACCGACGCCGGGACTGCAAATCCTAGGACGTTTCCCTCCTACATCTCGGACACTCAGTGAGCAGGAACTGGACCCCTATTTCATCAACTTCGAAGCGTCAACACGGGAGCTTGAGTTGCTGCTCCAAGGAAACATCGAGAAGGTCAATCGTCGCACTTTATCCCATTTGTCATCGCTCTCCGCAGATCTCATGGAGCTTGGGGCTCGCTATAATGGGTTCTCGCTATCAGAACAGTCTCCCACTGTGGCAGCGGCAATTGAGCGCATTGGCCAAGCTGCCGATACATCGTATATTGAGACGGAAGAGCTCTCGGCGGCTCTAGGCGCGAATTTTGCCGAGCCCATGAGGGAAAGCGCGCAGTTCGCCAGCGTCGTTCGTAGCGTGTTAAGATACCGCGTGCTCAAGCGAGTGCAGCAGGAGATGACACGGGATGAATTGGCAAAGAAGAAAACCCTCCTAGAGTCCCTGGAACGGAGCGAGCAGGAAGCGAAGCGTATTGATCAATATCTGAATCAAGCGGGCTCCGGTGCGGCCGCGACCAGGTCTTCTAGATCGGCTTCCGCTTCTTCAGCGGCGAGCAGTGGGCAAAGTGAGCATGATACACCTCACGGCTCGGAAGATGCTGCCTCGGTTGACTCTGATTTCCCACCGACACATGGCGAGATCACTCCGCATACATCTCCCAGCGCAGGAAACCCGTACCGGGACGTTCCCCCTGTTCATCGTAAAAGCCCCAGCGGCAATTTCGTGACGAACAAGATCTTTGGCCGCATCAGCCATGCTGTCCATGGATTTGTTGATGTTGATCCTGAGAGGACTCGGAGGGACCAGATGGGCAAGACGAAAGAAAGCTTAGTGCAGGTAAGTTCGCTTCATTCCAATCGTCCTCCATGGTAGTGATCTAACGCGGTCCACTCTTCAGCTGGAACAGGCGCTTCAAGTATCCGAGAAGGACGTCAGAGATGCCAGCGCCGGGGTACTGCAAGATCTCAAGAGATTCCAGAAGGATAAGGAGGAGGACCTCCGCCGCTACATGGTATGTGGTTTCTGGCTACGTTCAGATGCAGTAGCGTTTACTGACTCTCGATTCCAATGCGACAGGTCGCCTACGCTCGATGCCATTTGGACTGGGCACGGAAGAATCTCGAGACATGGACTGAGGCTAGAGACGAGGTTGACAAGATCGTTGTGCGTTGAGCTGCTGTACAGAATGGGGGCTTGCTGTATGTATCTATGTAATGAGACCATGCCTATAATTTATTATTCACACTTATCATACTCATATATTTGTTTTTCTCTGGCGCCTTTTGCCAATAATCCGTGTCCCCATTCCCATGGAGTGCTGCCTCAAAAAGAAAGGCACGATTGAAACTGCCACAAGGACTGTAGACTGTATTTCTTTCTTTGCCCATACATTCGCAGACAGCAAGTAGTCAATCTCTTCTTCGGCACTCTCCTCGTGGCGGAACACTGGCAACTCCCAGCATACGTTAGGAATACGCTCGTTTGTGGATTACACTATTAATAATTAATTTAGCAGTCTGCATAAAGCAAGCAGCCCTGCGATTACCCACTTCGTGGTCTCATTTTTTTTTTCTGCTTGCTCTGGTTGGTGGTGCTTGCCGCTCTCTCCTCTCCACATGAACAAATTTCCTGAACCCTTCGTCGCTTCTGCATTTCCCACCGCTCTCCCCTCCCCCATTACTTATTCGTCCAGAGCTGCCACAAAGCGTGCGCAGCTCACATTCACGACGTCGTCCACCAAGCGCCGCAAGATTGTTGAAGAGCCTCGCCGACCGAACAACAGTGCCTCGGGGGCCAGGCACGCTGACGCGGAGGATAGACGTCAGCAGCAGCAGCAGCAGCAGCGTCGCAGCCACCACCGCTCCAACACCAAGGGCCAGGATAACAACAACAACAACAACAAAGACACGGACGTTGGCCGTCGTCCCATCAGACAGCCCTCCCAGCGAGACGATCCCTCGCGCTCGCCCTCTCCGTCTCTGTCAAGCTCAACGTTGTCGGCGCCCCCTTCGTTGCCACACCAGCCCGCCTTGACGCTGGCATCGTCAAACACTCCCCGGTCATCGGGCTCGTCACCACGCTACGTACCTGCGCATCTGCAAGACGAAGTACTCGGCGTTGCCAGTTCCCGTGCTTCGACTCCTGCCGGCCACGCAGATTCCCCGTCTGCGGCTTACGCAGGGCTCACGCTGGACAGTGACCCGACGACCGATATGTCAAGCTCAGAAAAGTCCTCCAGAAACTTTCCCCAGCAAGAAGACCAGCGCGACGTTCGATCGTCGTCTCCCGCCGTCAAACGCCGCATGTCCCAGCTCAACCAGAACGATCAATCCTCGGACGACATAGAAATGGATAATACCGGAGCATCCGACAACCATTCAGACGCGGGCACTTCACGCCCGGCCCAGAGAAGAGCAACTTCTGTGGACATGATAGGAGGCGACGGAGACGCCGAAATGGCCGATGCCGTCGACAACTCTCCCGACTCGGTTTATCCTACTCCTTCTAGTATGTCGACATACAATAGCTCCGCGTCAACCAAGGAAGGCGCCAAAATGCACACAACTGGCTCCGAGGCAGTGCTTCCATCTATCGACGAGCAGGTCCAGCGGGTCCTAGAGTTGGCTCAGAAATTCCCCGAGGACAAACAGAAAGGTTACGTTCTGTCGTACAACTGGCTCAATCGAGTATTAGCTCGTAGCTCGAAGGAGGGCGGTACTAAACCCATCGACAAGAAGTTTGCCGAGGGAGAAATTGGACCCGTTGATAATTCAGATATCATTCTCGACACAGATCCCACCAGCATCTTTCAGGATGAGGCAGGAGAACCATTCGTTCCTTTACGTCCCGGTCTACAGATGAACGAAGATTTTGAGATTGTTCCCCAAGCTGCATGGGACCTGATTATGAAATGGTACGGCCTAGCCGAGCAATCACCAGCCATTGTCCGTTACGCACATAACACCAGCGAGGGCGATGCCACTAATATCCAGTATGAAATATCTCCGCCCATTTACACAGTACACAAACTGCCCGGTGCTAGCGGTGGAATCTCTCATCATGCATTGAGGGACAAGAATGCAGCTCCCGTCAAGTTTCTTGCTAGCAGACAGACCAACTTCCAAAAGTGGCTAAAGAAGGCTAAGGAGCTTGCCCACATCGATATGGCAACTAAAGTTCGCGTGTGGAGGGTTCTGGATGGATTGAGTAGTACCCAAACATCCGGTGTCATCACGCCAGCGCATTCCAGGAGCAATTCCCCTGCCCCAGGGGCGACGCTGGTGGCTAATGCTGGCAACAGTCTTGTGTTGGATGTCAATACGTTTTCTTCTCTGTCCGATACGCACCGCGAGCTTATTGAGGAGGCGAAGGACCAAACAAACAACGATAAATATAATGGCAAGTCGACAGTCGATCATTTTGGGCTCGGTGATAATGCCGTTGTGGTATTAGAGGAACAGATCGGCGGTCCTGGTGGCGGTGAATGGGTTTCTGACGCTTCAAAATCCACTCTCAACCGCCTTTCTGTACCTGCGTCCAATAGAGCTGCTGGCGCTGGCAAAATCAAATCTAAAGCCATTACTACCAGCGGCCGGGCAACTCCTATTTCCGAACCGATTCGAGGGCGTAGGAAGGACGACCGACCCAGGGGCAACACAGGATTTACAAATCTTGGAAACACATGCTATATGGCCTCCGCACTGCAATGTGTGCGCAGTGTCGCAGAGTTGAGTTACTATTTTTTGAGTGTGTCTTTGGTGACTTTCGCAATGAGGCTGGACTTCTAGCATACTAACTTACTCTGTAGACGGCTACTACAAGAAGGACTTAAATCCAAGCAACCCTCTATCACATAACGGTGATGTGGCTAAAGCCTATGCTAATTTATTGCACGCCGTTTACGATGAGGGACCGGCATCATTCTCACCGAAACAATTCAAGCATACGATTGGCCGGTATGGACCTGCGTTTTCTGGTTACGGCCAACAGGACTCTCAAGAGTTTCTCCTCTTCCTTCTCGATGGTCTCCAGGAAGATCTGAACAGAATTCAGAAAAAACCGTATATCGAGAAACCAGATTCTACCGATGAGATGGTACACGATCACGCTGCTTTGAAAGGATTTGCTGACAGATGCTGGGAGATTTACAAAGCCCGCAATGACTCCGTGATTACAGATTTATTCGCAGGAATGTATAAATCAACTCTTGTTTGCCCTGAGTGCGATAAAGTCAGCATCATTTTTGATCCTTTCAATAACCTGACCCTGCAGCTTCCTGTTGAGAACTTGTGGTCAAAGGACATCTTTTTTTTCCCGCTGCATAAGCCACCGGTATTGATTGATGCTGAACTTGACAAGAATGCAAGTATCAAGGCACTGAAGGAGCTTGTGGCAAAAAAGACTGGCACGGATCCTCAGAAACTGGTCATGGCTGAGATCTACAAGCACAAGTTCTACAAACTGTTCGACAATGCCAGTACCATCGCAGATAGCAATATTCAAGCTTCGGATGACATCGGTATCTTCGAAGTTGAAACGGTTCCTACCAATTACAATCCGGATAGACCCAAAAAATCATTATATTCCATGCCCATGTCTTTCAGTAGCATGGATCACGAAGATGTTCCAAACATTGATTCTCCCCGAGCTGATCGGCTTCTTGTGCCCGTCTTCAATCACGTTCAACGATCGCTAGGTCGTAATGGGCTACGGCAGCTTTTTGGAGCCCCATCATTCATTGTTGTGAATCGGGAAGAAGCCCGTGATTATGATGCCATCCTGAACAAGGTGCTGCAGGTTACGGCTACCTTAACAACTCGTGATTTCCTTCACGAAGGCAGCGGTGACGGCGAGGCTCCCCAGGACGACAACACAGATTCCGACGCAGTGATTATGAATGAGGATGACCTCGACTCGGATCCCAAAGTCAAAGATGCTTCGGTTGAGGGTGAGGAAGGGCTTGTTGACGTATCCATGGAAGATGCCGGTGATTCGACGGCGCAGTCTGAAGATGCGTCTAAGCAAGCGACCAAGTCTTCTCCTCCATTGCGCTTCCGTAACCTCTTCGAGATGAAACTCATCAGATCCAAGAATGAAGTTATTCCCTTAGGGTTCTCGGCGTTGGATGAACATTCAAACTATCAATCTATCTCGTCGCGAAAACCGAAGCCAAAAGCAAAGTCAAAGACTTCTGCACGGAAAGCACAACGTACAAGTGCAAGCAAGGAGAGTCCAGATAGCCCAGTTAGCAGCGAAGATGAGATAAACAGTATTCAAAAAGCCAGTACACAGAAGCCATCTCGCACTAGCATATCGTCTAACGAATCTGGACGACTGGCAAACGACGGAGCAACTGATTCTGATGATGAACTTGGCGTTATTTCTACGCATTCAAATGAAAAGTCTTCTAATCGTGCTAAGAAGCAGGATATAATATATCTTTATCCTGGGGAAGGTATCGTTCTTGACTGGAATGAGACCAGCCACGATGGAATGTTTGGTGCCGACCCCAAGGATCGCAACGAATTGCGCGGCTCTCCGACATGGACAAACGTCGAGCATCTGCCCGATCCAGAACTAGCAAAAAAGCGAGCACAGCGGGCAAGTCGCAGAAAGAGGGGACTCACATTGGATCAGTGTCTTGATGAATTTGGCCGCGAGGAGATTTTGTCTGAGAATGACGCGTGGTATTGCCCGCGTTGTAAAGAACATCGCCGAGCCAGTAAAAAGTTCGAACTTTGGAAGACACCGGATATTTTGGTCATCCATCTCAAGCGATTTAGTGCCAGTCGAGGATTCAGAGACAAGATCGATGAACTGGTTGATTTCCCCATTGAGGGACTCGATCTTAATGGCCGGGTTGAATCAGCGGAGCCAGGTGAAAGTCTTATCTATGATCTTTTTGCGGTGGATAATCATTACGGTGGTCTTGGTGGTGGGCATTACACGGCTTATGCTAAGAACTTTTTGACGGACGAGTGGAATGAATACAATGGTGTGTATTGAGAAACCTTTCAGTGTGCATTTGAAAGAAAAAGAGCGGAGAATTGTACTGACTTTGATTATGAAGATTCCCACGTGTCCAAGGCTATCAACCCCTCCAAGGTCATCTCCACGGCTGCCTATCTTTTATTTTACCGGCGGCGGTCAGAAACCCCCCTTGGTGGTAAGTTATTACAGGAAATCACGGAGGCTTCAACGCGAGCCGATTCGGAAGACAACCAAGATGACTCACGCACTGGTTCCCCGTCGGGGGAAGGCAGGCGCCTCGTCGACTCCTCCCGCAATGGGTCTACGAGCGCCTTAGCAGCAGTCGGAGCAGTTCACCAAGCGGGAGATGGTGGTTTGCCAGCCGGGCTGCAAGTGAGGAGCGTGGAGGTTGATTCGAGCGGAGGAGAGGACAATGAACTGCCGCCTTATCAGAAATATAACCACCACCACCACCAACAACAACAACAGGCAAAGTTCTCTCTCACCGACCGACCGGCTTGGTCTTTTGATAATATATCCGGACCCCCGGTTTCGGATGACGATGGCCTGTTTGATGATGATGATGATGATGATAACGATAGCAATAAAGCAGTTGGCGGAGGTGATATGAGTGACCTGGAACAACATTTCGGCGGCGAGGCAGGCGATGGTGGCCGCACCAATTTCCACTCCATCACGGAGGACACTGGTGCTGCCAGTGACGGCGATGAAGATCTGCCTGTTGTAGAGCTCCGAGTGAATGAAGACGATCGACTCATCTCTGAATAAGCATGGTGGTGACAGTTCATGATTTTCAGTCCTGGAGTTTTGTTGCTTTAGAAAAGAACGTCTTTATGATGCGCTTATCTTTCCCTCTCTCTCTGTCTATCTCTCTCATTACCATGTTTATAATTCATGTCCTTTGCATGGTTGCATTGGGGCTACCTAGATAATTGTATGCCTTGTGCCTGTCCTAGACTATTTTCGTACATGGTAGACACCCATAAAACCACTCCAGATACGCACCTACCTAGATAAAAGTTCTGGGAGCAAGGAAAGCTGGGGGTGCTTTATTCCCCGATTACTCAATGCATATTCAGGTGAGTTATTTGTTGTATATATATTCTCTATTCTACGATTTGGCCAGCATCTAATCTACAAGATAGGCATTGTGCCTTGGACAAAAGTACCAGTGTCTACATATTTGCCTCCGGGAGTGAGGAATGGCTATCCTTGCTCTCAAGTAAGAAGGTTGCATTGCAAATCAGAGATAATGTGTTCTGACAATATGAAGTATTCGATATTTTCCTCACCTAGACTACCATAGGTGGAGTAGACTCCAAAAAGCTGAGAGGATATGATATTCCCGAGGTCTATCAGAGGCCGTGGGTAGGGCCACCGTAGTATTTCCAAGAGTTTTTTTTTTTTTTTTTTTTTTTTTTTTAATTTCTTCGTGTCTAGAAAGATCTGTTAAGTATTGTTAAACACCTCATCTAACGGCCACTGAACGGCAAAATGCCACTCTGGCCCTAATATCTCCAGCATTGATCTCAACATGCGCTCTGCCCAACCTTCTAGGTACCATTTCTTAGGGAGATTATTGATCCCCGCGCACCAATGACAGAAAATCACCAGCGCCACAGGATTCCGATCCTTCAGCAACTGCAGAAATTCAGGCGAAACGCCAGCCGGCCACCAGAGCAAGAGCAGCCACGTCGTCGGCAACTTGGCCGCCATGATACTGAACCAAAACCGCAGCACGGTGATAGCCTGAGCACAGATTTCGCGTTCGTTACCATAGCGTAACTCATATACAACCGTGTCGTTCAGTTCGGCGAGGGTTTTCAGCATGGTCTCATACGTCTCGTCGAGGGTTTCGAAGCGGAGGTGTTTGCGATGCACGAATAGAGCGCTGAGACGGCTCCTTTGAAGATGCGGGCCAAGCTGGTCGATTAATGACCATGTTCCGCGCATGGCAGATACGGCGTTGTATGCGTCGATGACTGGGAGGGCGTGGGTCATGGGTCCTGCGCCGGGAACACATGAAATGCCCAGCTGGAACATCAGGATGAGGAGTGAGAATGACAGAATTGCCACGCTATTCTCGGGGGTTATGTCTTTGACGGCCTTTGGAAAGGCGACCACCGCGCTGTGGTAGTTTTTAAAGGCAGCTGTGTAGTAGTCCTCTGGGTTGGGGGGCTGCAAATGGCAGATGTGCAGCGCGGAAATGGCCATGCAGGCGCTATCTAGCCATGGGTCCTGCTGGGACTTGAGAGGGACTTCGCCTTTCCAGACCAGCTCTACACGCCGTGGGTCTTCTTTCAGTAGAGCCAGGGAATCGGCTGCGAGGGCGTTGTAGTGCCATCTGAGGAGTGCGTGGTCTATTGCGAGAGATGGCCATTGTGACGGCAAGGTGTTTGAGAGTTGGCTCTGTGGGCGTTGTCTGCGGGCTATGGACAGCCTATTCTCGCTGTTGTTTTTGTTAAAGTCATTGTCCCCAGCTGCTGGCCTCTCGTCCTTGGACTGAAAGCTGCATTCTTCCCCCCGTCTTTTGCAGTGGTGGCACTGCGGCGCCTGGAGATTGCACTGCTGATGCGTCAGTATATACAGCATAAGACCGCGATGATCGAAGAGAGAGCCAGCCACCTTGACACGCCGCCTCTTGCAGTTGGTGCATCCATTCCGGGTCTTTGTATGGAATTTCCTCGAGGTGCCCATCTCAGTATCGGGGTCTGTCTTCCGAGATGGAGTCTGGCAAACCGGCCATATGAGTATGCCGGCAACGAGCAGAGAGTGCCCTGAACGTCTAATAAGAGCACCGCTTCCATAGGCCCGAAGACGTAGTTAGATGCCAAAAGCTACAGTGCAGTTAATAAGATCGGCGCGGGAATACAGTAGTCCGGCACAGCAAACTAAATCGTAGCCTCCCCACCCATCGCTTCTTTTTGTTAGTGTTGGCTTTTGGGGGCGAGCCCGGTTCTTGTGGCTGCGATCTAAGCAGACCCCGGTGCTTTTTTTTTTTTTTTTGCTTTTTCTGCTGGGTGGTTGCACAGGCAAAAGAAAAGAACACGTTCTGCCGATTCCGTGGTGAACGTTGAGCGCTGCCTCTACAGAGTATGTAGACCGAATCTCCCCAATGCCGGCCTGTACACCTTGCAATGGCACACCGAGCACCGTACCTGTGGATGTACGTGCTGTCTGGGATTTAAGCTTACATATAGCTTTAAGCATATAGCACAGCATCCACCCGCGCACGCCCGATCTGTGGCCAGCTGAATCTACGGGGCTTTGGCGCGTACGTATCCAGCGCGTTGGGGACATTAAAACGCCATTTACCCCTGCCCAGTACTTGCATGGCTATGGTTATACGCTATATCTATAGTACTGTCACTCACACTGCATAGTCGTGTCCCCTGGGCGCGACATATAACCGCATTGGGGCCATCCACTCAGCCCCCAACGAGCAAGCGCAAGACAAGCTTCTTCCCAGTTCCTCTTTCTGAGTCCTGGCCTCGATCAGCTACTACTACATGCTAGATTTACTACGCAAATCAAACTGCTGACGCAGCAACGTCGCTGCCATGCCCCATCAGGCAATTGGTCGTGGGGGGCAAAGTTAAAAAAAATTAAACGCAAAACGGTGAAAAACTGTTGGATTTGGGGGATTTCCGGGTAGATTAAAAGTATCAGAAGGAGACAAGCTTGTCTGACTTCTCTCTTAACCTTGTAAGGCTACCCTATCCTACTTTATTCACGAAAATTCTGCTTGAGTCATGCATGCATACATCGGGCCGAGTTTGAACTTACGGACTCCTACGGGCATGACATGCATGACCGCAGAGTATATGAATAAGATGAATAAGATTACCAGATGTATGTCTAAGAGCACTCACTCACTCTGCATTGCTGATTCATCTCCGTTTCTCAACTACGGAAAACGAGGGAAACGATGGAAATGATGCAAACCTAAATAGATTGAACTGCATAAAAACGGAGTATAATTACCCTCCGTCCTCGTCTGTCAACTTCAGTCTAAGAGAACAAGAATTAGACAAAAAATGGAGACAGTGTGGGGGGGCGCTTGGGCTGGGCGCTCAACTCCATCATGACCCAGAACCCTAATGGTCACCTAATACTTATTATGGCGGTTGAGCCCCCGGTTATGCCGGCGGAGCATTGTTAAGAAAAGGCTGAAAATGGCTCATGAATCCTGGCCTTGCATGATCCATGTCGCCCTATACTAATTACGTCGTAGTAACTACGTACTCGTGCGTGTTTAGACTTTCTTCGACCATTTTTAATTTCACTGTTAGTGTCGATTGCTAGCACCGCAGCACCAGTGTCATGGCCACGAGGCCTCGTTGGCAGTATAATCGGCCGAGAATCAGGCAGCAGATACGTACGTGGTGGTGGCAGTAGTAGACGACGCAAGTAGGGTTAGGAAGACCAGATCAGGAAAGAGTTCTATTTTGTCAGTCAAGCACTTACTGATGCTAGTGTCCCAATTACTAGATTTGAGTTTCTTGTCTCTACGTATCTGATAAGTGAGCAATTGCCTAAGCATGTATGTCTATCTCACTGCAGGCTTAGGGAATTGCTGATCGTAGTAGTGTCTTGCAATGTTCCTTGTGCTGTAATTGCTTTACTTGATTGCCGTGTTCATTATTGACCTCCTTATTCTCCAGATAAGTCTTGAGATGTAAATACTCCCCTCGAAAGGTATCTCAACGGACCAAAGGAAGTATTTAATTGCAATATTTCCGCTTGCTTAGTTACCTCGGTATCTTCAAGAACTAAGACACCGGATGTTCGAATTAGATAGTTGGATGCTAATCTATCTAATCTTGCACGTTACTTACTTTTTTTTTTTTTTTAATGACAAAAGAATTGTAGCTGCTAGATTCATGGAAGTATGCTTATAATGCTCACTATATTTGGCTAGACATACTATGACTTGCTGAACCCAATATAGCGGATAGTGATGTAAAATGCATCGCCGGGCAGGACTACAAGGTATATCTGAAATCAGGATGCTCTGTACCCAACTCATCAAACGCCTTGTTCCTATTCACCTCATACCAGGCGGGGTCTTCCTCGATACGCGTGACTTTCTTCTTGTTCTGCGCAAAAAAGTAGCACTCAAGTACGGCCACAACAAGTAACAAGGTCGCTAAAAGAACGAGCGTAGCCAAAGTCCCATTGGCGTATCGTGGCGGGTTGATATATGTGTAGCTCACAGCTAAGCCGCCCACTTGCCCAGCAACGTTCTGCAGTGGGATAGCCATGGCACGGCGTGATAGTCCAATAGTATTGACGTAAACCCAAGTCAGCATGATGGGGATCAGGGGGTAGTTCCCTAGTGAAATCAGAGCGAGGGCGAAGAGACGAGGACCAGATGCGTCGGGAACAGCATAAAGAATGGCAAAGCCCACCAAGGCGACAGTGGCAAGGCCGAGGACGAAGACACCTCGGCGCTGCGTGCGGTCACTGACAAAGCAGAATAAATTCACCGACAAGAAGCCCAGAACTGCATATGGAACCGTTAGCAGCTGACTGCGGACAGTGCTGTAGCCGAAACCGTTGATAATAGACGGGAGAAAATTGCTATATCCCGACGAAGCCCAGATAACAACAAAATAAATCAGACACATGCCATACAGCTGTGGCTGCGCGAAAATGGTCAATGAGCCTCGCAAAGTGACCTTTTCACCTGGTGTGTTGTACGCTCTTCGAGTGCGTTGTAGAATAAGTTCTTTTTCCTCCTCGGTGAAGAACTTCTTCACTTTCTCAGGCCGGGAAGGGTAGAGCCAAATCATAACGCACCCAAAAATGATGGGGAGCACGCCTTCAACTAGGAAAAGCAGTCGCCATGGCTTGAGCGTTGAAGTAGCGTTTTCTTGAATACCATAGGCAATGAGACCATTGAAGCAGGTTGCGAGGACGCCGAATGAATACCATATGCCAGCACGGACAGCGTACTCCCGAGGAGTATACCACATGGTGAGATAGACGCCATTGATTTCTGTGATGCCTTCGGCAGCACCAATGATGATGCGCAGAATACTCGGCGCAAGCATATTCTTCGAGGTCATCATCAGAATGGTAGCTGCTCCCCAGACCATGTTCGCCAGGCCAAGGATCAGATACGGTTCAAACCAGCGAATAGACAGACCGCCGATTGGTTGGAAGATGATGTAGCCCACGTAGAAGATGGCGAGAACTGTGGAGAAATCTACATTGGAAAGATGATTGTCGGCTTGGAACCCAGACAGCTTCGCATTGCCAAGGTCGCCGCGGTCCATCGACGAAAAGAAGTAGTTCAAGGTACATAGAGGAAGGATGAGGAGGTCAATCTTCTTCCGAACCTTCTTGTCCCGCAACTCTTCGTCCGGGGTGAGTTGAGGCAGGACAGAAGCCTCTTTGTCGAGTTGTGTGGTTGCTGTTGCTGTTCCTCCGGAGTACTCCACGTAGAGGACATCGCCATCGTTCTGTGAATGGCCCATGATTGCAGACTACCAACCATATACCGGCCGGAATATTGCACTGAAGTTAATGAAACAGAGGTCCAGTACGAGGGATCTGGAGTACCTTTTATAGCTGACATCCCACTCCATTTTGAAAAGTGAAGTCTGTTCTTCCAAGTGGCTCCAAAATCCGGGGGACGTTGAACTTTTCCTGAAAAAGCGAGATGACCTTCTATCGCAACTGCGAAACACATTCGCCTACGGCCTTTTCTGGTTAGTATGAAAGTTTAGTCCAACCTTACGTGCATTCAACAGTGTTTAATTTGCCATTCCTTCCCCCGCATAATCTCTATTCCACTTTCGCAGTTGCGAAACCGCACCGCAACTCCGAAACTGGCCAATTTAGTGTTGACAAAGCGTACATCTCACGGGACAAAAATCCCGCAATCAAGGATGGAGGGGGAATAAATCCAGCCTTCTTTCTACTACGAGAGAAAGAAACAATAAATACAAGGACAGAAAGTCAAAGTCATGGCTTCCCAGATCGTTTCCGTTGAACAAGTCCCCCCGGAGTTTCTTGAAGAGCTTGGTCTCGTAGGACGCATTCCCTCGAGCCACTGTCTCGCAGCTCCCCAGTTCTCCTATTACCTTTACATCCCTCGAGGATACCGCCAGCTAGACACGCTGTCTCTGATTGTGCTCGTCCATGGCAGCGGCCGGAATGCTTATCAGCTGCGAGAAGAGTTCGTCTCGTTAGCCGAACGCCGGGGCTGTGCTGTCCTATGCCCTCTATTTCCGACGGGCCTCCTCGACCCAAACGATACCAACAACTACAAGATGGTGAAATACGGAGACGTTCGTTACGACAACGTCGTGCTCCGGATGGCGGACGAAACACATATGAGATATCCGCGCATCGACACAAGCCGCTTCCTGCTCTGGGGATTCAGTGGCGGAGGCCAATTCGTCCATCGCTTTGCTTATCTGCACCCGGAGAAGCTGATGGCTTTGGCGGTTGGCGCCCCCGGAACCGTGACGCTGCTCGACCCCGAGTCGGAGTTCCCCGGCGGTATCAGCAACTTCGCCGCGGTTTTCGGGACGGAAGTGAACCTGGAGGCCTTGAAGGCGGTGCCGACATTGTTTGTGGCAGGAGATGCTGATACAGGCAGTTTTCATGCTGTCGCCCGCGGGCGGACTATACCGGCCGGATATCGAGGACGATATGGAGAGACGCAACGTTTGGAGAAATCTTGGGCTGACGCTGGCATGCAGTGTGGTTTTGTGACTGTGTCAAGAGCAGGTCATGAGGAGTCGAAGATGCTGCCTTCTGTGAAAGATTTCTTTGAGAAGAGACTGGCAGAGGTTTCCGATGCCACAGACCATGCTATGCTCTAACTGAATCTCGGGTGTCAAATAGAAATTTTTCTATGTAAAGGAGCCTAGACCTCTTAGTTATTTGGTATTGTACGTTGTGTTGAGATAATCAAGGTTTTTTAAGTTGGAAGTAGAAGAATCCATACTAGTTGTGGTTCGTGGTATGTAAAATCTCTCCGCGCAATTACTTCTCATTCTCTTCCGTTCCTCATCCACTTCAACCATTCCTTGTCATCGACATTTTTCTTCTCTCCCAATGGACTCGACATTACCACGAGCCAAGTCCTGCGTCGAGTGCCGCCAGCAAAAAGTCCGCTGCGATCGTGCCGAGCGACAACCGCGGCCGTGTACACGATGCACTCAACGACAGTTGCCGTGCAGGTACGAGCCCTACTTCTCTCGCACTCGACGGCGGCGTAGACATGGCTCCAGCGCGCACCGCTATACACGGCCAACTAGCAGCGTGCCATCTAATGTCTCGGAAGACGGTCCTCTGTACATAGGGACTGAAATTGCCATCGAAGACGTCGTGCTTCGTGCTCCCGAAGTCACTGATCTCTTCACATACTTCATCACCAAAATGCATATCCATTTCCCCTTACTCGGCACTCCCTCTCCAACAGCAGACGCCATCCTACGGGCATCGCCACTTCTGTTCTGGACAATCATGGCCATTACCAGTAGTTTTCAAAACCGGCCTCTCTATCGCACCCTTCAGGGCTGCGTGCGACGACTGGTTACCCGGACGCTATATCCCTTTTCAGTCTGTCCAGAAACCTGCCAGGCTCTCTGTTTGCTGTGTCTCTGGCCCTTTGAGGCAGTTGAGCCAAACGATGACCCGGTCTACGCATACGCCGGAATGGCGACCCATTTCGCCCTGCAGATGGGCCTGCACCGTTCTCAGCATTCCAACGAGTTCAAAAACATCAACAGTGTGACAGAGCCATATCGATCATCCCCATCAACTAGGTTACTCACCTGGTACGCCTGCGTCTTTGTAGAGCACCAACTCGCGAGCAAGATCGGTGTCCCAAGCGGCATTCGAGATTGCCATCAGTTGCAGCAACAGCTCAGCAGCAAGAACATAGCTCTTGACAATGAGCATCCACCTGCACCACTTCTAATTACCCAGCATGTTCTTCTGGCGTGCTTACGAGAACGATTTTTCAATGCCATTGCCTGGGATGGTCCGTCCTCAAGCGGCCTGACGGAACCCATTCACCGTCTCAATTTACTTTCCCTCTTTAGCAACGAACTCCAGCGATTCAGCGTCGACCAGGCCCCGCTGGAGCTGTTGACTCTAGCTCTATTGCATGCTAGCCATATCGCAGTTGGCGGATTTGCCCTTGCAGCAGACTTGGTTGAACTCAAAGCTCAGGCTACGGTCCGCCAGTTATTGATTTATCGGGCTGTAGACTCGGCTTCCGCTCTTCTTGATCTAGTGACTCCTCTGGCGTGGGAAACACTGCCAATTCATATCCTTCGCGCTGTTCTTCATGCAGGAGTAGTCGCAGGTCAAATCCGTCGTATACAGATTCAAGAACGCGAGCTTCTGAACCACGATCAAAGCGCCACCTATGGACAACTTTCATCAGATGCGTCAGATATGCAAACAGCCATAGACCTGCATACTATAATGCCTTTACCCCGACTGGAGCAGATCATTGACCGCTGTATCGGGCTGTTACAGTCAGTCGCCTATGGCAAAGACTTCCCTACTCGCGGTAAGATTGTCTTGGAAGCCATTCGAAATAATATTCGACCCCTTCCCTCTTTGCCCACTAGCAGTAGCGATCGCTCGACTCGTACAAACGGGAATTGGCAGCAGCAGCAGCAGCAGCAGTCGACGAGCGTTCCTGTCGGAGCGACACCGAAGTCCTTGGGCGTCCTATTTGAATCGAGGATGGCTGCCAATTTCTACTGGGACGCTGTTGAGCATGAAAAGGGCCGGCATAACTGGAATCAGGATGAGCAGGGGATTCTCCAAGAGGTCATGTCCCTGCTGTGTTGAGTATATGCCTAGTTGAGCCATATGTATCTAATAAGGAACTTTAAAATGGACTGGCTCTGTTCAGTAGTAGTATTAAAGCCGGGAATACACCCTACTTCGTAGAAGAATTTCATCATGTAGGTTCTCAAAGATACATTCAGCATGGAACACCCAAATTATAAGATCTTTTGTCAATTACACCCCAGCAGGCACAAGATGAATAGTGAGATATTCTAGAAGTATGAGTCCCAAAACGCCCGAGAGACAGCAGGGTCTCTTCAAACTAACTCCATGATTGAATAGACCCAAGCAATGCAAAAGACATGGAACACTAATCCCCAAATGAATAACAGGTTCTAAAATATTTTGAGAGAGAAGTCAAATATGTCGATACCGACAAAGTTTCAAGTATCCGTATTATTCCACAAAACATTGGTAGATCAGTGGTCAACATAGCAATTCTATCACTCGGTAGGCTGGATAACGTCTTGCTCGTGTGTAATATACCTAATCAAACCGCGAGCACGGTCTCGGGCTCAAGAAGGGAATTAGGGCAGATCATTTGTGTTGCATAGTTATGATATCGTGCAAGAATGTCTGTCTTGATCAGATTCTTTTGAGGACCAAAAGAAAAATGTGCCACAACTGAGGTTGTTTCCACCAGGATAGCTATTTTTTCATCGTTAGCATGCAGTTCTATACAATGGCTAGAAAATTGAAAGAAAAAAAAAAAAAGTACCTCGATTCAACTGCTTCGGTAGCACCACGGTAAGCATATCCTCGTCATCTTTCCCCTGCAGATTTGCAAGGTTGTCGATAAGATCGCTCCCTCTGATCACCATGAAATTAATGCTAATGCGACTGCCGCGCATATCCCACGTACTGACTGCTTCTTCGTCACTTCCATGTACCATGAAATACCGTCCCAGTCTCTTCTCCTCGATATTTTGCAACAACGAATAGTGCGCTTGTGCAGCCAACGGCCAATACTGCAAATTGGGGCCGAACGCATCATACTGCGACTGTGCAACGGGCGTCTGATACAAATAGCTGGAATTCCTCGTGGGGATCCAACGATGGCTGGGGACTCTTGCCCTGTCATCCACGCCGAAGAGCTCATAGAACTGTGTCAACTCGGGCATCTGCCAGTCCGCTCCACCCCATGTTGGAAGCTCCGAAGCACGCCAGGCGCCGTTCTCCTTCGTAGCTAGGCTGTCTTCCACTGGTCTAACTTCTGGTACGTAAGGATGCACCGCACCCATGTGGTAGTGCACCCAGCCCAAAGCGGGGTTATTCACGACGTTGGACGAGACCAACAGGGCTCTTGGATTATTAAGTAGAGTCATAACCAGGCGCGGAATGGCGCTTTGGTCGATAAAAACCATATCGTCATCCATCTTGAGATAGATCGTATCGGGCTCGGTGAATGCCTTCAGATAGATTCCCATGTAGCCGCCACTCTTGATTGGCAGATATGTATACTCGGGCGCCGTCTCTGCGATTTTCTCCCCGTACGCCATATCCTCGGGGACGTCGGTGTTGGCCGCCCAGATTACTTCATCCAGCCAGCCGCCGTTGGACGCCAGGTTTTTCTGCAAGTAGCATTCCAGCAACGAAGAGCGATCGCGACGGCCGTAGAATACTACGCCGACAACACGGAGTCCGGCGGGCTTCGCGAGAGGCGCTGCGGAGTGGTCGACATGGCTGGTGCCTTCTTCGGATTGGTGAATGGTGATTGAAGAGAGTTCAGGAGTGGGCGAGGGAGGCGAGGGCGAGGGAGTCACGATCGGATTCACTTTTTCCGCATTGTTCAAGTCCGCCGATGACGATGGGGAAAACGCGGTCGATGGCTGTAGGAGCACGTAGGAAAGAGACAGCAGCAGGACTCCGGTGACAGCCAGAAACACCATACAAGTCATGCGAGAAAACTTTCGGGGCGTGTCCATCCAGCGCCTCAAGGGCTTGAAATCGGAGAAGTCCATGGCGAAGAAGATAGATCTAATCGGGCCCTCCTTCGCTCATTCATTCCATGGTCGGTAATAATCCTTCAGCCAAGCGAGTAGACGGTTACTCGTGTCACTGGATATGCAGCAATACACATAATATATAATAAGCGCGAAATATGCCAAAGCGCCTAAAAAGGCGAGGGTTGGTAGATCGTGGAAGGCTGGGGGGAGAATTTGGCCGACGGTGGATCAGTTTAGGTGAAGCTTAGCTCGGAAGCGGCTCGTAATTTTTGAAGTATGTAATTTACGCCCTGCACGTATTTCTCGGCGGCATTTCCTGTGCAGGTTCAACGATTTGACTTGTAATGCCTAGTAACTCGCAAGTATTCTAGTATTTGAGCCGAAATTGCGACCGAAAATACGAGGCTACGCCATGATGATCTAACGTGGCGCTCGCCGTCAGCCAAACGGCGTCCGTGAAATTGCCCGCTTAACCATAAGCGGCTTAGTGTTTCTTCATAGCCGCATGGTCCCAGCTCTTGCGGCCCCTCGTTTCACTGCGCCTCACTCACTGTCTGCAACAGACTCGGAGGGTATCGATTTGTGTACGCAGTATTCGGAGCATATCTTATAAATAGACGATCTACAGCATTGTCCGATGTTCTGTTTCCAATGCTGCAGTTGCATGCTGCAACAGGAACCGCGATGCTCGCCTCCCATTGCCTGGAAATACGGAGTTGAAGTATATCCGATGGGTCTGGCTGCCTGAGGGCACCAATCGCATGCAGTGAATTACAATAGCGTCAAATATTAGATTCAGCCTATTCAGCCGCCTGGAACAAGCGCTAACTCGTTCTCCTAATGAATCTTCACTGTTCAGAATATCATCTTTGAATAGAGGCTTGCTTAACTTGCGATTTCTGTTGCATCGGCATCTGAGGCATAGTTACTTGCCAAAGTAGTTAGTGTGGAACAGATCAGCAAGTCAGCATGTGTAAGAATGGACAGTTCTAGCCCAGTCTGACGATGACAACACCTGGTCAGTAATTGTCATCTTCGTGTAACTGCATGAATGGCCCTGTCAAGGGTGGTGGTCACATTGCCTGTAATTTTGTTGATAGCCGTTGGTAACACGTCCGAGCCCTAATATTTCCGAATCAGGAAAGTTATGGGTGTGATTCGCGGACATATGGCAAGTGTACAAGCTGCCAGTGGAACTAACAATTGCACTATATTCTGTCTGCCCTTAACTCCTTGCGAGATCAATATTTCTCGCATATTCACAGGTCAGAAATACATCAAATAAAGTGTCCAGTTAATTTATCGAGATCGAGTCTGAAATAAGCCATACCATGACTAAAATGTTCCAGGTTGGTGCAACTTGACCTTTCCGAATACTATGGAAGGCGCCATTGGCAGTGTACCATTGTGCAAAGTGTCTTTCGTGGAACATTTGTCAGGCCCTCCATGGCCTTATTTCGAGTACATCGGTGCTCCATCGTCTGTTCTGGGAAGTACTTTCCCTCGATACCTTGGTGCTCATGATTCCACTTTGTTATTAGCCTCGCAGGCCAGGAATATGCTCTTAAGACTCCCTCTGAGAAAGGATTTTATTTCCCCTACATTTGTATCTTAATTAATGTCGGTGGGGTATAGAAACATGTCTAATGATGGGTAAGGCAAACAGAAACTCCAGGTCTGCCTCGTCTCATTGACACCGAGTACTAGGAAGATTCCTGATATCGAGGAGGAAATTATCAAGCTCCGGGGTGAGGTTGAATTCGTTGTGACTTACGAAACCTACATCAAGGGAGATCCGCGTCCAACTGAAGCGATCCTTCGAACCATGTCAATAAACCTCTTTCTGTGGGACGACCGACTACTAGTATCAGGCCTTCAATTCTTACGATGGAGATGTAGCCATGAATTCAAGCTGACAATCAAGCGAGAAGCTGACCCGGACTCTGCCATGGAGTGGATACTGCCATTTCAGCCCAGGTCAGATACCGGTTCAAGGACTTTGACGGCGGAGGTCGATATCCCGATGCGTTTTCAGGGAGTAGAAACAATGCTCGTCGAAATCGGTTCAAACGGTCCGATGCCGGTTTATGATATACGTGGTGTGGTGCTGGGGTTTCGAAACATGCACATTCGCATTAGGGCTTTTGGAGAGGATGAAGATTGTGTTCCGAAGTCGAGGCATGTTTACAAGGACGAGGCGTGGAACAGAGACTGCGAGATATTGGCTAGGCATCATCTCGACAGCTTACTCATGGACGGTCTCGACGGGTTATAGTTCATCTCTTCCCCATTTTTACTACTATTGTCGATGACTATACACTGAGTTTTGTTGAACGTTGAACATCTGAACTACGTCTAAGCGGATAGGAGTAGGAGAAAATGACAATTCTGATTAAGTGATCACCAGGAATGATCATGACTAGACTACTAGCTCCTTCTTATTCCTATTTATGCTTGCAATCCAATCTTTTACTACATTCCTGAGACTCCAATGAAACGTATCTCAAAACACATTTTACTGTTGGAACATTCCAACGGCCTTTGTACGCATATAATGCCTTTTGTTGCATCTCATACATCTCCCGGTTCGGAATGTCAAGGATGCTAGATTTGGACAGGCTTGCAACAAGTTGAATGACTGTAAATGTTACTCATTAATGACTGGTATTGACGATGACTTGTTCTGACTCAAAAAAAAAAAAAAAACAATAGAAAATAAAGGATTGAATTTTGAGGCTGCACTCTGGGTTTATCTCTTTCAACCTTTGTTTTTGAAATCAACTCAAATATCCTGGAGGACGAATTCTGTATCCACATTCTCTCTTGCTCACAACATATACTCTTCTGTGAACGATAAGAATCTTTTGGTCTGGAGCACAAAATGTCACTTGCAGAAGTGAGCCAGTCACACATCCAACGGGTCATTGCCCAGCTTGATAAAGAAGCATCTATTGACCCTAAATACCACATTACTGCCACTGGGCATGGAACCTTAACTGAAGGGCGAGCCCGTCCCAAACCCGAAGACCCTACTGCCACACGAGACTTCAAAGTCAAGATTACCACTGATCGGCCTGGCCCTGACAAACACCATTCACCAGAAAATCCGAAATCCGATGGCGCCCGAGATTACACAGTCGTAATCACCGCTCATCTAGAAGATCGCAAAACCAGAAAGAAGCTGGGATGGGCAGGAGGAGAGACATTTGAGCTCACATACATTCTCAACGGAAACAAGTACGAGTCTCGGTCCGTCAACTTCTATTTAAGCGGTAAATCAAAGAAAGACCTTCAATACAGGGAGACGATCCCGTTCCCTTTTAGTCGGAGTGACTCGGTTTTTGTTTATGCGAAGCTGAAAGCGAGCGCGAAGAGTCCAGTTTATTTCCATCCTAATCCGAGCAGAAATGATAAAGACAAGATAGAAAAACCAATCCGGTTTTACGCCAAGTTGAAGTGATTCCACTGGACACACAAACAGGATATGTTGCGCTGGATTCAGGGGTTGAGTTGAACACAGCACAATCACTAGGTCAGAGCTAGTCTACGTGTACCTGGGCCTGCTCGTTTATTTCATTTCTCTCTCCTCGATAGAGAATTCAAGGTTTTCTGACATCTAAAGGAGCCAATCTTAGTAGCGCCGATCTGCAGGCCGTTTAGCATTGAAGGTGGCTTTTAGCCATGGCGTATGGACACCAGCTAGAAGCGAACCATTCAATCCTTAATATTGGACTATTCAACTTACTTGCAAGATTTAGGCCGTAAGCATCTCCATTGTTGCGGTCATTGGCCGATCCGCATGTCCTGCCGATTAAACGCTATCTAGTAAACTGCCGCAAGTAGATAGATGTACGCTATACGCTCGCTATACGCTCGTAAGTACACAGTTCATCGGTCATAATCCTTGAATTCGCTTGGTTTTTATGGCGAAAGCTTCCCTTATCCTATGACGCCATGTATCAAGCTCTGTCGAGCAAAATCCAGCTTCATCTATACTCGGCATCAAGTTACGCCGTCTACATTAGGTTTTCTACGACTGGTACCCAGGCATTAAATACCTGCCTGGCTTCGCACCGCATAAATAGTTCTCATGCCTCGCTACAATGTCTCGGCAATGTCTTGTCAGTCTCGGTCTTGAGGAAGTACACTATTCTTTGGTATTCTCGTTCAACGACACCGATCTCTTCAATAAACATCTCAAGCGCTAGAGAGCAAACATGCCTCACCAAGCAGCCTTGATCCCCTTCAAGAAAGGTCGGCTTGAAATTGCTTCGGTGGAGTACACCAGACCCGGGGAGAACGAAATTGTGGTCAAAACTGCCGCCGTTGCTATCAATCCCCTGGACTGGTTCAAGCAAGGTTCGGGCAACCTGTTCGCCCCGTGGATCAAGTACCCTTTCGTCATGGGCAGCGATCTAGCCGGGGAAGTAGTCGAGATTGGCCCTGGAGTAACACGGTTCAAAGTGGGCGACCGCGTTCTCGGGCATGCTGTCGGCATGGACCAGCGGAGCAACAAGTCGTCCGAGGGCGCATTCCAGGAGTACACTGTCATCCGAACGAACCTGGCCTCTCCCATCCCAGACAATCTCTCATACGAAGCGGCTTGTGTGCTTCCGCTTGGCTTATCAACCGCTTCCTGTGGCCTTTTCATGAAGGACTATCTCGCCCTACGACATCCGACTGAGCAACCTCCGACTCGCGACAAGCAAGAGACCCTCCTCGTTTGGGGTGGCTCGACAAGCGTCGGCTGCAACGCAATTCAGCTGGCCACTGCAGCTGGATATGAAGTAGTCACGACTGCTTCACCGCGTAATCATGAGTCCCTCAAAAGACTAGGCGCCGTGGCGGCATTCGATTACAAGAGCCCTACTGTCATCGAAGACATCGTGACTACTTTTAAGAATCGTGTCGCAGTCGGTGCATTTGCCATTGGCCAGGGATCTTTGGGCTACTGCATCGATGTTCTCGCACGGTGCCGGGGGAGAAAATTTGTTGCTCAGGCGAGCGTCGACTTGCCCGCGAGCGGATTTCCACAGGGTATACTGGACTGGCCAGCGTTCGGCCTTCGAATGGGCGTGTCGGCGATGTCGCTCAAAACCAAGGGCAAGTTGAAGCAGGTGCATGCAAAATTCATATGGGGAAGTGACAATATGGCTAATGAAGTCGGAAAAGCCATTTACGAGGATTTTCTCCCACAGGCGTTGGGCGATGGCAGGTTTGTTGCTGCTCCGGAGCCCTATATAGCAGGAAAGGGTTTGGAACACATTCAAGAGGCGATGGATTTGAATAGGAAGGGAGTCTCTATGAAGAAAGTAGTTGTGATACTTTAGATATTATTTGTCTTCACATTCCCCTGGCTAGGTGGGTATCAAGCGCATTTCAATATAGTTATTTGAGTAATCCTATAAGGTCGAAGATCTCGTGCACAAATAGAATTATGATAGTGTTAGACCTGCCTGGATAAGCCCCAACTACCAAGGCAATCTAGACTACCTAGGTAGACAGCAAGAAAAGACTCAATAGCATGCAAGTCAACAGCCTCCACCGCATCCTACTCCGCCTGCGCCTCCAGCTCCTTTGTATTCAATGTACCTAAATCCAGTGCCATGAGACCTGGCCGTTGACGCGCAGGACGAGTTAAATGTAGACCCTCCACAGCTACCAGCGGCCATTGAAGGACTGCAAGCGCCTGCTATACAGTTACCTACCGCGTCCTTGTCCATGCTCATGCAACTAGGGTTATAAATATATGCGTCTTGGTGCAGCGGGAAGTCTTTCTCGAAGACTTCGAAGAGTGTTTGGCGTTGTGCTTGGTTTTTCTTTGCCTTTCTATACTGTCCACCGGTTCCATGTTCTTGCTTTTCGTGTTGCTTGATGATTTTCTCTAGTTCTTTTCGACGATTGCGGAACACTGGTCCTTGTGCTCTGACTGCATTGTGGGCAGAGATATGCGCCGCTGTTGTCTCTTCCAGCGTGCCATTCTTTTCTATCCGCAACTTTTCCAGTTGCTTACTGACCTGGGGCGCCAATGATAGTTTCTCGAGAATACCTTCTCCGCGCGTAACCTGGCAGTACCAACAGAGACACTCGCTATAGACTTGGCCCCCCGTAGCCTTGCGGTATTGCTTAACTGTCCATGTAAAGGAATCCGATAGCCGTCCTTCATCAATCTTATCATTGTGATCAATGAAGCGTATTGGCTTTTTGTGCTTCGTTGTTTCGATAGAATGAGTATAATATCTTTTCGGAGCCAGCTGGTGCGTATGCCAGACCAGATCCACGTCCAGCGTAGGTACGACCATCTGCGAGGGATTATCGACAATAATTTTCCAGAAAACATTGTACTTTGCCATAAACCTCTCCATAAGCTGAGGCAGATCACTCATTGGATATGAATGAAGCCAGTTCAACTTATGCATCTTTTGCACAAAAGTTCCCTGCCTAATGACAGCCCCGACGAGATCCATAGCAAAGATAGACGAATTGCCGCCCCAATATCGAGACATCATACGCCGTAAAGTGCCTCTTCCCCTTCCCTTTTCTGTCTGAAACATGTCGCTATTGGCCAATTCCGAGTCCATGTCGAGAACCTTGATCTTCATGTTCCGCCGATATAGATTTGTGTGGATGCCATCTGCCAGTTTGCGAATAGAGCGACATTTTGTCCCATGTTTGTCCAGGTATTTGATAAAATCCTTTCCAATAGCCAAAAAATAATAATTGGGTGTTAGTTGGGCCCATCTTGCTCTCCATTTCTTCCTGTTCTTGACCACTCCGTCGGGGTTGTAAACTGTTCCAGGGAGAGGTAGCTGTCTTTCGATCAAGGCTATATTGTCATTCCTAAACTTTAGCACGGGCAAATAGTCATGATCTAGAGTCTCCTCGCAGCCAGAGCATACGATGTTGAATGACTTGTCTGCGTAGCCCTGGGCATAATCGAAGCCACCCGGTACCCCATAACGCTCTAACACTGTGGGATCGAACATGTTGATAGATGCCGTGGTCCAGAGAACGCGTGTTTTGCTATGGCACAGGAGACATTCAACTGTATGTCGAAGCGAGTCGTCGAGGTTGTCCCATTTCTTGTCCGTGCGACTGAGCCATATCTTTTTGGCTGTTTCGCCGGGGTCGTAGGAATACTTTTCGTCCTGATCGAGAGTAATGCAGTTGGAAACCAGATCCCATGGGAATGGAGTCGCCCATAGATTCATTTTGGCCTGTCTGAAGCAATCCTCCAAATAAGCGCGAGGATTGAGCATGAACGAATGCCAAACCATGAGGACGTCTGCGCGAAAGCTAATGAACCAAGCACTAAATAAGTTGGGACGATGCTCATCTTACCTAGAGGTGGTAATTGATCCTTTGTAAGTACAATCCTTGCATCTTGATCCAACGTTAAAGGATCCATTTCAAACCGCTTCAAGGACATGACTGTGGGCGGCTCCTTATACGTCGGCAGGGTCAACCACCACTGCGTGAAACGATCGACAGCACGAGAGACATACACCTGCCATCTCTTCTCTTCGACACGAGACTTGATTGTCGCATCCTCAAGCAAGGGACTGTGCTTTTTCGGCTTGTTAATTTTGAATAACCCGTCCTTGGTCCTGATGGCATGTTGTAACTGCGCTAGGACAGCGAGAAACTTAAGATGAGCAATACATTCTATCGATGTAACGGTGCTGGGCGCATCATAGACTTGACCTGAATTGCCGGGGAGTGATTCGGAATCTGATGAGGAGCCGTTTTCTTGGTGATTCATGTCATCTTCTTCTATAACCGGTGAGACTGGGGCAGTATATTGTTTTTCCATTGTTGCGGACGAGGAAGCGATGGTTGAGATTGATTTACTGCTCAAACAGCAGACATGCCAGCCTTTATCTATGCATATAGCTGTCTAAGCAGTGCAAGGCGTCAAAGAGTGACTGCCGTTAGGGCTTTAGACTTGTGGCGGCGGTGCTCCCCGATTCGGCTATTATTTCCGTATCAGGAAAACTTTGAGCCGCATGCAATGAACTATGGGTATGTCTATCGTGAATGAGGCTTGTTCTTCTGTTGCTTCTTTCCGCGGCGCAGCTTGGTCAGGATGGCGCAGCACAGTTCAGCACATGGCTTATCAGTCAAAAAGTTCGTATAGCCGAGTGCTCGTTCTGGGATCCGAGTAGGTTTGCCGGCTATATTACAGAGCAAGTTTAGTAATATATCCTGATATAAGGAGCTTGGAAGCTTAAAGCCATGTGCTATTAACTATGCTTGACGTTGATTTACATACCTATGTACCAGAAAGGTAGAACAGACCTGCCACGTTTATCTATCATCCTAGAGAGTTACGAGCATGTCCTGTTCAATTCGAATACCAACGACAAATTGTTGAATTATGCTAAAAAGCGAAGACTTTCAAGTGCATTTCCCTCTTAATTTCTGTCATCCATTACCTACTATTCATTAAGACATCAGATGCTCTGGACTTTCAATCATCATTTAAACTACATAGGTACCTAAGTATCCGTAATATATATATACATCTCTCTCTCCCGATGCCGAGCTAACAGAAGACCTCGAGAACAGCAAAAGCCGAGAATTCAAGTACTACTACCACTACCTAACCTAATGGCTAGCTCGACTTCACCCGTGACCTAATCGGGGATGTGCGTAGTTAGCTGATCGTCAAGCAAGTCGATGCCAAAATGCGGGGAAGCAAGAATCCAGCGTTACACGTGATTTCGAAAATTCCACAGGAAAATTCAGAAATTGACGCAGATTCCAAGGCGCAAGTGGCGGTCAATGCCCACCTTGTGACCGGAAAGCCCCTTTTTTTTTTTGCAGATGATTATGCAACATACGATGTTTAGTGACTCGACGCTTGACTGTTGACTGTTGACTGTTGACTGTTTGACTGTTTTATATCATCATGACTCGGTAATGAGACCGAGGCAGACCAAACCGTCACATATTCTCCAGTCATGTTAGTGGCGCACAGAACGCAAGGGTCGTTCTGCTAGTGATTTCGCTATGACGCGCCCTGTGATGCATTTTTTGCCTTCAATAGTCGGGGATCTATATTCGATAGAGTCATAGACCGATAAAATATATGCGGTGGAAAACAGGGTAGAGGCTTCTGGGCCTTCTCCACTGCCAGCACAACCACGGATCCATACAGTAAACGAAAATCCAATATTGTACCAAATGTAGCCATTGTAGTACTACAGCTGCTTACTGCTAAACACACCGCCTTTCACTTGTTCTTGTTCCCAAGTTCCGTGTATCACTCAACTAATCACTACCGGAACTTGGGAATAAGAACACCAAGTCGTTGCATAATGCTAACTACCGAGGCCAGTTAGGCAGCCTAATTGATTAGCAAGAACCAAATAAGCTCTGACTACTCCGTATTTACATAGTACTAACTAGCAAGTTACCAGATCCGTGAGCAGCCGCCGACCTATTTCTTAGCGAGACGCTGGCCTGTTTTAGCGGCTCCATCGCACCCCAGGCTGCCTGGTTCAATTCGCCGGGCTGGAAATCAGGCATGATTCATAGGTCGTCCCTCGCGCCCTTGATTGGACTCTGCCTTGGGGTCAGCGTGAGTGCATCTGAAATCATCTGAATAAAATTATGCGCCTTAGGTAGGCAGCGAGCCCGAGCCCAAGCCCAACGCAATCGGCACGTACTATATCCGCTGAGCCACAACTCTCACCACCAGTCTAACAGGAATCCGCCTGCCTGGAGCTGATCCAGACCCATTCTAAGTTGTCTGACAAGTCGGAAAGCGCCGGAGAATGGGCTAACCTAGTGTTAGACGGACGAATAAGCCTATTAATAAGTAGCATTCTAACCCTATGAAGGGTGGCCTTGGGCCTTGACAAAAAGCTTAGCCGACGTGAGGAGTAGCACTTGGAGCCCTGGAGGGAATGGCCGGAATTCCTGGTCATATTTGAGCTGTCTTATTTTGTCTCCGACTTCCATTCATTCGTATGACATTCGACTCTCCAGACACTATAAAACATTCCTTCCATGGCCGAGCGCGACTCGCTGCACACCGCGATTTAACAGTAACCTCGCCTTGCCCGCCCTCGCCCACGTCTTTCCTTTCATCATGGCGGACAAGCAGGAGGCCAGCCTGTTCGACTCGTCGTCCGACGACGATGCCAGCTTTGCTGCTGCAGAAGAAATCGGCCTTTTGTCGAAGAAATCCTTGTCGAGGTCGCATCGACGCTCGTCTTCGCTGCACGTCTTTGTCTCGTCTACTAAACGGACATTTGGAGAAACCGTGCAAGATCTGGATTTCGTTCACAATGCGCTGGCTATCGCTCTGCTTGCAGTGCTGTGGCATTCATTCTCTTTGGCCATTTCTATAGTAAGTTCTTTATCTTCAATACTCTTGCGCCGCCCCCCGCGACATACACACAAATCTGACAAGACGGGTCTATACAGTACAACAAATACATGTTCTCCGGAGAGATCATCTCTTTCCCCTTCCCTATCTTCATGACCAGTCTTCATCAGGCCGTGCAATTCGCCCTCGCCTCTCTCTTCCTCTATCTCATTCCTTCTCTTCGACCCCAGCGACTGACACTGCCGCCGTCTTCCGTCCTGCCCGGTGTCGATCCCAAGACCGGAATGAGCATGACACGCTTTTATATCATACACCTCATCCCGACAGGTGCCGCGACCGCATTGGACATGGGACTGGGGAACATGTCTCTTCGATTCTCGTCGCTCACCTTCATCACGGCCTGCAAGTCATCCGTGCTGGTCTTCATTCTACTCTTCGCCTTTCTCTTCGGACTAGAAAGGCCCTCCGCGAGGCTGGTCCTCATCATCGCCGTCATGACCGTAGGTGAAGTCATGATGGCTCTAGGCGAAGTAACCTTTAGCGTGGCCGGCTTCACGCTCGTCACCAGCTCAGCATTCTTCTCCGGGTTCCGATGGGCATTGTCGCAACTGCTCATCCTCAAGCACCCGGCCACATCCAATCCAATCTCCATGCTCTTCTACCTAAGCCCCGTTGTATTCATAACTCTCATCTCACTTTCCCTCTTCATCGAGGATCCAGCCGAGATCCTCGAAGCGTTATACGCGCTTTCCAATGCCTGCGGTGCAAAGACCGCAATTGCGCTGCTGCTCCTGCCGGGCTGTCTGGCGTTTTGTATGGTGCTGTCTCAGTTTGCGCTCCTGCAGCGCTCGTCGGTGGTGACGCTGAGCGTGTGCGGCATCCTGAAGGAGGTGGTTATTATTGGTGTGGCCGGCATGGTCTTTGGCGACCAGTTGACTCCAATCAATATATGCGGTGTGTTGGCTATATTGGCCAGTGTGGTTGCGTATAATTATCTGAAGATTAGCGCTGCGAGACACGCTGCCAGAGAACGGTATGCCAATGAAAAATATTCATGACGTTGATATATTCATGTACCTAGAAATCAGAAAAATCCAAAAAGAAAGAAAAAAAAAAATTACAAACTTGATACCTATTTGTTACATGTACGTACTATTTATGTTTATTCTTCATTATCTAGCGTATCTTTCTTCCTATACACATGTCTTCACCGGGGCTACAAATGCATATCGCTCCTTAAAATCCTCCAGCCACATAGCATTCTCAGCAATGGTCTGATGCCACGGATCATCCCCGTCATACACAAAGCGGCGCGCTTGATCTTGTATCTCCGTATCGCTTGGTAGCCTACCTTCCTCTGCAAGCGTTGCATTAATGTAAGTAACCAGCTGTGCTTCGAAGGAGTCAAAGCAGGAAAGCGCCTGTGTGGCAGGATAGGTGTACTGGCTGGAATATATCTTCTCTGACCCCGTTGACATCGACGACGTCCTTTCCTGATGACTATCCTGCTTTCTGGCGGACGGTATCGATATCGATATCGACCCGCTAAACGGGGAGACGGTGCTCCGCTCATGGTGGATTAAGAACGGCGGCATGCTGTTCTCAATAAGTCGGGAGATGTGCGGCTCAAATCCCCAACCTCCAGACCAATTGGCCATGGTGTGGCCCGCGCGGAAATGGCTGGCTAGGTGGTCGATGCGGCCTTGCCAGGTTGTGAGTTGCTGGTCACAGAAGCCACAGCGGGAGCGGACGTATTCCGGTGTGCGTTTCCATTTGCTCATGCTGGGGGTGAATCGGCATCCGTGCACTAATCGGAGGTGCTGGCGTAAATGGTCTTTGCGGTAGTATGTTCGCTCAGAAAGTGGCCGGTCGTCGCAGGCCAGGTATCGGTGGGTGCGTAGATGGTCTTCTGTCGGGCTTGGGGCGTTGCAGTATGCACATTTCGGTTGAGAGCCGTCCTCTGGCTCTTGGATTATGCTTCCAAATGGTGAGCAGGTCCATGACTCCAGCGCGAGATGAAGTGATTTCTCGTGCCGAGACCAGTCGTACTTTGTCTTGAAGCTATCGGTGCAGAATGTGCATTGGAAGGTCTTTGGAATGTCGCCGCGAAGGATATTTGAGCCACGCAGTAATGGGTTGGTGCGTCGTTTGCGCGCTCGTCGTCGGTATTCGGTAGTACTTGATCTGCCGGAATGTGTTGACTGGCCGGAATGCTCTGACCATGCTGCTGAGTCAAAGATGTCAGAGTCAATAGATGAATCTGATGGATCAGGATGGCGATCTTGGATAGATGAGCCCGTAGAAACGGAGTCTCCGCGAGAGGCAGATCGTGTGCTTGTACATGAAGCGTTGTAATACTGAGTATCAGAGTGTGATAGTGCTTTTGCGATGTCGCTAACGAGCGCTGCTTCATGCTCCGGCGGCGAATTCTCCCATCTCTCCATTGGACACATGTCTTCGAGCGGAGTAGCGGGTGTGTAGAGGATGTCTCTGACCGTTGGTGTAGGTGGCCTTGCCGGTATATTCTCGACTGTGGATGCGGCTGACAACTCGAGCGACAAGGCACTCAACATTCCTCCTGCTCGATGACTAGCAGCACCTCCACCACCAAAGGCTTCATTGCGCCTTTTTGAGTGTGAGAACCAGTTCCGGATCTGCTCAGGCGATAGCCCTGTTTGCTTTTGCAGTTGACTTATATCATGCCTTGTTGGTTTGATGGTCTCGCCGTGCTGGATTTTCCAGTCTTTGAGAGCGCGGAGACTCTGCTTTGTCATTCTCACTGCCAGTTCAGGGCTGCATCCTGACATATCTCCGTACTCATGGAGCTTGTCATTTGTAATGGCTATAGCATCAGGGGCTGAGAAAGACATCGTATCAAACAGCTCGTCACTGATACCACCACCACCGCTGCCGCTCGCCGGGGTTATACCACTAAGCTGTGGCTGTGACCAATATGACTGCTCGAAGATAGAGGTCATTTCTTCGTGCGAGTTGCTACATCTACTAGAGGGCGACGTGTCGATCAATGTCGACTGCAAATTTGACCAGTCATTCGCGGCATCCTGAACGAGGTGGTCATCATAGAGCAAAGGCTCGCAAAAGTCCGATTGCAAAATGCCGTCTGCAGGCATTATGTTGCAATGTATTGCCTCGAGTGTGTCCGTTTCATCTTGCATTTCTGTTGCAAAGATGAATGGATCGTGGTTACTTTCCATTGTTGCTCCAAGCGAGTCATCCAGTGGCACGGCTGAGCTGTGTTCTACCCATCTGACTGCCTGTCCATTAAAGCCGTGGCCTTGCTTATACAATAACCTCGTTTGTACGGAGTGGCATACGCAAGATTATCGATTAACCATAAGCAGAGGAAGAAACTATTTAGAGTTGACGCTTTGAGTTGATATCCCGTGACTTGTCTAGATAAGGGCGCAAATATTGACCCACTCTGTCGCTCTGTCGGAATGCCTTCATCGTCTTGAAATTTTCTCGAAATAGACTACAGAGTAGCCCTCAGGCCTGTACAGTATTTCACTCGGCAGTTCAACGAAGTCGGGGGGGGGGGTTATGGGTCCTACATATACAAACACACCTGGCTTACAAAGAGTGCTAGCAGCAGCAAATGTCGGGCGAAACGGGGAAATGGAAAGATGAGATCCGTTGCTAATTACCAGTGCAGTATTTTCTACTTGCGATCAGTGAAACATACAATCTGGAGGACATCACAGGCATGTGAGATTGGAATGTTGGGGCACTTAGAAACAAACAAGGCTGTTCCCGTTTTTGCCTTGCGGCCTTAGGCTTGCGGCTTGCGGCCTTGTTGCCTAACTAACCAACTGGGGCCTTGTTTTGTAGGCATCCGTAGGCTGCAAGAGCGCTGCATCATCATCCATTTAGCGTTCTTGCTTGCTACCCAACCACAGTTTGTTCCTGATTTTTGTGGAAATCCATCCGGCAACGTGACTGTATCTAGGAGCATTGTTATGAGCGATTTTCCTCGCGGCTTGGGCGGCATATGCTGGCTGTATATCAATCATCTAAAACAAAGCATAGGAAAACCATCTCACCTCCCGCTGTGAGAAAAGTATCGTCGTTGGAGACATTTCCGCCCTGCACTCTGTAATCTTAGTTATTAACTAAGTAATGCGGTGGCGACATAAACCCAAGGTTTCTCTCAGGGTCTCCTTCTACATTCCGGTCAAGTTCCAACACACTAACCCGGTTGAGGGCTCTTGTGCGTCACCAAATCATCGTCATCTGACATGAGGGAATTTGATTAGGCAAGGTTAGTAAGGGCAGGGGCTGTTCGAAAATGAAAAAAGGCTATTCGTCATTTCCCCGATTTCATCTGCGTTAACTAGATAGTATCTTGATCGGGCCAGGGTGAGAATTAGATTAAAATAACGCTTTTCAGGTAGCAAAGTTGGCTAATAATATATTAAATGATTTCGCAGTGTTGCATACTGAATCAGATGACGCTCGTAAACCGTGGATGGGAGAGCTTCATTGGCTGCTGGCGATGGCTCGCAACGGGCCGGAGCCGGGAACCACGATCCGATCCACCGCCCATCTCAGATTGTATTGTATTCACAGCAAACAGTAAACCGTAGCCCGTCTGGATCGGAAGTGTGAACAGCTAGATTTCTATTATAATCTCGGGGTTAAAGTTATCATGTCCTTTACGATCCAAGTCTTTGACATCAAATACAAGTCATGCTGCGTGGCTGAACTGCAACGACCGAGAGCGAGAGTGGCACAACCACAAACTTCGTCCATGAACGGCGATCTAGAAATCTAGAACGCGACCACTGACGGCCCCAGCGGGTTGACAGCGAATCGCTGAGTTGGGCGCGCTGCCAGGATCGTCCCATGATTCGATGTCTCCATCGGCTAGGGAATGGTTGGATGACCAGGCGTCTCACGATTGGGTACCTTTTCCGGCCGAAACATGCTATTTGATCAAGTCATTGGTGTCTTGACTCTTGACCGATTGCAGGTCTGTTCTCCGTACCTACTTTGGGACCGCCAGCAGGACTAATAAGGCACAGTCAGTGTTTACTATCGAATATTTAGCATTCGCTGTTCGGACTTGGGAAATATGACGTCGAACCGGAATCCCCATGATTAGTACATGGGTAATGATAGTTACCACCAGACAATGGCTCTGTACAGGTAAAATATACCCCGATCTCTGAGCTGTCACCTTCCTCCGAACGTACCTAGGTAGCATTATCCAGATATATAGCACTGAAAAGCCGCAGCATGTTCGTAACATTACCGTCGTCGTAGAGCGCAACGACTTAGCCTCTGTCCAAGGAGGAAGAAGTAAGAAGATAAGCAGAAAACGGCTGTACGGCGGCCGTATTGCCCAGCGGTACAGGTAGCACGAGCCGGGCTAGCGATTACGGTAATTACGGCTAGCCCGTCTTAGCGCGGGCCTTCCTTCGTTCCTGCTGGTCCGGCGGTCAGCGAGTGCCTTCCGTGTCGCTGCCTCACTTTTGCGCTGCACACCCTCTCTCTCTCTCTCTCTCTCCTCTCCCTCTCCCTCCTCTCTCTCCCTCTTCGTGTCCGTCTTCTCGTCTGTCCCTCAGTCCCACTGTCCCTGACTCTCTCGTCCGCTGATTCGACTCTGTGCTCCGCCGCGTCGTCCTCCTGAGCGTCTAGAACCTGAGACCCTCCAGTCTTGCCCCAATCGAGCTTGGACAGCCTGCCTGCCCCATTGACACCCTTTTTGTTCCCTGCTCCCATCTCGTTCTTCTTCTCTTCTCCGTCTTCGTCTATGCCCCTGCGAGATCTATAACACGTCTTCTCCGTACACACTGCGGAGTCTCTTTCGTTGCATATATTATTCGAAACCCTGAGCAGCGACAACCTCTCCTGCCTATTTTTTCCCCAACCATCATCTATCTACGTGAGCTACTTCGGAAACACCGGCGAAAGATTGTTGCATACTAATAGGGGATTCTCAGCGTCTTGAATTGCCCGCATCATATTGAACAATTCTTCCCCCTTCTTATCTGTCACTGATCCCAGCATCTATATATATCGGGGAAATCAACAGAGATTCCTTTTCATCATGGCTGTCGCTGCCGCTCATGACGACCTCTTCACCAGAGCCGTCTCTGGCTATCGGGATGTCTTTTGGAACCAACATCAACACCTCTCGGAGTCGGAACGAAATCGGCTTTGGACACAGCGACTCAGTCAGTTTATCACAAACGAAAGTGCTTCGTCTTCCAAAGACTTCTCAGCACAGCTTACAACTGGATCACCCCCGGACACTTTGGGTAAACGGACTCGACAAGGTGCACCACGGACTGTCTCTGAAGTTCCTTCCTCTGCGAAGCGACGTGCAACCGTATGTCTCCGTACACTCCATCCGTGCGAGTGCTTTTCCATGCTTGCGTTTCCCTGCCTCTCCCCATGCATCGCTTTCCTATCCAAGGCTTTCCCTAGGTTGACAATTGGCAGAATGCGGATCCGACTGGTGCCGCCAAAGTACATCGCCCTGGCACATCCACGTCTATGAATACGTCCCCAGTCGCAGTTTCTTCAAGCGTCCCAAGCCGACGGCCATCCACGACAACGAAGAGCACTAGGACTGTAATAAATATCCCCGCCAACCACAAAACCAACGGACCGCCTCCTCGTACCGTCAGCATGGCACGCTCGCAGAGTCACCAAATTTCGTCCACCAAACAACAAAGGCCGGCCACTCAGGAGACGCGGAGACTGTCGGCCGAATCTGCCATGTACAGGCACAACACCAACTTAAACGTGCACGAATATTCGCCTTCGGAGTACACGGAGCAGTGTTTGGAAGAAGTTTCTGGTCAAGGTACCCCAACCTTTGCTCTGCCCATTTCTCCTGACATTGATATGGCCGTGTCATCACAAGGCAGTATCGATATGCAGCAGCAGCAACCGTTTCAACACGCTCAAATGCAGCAACCTCATTTTTCAGGGGTGGCCAAGGTGCCAGCCATGTCCGACCAATTGACGGTCGCGACTATGCAAGCCACTGAGATGAGCCGTAGTACTACGACAGATTCTATTGCTGGAGGTCTGGACATGTTCCGATTCGAGTCCTCAGGACCGAATCTAGAACATGTACCAGACATTCCTTTTCCTTCTGATTTTCTTGCCCTACAGTCCACTTCGGACGTAGGTTTTCATTCTTCTTCTTCTGCTTCTATTTCTCCAATTGGTAACATGAATCATGTTCCAATTGCTTCATCTGATCCTTCTCTCATATTGTCTTCGTCTGCACCAAATCCTGTATCCTTTTTGTCGTCGTCTGCTTCGTTGGCACCTTCATCTGCATCCGTGGAGATGAAGGCTTCTTTTTCTACCGAGAGCAATGCCTCGGGTGTGTCTATGACACCGCAGTCTAAGGCTGCACGCCGTACATCTGAACAAATGGTTCAGAGTACTCGGCTTCTTGCACCAAAGGTGCCGTCTTCTAACAAAAGCAGCCCACTGACGGGAAAGTCGAAAGACCAACATCGGATGATTCGCATCTCATCTGAAGATGGCACTTCCAAAGAGGTTGCTGCCATTCCCAAAGCATCTTTTCAGCGGCCGCCACGGCCCAAGACGTATTGCCATCTCTGTAGTGACCAGCCGGAAGGCTTTCATGGAGAACATGAATTGCGGCGCCATATCGAGCGCGTCCATTCGGTGGTACGCAAAGTCTGGGTGTGTGTCGATATCTCCCCGGACAAGACATTTCTTGCCAACTGCAAGGCGTGTCGAAATGGCAAGCGATATGGGGCCAACTACAATGCGGCGGCACACTTGCGACGAACGCATTTCAACCCTTGCCAGCGTGGCCGTGGCGGTCGTGGCAAGGACAGCGAGAAGCGTGGTGGCAAGGGCGGTGGTAATCACCCTCCCATGGATGTTTTGAAACATTGGATGGAGCAGAAGGAGGAAGTGGTGCTCGAAAATGCTCCATTTCTCCGGGAGGATGATGTATCCCCAGCCGACCTTGCTGCCGCTTCTTCTGATGTCCTTGCTAACTCTGCTGCGGGCCAGGCTGGTGTAGGTGCTGTTACTACGGCAGCAGACTTGCAACAACCCGACATGTCTACCGAATTTGATGCGACATTGCTCGAGTGGGATCCTTCTATGGCCATGGGTCACGAGTATGCGATGAGTTCTGAGTCTGATCCAATGATGAACCTGATGCCCGGGCCATCGATGGATCATCATTACTATCTGAACTCGCAGCCCTTGATCGTGGAAGATCCGTATCTCGTGCAGACCGTTGTATAAGTTGTAATTTTTTCTTTTCTTTTTYTTTTTTYTTTTTTTTTTTTTTTTTTTTTTTTTTTTTTTTTTTTTTTTTTTTTTTKKYTTTTTYTYKTWTWTWTTTYKTTTTWTTTYTTTAGTATGTTTATATTTGTTTCTTTATTTTTTATTTTTTTTCCCCTCTTTTTTCTTATTTCTACTCTTTATTTAATCTTCTGCTGTCGATTCTATTACATTCGGTTTCAAGTTTCTTTTTTCTTTGGTGCGATTATGTGATGACATGATGTTACGATATTTTCATTCCTCATTTTTTGTGACTTGTCTTTTTTCTTTTTTGAATATTTCTCAGTCTCAGTTATGAGTATATGGGCAGAAATTATGCAATAATACATAACTTGAAATTTAATTAACTAGTTAACTAACTGGGCTGTCATGAGTCATGTGTAGCACCCAAGACCATTCAGTTGGCATTCACCGACACTTCCGCTAAGCATTGGCGCAGGCTTGGGTAGCATCCTGTGCCACCACCGGACGGACATGACTGGAGCAAGTTGGCTTTGCCATATGCATTGTTGTAAAGTAAGGATTTGTGCTATTCATAGTTCATTTATAGAGGTTTGATCGTTAATATTTGCAACCAATCAAATAGCTGTTGTTGTATATTACAGCATACGAAATATACATGCCCTAATATAATACAATATAATATAGATATAGATATAAGAATCAAAAAGTAGTAGGCACATATTCGTGCACCGTCCGCCACGTATCGCTCTCAACATCATGCTCGTTCCACGACAACCGTAAGAATATCTGCTTCGGCCCCCGCATCTTCCATTTGGCAATGTCCTGCTCCGTCGTGCCGCGAGGGAAGCCGTCTTGTGGTCGGAATATGCTTACGGGTCCGATGCGCGCTTCTTCGGGGATGAGTGCGGCGGCTGATATTTTGTTATTATTGTTGTTAATGTCGCTGAGTATGGAGTGGGGGGTTGGCGCATATTCGTGGTTGGGGGTGGTGAGAAAGACGGTTGGGTCGAATCGGGAGATGCGGCTGCTGCTGCTGCTGCTGCTGGGAGATTGAGAGAGTGGTGATAGTGGTGTGAGCGGTGCGTTCATTTTCATTGCGTTTCTCTCCTCTAGAACCATGATACGTTCCCCGAAATCTACTGCAGAGTGGCGCTGGGAGAATCCCTGGACGCGGGGCGCGCGGCGTAATAGGGCCAGTGCCATGCGCCGAGTTTGCGGTTCGCGGCACCGCAGACAGGTGAACCAAAGCGGGACGCCGATGTTGAGTTCAAAGGTGTACGGAGGCTGTGTGCCGTCGGATCGTGCCGAGGCGTCTAGAGCAATGCTGGATTGTTCAACTATGTTCTGATAATTTAGTAGATAGGCGTCGGTGGCGGTCAGTGATGGGTATGTGCAGGTTCGGACTATGGTATATAGCATCTCGTGATGGGCAAGGAGAAGAGCGCCGGTGCCGGTTTGCTGTGGTGATAAAAGGCCCTTGGCGCGTAGGGAGTCTAGCAGGTTGGTGACGGAAGTGTGCCAGCTGCTGAGCCTGGCTGATAGGGTTGTTTGTTGCCCTAATAATTCCTGGTCGACGTGAGAGGCGCCGGTCTCTCGTAGATGCTCAATGCATATATATTCGAAGAACTGGACATCCGCGGCGAGAGACACGGCGGCTTCCCGGGCAGCCTTGAGGGAGATAAACTCTTGTCTCGATGCATCTATAGTGTCTCGCTGCAACGTATGCACCCGGGTTCCGATAGGGAGAGCGATGGCCCCCAGACGATCGAAAATGGGGACGATCGTGTCCTCTAGCAGCGAAGCTTTGGTTGCCGACACGACGCCGGCAGCTATTTGGGCGCGCAAAGTAAGAATGAGACACACGCCCTGGTTATAGAGGCGCATGGCCTCCTCCACGCCTTCCTGCAGGCCCTCGATGCAGATGAAGAGGATGCAGCTAATCAGCCCGACAAAGATGTCTAAGCGACCACGCTCGATCCGCTGGCGAACCGCAGACACCGAGCGCGCATACCAGGCCAGCGCATCTCGGTGGTTCTGGCCCTTCTTCCAGGACGAGAGGGGGCCAAACTCCGGAGCTGGCGGCTCAGGGGTCTCAAACAGCGCACTCACGGCGATGATGGCATCCCATATGGCAGGCTCGCTCCGGCACACCTGCGGCACAACGGTGCTCCAGAAAGCCACATCCAGCCCGCCGCCAATGTACGGCGCGGTGTGCTGGAAATAGGAGGCAAAGGACCGGCGCTCTCGCCACACGGTGTTTGGCGACAGCGACAGCGGGTTGTGCAGGTTCAGAATGGAGACATCGTACTCGCACTTGCGACCGGTGCTCGAGCACCGGACGCAGTGCGGCTTTTCCTCTCCACACTTGACTCGCCGGATCCTGAGGAAGCATGTTTTTTTAGTATGTATATCAATCAATCAATCCATCCAAGGAGGCGTCCGGCCGTACTTGCACGTTTTGCAGCCGCGTCTCGACTTCGCCCGCGTCGCGCGAGCGTCTATAAGCATATCGGCGGGAAGTCCATCGAGGATGCGAGATTCGTCCCAGTACTTGCTGTCTAAAAATAAAGAGAGCGTTCCTGGTCCACGTCATCCAATCACATCCACAGCCCGCAAGGAGCAGGAAAAGAAGCGAAACGTGGATCGTTTGAAAAGCTGTCGCAACTAGCCCCGGCTTGGCGCGCTCGTCCTGTGGCTCAGCCCAGCCTTAGTCAGTCTTGGTTCCCGATTCTTCCTTCCCCCGTACTTTACTTTACTTCTGTCCCTGTCCCTTCTTCCTTTCTCTCTCTCGCATCCTCCAGATTCATTCCTTTTCCTTTTTCTTTCTTCTCTCAAGCGAACAGAAAGAGAGACTTCCAAAGCCATGGCCTCCCAGGACTACTACGGCCAGCAGCCACACTACCAACAACAGCCCTACGGCTACCCTCCGCAGCCTCCTCCATCGTACGTGCCTGCCTGCCCCCGGTTTCGTTACTTCAGTTACAAGATCAGAACGACGTCTATGTTGTTTGGCTTGCGCGAGTTGAACAAGCCTAGAGGACGTGGGAAAGACAGTTACAGAATGCTGACTTGACTTCGTGCTACAGTCACCCTCCTCAAGGCGGCTACTACCCTCCTCAGCAACCCGGATATGGCCCTCCGCAGGTAAGCCTGTTTTCTGAATACGTTGTCGAGATGCAGTCGCTGATGTCGTATCGTTATCTAGGGTTACCAACAACCTCCTCCCCCACAACAATACCAACAGCAGGACAGCCGTGGCAGTAGTGATCATGGGTGCTTAGGTGCTTGGTATGTGTTCATTCCCCCCTCTGTCCATCTTTCCATCGCGCACACTAACGGACGTCTTACGTAGTCTTGCGACCATGTGCTGCTGCTTCCTCTGCGAAGAGAGTTGCGAGTGCTGCTTCGACTGCATCGAGTGCTGTGAAGGCTGCTAAAGGGCGCACGCCAGGCCGACGCCGCGCAAGGGGATGTGATGTAATTTAGAATAATGACATACCTTCATTTCCTTTCCCTTTTCACAACCTGCTCTCGTTTTCGGGGGCTATCTATCTATCGGTACTCTTGGGCGACAGTGGTGGAACTCTGTATTACTGCAAGTATGGCAGAGATCAAAAGCCGAACGAACACACCTATCCCGTCTTACTACGTACCGTGCGTGTCATGTCGTATCTCGTGGTGTGGGAATCCATCCTTCCTGGCATTGAAGGTGCTATAACGAGTTTTCCTGTCGGAGTTGCATGTATGCCTCCGTTTCTCCTTTTTTTTTATCTATTCCCCTCGGCTTGTTATTCCCGCTGTGCAAGTCAGCTTGCAATGGTTTTTTGTCATCGAAAGATTTCATCTGGATGTATGGGTTGTTTTATTTGCCTGTGAATTAAAATCAAACTGTTTTAATCCTTCTTTCCCCGGTCGTTTCACTGTTTTTCTCTTTCATAATATATGAGTCTGAACTATAAACTACGTTTGTGAAAAGTTACCATGATTGCACTCCGTCTGGGTAACCCTAAAGTTAAGTCAAAGGCGCCACTCAGACGCTCAGACGATTGATTACCTTTCTCCCTTCTCCATGGTTAGGCTTGGAAGACAGCGCGTGTAGTTAAGCTAATGAAGTCAGAAGTTCTTCTGTCTGTGGCGGCTGATATTTGCCTTTTCTTGCTAATCAAAAAGTATAGAGCCTTGCCTTCATGACGGCATACTCGCCGCAGGGTCTGGTGCATATAAAGGGCGTGAGGAGCGAAGCGAACTTTATCCTGAATCCAATTTTCTTGATATTCAATCACGCCTGCGTATTCTTTCACCTGCCTCGATCGAATTCCTGTCTGCATCACACAAAATGAAAGATCCGCATCCAGGAGACTTCAACCAGCCGTCGGAGCACTCATTCCGCAGCGTCGAGCGGCAATCCCCTTCTTCTCTGGCGCGCGACGACCCGCATACCAAAGACCAAGATGAGAGGGGTCGCGCGCGCATCGCCCATCTGAACGGACAGTCGCGACGGAGGGGCACGGCGTCGAGATCGCGCAGTAGGAGCAGTGGCAGTGCGTCCAAGAGGCTGGCCAATTCGAGACCGAGGTCAAAGATGCGGAGAGAGAGTAAAGGGAAGCCGGATTATAGGTATGCGTATTATTGATCTAGATCGAGTCTCAATGAAGGCGGACAAACTGTATATATAAATTGGCAATCAATCCACTCATTGCAATATATATGTATACCATAAATCGTACTTTGTAGTTCGGAATTAATTCGAGGACGTAAACACTCAGTAACAGTTCCATCTGCTTAAAAGACAGAAACAAGGAGCAACTCGCGTGGCGACTCGAGGCCTGACGTCAGTCAGAGTTGCCTCCTCCACAAAAGGACTCGCACGCTCACAGCCGGCTTTTTTCTTTCACCAAATATCATCGATGACCGGGCTGGCGAGAGACGAGCGAACGAACAAGCTAGGAAACAAGTTAGAAGTCGAATTCATCTAGGGCGTCCTCAATCTTTAGCTGCAGCTTCTCTCAAGCGGGGAAGTTTTACACGTGATCGACCGCCGCGATATCATCTCACGATCAATCAATTGACTCGGCCAGACAACATTCCATAGACTAATATCTCACGCCGCTATTCTTTTGTTTTTCCAAGGCATAGGGTTACCCCTGTCCGACGCCGTTCATCACTATGGCCGGTTCTGATAATACGCTGTATCTCTACACATCGCTCACTGCGGGGTCGTCACATATCATCACCGCCACTTCGAGACTCGAGACCATTCTCAAAGCAAACAAGATCCCCTTCCAGGCAATTGATATTGCGACCGACGATGCCGCAAGGAGATTGTGGGGCCGATACTCCAAAGGTCGCAAGTTGCCTGGTCTGGTCAAGTTTCGCACAATAATTGGCGTGAGCTTTTTCTGTTTTGTATATATACCCTGTTGTTTCGCAACTGACAGTTATCACAAAAGGACCTCGAACAAATAGAAGAGTGGAATGAGTATGGGGAACTCAAGGCCGAAATTGGCTCCGTCACCGACCCCAATGACTTCTCGTCTTCTGCTGCTATTCAAAAGACTGCTGTCGAGTCAGTCGCGCCGAAACCTGTAGCAGCCCCGACCAACACTACCACCACCGCACCAAGCTCCGAGAACACGAGCGGCATGTCGACACCACACATCCAAATCCAGAACCCTCCCGTGAGCGAGATTAAAGAGGACCAGCGTACCCTAGCTCTGAGGCTGGCCGGCGAGGAAGCAGCGGCGAAAGCCAAGGACAATGCGCGCTCAAAGCTTGGTGCAAAGCCACCTACAACAGAAGCCGAAGGCAAGGCATTGCCCACATCCAATCCCAAGGCCAAAGGCACAGAGCCTATCCCCGATACCGCCGGCAAGTCTCCTGCCGCTGCTGCCGCAACCACTTCTACAAGTCCTACTACAAGCAGCAACAAACAAGAAGACAAAAGAGAATACAGCCAGTCCCCAGCCGGCCGCCGCTCCTCTGTCGCGCCGGAGATTATCCCGCCGCTCAAAAGGCCGTCTTTAGCCGACGAAAGCGCTGCAGTGTCAACCGCAAATTTCCGTGCCGAGAACGCTGAAGCTCTGGGGTTAATTGGTCATCATCGAGGCTCGATCATTTCGGCTACTACAGAGGATGAGCAGGAGAAAGTGCGCAAGGATATTCGAGCGTCGGTTTCGGAGGCCCCTGCTGATGGTGATATTCAGGCTTTGCGGCAATCGGCGGCGGAGAAGGAGAAGGAGAACACTACGATTGCGGAGGATGAGGAGGAGGACGAAGGTGCAGTGGAAGAAGAGGATGATGAGAAGCTCGGAGAGAAGAAAGAGGACAAGACCACTTCCCTCAAGAGTGATGATACTCAGAAGCAGGAAACCAAAGATGAAAGTAAAGCTGGCGTTAGTGTTGAGGACTGATGTCTTCTATGCTCTGCTTAGACCAATTTCGATTGTTTTCCTTGTCTTCTGGCTTGCCGCCTTTTTTTTTTTTTTTTTCCATGACTGAATGAATCCAAGATTTCGTGATACCAGATAGTGGACGTTTTACGTTTCGTTAGTATCACATCATCTTCGCTTCTTACAGATTACTGCGTCGTGTTTGCGTCTGCGTCTGCGTTTTGGCAATGTTCCTGGGGTAGCATTTAGCATGTTCAATTCAAGTATCTATTTCTATTCCTAGACCTATATTCATAGTCTCTTCGTAAGAACCGCCTTCCCAACTCATCGTGTATATAACATAATTCATAAACTAGTACTATCCCGGAGATGGATGGATAAATAAAGACTCTCTACTTTCGCCTCTGCTCAACGGCCGCACGCAGTTTACTAATAACCTCGCCGGGATCCTGAGCGCCAAAGACAGCTGATCCAGCAACAATCACATTCGCCCCCGCGTCGGCTGCCTGATCAATAGTGCCCAAGCCCAGTCCGCCATCGACCTCGATGTTCAAGTCCGGATACCTCTGGCGCAGGGCAGTTACTTTGGGGAGCTCGGAGGCCATGAACTTTTGTCCGCCAAAGCCCGGGTGAACGGTCATTACGAGGACCATCTGTGTAGAAAATACATATTTCTCTTGTATTAGGAATAGACCCTTTCCTTTTATCTTGGTGCCAAAAAAAAAGACATTATAATGCGAAGGCGCGAGACTTACATCAGGTCGTTCGATCTCTTCCTTATTCTCGAGAATGTCCCATAATACGTCGACTTTGGTGTCTGGTTTGATTGCAATGCCGGCTTTCATGCCTTGCTCATGGATGTAGCGGATCAGCTCGCGCGGCGAGGTGTTTCGTGTGGTTTGAGAGTCGGCGGGCTCTTTGGCGGCGGTTGAGGAGACGGCGGCTTCGTAGTGGAAGCAGTAGAGATCGCAGCCGGCGTTTTTGAATTCGGAGACCCATTTTTGAGGCTATATGTGTTATTTTCGCCGAAGTTAGTCGGTAAACTTTGACTGGAAGAATAGAAGACAACGAAATGCAAAAAAACGACGAGATAATACTACTGCAGAATCATACCTCTGCAATCATCATGTGGCAATCAAAGGTACCCCGCTCTCCCGGTGTAGCTGGCTTTGCGACATGCGAGCGAATCTTGGTCACGACGGGCGCGCCAAAGGTCATGTTGGGCACGAAATGGCCGTCCATGATATCGACGTGAAGCCAGTCGGCTCCGCGGTCCATGGTGGTTGCGCATTCTTGACCGAGCTGCGCGAAGTCTGCGCTCAGAATGGAGGGCGCGATGATGGCGGGGGGAGACATTTCGTCTTCTTCGTCTGCTTGTTTTTCCTTTTTCCGTCTGTCTTTCGTGGTGGGAGGGCGATTGATCAATCCAGCGAGTAGGCAACACGGCAATTGACTTGGACAGAGGAAAGAGTGCGCAAAGTTGACGTGAGGTTTGAGCAGCGGCCCAAAAAAATGGGGATGATCTACAACGTCACACAGCTGATGGATGCCTCAGGCCCCACAAATTAGCCCTAACTCTATATCAGGCAAGTCTATAACTAGAAGTAACTACTTGCAATTGTTCTACATTCTATATTCAACTAAAAGCCAAATCAAAATAGATCGATGTTGTGAGCTGCTACTAGTTTCAAGAGCACTACAATTGTCTTCGCCCTGAGTTCATCGTGCTACCATTATTTCAAGGTATCCTTTTTCCGATGCCAGGAATAATGTCTTTTTTTCCTACCGCATCTAGTTCATCGATGTCAATTTCAGATGCCTGATTCTTAGGATTATGTCGCGACCGGCCATTCTCTAAATGGGCCCTTAACAAAGAATGGATGCACATCCTTGTCATCAAGTTCTCGACATCACTCTGTTCAAAGTACCATCTGCTCTCTGGACTGCGAGAAAGCAGGAACTCTCTAGCTGTCGGATGAATCAGAAAGATTTTGGAATCCTTCACGAAAACGAACAACCTGCATAAGTGACGGATCTTCCTCTTCAATACGTCCGGGTTTAGCCCGGCCTGGGCTGCAGACTGTGATCCAGACGACGTAGCAATGCCCAAAGCAGCGGCCATTTCCTCCACCGTTAATGGATGTCTCGCGCGAACAATAATCTGCAGGATTTTCCTCACAGTTTCTGCTTTGGCTGCTGGTACTCGATCGAGGATGCTTTCATACGCTGCTTCGACTGGTGGCGGAACCAATGGAATCGGTTCATCTTTGGGACAAAGACTCTCCTGGAATGTAGTACGGATGCCGTCCATTACAAGAGAAAGCCACAAATAGGTACGATGTTCCATCTGTAAAAGGTGGTTTTCGATTCGTTTTCGAATTTCGAAAGATAATTCTAGGCTTTCAGCTAGCTCAGCTACTCGGCTCTTCACAACCAACCCGATTTCTTCACGGATTCGATCGTTCTCTTCTTCTCCACGGAGGTGGATTTGATGATACAATGCCGTGAGCTGTCGGAAATTTTGCTGGATTTCTTCATAAGGTCGACTAGTTACAAGGAATTTCATCCATCGCCCCTTCGGGTTTAGACAAGGAGAAATCTGGGAGTGAAACTGCGCAAGCTTTCTAATCAACTGCCGCGCTTCGTTTTCTTTGCATTCATCGATCGCATCAAATATGCAAATAGTGTTCGGGAATGCGGAGTCAGATGTTGCTGCAATAAGAATACACCATAACTCTTCCACTTCTTGGTGAAGTTTTGGTCCGTTGCTACGCCAGGATGGCAAAGCATATTGTAAGAGATCCGGACATGTCTCGAAGAGCTGGTGCAGGATAGCACACAATGCTGTTGCTAGATCGTTCTGTTCGTCATTATCTTTGAAGAAGAAGTAGCAAACGTTCAATGGAGACCCAAATTTCTTCAAGTCAATGTCAATCAGAGACTTCGCAAGGACAGACTTTCCACACCCAGGATCTGCTGTGATCCAGAGAATGTTATTATGCCGACTTTCCCACCAAGCAAGGTATTGAGGATTCTCAAGAACCCATCTACAGGTACCATCAACTCGGCCAGGGTTAATATTCTTATACCTTTCGTAAGAAGAGGTTTTGAATGCTTGATGGCATGCTTGACGTTCCTGAGTCAAAGCCCAAGCCATCTGCTCACGATGAAGACTTTCCTGGAGGGCGATAACTTTTTCGAGACCTTTGTTGACGTTCTTGATTTCACGAACCATTTCGCCTAGATGAAGATTAATACTCATAACATCCACAAATGAACAAGCGGATTAATGTAAAGTCTCACTTACCACACACATCTGCAACTAACTTCTCCTGCGAAACTTTGCCCAAAGGCACATAGCTGAGCAGTTCTTTGGTATACGACGCTGCTACCAACGCTGCGTACCCCTGCCACTCCTTGTTCTTATGTGAATCTGCGTAATCACAGATGCCTCGGATGATAATGCAAGGGAAGTCCATCATCAGGCCAGCCGCCTCCATATCGAAGCACAATGCTCCAATCTCCCGAGAAAGCCGATCCCGGGTCACTGCATGTTTTACAACAGCGTTCGCCGATGCAATGACGCCATAGTGTACTTGAGGAGTGGCATCTTCGCGTGCATCTCTTGATACCTCCCAATCTGCCGGACACTCACTACAGGTTGTCATAGCTTCCGTCGGATGCTCATACATAACTTGAAATAATCTGTCGGTTTGGACATCCGGCCGACGGAAGGTTCGCCGGGTTCGTGCGGTCCGTTTGACTGCACTTGCGATATACTCGGGATAGCAGGGATCATCAGTCAACTCGGCGGCCCTCATATTGCTAACAGCGGTCAATATCGATCTCGGAGGACTGTTTAGCGAGCCAGTTCGACGGAGCTTGCCATCTTCGGCTTTTCCCATGTCATATTGAACTACACCACCGCAAGTACCCTCGGGGTGACAAACGACGATGTCGCCCAGTCGTATATCATGAGTAGCAGATGGCAGGCCTCCTCCGATTCCAACCATTAACCCGATCCGAATTGATCCAGAGAAGCTTCGCATCATGTTAATGGCAACTGTCGTAGCTGAAGTTATTCCGTATTGGCCTCCGGGACTAGCAATCACAACATGGTGTCTACCAATACGCCCCAAGATATATGAATTTGTGTCTGCGCTATCCTGCTCTTCGAGAATCCCGAAATTCTCATCCAGCATTTCCTTTGCTGCAGCGACTTCAATCGACAACGCACAGATCCATCCGATCTGGAATTCTTTTCGTGCTGGCGAAGGCATGGCTTGTTCTTGTGCTCTTCAACGACTCAATATGATATCTTCGCGACATCGAAAGAAATACAAATAAACTGGTCAGGCGGAATTCTTAAGTGTGAATGAACTCAGCCTTGCCGAGAGAAATGTCCTGCCGTGAGGCAGAGTGCGGAAAGACATTTGTGTCTCCCTGACTTTATAAATCCATCTATAGAGCAAGCAGTCTTATGCACATCATCATCGAGAAGATCCCTCTGTCTATGGTGCCAGCGCAGGGACCCGTGTTTCAGATCTGAGTATAGCATGGTGCAAGCTGTGATTGGAGGCGCTCTTATGCATGTTAAGCGCCGGCTTTACACTAGGTACTGGTGAGCTATAACTAAACATGGCATTCGTATATTTGGCTGATTCAGAAAATATCTATATATTTGAAATCCAATACGATATTTTATTGGCTTAACTATATTCTAGTCGGATGTTAAAGTTACAAATTAGGACAAGGACATTGCCCAATCAGCGTGCGGCAGTGACTCACTGGTGAATATATACAATAAAAATTTCCACATTGAAGAAGTAACCACCTGGTAGGTACAGGATACAGATAACTCATATGTGGGAAATTTTAAGGTTGCGATATTTTCACATGGGCTCTTTCTGTAGAATATCACTATCATTCAAACCAACCTCAGCGATCTGTTCAAGGCCGGCCCTACGGCAGCACGGATATACGACAATGGCCTGTCTTACTGCTACTCAGACAGCGCCTGAGTTTGATGGAAAGTTACGAGCAGCGGAACATCGATCTCTAGCCCTGTTAGAAAGCGAGGATGATCCCAATATTCGCGGAAAATACCGTCCATTCATCCTCAGTCCCGACACAGCCGAGGACTGGGTCAATAGCTTGGAGTTGACAACCGTTCTGAATATGGCTGAGAATGATCTGCGAAATACTAAGAAGAGACTGAAAGTGCTTGTATTGTACGGCAGCCTACGCAGAAGGTCCTATTCAAAGCTTGTGGCATTCGAAGCTTGCCGGATTCTTTTCCGGCTCGGCTGTGACGTGCGCGTATTTGACCCTGATGGGCTGCCGATGAAGAATGATATCGACCATGGCCATGACAAGGTGCAAGAACTCCGCGAGCTCAGCAGGTGGAGTGATGGACATGTTTGGGTATCTCCAGAGCAGCACGGCAATCTAGTGAGTGAGGTCTTGTCCTACCGCTATAAGCAGTAATCACTGACGTGCTATTACTTTTAGACTGCTGTTTTCAAGAACCAGATTGATTGGATCCCTCTGAGTACCGGAAGCGTCCGTCCAACGCAAGGCCGGACACTCGCTATCGCCCAGGTGTGTGGAGGATCACAGTCATTTAATGCAGTCAACTCGCTGCGTATTCTTGGTCGGTGGATGCGGATGTTCACTGTTCCAAATCAATCCTCGATCCCCAAAGCATATACACATTTCCCGGAGGAAGGCCAACCGGATGATCAACGGCTCTTACCCAGTAGCAACCGGGATCGTCTGGTAGATTGCATGGAGGAGTTTGTGAAATGCACTATCCTGCTTCGGCCTCACATGGCTCTTTTCGGCGATCGTTTCAGCGAACGCGAGGAGAAGAGAGTGACGGAAGAGAAAAGATGAAATAAAAGGCGCTTTGTAACAGCCGTCATCAGAAAGAATATATAGACATTGAGCGTTGATGCAAGCCAAACCAAGAATCATTCAATGTTCTAAATTCAGACGGAAGCTTTTGCCGTGGTGTTTCATGGCGAGAATATTTTAATGCCATTGAATATTCATAGTTGCAAGCTATGTTGGCAGAAGCAAGCAATCCTACCCTCGGACTTATCTAGATCTAACTTTTCAAGCTGACTAGATCACAATATGTTTTTTAGCTGTGTAGACATATAGCTTATGTTACTCTTCTGTGAACATAGTATTCTCTACCTAGGTTATGTGTCTGCGTTGTGGATAAAAGTGAAGATTCATCAACTCTAAATACGCCTTCGACCTCTCCTAACCAATCGTAACGCTGGGGTGACATATCGGAGCTTGATATAGTTTGTCTCTTCCATTCTGTGAAGCTGCTTTTCCAGAACTTAATTATGCATTCCTACGACGACTATTCCTTATTGACTTGACCAAGAAGGCGCATGTCTACAATTTACAAATAGTTCTCGAAGGCACCCGCAAATCAGCATCCATATCAACGTCTTCCACAACGACCATAAAGAGAACAAAACATGGCCAACAAGCCCAGCGTCATGTTTGTTTGCGTCCACAACGCCGGCCGCTCACAAATGGCTGCCGGCTATCTTACTCACCTCGCTGGCGATGCCGTTGAAGTCCGCTCGGCCGGTTCAGCGCCAGCCAACACCGTCAATCCTGCTGTTCTAGAAGCCATGCGCGAAGAAGGTATCGACCTTGCGGACCAGAAACCAAAGATTCTCACCGCTGAGGCTGTCCAAGCTAGCGATGTTGTTATCACCATGGGCTGTGGCGATGTATGCCCCTATTTCCCTGGCAAGCGCTATCTCGACTGGAAACTCGACGATCCTGCTGGGCAAGGCATTGATGCCGTACGACCCATACGCAATGAAATCCGTTGCCGCATCGAAAAGCTCATTGCTGAGATCTTGCCTTCTGAATGAGGTCGTGATGGATGATCTGACACGTGTCATACTTCCTGTACGTGCAGTGCCACTAGACAGTCGCAAGGGCAATTTAACTAACAGCTAGTCATAGGACATGCATATATATTTTACCTTTACTCTAGGTTTAGATCCAGGAGGATAATACTACTTGAGGATTCTAGCTGTGAGTCTGCAGTGATATCCGCCTCCGTTATAGACGTTAAATGCCAAAACCGCCACCGGCGCCTAAGGGCAGCCCGGTTATTTAGTATCATTCAAATATATCAGATGTCTTAGTAATTCCTGGGAATAAAAGAACTGACATTCTTTTCTGATGAAGCATAGAGCTAGGAAAAACAGGAGCTTTCCCCGTGCCACTGACGATGATGCGTTTAGGTGGCAAAGGAGTGTTGTGTGTGTAGGATAGCGAGCTCCAATATTTGCCCATTCCAGGTCATTCTATTGCACTTTCTCACTGCTACTAATAATGATAATGATATACCCAGTTGCTAAAATTCTGTGGTTCTGCTCTCGAGAGTCTTCCTCTCCGTCCAATCAGATTCCGCTGGTGACATCCAACATGAAGTCTTCTATGACGACCAAAATTTCCCGGGCAATCTCTAGATAATTTTACTTCATCAAGGACAAGATATTGTTTTTGATGTATCTGTAAATTAGATACTATGAGCTCCTGAAACCATAACCAGCCTGTCTACCTAGGAGCGCTTCCTCACTTGGTCTGCGTCGAGTTCCGTCACTTTTCGAGGATTCTGGAATACTGGCCATCAAAATGGCCCAATATCCCTCCTGCTCTGCTGACAATATGGCTTGCGATGTGGAAAAGCAGGGTTCCCCAAGCTTGTCAGGCGTGTCCCATGAAAAGCAATCCGCATTCCAGAATCTCGGCATACTTGATCGCTTCCTCGTGCTGTGGGTATTCCTTGCCATGGCAATTGGGATTATCCTAGGCAATTTTGTTCCCGACACCGGACCTACTTTGCAGAAGGGGACGTTTGTTGGAGTCTCCATCCCAGTCGGTAAGCATTGGTGGTGTCATGAATATATGCTTTTTTTTCTCCCCTACCTACTAACCTTGCCTAATCAGCCATTGGTCTTCTTCTCATGATGTATCCTATTCTCTGCAAGATACAATACGAGACGTTGCATCGTCTTTTTCGGGAACGTCGGATTTGGATCCAGCTCGCCTTCAGCATAGTTTTTAATTGGGTAGTTGCTCCGTTCTTCATGGTAAGTTGAGCCTTGCCTATGTAGCATATGGATATTTTGCTCATGCGTAATTCGCTTAGTTGGCGTTATCTTGGGCCTTTTTGCCTGATGAGCCAGAGCTACGCCAGGGGTTGATCCTCGTTGGATTGGCACGGTGTATTGCTATGGTGAGTTATTTCTCACGCTCTTCAAGTCGGCCTTCAGTACTTACTTATACTTTCTATCCTATTCTAGGTTCTGATATGGACTGGGCTAGCCGGGGGTGACAGTGAATACTGTGCCATTCTGGTAGCCATCAACTCGCTCCTTCAAATGATCCTATACGCGCCCTTGGCTATCTTATTTATCAGAGTGATCGGCGGTGATACAATCACATTAGAATACTCCGCTGTTGCCAAAAGCGTCGCCGTGTTCCTTGGAATACCCCTGGTGGCTGCAGTACTGACACGTTACACTCTTCGATGGGCAAGTGCACGATGGTATGATGAAGTCTTCTTAAAGTGGACCAGTCCATGGTCTTTAGTCGGCCTCCTATACACAATCCTAGTGTTGTTTGCCTCTCAAGGCCACCGGGTAGTGCACCAGATTGTCTCTGTTATCCGAGTTGCAGCACCTCTTATAGTATACTTTGTTGTCATTTTCTTCACTACTCTCTGCGCCACATACAAGATGGGGTTTGGTTATAAGTTGGCCGCGACGCAGAGCTTCACTGCAGCTAGCAACAACTTTGAGTTGGCTATTGCTGTCGCGGTTGCAACCTTCGGCGCGAATAGTAACCAGGCACTTGCGTCTACTGTAGGGCCTCTGGTTGAGGTTCCGGTGCTGCTGGGGCTTGTCTACGCTGTGAAGTTTGTGGCAAAGAAACGGGGCTGGAGGGACTAGCCTAGGAACTGTGAAAATAAGAATGAAGACCATGAAATCTCATAATAGGCAAGAAACAAATATTCAAAAATGGAGTCGGGGTTTGCTGTGTTACCTAGGTAAAATCGGTTCAATCAATCCTCAAGGGGTAAGTCCTACTCGGAAGTACTCCCAGACATCTTCGTGAGTGGACTCGACCCAGTCTTCCCAATCGACAATATAACTGAATATGACAAAGTCAGTATACCCATAGTTAAAAATAAAATAGGCCGAGTGAGTGCAAATACCATTTCTGGGTTTTGCGGTCCCAGACCACGTTTCGAATAGCGGGATCCATGTTGATGAGTCCACACGGCAGTGCAATCTCTAGAAGGAATTTCGTTAAAAGGAAGCCCCAAATCCATCATTAAGATACAAAGACTCACAGCCATGCTCTCTTGAGCGCCTCCCGGAGCTCGTCCCGTTCCTCCCTATCCGTCTGACAGTATAGAGGGGCCGCATTTAACCCTGGGGCAAGTTGCATTAGGATATAATCTATGTACCCTCCTGGTACCCATCCGTCATTACCTTGGATTTCGGGCTTCCATGCAAATAATGCAGGGGCCGAAGAACACCCTGCTGTAGTAAGATACTGCAGGCCCTCGACCTCTTTTTGAGTGATCCGCCGCACTTTTGGCCGCGCTTGCTCGGCTCTCTTATGGGGGCGTCTGTGTGCTGTTTCGTAGTATGGAATCTTGGATTAATCGCAAAAAAACTACCGGGTTAGTAGGGCCGTGCACTTGAGAAGATAGCAAAGTGTGCTTACTGCATTCGAATCTTCACGGCAGCTTCCTCGCCTGGGCGATCAAGACTTGAGCACACAAAGACTCCACGACACGATGACTCCATCATCGAGGCTTGCACTTCATTCTCGTACACGCATTTTTCATGTTCGGCGATTTTTCTAGTCACTTTCCATTTGGAAACGACGGGGCTCTTGAAGGCGATTGCGTCGTCGTCTTCGAACCACGTAATCCCGGAATGGGTCTGGACCATATTGCAGGAATCAAGGTATCTGGAAATTGAAAATAAACGTAGGGCCTTTCTGCCACTTATAAAATCAAGAGGCCAAATGACCATCGACGTTCGCTGTCTGATGCGAGCGCACAGACCATGCCAGGTCTATGTTTAGCATAGGGCTAACTACACAACTAGAATTTATAGGAAACGGTTATAAGTGACGATTGTTGGATTCCATACAATTTGGCATCAAAGTTGACCTTGCTTCCAGTTGCATGTTGTATAGTGACAATTCACTCATTCTCTTCGCTTCAAATGACGTGTATACTTGTCTGTTAATTAGCATTTTAGGCTTCTCGACCTCAGTAACCGTATTCGTTAATACTTTGTTGTTGTGAAAGTGAAATGATAGTAGATAGAAAAGTGGAAACCGTTCCTTGATCTTATATGTAAACCCTAATAACGCTTCGGCATTTTCCCCATATCAACAATCCCAGTATATCTGAATCAAAAGAGAATCTAGACGCTCACTTGAGTGTCTCTCAGCTTCCTGTTATTTTCCAACGGACAATATTTTCCATGTAAGGCATTTGATAATCATGGAGTACTAGTTACTGTATGCTTTTACGCCTGGATGGCTCGGCCGACCTTGAGATCCTACTTAATAGATAGATGATTCTATCATATAATTCAATACGACACGAGGAACACTAGGAGTATTGACTGTCAAAATCTTGAATCATCGAATTTACACTCTTTAATTGTTTCGATGGAGCCATAAAGTCAAGGAAATAAAAAAGAATACACAATGCCTTCACCAAGGTACTCGTACTACCAAGTTCCCCTCGGAACTAATATTCATATAACCCAAACCAGAAACTCAGAAGAACTCCCGGTGGTTCTGCTAGATGACCTGGGTGGGTGGCTCAACCTGAGACTTTCGTCCCATTTTTTCCCTTCCTCAACCCGGAGACAAACCGAATTGTTTCCGTCGCCGATTTGGAGGGACTGGCTTGTTATAGCTAGACATCAAGCTTTCTATCCCGCGCTATGTCAACGAGCTGGAATCTCTCGTGGCACTTTTACAAAGGCCTACGGCAGGCGACAACGCATCTGCAGCAGGAGCAGAACCAACACAATACAGAGTGCTCATCGTCGCACACAATCTCGGAGCAATCATTGCCATGTACTACGCCGCCAAATACCCAGAAAACATCCGCGACCTCGCACTACTCGGGCCCAGCCAATAAATCGCCCATATACCAGCCTCCAGAGAGCGGATGTTGAGTTGGCGACGAAAGCGCGAGTAGAAGGTATATCTACTGTTGCAGATGAAGCTGCCAAATCCAACTTCCCTGCCGATTCTGAAGTTTCTGCCCAGGAAGGACTGCTTGAGAGTGTTTGACAGGCAGTAGCTATATGTGATGCCGAAGCATGTGCAAAAACATGGGAAGCCGTTGCTGGTCTAGATCATCTTGACCCGGACTATAGCCTGATTGATGCGCTGACTTTGCTGTTGACAGGAAACGGTGACGTGATACCGCCACCAGTTAGGTTGGTGGGATTGAAGGAGCAAATAGGGGATAATGCTTGGGTGACGGCGCTGGAAGATAATTCAGTGAATTTGGACGGATCAGTAAAGGCGATTAGAAGTATATTTGAGAAAGTTAATACCCAAGTGGCTCTTGGATTTATCAACTAAATTACAAGTCAAGATCGATATATGACTGATTGATTGGTTTGTCTCGTTAATCTTTTATGTACTTAGCCTCGATTATCTTCGTCTATCCAAGTACTAATTAGTCTCTGCCGGGCATCCAAGCAGTTATTAGGCAGAAGTTTACTCCGTTATTACCCTCAGTTGCAGTATAAAAAGAACAGGTTAGCCGAGTTAGGCCAGTGTATGCAAGCATTGGGCCATATCCAGTCAAAAATCAAGAGTAAATGCTACAAGATTAGTAAATAGCAAGAAAAATATGGCTTGTTTATAGAGCGGCCAATCAGTGGCCAGAAGCGCCGGCTTCATGCACGGCGAGACGGCCCGTCACGCTTAAACTGCTAAAGATAGAACGCCGGCGCTTACAGGCCGCCCAATGGGAGACCAGCAGACGCACCTCTTCTTGCAGCATCACACTGCAGAAGATCCTGCCTGCCACCAATCGAGGCCCGGTGGCCTCCTCCATCACGCTGCTGGTTGTCCCGGGCCCCTCACCGTGTGAGATCATGGTTCTTTTTTTATCTCCTTATAACGAGATGCGTCGCCGTCCTGTCCGTGCTTTTGCTCTCCCACTCCTCTACTCTGTTCTCTTCTCTACGGCATCTTTGTCCTGATCTCTCTTTTCTTTGCTGGCCAAAGAAGTTGTATTCCGTTGATCGGATACATCATGTTATCGTGAGATACCCCTCTGCTGTTGAAATTGCAATTCTTGTTTGGCGGTTTCCGAGATCAGGACAAAGATCCTTTTTCCCAACTTACTTCTTTCTTAATATCCTTTGAGTCAAACCCAAAAGCCAAAACACAGAAAAACCTAAAGGGAAAAAAAAAAAAAAAAAAAAAAAAGAGAAAAGAAAAGAAAAGTGATCTGGCATCACCATTAAGCATCATGGCAGACTATCGTCGTCAGGTTACGACCATGAGCTCGCCTGTGCGGCTGGCCCGCAAACCATCACTTAATACCATAATTGAAGCGAACGAGAACTCCCCTGGAGCACAAAGTCGGAAGGATGAACTAGCAAGGCAGAGCTTACATTCCATCCAGATTGCCATGGCTCTCTCTCCAGAGACGGCGAAACGGATTTCGACTCCAGCCGATTCAATGTCGACAACGTCTTCGTCATGCTCCGATGAGGAGTGGCAGCAGGGGATGCGGTCGTTTGATGATCTCTACGACGCAACAGACGATGAGGAGTCCTGTCCTTCACTCACAGAGAGCCGGCCTAGCAGTCTTGCATCGATGTCTATCCGAAGTTCAACCTACTCCACTCACAGTCGGAACCGGTATCCAAGCCTCATGATTCCAACGTCCACTCTCTGGCCGTCTCTGAGAAATCCCCACAAAAGCTCGCCTGTGCCACCGACACCACCTCCTAAAATTCCAGTTTCTCCGGCTGCATTGTCAATGATTCCAGGGATTGTCCCTGCACTGCACGCCCCTCCTTCGCTGGATGGGAGTCTGTCTTCGGATCAGATATCGAACATCAGCTCCCCGGCAACACCGGACTTACGCCCAGTCCATGATAGCGATTGGGATAACACAATAGTTCGAGTGCGGCATGATTCCAACGCCCCAAGCAGCGCTGGTGGATCCAGCGCGGACTTGACCGCTGACGATGAGCGAGCAATTGAAACATCAGTCGATGATTGGAATCCTATGCTCGATAGCTTTCCGGCCATTCCTTCCGGATTTGAGAGAGACATGCCGTCAGCCAACACACAAGACTTGGCTTATGAGCCAGTTCAACCCGAGAGCCCCGAGCTTGATGGGATAAATCTCCCTCCTGCCGCCATCGCCACGCTCCAGCATATTCCACTTGATAGCACGCCAGGTCCGTGGTCGGAGACATCCGAGAAAAATGATGAAATGTGGCAGCTTTCTGCACCACCCACCCGTCCACGGAGCGCAACCCCCGATTCTGAACTGTCTGGTTACAGCTTCACGAATCTAAGCATTCCTTCTCCCGGCGGGTTCTTTTCATCGCTAGACCCCAAATCACGCTATACGTGGTCATTGCCAAGTGTAGCTAATCCGCCAACTTCAGCAGTTGCTGCGCGGTTCTACGATCTCCCCTGGGGCCAAGATCAGGGCCAAGTTGTCGAGCAGGTTGTGGAAGTCGTAGAAGAGGCCCTCAATGATGATCAGCCTACTGCTGTTCCCATTACAGCCATTAGAATCCCTCCTACACACAGGCGTAACGACTCCAGTTCCAGCCATAGTCCCGTTGCCGATGTACAGGAACTCGACCGATCTGGAGTCGTATATGAGTACGACGAGGCTTATGATGAAGAATTGAAACGACAAGCCGTTGCTAACCTCGACCGAACTAGCGTCTGGCTGGCAGCTCAGCGATCGTACTTGTCTGCTCTCCGCGAAACAAACCCCGCGAACGAGCTGACGGAGATGGAGACGGAGATAACTTCGCCTGATGTCGAGAACCGCCCGACCTCGTCTTCAGCGGATTCTCCACCCAGAAAATCAGTCCGGTTCTCAGAGACTGTGCAGGAAGCAATAGTATCTCCACCACCTCCAGAAACAGCCAGCAAGGACTCTATCTACTGGCGCGGGTTTCAATTTGTCCTGCAACAAACCCGCCGCCGAGATGTTTTCCTCCACAGCGATACCCGTTTTGATGCTGTGCAGTCTGGTCGACTTGCTCTTCCTCAGAAGCACACGACTGCGCTATTGGGCAAGTTTGACTTAATCATTCCCGAACGACCCCCCTATAAAGGTCCTTTCTCACAATCACCACGCAAATCCGTGGTTGCAGAAGTACTCGCAGATCAAGCTCTGTTTTCTAAGCTGGAGAAAGAACAGATGGTACTTTCACAACTATGTCAGTCGATGTGGGCTATTGATGCTCTGCGATATCTTAACGGTGGTCGATTGATCTCTAGTCCCGCCGCGCAGCGACTATCCAAGGCTACCCACCCTTTAGGAAGCCCCGAGACAGCTGGCAAACGTCGCTTGAGGATCCTGGATCTTGGTGGCCAAGCGACTGGCGGGTGGGCATGGCATGTCGCTCATGATTACCCCAATGTCAAGATATACACGGTCGTCAACAAGAGCCAAGAAGTCAACAGTCATATCAAGGGGCCTCCCAACCACCGACGGATTTCTGTGCCCTGTCTGTGGAAGTTACCATTCCGCAACAGTCAATTCGACGTAATCTCTGCTCGATCTCTGCATGCTCTTCTTAAGGTCGACCGTCCCGCGGGCGAGGAACTAGATGAATATGATCTCTGTCTGAGGGAATGTTATCGCTGCTTGAAACCCGGCGGATACCTCGAATTCTTCACAATAGACTCTTCAATTGCCCGTGCGGGACCCGTAGGGACTGCCGCGTCTGTTGAGTTCACATTCAATTTGAAGACACGCGGCTATGATCCGTCGCCAACCCGGGCATTCCTAGGTCGTCTTCAGAAGAGCCATTTCGTGGATGTGAAACGAGCCTGGCTATTTCTCCCCATGGGGCTTGAGCCTGTTGTACCGGAGCCAATGCGCGAAACGCCTAACCCTAGAGTCAAAAGTCAAATCGATTGTGAAGCTATCCAAGGGCCTGTCGGTAGCACGGCCGACATTGCCAGTATGACGGGCTTGCTTGGCGGGTGGATGTGGGAGCAGTGGTTGTTGAAGCTGCAGATGGAAATGGGACAGGAGCAGGATGTTCTCTTGAGGGGCGTGGGCGGGGTTTTTGATGAGGGTCGTAAGCATAACGCTGGCTGGACTTGTTTGTGTGGTTGGGCTATGAAGCCAAAGCGTCGAAGGTCGACTATGAGTGAAGTGTTATCTGGATATTAAGCCGTCTCTCTGTCTTTCCTTTTCCCCCTCTGTCTACCTTTTTCATGTCTATCACTCAATCTTATGAAATATACCCCCTCATGTTGTTATAGCTGCCAAGTGGCCAAATCTGATAATTTCTTTTCCTTTGCCTTGTCTGCCAGCATCACATCGTGGAATTCCTTTGGACTCACACTGCCCTGTATCCACTCCAAACTCTAGAACCTTGGACGTCAAACAATGAGAGACGTAAAGGACATGTTCTTTTATATATTCTGGCCTCCGTTCTTGGAATTATCCAGTAAATATTCGTTGATCATCTTGCCATCGTGGGTATAGATCACGTGACCTCTAAGTGGATAGGATAGTGAAGCTTTCCGGTGCAAGTCAGAACTTCCAACGAAAACCAGCAAAGCTTGCGATTCTCTTATCCTCCATCGACGTTGATAGATTGGCGCTAAGAGGCTACTTTACTCGGGACAAATACAAGGAAAGAAATGCGATAAACCCAGTCATTTCACTCTCGCGCTACTACCCCTCCGTCAAAGTCGTTGTCTTTAACGTTCTAGCACGATGTTGTTTTTCAGGTAAGAATTGCGTTCTTCGACACATTATCTAACAAAAACACCATCTTATATATAATGTATCAAGCTGACTTTCTTTATTAAATAAATAAAAGCTTCTTCAAAACACTCACCAACCACGTCGTCACCGTCGAACTGAAAAACGACATCCGCATCCGCGGCACATTGAAGTCGGTCGACCAATACCTCAACATCAAGCTAGATGATGTCGATGTGCTCGACCTGGATAAATATCCGCATTTGTCGTCGGTGAAGAACATGTTTATTCGTGGGAGCGTGGTCCGATACGTTGTTTTGCCGCAGGCTGAGGTTGATCGGGGACTGTTGGAGGATGCGACGCGGCGAGGTTAGTCCTTTTATACCTTTCAATGCTTACTCAGTCATTTGTGTTTTGTGTGGATTTTCTGTGCTGTGTGCTCGGATACGGAGTTTGGTTTGCCTATTTACTGACATGGACTCTTTCTCCAGAGGCTGCAAACCAAGCCAACAAAGCTCGATGAGCGGTAGGCAAGGCATAACATGCGAAGTTCGAATGGAAGGGAAAGAGAAATTAGATGTTCTTATTCTTCGACACAACTTCCGTCGGTAGTAGGAAAAGATACCCAATGATGATTGACGATGGGCCCTGCAAAAACGTAGGGCATATAATACGCATTTGTTGCATGATACAGACACCTTTGAGGATGATGGTGGTGGTATTTTAGTTCCCATGACGGCAATTTCAATGGACATGTGCGTGAAATATGCCATTGAAGGGAGGACATGAAGGTATCATGACACGAGGAGACCGAATGAATAAAGACAATACAAAGAAGATCTATCAGCAACACTGAAGGGATGGATGATATGCCAACGACTTATATATCCGATGTTCAACTGAGGATCGACGAATTGTTTGGCTGCTGGGTGCAGTTGCAGGTCCAGTTGATTTCGATATAGCCCAGAGCAATTCCGTACTCCACGACTTTTTCCAGGCCTTGATGTTATCTATAAACACAGTATAATGTTGAGCATTTTCATCACTTCGTAGTTTATCAGAATATGCAGTGGCGATATCGCGGCCAGAGTCAGACTGACCAATAGCGCGCAGTTATTCAACGAGTGGGTCCCGATAAACCCGACATACTCGAGGGGCGTCACGTTATTTCATTTTAATTTCAACAAACTCAAACACCCCCAGTGCTTGCTGATGCTTATGGCTGGGGCAGGATGACGACCACACCGGCTGCAAAGCGGACTCCGCTACGTCCAGCGAGAGGAGGTTCGTCTGCGGTCAAGAAAAACACCAGCATTCTGAATTTCTTCAAGAAGACGGATCCTCCCAATTCGAAACAGCCTCGATTGACCGAATTCGGAGTCACCGTTTCACGATCTGCGAACAACAATAATAATAATGGGAAAGAGAATGACGCTCTACCAAAGGAGGAGTCTGGGTTATTTGTTGAGGATACGAAGCGCTCGTGGAAGAATCTGGTAGATATTAAAGATGAGGGACGAACGACGACATCCAAGAAGTTGAATCCGATAGGCAATGCGGGTCCTGCCGAGAAGTCATATAACTCCAAGGAGCCCGAGTCCGAACGGTTCAACGAAAACGCGGGGTCAATAAAAAAGCGGAAAGTTGATTCCCTAATTGTCAATAGGAAAGAAAAAGAACACAGGGGCCCCTTCATCGATGAATCTGATAGCGAGGAAGACGACGACGATATCATATCGTATACAGATGTCAACAACACGAATAATACCCAGCCACGGCCTGAACAAAATGTCGATCAAACCTTAGCCTTCGAACCCCCACCACTGGTAAGAGCAGCCACTAGCAACTATGAATCGAGTGCGGTGGCCGATGACTTTGATGATATAGAAGACGAATTAGAAGGAGAAGACTTCATGGAACAGCCATGGATGGAAGAGGAAGCAAGTGCATTGGGAATGTTGGATGGTAGCGTGGTAGACGACAGGCCATCGTGTCCAATATGTCAGGCTAGTTTGGAGGGACAGTCAGATTCTGTGAGTGCTCGTGCTCGACTGGGTCAGGGTTAAGGCCGACTTGTCTAATATCTTTATTCAGGAAGCATCATTACACGTAAATGCATGTTTGGATGGAAACCCGCAACCTCTTCCAGAAAAACGCAAACCTTCAGCTCCTCGTTTGACACGGCAAGAAAAAGCAGCAATAGCTAGACCTGCGCAACGAAATCCATTTACGACGGGGTCCACCGGTACGACTTCTGCGTTTGCAAAGCTCATGGCTGGGAATGCCGAGGATTCGGCGTGGGCTGCAGCTGCAGCTAACGAAGTAGCCTCGCGAGGCAAACAAGCTTATGAACGAACATGTCCCTTTTATAAGATTTTGCCGGGGCTTTTCATTACAGTGGATGCGTTTCGCTATGGCTCTGTTGAAGGGTGCGAGGCATATTTCTTAAGTCATTTTCATAGCGATCACTATGGCGGTCTTACTGGCTCGTGGAGTCATGGTCCCATATACTGTAGCAAGGTCACGGGAAACCTTGTACGGCAGCAGCTTAAAGTCGACCCGAAATACGTTGTTGATCTCGATTTTGAGAAGAAGACCGAGGTTCCAAATACGAAAGGGGTTTACGTTACAATGATCCCTGCAAATCATTGCCCAGGAAGTTCTCTTTTCTTGTTTGAGAAAATCATGGACAACGGCCGTGTCCATCGTGTGCTCCATTGCGGCGACTTTCGCGCTTGCCCAGCCCATGTTCAACATCCCTTATTGAGGCCACAAGTCGTGGACACGGCCTCGGGCCAGTCGCGACAGCAGCGCATCGACGTTTGCTATCTAGATACCACCTATCTCAATCCGAAATATAGTTTCCCGAACCAGGAGGAAGTCATCAAGGCGTGTGCAGATATTTGTGTTCGATTAAGCGACCAGCATGGTGACAGCAGAGAGGTCCTCGAGCTCCACAAAAGGGAAAAGGGAGCGAATGCAATGAGCAAGTTTTTTTCTACTAAGGAACGTGATGGGAGAGAAAAGGAGGATTCAACATCATCGTCACGCGGACGCCTTTTGGTGGTGATTGGAACGTATAGCATTGGCAAAGAGCGCATATGTTTGGGGATCGCTCGAGCCTTGAAATGCAAGATATATGCGCCGCCGCAAAAACAGCGTGTCTGCGCCTGTCTTGAGGACCCCGAACTCACGTCTCTTCTCACGGACAACCCCCTGGAAGCGCAGATTCACATGCAGATCCTCTTCGAGATCCGCGCGGAGACCCTTTCTGACTATCTACAATCGTTCAAGGGCCATTTCTCTCGCGTCGTTGGCTTCCGCCCCACGGGCTGGTCATACCGACCACCTGGTGGGCGTCTTCTTGACAACCCCCCCGTCGCCAATGTGCTTCATTCCGGCAACTGGAAGACTTCCTACAGTGTAACGGATCTCGTGCCCCAGCGAGGCAGCACCAAGGAAGCGTCGTGTTTTGGGGTGCCGTACAGCGAGCATAGCTCTTTCCGAGAATTGACTATGTTTTGCTGCGCGTTACGTATTGGGCGAATCATTCCCACGGTGAATGTGGGCAATGCCAAGTCCCGCGAGAAGATGAAGGCGTGGATTGAACGGTGGGAGGCTGAGAAGAGGAAATCAGGGCTGTTTCGCGTTGAGGGCGATGTGTGGTAGTGCCAGCATCTCACTCAAATCTACTAGTTGGTTATGTAATCCCTCGGAATGCGGAGAAACGCGGGGGATCAGCCTGGCTGCCTCAGGCACACAATGCACTGTATGGTGTATTGTATCATTCATTGTATACTATGTAATGCACACAAAACTGTCTTGAACAATGAATGCCCTTGTTGAGATACACGCGCAGATGAGGTCATGAAATCCTCAATAAAAATAAAAAACTAACAACCAAGCATCACCAGCCAAGCCTGCCGCGTTTCCGACTGCAAGCCTAGGTGTCTGTCTGTAGCCGGTGCCGAATGCCGGCAGTTGTTCATGGCACTGCATCCATACTACGTGCCTTAGGCCTCCTCGCACACCCATGGATGGCGATGCTGATTGGACTGGTCGTGTGCCGCGAGCGTTGAGCAAGTCCCGAGTCTCTGGGCCGAGCACGGTTATTCCCACGGGCTAGCCGAAAGTAGACTAGTATATATATTTTCTGGTATCGCTTCAATCGCAGCAGACTTGAGAGATCTTCTCTTGCTGTATGTACCCAAATCCCACAGACCCCAATCCATTGGGCATTCATCAGTGTATCAATTGGCTTGCTCCAACACCATGTCGCAGTCAATTTTCGCCTTCTTGCTCACCCCCTACACCATCCCTCTCCTTTGTGTGTTCTATTTCCTGCTGCCCTATCTCTCCAAGTCGCACTGGATTGCCCTGCCTGCGCCTTTCCCTGCTGCTTTTACAAATCTCTGGCTTCTCTACCAGTGTCGTCGTGGCCGCCGGTTTTTGGCGGTGCATGAGGCCCATCAGAAGCACGGAAAATTTGTGCGCATCCAGCCCAACCACGTCAGTGTTGCCGACGACGCTGCAATTCAAGCCATATACGGGCACGGCAATGGCTTTTTGAAATCGTAAATACATTTCTTACCACCATCACCATCACCATCGAAAATAAACTGACCTGAAACAGCGACTACTACGATGCATTCGTCTCGATTCGTCGCGGCTTGTTCAACACGCGAGATCGAGCGGAGCACACCCGCAAACGCAAGACTGTCGCACACACCTTTAGCGCAAAGTCCGTGGGCCAATTCGAGCAATACATTCACGCAAACATTGAGCTTTTTGTGACTCAATTGCGCACCATCTGCCAAAACCAGACAGATCCTCGTAGCGGCTATGCCTCGATTGATGCGCTGAATTGGTTTAATTATCTTGCCTTTGACATCATTGGCGACCTGGCCTTTGGCGCCCCGTTCGGCATGTTGGCCAAGGGCAGAGACGTGGCCGAGGTGCGCAAGACGCCCGACTCACCACCGACCTATGCACCTGCTATTGAGGTTCTGAACCGTAGGGGCGAGGTTTCGGGTACACTGGGATGCCTGCCGGGCTTGAAACCGTATGCGTCGTATCTGCCAGATGCATTCTTTAGCAAAGGCCTGGAGGCCGTTCAGAATCTGGCTGGAATTGCGATTGCGCGTGTGAATGAGCGTCTCAAGCCAGAGGTTATCGAGAACAATACCCGCGTAGACCTCCTCGCTCGATTGATGGAAGGCCGAGACGAGACGGGCGCGCATCTGGGACGCGAAGAACTCACGGCAGAAGCTCTTACGCAACTTATTGCAGGCAGCGATACGACCTCCAACACTTCCTGCGCGCTCCTTTATTGGGTACTCCGCACTCCAGGCGTGATGGAGAAACTGCAAAAGGTCATTGATGAGGCCGTTCCGGAGGGTGTCGATGTGCCGAGTTATGCTATGCTCAAGGATGTACTTTAGTCAGTGTTTCCCCCTTCTTTTCTGCAATGTGTTGCTTGAAATTTCTACAAATATTAGCGCCTGCTAACAACCAAAAGCATACAATACGTCATTCAAGAAACAATGCGCATCCACAGCACCTCTGCCTTGGGACTCCCTCGTCTAATCCCACCGGGCAACCCGCCCGTTGACATATGCGGACAAACATTCTATGCCGGCGACGTAGTCTCCGTGCCATCATACACGATCCACCGCTCCCCCGTAATCTGGGGCCCCGACGCCGAGTCCTTCGTGCCTGATCGCTGGGCTCCGGACCGGGTGACGGCGCGCCAAAAAGCGGCCTTTATCCCCTTCTCCACGGGACCGAGGGCCTGTGTAGGTCGGAATGTGGCAGAGATGGAGTTGACGTGTATCGTGGGTGCAGTGTTTCGGAATTTCGAGTTTGTTATTGAGCAGGATCATCCGATGGAGACGCGAGAAGGATTTTTGAGGAAGCCGTTGGGGTTGAAGGTCGGTGTTAGACGGCGGGTTTTGCATAATAATGCATAACATATGCTTAGCTCATATGGCTACTGGCACATTGTCCTTTGTTTGTGATTTTAGTCTGGCCTGCATTCTGTTGGCATCAGCCGGATTCGGAACTGGTGGTCACTCTTGGCACATTTCCAAGAATTGACTCAATTTTCAGACTCTCATTCTCATACGAACCTGAAAATTGGTTAGGTATTTACATGCTATATGTAATATTCTAATTTTAGACCAAGCTAACAAAATTTGGCTAAGCTATGATCCTGGTTTGAGGTCAGCCCGTTCTACCCATAAAATGCCTAATTAGGTATATATGTTCATCAAAACCACTAGGGCTGTTCTTGAAACTATAGAGTAAATTTGTATAAGTTGGTGGTTATCTATTGCTTGAGCTTGGAACTGGAGCCATCATCAAATCCATTAATATCACTTCCACTATCCATTGACACAATCACAAGCGAAGTGACGGAATGTTGCAAAGCATGATATGAGCTTTGGAATTTACTGAAGACCATATTGCCTGCTTATGAGACTGCGAAGAATAGATAGACCTCAAATGCCGCTCTCTATACGCATGATCAAGTTTAGCGGATACTATATCCTTGGAGTTAACAATTGGATGAAATTAAGGATGTTGTATGAGAAATCAGGTATATGGAACATTCCCAGTTCGCTAGCTACATACCAATCTAGCTATGACCCATATGTCATGGCGAGGAAAGCTGTTCAACTTCATGATTCTGTAGCGTATACAGAGCTCAATATATTCCAATAACACTTCTTTGGAAAGCTTCTATCATTCACACGAGCTCGAGAACTCACTCGAAAAGATGAACAGCCTTTTAGCTGAGATTGCCAGTCAATACCCAAGCTCGTTGGCTATTGAGGATGGATCACGATCCCTCACATACAACGATCTCTTGCAGAAAGCTGACGCCCTAGGCCGTGCTATCCAAGAGCACCCGTTGGAGCCGGAAGAGGCAATCGCAGTGATCCATGGCCTCAGTATTGAGATGGTAATTGCACAAGTTGCCCTTCTTCGTCTGAACTTGACAAGCGTACCCCTAGACCCTGGGCTGCCCAAGCTTCGCATTCGGGAAATGCTAGACGATATCAAAGTTCGCTATGCGATTGCTAGTACCGGTTTCGAGGACCTCGGATTTTCTATCATTTCAATGCCAATCGAATCTCGCGCCATTAGTCTGGAGGACTCGTCACCCGGTCTTGTCTCACTGAGAGAACCAACTCGCAGCCATATTCTTTACACCTCCGGATCAACTGGTAAATCAAAGGCAGTTCAAATCACGCCAACTAGCCTGGTTTGTCTTGCCCAGTCAACGATGGTAACTCCACTCCAAAGGACTGATCGCGTTGCTTTGATCAACAATTCTGGATTTGACATCTCGCTGTTCGAAGTATGGGCCACCCTGCTTGATGGTGCTAGAATGGTCGTTGTGCCCAGGGAGATTGTCATAGATCCATTTGCTTTTCGGGGCTTCATTGTCGAGAAGCGGTTGACTGTCGTTCTTCTAACAACCTCTCTTTTCAATGCTACAGGCTTTGCTTGCCCCACGGCTTTTAAGGATGTCCGTGAGGTCTTGACCGGGGGCGAGGTCGCTAGCCCACTGGCAATGCGCACAGTCTTGGAGTCAGGGGGGCCGCCTACACGTCTGTGGAATACCTATGTCAAGTTTTCCTCTGACTCCAAGCAATAAAGTGGATCTGAAAGCACTTGAAAGTGCTTATTGGGGATACTATAAAGGAGTCCAAAACGAAGACGGTAATGAAACTCAGGATTCGGCATTCGTGGCCATGGTCCGAGATCTCTGGTCGTCGTTGCTTGGAATACCGATAATCAAGGAGGAAGACGACTTTTTTGAGCTGGGAGGTTCATCAATCAAGTCAGCGATGCTTATCAGCAGATTGCGGATGACAACGGGCAAGTCTGTTTCCATGAGGGCCCTTCACCAGAATTCTCGATTCGTCGAATTTGTTGCCTATTTGAATGAGTTCGCTGAGGGTGCCGTGGCAAGGCACCAGTCCGAGCGATGGAGAGAAGATTCACACATGGCAGACGGCCTCAGCATCATACTTGGAGAGACACCGGAGTGGACCTCAAAGGATGAAGGCCGAGTATTCATGACTGGTGCTACTGGATTTGTTGGCGTCAACTTCCTTGCCAGGCTTCTCCGCCACCCCCGAGTGAAAGAAGCTGTTTGCCTGGTACGGGCAAAGAGTAAGATGAGACCTCGTACTCGAGTCGAAGAGGCTTTGAAGAAATATAATCTCTGGGACGACACTGCTTCCAGCTTTTCAAAACTCACCGCACTCGATGGAGACATCTCCAAAGACCGGCTTGGGCTCTCACAAGACAAATTCACCTGGCTCAGTCAGTTGGCTAGTGTGATATTCCACTTGGGAGCGAAAGTAAATTTCTGCGAACCGTACGAGGCCCATTTTGAACCCAATGTTTTAGGCACGAAGAATGTGCTTGAGCTTGCCCTGAGCGGTCGACGTAAGGCGTTTCATTTCACCTCCAGCATCGATGCCTGGGGTCCCAATGGATTGATTCTCGGGACACGGAAATGCCTGGAAGACGAAACTCTCGAGCCGAATCTAAAAGGTCTTCCATACGATATCGGATATGCCGCAAGCAAATGGTGCTCTGAGCAAATGGTGCGTACTGCTCGCGATCGGGGCCTTCCAACAGCAATCTATCGTCCCGGATTCGTCACAGGAGATTCAAAGACAGGTGCCGGCAATCCGGATGACTTTTTCGCTCGTCTGATGGTTGGGTCGATTCTGATTCGAGCGTTTTCTCACTTGCCCCGGCAATGAATGGAATATGTGGCGGTGGATTATGTCTGCGACGCGATGCTGCACATTTCCTCTCAACATTCCAATTTGGGCCGATCATATAGTCTAGTTGCTCCTGATCCGGCCGACTCAGTCAATTTAGAGAAGACGATCAGTGTCATCAATGACGCTGGATATCCAGTAGAGAGCATCCCATACTGGGATTGGGTCAATCGACTTCACGATCCCAAAAATAGCGACAATCCACTTATGCCTCTGATGCCTCTTATTCAAGAGAAGGTTTGGGCTGACCTGACACGGTTCCAGACGAGTCAAGATACGCCGCACTATGATTCTACGAATACAGTGGCGGCCCTCGCAGATGCTCCGGATATTGGATACATCGCGTTTAGTTCTGAACAGCTGAACCGCTTCTTGAGATTTTGGAGATACAAGAGCTTCTACCATGTTTGAAGTGATATATAGCAACAAAATAAGCTCAACGTATTGCATATATCCATGAATTTGATCCGCATGGATATGTATATTTTGAGTTTGTGATAGTTTTATGGAACTTGCCTAGGCACACAATTGCGTAGAAAGAAAGTTGTTAGGAATGTCAAAAGACAGAAATCACACTTGTATTTTATAATATCTTGTAAATAATATATAGAAATATATTGCAATGGCGTTGTCCAAGCGAGGCGACCGTTGGCCACCACCCGCGCATACTGACATCACTCGGCCGCTTATACTTCACTACCCACGCCGCTTCTATTTCATTCATTATCTGTGATTTTATTTTATTTTTTATTCCAGTGTCTTTTATTCGTCAGCGAGCAAGCATTTTTGTTGGAAATTGCAAGATGTCGTTCCAAGATCTCCCCACGGTTAACGAGATCAAACGCGCAGCCACTGCAGGCCAGCGCTTCACTCCGGAAGATGTCTCCAGCATCGCTCAGGCTGAGAGCGAATTGACTGGGGGTGGACCGGTAAAAGGCGGTCCAGCAGGTATCGTAGCCCCTCTTCAAAGAAACAGGGGTAAGGTCTATTACTGACTATGTCCAGCAACGGCACATTCCCTGTCCTCAAAACAGATGAATTTCGACGCGAGACTTGATGCTCTCGCACAAAAGCCTCCATCACATATAACCCAGGAAGATGCTCGCCAGATCCAGTCTGCAGAAGTACGTTATATCCATGCTCATATATCGAGCACTCCCCTTGATGAAGACGAGTCTGCTACATTAACCATGCTGGGAAGTTTGGCCCCGGAGTGGACATTCTTTCTTTTAATCAATCGAACTAGTTTCTGTTCTGTTTTGTTCTATTTACTTGTTATTTTTGTACTAAACAAAGATTCTTGATTATCATTAGGGTCGTGCCTTCAATAGCCCACCCGGCCCAGCCAGCGTCTCAGCACAGATAAGGTCAATTGCTGATCGTAATGAGGCATTGGGACTCCCAGCTGATCCTGATCCGGGCCCGGTATATGTGACGAAGGAGGAGGCCAGTGAGGCACAGTCGTTGGAGGCTATGTACACGGGAGGAATGGTTCCAAAGGGGAGTTTAGCGGCACAGATGCAGGTTCGTATTGTTTTTCTTTTTTTTTTTTTTCAGAACCATATTGGGTGCCTGGTAAAGGCTGATGGTTTGTGGTATAGAGTGCTGCTGATAAACGAGAGGCGGCGATAAATGGGGTTACTTGGTTATCGGAATAGCTTCGAGAGGATATAGAGATAGGGTCAATAGATATATGTATATATAGATTGAGTGATAAATAAAGACATATTCCACGTGATGATGTAAAACTATCCTTGGGTTTGGTAACAATGGTTTCAGGCAGAAAGGGTTTGAACCCTAACTGATGTTTCTAAATCTGGAATTCAACCATCCATCTATGGATGCGTTCATCTTCAAGGACCTGGCCAGCACAGCGCGCGATTATACAATGAATCGTTTTAATAATATCTCTAGACTCGTTTCGCTCTTTACCCCATTGTTTATCTCTCACCCTACCCATCTGTTTACATTGTTTCTCGCCTCTCTCTCCCTCCTACCAGTTTCCAATTTATCATGATATACATGAGCACTATGTCATCTAACCCCAATATGCATTATTAAGGGCTTGTATAGTCCCAAAGGTCCGTCACGCTCAAAGGTTTACTTCATTTTATACTATTTTGTAGGAGAAAAGCTCAGCAGCAACAGCACATTAATCCATAGGTATGGTCATCTGTATTTGGGTTTCTTTGAAAGTTCTTTCTCGTATAGCCCACTTGTTATAGCCTGCAATTTGCTATGGTTGATAAAAAATAATTTGATTCAGGCTGAGATTTCTTTTCCAAGGTCAACTTGTTCCCAATGTTCTTTTAACTCTGTGTACGGCTGCAGAACGGAAATATTGAAGGTCTTTTCCGATGACAAAGGTACTGGTGCAGGATGTATCGACCGTGTCTGGTCGAAGTGAACGCTTCCGTAACGAAGGAATGCGGCAAATGTTCCAGGCTCAATGTCCTTGTTGTGATTATCCTTGTGGTCCCAGATATCTGCAAGAAATGAATCAAGAGCACCCGGAGGACCATGTGACAGCTTCATGGTCGATGTGTTGGCCAGCAAGTCAAGAACAAACTCGTTAGCTTCATCATATAGCTCTGTCTTTTCAGCATCATCCTTGATATCTTTCTTGGTGGCCAGAAGCTCGAATTGTTTTTTGCCGTTCCATGCTGTCAAAAGTTGAAATTTCCAAGTCTCGGTCATGGCTGGAAGCATGAAAATATTCTCACGATGATATTTTGCCCCGTCAAACCCATCAATGGGGTCCACCAGCTTCCGCAAACGCTCAAAGCATTGGAAATGACCCAAATAGTCAGAAAAGTCCTCAGGCGAGACCTTCAACGCACCGGGTAGGTTGAGATGATTAGTTGGCGCGTACAGTATAGGCAGATGAGCCAACAGTGGATGTTTGTGTAGTCCAGTTTGCTCAGTTCGGCCATCCTTCCACACTTCCATGTATATATCGTGCCATCGTTTGATAAATCCGTTTCCCCGTTTCGCTGCAATGAAGCCATTGAGCATATTGGTCGCCCCGGGATTGATCTCAATAGACATGCCAGCCATCTCGTAGGAATTCGAGCTATCTTCAATGGCATTCCAACACATGTCATCCAAATGCCGGAAAAGCATCATGCCCACGTCCATCCAAACTCCTCCATACAGATATAGAAGTGGCAAACGCACCATATCCCCCGAATGTGGCCCGACGTTCGGACCTGTCATCATGCCGGCATTGAAAGCTTCTGGCAGGTGCTCGGCTGCAATAAAGTTCGATACGTGCACAGGTGAACCAGGTACTTTGTTCAAAACGCGTACTGTCCAGGAGGGTCCCAGACGGCGAACCCAGTTGATGACATTGCGCTGTGTCCATGGGTGCATTGTATCAAACCCAGTGTTCCAGAAAGCCCATACATTCTTATCCGACGATGTGACTTCTTTGTATGATTTTAGCTGAGCGGCGATTTCATCGTCTGATCGCAGGTCAAGTTTTGACTCTGAAAGATATACCAGGCCGGGGCCTGGCAAAGAGTCTGGCGTGGGTTCATTCGGCATTGTTTATTATAACACACGAATAACGTGTATCCTTTCAAACGATTATGGACACTCAGATTCAGCAAATCTTGTACGACGATAAGAGATGGGGAATTACTATAAGACCGGGTCCTATATCTTATTTCTTCGGAGTCACACCAGATATACCTAAGAGGGTGGACTTTGGCATTTGAGATCCTACCAACCAATGTCACCCAAAAGGACCAAAATTCATCGATATGTCCACATCTTGTTAGTCAACAAACATCTAGGCTGAATGAAAGTCTATTTCAATTTTTTTTTTTTTGCCACTTTTGCCACTTTTGTAGTAGATCAACCAACGCCGATTACAAGCTATTATCAGCGATGTACTCAAATCGAAGTCTTTCTGTGACTACTGCACATGCACTAAATTGTAGCTCTTGTTGCCACATCAAGTGTGACAAGAAGCAGCTTCACTTTGGTTAGAATGTAACGTCGGCATCTATCAGTCACGGTCAACCCGCTGTTCTTGGCAGTGTTTTAAAATCGATAAAGCACTTATCCATGTGAATCTGCTCATCCCTAGCAATGTAAGTCTAGTAAGCCCTAGGTAGCCCTAGTTGGGTCAAGCCCTTTACTAGTTCATACGGGATGCGCACTTTCAATCGACTAACAGTAAGCACTACTCCATAGCTTTCACTAATTCATACATATGTGTATAGTTAACTATTCAGTAAACTGGCAGATCTAGTAAGCGCCGTGGCAGTGTGAAGCTATCCCCGGGTTCCGCTCCATGGCCTCAGGAAGGAACTCTAATCAGGAGTACTAAAGCTGGGAATAACTTCACATCGGAGCCCTAAGAGATAAGGCCTTCCCAGAGCCTCATGTAGCTAGTCCAGTCCCCCATGCTGTTGACACGCATCTCTAGGGTGGTGAGACTTCCTTATCTGTTTGGCACCGTCACATTTACTAGTCCATATGAATGCAGACATTCAATAAACTAACAATAAGCACTAGTTGAGCCTCCTGAATCCTCAAGGGCCTTGGCCTTACTAGTCGGTACGAATGCACATATTCGGTAAACATACAACACCGTAATGATTTCTGACGCGAAGCATTCGTTCTCGATGCAACTCCGCCAGAGCTACCGAGATAGATATCCCCGCAAACTCCACTTGATTTACTATCGTTATCTGTAAGCATAAGTTGTATCCCCACGTTACTCCTCAGTTTGTCAATCCTGAAGAATTGTGCCATATGATAAGAGTTCTAGTGCTTGGAAATTGTTCCGTAATCCCCGAAGCTTATCGTGAAAAGTTATCTACTTTTTGCTTTTGAAGAAACAAGAGGACAACTAAACCTTTATACTCACATCTGCTGATCTAAACCATTAGTGTTATATGGTGATACAATGAATGTTTGACGCAAGTTCAATTCGCTTCCTACAACGGAATTGACAGGAGAATCTTACCACCATGGACCTCGAAAGCCCTCTGGTGTCCACCTTTGGTGCCATTGCAATAACCACAACATTACTTGCAGGAGTAGCAATCTGGTCTCTTTTCTTTTCAGGTCCAAAGACATTCGACTATCCCATCTATGGCGCCGAAGACGAAAAGCCCAGTACCCTGATGCGCAAATTTCAACATCAGGCGGACATTATTCTAGCTGATGCTTATAAAAAGGTAATGGCTCTTAGTGAAATTGTGTGAACCGGGTGTTACTTTTTTTTTCCTTTCGAGCACAGGGCTTTCGACTAACTTGGATTGAACGACAGTTTCGGGGCGGTATTTTCCAGCTGTATACACCGGATGGAGTTCGGCTCTTCCTGCCTAGAAAATATGCACAGGAACTCAAGGGATATGATCGGGAGGAATTGAGTGGCATGAAGGCATTGGCTGATGTGAGTATGGAGCAAATGTTTGCTAGACAGGTGCTGATGAACGTCAGCGCCATTTAGGTCAATATACTACCATCGACCATGAAAGTCCATACATGTTGAATGCCATCAAACTTGACCTAAACCAGAAATTAGGTATGTATCCCCAAACGATATTCCGACGAGGTTACTAAAGACGCTTGATGACTAGGACAATTTGTTACCGATGTACAAAATGAGGTTGCTCACGTTGTTGATGCTACATTCCCTGCTTGCGAAGGTAACATCTCCTTTTATCTGTTCATGAACCACAATCTTATAATCCATGCTTTGTTAGACTGGACACCTGTCAATTTGAACGATTTGCTCCTTCGAATTATCTCGCAAGCCTCAGCTAGGATATTCGTCGGCCCATCCCTCAATCGCAATAAAGAATGGTTAGATATGAGCGAGAAATTCGCGACAGATGTGATGATCGGAGGTGAAAAGCTGAAAGGCTGGCGCCCCATTCTTCGTCCCATTGCCCAATACCTTATTCCGGAAGTTCGGCGAATTCAAGCGGACCATGAAGAAGCATATCAAATGCTGCGTCCTGTTCTGGAGGCGAGAGACAAGGAGCAGGCTGAAATAGGAGACGCGTACATGAAACCAAATGACATGCTAGAGTGGATCAGAACTAGAGCCACCAAAAATAACGACAAATCAGTTGACTATCGCGAGCAGGCCAAAATTCAACTGCTGACCGCAACTGCAGCTATACACACGACCCGGCTCGCTACACTTCATGTCCTATTCGATTTGGCAGCTAGGCCGGAGTATATCGAGCCTCTTCGAGAGGAGCTTCAAGAGGTTCTGGCCGAGACCAATGGTGTCTTGACAAAACAAACTCTTACGCACCTGAAGAAGCTCGATAGTTTTATGAAAGAGTCTCAAAGACACAATCCCCCATCACTCGGTATGTGATTCCAAGTATGTTAGCGTATGTACTTACAGTACCAGCTAACAGCTATGCGCCCCAGCAACGTTCCAACGTAAAGTTCTAACCCCCGTCAAGCTCTCCAACGGTCTTGAACTGCCTGTGGGCGTTATTGTACAATGTAACACAGGCGTCCTTGATGAAGTGCCCGAGAGCTGGGGTGACCCTCACGCATTTGATGGATTGCGCTTCTACAAGTTGAGGAGTAAGCCAGAGGATGCTCACAAATACCAATTTGCTAGCATTTCTCTTGAGTCCATGGAATTTGGACTCGGCAAGGATGCCTGTCCCGGACGCTTCTTTGCCACGAATCAAATTAAGATCATTCTCGCGCACTTGATCTTCCACTATGATTTGGCTCTTGAGAAGCCCGAGGCCGGACGACCGAAGAATTTCATGTTTGAAGTCAATGTTTTGGCGGATCCTACAGCTAAATTGCTTTTGAAACGAAGGAGCTAGCATGCTAGACAGTCTAGAATTAGGTAGAGCAAGAACAAATCCAAAATCAAATCATCTAGAAACCCGTGAAGGATGGATCTTGAATTAGATGATGATTAAGTTATCGGTCAACTGGATATGAGGCGCAACTGATTATGCCTCATCTACCATTGCCTATCGTATATATTGATATCCGGTTATCAAAGTGTGCAGGGTTACATGCCCAAATATGCATAGACTAGATTTGACAGGGGTGCATAAGGAAAGATTGAGCTCCACCCCCGGTGCGTATTTGCATGTACGTGCGTATTCCCTTCAGCAACGGCATCTCAGCAGCGTATTCGTAATATTTTGTGCATCTAATGTTGAAGGCTTCGCAATTTGGATACGAGAGTAATCGTGACAAAAAACAAGAATCAGAAAAGGAGTCATTTCTCCGCATTCCTTTATTAGTAAATGCTGACAATTCCAAAACATGTTGGACCTAATTCTGCACGTAAGACTCCTTTAGGTTCTATTGCTAATTAAGTCCAAGTCAACTGTTATGAGTAGATAACCAACAACAATCTTTAATTCTTACTGTACCTTCAAATGAACTAGACTTAGGTTCTGCAGGTAAGACTCCTTTTGGGGTCCGTTGTTGACTAGTCGAGTCTGAGCCAATCTCCCAAGACCGAGTGACCCGGACTTGTATACACTATACGCACTTCTTGACGTACAGTTGATCCAAGAAGAACAATTGCTGCAGCATGCATAAGCCTAATTGATGAAGTCAACTTTAATCTTCTACTCGGAATGCTACCCAAGCTCCCAGAAGTCCATGTATATACCTCTTGAAATGCAACGATGGAACACGAACACTATCTGGTTGACTGTCACTTTCTCCTACTTGTCTCGTCTTAGTCCCCACCAGATGAGTAGTATGTAGATTGATCATCCCATCTTAACTCCTCGTCCAGTCGGATTCCTGTGCGGATTTGCCCCCAAACTCAGGTGCCGGTTACATCTGGAGTGGACCATGTATTGTCATTACTAGTCCCTGTTCTGTCCTTGCGTATTATTCATCTTATACGATATACGCATATGAGGATTTGAGTACTACCAGTGATCATGTGCATGGTTGCATTACGAGATAAACAAGCTGATTGAACATGATACGCCATATTGCAACAGCGGATAAGCCAGATTAACTACGAGGATCGCGTAAAAATGCCCAGCTGATAACGGAGTGCCTTGTCGTAGAAAAACGATAAGAAAGCTGGCTGCACGATACGATACAGGAATAGGATAAAATATCAAACTACCCTCCTAATAATCCATCAACTTCTTTTTTTTTGGTTTACAACGTACCAAAAGTACTAGACGAACATGGCTCCCGATATTGATAGAGTCGCAGAAGTGCCATCAGTGCAGCCTTCAAAGCTTGCTTCATCCTCTACAGCCCAGTCAAGCTATAAGGTAGAGCCAATCTCCGAGTTAGAGAAGAAGCAATTATTCTCCCGTATCGAGGGAAAGAAACTACTCGTCCCAGATTTGATATCACTACTTCCAGGATGGAGATACGGCTTACATCCAGATGTTGATCCGGTGAACGAAGAGATCGATGAATGGCTGAAGACGTGAATTGCTCCCCTCTTGGAACGTCCGTATCTTCAATAATAATGTTCAGGTCTGATTCAAATCAATGTACAATGTAGGGTCAAGGTTGAAGAAGTAAAGAAGATCAAACACCGAGCTCGAGGCAACTACACCTGGCTTACTGCAACATATTACTCGGATGCACCCAAGGAAAAATTGCTCCTTTTGTCACAATTTCTCTATTGGGTGTGTATCCCAACAAGAAAATCCTAGTAAAAGATACATGAATAACACTTTGCAGATCTTCTTCTGGGATGACGGTATGCCTAAGTCCATCAACTATTCAAAACTTGCTCGCCGTCAGAAAGCTCAATATAGCCATGCCATAGTTACGTTCTAACAAATAACTTCCATAACAGAGATTGACACCGGCGGTGAGCTCACCCAAGACCGCCAGGGGACAATCAAATGCTGCGAAGAGACGAATCAATGTGTCGAGGACTGCCTCGGCCCTAATCCCAACTTCACCCCTCCCCCAGGGTCTCGTCCTACGGTAGAAATGTTTTATCCTATTCTGGCAGAGTTCAGGCAGTCAATGGGTGCTGGTAAGTTCTCTTCACTCATTTGTCGTTCCAAACGGTATTGATGAATAATTTATATAGTTTCCGTTGAACGGCTACGAAAGGAGCTTCACGACTATATCAATGGCGTGTCGCGGGAGCAGTTTGTCCGACAAAGAGAGATCCTACCAACACCAGCAGAGCTATTCAAAATGCGATGTGATGACGTGGGTGTCATTCCCAGTATAACTCAGAACGAGTATGTGGAGCCCCAATTTCGTGCAGCACGTACGAAGTCGCAGCCTTGAGTAACAACCTTTTCCAGATATGCAATGGACTTTGAGCTTCCTCAATGGATACACGAACACGAGGCTATGCAAGAAGTGATTAAAGAAGTCACCCGTTTGACTATTTTGTCAGTGAACTTGGGAAGCTCAATTCTTTCTGGCATCAAGCTAATTTAGTGATATGGCAGGATTAACGATATTCTTTCCTTACAAAAGGAATTCGTAAGTATTGATCCGCAATTACAACAACGAAAGGGCCGAAGATCCTAACCCCTTATTCTTGTTGAACAGCGTGTCGGACAAGTTGAGAACATGGTTATTCTCTACATGTACCACGAAGGCCTTACCCTTGAGGAAGCCCTCGAAGTAATGCTGGAATTGATCCGCAAGCACTACGATCTTTGTACGGCTGCAGAGCAACGTGTGCCCAAGACAGGAGACGCAAAGCTCGATGCGGACGTGCAAACCTATATTGTCGGTTGCCGTGATTTGGCGATTGGCACAGCTTATTGGAGGTAAGTTGTTCTAGTCTCGTTCTTGAGCAGCATCAGTGCGGTTTTAACGGAGATGATATGATAGTTACAATTGCGAAAGATACTTCAAATTCCACCAGGTCAACGCGAACAGAGAAGTGTTGCTTGACATGTCTTATGTCTAAGTGCATGTTATTGAACTATACACAATGCATAGAGCAGATTAAATTCATTTTCCTCGCAAATTCTTTAATCTTTTTCTATTCATCACTTTCAATAATAATACTCTATGCTGCTGGTAATTTTGTTTTCCGGACTACGCTCTGGAATATCTTTGGCGGTGGCAACATCCACACTTTGAGCCGCAGTACCTGTCGCCAGCCCATTAACTTGACTGCTATGAGCGTCACTCACTGCAGATGGTGAATGGCTAGCATCAAAGGATTTGTTTTCCGGGGACATTCGTTGCGAATACACTCAACAGGTTGGGCCCAGAGGTTTCCATCGTGGAAACAAGCTAAACCTTAACCTCCGAAGGTTCGTTTACTAGCAAGGGAGATCTTCCGCTTAGCTTGCCGATGACCTACCCACCTTTTGATCAGTGCTGTCTTGTTCTTGTTCTTGGGACGGTGAGCCTTGATAGAGCGGTCAACCCTTTTTTATATGCTTTTGTAGCATGGCTCAGAAATGCGTTTTAAGGCGAGGACCTTTACATGCTTTCAAGCCGACGTAGCATCGAGAGCAATGGTTCTCCTTGGCAACGGTGGTCAGACCCAGGACTAAGAGATGCTAGGCTATTAGGCTGCTCCTTCGGCTGATCCTGACGGCGCGCGTAATCATTAGTGTAGAAGAAGATGCAGCGCGCGGATGTGATTGGCTGATCTAGAGCCGCCCGGGCTAAACCCAATCGAAACAAGCCCATCGCTCTAGCCTCTTTGGGGGTGCTCCAAGGCTGAGCTGGCAGACTTACGAAGGTCAATTTTAATCTTCTCGTGTGCTTTGCATAAGCTGGCTGTGCACGGTACGGATGCTGTCCGGTGTCTGCTCAGCTATGCTTGGATGTTTTTGTCTGGATAACTCATAAGGGGTTTTCTTTCTCACGGGCTGGTTTACATCGATGGTTGTCGAAGAAGATGCACTGATCGCCTCTACCACGATTGCCTCAGCATGAACAGACACTCCACGGTCACGCACATCACTCCGCTCCCATCGTCACACGTCTCGCGCGAATCTGTCCTTGCGCTTCTCCACGATCACTCAGCCATAATCACATTGAACCCTTTAGTTACGCACCACGCCCGTTGCGCACCCCCGTCGCACGCCTTGCCCGACGAACTCGACTCGGCCTGGTACGAGATAACCGACAGAATCGAGTATGTGCCCGGCACCGGACTAACCGTTGACGTAACCTATACCGCCTGCATGCACGACATCCCCAATGGCCTCCAAACACACGTCCACGCTCCAGCCGGTCTGGAGATGCGCGGCAAATGGCAGCTACTGGGCTGGCTGCCGGGCGAGGAACGCTCCGCCTTCGAAATCGGCGCCGAACAGCACCAAATTCCGAAAGAAGGGCTCTACTTGCGCGAAGACTGCGAGATGAAGTGCAATGTCCTTCTGACCCCGTTTGTGAAGAGAAACATCCAGAAATCGCATAAGCTGCTGGTCGAGAAACTCGTGGAACGGGCAGGCCACTTGACGCTGCGCCAATCTCTGCATATCGTCAGCTCGCAAAGCAATCTGAGACAGTTGTCCACGGGCAGTTCCAGTGAATCAGCGTCGAAATGGAGTCATCATCAAGAACATGTGGACTGTCTCGAAACACCGGACAACGCCTCACAAAAATTCAATGAGCAGCGACAACGAGCCGCGCTCCAGTGGCAGGCCAATAGCTACTCGGTGTCTGTGACGGGGGGCAAACAGCGGGAGCGAGCAGCAGCGTCGCAACCGTCGCTTATTGACCATAATTCTGCCTCGTTAACGAGGAGAGGTCGTTCCCAGTCTCCTGCTTATTCTCTCGTCAAGACGTCGCTAGGGTCGTCGAAACGGTGTCCCTCTGAAGGCGCTTCTCGGCGTCGTAACGAGTCGCCTGCCTCGTTTCCGTCGAGTGCTTCTTCGCGAGGTGCATCGCGGGCTCGATCGTCGTCGTGGAGGAAGAGGATGGGAAGGGATACTACGCCGGATATTGGCGAGATGGCGAGCTAGTTTATCTCCCTTCCCACCAACATTTATTAAGCTTTCCATATTTCTTTCTTGAATCTGTACCACTATGTAATTCTTTTTTACCTTTTGTTTATTGTTCTTCTGGAGTTTGGGGTTGCACATACATCTAACGCATGGGTGGTGGTGGATAGCGGTCACATTATACAACAAGAATAAGAATAATCGTAGATCCTATTTTCCCATTATTGGTGCATGTGAACACGATCTCACGATCTCCATAAATTTTACTTCTAATTAATCTAATTGCTTATCTATATTAATTGCAGCCAATATAACCGACCCCTACTAGTCATCCAGGGTCGCGCTATAAGCACGACCCCTTACCCATCCACACTATTGATCAGACACGGTAGACGCGCTTTAGCTGCCGAAGATAGGATTTTAAGAAAGCGCCTTCAAGCCAGTCTACCAATTCCACTACTTGTTTCTTGTATTGGCTTTCCCAACAAAGGTTAGATAATCAGAGAGGTTGTGCTTAACTAGTACCAGAAATATATTAATTAAATCCGCACATCACTACTTCGTCCAATCACAAGCCCTCTACTAGCTAAAAAAGCACACCATGCCCTTTTCCGCCTAGCCACAAAATAGACATAAAAGCCTCAGGCCACAAACAACAAACTATCCTCTCTATACTCAACAAATGTATTCATTTTTGCCCGCACATGGTCGCCGTAGATAATGCCCTTATTGACATTGCTTTCATCCGCATCAACGGATTGCACAAGACAGTTCTCGCCGGGCTCAAAGAAGAAAGGTACGCTAAAGCGGCCAAACTTTAACGCCTCTTCTTCTTTGTCTTCCTGTTGCTGTTGCTGTTGTTTGCGAGACGTCCTTGAAGGCGGAGCGCGGACACGATGCATTGTAGCCACAAATCGTCCTCCGGATACTTGCGCCATGAGATCGCCGATGTTCACGACCAGAGATTCGGGGACGTAGGGAGCCGGGACCCATTTGCCGGATGAGTCTTGGACTTCGAGACCGCCGGTCGAATCTTGGTGGAGGAGGGTTAGCATGCCACTGTCTGTGTGGGGGGTGCAGCTGAGTTTGACGGGATCAGAGAGAACGGGAGGCGGTGTTGAGGTGTCATCCGTAGATGGAGGGTAATGGAGTAGCCGTAGTGTGCTGAGCGAGTCGGTCAAGTATGCACTGAAGAAGTCAGCTGGCTTGTCCAGAGACAAGGCCACTAGTGATAGAATATCGGACGATAAGCTTTGTAGTTCCGAGTACAACTGTTCCAGGCGACTTCGAGATGGGTATGTGTTTTGGCTGGGCCAGACGTTTGCTTCGGTCAAGTCGAAACTTGAACTCTTGCTCGACTTGGAATCTTTCGGCATGGCTACCACTGGGCCTATCTCGAAGCCTTCTTTCAGATTGTCTGAAGCCAGGTTTGGCTGAAGAGGGAAGTATCTTCAGTGAATAGAATACTAATTAGTTTTAGACAACGAGAAGATACGTCAGCTTGTCAAAGACTTGCCCCCTGTAGGTATTCTTATTGTCCGGCTGAAAAGAGGCTTTGGCTAACTTCATCTTCTCCTGAAGAGGGAGGTTGAAAAACTCCAATGCCAGACCAAAGACATCAGCATGCTTTAAGCTCAACGGCGTATTGACCAGGTATGCGAACCCTGTCGTAGCAAAGACATTGTAAAGCTGTTTGCTCAGACCTACGCGATCAGACTCCGATAATCCCGATGGATTACAGAGGGGCGCAAGATCGACTATGGGCAGAGATGCGAATGTGGTTGACATGATAATAGTTTATACCTAAAAAGTCTTTGATTGTTCCCAGCTTCGCGGGTGGAAAGACCGGAAAGGGTCCTTATATACTCGTCCATTTCGTCTTCATGACTCAAGGCATGGGACACGAGCATACCTCCTCCATAAGCCAAGCCATGTCCTCAGTGGAAAGCTCGGTACCAGATACCCACGCAAACAGGCTCGAGCTTGCTGGTACGGCCCTTTCATGCACCTCTGGTCCAGAAATCACTTCCACATCAAGTAATTTCATCCTGAAGTCCGATCACGTGAGCGGACTTGACGATAGCAGTCAGGGTTAACAGCCAAGGCAGCCAGTGAGAGGAATGACGAGTGCACTGATCAGACTTGGCCATTGGGGATTCCGTGGTAGCAGCTCCGGTCTTGACCCTTGTGTCACCCCGCAAAAGGCATCCATGGCTATTTGCATATAGATAAGCCAATCAGTCTTCGGCGCAGCATTTATCGGAATGAACACACAGCGCGGAGGAGAATGAAGAATTGGGTCCGTAGCGTGTTCGTACGATCGGACTTAAGACTGATGGTCCGGCCTCGAATGGCTCACACGTGATCAGGCAGGCTGCCACATTCCCCCGGATAAAAAGCACAGCCAGCCAGCCAGCCAGCCTCTCGTCGTCTACCCACGGCAAATGCGAGTCTTCATTAGACGGCTCTTCTCCTCGCCCTGGCGGCGGGTTAACGGCGCTGCTCCGCGCTCATCTTCCTCGACGCTTAGCCCGCGCAGCATGTCGTCTTCCACCTCGGCCATTCTCTACGCGCTCACCGTCTCGGCCTCCCCGACCACGCCCGCCATCCCCGACGACGCGACCAGCAAGCCGCATCATGGCAAAGACCGATTCCACAACCCTTGGGAGTACGCACGCCAGTTGATATGATAGATGTTTACTGACACAATGTACCACGGGCAGCTCGTGGGTTGAATTCGGCCGCTTGGACGTTCCCAAGGCCATGATTAGGTGGGTCCCCAGCCAAACCCTGAAGATCAACAACTCAATGCTTAGATAATATGCAGCCGAGTCCTGTCCGGAGAAGCCAACAAGCCTGATACAACACCGCCCACCGTGCCTGTGCAAACACCGACCTTCCTCCCCTCCCGCGACACGCCCAAGCTGCGAGCCACCTGGCTCGGCCATGCCTGCTACTACGTCGAGTTCCCCGGCGGCCTCCGCGTGCTGTTTGACCCTGTCTTTGAGGACCGCTGCTCGCCCTTCTCATGGCTCGGTCCCAAGCGATACACGAAAGCGCCCTGCGAGGTCACCGAAATTCCAACCATCGACGTGGTCGTCATATCGCACAACCATTACGACCACCTCTCGCTGCCCACCGTCAAGGCAATTGCGAAGAAACACTCCAATTGCCATTTTTTCGTGCCCCTGGGCAATGCCTCGTGGTTCCGTAAGGCCGGAATATCCAAGGTGACCGAACTCGACTGGTGGGATCAGCGCGATGTGACTCTCTCGCCGACAACCAAACAACCGCAGACAGTCACCGAACCCGATGCGCCGGCTACAAAGAGCGCAGATATTGTGGGCCGCATCAGCTGTCTGCCATGCCAGCATATAGCTGCCCGGAGCCCGTTCGATCTTGCCAAGACTCTGTGGGCGTCCTGGGCGATAGAGTCCGGCGGCCAAAAGGTCTTTTTTGGAGGGTACGTTGATATGCTTTGCTGTTGATTCGAAGCTGACTCTCTCTCTTCATAGCGACACCGGCTACAGAGCAGTGCCGAACTTGAAAGGTGTAGTAGATGACCACGCCCCCGAGTACGATTTCCCAACCTGTCCCGCGTTCAAACAAATAGGCGAACTGAGGGGCCCTTTCGACCTCGGGCTCATCCCAATTGGCGCATACTCCCCTCGATGGGTGATGAGTTGTATGCATGCCGACCCCCACGATGCCGTCAACATCTTCCAAGACACGCAATGCAAGAAAGCCATGGGCATACATTGGGGGACGTGGGTTCTGACCGAAGAAGACGTGATGGAGCCGCCGAAGAAGCTGAAGGAGGCTTTGAGGCGATTTGATATTCCCGAAACGGGTGTGTTTGACGTATGCGATATAGGAGAAAGTCGAGAATTCTAGTTTCGACGGAGAAAGAGGGAGTTATTGTATATTGCGAGGCGTACATATAACGCGACTCATGTTTTGGATATCTTGAACGTGTTGATCTAGATCTACTCGCCAGACTATATTCTGCAATTGTACTTATAGACTTATAGTGTTAGTTCCTTACTTCACGAAGCGACTTTTGTCATTGTCTGCGCTTGATTGTTATATTTCAATGAACACTATCAAAGTCTGGGCCGGACTTAGAGCGGAGTTACTGGCACTAGCGCAGTTGCCTAGTGCCGCCTACCCCAAGGCTCAACTTGAGCTTATTGCCATGCATGACATCGATGGGGCCGTAGTTAGATGGCTTCACTGCCTGACATTTCACACGCAGTCTATATTCATTCATTGACGCGATGAATGAATCGGAACAGCGGTATGTGACTGTGCCCGGAGCCCTCTGAGATAGAGGAGGACTAGTCACACTAACCACCCAACCCCCAGAACCGTCTCCGCGCGGCACAAGAAAGCATGCACCGAATGCAGACAGCAGAAGGTTAGTCTTTCCCCCCCCCCCAAACTACATGGCCTCGGACTAACGTGGAGCATAAACTATGATAAAGGCTAAATGCGATGCGTATATGAACCCAGATGCGCCGTGCTCGCGCTGTCGAAAAGTCGGGGCAACCTGCGTCATTTCAGATCCCTTCAAACGCGAACACAAGCGGAAGTGAGTCTGGCCCAGCAATGACCCGTTGCGCGAACAAATTGGTTTCTCTAAAACGATAAATAGACGACTGTCCCAACTTGAGCGCGAAGCTGAAGATCTACGCAAGAGACTACATGGCAATCATCATGGCGCAATGATCTCGCCTGTTGGCGCCTTGAACGTGACGACAGAGACGAGCAGGACTCCACAGAGTTTAGGGTCCTTGACACCAGATACTTCTCCCTCGCAGTCTATAGATCCTCCATTTTCAACACAACCGATTTCAATAAACGCCCGTCCCACACCGGTTGTGTTACCGGCACCATCCGGGGTTAGAAACGATGGACCAACTCAGGCAAGGACATTAAAAGGAACGCAGGTAGAAGCATGTGAAATAAATGATATTTTCCAACTGTTAGTACTCATTAGTCGTCCAGGAAAAGCTTGCTTTCGAATGCTGATCTGAAAATATAGCTTCTTTCAGGATTACGCGCCGTTCTTGCCGATTCTGGACCCTGCGATGAGCCCCAATGGGTACTATGAGCAGTCGCCTCTCTTATTCTGGACAGTTATCCTCGTCGCAAGTCGAAGTTATAACAAAAACCCCACGCTGTTTCCCACCCTGGCCGACCCTGTTTTTGAGATGATGCTCCTATCAATGAAGTCCAACTCGACGCCCGTGTTGAAGATCCAGTCATTTTTGCTTTTTTTGACTTGGCCATTACCCATACTCGAAGTACCTTTTCCTCTTTGTGGCTGGCTATTAAACCTGGCCATGCAGAATGGACTTCATATGCCTATGGCCAGCCACGAATTCGGGCGCAATGCGAGATCATCGGCACTAGAGCCCTCGCGTGCTAATAAAAGCGTATTGACCATGGACATGCAACGCCGATCCGAGCTCTGGGCGTATTGTATTGTTGTGTATCAACGGTAAGGAATCGTTGTCTTGACGCATATATACAAACTAACGTTGATAATAGTGCATGCTTGCAAAAAGGCCAGCCACCTCGAGCAATGCTAGGTCTTGTCCCCGAGTCTGGACAGCATTTATGCTACCAAGTCCCGCCGATATTGGCTCTTCAGTTACGATGTTTGGATATCGTGTCCAAATGCTCGACATCAATATTTGCTGCCGGGGTGCGAAATACATCGTTTGAACATGAGCGGTCAATGAGCATTCTCATACGAGCTCACGAGAGCCAACTCAATGACATGGTATCGCAACTTCCCCCGAGTGAGTAGTTTTGTTTTTATATATGTAATTTTTGTTGTTGTTGTTGTGCTAAATCCTTCGCAGATCATAACACCCTTTACCCGACTATTGCGCGTTTGCAAATTCAAGTGTTCTATCTCTACAAAGATCTAACTGGGTCGTTCAACGACTGCTTTCTACGACTAGCAAACACAGCATGCAGCGTAATCGAGCACATGAAGGTTTTATTCAACCAGCCAGAGGCATACGTAGCTAGTCCGGTTTTCGCGACAAACGGTATGATCCTGGCATGCGCCTGTTTACTTCGACTATTAAAGAGTTCAATGGCATCCAAGATAGACGCCGAGAGGGCAAAGCATTACCTGTTCACGGGAATCACGACAATGAAAAACGCGATTCTCGACCAAAACGACCTGGCGGCAAAGTGTTCTCGCGCCATGAACCAGGTGTGGAACAGCTCCAAGGCCTTTCGCAAAAGCGATGGCAGCGAGTATTCTACACTGCGCATCCGCAGTCGTCTTGTCATGTCGCCAGTCATTGATCTGGCGTGGTGGTGGCGCGAGGAGTTTGAGCCCGAGGAGGTCGCGCAGAGGCTCGAGGCGGAAAAGGAAGGTAAGAAAGATGATCCAATCATTTTTCCATTAATATAACCGGCAAAATGCTCACACATTTACACTTTTTCGCTGCAGCCAATAAGCGGGACGACGGCGGCGATGTATCCATGCTTGGCCCGTCCGATGTGGAGGAATTCCAGTTCTTGAACGACGAGTTCCTCACCGACTTTGAATGGGCATTGACCAGCGACATCCTGCTTCCCACCGGCGGCTTTGTGGATATGGGATGGCCGGGTTCGAGCAGCGCAGAGCTTAGCTTGCCCTTAGTGTAATCGCCACACTTTGTCGGCTGGTCGGCTTCACATGATAATCAATGCGCATATTCAATGGTGTACGGAGTAGGTTTGTGCCGGGCTTCTAGAAGGCTGGCAGACTTTTCTAACAATGCTTCAGTTATAAGGATCCACCGCGGTGTGCATGCATGACTCGTTGTGCACGCAACATCTTGGTGCGATTCCGCGAAGGCGTAGGCGCTAGCTACGATCACGAGCAATTTGGACCTATGGTAACAACGCCCCCCTACGCCCAAAAGTCGTTATCGCGATGCTTGTCCTTGATTCATGATAACCCGCTGACACTCCGTACGGCCACCCCTACCAAAAACCGAGAATAACCGCCGATACGAAATGCATGGTCTTGTGCCTCTGTGGCGGCGTCGGGGCTATCAATCGACGCTCTTGCGAACGGACCTCTCTCTGGTTTTATTCTTAAATCATGCAATTTTTATGCATTTTGAGGCGGAAGATGCCCACGAATTGCCTGATCGGGCTAGCAGAACAGATACACATAGTCATACCCTATGATTCCCTATCCATGCCAAAGTGACAGAGGCGTTTTCCGATCTTAATAAAGAGAGTGGCATGTCTTGGTTAGATTAAGAGATTGTCTATTCCATAGATAATGTAAATGCTAATAAATTGTCCTGTCATTTTTTAGTTCGACTTCGCAAATTGCAGCTAAATCGAGATAGCAGCCCGAACCGAACCTAACATAAAAAGTTATTTATCCACCAATTAATAGTATTGCGACCTCTACCACAAAGGACGTGCAACCCTCTCTGTTCGCAATGATCTAAGGAGATGTAGGGGGCTAGTGGCACAAAGAAAATGGATATATTCCCTGGACGTTGCAATGAATGCGAATGTACTCCGTATGCAATGCAGCCTGTCTCACCTTTTGGGGCTTGAGATCGAAAGCAAATTCATTATTTTTTAATTATTTTTTTATTTTTAGCGTGCAATTACCCAGAGCAGACTAGTCCGCCTGGGGACTGCGACCCTAAGTGGAGCTAAGCTCTGCCAAGAATTAGCTCGAGCCAATCAGCGAGTGCCGTCGGCGCAAACGCACATGCAAGCTTCGCCAAGCAGCCAATGGCGTGCGCGCCGCTTATCTTGCGAGCTTCCCTGGCCCGGCGCTAGTGGTGCGTTGGCATCGGCTTTCTCTAATATCAAGTGCATAAGGGACCGGGAGTGTGCGTACTGGGCCGCGTCAGTTAGTGCAGAAAACTATGAATGAACGCGTTGCATAGCATGGCATTGCCGTACAATTGCATTGTGCCGTTCGTTGTTAGACTGTGAGGCGAATGTATGCAAGCTTGATGCTAATAGTATATACTCATACTCGTGCTATGTATGTATGTACTACGGAGAACGCCGTGCAGCTGAAGTACTAGAGCTAGGGCACGGTTAGTGTGCGACGCTACTACCCCAGGTCCCCTCTGCGCGTCGCTCGGGAGTCGGTTGGACGCCGGGCGCCACTTTTTTTGTGCCTTTTTAACCCTAACATTGCAGGGTTGCGCCACTGAACTTGGGTTACATCTTGCCACCTTCCTGATGGAGCCGGCCAGTATCTCTGCTGCTGCACAGTGAATGACTGGAATCTTATGTATCAGGCTACTTGTCCGAGTCGCCAATTAGGAAGGAGGCCACGTCGCGCGCTTGATTCGTCGACGATGGTCCATGCCAAGCACGCGCCTGCCATTGGCCAATCACGTGGCGGCTGACTGCCAAAGGATAATATATTAGCCTCAATATTCATGGGCACAATCATTAATTGCTGATTATTCGGTGCTGTGATGATGATGATGATGATAATATGATAATATGATAATATGATAATAATAATAATAATAATAATAATAATAATAATAATAATAATAATCATAATAATAATCAGAATAATAATCAGAATAATAATCCTATAGATTACAGAGACTACTATCAGTGGGGAGGAAAACCAGGGCTAGCTTATCTCGTATGTAAAGCCAGCCGGAGCATTATAACTCGATCGCAAGATGGGCAACTACCACGTTGGCTTGGGGTGGGACCTGCCGTCGTGCTCCCTTCCTTCGTTCCTTCCTTGCATGTGCATATAAACAGATCTCTCGCCTCTCCTCTTCCTTCTCTCTTCATCCCACCGTTTTACTCCCTCTCCCCCCCCCCCCCCCCCCCCCCCCCAATCTCGGTCAAGTTCAGTCTGCTTCACTCCAAGCATGGCGGACCAGACCCTCGACGAGAAGGTCGCTGAGCCCACCGTGGCCGTCACCACTGGCGCCACCGTGGGTGACGCTGAGGAGGCTTTGGCGCACGTCAAGAACCTCAAGAAGCAGCACATGTGGGACCCCAACCTGCCAACCGACATCTACGACGAGATCGACGAGGCCCTGCAGGGGGACGTGAACACCACCAACGTCGCGGCCGAGTTGATGGAGAACTCGCCCTACCCAGAGGTCCGCGCTGCCATCCCCAACTACGACGAGGGTGGCCACAGCAACACCATCCGCGCCTGGGTCATTGGCTTGGTCTTGTCCACCATTGGCTCTGGCCTGAACATGCTCTTCTCCATGCGTGACCCTTACATCGTCATCCCCAGTTACGTCGCCCAGGTCGTCGCCTACCCGATTGGCAAGGCCTGGGAGAAGGTCATGCCCGACCGCGAGTACAGTATCTTTGGCCTCAAGTTCAACTTGAACCCGGGCCCCTTCAGCAAGAAGGAGCATGCCATTACCGTCATCATGGCCAACGCCACCTTTGGTGGTGGTGCCGCCTATTCCACCGATGTGCTCCTCGCCCAGCGCGCTTTCTACGGCCAGAACTTTGGCTGGGGCTTTGAACTCCTCATGACCATCTCCACGCAGATGTTGGGATTCGGCATTGCTGGTTTCTTCACCACGTTCCTCGTCACCCCCGCTGCCATGATTTGGCCCGCAAACTTGATCAACGGCAGTTTGTTCAACGCTTTGCACGACCACCGCCGTCCCGACCCCGCCAAGACTAACGGCTGGTCCATCGGCAAGTACCGCTTGTTCCTTTACACGATGATCGGGTCCTTCGTCTGGTACTGGTTCCCAGGCTATATTGCTCCTTTCCTCAGTGTCTTTGCCTGGATTACCTGGATCAAGCCCAACAGCCCCGTCGTCAACCAGTTGTTCGGTGGATGGAGTGGTCTCTCCCTGCTCCCCATGACCTTTGACTGGACCCAGATCTCGGGCTTCAACTTCTCCCCTCTAATCACCCCATGGTTCGGTATTGCCAACACCCTCATTGGATTGTTTGCCTGGTTCTGGGTCGTTACCCCTGCCATCCACTACAGCAAGCTTTACTACAACGAGTACTTGCCTATCAGTGACTCCGCCAGCTACGACAACACTGGTAATACCTACAACGTCACCCGTATCCTGAATCCTGATTACACCTTCAACCTTCAGGCCTACAAGGAATACTCACCTCTGTTCCTGTCCACCACATTCATGCTGTGCTATGGCCTGTCCTTTGCATCGATTGTTGCTGTCGTGACCCACACCATCTTGTTCCATGGCAAGGAACTGTGGGTTCGTTTCAAGAACATGGGCAAAGAGGAGGAGGACGTTCACGGCCGCCTCATGGCTCGCTTCAAGCCTGTTCCCATGTGGTGGTATGGCGCCATTACTCTGGTTATGATTGGTGTTTCTCTCGGTGTCATTCTCGGCTGGGAAACCCATCTGTCTTGGTGGGCATTCTTCGTATCTCTCATCATCTGTGTTGTCTGGTTCGTTCCTTGCGGTATCGTCCAGGCCACTACCAACATTCAAATCGGTCTGAATGTCATCACTGAGTTCCTTGTCGGTTACATACAACCAGGACGTCCCATGGCCATGATGTTGTTCAAGACCTATGGATATATTTCCATGTTCCAGGGCTTGTTCTTCTTGCAAGATCAGAAGCTTGGTCATTACATGAAGGTTCCGCCACGAGTCACCTTTGCTGCTCAGATGGTCTCTTGTCTCTGGTCGTCCATTGTGCAAATCGCTGTCATGGAGTGGGCCTTGGGTGCCATCTCTAACGTTTGCGCTGCCGACCAGGTCAACAACTTCAGCTGCCCCAACGGTCGTGTCTTCTTCAACGCGTCCATTATCTGGGGTGTCATTGGTCCACAGCGTATCTTCTCGCCCGGGCAGATGTACTCGCCTATCATGTGGTTCTGGCTTGCCGGTTTCATTCTCCCTGTCTTGATCTACTTCGGCGCTCGCGCTTTCCCCAAATCCCCCATCCGCTACCTCAACGCTCCTATCATTTTCGGTGGCACTGCCCTTATCCCGCCTGCCACTCCCCTCAACTATCTCTCCTGGGGTATCGTTGGTTTCATCTTTAACAAGTGGATCAAAGACCGCTGGCGAGGATGGTGGATGACATACAACTACGTGTTCAGTGCAGGCTTAGATGTCGGCCTGGATCTGTGCACCATCCTCCTCTTCGTTGCTCTGCAATTGTGGAACCACAATATGCCGAGCTGGTGGGGAGTGTCGGTTGCTGATAACACTATGGATGCGCAGGATACCGCTGTCCAAGTTACCGGCGTCAAGTTTGGACCTTCGAGTTGGTAAACTCGAGTTTTCTTTTTTATTTATCAGTTTCGTTATGTTCTCGATGAAAACAACTGAAATGAGAAGGTGGGGGAAGAAGAGTGGATTGTTTTATTATGTGATGGCTGGAATGAAGATAATTAATTTTGAGATCATCTGATGTTCATAAGATCAGTCTTAATGCATGATGAATATAATACTATTACGGCCAGATTTATCCTGATATAACCCTAAGAGAGGCTTTACCTGGCATCTCGGAGTACACAACTGGCATAGACTTGAGGAGGAAGGATTCTAAATCTAATCCAGCTCATCATCTTCGCCACTGGAATCCTCAAGACCATTCACCTCCATGAATCCCATTTCCTCATCGCCGCTATCGTAACAATCCTCGTCTTTAGGCAACCGGCCGCCGCCATGTTCTGCCGCCGTGAAGAAGAGACTATCTAGATTCCCGCCTTGATCTTCCCCTCTTATGTCTGAAAAGAATGGATGATCGCTGCGAAGCGCTAGGCCTTGACATAGATATCCCATCGGGGTATATGAAATATCCTGTCCCTGCCGGCGAAGAGAGAGCCACTCGCGAAGAAAGTCGACTATGGCTTTTTTGTTGGTGCTGGACGTGGGCCGAGACAACCGCTCGAGCAGGCCCTGGTATTCGGAAAATTCGAAATAGAGTCTTCCGGCTAGTATTCCAATTTCAAATGGCAGCCAGCTTGGTGGAGTCCATCTGGTAGGAAGATTGGGGAGAGAGTAGTAGTCTGCATGGTTGAAATGCAACATCCTTTTTACGACGGGCGCTGCATAGAGAATCATGTGCACCACTGCTGACATGTCGTGGGTTGCTCTGAGACTGGGAATCAGAGCCTCTGCTTCTTCTGGAATGATCACCACCGCTTGTTCCGATTGTCTGCTCCAGAGAAGCCAGTTGACAGGACGCTGTTAAGTCGTAGGCAGTAATATCAGTGAAAAAAATAGTCCAGCAGAAAAAGGAAGGGGGTCAATGATCTAATATTATCACTCACAATGAAGTTGTCGTCACCGCGTGCTTTCTGGACACGAACTGTTCTGACAAACTCTGGCGACACATACAGATGGGGGAGTAGCATGGAAGCGTTGATATTATGCTTCCTCCCCAATCTTGTCGACCTAAGCACAGTAGATGCTTTGATGCAATCTGTTTGCTCTGCCAACGCCCCGGTTTGCACGAACTCGAGGATTGACTTTGACAAACCAGGGAATCTCAATGCTTTCATCTGGCCAGGGCGTTGCAGTTCCCGCTCCTCTTCCATTTCGTATGCAACCTCTCGCTCTTGCTCTACCTCTTCCAGTGCGGATCCCCGTGGAGACCCACGGCCAAGTTCTGTAAGCTGAGAGTCCTGCTTGAGTTGTCGTATGAATGACTCCAATCTATCCCGAGGCTCAACTCCATCTTCACATCCGCCAAGGTCGGGATCGGTGGTCTTTGGGATTACCGGTCCATATAGCTCTCCTAGCGTGTGATGTTCACGAGTCTGCAGAACTTCAAGAAGCTCCTTTTGATGTACAGGATTCCGGAGGATGTCATGGTACTTTTGTGCTCCCTGCATCCGTTTACAGAAATCCATACCTTGCGCAAGATACAACGGTTGCAAGTCCCCGTTTGTGTTACAAGTTTGGACTAGAAGCCATCGGAGGACGTCTGATGAATCTACTGGCAGAGTCCGGTCCTCTCGTTGACGAATATGTGTAATGCTTTGATGAACTTCTGGCGGCGCGACGAATGTTATGGATTGTGTTGTGCCTAGCTGACGCAATCTCATGGCGGCTAAGAAGACAAATCAGTCAGTGTCACCTCCACCAGGCGTTTATAATAGTTTCATGTATAAAAAGGAGTAGATACCTTGTACTGTATGGTCCTTGGTCTGATTCAAGCCCAGTGTCAACGCCCCTCTTGCTAGAGGAGGAAGTTTGAGATCCGTCCCGCGAGTGTGCGCCTCGTCGAGATAGATCAGGCAATTTTCCATGTTGTCCACAAAAGGCGTAGCAATCAGAGGAACAGTCTTGCCTGTTTGATATTGGACCCAAGCCTTCCCATCCTTGTGAAAGTAGACTGCGGCCTGAGCCTTTGTGTCTTCCTCCAACCACGCTTTAACAAGCGCTTGATTGCTCATTTCCAATATAAAAGCACCAGCGTCAATCAAAACCTGAATCCCCTCTTGTCTCAAACGAACGAGAAGGTCCACTTCTGAAAACCGTTTTCGGTTGGAATTGACAGCTTCTATGTATCCTCGATTCCTCGCCTGCAGTAAATACGTGAGAACCTCGGCGTTGGTGTGAGACAATCCGGGGAGGTCGTGTTGTTGGATCGTCAAAGGCAACAGACGACGATTATCATTTGTACCACTAAATCCAGTGGTCAGTCCACTGGTCTTCTTCTTCGGCGGGGACGCTGTTGTCAAATCTCGCATGAGTGGAATATCCCATCCAGATGCCTGCATCTTGATGCTGAACTGTCTCGCGTGAACAGGAAAGACAAATTTGCCCAGAAAGTAGTTGACGACAACCATTTTGCGTCGCAAGTGGCGCCATATTTCCATAATCTGGCCTTCATCGTCAACGTTGATAATGTTCCAATGGCACAATTGCTCCGGTAAAGTCGATGAAGTCTGAGTCCATCTATCATACTCTGTAGCTGGATCGTCTGATCTCAGAATGGCCTGTAGACTTTGACGGAGTTGCTCGGTCGTGATGCCTTGATGGTAAAATGCTAGAATGGTGAAAAGAATAGCTACATCTGGATGGCCCCATTCAGCTTGGTCTGATGGCACCCCTTTCGCATAGAACGGAACAGCCATTGGATCGCGACCAGGATGTAATCCGTATTGCACGTTCCAACGTTTCTTCAGACAAAGAAACAGAATTCCATGAACGAATAAGCCTCGCAAGAGATGGACGCTCTTAAACAACATCGGTTTATCCGCCAGCCATCCGAGCATATTGGTAGCTGTGGCATTGTCAAGTTTTTCTTCGGACATAAAGTTCTTCAACAGCTGTTTTTGCCTGGCAGTGAAATCCTTGGAGGGGAAAATAGCCGTTTGGCTGAAGCAGATTGTGTCCACAAGCCTGTTGGTAAGACTATCTTCAGCATCTTTACGGAGAAAGTAGACAACGGGGAATTCCGTGTACGAGTGTCGGACTAAATCGACACTCTTGGGAAATTCTCGAGCAACGTCTTGTAAATGATGTACGAGGAGATCCAGAACTGTCATAATGAATCCCCATCGATCTGGATGACCGTCCAGCGCAAGCTGGGAGCCGCTGGGGTAGATCAATTGCGTTCTGACTGCCAACGTGAAGTCACATTCGTCAAGAATATCACGGCAGGTTCTCTCCATCCAGCTTCGAATTTTAATCATGTCGATAGCTTCATCGACCCGGGAATCAGACATGCGCTGCAGCCCACTCAGTTTGAACGACAAAATGTGTTCGGGAACCGCCACTATGATCCCAGACTTGGACAGCATATCTTGATGTAGACTGGAATACTTGGAAATTACTTCTCTACTTGTTGGGGTGCGTCTTGAAAACGGGATGTGAGTAATTTCCCTACCCAGAAGCCCTCCAAGACGCGCCTGGAGGATCTGGGCAGTTTGAGACAGCAACGCTTTGGGAACTATTATTCGAGACAGTGTTTTCCCATCGGCAAGGGTGCATGCTATCATCGGTATGATGATCGATGTTTTGCCTTTCCCCATGTTCATCTGCAGAACCGAGTTGGCACCTGAACTGGGCGAAATCATTTCCTTTGCCACGGCGATTTGCTCCTCGCGGATTTGCATGTTTCCATCGATTTCCAATAGTAACCAATCCGGGTAGTGGTATGGGTTCCAATTGACATGGCCCTGGCTGTAGTATTCGTCACGAAGCCTGCCTTGGTCGTCTTTTCCGAATGCTTCTTTGAGCCGTATGAGACGTTGCACATTCCCTATTGCAAGTCCATATGCTACTAATGCCTCTTTCATATGTTGTCCAAACTTGCATTTCGACGTGGACCTGAGTTGGTTCAAAAGTGAAATAGGCATCATGCACGGCCAAAGATTGCTTTGATGTAACCATTGGTAGGAAGAATGGCGACTGACAAGGGAGTTCCTGATGCGAACATATATGCCTTCCGCCGCAATAGTGGCCTGGGTGATAATGCCGTTTAGCCACTTGACGCCGTCTAAGAACTCAACGTCTAGACCTGTTTTCTCGATTGCCGACGCTTTCACCATCTTCAGATCTGCGATGCTGGCCTTGAGATCATGTCCATAACTCGACTGTATGGGACATTCCGAGTTCACAAAGTCGTTTGTAATCATCTCGAGCTCTAGAGTTTCCGGGGCTCGAAGATAGGGTCTTGTAGAGTGAGGAGCTGGAGTTGACGGTGCTGCGTTCTTAAATGCATGCTGATCGACCCAGTTAAGAACATATTGAGTGTCGATTCTCGGGCCCAAGTTACTCATAAGTTCTCCTGCCAGTCGCGGAATAGAGAAAGCAGGCAGGGAGACGTCCAAAAGCTCATAGCCAGGGAAAGCTTTTGGAACTGCATCTCTACCAGCCACAAGGGCGAAGTGTCCATCCAGAACACCTTGCACCTCTCTAATGTGATGATAGAATTGCAAATTCTGAAACAAACGTCCCCATTCGGTTAATACAGCATTCATCGCCGCAGATGCATTGATATATTTTGCAGCGAAATTATCAATAGAAGGTTCTCTACAGGGCCATTGATCAATTAAGAACCAGGCAAATTCTTCGCATTCTTCCATCCGCTGCGCCGATGCCTGTTCTAAAGCAAGCCGACCAGCTCTCTTCTTTGCCTTGCGTTTCACATTCGAGTCTCTGTATATTTCACAGGTTGGCTTCATCAGAGTGACCAAGGTTTCCAGTTGTGGGGCTGCGTCAACCTCCAAGTCGGTGAAAGAAGGATACAGAGGAAACTCGAGTTTCTTGAGGTCTTCCAAAATGAAGAATGAAACGATCGTTCTCAAAACTTGCATGTCGACCGCGCTGCCAAACGCAAGTAACCCCAACTTAAACATGATAGAGTAGGTGTCTTCCGGCTGAGCATGAATGCATAAAGAGATCAAAGGGCCCCATTCATGGAATAGATCTGCAATCAAACTGTCTTCGAGGGTAATTTGAGTGTAGACTTTTGCGTATCCCCCAATGATATGCTGCTCGTTCAGCATGGCAATGAGATCTTGTGTCGTACTGATTACATTAGGCCGATGAATTAGGAGACCCATGATCTCACGAACATTGCACGAGCGTGTCGAGAACGATCTGCCATCTCGGGGAATGTATGGCGTGTCTGCAGGAGGGCACGGCTCAGAACACATTGTATCTGGACGCTCATGAATGGATCTACGCCACATAGCTCGGTGTCGCAGGTGTGGTATCGTAGGATCAGGCGCTTCAACCGTCTCAACGGCTGCCGTTGGAGAAGCTCGTATTTGCGTTTGGAACAAAGACAGATGCTCTGACTTGGCTATGATGGCGTCTATTACTGGCTGAAACGCATCGTTCTGGATGGTTGTTGTGAGGCTAGCGTCCCAGCGAACAGTTTGTTGGGTCTCTTTGTGTGCTGGGTAGTATTCGCGCCGAGGAGCTAGATTTGCTATCGATTTTAGTACTCCCAAATGATTCATGTTTAGAGGAACAACTGGCTGGTATAGCCCGGATTGTAAGGAGGACAATGCTTCCTCTGTCCCGGTACGGCCAGTCAGAGGGTCCGGAATAAAACATGATGTCAAAGCATGCAACAATGCCTTGTGATATAGAAGACGTGGCTCTGCTGGGCTGGAAACTCGACCCAGCACGTTGTCGATTCCATACCTAGCATGGGAGCCATCATTCTCTATATTGATACGGACATGCATTCCGTGCCGTTGGCAGTGAACATTCCCCAAGGGAGTAATGACACTTCGTTGGCTACGATTGAAAACGCTGCGGAGAACAACCATACTCTGCAGTCCGTAAAAAGTCCCTGCATCTTGACAGGGATCTATCTCTGCCGCCAATTGGCGGCATTGTAGAAGATTGCGTCGATTGACATAGAACGTAAGGTCCATGCGCTTCAGTTCTACGGAAAGCTGCTTTCTATCTGGTGGCTGGATGACGGTCAGCATCCAGGGCTCTTCGAAATGGCTAAATGCTTGCGCTATGGATTTGAAAAGCTTGCTATGAGGGTCGACCAGAGCAGCTCGACCCCGACGCCCTGTCCTCTTCAAAATATCAATATGCCAGCTTCCGCCTTGCCAAATTCGAGGATGCCGTCTGATGTGAAGAATGCCAGACTGCAATTCAACCCAGTGAACACAATTCTGGACTAATGGCTCTGGCAAGTCAAAGCTAGAGCCGGCACGAAAGACATTACGAGGGACGAGTTCAAAGGTTGATCCAAATCTTTGAGCTCGTACAATAAGCTGGTTGTTTCGATATCCAAGATAGATATGATTGTCTTCCTTAGTCACTGCTAGTAAGTAGCTCATGCTGGGCACATCGGATGGAAAGGCAACCAAACGCTGGTTACCAAACAGTTCCTTCAGTATCTCCGAGTCTCTGAGGTCAGCGGGCAATTTGCCAATCGGTTGCCCGTTTATTAACAAATGGCCCTCTAGCGAATGGTAATGCACGACTTGAGGCGGAGTATTCCCTGCAGGTTCAATTGATGACATTGTCCACCAGTCATACGGAGATGATAAAAACTGCCAATCGGAGTACACTCGCGGGATATTGCCTGGGTTTGGCCACACTGCATCAATAGCAGCGCCGAGTGTTGCAAAATGACTGAGGACTGAGCTTCGAACAATGTTCCGTAGACCGACTGCCATCTTGATATCACGAATCAACATGTTACGGGTTGCAGTTGAAAATTTACTTATGTCAACAACCAAGGCTTCCTGCATGGCGAGCGTCGCTTCCACAAAGCACTGCAAAGCCTGTGCATCCCATTGTGATGTTCGACAGAAATCAACGGAATATGTGCGACGACACAATAAAGCTGACAAGAAACAATAACGTGCGGCCTTTTCTGAGATATCCAATTCCTGCGCATTCCGCATCTCGTCCCGTAGTGAGGATATCCATCTGTAAGTAATATGCCGAATTTTCAATAGCAATTTATGCGCGCGTGGCGATGCCTCTGTACAGCAGAGGTTCCGGAGTTGGAGGGTCAATGCAAGCATGGTTTCCATGTAATGGCTCTCCCTCCAGTTCTCAGAAATAAGGTCAACATGATGCTCTATCTGATCGATTAGCTGGTTACAGAACAGGTCGTCTTTGAATACAACATGCACAGCCCGATATACATCAGTGTCTAGTCCAGGGCCCGCCTGGTGAGCAAGCAGACGGAAAAGATAAGTGGTGTCTAGCAAGCTCAAGTTGATATTGGAAGAACCCAGTTCAGCAAGAATCGACAACCACCGGCGATGCCGTCCCCCGACAAGATTCTTGCTAGCGACAAACTCGTGAACAGTCAATGTCGAAGGGCACTCAGTAATGCTGGCTATAGTTTCATATGAGGAAGGCCCCGGCTTATCAGACTCAAAGGCAGCACTTGAGTAAAGCGCAGAGAATGGGAGGTGCGGTGGCAGCTGCAAAGCAAAATGATGAGCCAAGGTCAGCTCTCGGGGAAAATCTCTCAGCCATATTTCTCTTGTCGAATCGTAATATGAGAAATTCAAGCTGAATGGAAGCATGATATTCTTAGCCCTCGCTGGCAGTCTCTTCCACCTGTAATGAGTGACCAGGTAGGACTTGGTGGAAGATGCCAAGGTGATGCCGCCTTTATCTCGGTGGCGATTGTACGGTTCTAATGGAGTATATTCGTGCAGTAATTTCTCTGGCTTTGCTGAATTTGATGGGCCCAAATTCCCACAGAGCATGACGATGATATTCCATGTGGTGTTTCGGTATGCAGAAAGCGTCTCTGGCATTCCTAATTCAAGCAGTATAGCTCTCTTCTGCGCTGAACGCCAGTCGAATGGAAGATAGTCCTCGTGGACCTTAATCTTCAAACGATATCGGCGATGAGCGGCGCGGCAGTGTTCGCATCCTCGAACATCATGGGTTCCATCTGGATACCGTCGCTGAGTACATGAAGTAGCAGCCTTTCTCTCAGTCAGATCTTGAAAACTGCGGTTGACTCGATCGAGTTCGGCCTGCTTTGCTTCTCGCGCTTTGAGAGATGCCGTCTGTATCTTTTCTTCAAGTTGAAGCATAAACGCTCCTGGACCATTGTCAAAATACCGATCAGCGAGGCTACCGGGTGTTCCAGGATCGCTGAATATGGTTGTTTTTGCTTCTGCGTCTTGCACGCGCTGCAGAAGGTAAGTTTGGACTTTCTGAAGACGCTCAAAGTCTTTGAGACTTGTGAGAAGTATTACGTCGAGCATCTCAGCTTCAAAGTATGGATGGAGTGCTTTCAAGCTCGGGTGGGCGATTACCGCACATTTATCCATATGAACCCACATCTCAAACAGACACAAGATAAAGACACTCATCTGCTCAGGATTCTCCTGGTAAGCATCTCCAACAGCGTCGAAGTACGCGTTGATCTCATTGGCCATCGTGATACAGCGTATCTCGCACAGACTTTGTTCAGCTGGCAGCCGTCGTGCGTCAAATTCAATAGAAAGCTCATTTTGGGCGAGGGAGGAATATCTCATAGCCAGGGAAGAAAATTGCTCGGTTGTGGCTTTTGTCGTATTGGGATTCGTTATTGCTGCATTATTACCCTTGTATCCATTGTAAGAAGGCTTGCTTCCATCGTTCAATACATCTCGTAGGTATGAATAGCTATTTGGCAATCTAAGACGCAAATCCGTGTCGTTTGCCCACCGAGGAAGTTTCGAGATTTGGCGCTGGGACGTCTTTTTGAATGATTCCCATGCTACCATTGAATGATTGGTAGCAATCTCTATGGACTTCTGACAAGTCCGCAGCATAGATGTAGGGAAACATTGACTAGAGCCTGTAGACCCTTCAATTTTGCCATGTTCGAACTCGAGTTTTGCCAGACGGCGACACAACTTTGCCTTGAGGAAGTTCAATTCCTCCGGTTGCAGTTCATGAACCGAGCTTTTCAGAAGATTCGCTAGAAAAACACAAATAAGTGACTTGTACTGCAAGCGTCCGCGCTCTACACCGAGATAAAAGTAAAGCAAGCGCTGAATACAAACCCTCAGCGCCAGCCAAAAGGGACTTCGACGCCAAGGAAGCTCGGCATCATCCCAACAGACGTCATCTTTGATACGCTTGCGGAGTCGTGGTGGATTTATGCTATTTCCGTTCGCTTCCAAGACAGTCATCAAGAATTGGGTGATAATCGCTGGGTCAACTGTATCACGTAGTTCTGAAATCATAAGCCCCGTCTTTTTTGTCTTGGGGATAAACTCGTCTATCGTCTCAATGCTGGCTTTCTCAATGAATGCCGAGAAGCTATCCTGGAATACCGCGTTCTCGAAATCCTGCACGGCGAGAGAGACTGCCACGCCTGGAAAATCCCACTGCAACGCACCTGTGGCTGCTAGGGCCTGTTCCGCAGTTGGAGACGTCTCAAACGCTTCGAATACAACGTCGGGGTCATTCCTGCTCTTGATTCAGTCATGGCTACTGCCTGATCTTCGAGAATCAAGGGAACACGGACACGGGCAACTAACTAACTTACTTCATTTTGCGTATCAACACCGCGCAGTTTTGGGGCTCGATGTACAATATAATACTCGCTTCAATCTTGAAATCTCCAAGAGCGTCCAGTAAGTCGGCCTTGTTGATGAACCCATTGGCGATCAGTATCATGCAAGATCGCAATGATGCCTCTATCAACTGCCAGGCCTGTAGAACCTCGGGTTCACATTCTTGCTTGAGAGTGCCGATTTCGTCCAGCAATCTCGCTACCAGTTCTTTTTGCACGCTCTGAGTTTCCTCGTCGGTGTCACGACACCCTGGAAGCTTAGGCGGAAAGGCGACATGGTTGAAAATAAGCCGTATGGTAGATGATTTGGCAGACATGTAGGAAATCGGAACTTGAAGCTGTGATATATGTGATTGTGTACATATAATTTTTGTCGGGGCGGGGGAGAGGAAGGATTATTTCGTTTATTTTCTCTTTTCTTTCCTTTTTTGACAAGACAAGGCTGACAGACAAAGGCAGCCTAAAGCAGCCCAAGTCACTAATCATCACGCTACGACCCCTCAATCCTCCGTTTTGCTTGATACGCGTGCCTTTGGTGCGACTTTAAATGCTTTAATTGGAGGCCTTCTCATGCGCATGCTTTATCTGGCTGAAGTGTCATCGCCATGCATGATGCATGATGAAGTATCTCGCTCTATCTTACGCAAGCTTGCAAGGTATGAGTAGCTATGTAGAGGAGTCGAGAACAAATGACTAAATCCTAGTTTCTTCACTGAGTGAGACAATTAATGGAGGGTTCTGAGGTTGTTCAGCGCGTACAAATCAAGACCAGTTGGTGCGCAAACTCGGGATTGACTAGATGAAGTAAAGACCATAGATATCAGTACATAACTACGTGCTCTATGTACAACAGATGCCAAAGAAGCCATGTTCTTCTGCGAAACGTCCATCATTTTCCTTCAGACAAAGTGATAGGTATTGGTGGGACAAAATTTTCTAGGTGTAGACCTTCAATACTATCACTCAACTCGCCAAAGAGTCGTGCAAATGAAGAGCCTAAACAGCTGTGGTAGTATCGCGATCTCTCACCTACTACCCACTGTGGTGATCTGAATCCTGAAACCTTCTGCACAAGTTGTTTGTAACTTACTCCCGGGAAAGGGGTCACCGGCCTTGGTGAGAGCAGATCATTTGACTGCATTTGTTTTGTGAGAGCTCCATACATGATTGAGCGGCACTCATAGCTGCACCCTCGACTGTCATTTAGGAGATCAGTCAGTGTTTGGTGAAGTTTGTCTATCAACTTGGCTATAGCCTCTTCTCGACACTTATTCATCGCCGCTGCAGTTCCATTAGATACAAGACGTTCTTGAAGGCCATTATCTATCCCTTACCTATCACTTGATCGGGGATTGGAAGCCCAAAGTTGCTGATCCAACCACTACTGCTGCATGACATAACAATCGATGTTGTCTCCCGGAATCGGGCAGAGAGCCGGAACACCTTGCATATAAATAGCCACGAAATACTATCTCGAGAATACGCTTTGGAAAGCTCTTTCTCCAGTGCGGCTATCCATAAAGTCGTCCAAATGTACACAGCCTCCGCACATTCATAGTAGTCGACTAGCAGAGCAATATTAGCAACCACATCAAGGCTCAGCTTCTGCGGTATTTGGTACTGTTGTCCGTGAATAGCACGAAGGAGAATCAGGAGCGCTTCGAGATCCCAGCTCTCTGCAATAACTTCTACTGAGCCTGTTTGGAGATACGTGATGCCTTCTTTGAAATGACTCGTCAGCAATTTTTTGAATACTGGGGACGCGAGTGTTAAATGCTTGGCGGAGACTTGGATCCTGAAGCACTTCTTGTCCGGTGATTTAGGAAGGGGGCCAGTCTCGTCAGGCTGTTCGATAGGCTCTTCAGCAGAGGTCTTTTCGGTGGGATCAGGTTCGTCAGCAGCAACGTCTTCTTGCGCGTCGACAGGCTCTTCAGTTGGCGACGACGTCTCTTCGTCATACTTAGTAACAGTATGAGGGGACCCATTCGCAACGACATCCTCCTCAGTTGTCTCTGCGAATGAAGAATTTGCATTCTGTAATACTATTATTACCTCGCCATCAGGGTCGATAACGTGAGTCGGCGAGTCCATGCTGGTTACTTGATGCGGTTCTCAGCGCTAGAAGCGTTTGTTGATAAGAGAGAGAGAGGGAGAGAGAAAAGAAGAATAAAGCAAAAGAAGAGCTTTGGATGCGGGATGATAATTGAGGATAGCGTTGATGCGAGGAGCATGCATTATTTGCCTACGTTGAGGACGTGGTGGCCTTTGATTGGCGTCGATATCGACATTCTCGCATAACTACCCAGACATGGGTGGTTGCATTCAGATGCAGGATGTATAGCATTGACTGGCTCACCGTATAAGATGCTAGTGCACTTTTGATTTAGCACGCAGGCCCATGCAGGTAATTGACTAGTGCTTCTAGCACGTAGATAAGGAGTCTTCCAGCACCTAGGTAATACACGAGGAACACAATTTTCTATACATAGAGTTATAAAATGTCCAATTTGACTTGGTTATATATACAACCTCAAGTTCAGGTGGGTCTTTGACAAAGCTGCTGCTCTACATTTACAAAGCTTCAAACTGCTTCGCAATCTCCAAAAGCATCTCAGCCAACTTCTCCGGCGCCGCGAGCTGAGCGCTGTGGCCCGTCTCAATGTCCCTGGTAATCCACTCCTGCCCACTAGCCTGCAGCATCATGCTCTGCGCCTGGTAGGGCACAGCAGCATCATTGACAGTCTTGATATACGCAATACGGCCCTTGAAAGCCTCCGTGTTCCAACTAGCTGCTGGACAGGGACTAGTGAATGAAGTCATGCCCTGGCTCATGGACGACATTGCCGACGCATCTGCGAGTTCCGAGGGCAGATCATTGAAGAGCGGTGGTCGTGGATCGTCGCATTTCAGCAGATTCGCCTCTTCCTGAACATCTTGGTTTAGATACCAGAGTTATACTGGATAGGGAGTAGGAGAGTCAAGTCTTACATCAGGCCGGATATGAGGCGGTAAATGCCCGCCAAAATTCGCAACGAGATCCTTCCCATCGCCGCCTGGCGTGACCACAGCTGCAATAAAGATCTGGCCCAGCACCGAGGTCGTTTTCCCCTCTGCCACGCGATCGGTTTTCCCCAAGCCGCGAGCTGCAGCACTGGCCGGAATGCCGCTGTACGAGTGGCTGATGAGGATTACGTCGTGCTTCTCAACATCGAGGATGGGTAGAAGCAGTCGGTTACGCACATAATCTGTGTCGTCTTGTACGGTGACGGGCCCCGTGGCGCCGACGCTGGGGAGTAGTGCGGTGAAGGCACCGTAGCCTTTGGTTTGCAGGATATGTAGAAGGTAGCCATATGCTGCAGGAGATTGAGATGCACCGGGCACGAGCACGAAGATAGGAGCCATTTTCTTTTTGATGTTGTTGGAGATTTTCTGGTTCTCGGTTGTGGGAATTATTTCCTGGTTTATATAGGTTGAGTTTGTTCAGCTGAGGCTGGGTTACATTTCAACCATAATATTTTTAAATAAGCTGACAGCTCTTTAAGCAACCCTATATAGTGGATAGAGGTCGCTGATTGGCCCAAAGCAAAAAAAAAAGGTGAAAACCAACATGCTTACATCTACTCAGCTTACGTGTTGCCGGTTGGTGGTACTACGTCTCCATAGGCTTAACTTTATTGATTTTGGTGGAACCTTCCAAAGATTGAGCCGTTCTATATAAAGATATCTCTATATCATACAGTCCACCAACTTCCAAGTCTAAATATACCTAGATATGTTGGTGAGATGAATAAGGTCCCTCACCAGTTCTTTCAATGTTTTTCAGTGGACCGATGATTCCCGAGCGATGATTGATGCTGCCTCTTCCAAAACGCCTCGATCTCCTGGACATAGCCAGTACCTTCTAGTGGCAATTCCCAGTCTCCTCGATGCGCTTCTGCTATGTCGAGATAAGGGCCCAGCGTGTCCTCCAAACTCGCACGTGGCGTCCCCGGAAAATGCACAAGAAGATCCCCTCGATGTACCTGAAGATGCTCCGGTGATCTGGGATTGAGCCCTTTTCCATCGGGCAGCCCCATATACGCATTGAACCAACGCAGTGGGCAGTACACGACCGACCTAGAGAAGTAATGATTTGTTTCTAGTATGTTGCTCAAGGCGGACTGGTCTTGCCAAAAGAGCTCGACGTCTGGGTTCACGATTGGATACGCGATTGCGGCAGACAGCAGTTCAACGGACCAGGGATGCACGCGGATCGGAAACACGCCGTTGTTCATGCCATTCCAGTCTTTTGTGAGTAGCATGTGGACATCTGAGGCCTCGGGCGGCGGTAAGAATGTCTCTAGCGGTAGATTGGGGTTCATGAGTACTGTGTCCGCATCGGTCCAGCTGTTGGAATCAGTATTGCATTGCAAGAACGACTTTTTTTTTCTTCTCTGGTAAAATGGAAACTCACAATAGCCATTGTAGTCGTCGCTCCGGCGGCTTCTCTAATTCTTGTAGTAGTACGGAGAGTAGAATGGCGTATTTATTCCAGAAACCATCGAGAATGGGTCTTCGCAGGATAAAATGAGGGTATCCAAAGCGATGACTATGTACTTTGTGCGTATTCACAGCCCGCTCGTAGATCGTGTTGTTGCCGTATATCATTGTCACTTTGCCGATTTTTGGAGGCGTGTGGTGCGTCCCTAGTCCGGTGATATTCGCTATGAACTGCCATCAGCCAAAGGGTTTTGGTGCATGTATATATATATATACATATGAAGAAAAGACATACGATAGCACAAGAAGAGGTTGCAAAGCCAGTAAATTCCAGCCAAGGAAAAGCCCAAACGCAGAAACGTCCCAGACTTGGAACATAAGCGATTATCTGCGTATGCTGCCATGATGAATGAACGCTTTGTAGAGATTTATGAAACAGTGTCAAGCCCTATTCTTTGAGCGACAAGATCAGGGACTTTTAAGGCGAAAACCACAACCACCAACTTGGGGGGCTATCAAGCTAGCCGGAACTACGGAGCAATTGACTCATTTCTTTGTACCTAATCAAAGGCTCGCTTCACCGAGAACATGGGATGAATTACGCTCGTTGGCCTATTGCATCTTCAGGGTCTGAATGATTGACGTTTCAAGATATGCGACTGACTACTCTGTAGTTATTATTAGGGCTCAAGCGTTGCTTTTTTTTTTTTTGCCTCATATAACGCGCGCCCGGAAGTCATTGACCCTCTTGTACGTTGTAGATGGCTTCTACTAGGCTGCAGGAATCACGAAGCAACCCTAACCAATCCGTCCAGCAATAGGCCACAATTATGGCTTATGGTGATACACCGAGCAAGCGCCGTATTGATCAAAAGTACCTAGTCTTGTTCTTTATATAGATGGTCACATTGCTGCAGTATACAATAGCCCGTCACCGAGCTATTCTACACTTGCCATGGGTCTATCTAAAAATATTTACATCTACAGTAGTCCGTTTTCTTCTCATGATGATTCGCCCTGGTAAGTGAGAAACAATGCAGATGCCCCCGTCTTATTGGCTGCCAAGTGCAAGCCTCCCTAAGACTTAGCGCTAGCCCAAGCCAATAATCGCTGAGATGTTGCTTTTCCCACCTCCCTCTCCGAACGACATCCGGCCGACGGCTCTGTGAATTCTATCGTGTATTTACTGGATAAAGCCGAAATAAAATAGCAGTGAGTGAAAGGAAAGACCATGCTGTTGCCCCTGCTGCTGCTTTCGAGTCTGCAGCTATGGTGTCAACCCGCGACATCGCACCAGCAGATCGCTATACAGCCGGTCCAAGACGAGCTAGATGTTGGTCCTCCCACTAGTGAATACTACATGAACAGTGCCAGAAATAGCTGGACATTCAACTTCTCCTCACCAGCCCCACACATTTTCTCCTCGGTGCACGGCCTGCTCCAGCAATGGCCCAATACCTTCTTTCCAACGGGCCATAGCATCGTGCCCTGTCAGATCCCTGCGTTTACAAATCTGTATCACGGCCGGCAGGATGGCGAGTTGCCGGAGAGCCCGGAATGGGTTGCGTTTGATATGTATGATCTACCTCCGAGACCTTGTGATGAAAAATGTTAGATGGAATCTAATGTAGAAGCAGAGAAATGTCCTACGGGATCATGGGCTCAAGTCGTAATTCCCATATCCTGACCTACCAGACAACAAAGCCCACAGGCTGTCTGTATTTTGACGGCGAGTCTGCGACCTTGATGGGCACGGGCCAGATGGACACACAGATGCTTTTCATTTACGGTAATGTGACTGGTCCGCAAGTAGACGGCGAGGGTCGCAGGTTCAGAGGTCTCGAAGACGAGTACAATCGTGCGTCGGGACTGTGTCAATGGGCTCGGGACAAGAACCTAGGTGGTCCCGGATGGGGTGTTGAAGGGATTGTCAGGATGAATGCCGGGTTTGAGATGATCTGGTGTAATTTCACAAGTCCTTCTGCTCGGTTGTTGACGAAGTTGAATGTAACGGTGCCGTTGCTGCGAGAGAGTATCAATGACCACGAGAAAGAAGAAGAGGAAGAAGAAGAAGAAGGAACGAAAGGCGCAAATTTCGGCTCACCAACATACTACCCCCTACCAAGGGAGACGTCCTCACCAGGCCGATCCAGAGACCCAGACCAGCCTCCGATGCCACCTGGCTGGCGACGAGATGACCTGGAGCCATTCCTGGCAAGTCAGGCATGGGGTTGGTTCGAGAGTGCAACATGGCACTACGGCTCAAGCGGTATGGGCACTGGACGCGGAGAAACCCGCGTCAAGCCATTGACCTGTGGATTTTTGACTTTCTACGATCCTATTTTCCGTCAGCAAGAAGCTGCACGCGCCTCTATTGAGCGTCAGAAACTGAATCTCACTTCCGACGGCCTATGGCAGGGTCCAGGAAAAGACGAATACAGAAAATCAGCTCTAGAACAGTTGATGAGACGGAGGAGGTATCATCTGCTACGTAATATCAGCGAGGTCGATGCCTTGACAATGAATACTGCTGCAGAGCGAGTTTTGCGTGCCCTGGATTTTCATGACACAACGGGCTTGGGAGTTGACGACCGTAATTGCACGGGAATGGATTGGATTGCCGTTTCTAACGATATCGTGCAGCGATATGCACCCCGGCTACAACAGCTGAGAACAATTCTCGAGGCAGGCTCATATGTAGATATGAGCAATGCAACGGCTGTTAGGAGATGGTTCTCAGGCCTGAGACAGCATACGCATTTCCTCCTGATGCCTTATTTTGAATACCCGAGTTACCAAGAACTGCCATTGTTTTCGTCGTCTACCAGACAATTAACACTGTCTCGCTGCAAATATCAATACACCCGCCTCATCGCGCCTGATTATCACACTGCTACGCTTACACCTGAAGAGGCACTGGTGACATCAGCCGTCGAGGAAACACTAGGCAATATTTGCTCCTGGGTAGTCGACGCAGGGTTTGCAATTGAGCGGAAATGGTTTGATTACTTTGATGCGCGCAAGTCTGGCGCTCCACCGTTGATCGAGCAAGTGGTAGACTCGTGGAGAAAAAGCCTTGAGGAGCTCATGGCTTGGCTGGGATGGGTCGATCAGTGGACATACTGCAAGCATGGATGTGCCTGGGACGAAGTTTGCTACATACCCATGTGGCCCACGGAGTCTGTTGATCCAGATGGACGGGGCTGGGGTCCGGGTCCTAGTCCAGGCCGTGGTCGAGGTGATGGCTATGGCTATGGTTATAGCGGCCGGGATCGTCCACCTGGCAGACACAGTGATGCTCAATATACCGAAGAGAAGAATGAACCTGGAAAACCACCTAAAAGACCCCCAGGACCGCCGTTTTGGTTTGTGAATGAAGACTCTTTATGGGAACCGAAATGTATCAAAGCCGAATATGCGATTTGATATAACTACCTACACACACATCTATATATATTTTCGGCATTGTATAAGGTTATGGCTAAATCTTCTGTGCATTTCTCAATCTCCGATCAACACCCATAACAACAGCATAGATCGTATCGAGCGTGGGAGTATTCAGCCCCAATTCCTTCGACTTTTTCCACGGATAGCCCAAGATAACATCCACCTCCAACGGCCTACCGGCCAGGCAGTCCGTCTGCATACTCGAGCCAATTGGCGGCATGCCCAGGATCTTCTCGATCAGGGAATCAGTGAGCGAGTGCTCCAGTGCAGTGACGCCGCACGCCCTCCCGACATCAATGACTTCATTCATCAACCTCCGCGTCATCGGCACAGCCTCGGGGCTGGACTCCAGCCAGCTGTGAGTATCTAGCAGTGTAGCGGTCGTGAGCGAGTTCCAGGCCGCGTTCCACACGACCTTCTGCCAGCGTTGTAGCGGCATGTCTTCTAGAACGGTGAAGTTTGTGTTTCCCCCGCTGAGAAGAGAGGAGAAAGTCGAGAGTCGTGTTTGCTCGGTTGCCGATGGCGAGATGGAAGATGGGAAGAGCCCGATTTGCATGTCTTCGCTTTTGGTGTGTTTGACGTAGCCGGGCGAGGTTTGGGTGGCGCCCGTCCATGTCTGTATTTGTTAGTGGCACTAAGACTTGTATTCGATGAGGTTACATACCACGCAGGTTATGATGGTCGCCTTTGGCCATGCATTTCGGAAAGGTTCCTCATTACCCACACCGTTCTGGATAATGACAATGGTAGTCTTGTCCTCTTCTATTGCAGGCCCGAGTGCAGTAACAGCCGCGTCCTGGCCGATGGCCTTGTGTGCACAAACGACGTAGTCGAATGTCTGCCTTGCCTCGGCGGGTGTTTTGACTACATTCTCGGGGATGATATTGTGTTTCTCGTGGTTTTGTGAGTCGATAACCAGGCCCTTTCAAGATTCAATTAGTCTTCAGTTACAAATATTGAATTCGTGTTACCAAGTTCTTTCCATAAATTGACACTTGGTGACCTCGGAAACGTACATTGCTCTTTACAGCATCGTAGTTTGACCGTGCAACGACTGTCAGTCTGACATTTGGGTTGCGGCTGAGAATAAAGGCGTAAAATGAGCCAATTCTGCATATTCATGGCTTCGTTAGTGACCGCCTAGAGATGAAGCCGAATATGTACTTACGCTCCCAGGCCATAGAGGAGCACGTCGATCTTGCCTTCGAATGCCATTTTTTTCTGGTCTTTCAAGCAAGCTTAATGGTTGATTCTTGTTTATTTGAGGTGTTTATATAAGAGTTGTTCTCCCCGCACAGAAGTAACCCCCGCGTTCCAAGCTTGTTCGGCGCAGATGTGGGGAACGGCGAGAATGCCGAATATCGGCATAGACGGATCCCCCCTAAATAGCGAGGACAGAAGATAATATGCAAACTATAGGTCGCTTCATCACAAAGGTAACCCCCAAGTATGATAAAGAAAAGGCGTACATGTATGTATTTACAGCTTCGCAACAAAACTTGTAAGATCCCTCTCCAGTCGCGATGTATTGAGCAGCTCCCTGTTCAGCTCTGATATCTTGGTCACACCAACCAAGGCCATATTCTGCTCAATTTCCTCACGCAGAATCTCAACCATACGCCGTGTTCCTGCCTCGCCGTATCCGGAGCTCATGCTGTACAAGAATGGTCGACCCATGCCAACGGCTGTAGCACCTAGGGCAAGGGCCTTGACGACATCTGTGCCTCGCCGGATACCGCCATCAATGAAAACCTGCATGTTCTTCTCTTTTATAATGTAAGGAGCGTATTTGTTAATCTCCAACAGTGTCAGAAGAGGCGGCTGTGCGGTGTCTTGGGAGCGGCCGCCGTGATTCGTAATCACGATGCCATCGACCTTGTGTTTGTAGGCCAATACGGCATCCTCGACGGATTGAATACCCTTGATGACAAGTGGTAGGCTGCTCAGTTTGCGGAGGTAGGCGATCGTGTTCCAGTCCAGGTAGGGAGCAACTGTGCTGGCCAAGGTTTTGGCTATGCCCTGCACAGGCTGGCCTTTACCGCCAATTTTGTCGTTTTGCTCGCCCACCTGTTAACAAGTTAGTCGTCACCTCGTAAAATATTGTATGCCATAAAAAGGATATAAAGCACCAAAGAGTGCGTGACTGTACATACGTCAACCTGGGCTTTCAGGCGCTCGTCCCTTTCTCTCTTGCCCGTTACCGGCGAATCCACCGTGAGCCAGATTCCTTTGACTCCAGCCTTGACAGCCTTGAGAATAGTCGCTTCGGAGATCTTTGCATCTTTGTGCATGTATAACTGAAAGAAAATGGGCTGCTGGTCCCCGCCCGTTCGAGCTTTCATAATCGAATCAATCGACATACTCGACCGAGTGGCAACTAGTTGTGCAAGCCCTTCTCGTCCAGCTGCCGCTGCCAGAGTGCATTCCCCTTGAGGATGTGCAAACTTTGCAATACCGACGGCTGAAATGTACACCGGTAACGAGACGTCATGGCCCAGAATCTTTGTCCGCGTATCGACTGTGCTGACATCCCGTAGGATGCGTGGACGGAATAGGACTTTGCGGTATGCAAGTTCAGCGTCAGCTTTGGAATACTCATCATCTGCCCCGGCAGCGTAGTATGCCCACGCGTTTGCAGGTAGATGGCGTTCGGCCACTTTCTCAAAGTCTCGAACGTTGATCAATGTGCTCAGCGGCGGGGCGGCATCGGAAGCATCGCCCTTTTTGGATGCGTTTGTGGCAGCATTGGCCGTTTTCGGTTGTTCGAGCGTTGACGGATCAACATTCCCCTTGAATGCCGATGGCGAAAGTGTCTCTTCAATGAGCTCAGCCGGGTGGATGGCGTCGTAGTCGTTTGTTGCATCACGGCCAGCGCATTTAAGGATTACACGAGCGCCGCCGGGATGTTCGTCAAGAAAGCCTGGCGATTTGTCAGAGCAATACAAAGCGTAGGCGTATGCGTGTGCCCCGAAAGAATGAGATAATTTTACCTGTCACATCGTACACTTTGCCCCGGACTGCAATCCAGCAGGAGTCTTTGTTGTTGTGCCGGGAGACTTCCGCGGCGGATACGTTGAACTGGCCCATTTTGGAAGACAAACGAAGATGTATGCAAAAAGCCGAGAAGCCAGGTATGCGTGAGAATGTCACAAAATTGGGTGCTGCATGATATATCCCAATGCTAACCAAATAAACAAGTCGTCAATCTTCATGCGCGCTAAATTCCCCAGAGAACCCCCACGCAAACAGACCGTGGAGAAGCGTGGGGGTGCAGGTTGCGGGGGTTCCCTCGTTGGTCTCCGCTCCGCTCCTTCCACGACTTCCCATCGCAACATCTCAGGGGAAATGCTTTGTCCCAGTCTCTACTCCACAGTCGACAGATCCAGCCCTTTTTCCCGCTTGCTTATGATTTATTCACCGCGTCAAACAAAGCCCAGCAGGTATCCATCTTTGGTTTGCGACTAGATGGTACTGTGCCCGAGCAAGGTTCATACCGACCTTGTTGAGTCAGAAAAGGGGTGCGACAAGCCAGATTATCGCGTCTATAAATGGCCCAATGTTCATCTCCTTTCTGTTTCTCATGAGGGCCATCGGTTCGGCCAGTCCACCATGGATCTGGACTGAGTTGTCTTTGATATTCTCAAATATTGAGAGACAACTTCGAATTACATGTTTCAACTTCCTTTTGTTGTTTTATTTGAGAAGCCCCTGCCTTATCAAATCCGTTCTCTGGCTTTCTGGCTTACTTCGGTGTCCTCGTAGCCAGAAGACATTTCTGTAAACGTACTTGACAGCTCGACTATAGAGGCCCAGCAAAAGGCCTCGATAGATGAGTCCCAAAAGTACTTTGGATGGTTAGGGGTTGCAAGGTAAGGGAATTCTCTCTACCAGAAGACCACTTTTCAATATACTAACATTGACCAAGTTCTAAAACCTCCGAGACAGAGGCACACCCTACAACACTGTCCGATCGTGAAGTTTTCATTTGATAGTTTTGGTCGATATTTCTCTCGTGTTTACCAAACTACCAAGTCCTCGCTTCAGCTCCACAAGTGAGAGCCAAAATGCACCTCGGCGTGACCGGTGGAAAAAACGCGATATCCAGGGTGCCTACCAAGAAGCGGAGAAAATCAAACAAAAACACCACCACGAAAAAGAAGTCACTGGAGCCAACCGGACCAATGTTGAGATCGATGCCTGGGTGACGCAGCCCGGTATCTTCTCTCAGTCACTCAATGCCAAAATTCTACCTCATAATGACAAGGCTCAGCAGCTGGGTAGATTCGCCAAAGAATGCCCGGTTCATTACATGAACCGCATTGCATTTCAACGCCGCATCAGCAACTAGCCGAAGATCATGCGGGTTACCCCAGGCGTGACTGATAATTAGGAACTACAACGTACCGCCATCTCGTCCACACCAAGACATCATCACTGCCAGATGTATTTTAGAGTGCAACACTCATGGATACATTCAAAGCCACAGAGGACGTTATATCTGTTCTTTCTCGTCTTCCTAATCAGGTTTCTCGGGAGGGAGGTGGGCAGAATCCTAACTGGAAGACGAGCAATAGGGCTTGAGATTTACAAATCTCAATATCAGCAAAGAGGCAGAGTTATCACTTGAGCCACTCAACATTAGTCACCCTGAGCTATTCAAGAACACTGCCATTCGTCAAAACATACGATGCTTTTATATTCGATTTTGGTGTCCCACCAATGACTACCAGTCTACAACCGCGTTCGCTCTTCAGAACTTGCCACATCCATGCGCTTAGTTGTCTTCGGCCAAAAAGCCAACATCTTTTCGCAGAACGCAGAGTTGCCCTACGCATGCAATAACTCTGTGATCGGTGTACGCCGGGCATCGCTACAAAGGAGCATCATTCTTCTCGAATCTTGAGCTTACTGCAAGCTGGTCACATGGAATTGATTGTACAGTATGAGTGATGTTGACAGTGCAATGTGCAAAATATAGTATCAGAGCCGGGACCGGAACCGGTTCTGGTACCACGATCTTGGGCAACTACAACAGACACAACACGACACTCACTTTCGAATGGAAGATTGTGACCTCAGAGTTCGAAATCTGACAACCGCTTTTTGTTGCAAAATGCGGAACCTGGAGCATATTGACTTGATACATATGAACACGTATGACGATGTTGAAGACTATCCTCCAAACTTATTGTCGAAGACAATCCACTTCGAGCACGACCGACAATGCTTGTGGCACTCACCCCAACTTTCTCTGCGTCAACGGAAGAGTCCACGGGCATCTCGAAGCAATGAAGATAATGCTTTAACTACTAAGCTCAATTTATATCGAGCTAATAGTCCCTGTGGCGTTCTACTTGGTCGTTCCACCAACCCACGACTTTGAGACTTGTGTAAGCCACAGATGTCGTACACGAGATCTCTGAAGGTCTTTTGTCCTAGTTGTTTTCTCAATATTTGATGTTGGTCAGCTGGATGGTCTCAAATCCATACGAGAATCAAACAAAAGCGAAAACAAGAAAAGTGAAGGGAAGGAGGGTGGGAATAGAATGGAATAGGATTTGAGGATGAGGTAAGCCTTTCCTTGAGAAGTCACAGTGTTTAGATGATGGCCGACGATACTAACCAAGTCAATCAGAAATATACTATGGATGGTCCATCATATTGGGGAAAATTCTCAGCTTGTTACTCATCATCGAAGCCCAGCAAATGCTCTACCAGCAATTCGAAAGTTGGCCCGTGTACATATCAGAGCACATGGCAAAGATACGCCCATACCGCTGCCAAACGAACCTTGGCCATTGCTGTCCGTAACCTTGATAAAAAGATGCGCCGCAACTCGAACCGCTCAGCAGAATTCCTTGGTATGAGGACGGAGAAGGGCGGCACCGGTCGCACCTGACAATGGTCCTGCAAAAAACCGATGATGCTCTACAGGAGCCAGCTGCAGTGCGGCTTGGGCTCGGTGATAAGGACGAGTGAAACGAATGGACTAATGAGTCATTGTCTCAATTATCGACAAAGTTGACGGCCATGCAACGACAGACATATCCCAAGATATCGATTGAGATAGATAACAGGCTCCTCATGAAATGGCGAGCTGGTTGCTGGGTGACAATCAGCCGTCTTCCAAACTTGAACGGAGAGAGACGTTGCTCTCATTGAAGAATATGATGATACCGAGCGGACGCTTTGCACAGAATAAGATCACGGCTCTGGTTGAATGACACGAAGTCCGTTCAACGGTATGAATGAGACGGACATCCATTGTAGCAACACCGCTAACCAAAGAATTCAGGAGGACTGCGAGAAAGTATGAGCTGGGCCTCAAAGTGCGGTTTTTGCTAGAGGAAACTTGGGTGTCTAGACAAATGGAGTTCTTCACTATGAACAGTACCTTTGTGGTGATGAGCAGACCGGTTTTCGACGCTTTGCAAAATACATCGTTGTACCTATCTTTTGCAAGTATGAACCAAAAATCTCAAATATGAATCAGGTTGCCCCTGGAACCGAAAGATACGGAAACACCAGGAGCCCTTCGGCGTTTACCCAAACGATTGAGACTGACTTCGTCTCAGGCTCCAATATGCCATCACAAGAGCTTCTAGCCCAAGCATCAGAAGCAGAAGCACCCGCAGGCATACGCTTTCCATCTTATCAAGTTTCATTAGCGAAAAACGTTCCCGACCTAAGACAAACCCATTCGATACATTCTGCAAAAGATCTGCTTGGGTCAAGGACGATTCCATATACACAGACCTGCACTATTCCGGTTATTGGTGGCCATATGTAGGCTTGTCATCGGATTTGCTTCGACAAATTTCTGAGCATATGACTACAGTAAAGCATCGACAACATAATACAATTATCGAGGCTTCCAGAAGAAAGCGAATTCCGAACCGAGTTGGTCTAGAGGCAGTACCAGTCAGCATTTACGCGTGCGTTTTCTTACGCATGCTACGAAGTATCAGAAGACCAGCTCAGATCAGACACCGAGGTTTGTGATAGACAGAGCATGAACACATCGGAGTTGGTTAATGGCATTGCTAGGAATTAGCCTAGCGACGCAGATCAAAACATACAGGTTCCCGATTCACAGAATGAGCCCGAGACATCAAGTATATGGGTTTCCGATTCTTGAAATGAGCCTGAGTCCCCAGTCGTAGGGCTTCCTGATCCACAGGGTGAACATGAGTCTTCAACCATACAGAATATGCCCGTTGGTAGCTCATTTTGGTACGGCAGGTGCTCGAATTGGCATGGTGCTAGAGCGCTGCCTTGTACGCATGGAGGATAATAGCGGAATCTAGACAATAATATCTACGCTTTACCAGATATCCTATTGCTATCTCATTTCAAAAAGGAAAAGTACATTGATCTGGACGGCGGATCTACGTCAGACTCTACGAAAAGCCCCAGTCTGTTCAACATGTCACGGAAATGCTTCTGGAGTGCGACGGCATCAAGATATTACAGGGGAATCAGATTACCGTTGAGAGAAATTATATCACATGAGAACTACATTAAAGTGCCCCTTTGGGTACCGCACCGCACATCTTGTACACGCCACGGCAGGCCAATTTTGTCTACTTCAGTCATCATCAATATGAGCAGCTCCATGCAGTCATTTTGAGCTTGTGGATATTGCTCCCTCGATTCACCTTCCATCATTGTACGCTTCACTTGATTTGGAAGTGTGCCCAGATCCCTCTGGTGTTGTCACGTTGTCAATGTACGCTTTGCGAAGAGAAAATGCCGAATCACAAACTTCGGGCACACCGTTATGTCCCAAGATGAAACAATCTTGCGGGCATTGCGGTGACCACATACTCCGGGGAATATATTGGCAACATGGATCCTACACTGTGTACAAGTATCACACTCACGCAAGTAACAAACGCGTGCGGAAACTGATAGTTGTTGGAATCCCGAGAACCAAAAGCTTCGATTTGACCGTCATACCACCACAGGCACAAAATTGACCTGCACTTGCTCATCGAAGCAATATGGCTATTCGCCAGTTTATTGATCGCCCTGGCTTGGTATACCGATGAGAACGCGGGGTTACACCTTGTTGAACGGCGAAGATACAAGAAGCGGTCTCAGTAGCGGACCGCCGACATTTGTCAAGCCAATGCATATCGAAAAGAACCAAGTAGTGACTTCAGAATTGAATATTTGAATCGAATCCAACGACCGACTTGTATTCTTTCCGGCAGAACCGATTGTCGAGCTTGTTCCGACTGCGTTACGGGGGGGCTTGTAAGTTAGAATCTATTCTATATCCCTCTTCATACAAGTTTTTCTTCTCTTAATAGTTTGATCTTCAATGCTATTTTATCAGACGATCCGGACAACGACCCGAGTGACGGTACATCACTTACCGACCTGCTCGATTCTTCCGAGTCCACCGTCCAGCAGCTCATGGGCATCCAAATCAACACGCCACTCCCACATCTATCCGACGACAAGATGCTTCCGCTCCAAGCCCAGGCAGCATCCTCCTTCTATGTGTTCGATAAGACTCCTGCAATTCCTCTGCCAGACCCATGTCATCCCACCTTTATAGGTGCATGGATACCCGGTATCAACCTCACTCCAGGGGACGCCGAAGCATTCCGCGAAATGGCAGAAATCAACAGGAAGAGCGGATATTCTTTCTACTTGGACTTCTGTATTAGACAGTGGGCAGTCCGGTGAATATGCAGCGAAGCTGTATCAGGGACTTGATATGGCGTTGACTCTTGTGTCTCTACTTTCGCCTCTAGTTTCGAGGGGCCCACAGTGTGTATAATTCCGTGATTATTGATACTACTATGATATAGCTATTATCTATTACACTGAATGGTCATTAATAAATGTATATTATCAGCGTACATACGATTCTTGAGATTAAACAGCCTCCGGCCGACATACTTACAACTCCTTTGCCTCTCCCCAATGCATTGGTAGTAGCACCCAACCCCCAAAGGTTTATCCCGCAAATGGAGATGTACAACTGAAATTAGTTGCGGTGCTTCCACCATCACCAAAAGCACTAATCAGCGCCTCAATAGCAGCGTAGCAACCAAGACCACACACCACGAGAGCACCCAAGAAGTACACGATATTAAATGAGGACATCCAGAAAGACTTCTTGAAGCCTCTCCACCATCTCTTGTAACCACCGTCCAGACGGGTGTACTTCTTCGTGACGGGGTCAAAGTGTTCTTCGGGGAGCATGGCATTCTTCTTGATGTCGAAACCCAACTTCAGCAGTGCCGGGAAGGTGTAGGTGAAGTTACCAATACAGAAGGCTCCAACTAAACTCGAGATATCTCCAATGTTCGGGACGGCTGAGGCGATGATGTAGGCGAGAGCCCAGTACACGGGCACTATGAACACCCATATGATCTTGCCACTCTTAGTGGTTAAAGCAGGGAAGTCTGGTGTCAAATACTGGTTAGAATTTTTGTGTGACATTAAGAATCAAAAGGGGTAATAGGAAGTGGACTTACGGAGAAGCTCCATAAGCACGTTGTTGTAGATGACTTTGATACCAATGTTACCGTACAAGGCAGCAGCAATCAGTCCACCTGTTTCACAGCATTAGTTTCAACTAGATAACGTTTGATGGTGGTAATGACTGTGCCACGACTTACCAATGATGGATAAAATGTTGCCAGCGGTTCGGTAGCTGAAAGGGGTAATGCTCTGAATGGCCGAACTGAATGTGTATTGGCCCTGGTAAGAGTACTGGAAGATACCAAAGAACATGTAGACGAGGTAGATGAAGATGTCTGCAACAAGCATTCCCTTCCAGAAGTCCCATGGGTTGCGCATCTCGGCAAGAAGATTGAAAAAGAGCATGGCTCCGCCGTAGGCGTAGATGATATTATTGATACCCTGGAAAGAGCCTAGGAAGCCCACACCACCAGAAGCGTATCCATATGGAGGTGTACCAGCAAATACCTTGATAGGGATATGGCTCGCGACAGTGCCGTTGGGGAAGTTGACTGCACCAAAGGGAACGGATGTCGACGCGCCAAAGGAGCTGAACATAGCCGCGTAGTTTGGTTCGGATGTGGCAGCAACACCAATAGCTAGGAAGGAGACGAGGACGGTGGTCAAGACGGAAAAGTTGGCAAGCCATCCAAAGCGCTGGAGAGTGCGGATCTGTCCTAGTACCATGCCCAGGATGGCGATGATGAGAAGGCAGATAATGAAGCATAGACCGTTGCCATTTTCCCCGTCTTTGCCAATGGAAATTTGGGAGATTTTGCCTCCTTCACTGAGAATAAGCACAGACACCAGCATGATCATCTGGAGAGTCTGCAGAACGTTGATGAAGTGGCGCATGGCTGGGCCAAAGACACGGAAAAATGCTTGGCCAAAATCGCGGAGAGGGTGACGATCAGAGTCCACTATAGGTCACATTGTTACTATAAATTCTTTCTTTTCTCAGATGGAAATAGGGGGGGTTGAGAAGTTTCGCTTGAAGTGAAGTACTACTTACTGTGCATGTAAACTCCCCAGACATACCATCCAGATACCGAAGCCATGAAACCAAAAGTAGTATACAGAGCAACGCCGGGCCCATAGCCGGTGTTGGAGAAAGCCCATCTGAAAAGCACTCGTTAGATTGTGAAACACACTTGATGAAAGCTTGGGAGACTCACGGAGCGCCAGAGGGACCAAGAATATCTGTCGTGATCAAGAAGAAGATAGAGCCCCAGGACGCAGTCCTAGCGGCACGAGAGGCTTGTCTCCATTCTACATCAGTCACGGTAGACCTACGCACGACGAACATTAGCATTTGAATTACCAAGATGAAAAGCAATGGGGGTTGTCTTACCAATCAGTGTGCGTGGTCACGATTTGGTTTCCTTCCACAGTGGCGTTCACATCGTGCTGGTGACCCTTGGAGAACCGACTCTTGATAAGTCCACCGAGTGAAAAGGGCTCCTTTCGTTGGATTTGAGTGCCCTCGTACGCACGCTCTTCAGCCCGGGTGATCTCCGCATAGTGAAGGTATTCCTCGAACAGAATGTCCGGGTCGTTGTGCACCTGAGCCGCCTCGATAGAGAAGCCATTTCCGGGCTGCACCGGCTCGTGGTCATTATTGATAGCAAAATCAATAGTGTTCTTCTCATCCATACGCGGATCCCCGCCGTCGAGGGCCAGGTTCGCAGGGCTCGACATCTTGACCGATGGATGGATGAGGAGGGCGACGACGATGACACGCCCTGAGCCGGTGCATTATATAGTATCTCTTACTCAAGGTCTGCGACTGATAACAGAGCTGGGCGTCTAAATCGCGTTTACCCAGGTAGGAAGCTCACTTTTCTGGAACAATCACCCAAAGTAACCCAAGCCCTTGGCTATCTTGGCGAAAGTCTGATCCTGCTCTGTGCCAAGTATGCCCGCAATTTATAGCAAGCCACGCGGGTTCGATAAGAGGCTCTTCGTTATCTCTCATGTAAAGATACGCTTGTCTATAGGTTGCCTGATGTTGACATGATAGAGGCAAATCACGCTTTTAGTTATTAGGCTATATTTGACGCAAAATTCGCAAGTAGGAAGGAGGATTCTGTTGGCCGAGCCCTGCGCCATGGTGACATTGGATTTTTTTTTGTATTCTTTTTTTTTTCAGCTTCGCCATCACTTATCGTCTTCTCCTATAGCATGGTACGGCACATAGCAAGCGCTTGAATGGGTCAGATCTTGCAGCACCTGATTTGACACCACCTAACCCATACGACGGACGGATACCCATTAAGCGTTCTGTTCTGGGTGCGCCAGTGCTGTGGATGTGAAAATTTATACAAAGCTGCCAACGGCCCATAGAGATAGAATAACAATATCATCTCAGGAACCAACCCACAGCGCCTTGGCTCTTTCGCCACGGAATGGATATTTAGCCAGAAGCGGAAGACACGTCCGACTGATGTGGCAAAGCTGCTCGTGACAGTGAATCTACGTTCTTGTTAGTTTGTTTCTCGCAGTCTTTTGAATGCAACAGCGACTGTACAGACCAATCAAAGTCTTTACAACCAAAGGCTTGTACTGAGACAGTGGTTCCGTAACCTTTCCGGGAACCTTTGCCAAGTCGTCGAATCTCCGTAGTGCCAATTTTTGTTCTAGAAGAGGGTCCTTCTGGTGGAATTTCACTTCCTCCTCAGTAAAAACACCGCCCTGAACATGCCATAACATATAAGCATGGATGGATTTCACGCAGAAATACAGCTCGCCGCACCCACCTGGAGCCTGAGGGAGTTTTTGCTGATTTCTGTTAATTTGTCATAATAGTCCTTGTCAACTGCCGTCAGGTAACGCTTTGCCATAACATGTGCGCCGACAAGCTGGCAAATCTTATCATTGAAGCCCAGTTCCCTCAGGTATTTCTCTCCAAAAACATCGTGACTTCCTCGCCCAACGCGTGATCCGTTGGGGGCAATCAACGCTGGCATGTGTTCGTACATTGGGATGAATTGCCCAATGTCGTGCAGCAGCGCAGCCACGACTGCATCGTCGTCAGCTCCGGCTTCGCGAGCCAGTTGCGCAGCCTGCAGGGCATGCTCAAGTTGGGTGACGCGTGCCTCGCCATAGCTTCGGCTTCCCTGGACCGTGAGATATTGGAATAGTTCCTCGGTCAGCGACTGTGCGCGGGCTTCGACTGATGGCAGCATGACGGTTGACATGGTTTTTGGATAATCTGACCCAGCCTCGATGCAGGTAGAGGATGCTATTGGGTGCAGCGTGGGATAATTAAAATTAATTGACTTTGATCCATCCATGGACAGATACTTAAAGAGAAGCGGTTCACTCCACAAGTCCGCTTCGGCTACTTCGGGAAGCGGACTATTCCCAATCCGTAAGTTACGAACAATTAAAACGAGAGAAAAAGGTATCGAATAATATTAAATTTTAATATAAATGCGTATAGAAATTATTAATTAAGAAGTTAGTTACTTACTTTTTTACTCCGTACTTAGTAAATGTTGGAAACTTAAATATATTGCAGACTTTTTTCTTGTTATCTAATATGTACCAACAACGACGCTTGGCAAATGATAAAAATTTTTCTTTTTCTTTCTTTTTTCAGTCTTTTCAGCTCACAGGAACACGTACATGAGAGGTTTCTAATGTTCTTTCTCGTCAGGGTTGTGTGGGAGAATTGTAACTCGAGAGAAACTATCTCCGTAGTATGCTTCAAGGAGACTGATAGGTATCATCCATGTAGCTTAAACCTAATCATTTATATAAGGTTCCAAGGTCATTGGCAACAGATATAGACTTTGCGGGGAACCGGGATTCCCGTAACTCGAAATTACAAGGAATGAGAAAGGCGATGGTGAATCAACTTTGACCTCTTACAATGGCTTGCGACGTACTTTATATACCTGGTTGCTGATTTATAACCGTCTTCCTCAGGATCGGATGAACCAACAGAATTTGCACGTTTATCGGCACAAAATATTATTCATAAGTCGTTAATATCATCCAACCACCCATAAATTAGTAAACATGGTATCAAGAAAACGCCGTTTCATACATGAGATATTGTTGTCGTAGGATATATATTTCTGTCCGAGACCATAGACCTTTCGCCCTGCTCACTTTCTTTCCTCGCTATCTCATCCTGGCTGGATTTACTTTGGTCCGTAAGCTGCACGGAAGGGCCAGGGTTAAGACTGTCATTGATTGTCGAGCGTTTCGACCTTAGCAGCCGGAACTGCGCCCAGGAACCCAGCGCTGATGAGTAGGTATTCCTGAGAAGGAGTGAGCGCAGCAGCGGGAGATTGGCGCCGACTACGGCGAGAGAGCTCTCAATCATCGTCCATGCAAAGACGGGGGTGGTGAAGTCTGTTGATATATCGTCAGTCATTTTGTAAGGTACTTTCACACGGGAGATAGGTAGGGAGAGTTACATGTAACATCACCGATATTAGTCTCAATGTGGCGTCCAATATAGATAAAAGTGATGAATCTTCCTATTCCAGCGCCGCAAACACTGCTCGCTGTTAGCGTGACTCCTTCAGAATTCTGCATCTGCAAATTACATACACGGCACCAAGCAGAAGCACACCGGCCACGGCAATGCGGTTCTTTAGCGGCAGGTTCATCTTGTAGATAATGGGCAGAGGCGAGATTAGAATCATCAAGTCGGTGATAAACCCGCTGATGGAAACCGCATAGTAGAACTGGATCGTGTCGATGCAGCCTGTGCGCGCGTTTTCAAAGGTCGTCCACAGAGTCCGCGGGTCTCTGCATTGGAACAGAGTGCCAAAGAAGAAGGAGATTGCCCAGCAGGCCACGATCACCATCATGACAGTGTTGAAAATCAAGAAGCGGTGGTACATAAAGAACATGCGGCGGTAGAAGATGAGGACTGAGGTCTTGCTTAGTCCGAGCGAGGCCAATGGGAGCAGCTGCAGGACGTAGTTGCACTGGGAGGGTTAGTTTAATCCTCCGTAACTGCGAATTTTATGTATATATATATAGTTACCTTTTCATAATTGGCCAACGCCTTTGTGTATATGGGTTGTCCATCGGGGGCATATTCGTTCGTCTGGTGCTGCGCCATCATCCCGATTTGCGTGCCTGAATGGTTTAGCTAGGTTAGCATGGCTACGGCGATAGAATAGAACGGTACAGCAGGGTCTAGTTTTTGACTAACCCAGGATCATGGTAGCAGCAATGCCGACGACACATAGCTGCAGGGGTAGTGGTTAGCCATTGCATTGATAGCACAGTGCACTTGGCTGCTCACTGTGGCCGGAATAATCAAGACATCGTCGGCGCCGAATCGAGCCCTCGAGTTCCTCCGCGCCCAGAATCTCAGAACCACCGACACCACGGCCAGGAGCAGAAACACTACGGCCAGCGCGCTGAACTTGGCCGGCGACCAGGCCATTGTGCATTGTGCAGCGCCGCAGGGCGCTCCGAGACAGGACCAGGGTTGGTTTCTTTTTTTTTTTTTTTGACCACAGAAATGCCTAGGTACGGAGCAACCAAGGGAAAAGAAGGCTAGTGAGCACCATGCAACGAGGGTGAGGACAAATAAATTGTCTCGAGAACAAAGAAAAATGAACAGAGGGCGCTCGCTTCTTCACCACATTCGTGGGCTGGTCCTTGATAGTCACCGATAGCTCCAGACTAGGGGCCACTGACTTGCAGCTCGATAGGGGCCGCTGGTCAGTTGGCATCCCTAGCGGAGTTGATTGGCATTGGCGCTCCGCGAATGTGGCACTGGAGTGATTATACGATGCAGGACATGATTGATGAATCCAATAATATTGTGTGTGCATGCATGGCCCCCACGACAGACTGCTGTCTAGAATGTAACTCGCGCCATGGCATTAGCTTTTAGCTTGTTGGCAGACCCCAGCCTGGCGTGTGCAGCCCTAAATTAGTAACTCGCCGCTTTAACCACGCTATCAAGGTACATTATCTGTCACTACGCGCGTACGAACCTTCATACATACTCATCGAGCAATGATTTTACCAGAGAAAACCGGCCGGAAGATGGGTGCAGAGGAAGCCGAGCCTCTCTACGCACGCTCGTCCGAAGACGACGAGCTCGAGTCTTTTCAGGAGAAAAATGTTCGCTCGTCCAGAAGTAATCGGCTTTTATTATACATCCTTGGAGCACTAGGATACATCATTCTGCTTGGCTTATACACCAGGCTATGGATTCGGTTCAGAGAATTAGAGGCGGAAGTCCACCAACTGCGGCCGGAGCTTTTCCCATGTATGTCACAGATGCTGTTGGAAAGAAAGAGAACATAGCCTGACACATTACCAGCTCTCGCGGAATCCTCTGCTTTTCGCAGAGACAGCCGGGTGTTTTCCTTGACGGTGGCCGATACTCCGTTTGCGGGAGATCCGAGTCCAGAGCTCGACAAGGCGTGGCATGATCTGCTTGAGGGTTTGTTCAGTTATCCTGATGGAACTATTGGGGCTCTGCTAAGAATTGCCAGACACTACTATTCGAGTCGCAAAGGAGGACTTGGACTATTACAATGTCACGTCTTTGCCCTTGGCCGACGGCTCGGGATATGCCTCGGAGCTCTTTATGACGCACGAACTGCACTGTCTGGTGAGTTGTTCTTTTCTTTTTTTAAGAAAAAAAAAAAGGAAAATTGGCCAAATTAACAAGTACAATAGAAAAAAGTCCGCCAGTGGATTTACAAGGATGCATACTTTGATGACGTGCAAGGACTTGCCCGGAACGAACTCAAGCGACACGTAGGCACGTATACGCTTATACCATTCTTTTTGATACCAGATTGACTGCTGACTATCCTAGACCATTGCATCGAGACATTGCGACAGGGCATCATGTGCAGAGGCGACGTCTCGCTCGGAACGTATACTTACATCTCCGCAGGCACCTCGGTGACGGCTCGCAGCTGGGGTTCTCACCAATGCGTTGACTTTGATGCGTTGATTTCCTGGGCTCGCGAGCGTGCTGTAGACATCTTTCAGCCAGGAGCTATTCCGAGTCCTGAGGAGGTTGGGCCAGAGCATATCACGCTTAAAAAGGAGCCTCATTGAGCTGATAATGATTGCGACGATTTATGTACATATATATAAGTAGCAAAATGCCAACACATCATAAAGGATGGGTACTATTATCCCAGTTATGGTTGCGCAACGCATCCTCCCTCGCAATCCCCCATTCATTAGCCCATGCCACCAAGCCGTCATAGTCTCTGCACGTCCGCTCCGTCTGCCACCCGGAAACTCCCTGGGTCGTGTAGTTCATCGCCTCGAGATTCGAGTCAGCCAGACAAATGAGCGACTGGCGCAGATACTCGAAGCAATGGCGAATATGATGCAAGCTGGTGCGATGGTTCATTTCCTGGCTCTGGGCGCCCATTTCCTCCAATTTGCCGTCCACGGAGGCGAAAAAGGCGGATCTGAGGATGTCCTATATCGATAACACCCTTCTTATCAGTCTTGGGTCTTACCAGTAGAATCTTGGTCAGACGTACCAGACAGTGTAGTTCGTGAAACACGGCGATCCCAGCGACGTCCGGTGCAAACTCCGGGTGTTGGATGAAGCCTTTCTTTTCCGGAAACAGCGAATCCCAGAGCCCGTCGCTGATCGCATTTGAGCGCTGCGCAAAGGAGCCGTTGAACTTCATATAGTAATGTACGTCGCCCACGGCAGCTGTCAAATCAGGTCAGTTTAGATGTCGTTCGTTCGTAATTCCGAGTTGTTGGGTCATATATACCGAACGGATTGCCATCGGACGCAGGCCCGGTGCCAGAGCCGAAGTGGTAGCCCACCGCATATCCCAGTGCAAGCGTGCTTGCTACGAGGAATACAATAATGACATAGCGAATGGCTCTTTGCCTATGCGAGACTGGCGGGGGCTGCGACTGGAGCTCGCCGTCGCCGTCTTCAGAGGACGGCAGGCGAGAGTACGTCTTGGAGTCGGCCATGTTGCATGTAAGACGGAAAAAGGTAAGAGAGAGAGATAACTGAACTGAGTACTCTGGAATGTATTGGATCTGCCAAAAACAAAACAAAAAAAAAAAAAAAAAAGCACCAACCAAAATCGACAGACGGTGAGATCGAAAGTAAACTAACTACTTTGACTCGTAAAGGTCGTAATGATCCCGCAAGCCCTAAAGCGGCGAGCAGCGACAGTATGAGAAGCGACAGAAACAGAAACACTTCTTCACTGCTCAAATAATTAATGCCAACCCAAAAGACAAGTCAAATAACTGGAATCCCATGCTCCGGCCGGCACGCAATCTCCAACAAGCTTTGCAGACCCAATAGGATCAATTGGGCTTGCCAATCAGTCAGAATATAGCACAACGGCCCCCAAAAACTGTGCAAAACCTTGCAGATAGTTTTACTTATCGCTGATCAGCGTGGATACAACCAGGTTGTATTCTCTTGGATTCCTGCCGTGAAAATGCAGTCTTCGTCAGCCAGCGCCTAGATAGTGGCAGCATTGGCTCCAAACGTGTCGCCATATCTATGCCTTCATTGGCCTTGGTTCCTGCTCAGCTCAGATTCTCTTCAATCTAACTTACTCGCGTGAATTAAATTAAATACGGCGCAGTCAAGAGATGTAGTAAGTCCCACCGTAGCTTGTGCTACGTCGTAGTAACTAGTTGTGGTGGTAATAAGAAAGGAGAATGCCCTACATAAGATCCTTCTATATCCAGCGCTGAATCCAATCCTGCCAACAATCAAAAATCCATCCAAGACTCTAAGATCTTCTCTACTACAACTCAATTTCAATCCTCTGCTACGTTTTATACGTACATACCTCGTACATCCCCAACATGCGTTACTCCACTTTGCTCCTCTCAGTCCTCGCATTCTGCGCTATGTACGCAAGTGCTGCTCCTGTCCCTGAAGACAGTAAGACCCTCTCTCTCTCTCGCTCTTGGCTTTCAGCCAATTTCCCTAAAAATCGGTACTAATCGTATTCAAAATAGGCGCTTCCACCGAAGTGGATGCCTCAGCTCCTCAAGAGAACGACACCGACGATGCCTTTGCCTACCAGTGGCGTAACTAGACGCAGACTCTCGAAGGCCATAGGCGGTATGGCTAGACGATGAAGTTGGAATGAGCTGGGATGCGGTTTCTTTTATATTGCGGTTTTATGCTTGATGACAATACCTTGCTTGTAGACCGAACAAAAACAAAACAAGTCTACCTTATCAGATCTATCTTCAAAGTAGTATATATACTATTGCTTGTAAAACATCTAGATGATCTGCTGGTTTCGTATCTTGATTCGTACATTGCGTATACCTTCGTAGACTGATCCCGTCAGCCCTCCCAAGTTATTTCAAGAATGGCAAGCCGAGAGCCCTCGGGCTGTATCACGCGTTTAAAGACAAATCGTGGATCAGCCTGGTTGAATAGACTAGTCCATCCCTCGGCGTCGCGCTCCCTCGCATTGCCAATCTCCAACATTGTAAGATCCATAGCCCTGTCACCGATCAGTTAAGTTGCACGCAGTTTGTGCACATATGCTCTGCAGAGCATCAGAAAGAAGCAAAGTCTTACCTCAATTTCCGCTCCAAATCATTCGGCAGCACTCCCGGCGGCGGCATCACAAAGTCCATCACAAGCACGCGCGCCCCAGTCTTCAGAGCCGGAACCAGCGCCCTCAGCGCCTTCACGCAGTACTTATCCGGCCAATTGTGCAGTGTCCAGCGGAACAGATACGCATCGGCGCCCTGCACGGGCTGCTCTTCGAAGAAGTCGTGCACCATAAACTTCACGTTCAGCCCTTCCTCCTCCGTGGAGTTGGCAACTACCTGCGGCAGTTCCTGCACGATGAGACTGAGATTAGGGTAACTTCGCGCGATCGCAAATGCTGCGTCGCCATGCGAGCCGCCGAGGTCGACAACGGTGCCTTTTCCGTCGGATGACGAGAGGATGCTGGCCCAGGGATATCCGTCGGCCAGATGGCGCAGCGAATATCCATCGCCCGTGGTGAAGAAGCTCATTGCGCCGCCGAAGCGGCGTGCTCGATCGGGGTTTTTCTCTAGTTCCGCGTAGAACGAGTCTTCTGTTCCGTTGGCAAGTGCGAAGCCCTGTATAAAGATATATTCTATGTGAGCGAGTCTCATTATCTTTTTTTTTTTTTTTTTCTTTTTTGGTTTTGCTTCTAGAGTCCATTGCATACAGTCTGATTCGGCTCCGAGGCAAGCGGCCATTTCTGCAGAGCATCGACTACTCTTTCGGCCGCGGGCCACATGTCGTCTACATTGGCTCCCACCCAGCTGGCCACCCGTGTGTCTTCTGCGATTTGCCTGGAAGCCGACGAGTGGGCAATCACCCCCGGGCGAGGTTCTCTGAAAATCCGCTGGGCGATTGCAAAGCGGAGAATGGTGGTGAGCGCAGCGGAGTCGATGCCGGCCGAGGCAGCCAGATCGGCAAAGGGGATTTCTCCATCGAGGGGCACTTTGTTGGCAAGGTCGAAGCGCGAAATTGCTTTCAGGTATACAAGGGAGTTGTGCTGGTGGTTCTCATTAATGATCGAGAGTTCATCTTGGGAGGAGCCTTGCATACATGGTGGTTGAAGAGCAAGTCTCGCGGTCCCTGCAATAGATCGTTGAGCTCCTGGCTTGCCTGCAGCACTAAGGTCCGAGACAGCTCAAGGTCCGGGGGCAGGCCCAAGTCTGCAGGCCCGTCGGCCTCGAACGAGGGATATGGCAGGCCCTTCTCAGCGAGATAGGCATCGATGCGCTGCGTATGTTGGGCTACGGCGGATGCCAGCTCGGCGATCCGGCTTGGCGACGAAGACATGTTGTGTCCAGTCGACTATGTAAGTAAGGGGTGTGGTATTTTTTTTCCTGGAGAAGACGACTGACTACCTAGGTACTTTCGGAGCAGGATTTATGCTTATTTTATAGGTAGTTAACTCACTGCTACGAAGATCAAGTAAGCAACGCACATCAAGGTAGGACAAAGAGACACAGCCCCTCTTCCCAAGGTTGTCCAGGGTAGTTGAGTCATATGCAAAAAGGGCTCCAAAATATGAGTGATCGCCATCAGTTCCACACAGCTTCTAGCGCCAACGTGCGTTGGGCCGGCAATCAGCACTAGACTGGCACACCATGAAACTCTGATTGTCCGATAATTCAGTCATTCAGCATTGCATACTTTCCAGGCATGCGCGGCGGTCAGAATCAGAACTGGAGTTAGAATAGAATTTAGGGGGCCGGAAGACAAGCCCTAACCCTAGCCCTACTTCTTATCCCCATTCGGCAGCTCGCGCCATGCTGTATTCGGCGTAGCGGCGAAGCTATGGGCCAGCTGATAGCTTATCTAATCCGCCTATCGACTGTCAGCTGCAGTCTTGACCTACTTGGCTACTCTTCCAATATTGCCGCGTTGAATCTTTATATGATCGAGTCTTCCTCGAGTTTTATCAAGGACAGCTGAAGCCTGCACAGCATGCCCCTGGCTTACACAGTCTTCGTGCGGCTGCCCTTTCCCCGGGGGGACTTCATCGATCCTCCGCCAGTCAGTTGCTACGCCATCAATCACTCTTGTCTGCTTTTCTGCTGACTTGTTGCAGGCCAACTGGGATGCCGTCAAGGATCGTGCACTGTGGGGAATTCTTTCGCGGCCATCCAAGGGCGACGACATAGACTGTACGCTTGCCAGACATGCAATAGAAATGGATTGCTGCTAATATACATCATGTGGTCACCAAACAGGGAAAGCGATGTATGATCATCCACGGCTTGTTTATTGTTATTCGTTCTCTCATTGACAGTTATTTAGCGCCGACGATTTTAATGTCACCCTCTCGTTCCTCCTCCAGCAAGCCGCCTGGCTTTACGATCGACAGCTATCCCAGGTTCGAGCACAGATGCGCAAAGTAGGCAACACACAATCGCAGTTCCCTCCACCAGCGCCAGGGCTGGGTTCTGTGTCCGGAAGTGGTGCGTTGGGCGGACAAACTATGAGGAGAGCGGGCAGTGGCGGTTAGTCTCGCAGTCGTTGGTGTTTGAGTAAGAATAGAGATGCTGAACACTGATCGCAGGATCTCGTGTGCCGCCGAGATTGTCGGCTATTCAAAAAGAAACCCAACCGTCACGCACAGAGAGCAATTCCTCGACTACAGTGCCCAGAGTCAAGGGTAATTGATTAAGGTCAACACGAAGCTTCATGAACATCCGCTGACAACTTGAACAGGCCCCGTTCGAACAAGTTCTGCAACAACCGTTACCCAAGCAGTTGAAACGACGGAAACGAACACATTGGCCGGCCGAGCGCTGCCACGACGGGAAAGACCGAGCTTGGCTATCCTACAGAAACCGCCCAAAGCAGCTGAGAAAAGCCCGTCGTTATCACCTAACTCGGACTCGGAGTCTGACTCTTCCTTGGATAATGACGACGACGACGACGACGACGATAATATGTTGACAAGTCGAGCAATGCCGGGCGGAGTGCGTCGATTTGGCAAGTTTTCAATGCACAAGCCAAGCTTAAGGGGCGAGGCGGACGATGACGATGACGACTCACCTGCGTTCCTCCCTCTACCACGGGAAATCGAGTCTGACGCTCAACGAATGAACTCTACGCTTCGTCAACAAGATGATGTCCCTGAAACATCGCGCAGACGGATAACAGGCTACACTCCTTCACATCGACGCGAGTTGGTCAGCCTCGATAGCTCTGCGAGTTCCGGGGTTGCTATAGCCAGTCCGCGGGCCGGACCTCAACGGCCACCAGAGCCACTCAGTCCACGCCGAGTTGCGAGCCTGTCCCGGGAGAGTTCGCGACGACATGGATCTGCGAATCAAAGCAGCGAAGAGACGCCGAGCATGGGCAGTAGTTTTAGCGATTTGGACGGTACGTAGCATTCATTCCATTGGCCTGCCTCCCTTTCTAATACGCTTTGTAGATGCCAGCGTCACACAGTCTGCGCTGGAAGAGGCGCTCATGAGCAACATGCAGCACGGAGGGGTGGCAAGCCGAATGAGCACGATCAGCCAGGCTCTTCGCAGCCGGTATTTGTGATGTAAACTAGCATTCTGCACGTATGTAACCTTTCGTAAAGCTTGGGCTTGGGGTCTGCTATCTACATCGTACATCTGATCACTGCCGCCTACTCAGGCCACAAATAATTATCGATTATTCTTCGTTCTTCATTCCTTCTTCCTCATTTCCCCCCCCCCCGTCGTCCATTGTCCATCTGCCTTTTGCATAGAAACACCGAGTTGTGGACGCCGGAGATACCCCGCACCGACCGGACTTGGACCGTCATCGATCGGATCCATCGTGAAGCTCAACATGGAGATGGAATCAAACTACTTCAGCAACTATCCACCGCCCAAAGCGCTGCCACGACATGAAGCGCTCGCCCGCGCGTTCATCGAGCTCCAGCTCGAGCACAAGCGGAGAGTGGTCCTAGTGACGAGCGGGGGGACCACAGTTCCGGTGCGCCTCTCCTCTCTCTCTCTCCCCTCAAGCGTAAACATAAACAAACCGCTTGCTGACCAGACGCACAGCTCGAAAACCAAACAGTCCGATTCATCGACAACTTCTCGGCTGGCACTCGAGGCGCCGCCTCCGCGGAGCAATTCCTCGAAAACGGCTATGCAGTCATCTTCCTGCACCGGCAGTTCTCGCTGCTGCCCTACTCCAGACACTACAGCCACTCGACCAACTGCTTCCTCGACTTTATGGACGAAGATGCCACGACCTCCTCCATCGTCGTGCGCAGCGAATACCAGCACGCCATGCGCGACGTGCTGCGGAAATACCGCTACGCGAAGCAGAATAACCTACTGCTTGTGCTCCCCTTCACCACGGTGACGGAGTACATATTCGAGTTGCGCGCGATGGCGAACCTGATGAAGCCCCTAGGCGCGAATGCATTGTTCTATCTCGCGGCGGCCGTGAGCGATTTCTTCATTCCGCGCGACCGAATGGCCGAGCACAAGATCCAGTCCTCTGAAATCCCGTCGGACATAGCCAAGAAACATGACCAACCCATCCAAGACGACGACGTGTACACCGGCTACAACGAGTCGGAAGAACAGCAGCAGCAACCAAACAAGTCTAAGAAACTCATTGTCGACCTCGACCCAGTCCCCAAGTTCCTGCACCGGCTGGTCGACGGCTGGGCGCCAGAGGGCAGCATGATCGTCTCGTTCAAGCTAGAGACAGACCCGAACCTGCTCGTGTACAAGGCGCGCGCCTCTCTGCAGCGGTACGCGCATCACCTCGTGATTGGGAACCTGCTCTCGACGCGCAAGTGGGAAGTCGTCTTTGTCACGCCTGAGCCGCCGCATGAGCGCTGGATACGCGTGCCCAAGTCCAAGAGGAGCAAGTCTATATCCGGCGAGCAGAATCAGATTGGGCTTGCCGAGGGAAGCAGAAACAAGCAGAAAGAAGAGAAAGAGGAAGAGCAGGCCGGACAAGATCTTGATACCGATCTTGAAATTGAGTGCATGATAATCCCGAAGCTGGTGCAGTTGCATACGAAGAGGATTGAGTTGGTGAAATAATTTTTTTTCTTCTTCTATACTCTATAGTTTATAAGGAGATGCAAAGATAGTGAAATCAAACCAATTAATTCTCGTATCCGGTAGTCTTAACACCATCCATAAAGAAAAACGCCATAGCTATGCCTTATGTTGAAGCTCCTCAACGCCTTCACACAAAAAAGTCACCCACCGCAGTAAGAAAGAAAATTCTATTATTAAATCAATCAATGCGAAGAAAATAAAGAAAGGTTACTCCCATTCAGCAACCTCACACTCCCCCCTCGCCCTCGCCGTCACCTCAATCCTCGTCATCATCCAACCAGACTGAGTTCCTTCGCGAGGCACGCCGAGACGCGGCGATTCAAAAGTGCGACATTCCGGCCTCATGGCCGCTTGGCTTGCGCCTGTTTCGTCGTCGTAGTAGCTATCAGGGTCTTCGCCCCAGCGGAAACTGTACTGTCGGCATAATCCGTCTGCCTCGCATATGCGTCGGCAGTCATTGATGTTCTCGACTAGGACGTCCTCTACCAGATCGCCCGACAGATTGTCCCAGTCTTGCTGAATGCCGGGTTTCAGCTGCGGGAGAATGCGTTCGTGGAAGACGTCGGCGTGGAGCAGGAGGTTGTGTTTTTTCTGGGGGGGCTTTCATGTCAGTTCTCGTAGTTTCTTCTATTTTTTAAAAAAAAAAAAAATTGACACGGCATGGTCGCAACTGGCATACCTTGATAAACCAATCCTGGTCGAAGCGCCACATGTCTTCCACATCCGCGGGGGTAAGATGGTGATACGCGACCACAGGGTAACACCATGGCTGACGGTAAAAGGTATTCGTCAGCGGCTCAATCTCGCCCAACCGCGCGTTCTGAAGCAGTGGCCAGGTGAAGGTCAAGTCAACTCCTGCATCTTTCAATGCCTTGCCTAACACCATATCCCCCGCCCACTCCATGTCGGTATACATATCGTACTCGGTGACATTTCTTGCACGCTGCGCAGACACCATGTGCATCGCCGTCCGCGAAATAATAAACCCAGAGCCCCCATGCGCAAACAGGACATCGCCTATCTGCGTCTCGGTGCCCAAATAAAGAGGCTCGTCCGGATCCAGCCGGTCCAGCCAGGCCACCAGGTTCGGCCAGACGATATGCGTATCAGCCTCCATAAACACAAACCACTTCGCATCCGGCTTCGCTTTGAGAGCCTCATCGATCATCGGCAAGAACTTCCACTTGTCCAGCTTCCAGCCGGGATTATTGGGCATGCCAAACACCCCGTTCTCCTCCTCGGTGGCGTCGGCGTCTTTCAGTCCTTCGCGTCCGCTCACTCTCAAGCGGTTGTACAGGTCAAAGTCGTCCACGGTCAGTCTCACATCACGCCGCACATTCTGCAGCACATCGTGCAGCTGTATGCCGTCGATCTCCTCCGAGTAGTCGGAGAACACCACATAATTCGGCACGCAGCGAAATGTCGTCTGGGCGTGCACGGGCACCTTGTCGAGCGCCTCGGTGACACCCGTTTTGAGCACGACCAGCACATCTTCGATTCCGGGCAAGGGCGGACAGGCAAAGTGCTCTTTGCGTTGTCGTTGGCGTTCTCGCTGCTGCTGCTGCTGCTGCTGTTGCAACGACAAAGGAGCCTGGGCCTCTCGTCGCGGGTCCAGGTTGTTATAATTGCTGGCCGACCGGGCGATGAGAAACCACTGTGGCCCTCGGAGAAACTGCAGCAACACCACGAATCCTATGAGCGGCGCAACGACTGTGATCCATCGACGCGATTTGCGGCGAAGGGGCAGCATGGGGTCGTCGTCGTCGTCGTCGTCGTGAGGTGGCGGCAGGAGCAAGAGACGGCGGCGAGCGTGGGTGGTGCGAGCATGAGACGGCGGCTGGATGATGGTGGCATTAACGTATATCGAATAACAAGGGAAAAAAAAAAAGAAAAGAAAATCAGAAAAAAAAAGCAAAAGAGGGAGAGAATGGCAGTATAGTCAGTTATTGATTAATATGGGCAATAAGGAATGGAAGGAGGAATTCAAGGAGCGGCCGACAGAGAGGAGGAATTAACGGTTCCAAGGATGGAGGATTCAGGATGACGGAAGCAGGCCAACCAAGACGATGCCGAATATATTTAATAATATTATATTGTCTTATATGATATGATATGATATAACCACATCGAATAGTTAGTTGGCTAGTTACAATGTGATTGACTATCCTCTCTCCTGATCTCCGTAATAAAAGTCCGCACGAACAATTGACGATCACCATTACGCATGCTCCTACGCAGGCGATCTTCCTCATTCCAGCGCACGCACTGCGGCATTTGTGGAATTGAATTTGCTCGCCTACGCGCACGCCGTCAAGTTTCACTGTGTGTCCGGCGTATGGCAGCGCAGGGATACGCGCGCGCCCCATAAAAGGGACGGCTCGCGATGGAGTCCAGCGTGTTTCAGGTCTTTTGGGCCGACGTCATATAGGATCGTGTGTATATCGATCGGCTCGACGATCGTTGCCGGCGAAAATTATCCCGCTGGCTCGGCGAGTGGATTATGGATACAGAGGGATGAAGGATGAAGGAAGAATGAACGGAGCGGAATACTTAATTCTCCGGAGCATCTACAGTGTCTACAGACAAAGTCACTTCTCAGTCCTGCGTGCGTCCACCAGCAGCACCACCACCGCCTCGTACGGCCGCAGCAGCCACGTCTCGTTCGTGTATTGCTCGCTGGCGCCATAGTTGTTCAGCAACACCTCCTGTGCCTGGCCGACGCCGTTCGCCGCCGGATCCCACTTGACCGTCTGGGCCGTAAAGTTGCAGAGCACCAGCGCCTGCTGGCCCTCGAACTGCCGCGTGTACGCCCACACCTGCTCACTGGTCTGGTCGACCATGGCAAAATTGCCGTACACGAATATGTCCAGGTGCTTTTTGCGCACGTCCAGCACCGAGCGCCAGTAGTTGAATACCGACGTGGGATCGGACACCTGCGCCTCGGCATTGATTGCTTTGTAGTTCGGGTTGACGCTCATCCATGGCTTGACCGCGGCGTCGTCAGTGAAGCCGGCGTTGGGTCCGGACGTCCACTGGACGGGAGTGCGCCCGTTGTCTCTGGATTTCTTCTGGTATTGCCGACGATACTCGTTCAGCGCTTCGGTGTTGTCGGGCTCGGCAGCTAGATGTCTACAGACACCGCGGCGTTAGGAATTTTGTACGTTGGTGAGATGGGACGGGCAAGGTAATATACGTACTGCTTCCAATGGTTCAGGCAGTCAATGTCCTGGTACTCCTCTATGGGCCACTCAATTGGTACATTGCGCATCCCCAGCTCCTGGCCCTGGTAAACAAACGGCGTACCAGCCATCAACGCCAGGCACGTAGCCAGCGATTTCCCGGCAATCGTGGAGTCCTCCGGCTTCGCATGCGTATACCTATCAATCGACCGTGGCTGGTCGTGGTTTTCCCAATACAGCGCATTCCAGCCGTCGTTGTCGTACATGAATGTCTGCCACTCGTTGAACAGACGCTTCAGGTCCGTGAGTTTCCAATTGCCCTCGGCAAACTTGTCAAACTCGCCGTGGTCGATATCCACATGCGCGAATTGAAAAATCATGTTGATCTCGTTGCGGTCATAGCGCACCGCCTTGAGCACCTCCTCGGTGTCTGTGACGAACGGCATCTCGCCCACGCTGAATGCATCGTATTCCTTGAGGATCTGTCCCAGTCCTTGCAAGTACTCGTGCAATCGTGGCCCGTTGGCATAGTAGAGGTTCCCCCATTGCCAAGGCGAGTTCGGATCTTTGACGGGTGCGTCGGGAAAGTCCTGATGCTTGCTAATGAAGTTGATGACGTCCATGCGGAATCCGTCGCACCCCTTGTCAAGCCAAAACCGCATGATATCATGCACGGCCTTGCGTACTGGAGGATGCTCCCAGTTGAGATCCGGCTGTTCCACGGCATAGAGATGCAAGTAGTATTCGCCAGTCAATTCGTCCCATTCCCATGCGCTGCCTATAGTAGATATCAGCACATTCATTGGATTTATGTTTGAACATCTGATGCAAACCTTGAAAATGTGACACCCAGTTGTTCGGTGGATGTCTATTCCCTTGCTCGTCATATCTGGGCGGTTTCCAGACATACCAGTTGCGATACTCATTATCCTTCGAGCTCCGTGATTGCTTGAACCACTCGTGCTGGTCACTAGTGTGATTGACCACCAGATCCATGAGCAGCTTCATCCCTCTCTCGTGGCTCCCTTGTATCAGGCGCTCGACGTCTTCCACCGTGCCGTATGGAGGGTGAATGCTGTAATAATCCGAAATGTCGTAGCCCATATCAACCTGCGGCGACTTGTAGGACGGCGACAGCCAGATGATATCGACCCCGAGCTTCTTGATGTAGTCTAGCTTGGACACGATGCCCGGAATATCACCGACGCCATCGTGGTTGGAGTCCTTGTATGACGCCGGCCAGATCTGGTAGACGGAGCATTCCTTCCACCAGGCGCGATGGACCTGTTTGTTGTCTTGGGCGGCCATTATCGATATCAGAGCACAAACCGTACGTATACTGAGTCTTCTTTTTCAGGGAGAAGCAAATGAACTGGGTGTGTAGGGAGAAGAGGAGCAACCAACAGCAGCACAGAGCCTGCTGAGTTGGCACCAAATGCCACCTGCCCCTCAACTATCAGCGTCGCAATCTTCATTCGATGTCCAGCTGCATCGGGTTCCGCATTTCTGTCTGGCTGGACCCGTCAAGCTTACTCCACCAGGAGTTATCTGCCTGGCATTCATGTTGCGCATTCATTGTCTTCGCAACAAGGCCGTGTGCTGAGGGGAGGGAAGCTGCATGGATGGCATCATACGCGGGACACAAGATATTCTACGAGATGCTCGGTTTCTGCAGCACAACACGAAAGCTATCTATATCATACATCATACGATAATACTAATTGCATTGCATGTAGTGACTCCTAGTAAATTCATAAATACTATACTAAATGGATTGTATCAACGCTTTATTTCCTCCGGCTGAGTGAGTGTTTATCGGAAAAGCCTATCCTGGACTAGCTTCGCTGCCTTTCTGCCTCAGGCCGCACTGTCAGTTGCGCCTTCAACTTCCAACTCCGCTCCTTCTGTCGCTTTCGTGTCTCGCATAGCATTGCATACATAGCAACACAAAATGGCACACGACAACAGGTTCCCCCCGGGGCCCTATCGCTCCTCTGCTTACGACGACCGCATGTATGACGATCGATATTCAAGGTCTCGCTCCGTCGAGCGCGGACACTACGGCGGTACACGCTCCTCCCTGCATGGTATAACCAGTCGTGTTGTTTGAGCGCAAAAAAAGCATTTGGATGATGAAGAAGAGAAGAAACAAATTTTTGCAATATTCGAGCTTCTGGCTAATGAATTGATGGGTTTTATCACACAAAAGACCATGCTCGGGACACTCCTCGAGGACCAGCCGGTCACCATAGAAGACACGACTTCCCTGAAGATCGAGACTACAGAGGCCGGTCACCTCCGCCACCACACCGCGGCGGCCGTCAAGCGGGCTATAGAGATCGCGACCGCGAGGGCTATCGTTCCCCAGATTACGACAGTCGCAGTCGCAGCCGCAGCCATGGTCGAGGTCATGGTCGAGACCGCGACCGTGATCGCCATCGTCCTGGCCAGGAAAGCCGAGAAGTTATCATGGAAGGATTGCCGGTGGACATGATTGAAGAAGACGTTCGACAACACTCTTTTTCCCTCTTTTTATTTCCCCCCCAGTTTTGCTTCAACCGCTAAGCATCTCTGAGAAATCCATATTTTGTTTTGTGGAGACAAGAAGCTGAGATGTGCAAATCGCTGGGCGTGCCCCCCGTTGCACCCCGGTTGATGAGTGGACAGATCTCGAATGAATTATTAGACTATTATCATGTTCGAGGATTGGAAGACGTCCGAGTCATCCGTGATAGACAGACAAGTGAGTGCGTTCCTATATTCCGCAAGAGGGACGAAAAGGTGTTTGCTGACTCTTGACGTCCACAGAGTTATCGCGCCAAATAGGTTTTCTCCGCTTTCATACTTTGAATGACTCGAGAGATTTCATGGATCAAAACGCACCTATTCTCTACCTCTACGGACGAAAGCATGGAAACGACGATCGCGCTGCCAAAGTTCGCATCGCATACACTCGAGAAAGGGACGACCGTCGTGCAAGGCCGGAGGGCGAGTGGACTTGTAGAAATGTCGGTTGGCCCTTTTTTTTTTTTTTTCTTTTTTCTTTTTTACTGCGCTACCTGAAAAATCAACGGCATACTGATGTGTAATATAAAGTGCTCATTTGACAATTTCTCAACCCGCCAAAAATGCTTTCGCTGTCAGGCAGACCGTGCTGGTGAGTACGCAGTCTTTCTTTGCAGGTACAGGTGCGTGCTAACTGGAGTCACAGAAGCGGAAATGGCGCCTGAGGAAATGCCGGCTCGTGTCGTCAACATCGGAGACAACGACGTGGCTCCGGATAACACTCCCTCCCAGTTCTTACTATTCCGAGGATTGGATGGTTCTGCTACTGAAGAGGTGTTTTCCAAGGGAGTCACAAAACTATACAAGCCTAGCGCCGATGATTCTCAGCACGCAGAAAATGGCCCTAAAAAGTCAAAAGTTGTCTCTACCACTGGGAACTCGAATCTAGGTGCTAGGGAAGGGTCTTTACGGCGAGTTCTGCTTGTTCGTGATCGTCGGACGAATGAAAGCTGGAAGTTCGGGTTCGCCGAATTTGCTACTGTCGAGGTATATTTCTATTCAAAGCTACCATTGTAACAGTTACTTATCGTGAATCATTACTTAGGATGCACAAGCCGCTCTGACGAAGTTGAACGCCTTTGAAAAGTTTACAATCGCTTCGAAGACAGTCCTAGCCAGCTATATCCACGCTGGTGTATTCGTGCCTGTGATCAATCCCACCCCCAGCACAGCAAGATTCACTTTCAGTCCGCTGAATAACCCCGCAATGAAACTCGCATATTGGGACGAAGAAGGCTATGTCACGGAACTGCTAGTGTCAAAGGAAGAGCTGGACAAAAAGCCCAAGGCGGACTCAAAAGCTACGAAAGACGGTGATAAAGCCAAAAAGAGAAAAGCAGAGGCTTCCGGCTCGGCGGGTGTGAAGAAGACAGCAATGCCTTCGCATCTCCAGTTCTGGTCTGATCGACATGCAGAATTGCATGGCATCCAACGGAAGGACGACCACGACAATGAAGAATCGAACAAGGCGTCTGAAGGACGGCCTCCTAGTACTACGTCACCGGCAGCACCTCCGAGTCGATCATACGCCGACCCCAATCGCAACTGCTGCTACCTGTGCATGCGCCAATTCAAGTCAGCGGCAGAAGTCAACCGACACGAACGGCTCAGTCAATTACACCGTGATAATCTCAACAATGAAGCGTTCATAACAAGGGCATTGGCAAAGCTCGAAAAACATCGCAACGACCCACCCACCGCCGAATATCGGGATCGCGCCAAAGAACGCCGCCACGCATTTGGGAGTTCTCGACAAACCCAGAACAAAGCCAAGCCTGCTGCTGCTGTTGCCGTCAAGGAAGACGAGCCCACGACCATTCCTGCCCAGTCTAAAGGCGCAGCTCTGCTGAGCAAAATGGGCTGGTCTGCAGGGTCTGGGCTGGGTGCGCAGGGAACGGGTATTTCAGCCCCTATCGCCACCGATGTATATGCACAGGGTGTTGGACTCGGGGCGCAAGGCGGCAAGCTCGGCGACGCATCTGAAGAAGCAGCCCGAAACACGCGAGGTCGGTATGACGAGTTTTTGCAGAAGACAAAGGAGTTGGCTAGAGAGAGATACGAGCGGATGTCCTAGTTTTATAAGAACTTCAAGTAAATGTACAGTACAGTAGCAATGCACTTATTTTATACATGTATGTATGTATATATGTATGTATGCATGTAGTAGCAACCCTTGAAATATATTCATCCCGATCCAGATCCAGAGTGGCGATTCATATCAAACATTCCCAGCCAAATACACCTATATCCCATGCACAAGAAGAAGCAACGGAGGGGAGAAAAAAAAAAAAAAAAAAAAAAAACTATTTTTCCTGCTCCTCTCTCGCCGCCTTTGCCGCCTCGACCCTCCTCCTAACCTCCTTCAAATCCTTCTTACCCAACACATTCTCCAACCAAGCCTCCATATCGCGCTCAAATTGTTCTTCTTCCTCCTTTGTCGGCGGCACTCCCGCACCACCACCGCCTTCCAGCGATGAAGAATAACCGAGCCGTTTTCGCAGCCGAGCGCGCGCAGCATCCACAGAGTCGATGTCGAGGACGCACAGGGTGCCGCCGGCAAGGATCATGGCGGCTGCGAATGTGTTTATGGTGGCGAGGTTGAGTGCTTCAAAGGCGTCGAGGGCGCCGTTCACGTGCGGCTTGTGGTACACGCTGGATGTGTAGAAGGATGGTACGCCGGCAAGGTGTTTGCGGATCAGGGTGCGGCGGGTGACGAGGGAGGAGAGGGAGAAGAAGACGAGGCCGCCGAGGAGGAGTTTGAGGTTGTTGGGGATGAGGCGTGGAGGCTTATTTTGTGTCTGTTGCTGTTGTTGTAGAGTCGGTGTTTGGCTGTCGCCTACTGATGCGGTCGCTGCTGCTGCTGTAGTTGTTGTTGGTACTGGCTGGGAGTTTTCCTCTGTTGAGGGATTTAGCCATCTTCTGAGCAGCCATGACATGTTGTGTTTGTGTCCAGTCCAGCTTTCTTCGACGACAGAATTGAAGCTGGAATGGAATTTGACCAACTCCACTTTTGGTTCTACCCCAGGAAGTTGGCTGCACTAAGCCTGAATGGGAAGGTTTATGCAATCCACTTCACACGAGATTGAGGAAATCAACTACAGGCTTAGCTACAGGCTCGACATTTTTCTAGGCAACGAGATGCAACCCAAAGCGCCATCCATGCATACACAATCAGACCAAAAGCGACGTCGTGTTTTGAGAGGAGTACTTCGAGACGCAGGAATTCGAACACGGCGTACCAACTATATAACGCGAAGCAATTAGTACGTATAGATAAGACATAGGAGGTGAATAAACTGACAATATGCACACCTCAACGTCTTGAAGCATCGAGCTTGATGCGTCAAAGTTGACTACGACTGTTATCTTCGTGTCGTTGAGCATGTCCTCTGGAACTGAATCTACCAATTGAGAAGATTGACATGAAGCAGCTGAGGTAGACGAGACAGGCGACGTGGACTGTGCCCTATCAGCTCGTAAGTTTATTTTCTTCGTGAGTCTAACCATGCGATGCACTTACAAATGTCGACTCAGAGAGCGTCGATAATGATTGAGGTCAGGGGATGTGTCGACTTGATCACTCGCAAAGGGACTCTTCCATCCTCAAAAGAGAGCAGCAGATCGCTTGCTGAGTCGAGGGTATAGATGGGCCTAGCAGAGGCATTGTTTTGGGGACTAACACCAGGCATGGATGGATGATACTCAGCTGAAGAATCCATGCTGTGTCTAAGTTGCAGTACGAGGTTTGTCTCTTGCCGAGAGGGGAAAGTCATGTGCCTTCCAACAACGCGACTGCCATTAATGCATTAGTCCATTAGCTACCTAACCAAATATCTATCTCTCGCTCTATCTGCTTCATCATCACATTCATATTCATCAAGAAAAACACACAGCCCGCTCTAAATGCTCGCTCAGGACTCCATGCTCAGAACAATCATCAAAACATTAGCATGAAACCGTGAAATCAGACATAGGAAATTCTAAAACGCCACATCACCCATCAATCATGATATAATACACATCTCGTCAAGACTTCAATCCCGCAGTCGTTACCAGCATATCCGCCCTGCCAGCACGCGTGAAACGATCAACACCTAGATGATCCTTCCAGTCAAGCCCCTTGTAAATGCCAAAGCCATACAGCGGCTGTGTGCGTTCAGTCGGCGGCGTGACAACCAATCGTGTGACAAGGTCTGTCTTCGTGCGTGGCTCTCGCAGCACCTGGTCATACAAAAGCGGGCTCTGGTAGAGGAAACTGATCAGGTCTGCCAGCGTGGATACATCGTGGGGCAGATAACGGTGGCGGCGAGGCCAGATAACCAAGTACGAAAGTGCGTACAGACCGCAAAACGCTACCAGGACATAGAACGCAGGCAGATCAGCGGCAATGCGCACCTCGCTCTGAACAGGGTACCAGAGGGCAATAAAGACACCCCCGCTCAGAATCGGGATTGCGAGAAAAAGCAAGCTCATCAGCGAGATGTACGCAACTTTGTAGTGCTTGGCGACGAAAGCAAGAAATGTCACCTCGAATGGAAGACAGGCCGGGTACGATAGAAGCAAGCTTCTCTCTGCTATGGCGCCTTCGGGACTGGACATGGCTGCGAAAGGCTGCAGTGCTCTCATGTAGACATCAATTGGTTGCCAGGCGAGAAATAGGAAGTTTCCAATCAGTCCAGGGATGAAGCTGAATAGGAAGTTCGATGCCGAGAACCCATTTGCTGATGCCAGTGTCGGGACCAAGGGCAAGAATCCCTGGGAAATGGCCTCGTGAACGAAGCTGACTACGACGAAAGCGATGAATAAACCCAGCACGATTATAATCCAGGCTATTATGGCAAAATCCCGCAAGAACCACGTCGTCCATCGAAATCGAATAAAGGGGGAATGCAATGTGCGCTCAAAGGACTCGTTTCTGAGAAAGCTCTGCTGTTCCAAGTCTTCAAAAACTGGGTCAGAACGTGTAACAGGTCGTTTCTCATTTCTTGTTGGTGAAGCAGGTGCCGGCATGTCTCCGGAGGCGTACTCCTCACCAATGCCATAAAAGATATCCTCCTTGTCCATCAGTCGCCAGTAGCCAAGACGCAGGGTCCGGAGGGGAAGCATATCACGAACGGATACGCTGGTTTCGGAACCTTCAAAATCTCGGAGAATGTTCGATCGCTGGATCAGTGGAATGAGGTCTGCGTGGCTGATCGGGTCCCACAGCAGACCAGTCCAGCTCCTGACAAAACGAGCCATCACCAAGCCCAGTGCAATTACCAACAGGGCATAAAGGCCAACGACAACCCAGCCCACAACTTGCGATGTAGTCCACCGCCAGGTACCTTGGTCATTGATCGTATAGTATTTTGCCTGGAAAAGACAGCTGATCAATGGCATAGTGAAGAAGTCGGTCAGCCACATTGCAAGCAATCCCACTGCGACAAGAGGCTCGCCATATCGAAAATGAGCAAAGTCTGGGAGCAGATGGTTGCGCGCCAAGATAGGGAGGTTTTGCAGCGCTCCAGCTTTTTGTCGTTCAGATGCCATGATACAAAACGGCATTACGCGGTAGATAGCCGCCTGCAAGACCAAATTCCAGAGGACAATCAATCCTGCGAGTAATTGAGGCAGAAATTGTGCGACAAAGTATCGTGAAGTACCAACACCGTCCCAGTCCCAGATACCATCATGTCGCTGAGACCACACGTTTGAAAAGACCACGCCGGCAATCATCCACAGGACCAAAAAGATGTAAATAGCCAAAGCCCAAGGCCGCAGGACTACAGGGACAAAGTCCAGTGGTGGATGGCGAGCATCGTTGACACCTGGCTCCACAGCTACAAAGACAGCCTTTGCTCCTTGTTTCTCTGTGCCTGCGGAATTAGACGACCCCTGGCGACTGGCTGGTTTTCCAATCTCAACCGTGGTCGGTCCGCTGCGATAGTAGTACCCCAGGTTCTCATCGGGAACAATTCTCTCAACCGAATAGTCAGCGCTGACTACGGAACCATGCCGCCCAACACCAGCGACTTCCTCATCGCGAGTCAGTTGGTCAATGGCAAAGCGCAGGTAAGGACTATCATCGACACCGGGAGTCGTTCCACTAATATGCTGTCTTGGATCCTGTATGTGTCGTGCAGGGCTGATTTCACTGACTTGCGTGGCTCCAAATCGAACGGAATTTGAAGTTGCTGGTCGATTGTATGATTCGGTATGTCGTCGAGCATGGGCCGGAGTAGTTGCAGTTGCAGCTGCAGCTGCAGCTGAAGAAGCGGGGCGAGCCTTCTTCATGTCTTCTGCCGATCGTGACTGTGACTGAGGTTTGGCTAGGTTTGCCGAAGAATGTTGAGCCGATGAAGAATGTGAGGGCAAGTGTGATTGCGGCGTGGTATACCGCACCACGGTCACCTTGCTGTTGGAGCTCTTTGTGGAGGACTGATCGGAATGCAGAGAGAAATAATCGTCCGAGGCTGCAACGGATTGTTTCGAGTTGGAATGCGTGAGCTGGGGTTTACTTGCTATAAGCTGCTTATCAATGACATAGTCCTTCTATTGTGCATACAATAGACAAAAACAATACTTACAATTGACAGTCTTCAGCCGGGCCAGCTCAGAAGGGTTCATGACGGGCGTGAAAGGCTCAGCAGCAACACTAAGAATGTGTCAGCCATGGCAAGAAACGCCGTCTCCATATCGGAGCGCATTGCGATTAAAAAGGTGCAGCGCTTGGGCAGGTCGAGGGGAGGTTGGGTTGAGGCGGGAGGCTGGCGCCGTCTTTGTTGTCGCCAGTTACGCTCTCCCAGCCACCGATGTGGCACAACCCGACTGGCTCATGCAAGGTCGCGAAATTTTCTCCCTTTCTTTTGTCAATTATTTGGCTATTATTTACTGCGTATTCGACTATTATTCAATTTAGTTTTTTTTTTTTTTTTTTTTTTATTTTCGTCCTTGTCTGCTCTATAACGTGCGGTCGGACTGCTTGGGTCGGCGCGGCCCGTCCCTCCAGCCTAGCCTTATCCGATGTACACACTGTATGCGGTATGAAGTCAGTATGTAGTATGCATAGCTCAGTCTACACGCTTAAACCAAAGCTTCTCCCCCTTCATCTCCTCCTCCCAGCCAATCCCCAGCTCACTCGCGCGTCCATCCGCTCCAAGCCTGAACTCGGCCGCATAAACAGTCGGGAACAGCGTGCCGTAGTCCCAATCATGAACGGATCGGACCAGGAAGTATTCCCCGCTCACATGCTCGAAGCTAAGGTACTGCGGGAAAGTGATAAAGGACCGGTCTGCACGTAGCACGTTGGATTCATCGAGGTAGACCGTGACTGTTTGGTAGCCAGGGTGATAATAAGTGCCGGCATATGCAGATAGCGGCAGTGTGGCGGGGAGCGTAGGGGAAGGAAGGGATGGATAGAGGTATTGGACTGAATTTTCCGCTTTTTCTTTCAGTTTCTCCAGGTGGGTTGTATAGCTATGATATCTGTTAGCTTGGGGATATCTGTATATATATATATATATATATATATATACATGTGTGTGTAAGAAACGACTTACTATCGATCCCAATCAAACCTCTGCTCCACTGGCACACCAAGCTTCTCATCAATTAGATGAAAGGCAATCTTTTTAGCGGCGAAATTCGACGTCGACGCCGTATTCGCCAACAGAGCCACACTGTACTGCAGATCAGGAAACAAGATCAGCTCCGCCCCAAAGGCGTTCATGCCGCCTGTATGCTCATAAAACTGATATCCCTGGTAGACTCCAGTAGACCATCCGAGCGCGTAAGCCATGGGCCCAGTGTAGGGCTGTTTCTTCTCCTCCTCCTCCGAGCCTGGAATCAAAGTTCGCGGTTCCCATATCGCTTTGTGCACTTGCTTTGACAGCGGCGGTGTCTTGCGCATTAGCGAGCGTGCCCATTTGGCATAGTCCAGTACGTTAGTGATCACAGATCCAGCACCGGAGACTTCATCGACGCTCATCCACCCGACTTCGCGATAGCCGTTCTCGTCACTGCCGCCATGCCCCGGGGAGTAAGCATATCCATGCGCTAGGTGTTCTTTGGCATGCTGAGCATCCTCCAAACTAAAGAACGTGGCATTCATGTCTAGTGGGGTCCAAATGCGCTGAGCAAGCGAATCGCCCAGCCATTTTCCCGTCAACGTCTCAATGACGTGCGAAGCCACGACGAACATGAGGTTGCAATACTGGAATCGTGTGCGCGGCTGCGCTGTCAGAGGCAGATGGCGGATCTGGCGGACTATTTCTCGCACGGCTACGCCGCGACTGAGATGATGGCCATAGGCCTGGTCGTGGGGCGGTAGGCCCGACCGGTGCGACAGGATGTCTTCGATGGTGATGTGCTGGGTTGCGTACTCATCGCTTAGCACGAAATCGTCTCGGATCAGCTGGCTGACTGGTGTGTCCCATTGGACTTGCGGATAAGTGTCGTTGTCTTCGACGAGCATGCCCATCATTGCGCCTGTGAAGGCCTTGGTGGTGCTGCCAGCGTAAAACAGCGTGGATGGCGTTACGGGGGTTGATGGCATTGACGCGATGCCATAGCCCTGCATGCCTGTTAGAAAAGATCAAGAAAAGAAAAAGTTCTGTCAATATAGAGATCCATTCGGTGTGAAGATGAGAGGATAGATACCTCTGCCCAGGTGTAGTCGCCTTCCACGACCGAGACCGACATGCCCGGAACATGCCATTTTTCCAGCGTTGCCTGCACCAGCTGTTCGAAATCCTTGTTCAGGGGACTTGGGATGCGTCTTGTCACCATCTTGGGCTCAATTGTGCTTACTCGTGGGCGAGAATTGGAGTGAGACGGGGTTTAGGCGGGGTATTTATCGTCTTCAGTCCTTGTGCAGGCAACAACTTTCAGCCAATATATTGCAGACGTCTACCCTTGACAGGCATCCTTTGGATTAATTAGGGCTTCTTCTTGACATCTCCGAATTGGCTGACAGGCTAATTATCCTCTCGCGGAGTTCGGACTGCCATCAACCCTCGGAGTGCCTCAGCAGTGTTGAGTCATAGCTTATCTACTCGCACTAAGTTAGTAGGAAACTAGCAGTCTACCTATATCCAACCATTGCTCCGGTCAATCATACAGGAATTATCAAACAACTGCCCACGGTATAAGAACATGGCATCCAAGACTCCCATCCCTGTGGAAAACCCCACGCTCCCCTTCTGGCTCACAGACCGGTCGCCTCTGGACCAAATCCGCTCCACGCCAGAGCTTCCCCAGGAATCCGACATTGTCATTATTGGCGCTGGCTATGCTGGAGTGAGTCTTGCCTATCATCTTCTTACCTCTGAGGCTGCCAAATCATCGCCGCCGCCATCTATCACCATCCTCGAGGCGAGGACCGTTTGTTCCGGCGCAACGGGACGCAATGGTATGCCCCTCCCTTCGAAACATAACTACTAGGCATAGTACAACATGATGCTAGACATGTGAGAATAACAAAGCAGACAGGCGGCCATCTCCGGCCAGATGTCTACGGCGAAATCCCGCTGTACATACAACGGCATGGCTTAGAACTAGCGACCGAGGTCGCAGAGTTCGAGCTGTCGCATGTAAAGGCCATTCAAGCCGTGCTCAAGAAAGAGCAGATTGAGGACTGTGACCTGGTCATCACTCGCAATATGAACGTCTACTTGCACGCCGAACGCGGTAAGCGAGTGAAAGACGCCATTGACAAGTTACGCGACCAAGGATGCACGTTTGTGGATGATATCTTCCATGCTCCGGACAAGGATGCCGAGGCTGTGAGCGACTTTTTCTATCTTTGCTTGCTCAACTAAACTGATGAAGATATGGGCAGATCTCCGGGGTGAAAGGCGCCAAAACCGCCTTTTCATTCACCTCCGGCTCTCTCTGGCCCTACAAATTCATCCTCGGCCTGCTGCGCAAGGTGCTCGAATACGGCGGTGACAAGATCAACGTCCAGACCACGACGCCCGTGACGTCTGTCAGCAGCAGCTCTGCGACATCACACACCATAACCACGCCGCGCGGCACTATCAAAGCAAAACAAGTAGTCTACACAACCAACGCGTATACCTCCGGCATCCTCCCAGAATATGCACCCGCCATCATCCCCGCGCGCGGCATTGTGTCGCATATCGACGTGCCCGACGCTCAAAAGCCGCCGCCGCATTTGAGCTATACGTATGTCGTCTGTCCGCATGAAAGCACCGGGGTGGACTATATGATTGTTCGACCGGATGGTAGCATTGTGGTCGGAGGCGCGCACCAGATCCATGCCAATCCGTCTCGGAAGCCCGAGGATAATACCGAGTGGTATAGGAATAGCGACGATAGCACGCTTATCGAGTCCACTAAGGGCTATTTTGAGGGGTATATGCAGAAATATTTCCGAGGATGGGAGGATAGTGGTGCGCATGTGAAGGAGTTGTGGACTGGCAGTATGTTTCCCTCCTATCTCTGTGTCCTTTTTGAGGTTACTTGACTTACAATGAACAAGTAATGGGCTACTCGTCCGACTCGGCGCCTCACGTTGGTCAGGTCCCCTCCAGACCCGGACAGTATATCAGTGCCGGGTTCACGGGACACGGCATGCCAGTGATATTTCTGACGACCAAGGGCCTGGCCGAGATGATTCTCGCAGAGAAGAAATTCGAGGAAACGGGTATACCGCGCATCTACAAGACCACCGCGGAGAGATTAGAGGCAGCGCGGACCGGAAAGGAGGGGGGCGACATTCTACTTTCTTGACTTGTTGATATAATATATAACGCGGTATCGACATGAAGAATAATCATCACTATTTCCCCCCATTCACAACCACAATACCCAAAATCATTAGACACAAAAACGATGTGATAAACGTCAGCGCCACCATAGTACAGCAGTGGCGCTCATTGTTCCGTTTCTGCTTGCGCTCAAGCAGTCGGTCGCATGCTTCGCAGTGTATGTGTTCAGTGTCGACGACCGCCAGGCTTGCCGGAGGATGGGCATCGTGGTGGTGATGGCGGTGAGGGTTTTGTTCCATGTCGTTGGTTTGCTCGGCTTGGGCGATGGGTGCGTACTATTCAGGTTAATTTGAATTTTACCTTAGGATTAAACGAAAATGAGAGTAAATGAAGTAAATGACATATATGTATATAGACGTACCCCCGAAACCGTGTTCGACGGCCTGGCATGTCCGTCGAACAAGTCCTCATATGCAGGCGCGGCCTCGTGCGAGACAGGCGATCTGGTGCCCATGGTCAATGCGAATAAAATCTGACTCGGCTTGAGCGAATACTCTGTTTCAAAGGGAGGATTTGTTGAGGTTGATGTTGTTGTTGTCCGAGTAAGTTGCTGCCTGCCCTGGCCTGGCCGCAGTGCCTCAGGCCGCGCAAACGTGACCTGTCACCTGCATCTGCATGCCCTAATTCGGCGCTAATGCAGGAGTTAAGCAGCAGATATCGCCCTATCTCTGTTTCTCTCATTCCCAATCATATGTTTCTCTGAATGCATATCCCAATGCAACTTCCACGGCATCTTTCTTTGAACCAGGCGCGTCTTTTTCACTTCGCTCCAAGCAGACGGTTTCTGAAGATGCCAGTGCCACCATCCCCCCCCCCAATTTCAATGAACATGATCTCTCATCACGCACCCCCCTATCCGGACTCGCTCTTCTTCTGCAAGAAACTTCCCACAATAGATGGGGATTTCCCATTTTTCGAACTACCTATGCAAACAATGATTTATTTACCGCATATTTGAGCGAAATCTATCGCTCGGCCAATGAAAGCCTTGAAAATATCGGCCGGAGAGAGGCCTTGAGTCCATATTTTTCCTGCCCCGTGATTGAGCATCCACTGTCCCTGAATGGACTGTCGAAAACTCAGATCCGGGAGCGGTTTTCAGCGTGGGTGAGAGATACAACAGATCAGCGAGATGGCGTGGGTGCAGTGAAAATGCGAGAGTTGAAGGCACCGCAGTACGAATTCTGTCTCATGGTTGATGAGGAGTGTTTAGTGTCTTTTTGGCAGGCGCAGCAGCAACCGCATGGCGGGTGGAAGGGAAATGGGAAGGTGGTGGTTATTGAGCGGGACTGGTCACCGGAAAAATACCGTGGGCAGCAGAACGAGGATTGGACGGATGGGGAGAGCCACAGGATATTTGACAAGGAATATCTGGAGGAGAACGGAGAGGAGTACGAAAGAGACGTTCCCCCCACTCCTTTTGAGGAGATCGACGGATGCCGGAGTCCCCTTGTTGGTTGGATGTATGCCGATATTCACCATCTCAAGTCTCTCTACTGCGAGTGTCTGGAGAACAGCTACCGGGAAAACTGGTATGAATCTTATGTTCGGCCACCGGGGATATATCCAACACTTTATAGGCACGAACAGCCCTGGAAATATTCAATCTGAATGAGACTGTCTACACTCAAATTATAGTTAATGTATAGCGGTGAGTGAGCAGGCAATAGCACTGATAGCTACCGTGTGGACGTGGACTCTTCTTGGACTGTATCTGGTACGGCATCGAATTGTGACTGCTCTTGGAACTCAAGTATGTCCCTCACAGTGACCTGTTTAATTAGTATTTATTTTACTTCCTCTTCTGACTTGATTCCTTTCAGGCTTTCATAGCCCTAATCACGTGACAGATTTGCCCCAATCGCAGGACAGCTGCACTTTCAAGGCGCAAACGAATAACATGACCTATTTCCACTCCTACTACTACTAGAATAGCAGTAGTTCGTTCTTAGTCATGTAGCACAATTCCAAATCATTCTGCAGCAGGTTGACGAATAGCGATAAGCAGCCGTGACGTCGTGCATGGATGGATTGATCGATTGATTGTCCGGGTCCCGTGGAGGTGGGGGAAGAGAGCAGTACTTATACCTCTTCCTCTCCTCGAGAATTCCCTCAAGGTTCCCCCCGCTCCCCGATTCTGAGCACCTTGCGAGCTTACCTTTCTTTTCTATCCAATCAACAAGATAGTTACTCCAACATGGTTCTCACCGGACACTGTCTCTGCAACGCTGTGACGTACAGCATCGACGTCGACAAGCCTCTGATCACCGCCTACGACCACTGTGACGACTGCCAGCGCCAGAGCGGATCGTCTTACTGTACTCCCCCTCTCCCTAACTACGTACGTCCCGAGGTCTAATTGACTTGTTAACAGCCCTCGTTGCCGTCGTCCCCAAAGCCAAACTCACCATCACCGGCGAAACCAAGAGCTGGGCTGGCAAGGGCTCCTCTGGCAACGCCGTGCACCGCATCTTCTGTCCCCAGTGCGGCTCGCCCATTGCGCACGACCCAGACGCTGCCCCGGAAATCATTGCCATCAAGGCGGGCACTTTGGACAGCGAGCTTAAGAAGACGCTGAAGCCGGTATGTACACACGCACGCACACCCCCATTTATTCATATACCTTTTGAGGGCTGTTTTTGACTATGCATACAGGACACCGAGATCTGGACCGTCAGTAAACTGCCTTTCGTGCAGGAAAAGTTGGCTCATCCGTTTGAGCATATGCCCCAGTGAGAGGGAGCGAATTGAATGACGCATGAATGACGAATGAATGATTTCCGGGTAGGAAAGTAGAAAGGAAAAAAAAAATCAATTGGTCCGTTCCATGTTTCTCGCCTTGCGCAATGATAAGTACCATGTAAAAAAAAGTTATAAGAACAGAAAGCGGCAAGAAGTCGAGGAGCATAGAACAAATGTCGTACATTAACAACCCTTCTTTTTCCGCTGCAATACAAAAATAATAAACAAGGCTGGCTGACCGAGGACGTGTCTTGTCATGTGGAAACTGTCAGTCGAGTCAGGTGAATCAAATAAAATGAAATCGAGAATATGCCCTGACAAATCCCAAACATAAGTCTTTCAAATATTCGTGAGAACGATAGGAAACAAAGAGATGAAAAGTGGGAGAGAGTGAAACACGTATGTATGAGGAAAATGACAAGGAGAGAGAGAGAAAAAAAAATTGTATCGTACATCTACAGGTAAAAGAACGAGTAAACAAAAACAAAAATGGTAAAAGCCGTGGCCACAGTATACTCCAGTTCAAACCATGCAGCCTGTCCGCCAAACGCAATCTTCTTGCTTGACGGCGTCGGGTGTGCAACACCCGTCTTAGGGTCACGCTGCAATAACTCCTCGCGATCGGGCATCGATGGTGGATCGATCGCGTACGACACCGGCGTCCAGAGAGATGTGCAAATAAAGAGGAACGTCAATGGTGGCCAGAAGGCGTGCGTAATCAGGCAGAGGAAGATGTTTCGGAAATTGGCGGGGTCTTGTGTGTAGAAGCAGCGATAAGACGTTAAGCATACTCCGACGATCGTCACATAGACAAAGGCAAGATGGAAAGAAGCCATGTAATTCACCAGTATCGTCCATAACCGGCGTATCAAGTTCTTCCGCCTCTTTGGGTCACGCTCTTCAAGCGCCGAGCCGAGAGAACCCGTCGGCTTGAAGGCTTGGGTCTGACCACCGAGCCAAGAAGGCAAGAAAAATGAACGGACAATGCACAGCGCAATGTACGGCGACATCCACAGCTGATACCGCGAGCCTCGTTGACCGGTGTGGTATCCAGCGGGGATGAAAAGCGCAAATTCGCACAGACGGTTGGCCATGGTAGCAGCAAAGCAGGCCCAGATGAGCCATCGCAATTGCTCGTCGTTGGCATAGGCGACAAGAGGGCGGCCCCACATCAGGATGACGGGGATCGCAAACAGCGAAGCAGTGAGGAGGATAGTGTACAGACTGAGGGTGGCATACAGAAATCCTGAGAATCGTTGCGCGCCGGTCATCTGCTTAACGGCGTCACCGTACAAACAAAACTTGAGCTTAAAAGCCGTATCCACAGTTCCAATGGCCCAACGGGTACGCTGCTTGAGGTGTCCACCAAAGTCTTCGGGCACCGTGCCGAATTGAAGTGGCTCGTGCACGTAAGCAGTTTTCCAACCTTTGCCAAGCATAAGAGTAGAAGTTGCGACATCCTCGGCAAGCGAACCTAGGGGGAAATTGCCAATGTCATCAAGAGCCTCGCGTCGAACAACGTATCCAGATCCAGTGCACCAAGCCACGCCAAGGGCGTCCTTGACTGGTTCAATGACATGCACGAAAAAGTCCAAGCTTTGTGCCAAGGGATCGGATGGTGGAGTATTGTAGAAAAGCTGGGGCGGACATGCAAGGGCCATCTTAGGGTCGTTTAGCAGGTGAGGGAGGACAGCGCGGAGCCATTGTTGCTCAGGAATCTAACATAGTAAGCATCTATACGAGCGAAAGAAACCATAAGAACAGGTAGAAGAACTAACCATGTCAGCATCCAATGCAGCCATGAACTGGCCGGCACCACCCGGCATGAGTCGGGTTTGTTCGAGACCGTAGTTGAGATTACCGGCTTTGAAGTGGTGTGGAACTCCTGGAATCTTGGTCCGTGCCATATAGTGCAGGTTCGGATAGGTCAAGGCCAACTGGCGAGTCGAGGCTTCCAGACTCGACGACTTGGCATCATCGAGCACAATAACCCGAAATTTATCCATAGGATAATCTTGGTCACAAGCGGCGTGGACGGTGTCAATAACCACATCATCTTCTTCTCCACAGCAAGTGATGAACACATCCACAGTCGGACAGTCATCTCCCGTCAATCTCAGTTTCGGCCGATGCCTCTCCTTCACCGACCACATTGTCCAGCAGTTGTGCATCAACGAGGGAATAGCCGTAGAAACCTCAAGGGCGATGAAAATCCACGCTCCTGCAAAGGTAGCATGCTCTGCTCTCTGAGCGAGAATCACACAAGCAATACGCAAACCGAGATAAAACAAGTAGAGGGCAGTGTTGGCAAAAGTGAGAAACGGAACGAAGCGGAATACTACTCGGCGCCATCCCTTCCAGATATCAGCATCATCTCGGTCGTGGATACGCGCGATCGAGCCTTGTTGAACCCAGTCCTTTGCATAAAGCGGCGAGGGCGGTTGGTCCACAAGAGCTGTCAGACTTTGGTGACTTTGAAAGCTCTGGTTGTTTTGATACTGTACGGGGGCCGGAAAATACCGCGCCTGTCAGTTATTACTCCCCCACATGTTATTCACGAATTGGATGCAAGATGAGTAGGAGAGAAAGAGGGGAGGGGAGAGGGACAAGAATGGATGGTTGCACATACGAATGCTGGAGTGCCTGACCGAGAACCGGCCGGGGTACTGGACACGCTTGCGAAGGAGTCGACATGTTGACGGTCGTGACCCCGTCGAGTGGCAGCTAGCGGCCAGCCTGGTGACCCCATGTCTTCGGTTGGACTGAGGCCTGGTCTGATGGGTTTCGGCGGAGATCGCACCTGGGATCGCTCGTTGGGGTCATAGCCATTATTATCGTTCATATTTATATTGTTCAAGTACTGATGGTCGTTGCCGTATCCATGGTCATGATCAAGGACGTCGAACTCGACCATTTCTTCGCCATATCCATAGTTTCCATTACCGCCATAGACGTTGCCGTTGGTGCTGTTGCTGTTGCTGTTGTTGTTGCCATTTGGATAATGGCCGTTGTTGGCATACTGGGGATTGTTCCCGTACGGGCTGTTATGGTAGTAGGCACTCATCTTGGACGAAGAGGACAGTGCGTGATCTCTTCTTCCTTGTCCGCCGTAGCGTGGAAGGAAAAAGAATGATTCCCTGGCTTGCTGCGTTTAGCGAGTGAATAGTAGGTGGTGGTAGCGACTAATTGAGCATCGGATAAAGAGGAGTGATAAGGGTGGTAAAGGAGGTTAGTCGTCCTTTCTCGATCGAGCAAACAAATAATGATGATGGAGACAACAATGATGAACGAGCGTGAGATTTGGTTAGAAGTGAGCGAAAGAAAGAGTAATAGATTAACGCATGGGTGTCAACACGCAAGCAGAAAAAAGCAGCAGGGAAACAGGTGAAACCAGAGTACCGGAGAGGAAGGAACTTTCGGGGGGGGGAAGGTGGACAATTGGCGCCGTGGTTGGGTTATCTCTGGAGCGCAAGGCCATTTGCTGCAGCATTAGATAATCCGTATGGCCTGTATGGGCCGTACGTAATTTGACACTAGATACAGTGCTGACTGCCGCACTGACGCGTATTAGGGTAACGACGGCTGCTCCATACTCATAGTGCATAAGATCGTAAGATGCTTAATATAATCGTAGTTACATGATACCCCTCAGAGCGCCAAGACAAGTGGGCTGCAGTGCGCCCGCTGGTTGGCTATGTGTTGCCCCATGCGCCACACACGGACAGGAACAGACGATACCGCACTCTCTCTGGTGCAGCGGCCCAATCACACGCGGCTGCCACCAGGTAAAAATACAAGCGCCTGTATTATTCGGTGCGGGTCCGCCGGTCCCTGTAAACTTTCCTTTTCGAGGCTAGACCCATTAAGTCACTGCCACTAAGCTTCCGCTTGCAGCCTCAATTGGCTGCGGCCATGCTTGGCCCGGCTCCATCGGTACTAGCGACGTCGATGTCGCACAAACGTTTCCTCTCGATCGACGGCTAAAGACTCCAAGAACGACTATTATGATCAATACGGCGGCCGCACAGAGTAACCTGCACTAGTACCATGACTATAGATTGCTGTACTTCAATTCCAACACATAGTTAACCATAGTTAATGTGCGTATTTATTATCCATCAACTACAGAGGGCCGTTCCATTTAGTTGCATTTCTGATCCTGCCACTCCATCCCCAACATCACAGTACTACCAATCGCTGGCTGCGCAGACTTTCCTGCAAATCCTCCTTGGCTTTTGCAGGATGTGATATGCGTGCATGAAATAGAAGGACGCAGTAAACGGAAACGGAAACAGTGGTTTTACTTGCCAGGATTCAGGAACGACCGATATCAGCGGTGGGGCCTCTCCTTTTCGCCCCCTTTTCACCGGTGCGCTTTCAGTTCTGGACCGGATGAGTACGTCCGTATTACCAATACCGCGATTGCAGAGATATGGCCGCAATTCTCGGCGCCAGTATTCTTTGGGTTATTTACCATTCCACTGATTGGTCCATGGCCATTTGCTGACCCTTAGCGGTAAACTTGGCGCTGCGCGATTCAGGAACGAAACATTGGAGTGGGTCACTGGAAAATTTGATTGCAACAGCAACATGAATCGCCCTTACGTTACTGTACTTCCGTATGTACTCCATAGTTCGTATTGGCCGTGGGCCTGTTGTGTCTTAGATTTTTAATTTTCTTTTAAATTATTTTTTTTTTCGCCTCTTCTTTTTTCTTTGGCTTGGCTGTGGCTCACTGGTGGATAGTCAGGGGGGCGGACTACCTAAGAATAGTACTGATTAGATCCAGGTATGATAAGCAGGTCCCGTGATATTCACTACACCTACGAACAACCACGCCGTACTTTTCTCTGCCTGCAGTGCTCCATACGGAGTAATAATCGTAGCACACCTGCAGCACTGCCACTTGTTTGTTTCGCTCGTTCAATTTTCCATTCGTTCATTCCATCAATTCTTCTTTCCGTCAACAACACCGTCGGTTACAATCTCGCAGAAAAGAGTCGGCCAACTCGTTCTTTTCCTTCCTGTCACTCGCCCGTCATGGCCTTCCGCTGGATCGTCAACGCGGGCCTTGTCGCCATTCCCGTCGGCACCACGTTGGGAGTTCTATTTGGAATTGATGCCCAACGACAGGCATCCGGAGAGCCGCCACTATTCACCCCTACGAGCACCCCCGGCTCTGGAGGATCAAGTGGTGGTAGCGGAGGTGGAGATAGCACTGGTGGCGGCGGCGGTAGCAGCGGCAGTGTCTCCGACAATGGCATCGTGAACTCCCAGTATTGCCAGCTTTCATATGGTGTCTCGCCGCCATCGAAAGGAGAGAATTATACTCGTGAGTATCCAGCTGCGCCCGACTGAAGTTTACCCGACTCACTCTTGTTGCAGTCAACCCTAATCAATGGGGTGTCGAGGATGGCGTATCTGGCTTATGCTTGAATGTGAGTTGAGTCCAGTTTTTATTATCAGTTCTGAAGTAGATTGTTGACATGAAAAATACAAAGGTTACCACATTCAATAACGAGACATATCCCACAAATACCTCCGCACCCGCGTGGTCGGCGACATGGAAATACGCCCAAGGACCCGAAACACAGCCCGTGTGGGCCTTTCCTAATATCATGGTTGACGATGGTCTGCCAGTTGCACTGTCCGACCTATCGGCCATCGATTTTGACTTGCTCTGGACTTACACCGTCGGCAACACGACGTCAACCTCAATGGACACCTCGGCGCTGGACGGCGTCTCGCTCAATGCGAACGTTGCCATCGATATGTTCTTGGACGCAAATGCCACAAAGTCCTCAAATAGCTCTGGGGCTGAGTACGAAATCATGGTGTGGTTTGGCCGTTTTGGCGACTCGACATATACCATTGGTAACACCACGCTCGGTGTGATTGATACCTATAATTTGAATGGAACTGAGTTGTATGTGCCTGCTCTCCTCTATTCTTGAAACGCAGATTATGGGCTAACAGCGCAAATAGCGACCTATACTACGGCAAGAACGGTAATGACCAGAACGTGTTCACATGGCTTACGGCGGAGACGACATCGAGATTTACCGGCGATCTCTTGAAGCTCATCACGGAGCTTACGATGAACAACACCGCGGACTATTATCCGTCCGGAACCGATTACCTAGGATACTTCAGTTTTGGCTCCGAAGCCTACTTTGCCGATGACTATGTCACCTTCAATGTACCCGAGCTTTCGATAGATATACAATCATAATTGCAGCGTGTGTTATTGTTATTATTATTATATATATATATATTTATTTATATATATGGATGTATATGGACTACTCACAGCATGACGACTAATGATAATCGGGGTTTTGGGCACTGTATAGTATATACATTAGGTATATATGTATAGATATGGAGGGATTTATACTGAGGAATGCACGTTTCTATTTATATATGTTTATGTAATGTTGTTACAACTACTTCCTCAGCACCTTCCCGATCGGCCGCCGCTTCATGGCCGTCTGTGACCGCTTCGTCATCAGAGCGCCCGCCTCATCCAGCGCCATACCACGGCCAGGCCCAAAGTTCGGGTTTCCTCCCAGCGTGCCAAAGATGTCTCCGATATAGTTATCGGGCCTGACGCCCAATGCGAACGTCTGTTCCCACTGGCCCAGGATCCCCTGCACGACCTTGACGCCCGCGCGGTAGATGTTCTCGACGGCGATTTCAAAGCCGTCCTGGTCGGCGTAGAGCAAGTGATAAGCAGCCGACTCGCCGGGATACGGCCGATCGAAGTCGGAAGCAGTGCGCATCACGATGATGCGGGAAAAGTCGACACGCTTGTGCAGAGCGGCTCTGAGCAGGGCCTCGAGGGAAGCATTGTCTTCCTGCGCGGTGGTGCAGTACGTGCCCGTGCCGTTGGTGAAGAGCTTGGTGGTGTTGTCAAAGGCCTGGCCGAGCAAATCACCACTGTAGTAGACATCGGAGGTGGCTACATCGCATTCGACGACCGAGGGCGCAGCAGCAGCCGCCTGGTAAACGGAGGCACCGTATCCCTTCAGATAATTGGCGCGGTAGGTCTGCGCCTGGGCGGAATCCGCCAATTCAGCCTGTTGCGCAAATGCCACTGCCAGAGACCGCAGGTTATCGTTTACTTCGAACACCTCCGTGCCGTAAATGCTCTCGGGATACTCGCCGGGCGCGTACGTGCCCTGCGCGAAGTAGCCAGTCGACCAATTGCTCGGCATTTCGCGCGCATCGATCTCGTACTGCAACGCGACCTGTACGGCAAACCGCGCGAATGCGACAGAGCCCGTGGTGGCGACTTCGGGGTTGATGCCTGCAATGCCGCCAATGAAGAAGTAGGTGTTGGTCAGATCGAACTTGTCGGAGAAGGCGAGCGAGGTCATGGTCGTGGCGGCATTGATCTCGGACTCGCCGGTGATCAATTGACAGACCTCATGGTCCTCGGTGCAGTGCACATGCGGGAACAAGGGAGACAGGCCGGGCACGGTGATGTTGTGTGCGAGGAGGTTGAATTCAGGGATTCCCCACCACGCTTCACCTTCGGGTGCGAACTGTATGCATATTAGGGAGGATCGCTATCTATCTTTTCAGGCATTGAGACCTACCATCGAGATGATGAACACCTTGGGGGCCATTTTCTCGCACTCGCATCGTTCCTCGACCGGAGCCGCGCCTGCAATGGCGGGCAGGACGGCCAGACAAGCCAGAAGCTGGCGGACAGCACGCGACCAGACCATTCCAGCTTGATTTACGACGGTTTGTCTATGGCTCTATGCAGGGAGGAAGCAGTCACAGCATGCACGAGAGCATCGGACGCGGGATATACATCGTTATATAGTTCTACAAACCAATTGATATGCCGTAACGCGCTTTGCTTTTGCTGTCTCTTATCGCGAAGCAAGGAAAGCCAAGTGGGTACAACCAGTCTATGCGTATCAAAGCAGCGAGATGTCTTTATCATTAAATTAACGCAGACTGATAATAGCGCCGCGCTGGATGCGACCTGCCTGAATCCGTCTGGATCCTTCGTCCGCGCCCCACAGAAAACCTCGGAACTCGCCGATTAATAGCGCATTGCTTATCTTCTTGTTGATTATAGTTACTGTGGGAACCGTGGAAGAAGAAGAAAAAAAGAAGAGAGAAGGAAAAAAGAACATCATGGAACAATCACAGCCATCTGCCCAGGACCGCTCTGCTCAGCAGCTGCGTCAAATGCCTGCTTCCACTGCTCCAGCCCAAACCGTCCGATAATCCCCTTCTTCCCCAGCCTCAACCTGCCACTCTCCACCATGTGAATCAACCTCACGACATCCTCGCGCTCATACATCCACTTGCCCTTCAGCGCCAGGCTCCGTTGCACAACCGCATTGATTGGGATGCTGACATCGCTCCCCATCCCGCCCATGAGGGACACGCGGCCGCCCTGCCTCAACGACAGAATCCCGCTCTTAGTGTACGTTGCCCCAGCAGCTGCGGGCGGCGAAATGTCAAAGTAGACATCAACAGGCAGGCCGATTTGGGCAATCGCGCTCATCTCCTGTTCAATATTGTTCGTGATGGCCACGGTGTGGATGTGATGCCCTTGCCCACCCGCCACAACATCCGCCTTGAGCTTCTCTAAGGCATCCGTATTGCGTCCCATGGCAATCACATTCGCCCCCATCGCCAGCGCGACATGCACGGCGGCACTGCCAAACATCCCCGTTGCTGGACTGACGAGCACCGTCTCCGAGACTCCCAGTCCGACATCCCTCAGTCCCCCAAACGGGACAAGGTATGACGCAGCGTGCAGCAAGTCTTCAACCGTATACCCAAGCCCTATCTCTCCCTGAGCAGTTGCAGCAGCATAAATAGAATCCGTAGACGGCGAACCCAACAGCCGCCTCTCATCCAGCACAAAGCAATTCTCCAACGGCAACTTTGCATATTCCGCATACGTCCCATCGCGCCATTCCCCATGCATCATGCGTTTCGCGGGCCCGGAATGCCCATCATGAACACCCGAAAGCGCACAGGCGCGGTGATTGTCGCGTCCACGCACAAATATGTCGATGAGCACCAAGTCGCCTTCCTGCAGCGTTGTGGCGTCTGCGCCGAGGGCAACGACGCGTCCGATTGCGCCGTTTCCCGGCACGCACGGTGTAGACAGGTTGTATTTGCGATTGCCGTTGTAGATTTCGCGGGAGTACGAGAGCGTTGCGGCCGCGAGGATTCTGACGATTGCGCTGCCGGGCGTGGGTTGGGGGGTTGGATAGGCGTTGTCCACTCGCAGGGGCTGGCCGATTTGGTCGAGGATTAGGGCTCGGTGGGTTTGTGGATGCGACATTTTGTTATAAACTTGTGGTGTTTCTTATACAAAACGGGATGAGATGACTCAATTGTAAGCCTATATATAAGTAGTTGAATAACTGTCTTATATAAAGCAAGAACAGTCAGTGATTATGATTTTTATTTTCTAACCCTTCACCTGCATCTTTCACGATTTATACATGTGTACATGCGATGTTTGGATCGGACACGGAAAAAGACCGGGCGCCCGATTCCGACGGATTAGGGCTAGCCGACGACATCTCCTAGACAAACTCCATTATCTCCGACACCAACGTAACGACGTTGGTTCATTTTTATTCAGTAGAACAATCAAATACTGCTTTGTTACACTGAGGATATGCCCGATATCTCCAGTTTGCTATTTGTTGTATCGTTGGGATTGACAGCAGTCGGTATTCCGTCCTGTCCGGTTGATTACTTGACTGCCTATTTGGGTAATAATTGGATATACGCCCGCTGGTGGCGGATCCCTTGTCCACTTGATTCCATCTATTCGTGACGAAAAGCTGGCGGGAAAGTCATATGCTTGTCCGGGTGAGCAGATTAGAAGCTCTTGGGATGGACGAACCCTCGTATACACCCCGAACTAACCACCTGGTTTAGAGAAATTGACAGCGTCAATCAAGCGCACCAAGGCAAAGTTTCACTGGAGTTGATAGCGCTGATGGTGTCATTGCTAAATGAAGAAACTGTGCTTACTGTCTCGGGACCGAAAGGAGTTGTACCACCTTGTGGCTTTACGAATGGTGGCCTGTGGGATTAGTAAAAGGCATGGTTTACAGAATTCGTACAGCTTCCGCCTCATCAATCAACCTGCTCAAGTGAATGCCGATTTTTTTGTGTACGATGATACTGAGCAGAAAGGATGGCGACCATTGCATAATGAATGGAAAAACTCAGTTAGCGGGTGAGCTGTCATCAATTTCCCGGGTTACTGTATTTCGTCAGATGTTTGATCAAGATGGGCACTTTATTCGGGAATTTCGAATCATGAATGCCTCTGGAGTGACCTTGCCTCGCAAGCCGGTGGCACTGTCAGATAAAACCAACCCTCCTCTTCTTTGATATGTTATCGCAGGCAAAGCTTGCAAATCCCGAATTTCTGCCCGATTTTTTCAATACACTCTCCCAACACTCTCCCAGCTAGGGAGTCAATTAAGCATCCGCCAACTGCTTATGCTGAATCTATGCCTGATTTTCAGGGATGTATTCATTGAGAAGGTTACAGTTGGGCATATTACTCCTGAATTATTTGACTGTCAATATGTCACTTAGTAGTGCGTATGTTAGCAGCCACGACGATTTTGATTAGGGCTAGGGCTATTTCCGTATCAAATCCCTCGAGTTAGCAAGGGCATTTCGGGTAGTGGATCCCACCGAATCTGACAACATGACAACTAGCTACATTCCTCATTCCAATCAAAACCTAATTCTACGCGACGTCCTAATACAGCCGCTTTGCAAATGTATTACAGTTGATGCTCAATATACGTACGTTCCCGTGGCGTTCTCCAGCATTTGCCCTCTCGCCGAGATTTGATCATAATCCAGCCCCTGCCGTATAGGCACACCGTCGTGAACGGTCCATACGTTTTCTTCGCATTATCTACATCCCAGATGGTTGCTGAAGCCGTGCGGGTTAGGAAGATAACCTTACTACACTGAGCTCGAATATCGTAGGCATATCCCTGCCAGTTACGTTTGGGGATGACGACCACGCGTTTGGTATTGCCGCACGAGTCAACCTCTTCGGTCTGACGGCGCGCAATGGTGACATACCTAGCAACGAGCTGGTAGTGCTCATTACGCCAGCCAGTGGCCATTCTGTTCCGTAAGGTTAGCCCGTAGCAATCGAGTGGAGAGGTTGCACAACTTACGAGCTTTGATGGCCCATCCCTGTCCATCGACCCAGTCGGCGTTTCTCTTGCTACGCACCGTGCTAGAAAGATTCTTGAACCCGTTGCTATTGTCACAAGCACGGGTGCATCCGCGCGTTTCACCTTGGCCTGGCAGGTTGGTTCGTCTTTGTCCCCTGTCTTGGTTGAGCTATCGGACTTGGCAGAAATCTGTCGGTTTTGTCGTGGCATCCATCCCTTCGTCTCTTGTGCATCTTCCTTTGTGTCTTTATCCACCACCCTATCCATGAAGCTTATCAACATATTGGAAGCTCTCAATAAAATCTTGTGTGATCTCCAGTTTGGCAATCATGAGGGCAAAGTGCAGAAGTATCTCAACGAAGCAACTATAAGTGAGTGACAAAGAACATAACCAGTGAATATTAGACTGACCGCGGGAGTTCAGATTCAGTGTTGAATGGTCTTAGGCAAGTTCTCAAATCATCATCACTAGATATTAGGGGTTTGTAGTCAATATTTAAAGTATACTATTTTACTAATGGTGGCAATGAACAATATTATATTGTAATTATGTTTGTTTCGCAAGGGTAGCTAATAGCTAATTAAAAATAATCTGGATTAAAGTAAGTCTTAAAAATTATATTAAGAGTAACCATCCTTATATTATTATTATTAAACTTATAATTAACCTCCTCTGGTGATGCTTTTATTTCTATGCTTATTATCTATTCCTATAGCACCTAGTTATACAAACGGTTGCGTTTGGGGTCATGCAGATTGACAGGACCTAGTGTCTGGGCACAATTTGAATGCTTAGAATTGCCAGACTGTTATAGCCGGTCATGTCAAATATGCGTTCCCCTGGAATGTTACAAGGCCAAGGCTTCATCTTGCGTGTACCGTGGATGTCTATAGTCGGGTTGAAAGCGTCCACCAACCAGAAGATCACGATTGGGACGGATCGGACCGCGACCACGTGGCATAAAGGCAATCTACCGCTGAAACGGGCATGTACTGTGTATTCCGTAGTTGTCTAGATAAAAACGCCCCTGTAGAGTGTCCCGACGATCATCAACAAGGACCTTGCCTTGGCTGGTCACATGGAAGATCGAAATTTCGCGGTGGGAAATTCGTCTTCTGCAAAGTTCAAAGCGGGCGGCGGCCAATGGCGGAGACAGTCGGTGGTTCCCGTGCTCGCCGCCCACAAGTGCTCGGGACGGCGCTATCAGTCCCGACGTGTCGACAGGTATGTACTTGCTACGTACTTTGTCAAGTTGATGCCTGCATGGAGTTTCTCATGGGCCATCTCGGTCTTCGCCATCGTGCCTCCTTGCCCTATATTGATAATGATACCATGACCGCATGGCGGGTCGAAAGCCCCCAACAAGCTTTAGTTAATGAAGAATCGACTCATCAGTGGGGCACCACGCTTCCTTGCCATCGTTCTCTAACAACTAACAAGAGGCAAAGAGCCTGTTTAGGGCACTCCACGCTCAGGGGGCCCACCACTTAACCCCGTGTGAGTTTCGTGTTCCTTGCTCTTTCTTTTATTCGAATTTCTTTTTTTTTATTATTTTCCTAATCGCACGTACAGCACCGGGGCTAGAAATTCGGGGCGTCCGTTCGTCCAAGGGATGGCTTCGCAAGAGTCGGTACCAACGTCGTCCTTGTTAGCGACGGAAGAATCCCGCTATCGAACTGAGGTACTCCTGCTTCAGGAAGACGAGACTGAAGAGAATCTTGAGGAGCGGCTCGTCGCAGAAGCCTCCCAACTTGGCTTGAAAATACCGGACATCCACATTGCAGCCTCGCTGGCAGCAACCATCAATGCCGGGTTTTTGGATGTATCCGTCTCATCCGCCGGCTCCACGCGCACTCGACCGTCGCTCACCCATCCGCACACATTCGCGGACCTTGTTCGATCTAGCGTCGTGTCGTTCGATCAGCTTCCTGGTTCGTTGTCGGAAACAACGCTGTCCGATCGCGGGCATTCCGGCAGTATACCGTCCATTGACTCCTTCTCTACGCGGCCAACATCGATTAGTTCATGTGATATCAGAATAATTCCGCCGTCAGCACAGCATGAGCGCCAGTCGCAGCATCAAATTCCTTCTCCATCCTCCACCTCGAGTGGGACGAGGCTGACTGAGCGGAAACGCTCTAGCTTTATCAATGCCCTTGGAAGGCCGTTCCGGAAACGACGCACCCCGTCCGCCGTCAACCTGCCCCCGAATGCGCATATAAGTTTAAAGAAACATGAAGCAGCAGCAGGGAGAGGAGCGGCGACCAGTACGGTTCTTGTTGAGACAAAGCCTCTTAGATCAACCGAAGCCGATCATCCCGAGGGGGAAGCGCAAGGGCAAGGAGTCACTTTACAGGTTGAAGTGCCCGTGTTTGACGAAGCGGCCTTGCAGAGAAGCATGGATGATGCGCAATTAAAGAGCCTGTTTGAGAGGCATAGAGAGGAAAGATCGAGATTTGTGCGTCTACAAAATGAACTACTCGACTCGTTGAAAGAGGCGCACTTGGTAGTCATCGCGGAGAGAAAAAGGCAAAACGCAATAGCTGAGAAGGAGAAACAAGAGCAGGTGAGAAGGAGCCCACGGTTCGACCATTTCGAATGATAGACTAACCACGTGCATGTAATCATGTGATACAGAATAATGGATATATTTCGCGAATGGAGGAACGACAGCTTTCCGTGGAAATCGATCAAATGAAAGAATTCCAGAAAACAAAGCGAAACTCACAAACCCGCATCAAATATATGGAGGGATACGTAAGCACCTCGAGTCCTCCACAGTCACCAGTGCTCTCGGGACGAGAATCGAGGCCACATTCAGCATGCTTTGAGCCGATACCGCGTCGTCAATCGCAAGCCAGCTATAGTAGTGATGGCGGCTCTCAACAACCGCAATATCGAATCGTGACTCGTCGACAAAAGGAACAATTGGCCCAGGAGTATCTGGACCGAGACTCGATGGACCGGCTCCACGAAGCACGTATCAAGGTTCTCCGCGAGCGGCAAGAGCAGCGATTACAAGAAACGACAGCTCGCCTAGAGAGAGAATTGGAGATGCTCGTCCATAAAAACGCGGAAACCATTGGAGAGCTTGAGCGTGACCATCAGCGCGCAGAGCAGGAGATGCTTCGTGTCTTTGAAGCGAAAAAGCATCGGCTCAGACGACGCTGGAATATCGAAGAAGCTATTCTGCGGACAAAGCTTGAGCACCAGAATGGCGTCCCGTATGGTCCCTTGCCGATTATTTCTTTCAGTGTTCCGGATCATGATGAAGATAGTCGTGCTCTTCTTGACCGTGATATACCCATTTTAAAGAACCCTTTCGCCTCCTCTTGAACGGCTATGAAACTGACACCGTGCCCTTTTATATCTGACTCAAAAGGTATTCTACTTCCTTGTCCAGTTACCTTTTTAAACGCCATATGCATTTCCCTTCCACCACCTCGCTTTATATACCACAATATCCATGGATAGATACCCTGGGCGGCAAGTTTGTTTTTCTTCACCTTAATTGATACCCATTTTACATTTCAATTCTTCATACATTACATTTAATGACTCATACTGCAAATTATGTAATTATTTTGTGCACATACGCATGGCGTTGATTTATCTTGCGACGATGTCATGTCTACCCTGTTTATATACGTGGCGTCGTCATTGAATGGAGTCCAATTTTCTATCGGGTCGCCTTAAAAGAGTTGCACAAATATTCATCTACGTACTCAATAACCGACCAACCAGCGTCTCAACTCGCCGATCTCCTCCCATCAGAATTGTCTCGGTTCTTTTATCGCGGCCTTTGTCCCCAATAACAACCGCCCGTTCGACAAGTCCCGCGTTCGATATTTTGAATCGACCGACCCTACCATCTCTCCACTCCAATCGCACATATCTGCATTCTAGCGATGTAGCAGCAAGTGACACAAGAAGCGTTGCGTGATCATTTTGCTGTCTTTCCGTTTCCTCTTGCTCGGATACACCTTCATCGCCATCGTGATTCTCGCTAGTAACACCCGTACGTTCTTGTAGCCATGAAATCGAATCACGGCGCACATGCCACGCGGCTATCTCCTTGCGCAATTGTCGCACAAAAGTAGAGAGGTCCTGTTTCCTTGTTTTCGCTTTCGCCTTTAGCATCTCGATCTCATCGTCCGCCTCGCCCCGCTTCCGGATAGATCGAGCTTGCGGGAGATATCTCTGCGCCAATTTCTCTATCGGAATGAATGCCGGGATCGTATGTCGATAGATGGAGAAAAGAGCCATTGACCGACGCTGCCTTTGTACCGACGACGACGATGTTGGTGTTGTGTTGTCCTCTTTCTCCCGTCGCAGAAGCACATAATACGGTTTCGCAAATGTGCCGCCCCGCTCAGATACATCAATTCTTATACCCAGCAGATTGGGACAATCTGAATACGGATTTGGATCTTTCCAGGGAAATGACGTTGTTGCAAATGCTAGGCGGTGGAGGTTCGTTTCGCGGTGTTTATGCGCATTGCTAAGCAACGATGAGACTTCTTCGCGTACGCTTCTTGCGACAGTAGCTGTAGAAGTTGAGGCGACGACGCCATCGCGTTGGCTATTGCTTTGTTCGATTCGTTGGCGTACGTAATCCGACGATAGGAGACTGGCTGATAGCAAGCGTCGTCTATTCTGGAAGTTGTTGACTTTGAAGTCTTAGCTGATGTGGTCTTGTTTACTGGCAAAAAGGTTAGACATACTCTCCTGCCGGATTTTAGCGATTTCCGAGTCCAGCTTCTCGATCGAATTGTCGATGTTTGCAATTGTTCCGCTGTCCATTGTGTAGTTATAGAAGGTTGTGGTTGTGGTTGATGTCAAGTGGAAGTTCAAGCTGTTTGTTTACGTCGAGGCGCTAGCCGTTTGTGCACGGGCCGCCGGCATGCAAGTGTAATTTCTCCGTTGCTTACACCACAACATTTGTCTGCATTTCTACCTTAGGCAACTTATTGGCAATCCCTGCAGATATTCGCCATAAAAGCTACTACATCCTCGTCTCCAAGCCGAAACCGAAGATGTCTGCACTGGAATCATTGCCAGAGAGGGGCCTATCTTGGCACATGACCTGCGAGAAATGACCGTTGGCTCGTTCACGTCGGACTGGTTTTGCCTGACCATCTTTGGCCTGTGTGACTATCCGGCTGTGACTCCTTACACGGTTCCTTTTCCATCTCCTAAGACCAATAAAACTCGCCCTGCTGTCAGCGGCGAGACCCCAATCCAGATAGTCCATTTCAGTGATGTTCACGTCGATCTCTCCTATGAGGTCGGGGCTAATTATAACTGCTCTGATAACATCTGTTGTCGAGCGTACACCGCTGCCCAGGGCCTAGGAAACACATCATATCCCGCAGGGCCTTGGGGCAATCACAACTGTGATGCCCCGTTCGATCTGGAAAAGAGTCTGTATGCGGCTATCCAGGAGATTGTCCCAAATGCCGCCTTGACCCTGTTCACTGGAGATGTGGTGGAAGGGGCAGAATGGGTAGTCACAAATGCCGAGGTCGTCAGTGACTTGGATAGCGCATATTGAAAATGACCAATTTAACTCTCGTTTATGGCGTTGTCGGCAATCACGATATTAACCCCATCAACAGCTTCCCGCCATCCGACATCAACACGACCATCAGTAGCCAGTACACATATGATGCATTGTCCGCTCTGTGGACGACGTGGATTGGTTCTACCGCTGCAGCAACCGCTGCCACAAACCCAGGAGCGTACTCGGTAGTTTATCCGGGAGGAAATCTGCGTATTATCTCCTTAAATACCATGATGTACTACAAAGACAACTTCTGGCTCTTTGAGGCCACTATGGAAACAGACCCAAGCGGACAGCTGGCATGGCTGGTTGACGAGTTTCAAGCAGCCGAGGATGCTGGTGAACGCGTTTATATTCTTGCATCGTTCTACAGGCCACACCCATAAAGACGAGTTTCAAATTGCTTACAGTAAATATACCGACCAAACTGCTGATACAGCCGTTGGAGTGTTGTATATCGCTCCGGCGCTGACACCAACCAGCGGCAATCCAGCCTTTCGAGTATACGATGTTGACCCGGTGACTTTTGCAGTGCTTGATATGACGGAGTACATTACCAACATGTCAACCAGCACATACCAAACGGACGGTCCCGTATGGGAAAAGTACTACACAGTTAAAGAGGCGTACGGTCCGCTAATGACGCCACCGTCCACTAGCAGAACCGACCCCGGCCTTTTGGCATAATCTGACCGAGGTGCTGGAATCTAACTCCATGGCAATCGACGAATACTATGCGCGTAAGTGGCGGGGATACAATGTGGCAAGCTGCACAGGCGCATGCGTGACAGACGAGATCTGTCAACTGTGAGCGGCTGAGGCACAGTATAACTGTGTTGCTGTCACTCCAGGCATTCAGTTCTCTAAGCGTGATGCTTCTGAGACTGAGCATGAGAAAGGCCAATGTGAGGGAAGTCGAGCAAAGACCATTTTTCGCAAGCTTCTGCAGACGGAAAATCTTGGGCAAATCATCCAAGAGCGGACAGAGCTGCGAAAGTCGTCTGAATACTTCTCTTCCCTGTAGTAATACTTCAAACAGAAGGACACAGAGCGTTTTGATTGGTTGGCGGTGAAGCTGTTTTCAAGATTAGTCAGACAGTTTACGCTAGAGCCCGATTGGGATTGGCTCCTTTAGGCTTTGTAAGAATCAAATTCGTTTGAACAGTAAACACATAACCATGCTCGTTTATTTTATGCCAATCGCATAACGGAGTATATCTATATAATAAAGCATCACTTCAGCCCTAGCCGACCAAACGCCAATTCCCCCATGAAATATCCAATCGTCACTGCAAAAAAGAATCCGACATTCATCGTCATGACCAGTATCATCCTATCAGCATGATTTAGCGGGCGGCTACTTCAGGGGAGAGAAGAAACCACATACAGGAGATATGAAATGGACTGTGTGACATATGCCAGCGCTGCGCGTGGCAGATTGACAGATAACCTCCACGCATGAACAGAGCTGGAGTGTGTGAAGCCGGGCACTTCTCGCAGAATATCGGTATGTGAGGGCGACGAATATTTCTTAATCCAGTGCTGGTCGAGCCGGCGTTGCACAAAGACCAGGGCCCGCCATATCACTGCCAGGATGAAAATGAAGAACCACGAGCCGACATACTGACCCGTGGTCGAGGGCATCCATGCTGTGGAGAAGATCATGGTTGACAGGTTGTCCGTGTTGAAAGCCATGGACATTGACATTGCCGCCGTGCTTGACATGGACATGGACGTTGCTGTCGTCGCCGCCATTGCCATTGCGTCGGATGTTCTCGACATGATGGATGCCGTTGTGTGTATTGAGGGCGAAGTGAGGATTGAAGTAAACACCATATGGCATATGCCATAGGGTATAAGCACAGTAATGCTCGGCTTGCCAGGGCGGCGCTGTGATTGGCGGGCGAATTGCTTAAATGGAATTAGGTTGCGCGGGAATGAGCAAATTTGAGAAGAATCCACCGCGATCCGCCGCTGTGATTGGCTGCCGGCAAATTTCCTCAGCTTTTGGAAAAGTGACAGGACGCAATCCTCACGTGGATTTGGCATTACGCATTACAATAATGGCATGTCATGTCCTGCGTGCATAGCGTGACCCAGAATGCTTTCCCAATGGCACAGTGGACGGAACTTGGCGACTGCCATCCCTGATGCCATGCCATAGATTGTCCGACAAAGACAGACTAACTTCAACATGGACATGGGCATGGGCAGCACGGCCTCATCAGGGCCGCTGACTGCTGCCGGCGTCGACTTCTCAAATGAGACCCAGGCCGTCGACTTTCTGCAGGAGATTCTCGACGACTCTGTCCTCGGCGTCGTGGGAAACCAGTACGCACGGTATTTCTGGTATGGCATTGTCGTTGTCATCGGCATTGCCACGATTTCCAACTTGGTGGAAAAGGTGATTCTGCAAACGAGGTGGGATTTCCTTTCCTTTCCCCGGCTGGTGGCGAGTCTGACTGACGCCGGCCATGTATCGATATATCACAGAATCAGAGCAAGCTCTGCAAATAGAGCACGACCTGCACAACCAACCAACGCGTTGACTCAATCTGTGGCAACCGCGACTGCCATTCTTCGCGAACTGTCCTACCTGCAAATCACTCCCGTAAGGGCGTCCTCATGGGTGAAAGTTCCACCCTTTGGCTCTCTCTTCGTCTGCGCCGCATACTTTGCTTTTCTAATTGCTCTCGTATTCACCAATGACGACGTTCCGGGAGCTCAGCACTACCAAGCCCTGGGCATCCGCGCTGGCTGGCTCGGCGCAGCACAGATGCCTTTGTTGGTCCTACTTTCGAGTCGGACGAACCTGATTGGCCTACTATGCAACTTGTCGTACGAACGGTTGAACGTCTACCATCGATGGGTTTCTCGGGGGTTGCTCCTCCTAGCAACTTTTCACTTTGCCTTCCAGGGCCATGCATGGGACATTTACGGGTTGATGGCGCTCGAGTGGAACACTGACGAATGCCCGCCAACAGGCATGGCCGCATATGCTATATTGCTCTGGATGAATCTGACCACCGTGGCTCCGTTACGATACCTCTCGTACAAATTCTTTGTTGTCCAGCATGTGCTTACCTATTTCGGATTCACCATTGCTCTCGCGTATCATCTTTATGGAACTTCGTCGCCTTATTCGACGAATTATATCTATATTAGCGTTGCGTTGTATCTTGTTGGCCAGCTTGTCCGGATTGCGTGGGGTGCGGTTAATAATTTCTCGCCGAGCAAATGCACCTTGACAGCGCTTGATGGCGGCGCTACCAAAATTCGCGTGTCAAATAGACATATCAAAAATTGGAACCCCGGCTCGTATGCGCGAGTGTATATCCCCCGCTTTGACATGGTGTGGGCGCATCCGGCAACCTTGCTATCAACACCAACTTCTCATGACGGCGATCTCGTTTTTCTCTTTCGGTCGTACAGGGGGTTTACCCGGAAGATCCACGCTGCTGCCGCTGCCGAAAGCCAAAAGTCACATCGAACCCTGATCGGTGGACCGTGTCCCAGCTCACAACTAGATTTGGGCTGCTTTGACACACTAGTCCTGATTGCCGGCTCAACGGGTGTGACATTCACACTGTCAAATCTATTAGATCTCGCACACCGAGCACAACAACGGAAGCCACTACCTCTTCGAGTGCTCCACTTCACCTGGGTGATCAAAAAGAAGAGCTGGATATCCTGGGTTGCCGAAGAGCTTCAATCCGCGTTTGAAGCGCTAGCAGAAGCGGGCATTGAGACTCATTTTAATATCTATATCACTTGCGATGATTCCATAGCCGGGGACTCCATTTCCTCCAGCTCAAAAGTAGGATGCCAGTGCAATGATGGATGTAAATGCTGTCAGCAATCACCAAACGACCCAGCGATTGAAATCACAGAGAAAAAGGTTTCGACGTCGAAGAATGAGCTCGGCATTGCACCGTACGCAGCCATACTTACGGGCCGTCCTACATTTCACCACTTTCTAGCGGGAGCGATATGCCAGGCACAGGGTGAGACCGCCGTTGCGGTCTGTGGACCTCTGGGACTGTCAGTGTCGGTCCGATCGGCCGTGGTTTGGGCTAGTGACGAGCTAGCTGTGAGTAAGGGGAGCGGCTTGCAGGGGGTATATTTACATGTGGAAAACTTTGGCTAGTTGTAGTGTATACTGTATATAGACCAATGATGAACTTGTGAATTGACGTATGATCTCAAAACAGTTAGTCTGTCTCACGTGACTTTTCTGCCAAAATAGGACAAGCGGTCTTGGCACAGCCGTGGTGCCTGGGGCAGCGGCCCTGCTTGCGCAATCGCCGTCTGACAGGGAACTACATCTGCAAGGACTCGTCGTGCAACAAGTCACTCGTTCATTCAATTGCTTTTTGTGTTTTTGTCGCCATGCCGCTCAACTGACGGTTGACTTGTTCAGCAAAACAGTGTGCACGCGGGCGCAGCTTAAGCTCCAGCAGGTGGAATGGGACCCAATCAGGAACGAGACAACTACACACTTTCCTGTTGAGGCCAGCTTGCCTCCCGCCGCCTGAATGCATTCCACAACCTTTACTCCAGGTACTTCACACGCTCTTTAGAAAATCAACACTCCTGTGTCTGAAGAAGACATCACATCACGCTCTCTTTATTTTACTAAACATTGCTCCTCACTCCGTGCCCACAAGACCAAAACGAGCTGGAGCTGCGAGACTTGCCTGCCGTTCTTGACGTACACGACGAATCAGCTTCCTCTGCGAGCGACGCCGACGAACAAGAAGAAAACGCTGGGCTGCTTGAAGGAAACTCTGGATCGCGCCCGAAAAAACCGATGAAGCGCCGGACTCGCGATAAAACACCTAAACGGGGCCCTCCTTCACGCCTGACGATAGAAACGGGCCAGAACGGCCACTCCGACGGCGATATGAACTCGCGTCTTGAAATGCGGAGGAAAGACCCATCAATTGAGGCTCCCTCTTCCGCACAGCATGCCACCAGGGTCATGGGCCGCGAGAGCTTCACACTGGACGATGACCCTCCCGCCGTACCCAGCACGCCGATGTTGCAAAACACAAGTTTCTTTGCCCTGCCGGAACAAGACCGAAAGAATTTCCTCTTGCTCGTGTTGTTGTACTTCCTGCAGGGTATACCCATGGGCTTGGCCATGGGTTCTGTGCCATTCCTTTTGAAACCGTACCTGTCTTACGGCCAAATCGGCGTGTTCTCCTTGGCGTCATATCCGTATTCCTTAAAGTTGCTATGGAGCCCCATCGTGGATGCAGTTTGGAGCAGACGCTTTGGTCGTCGGAAGAGTTGGATTACGCCTGTCCAATTATGTTCCGGTCTCGCCATGATTTATTTGTCTTCCCAGGTCGAGTCAATGATGAAGACTGCCGGTGACAGCGACTCTACCGTGTGGGCCTTTACCCGATGGTGGTTCTTTCTCGTCTTTCTATGCGCAACCCAGGATATTGCTGTTGATGGCTGGGCTCTTACACTCCTTTCACCCCAAAACATTTCCTATGCCTCTACGGCCCAGACAGTGGGCCTCACCGCCGGACATTTCCTTTCGTACACTGTTTTCCTTGCTCTCAACTCCCCAGAGTTCGCCAATCGGTGGTTCCGCACCGAAGCCACGGTCGACCCGGCCCGTGGTCTTATTTCGCTCGGAGGTTATATCGCTTTCGCCGGATGGGCGTACATTATCGTCACTATTGGACTGTTCCTTTTCAAGAAAGAGGAGCGCACCAAGGACAAAGACGGCATCATGGAGGTATACCGCAGCATGTGGAGTGTGCTTAAATTGCGGAACATTCAGATGATCATTGTGCTTCATCTGATTGCTAAAATCGGATTTCAAGCCAATGATGCCGTGACTAGTTTGAAGCTCATTGACAAGGGCTTCGGACAGGATAACATGGCATTGGTCGTGTTGATTGATTTTCCATTTGAGATTGCTCTAGGTTACTATGCTGGTCAATGGTCGACCGAATACACGCCAATGCGACTGTGGTCTTGGGCTTTTGTCGGTCGGCTTGCAGCAGCACTATTTGCCCAATTCACCGTCATGATATATCCTGCCGGAGCCGACGTGCCAACTTGGTACATCTTAATTACCATTGCAGAGCATGTCTTGTCCACTTTTATGAATACGGTCATGTTCGTGGCGATTTCTGCATTCCATGCTCGTATTTCTGATCCAGCCATTGGCGGAACTTATATGACGTTGCTGGCTACGTATGTCTTCCCAATGCTCTCATTTGTCCTTTTACTGCGATTCCTGACTTTTGATTAGGGTGTCTAATCTTGGAGGAACATTCCCCAAATTCTTCATTCTCAAGATGGTGGACATGTTCACATCAGCGACCTGTATACCGCCCACCACGCCTCCAGATGCTTCCCAATTGACCGGCGACCTGGTCACGTCTGCGTTTTCCTGCGCGCTCGAGGCAGATAAGGGTCGCTGCCAGGCCGGAGGTGGCCAATGCGTAGTCGAGCACGACGGCTATTACATTACCAACTTGCTTTGCGTGCTTATTGGCGCTGTCACATTCTACGTGTATATACGGCCGACGGCGCTCAAATTGCAGGCCTTGCCTCTTCGCGCTTGGAGAGTGACAACTGGTTATGGCAATTCAGAGTAAGTTGTTTTTTGGCAAGCGTGTTGTATTTTAGAATTTATCTACATAGTTTATCTACATCATATATGATTTGAGATTTCTCTAGCATAGTAACTCCAAGCTTCTGTGTCAGAGTATTGTTATTTGTAAGAAAATATTTAGCGTGGATTTTTCCATGCTAGCACAGGTACGTACCAAGACCTCGGATGTACGGCGAGAGCTTCCGCTGCCCTAAATATATCGCTGTTGATTGGTTTTGAGTTCATCAACCCCTGCTATAGTTGCAAGAAGTATTAATATCCCATGAATGAGATCGATTAAGTTAGGTTTGGGGGGTCCTTAGGGCTGTCCGGGGTCATTACCAGCCTACTGCAACCTATGCCTGGGTGCCTGATTCAAGCGACTTCCAAGAAATTTGGTGATAATGCACGATCTAGTCTTGTGCCGATCTGGAAACTGCATTTCTCGAGGCTGGCGACAAGGAATAGGGGTCCGCCAAGATGTGAACACGGCGTGGCGACTCGAACGTGGTTGGATAGGCACTAGATCGGTCACATACACTAACCGCTTCAGCCTTCTTTGTCTGCCCAGGGGGGAAGAAAAAGTAAAGTGACAATGGGCGTCCGAAGGTGACACAGAAAAATGCATCTCTCTCGCTCCCCCGGTGAAGTCTTCCAAGATTATATATATGTATGAAGCAGAAATTGAGAATTTGTCTGGATGTTTCCGGCCATATTTCGAATATTGCAATACATATACATATACATATACATACATACATACATACATCAGTTCTTAGGGCTAGTACTGAGAGCAGCCCGCCATGGCGCATCGCAAGAGCTGGTTGGCGCGCCAACCAGTCAAGACTGTCTATACTGTCTGCGCCGCGGTGAGGGCTATAGCACGACTATCCTTTCTTTCCATCTACTATATCCCGCACTCGCTGCGGCCCAGAAAAACCTGGACCTGGAAGCTGGCTCTCGGGTCCGAGGCCACGAGGCTCTCCGTCGTCTACGTGACTGCAATCCAGCTGCAGGTGCCCATGTCCCTGGAACCAGGCGACGAAGGCGAGCGATTCGTCAAGTGCAGTCCCCGGGCAGACCTGCAGGCATTCTACAGCGGAATCCTGCAAAGCAATAAGAACATCCAGCCCGAGACGCTTGGTGGCACGTGGTATCCCCATTGTTACGACAAAGACACCAGCAACAAAGTCGTGCTGCATTTCCACGGCGGCGCCTTCGTTTTGCTGGACTCGCGCGAGGAATATTGTGGACACGGACTGCGCACGTTAAGCGAGCAGTTCGATGGAATCCCCGTGTTCTGCCCGGAATACCGTCTGGCAACATCGCCAACGGGGAAATGGCCGGCCCCGTTGCAAGACGCAGTCACCTCTTACCTCTATCTGCTCTACGAGCTGAATATTGATCCATCCCGGATCATCCTCTCCGGTGACTCAGCCGGTGGCACGCTGGCTCTAGCTCTGCTACGGTATATCATTTCGTCGCAATCGCGGGTCGGCGTGAATGCGCTGCCGCTGCCTGTTGCAGTGCTCCTTTGGTCTCCCTGGGTCAATGGGCATGGCACGGATGACGAAGCCAACAAAGACAACAGAAACAAAGGCATCGACACAATCGGACCGGGCTTCCTCAAATGGGGGCTCCAAGAACTGACTGATAACGAAACAATTATATCGTCCTCTGATCCATACCTCTGCCCTCTCGCGGCCCCATTCAAAACAGACTCGGTACCGCTATGGATGCAGATTGGCACCGCAGAGCTGTTCTACAATCCTGTGCAGAAATTTGCGAAGAAAATGCGAGCAGTAGGGAATACGGTTCATTTGTATGAGATTCCGGATGCTGTGCACGACCCACTGATCTCTTGGAAGTTGGGTTTTCAGGAGGAGCTGAAAGAGGGGATGCGACAGGCATGGGATATGGTCAATAATACTACTAATGGGCGGGTTGAATAAAGACGTGGCTTTTTTTTTTGTTTTGTTTCTTTATGGGCTATAGAAGAAGTACATGTTTCGCACCGGACTATGGGATTTGAAAGGATTATTTCGGGATTCATGGATTGGGCTGAAAGAAGTTACAAGCATAAATACGGTGTAATCCTTCAAAGTAGTCAAATAGCTCGTCACATTTCTTTTAATTTTTTTTTTCCGTCCGATCTACGTATGTTCAACAACATAGAAGTTCTCGCGAATGTGTCATACAAAGAATTGCTCACCAACTTGTCCGTAAGAAAATTGGAAGACATCGAAAAACGATTTACACCAAATGGCTATGAGGACTTTGCCCCTCGAAATTGTGGGCATGATCATAGAGAATGTCGACATGGTCCCGGATCTTTTAAATTGTGTCTGCGTCAACAGCACCTGGAATGTGATAGCCTCGAGGAAACTCTACAGAGGCTGCCAGAACGACATGCAATTCCGCACACCAGACATCGAGGTCCTTATGTGTCTATATGTAGCATCAAGAGAACGCTTTACTCGGAATATGAATTTTGTGAGGCACTTGCTACTCTCTCCCGAGGCCCCCACGATTGATGTAGCGGCGTTCCCAAGTATCAGGCTTGCAGGCTTCGAGAAAGACGGTTCTGTACGCTACAGCAAATTTGCTGAGCATCTCATCAAGTCGGTAGGAGGGCGTCTTGAAAGTCTTACGATCCCCTTTGACTTAATGGGTCAAGCTTGGTCGACCATTTCTGATCTCCTTCTCAGTCCCACCATTGAATTTTTAGCTATTGATGGGCGATATTGTGAAACATTGCTGGCCAGTCCAGTCTACATTCAAAGGCTCAACTTATCTGCTGTCAGTTGTGCCTAGTTCCAGGTCACCGTCTAGGAAAAATGATAATGGTCTAACTCCAACAGGGTAAATTTTCAAACCTCAAAGCTCTTACAGTCTACAGATCAGACTGCAGACAGAAGATTGAGAAGCTTTGCCAATTCATAGACACTTGCGACCTGCAGTTTTTCCAAATGGAACACAAGTGCACAGAAGACTGTTTAACTGAGCAGGCTAGTCTGGATCTTTTGCAGTGCCTTGGACGACAGAATAACCTCAAGACGTTGGCTCTGATCATTCCTGAAAAAGCCCTCGCTTTTGGATTGACTGATTGCCTGTCGTCCGCGGATAAACAAAGGAATATATGGCCGGAGTTGAGGTCGTTAGAGCTGAGCTTTGCAAACCGGTACTTGCTGGAGCAATTGCCAAATTTCAAGGAGAAGCTTCAAGTCCTCACTTTACATGCACTCGATACTGAGATCCCCTTCTCTGTCGGTGAGGTAGCAATCAAGAACATTAGCCAATGCCGAAATCTCCGGGCCATCGAGATTATCCTCCCTGAACTTATCAACTGGGATGCGCTCTTGGTCATGGCGCGCGGGTGCTCTCTCCTACGCAAGTTCAGTGTATGGCTTAGCGTGAGAGAAGAGAGTTTGTCTGATTCTGTTTTCAGGGCTATTGTGCGTGCCCTGCCGCATCTCGAGGCTCTTGAACTCAATGCCGTCTTTCAAATGGATGCCACAAGCTTTCAGGAGCTCGCACAAATCTGTCCTCAGCTCATTATACTCGACATGCCTTGTACTGTAGTGCATCTATCTGCTGAGGATTTAACAAACTTCCAACCATTCCAGCAGCTACAATCACTGACTGTTCAAACGATAGCCTTCGAGAATGCACATCGCTTCAAGGAGCAGTGCACAGTCCAGAGCCTTGCAGAGGAATGGCGCAAGGTATTCCCAAAGCTTCGAGCAATCCCATGTCTTGGGGACATGCACCTCCCACCGATAGCAAAATCGAGTTTAGATGAGGACTCATCAGAAGAAGATCAAATGTCCCTTTGTGAAACTAATCTGGACGATGAAACAGAAGAAGAAACGGGCAGCAACACCGAGGAAGAACTATTACCTAGTCCAGCGCTGGTCACGAATGACTACAAATCCGACAGGTTCAAGTTACGCATGAAATTGTGGAAAGCACTTGGTTATAGGGAAGATCAAATGGTCCAGGTTCAGGTTCAGGCTATGTGGCGGACAACTCTGCAAATTGAGACGGTCGGCTGGCCTGTGATTCCTTCAGAGGCTTTTGTCAGTCCGAATTCGTATTCGACATCGGCCAATGAAGCTGAGGATGTGGAGGCTAGTTGCTTGCCATCAGTCTGACTGAGTATGTTCAAGGCTGCTGCCTGCCCATCGGCATATTGGGGGAGAAAAGAAGGCTATAGAATCATATACGACGATGTAAAGGACATAACTACCTATAGATAAATCTAAGCACGTACCAGATATGATGAAAAAGATTAATGCAATGTCTTGCGTGGAAGGGGAAGTTTGAACGAATAAATTTGAGCTTTGCTAACATGAATATAGGGTTAGGGTTATACTCCACCCGCTTATCGGCGGACTGATAAGGAATGGAGGGGCTGGAAAAACTGCATCATCACTTCACAAAGCTCCCTTTCTGTCTCGTCTCGTTTTTCAATAGAAAGAACTATACCTATACACATGAGATGCCGTCCTCACCATCTAGTTCTACGTACACTGCTCCTATTGCATCTCCAACTACGACAATGACATCAACACACAGCGAGCCGGAGCCAGACAGTAACAACTCGCTCGACGATATCTTTGGCTCGTCGCCGGTCGAGCATCAACAATACATATCTACGGAAGAAATACCAGGAAACAGGACTTCTCACGTCCCAGCATCTGCTGCTGCAGAGCCCTCCGACCTCCCCTCCCTGCGCCGCCAACACGTCACAGCCGGATACCGGGACGGAATCGCGTCCTCCAAAGCGGAGCATGTGCAGAGAGGGTTCGATGGCGGATATCCGGTGGGTGCGCAGTTTGGGCTGAGAGTAGGCACGATTTTGGGGATATTGGAAGGTGTTGTGGGCGGGCTAGAATCGACGTCGTCGGGGACAGGGCCTATTAAGAAGAAAACAATGGCGGCAAAGCGCAGTTCTTTGCGGGACGGTACATATAAGGATGGTCTTGGTCCGGACAAGGGTGAGGAATCACAAGAAGCACAAATACACAGGCAAAGAATTGAGAGGATAAGGCAGTTATACAAGAATGCTCTTAAGGAGTTGGATGTTGAAGCATTGTTTGGTGGATTGAAAGCGGAAGATCAGGAAGGAGGGGAAATACAAGGCCCCGATTTCACTGACGAAAGCAGGCCAGAGAATCGACTGCGGCATAAGGCTGATCCGGCCGTTGCTCGATGGGAGAAACTGGTCGATGTGACGAAATGGGAGGAAAGTATGGAGGCGATTGAGAGCATGGAAGATCAGACTGTCAACACGGCTGAGAAGGAGCTGTGAGATGAGCGAGAGCTGCACTGTTTTCGATCTTTCAGTTTGATCGTGATACCAACTTTTTCGGCCCTCGATCAGATGGAAAGGACTAGCATGAGTTCCTCCCGCCTCGTACAACCCGGAGACTTCATTCAAGCATGGGAATTGACGAGGCATGGCTTGGTCCGAGGTCGCCTACATGAATAGGACAACGTGTTTGTTCCTCGGCGTCCCGACGAACCCTGCCCACGGCATGGATGCAATAATCATTGATATATGTGTAACAGAGTATGCACGCACAGGCCCAAATAACGGGAAAAGTAGCCAGCCAATCATGCCCGTGTGGTGAAAAAGAAAAGGAGGGAGGGCTATAGTATACTTTTAAGAATACGCATCTTCAAAGCTCGTGCTTGCTCGGCCCAAGAATGAAAAAAAGAAGAAAAGAAAAATACGACTTCACCTCGCATCGAAAATGCACCTAGCTACATGCATTTCATATTATGTAGCTAGGTATAGGTTAAATAGACGAGCCAAGAAAAACATGCATGCTCTCATCACATTCCACGCTGTTCTACTGCGCATATCTTTAGCCACCCCTAACTCCATAAAGCCGCAGTTGGTCAACCCACAGCATAGGAGCAATGGGTGGACATGCACATGCAACCGTCGGCAATCCTTACTATCTATCCAGCTGGTCACTGACGTTCGTATGGTGTACACGAGGAGTCGAAAAGGGAATTTGCTCAATCCAGCCAATAAAATGAAATCAACCCTAGTAAATAAAAAAAAGGGGGGGACTTAAATTTTTTATATCATGCATGAAATAAGATATCGCATTAAACAAGCCCAGTTTCAATTCATTTCGTCCTTAGTTGCACGGACGTAGGTACGAATGAATGTCTTGTCTAACTAATGCATATGATATATGCTGTCTGTATAACCCGAGTTTTAATGCTTGCAGGGAGAAAGATTTCCTTTTCATTCTATGGTCGGATTGCAATGCGAGTTCTTGAATACTATTATACCATATGCAGCGTTAAGCAGCCCATCTTCCTGGCTTGCTAAACAGGAAGAACATGAAACTCCGAGAATTGATAGACACACCAATGCAACCTGGAATATCGGCAACAGCGATTATTTGGCCTCTATCGAGTACGCACCAATTATTTTATTCCTTTATTGAATAACACAGTCCCTTGCACAACGTCATCTCGGGATAGGGCAACAGGATGTTCCTGGCTAGCTGAACCAGGCGCCTACCTATCCTTCTCGATTATAACATATTTAGCCTGCAGTGCAACAAAATCTTTTTGCCCGCAGGGAGTAAGTACTACATAGGTATTGACATGCGTTATTAAAGTTGCTGACATACAATTCCCAATTGAGGTTGTACTGGTGCTGGCCACGTTCCCGGTTGGACTTATGCGGGTTGTTTGCCTAGTTTATTTTATATGGATGGCGAAATCATCATTCTATCCAAAGTGGCTCGTTAGGCAGTCTGAATGCATTGACGGTCAGGTATAGATTGGGTATTCTTACCAACCTAGGGCTGGAGCCAGCGAACATCCTATGTTATACGCAGGTACAGAGTACTGTCTAGCTGTTATGGGTAGGTACTTGATCGACAAGGAGTAAGTATCTGTCCTACTAGGTGGTCTTTCCAAGGGATATGTATGTCTGGGTGATAATGGCAACACAGTCTATTCAGTTTAATTAAGAATTGTAGTAGATAGTAGCTACAATATGTGACAGCGAAAGGGTAGTTATCGAGATTTGCCCCAGTCAAGAAGTTCAGAAGCTCCTTGTTGTGCTTGTTGTTGTATTAGCTCCTGTCTGTCTACCTAGCTAGGTTAGGTACATGCAAAGAAAAGAAAACTAAAGGAAAAGAAGTCAGATGCCCATTTTTGTATTATCCAATTCACCGCCTCGATCAATCACATTGCGAAAGAAATTCTTGAAACCCGACCAACCGGAATGACGCCAGAAAAATAAGCTAGAAAAACGTGAAACTTACGCCAGGTGCGTTGATTTTGGGCTTGCGCCGTCCGTATATCTGCACCTTGTCCCTAGATGCAGATAAATCTTGTGTTGAAACATTGAAGGACAAAATAATTGCTAGGAGAAAAAGGCGGAAACAAGGAATGAGAGAAGGAGCGAATGCTCACAGATGAGTCAGGAGATTTCGACGGAGACAAAGGGAGAGGAAGCAGGTATACTAGTAAAATCAACAGAAAAAGAAAGAGTCATAGTCATGACCATTGAGTCGTGGGAATAGAAGCATGTCCGTAGAGCATAAGGAGCGTAAGACGTACACGAGCATTGGAGAAAGCATGAAACATTCATCATCAATTAGAAGCGAGCTAGAGCAAGACAAGAAAAGAAAAGAAGCGAAGACGCCGCCAAGTAACAATTCTCAACCTTGACGACAGTCGAGAGACCTCAACGAACCCCATATTCGCCTGAATACAGTGGGTTGATCCATCGAGGGGTTGTTTGACGATACAGTGCCGGACGATGGTAGCACATGACTGCTACAATAGTACTGATTCACCGTCTCGGTCTTGGGAAACGGTAAGAAGTCATCCGTGGCATTAGACCGCTGTCGGCGTCGTGACTGTGCGTGGATGGCTGCAGCAGTCGATGAGTCAATGTCTCCAGACAGCTTCTCGCTGCTGTGTTGCGACTGGGGCCGTGGCAGTGACGTGGTTGATGGCGCTACTAGGCGCAGAGTCTGCTTCAGGGGTGGGGGAGGCAGCATATCGGGGATGGACGTGGCACTAGCCGCAGTGCGGGTGTCGAGTGAGGCCAGACCTGGCGGTGGTGATGGGCGGGCACCGGCTTCGGGCTGTCCCGCGTTTAGCGGGGACGGCGCCCATAAGCCCCCATTGCCATTGGCAGTGTTGCTACTAGTTAGCGAACTAGTAATGGTAGCGCTATTGATCTCCGCGTGCAATTTCGCATCCGATTTGGCAATGCGACGCAGCTGCACTCGACTTCGGACCTTCCGAAGCGTGTCGATGGGCCCCCGCCGCGATTGTGATTTACCACTAATCGACCCTGATTCCGAGTCCGATTCCCAGACCGACTGCTCACCATGAGCCACGGATGTCGAAGTAGAGGGGCGCCCTTTCGTCGATGCATTGGTGTTCTGTCGTGCAATCAGTGGGGTCATAGGCGTGTGATTCGGAATTGGACTTGGACAATCATGTGCAGGAATAAAAAGAGCATGGTTGAATGGTGACATGTGGGGTTCCATTGTTACTGGATTGACCAGGCTCGGCGGTGAGATGAGGGACGCATCAATCTGGCTCTTCGACCCACCGTTTTGACACTTTTTGGGCGGGACCGGACAAGGATTTTTGAGGATAGGCGGCAGACTGGGTAGGGGCTTGGAGTGTAATGAAGATGCTGCAGCTGCAGCAGGCTCCTTTGGAACCATAGTGAGTGTTTCAGATGACAGATTGTGATATTCGGCGAGTGCCGCGGCTGCTGTTCTCTCGACGGGGGTACTGGGTCGCGTGCAAGCTCTAGACTGTGTGTCCGGAGTCGCTGCTGGGAGGTAGAAGCGTGCTGCTGTGTGCGATCGTTCGCGAACTGCGCTGTTATGGTACATGAAGTGTTGCTGCATAGGTTTTCTTGTCCCTGGGGTGTAATCAGGGTCAGAGTAGGTAGAAGAAAAAGAGCTACTTGGCGTAAGATCAGGAATTACACCCGTAGCATCAGTTTGGATGGAGCTGCAAGAACTTTGGCTTTGATGGTTGTATGTCCGCGTCCAGTCGGGTGTTGCTGGATACGCTGGTTTCTGTAACGATTGAGCTTGCTGGTAATGACTGGCGTGAGTATGGACAGAGTGATCGTGATGCTCTGGTATCGTCTGTGTTTCCTCAGTCATGTACGACATGAAATATTCATTCTCAAGGTCTTCAAGATCGACTTCTGACTCGTCGTCAGGACGAGCATCCCACTGCTTTGAAGCCTCTAACGCTCGCTCAAGGTAAAACGGGTCGAGGTTGGGATCCTCAACCAGAGGAACTGTCTTTGACGAGACAGATCTCTCCACACTGTGTTGCAGTCCCTTCAAAGCATAACCCGCACAATGGTTCCCAGGAACTTCCGGATGGTGGTAGGGAACCTCAGCACGATCGCCAGCCATGGGCTAGATTATTGAGAGGATTGATGCTTTGGGAGCAACAGGAAGGGCATACAGACAGACAGGTAGACAACAAACTGTGCACAAATCTTAGCCAGGTTGCAAGGTTGAGAAGGATATGGCAGGGAAAAGACTGGTCAGTGGACAGAGATTCCAAGGGCAATGGCGATCTGTTTATACACTCCACAAGGAGGGCAGAGCCCAAACAAAAATTTCATCCATTTCAAAGGTGGCTGACATTAGACATCTGCATGCCGATGCAAAGGCTTGTAAACATACATTGATCCGTGCAGCACTGACCTATCAAACCTTGCATATCTCTTGCGCAGGGATGGGGTCCCGGTAAGGTGGATTTGTCTTTTACAGATTCGATCGAACTGATCTTCGCCAAGGACCAGTCCTTTAGCAAGGAGGCACTGACTCCCGATTCGGGGGTCATTGCTGATGCAGGCTCAGCGAACTGACTTTTATCGGAGTGCACAAATCCAGCGGGAATAGTATTTGAAGCTTTTCCGAGATGCAAGCCTTGAATTTCAGTCCCATTACACAGACATGCAATACGCAATAGTGCCATGAGCTGCTGCTGATTTGCAATTGATGCTACGTGCTACACCAGACATTCCGTTTCTCAATCTTCGGCGGGATCTTGCTTGATCCAGACTGCGATGGATGATTTCCCAGAGCGTTCCTATCGTCTTGGGTGGGAGACGCCTTCGCCTTCGTTTCACGTCCAAGTGCGAGCACGGACGTACCGTACCGATCAGTCGCGTTCGCTTGAAAACAACTGACTGATTCGTTTTTTCAGTCATCTTCCTTTATATAGAATTAGGCTCTCCGGTAGTATAGTTCCCAAGATGCTAGCTCTGCAGCCAAGGCGACTAGACATCTTCCCGCGGTTCCGAGGAGGGGACTGTTTGGGTCGTTTGCGATTAACAGTGCGTCTGCAAGATACAAAATTATGTCACCGGCAAGGAATGGCACCAAGCTGTTGGGAGAAGGTGTAAACAGTGTGGTTTCATCAGCGTAGCATCGGGACGAGCTTCACGGATGTTGTCGTTGCTATGCATTAGGGTGGGATCCCCGCATTCCAGAGCTGTAGATGTAGCAGTACGTATATGCGTGCTGCCCGTCGACTGTTAAACAAAGAGAGCTTGCTACAAAGGTGTTTGCTTGCTGGAATCCTTTTTTTATTCTCCCGCGATGTCAAACACTCCATCCAATCTGCGTCGTTTGGATTGGGATCCATAATTTTCACTCTTTTCAAACACTCTCGATGGGACCGCGATTTGCCTTCAGCACTGATGTATCAGCTATTTGCTTATCATAGAAGCTATAAACAAAGACTCGTAACGTAAACTCATGACCCTCGATAGGTGACGGTTTGCTCTGCTAGGAAGCAGTAGCGCAGTGGATGATCTGGTTAGCTCTTGGGACACGGACGGCCTAGTTACGGACGATGTCATCGCGACTGCTAGGTTTCAAAGCGGATGGATCCAGTGGCGATAGAGTCGACAAAAGAAACAGTTGACACGTCTTCGCGGGATGCGCGAAGTTTGGAGGTTTGGGCGATTGTCTGTGGGGAAGGCAGGCAGGGGCCCATCGCTCTTGCCTCACAGCCCGCAACGCACAAGCCACCTCATCTCTCTTTTTCTGTTTTCATCCTCGCTTTTTCTTTTTGGACATTTCTCAAACTGCCAGTCTACTCTTGCCGTGTCGGCCTCAACCTCTGTGTGCTTCCTGTTGCTTCAACCAAAAGTTTCGTCCGGTTACTTGACTTCCACTCTCGGCCAGTCGCCGGGTAAATCCCCCGGAACCAACCATACTACTCCACAGCTTCTTGGTGATCCTTCACAGAACACTGAGTCTAGACTTGGAGCCCATGCTCAAACGCTGCACTGGACGACGCACCTAACTGATTCTTCCTGCTTCCCCGTCGAGCTTGCAGACCAATACTCGGCCACTATCAAAGCCAAGGCTCACCAAGCACGCAAGGGCGGCAAGGCTGAGACGTTTTCTTCCGCTGGTAACGAATGGGAACCCCCCCAGTGAGAGAAGGAAATTTTGTCTGTTTTAGGACCAACTTAATTTTCCGATTTCTCTGTTCCACCACGCCTAGTGTTGTGAGCAATCGCCAAGGAGTTGTATGAACGATCCAGGCGCCCCCTTTTCCCCTGCGTATGGAAGGGTGCATGCAACAGGGCTTCAGAGTCTGCTAATTTCAGAGCGATACCCTTGCTTTCTGCTCATCGAACACTACTCCCATCTCAGAAGTTGTTGGCTGGGCTGCCCTAGCAACGGAGTCATATATTCTACCCTCTATTTGTCTTGCTGCGAGGGTTGAATAATCGATTAATCCATAGGTAGTTACACGCTAGGTAGGCTCCAGGTAATAGTAACCAGTACGTAGATATGCTGCAAGCAGGCTATTGATCGATTGTCGTAACTATCATAGCCTACGACGTGGTGGAAAGCAGAGGGGAGCCCTTTCTTCATTGATACATGCATACATTCAGTGCCTCTCTCAGTGATTCGACGAACTATATCCGCGTCCCGGCCCGCTGATTGGCTGCACCAATAATGCATATGGTGGTATAAATATATGACTTCGTTTTTACCTAGGTATTATTGTGGACAACCCGGGTCCATTATTGACGTAGGAGACATAACTCGCCAGCAGCAGGATACTAGATACTAGCACTAAAATGAAAACTGCCAACGCATCAGTCGTCCGCCACCATCGTAGTAGGCTTTACCGCCTGAAGGAATCAGACAGCTTATTGCACACTTAGGGGTTATGCCCTAGCCATCAAGCACATAGTTAGTTAACCAAGACCGCCACAGCTGTGGCTAAGCAGGCAGTTGACAGCGCATCAGTCAGCAAAGTGGCCGGGCGGGAAGGTGCCCTGCCCTATCCCCGTGACAACCCGGGCCCCTTCAACTTCAGTCCCAACACAGACAGCACCAACGAGAACACCTCGCAATGCCATTGTGATGCGCAACTGTATCTCAGACAGCGCAATTGAGTCGCCTGTCCCGGCTCAATGACAGGTGGCTCCACTGCTGGCGTACCTCTCGCAACCCAAGCGCTCCGCACCGCTCGCCCCAGCCATCTGAATTTATACAATCCAGTCGATTCCGCGCCTCATCCTATTCGACCAGCCACACCGAATGCCCTCCCTGCCATTTTTGGGTAGTTCTCGTCCTTTCTCCCTGTCGTTTCCATATTTCGAGTTTCTTCTCTGCGTGCTCACATCCCCTATCGTGTTAATCGATTTCGCAATTTCCCGCACATTCCTGTGATAGCTTCTTTTCCTTGAGGAGGCGCTTCGAGAGACCGCATTCGCTCAACGACCTTGGATGATATCTAGATACCTTTGGGGATCCAACGGTGCCTGCCTGAACACCAAATTGAATGATTAATACCTCCTTGTTTCATCGCATTGTCCTCACCACATCCTCATCCCACCACACCAGCAACTTCCGCGGTGCCTCCCACCGACACTAGAGTTTTTGACGATACCCACGAGATTTACGACCCGTCTACGTTAACGAATCCTTCGCGGCAGCGCCAGCAGCAGCCCGCTCTTGAGTCTACGTTTCATTCGTCTTTTCAGCCTCTACCTCGATTAGCAAGCGCTTCAAGTAACCTTCGCCCATCGCGACGGTTCTCACCTCGAGGCGGGAACAGCCAACCGCCATTGACAGCTCACCGCCGTGTAGCTTCGATCGATGCAAGTTTTCGCGCTCCCCACGAGCGCAATTATAATCGACCCTTGATTAATTCAGCATTTGGACGCCGTGAAGCTGGTGTTACCTCCGCTGAGATAGATCCAGCTCTCTCTGAAGCAGAGACAGAAGCTGGCGCATCAACAGCAGGCGACTCGGTCACCCAAATCGACCAATCCTACTGGCCATCACGCTCCACGAGAGTTTCTCCGCGCACTGCTTCTGCAATCCGCTGGGCTTTGGAGGAAGCCATTCGCAAGCCCTTCCCTTTCACCCCTGTCCTGGAGGAATTGAACGCTCCCATGTCGGAGCTGGCAGGTCCTTCTGGACCAGTGGGATCAGGAGCTCAGTCTCGCCCACAGAATGGAGGTTCGCGTCCGGTCCAAGGGCCACGGCTGCACACGCAAGTGCCTGCAGGTGTGCGAACACCGACGGATATCATGAGGGACCGCCGAGATCGGGAAGCAAAAAGGAAGGCAGAAAAGGAAGCCCGCGAGCGTGAACTGCAGGAGCAAGAGCAAGCCAAGCAACACTTTCAAAGCCAACAGTATGCCCCTGCTGCTGGCGCTACAAGCGGAGATTTTCCAGTCCAGCGACGGCAGCCCAATGTACGCCAACCGGCTGGAGTCGATCCAGCAGCTTACGCAGAGCAACCTCCAACTTCTTTCCAACAACCATCCGCCAGTAGAAGGACAGAAATTACTCGACCTTCGGGTAGTGTAGCGAGTACTCAGCGATCAGGAATACCTCAGAGCCAGATCAGACCACCGCCAGCTGCATCTCAGCAACAGGCTGCCTCAGTTATACCTGCAGCAACTACCTTTCAAGCCCCCCCAGCTCAACCCCAGCCACAGCCACGACAGGCACTACCTACTCAGGGTGCTACCCAGCCGGGCCCAAGCGCTTCTCAATCCTCGCAGGACGCTAGCCAATCTCAAGCTCAAGAACAGCAACGCAGGACTACATTCCCTCATGCATTCGAGCGATGGGAAACACTGTCATCACATTGGGAGGGTCTAACTGGATATTGGATTCGCAAACTTGAGCAGAACAATAATGAGTTGAGCCAAGATCCATTGAATCAGCAGATGGCTCGTCAGATCAATGACTTGTCTGCTGCGGGCGCAAACTTATTTCATGCAGTGGTAGAATTGCAACGTCTTCGCGCATCGTCCGAACGTCGCTTTCAACGGTGGTTCTTTGACACTCGTTCAGAGCAGGAGAAAGCCCGAGAAGTACAAGCTGATCTTGAACGCCAGGTGTCCGCGTTGAGATTGGAGCGCGATGACGCCACTGAACTACGCCAGAAGGCGGATACTGACCGCAAAAGATCCGAAGACTTGGTCAAAGAGATGCGCCGAGAATTACAGATTTCCAAGGAAGAGGCGAGAAGAGCTTGGGAAGAGCTTGGTCGCAGAGAACAGGAGGAACGAGAACGAACAGCCTCCCTTCGCAACGGTGAGCCTACAGTTGTAGGTGGAGTACAAGTCTTGCCTATGATCGCGGGATTGCCTAGCCGACAGAATAGCAACGCGAACAGACCAACAACACGTGAGGGACCTTATGCTGGCGGTCCCGGAACGTCTAGCATGGGTGGCCAGCACGAAGAGCCGGTAGAACAAGATCAATATGAGGAGCGGTCGTCTTTGTCTGAGACAGATCCCTTCGTTGAACGGCCGCGAACGGGCCAAGGAAACCAGTCTTCCGCACATCCGCCAACGTCTTCTTCAGGTACATTTGTTGGTGGCACTCCCACTTCTCAACCTCCCGCCCATTTGGGGGTCTATGCAAACCCACCTGGTCATTTTTATCAACATGGCGGGTCGGCTCTCCATAACGATCCAGAGCCTGATACTCGCTCCTACGTTGGCAGCACCGAAGGAAGTGAATTAGAAGAGTACACCACCAACCCCGAAGGAAGATATCATCATGAACCGCAGGGCCACATGTATGCGGGCAGCGATGACTATGATGATGAGGACCAGGCAGAGTATGATCCTGCTTATCCGCCAAGCACTTCTGCTTCGGCTCATGGGTACGACCAGGGCGTTGATTACAGCGGGTCGGGCTGGGGTGGTTGGGATTCTATAACCCCTCGACACCGGCATCCTACGCGTCTGAGTGACGTACTGGAAGAGGAAGACGAGCGTAGCCGAACCAGCCCCAGTCGTGCCAGCCAAGCAAGTCGTGGTTTACATTGAAGGTCAGACCACAACCATGGTTCAGACACCAAAACGGCTCCTTTTTGACGAACTTGGGCTTGACTGTTTATAATCAAGTCATACATCAATGCCTTTTTTAGATGTCTATTTCTATCTCTTTTCCCCCTTTTTTTCATTTTCTTCTTTTTTCCCCTTGAATATGATATGGAATCCAGTCTCTCTTACATTCGGTGTCTCATAGCCTTTCTACTATTTCCTTATGTATGTATGTGCTTGATTTCTGAACATTTTCTTGTCTTATTCTTCATTACATACACGCTGTAAACCCTCGCGCTAAGTTATCATTTATCAGTTATTCAGGCGTTGCTACATCAGATATTTATATTCCACAATTGCATTGTCACACAGCGCGGGATTGGTAATTCATTTTTTCTCTTCTGTCTATCTTTGCCAATGTCATCTTATTACCTAGAAAGTAAGCAGCAGAAAAGTCCGTTCTTGTTTTATCCAATGCTATATCTTTTCTCTTTCTTCTCTTTTCCCCAGTTCTTTGGGATTGTGTTCAGTATTGGAAAGTAGACAAATTGGGTCATTGCAATACAATTAGTACTTTGATTCGTTTCCTGATTTCTTCTGAACACACTTGATCTGACATGACATAGGATAGTAAAGAGCCCTATCCCATAACTGACGTCTCAAGGTTGCCAGCTGTTTAGGTACGTGAGTGAAGGCTACGAATTACGTACCTAGTAAGAAACCAATGCCCCTCCTAAAGTTATAACCGTATTTGGTCTTGTAAGCTGAGGATATATCTGTATAATAAATTTTATGCAGCTACAATGCTGAAGAACATTTTGCATTTTTGGTCACACAGAAAATTTGGTCTCGGAACTATATATATTTAGATGTATACCTGGAGCAATCTACTCATTGCTGCCTAGGTACAAAATTAAGCCTTTTTCTCAGCCTCTCAGTCAAGTTGTGGAGTAGTCTTTAGGTGTTCTTCTAGTTGTTCCTTAACAATGGTGTTTTAAGTCACAAGTAACATGAATGGTGATAAAAGAAACGCCTTTTGTTTGTTTGCAAGAACTTAGAAGAGAGATATGAGGCTAACTAAATCAGTCCTAGTACGTATTTACTAATACGGCCACCAGCGCTAACCGCATTGGGTACTGCCGCATGATATCTCCGCAATTTATTCCAGCTGTCAATCTGCGAATAGTCAAACACCTCGAAAGCCACCATGGCCTCCTCTCTAACGTATCTGGCCCAGTCAATGGGCAGGGCAAGCCGTATTTATGCGCGAGCCTCATTCAGATGCCAACTCCTATCCTCGCCGCATCCCGTATCACAGGCTGCAACTCAATTTCGCACAATCTGCAGCCGACAGTATCAGCAGCAGCAGCAGCAATTGCTCAATGGCTGTGGTCTCCTATCAACCCGTGCCTTCTCGACGACATCTACAAGGCCCGCTAAGACAATCCAGCAAATGAAGTCGAGACATCGAACTGGCCCTTTCTCCTGGAAAGCGGGTCTGTTGTTCATCATCACGGGCGCGGGAATGATCATCTACTTTCGGGTTGAGAAGGCTCGGTTGGAGAGAAAACGAATTACTGAAATGAGTAAAGGTGTTGGAAAGCCTAAGGTTGGAGGTCCGTTTGTGTTGAAGGATTTGGATGGCAATGAGTTCACGGCGGAGGACCTGAAGGGAAAGTATAGTTTTGTACGTTGATTCCTCATTTTCATTTCCCCCCCTCCTTTCTCTCTTGAAATTTGTGAAATTTGTTCAAGGTTGATGAAAGTCGACTAATGCGGTTGACTTAAAGGTGTACTTCGGTTTCACACATTGTCCAGACATCTGCCCCGACGAACTTGACAAAATGGCCGCCATAATCGACAAGGTCAAAGAAGCCTCCAATGGCACCGAAGTTATGCGTCCAGTCTTCATAACCTGCGATCCGGCACGTGATACACCTGAAGTGTTGCGCAAATATCTCGCGGAATTCCATCCGGACATTATCGGTCTTACGGGCACCTACCAACAGGTGAAGCAAGTCTGCAAGGCGTATCGCGTATACTTCAGTACGCCGGAGAACGTGAAACCTGGCGAAGATTACCTGGTCGATCATAGTATTTACTTCTATCTTATGGACCCCGAAGGCGATTTTGTGGAGTGCGTTGGTAGGCAGGATACCCCGGAGAGTGCGACTCGTTTGATCATGGAGCATATTGAGGACTGGAAGAGGGAAGGAAAGCAGCTGGACACATCGCCGCGGTGAGGTTAGTTATCGCATTAACCGGCTTTGTGTGGAGATCCGAGACGGAAGTTTCAATACTGTATTATTATTTTTTCCCCTTATTATTTTTTATTTTCACTTTTGGACAGAAAGCGGTGATACGATTAGTTAGCGTAAGGGTCATATCACAGCAACCACTCATCTCGAATTCGTCAGTTTTGCTGCGTCTGGGTATAAAATTCTATACATGATCGATTGGCTCTCGTTGAAGCTGCTCGATTGATTTGATACACTGCCCATCAATTGCATGTTGGCAGTGTCAATCGAAGTACCATTATGTCTTGTGTCAAATTCTCCGAGGGCTATATTTCTTAGCCATTATTCCAGCATTATAGGAAGACAGATGAGAGCTCACCGGTGAAGGTTCTATTCGCCGAGAAGCCGACCTTCATGATAAACAAAAGAAATTGATTGATCACACTTAAACAAGCCTGCCAGAGCGAATGAAGTCAATCACTTCTCGACAAACCTCCCCTCCGGATCCGTATCCCTATTAGCCCTCCACTCCCCATCCTCCGGCCTCTCACCTACAAACTCCTCCCTCTTCCAAACCTCCAACTTTTCCTTACAGCTCTCCAACAATGACTCCGCTGCTCTCCACGCTGTTCCCCTATGCCCCGCACTCACGGCAATCGCTATACTGGCCTCAGAGATCGGGACAACGCCTAATCTATGGGCAATGCTTATTGCTATCAGGCCACTATTGCCATTGCCGCTGTCAATGGCGAATGCTCGTTTGGCTTCTCGCGCAATCTCTGTGAGTGTTTTGAGGGCGAGCGTCGCGTAGCTGGTGTAGCTTAGTTGGGATACGGCGCGGTTGTTGAATGAGTCGCGTGTTGTGCCGAGGAAAAGGACGTTGGCGCCTGCAGACGGAGAGGAGACGTGGGATAGGATCGAGTTTGTGTCGAGAGGAGTGTAGGTTAGTTCGAGGTAGATCTTTTCGTCGTCGAGATGGACTTTGCGTGGGTAGGTTGAGGGGTCTTGGTGTGCTGGTGTGGACATTGTAGATGATGCTGGCTGTTGATTTGGGGCTGCTGTTGTGTTATGGTCTGAGTCATTTGGAGGCATTGTTTTATCTGTGTGTCTTGTAATGCGTCCCTGAGCTTTGTTTCATTATGGTGATGAGGTGAATTCAAAACGAGATGCGGGGTGAGGGGTGCTCAATCTGATAAGATCAAGCCTTGATAACAGAGGCATTTTTTCTTGATAACACACTGGATGGGCATTCAGCATAACTATGCAATACTGATTCATAATTCCTCTATCTATCTAAGTACGCATTCAACTACTCTAATAGTCGAGTGAAGGTATAAATAACATAATGATAGGTGGGTACAAATATGAACGTCCTCTCTTCCACCTTTGCATGGCATAGCGTAGTCACCTCACAACTTGAGAATCAAGGACACTTTGCGACTGTAGCTGCGTCCGCAATAGTTTCCCATTTTCACCAAGTACCGAAATCAGCTCAGGAGCATCGGGGTCCATCATACACTGGTCAACCCTCATGATTTGCTTCCCCGTGTCCCTAGCAATTTGTATGAAGTCGCGGAAGTATTGCACTGTATCCCAAGTGAGGTAGTGCATCACTACCAAATCACCTCCTCTATCGACATCACGACGGAAGGCTCTTAGTTGCCTTTCTGGTCGATCTGTGCCAGCCCACAACCAATCCTCTACGTCCACACTCCAATTCACGATGTATGGGTCATCAAGAAGCGTCGATAATCGTTGTCTTGTGCGAGCTCCCACGGTACCATACGGCGGGCGAAAGTATCGAGCTAAGAATGGAGAAAGTGCATCAGTGTTGATCTCCATGTAAGACAGTGACTAAGTAACTGACATTCAACGCCGAGAAGTTCCTTGATGGCATAATATCCGCCCAAAATCTCATCATCAATCTCATCACGAGTGTGCAGGCCTTCCATTCTGGACACACCAAAAGATGAGCCTGAAGTGTTTAATATATCCGCGTGACACAGGGAGATACCTACTTTGGGTGCGTAGATGAATGTAGAGCAACCTGGTGACCCCGTCGAAGCATTTCTGTATAGACATCTGTAAAGTTTGTACTCGGATCTAACAGACCCATCCCAACGACGAAGAATGTCACCGTGATATCCTCATCATCAAGTATTTCCATAACCTCTTGTGCTAGCCTGGGATCTCCGTCATCGATACCAAATGCAAAGGAGTTCGGTCTCTTGCAATTCAGGACTAAGGTGCCCGTTGGCAGCTTCCGAGGGATCTCGACATCGTCTGGTAAGTACTTTACAATCTCGACCTTTCGAAGTATTGTTTCGTCCGTAGTGTAAAAACCGTGGAAGCCAATTGATGATACGATGTCGAGGTCAACGTAGAAGTGAGATATTGGGACATAGATGTTGTTGTTGTTGTCTGAGGTTGTGTAGCGAGCAGCCTCAACACTATCCGACGTCCCTGGGTACGGTGCTCGGTAAGAGTTACATTCACCATTGTGCTGAAAGATCGAAATTGTGAACGCGTCACTCCCGGAATACTCAACATGAAGGTACATGTCCTCATGGTCGGTGAGATCGAAGCAGGAATAAGAGAATTGGGTATGATAGTTGTGATCGGGATTGGAGGGAAACAGGCGCATTAGACAGTCACCATCGTCGTCTTCGTCATATTTTATGGGTAGATTTTCTCCAGGGCCATGCCACGCACCGAGTTCATTGAATGGACTCTCACAGAAGGTATCAATAACAAACTCGTACGGGCCCATTCGTTGCGGTATCATCGCGATGGTTTGGGAGACGCCTATGAGAAGGATAAAGTACACCAGCACAGTAATGGGCGCCATTATGGCGATAGTGAAGGCGACGAAAGAGTAATAGTTGATGCTCCAGAGATATTGTTGAATAACGGAAGTACTGCATGGCTCGGTTGGAAGAATGTTCTTGATTACACTGAGCTTGCACTGGAGGCAAGAGCCCTCGCAGGCAAGCACACCTGCTGTACCGTCCTGCCCATACATCATAGATAGTCCTAGACTCATTAATCATCTTCATTGGTAAACTTTTGTGAATAATTACAGCCTTTCTTTTTTGCTTTGGCATTTTTCATTTTTTTGAACAAGGAAAAGAATCACAAGATTGATAGGAAAAGAAAGGGAAAAAAACCCCATTCCACTCAAAATCTTCAGAAGGTCTTCTTGTAGGATGATTATCAACGATCTTATTCGAAAATCCCTACTAGATCAACAAGAGCGAAGTATTTCAACACACACGCACATGCAAGAGATGTCTCCGGTAACCTGCTGTGTTGAAGTCGCTTCTTGATCGCTCTCATGGTGTGTTTACCAATCAAACCCGTCGGCCGGAGGTGGTACAGTTTCGTTTGAAAGGACGGTCTCAGAGAAAGAGGAAATCTCTGGTTCTTCTATTGGCGTTGTCTCCTTAGTCTCCGCTTCTCCGTCGGTATCGTCATCGAACACAGGCTTGCCTTCAGGTTTTAGCTCCTGAAGGAAATCTGGGATGTCTTGATCGGTTTCCATAAGTACCATGACAAGATCACGAGCTATCTCAGTATTTTTTTCATTATTATAGAACGATGTTGCGAATCCCTCGTTGCCGATACGCGCAGTACGGCCTTTGTAAAATCACATCAGAGATTAGAAATGGGACGATCAGATGCAGGATAGAGTTTTTCCCCCTTACCAATTCTATGGATGTATTCGTCAATACCACCGTGATCAACATTGGGCAAATCATAGTTGATGACGTGCATCACATTTTTTACATCCAACCCACGAGCGGAGACGCCAGTTGCAATCAGAATAGGCGTCTTACCAGAACGGAAGGCGATCCTAAAATACTGAAATGAATGATGTTCAATGGCATCACAAAGACGTGTCAACTTACATGGCATCTTCGCGTTCTCGCTGGGTACGACCACTATGAATAGAAGTACTGGGAAGGCCCATGTTGTAGAGGTAGTCGTCAATCAAGTCAGCCTGTGCCTTGGAATTGACGAAAACCAGGGTACGAGCAGGAGGCATTGACAGCAATCGATCATATAGACACCGCTTTTTGGCGTCTTCATCTGCATAGACAATCTGTACTACCAGCTCAGTTGCTTATTCTTATAAAATGTGTATCTGCAGTCCTCACCTTCTGCTGAATGTTGACATGGGTACTGCCGGCACGACCAACACGGATGCGAACATGGTCGTTTTCCAGATGCTTACGAGCGACTTCACGACAGCCCTTGTTGAAAGTAGCCGAAAACATCATGTAGCAGTGGTCACCATCTTCGTTTGCATCTAAACACAACTTAGCTTTCTGATAATATGTGTAAAAAAGAGAAGGAACTTGACATACCACCACCAGACAGAAGCTTAGTGAAATCTTCTTCCCAATCAGCCTGCAAGAGCTCATCGGCCTCGTCGATGATGGTGTACCTAGATCAGCATTAGAGATGCACAATACGGGTTTGAATAGGAAGTTCTATACTATACCTAACGCGCCGCAGTGAGAGGATATGGGGCTTGCTCATAAAATCGATCAGGCGACCGGGAGTTCCAATGAGAATGTCGCAGCCCTGCTGAAGTTCCGTTCGTTGATGGGAGATAGGGCCACCGCCATAAGCCACGCAAGGGCGAAGCATAGACCGATAGCATAAACGGCGAGCTTCGTCAAAGATTTGACAAGCCAGTTCTCGAGTAGGAACAATAACCAAGACCAACGGCTCGGCGCGCACTGCGTTCTCTTTAGGGTCGAAGCTTGCTCCAACGTTTGGACGAGGAGCAGTCAGCTTTTTTGCTTTTCCCATTAATTTCGAGAGAATGGGAATGAGAAAGGCCGCAGTTTTCCCAGAACCTATATGGCTCAATTAGACACAAGAAGGCGCCTGTTTTGATAAAGAGCATACCTGTTTGTGCTACGGCCATGAGGTCGCGACCTTCAAGGATTGTGGGTATCCCATACGCTTGAATCGGGGTTGGTATCTTATACCCACACAAGGCAATGTTTTCTAGCATCACGGGATGCAAGCCAGCGTCTTTGAAGCTGGCAATTGGAGCAACCTTCGTAGTAGCTTCGACGACGACTTTGATGCTGCTGATACTGTAGGCAGAAATTATTATTTGAGACATCGAAACAGCTAAAGTTGTCATAAAGAATATTATCTACACCAGGCAATAACCATTGCGAAGTGCTCAGACAGAGTTCGAGGAGGCCAGATAGACACTGCGAAATATCGTTCAAACGCCCAAGAAGGAATAACAGGGAGAAAAGAAAAGCTACTTACTTCTCAAATTTGACACCAGCACGGTTGATGAACTCGCTGCGAAAAAGCATCTTTTCAAGTTCTTCATCCTTTGGCCCAACATCGCCGTACTCCTCTTTCCACTCATATTTACGAGCGTCAGATGCCCAGGGAATGGTGTTGACGGGGACATTGTGACCGTTGGCAGGAGTCTCAGTAGTCTGCCCAGCATATCGCGTGTAATCATACTTTTCAGGCTCTACCCAACCCTTGTCACGAGCAAGTGTGGCTGCCTCCTGGTCCAGACGGCTTACTGGGGGCATGACCTCAGGGAGAGCATCGGCCATGTCCTTAGTAGCAAAGGGGTTCATAGCGAGGAGTGTGCCTTGAGGAACAGGTGTAGGGACAAGTGTAGTCAAAAGTATGGTTGAGATGCAGCCTTAGAAGGCTAGAAGGATGAAAAGTGGTGAGACGAGAGTGCAGAGGAAGAGGTGAGAGGAGGGGAAAGGGAAAGTGGGAGGAGAAAGGAGGACGGAGGAGACAAAGGGAGGGCAAAAGGAGGCTGTTGCCTCTGTTTGCACTGCAAACGCCCAATATCGCACGTGAGAATACTCACAACCAGTGAGTGCCTGGGTGCCTGAGCGTGCCTCTCCTTTCTCTTTCTCTGTAACGCTATAGTCAGTGGTACGAGGCAGATATGACCAGAAGCAACAACTGCATCCAGGGCCTCGGACAGAGCTGGGATGTGTCGTCTCATTAAGGTTTACTAAAGGGCTGCACCGTTGGTGATATTTTGACAACCACGATATTGACATAAGAATACCTAGGTATCTGGTATCTGATCTTGGGAAATCACACTTCATATAAGAGCTAACTCACCATAACAAACTGTCCCACTCCGGGTACTCCATCGAGCACGACGTAAATAACATAAGGCCCAGGAGGCACGATGCTGCGCGAATGCGCCATGGATACACTAACAATTTGGTACTTGAAGCCTGGAACAAAATGGTCGAATTCTAGGAAGATCAATCGTTGACCCATATGTAGTGAGTGTGTAACAAAACCACCATGATAGAGGCCAATATTTAGTCACTTTGCACCTTCGAACCCAGTAAAGGCGGTAACAAAGGATGTCCCATCAGCACTGATGTGCTTCTGAGAAATCCAGATATCTCGCGGCCGCTTGAAGGCGTTATCCTCATTAAGATAAGGAGGAGTATAAATTTCAACCCGAAATTCTGTCACATATGTAGTTGCTGGGCTTCTGAAGTCGGGTTCCAGCCTGGGTTGTTCTATAGGATTTGAACCGGCAACCATGACGGTGCCATCCAAAAGTAGGGTGCAACTGAATGGTATAAGCGAGGGATCCAGGAGGAACCAGCAGTCGTCCACCTGTGTCCACTAGGCTTGTCAGGGTCGTATAACAGAGCATCGAAGCAGGGATCTTTGGCTATGCCGAAGCCTTGGGCGCCACGCCGAGCTACATTCAACCAGAGTACTTTGCCGTCTGGGAGAAGAATTCCTTCAACCATTACCCTTTCTTCGGGCATTTTTTCTATTTGCCATACGGGGTCCGCTGACAGTGGTTGGATATGTCCACACGTGCGGTCAGCAAGGCTCGTTATGTCTGCGTAGGCTCCACCACCGCAAACAATAATATCAGGTTCCCAATTGTTGTCCATTTTTAGTGGTAAAAGAACGCTTCCTCCTGAATTAGGATACGTCCTATGTGCACCTCGTAGATTTGGGAGCCGTCGGGTGGTCTTTTGGTTAGTCACGTCGTAAATCTCTGCAGAACGAGAAACAAAGATAAAAAGCCTGCTATCTTTCAGCAAATGCAAGAACGGGTACATGTAATACGGCTGGTTCCTTTCTAAGATAGAAAGACGGATACTGTGGCTAATGGACCTGCCATTCTGGTCTAAGATTTCAAATGTCGGGTTATTATTTTCCTCTTTCGTGGGATCCAATCCATTGACGCTGCCGGAGGCCACGAAAAGTCTTTTATCGGGCATTATCTGAACACTTGGATACCAACGAGGAGTAGATAATCGATGGCCAGACTCATACCATCCGTCATCGTCATCATCACCATCGCTATCATCAATTTCCCGCTCGAGATAACGTATTGCACGAAACCCATCACCAACAGTTGGGTCGATGTGCAATAGGGGCCCATTGCCACCAACCGATATGACACGGCCGTCGGCGAGAAAGGAGCCTCCAGAGCAGAAAGCGTTCGTCTTGCAAGTCAAGCCTCGCGCCGTGTTTGTCGTGAGATTATATTCAGCTGAGTACGCATACTGCCCATTTTCTAATATAATTTGCGTATAATTTTAGACCTTGTCGAGGAACACAACGTTTCCATTTGGCATGAGAACAGCTGCCATCGCAGGAACGCCGGATTGACCGATGACTTGGAAGGAGTCCCTATAGAAATGTCGAGAATATTCAACCTGGTCTCCTGCCGAAGCACTAAAGCCGCTGGGTGAATGGCGTTCGATATCTCTGCCGTCTTCGAGCCGAGGATTGTCGCGGTCATGCAGTGACTGTTGATGAATGAGAGCAGAATGGGCGCATCTCGTCAATACATATAACCAAGGAAGAATGAAGTGCATTGCCTTTATGCACTCAAAAGTGCGTTGACTTGGATCGACGAGTATCAACTTTTCTAGATTGATGGTGGATGATCAAAGGCGTCAAGATGTAGAACAGGTTGGCATGGTTGCCAGCTTTGTGCTTCATCTCGAGCTGGACACGTGAGCCGGCCAACTAACTTCGGCTGTGACTTGGAAGGCGCAAGATGCTGTGTGGAAAGAAGGAGGCGCCTTCCTAAACTGGACCATTCCAAGGCTTCCGGCAGTTGCCCATCCTCGATTTTCTTCTGGACATCGACTGTCACCGCAGAACTATTTTCGCAAAAGCTTGCTGTTGTCAGCATCTCATCCACTCCACAAATTTAGTTGACGCGAGCGCATCTTCTACGCCAATATCGTACGAGCTACTCAGCTGGAAATGTGTGCTTGGTGGCTTGAATATCACATGAGGCAACTCATTGCAATTGATTCCTATCACTCTTTTCAGGAGCTGGTAGGGTCTTCCGCGACTCGCAACCCCATTCGTTCTAAATCCTGTCTTGGCTTTTCAGATACAACGTGTGTGCTTTGTCAATTTCGTTCGGCAAGGAGAGGCGCTTCAGGCATTTCCCAGCCTCCATTTGTCAAAGCCAATCCGAGAATGTTATCGCTGGTGCCTGGTGCCTGGACTGCATATCGACCTCGGAGAAAACTGGATGCCGAAAACAGTTGCCCCAGTGGCCTAGGCTCCCCAATTCTTTCTGACGTTTTTTTGTTGAATTGCTGAGTCAGGCACTCCGAATTCAACCCAGCAAAATTGACAAAGGAAACCGAGGGATAGATCGTCCTCGGGCCGATGGAGTGAACCAGAGGTGCAGACAAGGTGCAGCTCGGTGAGATACTACGCTGGTCAGAAGGAGATATACGCTGTAAGACTGGGCACGGCCACCATATTGGGAAAATCCTGCGTCGATATCCCCAGCCATGATTCAAAATCTGGTTTCACATTACTTACTACTTTGTCACTGCTTATATATTGCGACGCGACCATTTCTCACATAGTCGTCAGCTATTGTACAATGTCGCCCTCTCAAAATGCTTCCGCCGAGGCCGACCCCTCCCGCCCCAGTCTGGAGGAAGCTATCATCAACCCAGGCGCTGTGAAGATCAATGTACAAGGCGCTTATATTGTGGATGATCAACCTGAGACACCAGACAGCCCGGCAGATGAAGATGGCATCGTATATGAGCGCAAGGATATTCGACTACCGCATCATACAAGTGTGGTCAGTCATGTGGCAGTGGATGTGAGTATCACGCTCCGCGGCAATTCCCCGCACTTTGTTTCTCCGAGTTGAGACGGACATTGTATACCAATTTGCCTGGAACCAATATACTGACCATGGAGTTCTAATTGCAGATTGGAGGATCTTTAGCTAAATTAGTCTACTTCACCAGAGAACTTGGGTCGGAAAGCGAAGGAGGACGACTGAACTTTATCAAATTCGAGACAGAACGCATAGACCGATGCATCGAGTTTATAAAACAGCTCAAGGAGGATCATGAGAGACTCAATGGCTCCACACTCGGAGAGCTGTGTGTAGTCGCAACGGGCGGAGGTGCTTTCAAATACTATGATAAGCTCAAAGACACGTTGAAGGTGGATATTATGCGAGAGGAAGAGATGGACTGCTTGATAACAGGCAAGTGACTCCATTGATTGCAATTTTGTGTTGCTATCAACTAGTACTAACCATATCTTCTATATTAGGACTTAATTTCTTCATTACTGAGATACCCAACGAAGTTTTCAGCTATAGTGAAACCGAGCCCATGCAGTTCGTGGAAGCGCACGCAGGCGTCTATCCCTATCTACTTGTCAATATCGGTTCGGGAGTATCCATGATAAAAGTATCCGGACCGCAAGAATTTCAACGTGTTGGAGGAACACATCTGGGCGGCGGCACTTTCTGGGGCATAATGGCGCTTTTGACTGGTGCTACTACTTTTGATGATATGCTAGCAATGGCCGATCGTGGCGACAACAGCGGTGTCGACATGTTGGTCGGGGATATTTATGGAATGGATTACACCAAAATTGGACTCAAAAGTACCGCAATTGCAAGTACGTTTGGGAAGGTCCTGAAAATGAAACGGATAGCTGAGCGCCAGGCTGAAGACGGCGCTGATTTGGGAGAAGACCCCGAAAATGCACAGCCAGTCGAATTCAGGCATGCAGATATGAGTCGAAGCCTTCTGTTTGCAATTAGGTGAGTACATTTCTCTTTGAAAATAGGATTCAATGAGGCTAACATAGGGATAGTAACAACATTGGCCAAATTGCCTACCTACAATCAGAAAAACATCAACTGAAACACATTTATTTTGGAGGTTCATTCATCCGGGGTCACCTCCAGACTATGAACACACTTTCTTATGCTATAAAATTCTGGTCGAAAGGCGAAAAACAAGCATATTTCCTGCGACACGAGGGCTATCTCGGCGCAGTTGGCGCTTTCTTGAAGAGGCAGCCACAAAATTGGGGACGCCGAAATAGCATTGAGGATTCCGCAGCGTCTAAACAATTCCGTGAAGATCTTGCTCGGGAGATTCGGCCATCCCAGCAGTGAAAGCAACATTTTTCATAACGACAGTGATGTTGATTTTGTCTCCATCACTTGACGACTACAGGTTATTATTTGGTACCTGACTTTCTCGACTGACTCTGAATTCCGAGTTCTGAAGCCGGCGGAATTCCCACATAAAACCCTCTTTTTAACCACGCCTTTGCAAAGTCGAATGGAATTTTTGGAGTCGCATTATATTGCATTATTGAATATCTTAGATATGATGGAACTCGCTAAGGGCGAGTCAAGCTTGGAAACTTTTGGTATAGCGACTATCTGACGTTTTTGAAAAAAATTAGTTTAATAGACATATAGAAGAACCGCAATACTAATGGTTTTACTTTCGGGGCATATTTAAAAAGATACTTTTCCTGTGGTCTCTTTTGTCACTTTGTTCCATCAAGACTAAGAGCGCCGACTTGATATAGCCAACGAATTTAGTGGACAAGTCGTTGGAAATGACCTCCAAATTCGAGGTTGGTTTTCATTCGTTTAGTGTCCCTAGACAATGTACTAGGGCAGGTTGGTGGGTACTGAGTAAAGAAATATCCGGAGTAAGACTGAACAAACCAACAATGTGAACCAGCACACGCTAAAAAAGAAAAAGGTAGCAAATCAGTGAAGATTAAGAACTTTGCGTGACTGTGACTTTGACTATTCCTCGTCTTTCACGAAGCTCCTCGATATAGTAACTCAATTCTTTCGCATTATAGATGCATCTGCACTCTGGTTCGCCTTCGACAACACACTCTGAAACAGGCGTCCCAACAAGTCTGTCGTAGCGGCGGAAGAATTCCCTGGCCTGGTTGAATAGATATTCCGAGTTCTCTTCGTTATTTTCGACTCGTAGGTCGCGCACCATTTTGGTCCTAGGGACCATGAATTTGAATTTAATGATAGTTGGGAGTGCAGAGCTAGAAGAAGTCGACATGTCAACGCCTGAATCGCTTGTACCCGAGGTATTGACAAGGGGAGATGTCAGGAGTCTTGTATTGAGCAGTTTCGATAAAGTTTCTCGGGCTGGTCGGCTTCTGTCTGATTTGCCCTGTGCATTTGATGATCCGTGGACAAGCCCCGTACGAGATAGCGAACGTGCAAGAACAGGAAGTCCCTCATTTGATAACCCAGTAGGAGCTGCTTCATCTTCATCCTCCTCTTCCTCGTCCTCCTCGGAGTCATCATCGCTGCTAGCATGCCTCGACGCCCTTCCAGAGGTATTATTACCACTTTCTTGTACAGAAGTCCCTGTGATGATTTGAGGAGGAATGTCGCTCCCTGAACTGCTGACACTTGTCAAGCCTGACTCGGTGCCCTCCCTAGCTGATTCGCGACGTCTTTTGCTGGGGATAGCAGATGGCATTATATTTTCTACCCGTTCTTCTTTGAATTCGCTTGGTAGCCTTCTCAGTGTGGCACTCTCCCAAATTGTCTGATCAGGTAAGTCTGGGAACGAGCCATTTTCGCCCATCTGCCGAACCGCAATAGGTTCTGCTTGGAACCTATAGCCCCCGAGCCATTTCTTCAAGAAGTGGCGCCGGGCGCCCCAGCTCAGGAATTTTGTAAGGACACCCGTGTTATTCCCATCGCGGACGGGGAAGTAGTATACACTATAACGCGCTGGTCTCACAACTGTAATCTCTTCCAAGGATGGTAATTCCTTCGAGTTCCGTGAAAAGTATTTCATGACTTGCCCCTCCTCGCCGGAGATGGGCTTCTTATCTTACTGTAAGAAGCACATGGCGGCTCTTCTGTGTGCTCTTTGTGCCGGTCTTCGAGCAGTTTGAGCAAATGGACAGGCAGCTGGTCCCTCGCCGCCAACACGATCTTGTTCTTGTTCTCAGAAGCTGCCAGGGACGATGGCAAGGATTCTCTTTTAGGGTCAATGCTTGGCAATTGGACCAGTGAAACGGAAGCGGGTGATCTTCGGCCGACGAGTTAGCGACATGATGACTTGGGATAATTTGCAGGCTCGGTCTGTGAGGGCGATAATGCCATTGCAGGGGTCCCGCACCAGTTGCGTACCTCAGGATTGCTGAGCTTCGTGTGTCAGCCATTAGCCCAGGTATTCTTTGGTTCTCGATCCTGCTTTTGCTCTTCAATGAGTCTGGTTCTCAAAAAAGGCGACTTGCAGGTTCGGCTTCCAAGTTCTTTGACATCCTCATCGAGATAACGCGTCAGACGCGCGCACCAACAACCACCAACAACACAGCTGCAAAGTAGTCGCATGCTACATGCAGCCTAATACTCAACAAGTTAACGCTTGGCACGGAGATAGCGGGCATTCTGCATTTTCCCTTTTCCACCCGTTTTTGTCCGGAACAACTTGTGACGCCCAAGTTACTCCGTCAGTCGTTGGTGCCATGAACAGCAGTAACTTAGTTAACTAGTTAACTCTTTGTTGATTTATAAGCACCGTTACCCCAACTGACGTACGGAGATAATCCTGGTTATGTCAATTCCCAGGATCATAATTAATAATCATGCAACTTGACAGGCATGCGAGAAAGGCTGCAAGTAAACTGTAAGTAAGCTGCAAGTAAGCTGCAAGTAAGCTGCATACCTCTCTATATAAGGCCCGCGCTTCCCAGGTAGGTGCACGAACGTCAAAGACCTGGCTCTCTCTCCAAGATTGTTTTGCTGCGCATCATCTCTAGAATCCTTCGAAAACATGGCGCCAACAGCCAATAATCTCAAGATCGTCTTTGGAGGAGGTGCTTTCATGGTGCCTGATGGCTGGACTGAGGAAAAATTGACTGAGTTGCTCGATTACTTGGAAAAGGAGGGGATCGACACTATTGACTCGGCCGAAATATACGGAGAGAGCGAGTCGATGATTGGAAAATCCAAGGCAGCAGCCCGTGGGTTTTACATTGACACCAAGGTTTCTGGTGGATTGGTGCCAACCGTTCGTGCAACAAAAGAAACTGTCATCAAGTCCGGAGAGGAGAGTCTGCGGAAGCTGGCCGCTGACCAAGTACGTACAACGTGTCTCCAAACTTGCAAGAGCAGGTAAGTTGACGTAGAAGTCGAACAGGTTGACATCTACTATATCCATGCTCCCGACCGCCAATGTCCGTTCAAGGATACCCTCGAAGGCATCGATGAGCTGTACAAAGCCGGCAAATTCAAACGTTTTGGGTTGTCCAATTTCACCGCCGAGGAAGTAGAGGAGGTTGTTCGCATTGCCAAAGAGAACAACTTCGTCGTGCCGTCCGTCTACCAGGGCAATTACAATGCTGTTGGTCGGCTTATCGAGACAAAGCTCTTCCCCACCCTTCGTAAGTACAATATTGCTTTCTACGCCTACTCGCCCATAGCAGGGGGCTTCCTTACCAAGACCCCCGAGGATATTACTGTGCATGGAAAGGGTCGTTTCGACAAGAGCACGGGATTCTCCGGACAGCTGTACAACTCCCTGTACAACACACCCGTCAAGCTAGACTTCCTCGCCAAATTTGGCAAAATTGCTAGCGACGATGGGATCTCGCAGGCGGAACTGGCTCATAGATGGGTGACATACAACTCATACTTGGATGCCGACAAGGGAGACGCCATCATCGTCGGCGCTCGTTTTGGCAGCCAGTTGACCGCAACTCTCGAATGGTTGAAAAAGGGACCGTTAAGCCAGGAGACTGTTGATAAGCTTGACGAGATATGGAAGGGCGTCGAAGGAGAAGCTATCCTGGACAACTTCAATGATTTTATTTCCAAAGCAGGAGGATTGAGCTAGACAGCGTAGATGCTTGCGTTCTTGGTCGAGACCAAATTGAATCCAATGGCCCTGCATATAGTGCAGAATGAGCAATCTCTCGAAATATCTGGCAGATATCAGTAGTTTCCATCCTGTATCATCTTTCCTCATGCTTGGGCGAGGAACGTAGTCGACAAGACAAAAAGAGGGTCCCGCACTATTTTATTCTGGGATAAGCGTTGGCTGCAGTGTTGCAACCTGAGGCATCCTTGCATACTGTCACGTGATGGACCCCTTGTTGAATGAGAGCCTGCAGAACCGTTGTTGATGGTCCTCAACCATGACTGTCATGATCGCCTCATAGCATCGCTTGAGGCCTGATGGCGCCTCAACCACAGTCTTCCCCGCCTCCAATCCCTCCTCCAGTCCCTGTTGAAACTCATCCCAACAGGGCTGGAGGGTTAAAGCCGCCGCTGCCACAACGAGTCCCGCCGGATCCGACACGTCTCGCTCCGGAGCATGCCTATGCGCACTCCCAACCGCGGTTCTGGCAAGATAGCTCAGCTCCTTTAAGACCGATTGATGGCGTTGTCGCGACACCCGCCGCTGTTGCTGCTCTCCGGCCGCCGCCTGCAGTTCCTGGCAGTGAACCCAAAAGAATTGATGCTCGCAAGTTCCGAGATGGACGGCGAAAGAAGCGCAAAGGGGTTTGGAAGAAACTTCTATGGGTTCGCCAGTCATGTATGATATTGCTGTTTTCATGTTACTACACAGTTACCAGAGGGCTTATTAATTGGCGTTGATAGATCCGGATAATTATACCGACGTGGAAACCTTTCTTGACCATTTGCAACGAAACCCACGCCTTAGGCCGTACGATTTTTGGCCGTTAGTTGCCGACTCCACAGTTATTGTTCAACATGTCTGCTCCGTGGTAATATTCGTCTGCTGCTTCGTGGGGATTTTTCAGAACAGGGTTAGCCCTGTCTCCGTCGTGGGCTGCGGTAGTATAGGCACAGTGTTGGGTTGGATATTGTGGGATTGGTGGGTGTGCAAGGAGCAAAACGAGGCCCTCAAAGCGGCGCAGTTTACAGATGGCAACGAAGTTGACGATGGATCAAGTGCCAGCTCTACAGCATCCCAAACACCGGCTGCCGGGGTCCAGGCGAATGGGCATGCAGATAATAATGTTCATGGTCTGGGATTGAATCTTCCACCTTCAGGTTCTGAAGTCAATCTGCGACGCAGAAGCACTGGGTTGAGTGCGGCGTCATTACAATCAGTCAATCCAATCCATCCAAGCATGTCAGCAGCAGCGTCATTCTATTCATATAACGAAGACACCAAATCCGTATTCTCGGCGCGAAATCGACAGCGACTTGCAACAATAAAATCCGCTGTTCTCATCTATTGCGCCCTGCTTGGGTTGAGTCCTATCTTGAAGTCCCTCACAAAGTCCACCGCTAGCGATTCTATTTGGGCATTGAGCTGTTGGCTTATGATAATAAATATTTTCTCATTCGACTACGGCAGCGACGAGGGCAAAGCTGACGCTACTAAATTCCCTGCATCGCTGTCCACAAATGCCGCACTGATGGCATCGACAGTGCTAGCGTCGCGTCTCCCTTCGACTACACATGTCTTCAGTCTTACACTCTTCTCCATAGAAGTGTTCGGCTTATTCCCCGTTTTCCGCAGACAGTTGCGTCATGTATCATGGACGGGCCATGTTCTATTAACTTTTGGTCTCGTCCTTGCAGCGGGCGCAGGCGCCGGTATTGCACTGCGCGGCGGCTGGGCTGCAGCAACTGTTGGTGCAATTCTGAGTACTATTCTCACTGCTTTGGCGATGGGATCCTGTAGCTGGTGGCTTATCAGTCTGCAGAAATATAAGAATGTTGTTATCGGACCGTGGGATCCTGCGAGACCTATCATCCGTGGGAATTGGGATTTGAGTTGACATAGTTGTCATAAGACAATGTAGATGATTGCAAATAAAAGCTACGATTTCTGGTGATTTACTGTTCTTCTTAGGAAATATATAATTGCCGTGAATGTGACGAAATTCACGTCTGCTCGTATCAATCGTGATGTTTACCTATCAGAACACGTTTGCACGCATCCTGAAGGTCGCTCGCACGTTTAGTACCGCTCTATCAACCATGTCCTTCTCTCGTTCTCTGCCATCTCAGCCAGCCTTTTCGCCTCCGCTCGCTTTACGGCGATGTACTTCTCGACGAATCCGGCGCCTAGTATGGCACTCATGTCGTCGTCATTCTCTAGCGCAACAAGACTTTCCTCCAACTTTTTGGGGATCTGATTTGTAATACCTAGCTCCTCCCTGGCCGTTTGCGACAGTGTTGACGCATCAACAGGACAGTCCTTGTGCGTGAGAGACAACGAATGAGTGATTCCCAGGTATCCAGCAGCAAGCAGCGCAGCAATTGCGAGATACATGTTCGCGAGACCGTCGATCTGCTTCAATTCCCAGTGACCCGATGTAACTTTGCGGATCGGTACTTCGCGGTTTTGGGTGCCCCAGGCAATCCATTCGCTGCCTGCCCAGACACCTGAGGCAACCCGCTCATAGCTAACTTCTTGCGAGAGAGAAAAAGCCGTTATAGATGGGAAATGCTCGAGTACTCCGGCTAGAAAAGACTGCTCTTCTGTAGGCGGTGATATCGAGAAATGTGTGTGCGAGGCGGTACCTGCTGCGTCCGGATATGGGCGTGGATAGAGAGTGGCGCGAAGATCGTACTTTTCGGCAACATTTACGATTGTCTGGCGAGCCTTTAGAAGTGTATCAATGGCGCTGAGAGGCTGGTCTGGTGGAAGAACGAATTCGAATTGACCAGGCGCAGATTCGGCATGGAATTGCTCGATGTGGATGTCTATACTGGCCAAAGCCGTCATAATCTCTTCAAGCAAGCGGAGAGCCTTCTGTCGAATGTCTCTTGTCATGTTTGACCAAGAATGGTTTTCTGTAATAGGCTCCCACGTGTTCTTAGCATTTATGTAGGCCCGTTGAAGGAAGACTACTTCGATTTCGAATCCGAGTGTGACCTCAATCGGTTTCAGCGCAGTGACAATACGCTGCAGTGTTGTGCGTGGACAGCCCTCTAGTTGTTCACCACTTTCATCTTCCCAGAATGTCATAACAGTGGCACTATTAGATTCGAGGGCGACATTTCTGCAAAACGAGGAAAGATCCGGTCTCATGTAGAACTGCCCAGTGGCGAGTCCGCCTGGTGCAAGCAGGTCGTCTTGAAGCAGGTGGTAAACCGCCAAAGTGATACCGATGCGCCGTTTTCCTTGAACGATCTTTATGAATTCGCGGATCGGAAACATACGCACACGTATTGTAGCTGTATAGTCTACCCACTGCATCCAGACGGCCGTGTTGGGGTTACGGACAGCCAGGTCATTCAGGTTTTCTAAATTATTGGTGACTGATAGTTCCTTTTCATCAGGCTCGTGTGGCTTCGGCACATATGCCGGAGGGAGCAGTTTGAGATCGTACAATCTGTTCGAATTGTTAAACAAGATATCCGCGGCTACGTCCTTGGCCTGCGAAAGTGTAAATATGTCTTGGTGAACATAATCAACTAAAACCTGAGGACCGAGCCGGAGACAACGGTCAGCAAAAATATTCAGCCTGTGATGCTCAAAAGTTTAGGACACTCACCGTCTCAAGCGTATCTCTAAATTGCCTGTTCGATAGCCAATAAGTTTCAGGATGAAAATGCCCATCTGTGCTCCACAACAGACGACTTGTCGGCGTGAGTTCCATGCTTTGTCGTAGGATAGAGTGTTCAGCATCTTTGCTGACCATCGAGAATACTTCACCGAGATCGAGGTAGACGTTTGGATAGACGGAGGCGAGATAGCCAGCCTCTCTGGTATAAGGATATGATGAGTGGAGTAGAACAAAGTCTACGTTCTTAAAGTGCGCAATCAGCGGTTGCATATATGCCGGGTTTGCAAGCACTAAACTGATATCATTATCGCCTAGCCCGGTGTGGAACTGTATAGGCTTGGATCTCTGCTTGCCATGTTTTGCAACCATTTCTTCAATAATTTGCAGCGTGGTTGTTACCAATAGGTCGTTGAATGACTTATCTGATATACGAAACGGAGCACCTATCCGCAACAACCGTTGGAATGATTCTTTGAAGGCCGCCTCACTGCTGTTGACTTTGATGTCCAATCCAGTCCTATAGCAGATGACCGATTTGAATGCAACCACATTGGGTTCCATGAGATATTGCTCAATATGTTTGTGGAACTCCGATAAGAACGTCTGAGGGTCTTTTCTCAGCTTGTGCTGGCCTTGCGGGCCCCAAAAATCAAGCAAGATCTTCGACGCAACGGCCTCGATTCGCACAATCCTCTTTGCTCCGGACGCCGCGCCTATGAACTGCTTATGCCATCTGTAGTCTTCAATGTCGGAGTCTGTGAGAAGATCGTCCAGAAGCAACGAGTAGGTCCCGTCAAGGCATCTCTGAACCAATCCATGGTAATCGGCAGTAACCCACGTCTGTCGCGCAGCCTTGATTGCCTCCCAAGTGGGCTGGCAAGAAAAGAGCGTTGCTAGCTGTTTCACTGCGAGGCGATGGGACAGTGTATGTGGCGCTTGCTGTAGCGCTTCCCCCTTGGCTTCAGAGGTGATCGACTCCAACGGATACTTCTCGTAGTTCAATGCGTTGTCGGCAGAAAGCAGATTGTGTGCATGATTGTCAACAATGGGATGCGATTGAATCAGAGAGCGCAAGCCGTGTAGATTTTCTTCTCCCATTGTGTTGGCCGTGAATGGTTAAGAGGCAGTCAACTTATGCAAGGCGGATGTTTGTTGTTGTTGTTTGTTCGGGCGTTGTCGCAATGCCGAAGCCTAATCGCGCCTAATGTATCACGCTTCCCTTCTGACGCGGCCGACTGCTGAACCTCAAGCAAGATCCTCTTTCTCTGCGTCAATGAATACTCGGATTCAGCTTATATCTACGGTCTTGCGTTGTACACCACGCAGTAACTAGTTACGTGACTCGTTGCTTATTCACCCGCTGACTGAAACCATACGTACAAAAAATAGTTACATGCGAATCGTCTATTCTTTCGTCAAAAACTCAACTAGATCTCTGACTTGGAGTCCTTTTTGGAAGTGTCTTTCATATCTACCGCCCATTCGAGGGTCCCTGCGAGGCACTTTTCGGCGGCATACTGCTTTTTGAGCTTGCGTGTATCCTTGTCGTCGTACGAGACCCTGTGAGAAACAGTTCAGCATGTGTCAGTCAGTTCTGTCCATTCACAGGGCGATATGTCATATGGCTGCAAGACAAACTCACCACTGAGTCTGGTCCCAAGAGAAGTACTTGACAGCAGCCTTCTCGTCCATCACAGGCTTGATATTGGTGTTCTTCTGGAGGATACTGTCGATCTCAGCGTCATGCAAAGTGCCAGCCTCATTGGAGCACGCTCCTGCGAGCCCGGGCCCTGTAGCAGCGCAGCCAGGCTTTGTACAGGAACTGCTAGCCAGCGTATAAGTCTTGCCATAGTCCGCAAGCCCCAAGATAACCTTGTCCGGGCTGACACCTGCGTTCCACACAATATCCAGAGACTCTTGGATATCTGACAGATTTGTATGCGGCTTTGCGATGGTGGGCTTTTCCCAACTTCCGTGGAGGTCATATGTCATGACATTCAACCAGTCGACATACGGCTCAAGACCTTTGAGGTCAAAGCCTTCGATGTAGACTTCACGGGGTTAGATGGAAATATTCTGTCAAAATAAATACGGCTGGCACTTACATTTTCCTCCCGGTACTGTGACACTCAATCCTTTGTCCTTACACTTATCTCGATACTCTTTCACCAGCGAGACCATATTGGCAGTATCCGCCGTTGTTCCGCCTGTATCTGTGGCGGCAGGATATTCCCAGTCGAGATCCATGCCCTTGAAATCATACTTATTCATGAAGGCGCACGCTGAGTCAATAAATGCACTGCGGCCTTGCTGGGTGGCAGCAAGTCTCGCAAACGGCGCGGACCCGACTGCATATCCGCCCACTGCAATCCAAAGCTCCAGATCACTATTTGTACTTTGGTCGCGTACAGTCTGCAGCTGATCGAACAGGACAGTGTCATTGGAGAGAGATAGCATGATCTTGCCCTCCGTATCGATTAATGCAAAAGCAAAATTGATGTGTGTAAAGGGTGCCGGATCGATATCGGAGGGCATATATTTGTTGCAGGCGCGATGGCTGGCCCAGCTTTCATAGTATGCAATAGAACGAGTCATTGCATCTGGGCAGGTTGAGGGCCTATTACATGTATAAGTATTTTCCCCTTTCCTGAATGGTACCAACGTACAATTTCACATTTGACTGCGATGCCTTGCAGTTACTCTGGCATCCAAGGCCGCAATAATCCTTTGTTGTGCCGCAGTATCTGGATCCATCAGTATCAGAAAGTTATACATGGTTTGTGAATTCGAAGAAGCAGCATACCCATATCGAGAGCAACACATGCCTTGGGGACATAGTTCCTGTCCTGGTGGCGCGTTTGCTACAGAAGCAGTGATCAATCAACGTCAGTCTGAGAGTAAGAAAATCGACAGATGCAGATCAACATACCACCACATTGAAAATCCTTCTTTTGATGATGATGTTTGTATTTGCTAAGTGACAATACCGACGATAATGGCACCACAAATGGACAAGTAATTAGACATATCAGTGCGAGAATGCCTTGCACTTTCTGTGTCTTCAAAAAGTGGAAGAATCCGGTGTACAACATGACGACTGGTGTATGCTGGTAAGATATGACCGAGTTCAATGCGTGCTAATGAGAAATTGACAAATATGTTCTCTCCACGCTGACCCCGAGGCAAAGTCATTTCAGGGGCACACCGAGTCAAGTTCCAGCACACGTTGTGCTTAAACAAGAAGTAAATAAAATTGTTAGTGCATATAGGTTTGTGGATAACGTGAAAGAGAAATCAATACATAGGTTCTAGTTCGTGTTAAACCAGCTTCTACCCCATGCTCCACGTGTTGATTCAGGATGTTGACACCCAAAAGCCCTGTATACGTGGATGTAAATAACGGAAGCTCAGTGGTTCTTACATGAGGAATGCCTCCAGCTTGGCTTGTGGTAGATTAGCCTAGGTTCACTGTTCTATTTGCCAACGAGCTTGGATGGAATGTGATGGGGCATGGGGGTATAACAGAGCAAAGTGTCACAAATAATCCCGTGGCTGGTATTTAACCACGCAGTACATGAAAACCTGATGATACATATTGAGCTTGTAATTGAATATTAAGTTCTTTCCTCCGTAGTTATGGATCCAGGGGCCTGCATTCCTAAGGTTGTTATGGACCGAACAACCAAGTGAGGCTTGCATTCCATAGTACGGCTTTTGTTTGAATATCCCTTTTAAATCCGCTTAATGGTCTGGATCTTACTATGGAGATATCTGTTGCAACTGGAAAAATGACATTGGTACCTCAATGCTTTGGGGACTAACTATATAATCAATAATGGCCCTCCAGTGCCAGTACACCAGTTTTAGTGATTAAGTACTCTTCAATGGCGGCCCTGCCTTGTTCTTTGCCATAGCCAGACTCTTTAATTCCGCCAAATGGAGTTTCCATTGTTGACGATTGCGCTATTAGTTTATCAGAGATAAGAAATCAGTTATGTTCTCAAGTTAGGTGAAAGAAAGAGCAGTGAAAATGTCTTACAAGCATTCAAACCAACCATACCAGCCTCTAGGTTTTCAAACATGCGCCAGAGCCGGTCGACGTTCTTGGTGAATACATAGCTAGCCAGACCCATGCTCGTATCGTTGGCCTGTTTGGTAACTTCTTCCTCGGTGTCAAACTTGTACAGGGCGGCGATAGGAGCAAAACTCTCCTCGCGAGAAATCAGCATATTGGGCTTCATGTCCGCAAGAATTGTAGGCTGGAAGAAGTATCCCGCCTTGTCTGAGACACGGCCGCCGCCCAGAACTACTCTAGCACCCAGTTTTTTGGCATCTTCGATTTGGTTGCAGGCCTTGTCAAGGCTTTGAGGAGTGGTTAGAGGACCCATAGTTGTCCCAGGGATAGCACCGTGGCCGACAACGATCTTACTGGCGTGTTCTTGCAGGGTAGCTATGAATTTATCGTATACACCCGACTGAACAAAGATACGGTTTGCGGAAACGCACGCTTGGCCAGCATTCATCCATTTAAGAACCATCAGTGAGAGAGCAGCCTGTTCAAGACCGGCATCGTCAAAGACGATGAATGGAGAGTTCCCACCTAGCTCCAGAGTCACCTTCTTAACACCCTCGGCACAATGGGCAGCGATGATTTTGCCCACGCGCGTCGATCCAGTGAAGGTAACCTTCCTTACGAACTGGTGCTTGCAGAGAGCTTCACTAACAGAGGGGGTACTTTTGAGATCGGTTGTAAGCACAGTGAATACGCCAGGTGGGAAACCAGCTTTTTCGGCCAGGTATGCCAAAGCCAATGCGCTGATGGGTGTCTCAGGACTCGGCTTCACGATCATGGAACATCCAGCCGCGAGCGCGGGGCCAGCTTTACGAAAAAGCATGCCAAGTGGGAAGTTCCATGGTATCAGCGCAACTGTGACACCGATGGGTTGCTTGATTGTGAGCGCTCGACGACCAGGAGGAGCTGAGGAGTTTGTGATGGTGCCTTCAATACGTTCTGCCTCCCCGGCGGACCACCGTATACCTGCTGAGAAGACGTCGATCTCTATTGCTGCTTCTCTGACTGGCTTGCCGGCTTCGTGGGTCAAGATTTTGGCAATGTCCATCTTGTTTTCTTGGATGAGATTGTACCATTTGTAGAGCCAGTCGGCCCGTTGTCGAGGGCTTGCTTTGGAGTATTTCTGAAATCCCGCCTGTGCAGTCTCGACAATATGCGGAATATCATCTACGGTGTTTATGGGGCAGCTAGCCCATGCAACCTCGGTAGCAGGGTCTACTCGTATCTCAAGTTGTCAATAGTATGGTCAATATCTGGGGAGATCAGGGTGGGATTATTACCAATGACTTCAAACCTGGCACCGGTCTTTGAATGAACCCACTCATTGTTGACAAATGAGTCATATTTGAGCAGCTCTGGGTTATTCAGCTAGTTAAACAATTAGAATGAAAATTCGCTCGACCGTTGGGTTTAACCGGCACGGCCGTACCTCGAAAGGGACTTTGTATTCTTTCAACATTGTATTGACTTTCAAACAGCTTCCCTCAAAATAACAATACCTAGGTAGATGCGAAGGAGAAGAGAATATAGAGAGGAGAGGAAATGGTAAAAATTCCTTCAGGAACGCGAAAATCTGACGAGTCTTACATGTACCCACCACGCATCTAAATGTGCAAAGAGCTACGCGCACACATATATTTCGCTACATCATATGCATCCATGGGACATTATTCTATCTCTATGCGCTTTGAATAGCTCGGGTTGGCGGAGTTTTTGTTCTCGAGCTGTTCGGACGAACTATAAATGAGACGCATCAAGTGCATGCGCAGGCGTCACGGCACTTCCTGCGTGCTAACGGCCTGTGTAATGCATATGCAGTGCTTGAATAGGACTAGACTAAACTATTATCCATCACTTTTTGGGAAGCTTGCATGTAATGTGTATTGTCTAGTGTGCTCTAGCAAAAGAAATTCTGAATGGCTTTCTTCTTTCATTGGTTTGACGGTGAAATCGGTTTTTACTCCATATCCCGAAGTAGTAGTAGTTGCGGTATTCCTGCAGGGATGTTAAGAGATCTCCCTACTGACTGGCTGGATAATGTGATGGGTAATATCTTAGAGTAGTATTTGATGCCAGGGTAGTCGTGATAAGCAATGGTCGTCATACAGAGCTGCAGCCACTCTGCATTTGCAAATAACGAAGTGGTGTTCTCTGGGATATGGACGTGTCGGCATACGCCGGGGAATATACTGTACAGCCTGATAGATTGATGAATAAGGGCTGGTGAATTGCCTCAATGGACCCGTGCAATAATCATACGTTTTAAATAGTTGTAATCCGTGGTTTGCTGTACTTGACAGATCTAGCGTGCTCGGGCAACAAGTCTGGTAAACTGCTTTTATGGTGCGCTCGGTTTTTGCTTTGCAGGATTGAAGCGGTTTCAGGTAGGTAAATACTCGGAATGGAGAACCAAATCATTCTTCGTCTGTCCTAGATTATCTTTGAGGACTCGCCGCTGGTCGCGACACAAAGAGTATTGCCTCCGGGCCTAATTAGGAGATATTTACTCAAATAGGAAGGTAGCCAGCAACAATCATATAAAAATTATCTACGGAGTACTTGGAACGGGTTTATGCCACGAATGACCTAACCGAATCTATATGCCAGATGCAGATTTCCGTATATTCTTCATCGGAAACTAGCGCGATGACTGTCTTGGAAGTGGCACTCCAGCAGTATCTCTGCGGATGTCACCCGCCAACAATCCTAGACTTCAAAAGCGCCCAATGCCACCCGGCAGAGGCCAACTATGGTATTGAAGTGTCTAAGCCTGTGAAAGGTTGTCCCTTTTAAAAGGTATGGGGAACTTTATGACGCCCGTCTTGAACCTTTAGTCATGAATGTAATGATCGGGAACTCCTAATGGAGCTTCTAACTACACATACTAGATGAATAGTTCTTGCCGCCTCAGAAAATACCCACATATCTTATTCACTCTTATCTATTCCCTATGTAGCCTTCTATTATTCAGTCGGCTATCGACGGCCCTGACGAGCGCGGATCTCTTGCTTCCAGGACCATCATAACGACGACTCTCTGTTTCTACGGGAATGTCTTACATAGGGTTTGTTAAGATTGACCCTAAACACTGCGTGTAGTCCGAGACAAGCGCCTAATCAACAGGCCATAAGTCTATATGAGCTTTGCTTTTATGATGAAATGCCACAAATCATCGTGAGAGCCTCTTGATATTCATTTTGTCACTTACAATTTTAGAGACAGCTTCTACTGGAGTCAAGATTTGCGCGTCATAACTAGCTAGCAATGAAGCATGAATCTCTATCTAGGTACGGAATATGCACAGTTTTGAAAAGAACAATCTGCTTTCAGTCTCAAAAAGACATATATTACGATTTCAAAGTTCATTGATACTACAATACATGTATATGAAGTTTTGGTAGTACTGTGCCCAATTCCCAATGCGGTTGTTCTATTTTTAGTACACAAATCCTAAGTCAACTTCATACCTGACCAGCTATCATGTATGCGGACGACAATCTTTTGCTAAACACTTGACTCATTATAGATTGACAAGACCATGAACTAGGGTAGTTTTCTTGCAGGACCTGGTAATGCGGAATTAGGTCGCATTGACGTGAATCCTGCCCAATTGGGTTGATGAAGGATGTCATCTTAATTTCATACTTTCATTGAAATAACAATGCGAACCAGGGTATATACGCGATAAAGATAAAACAGAGGAAACAATAAAGGAGAGCAATATTATAAAGAGTGACGGCCCGCTCAGCTCAACACCCGTTCCTCGACCCCCGTCTCGTACTACTCCAAAACTTTTGTGCCTGATCTCTGACCGCTTTCTCGCGCTCCCATTTTTCCAATACGCGCAACTGTCTCTCTGGACCAGTGAGGCGAACTCGTTGACGACCGCGTTCGGGGAATTGTTCCGGCACCCAGCGGTCATGCAACATGTCAATAACCTCGACTAGGATGACGGCGAGAGGCACGAGAAAAAAAATGCTTAGTGCGACAAGCTCGGTGCCATATTCACTGCATACTGCGATTATATCTATATGCTTGAGACTGCGCTGTATCTGTTCGAGGAAGCTTGTTGCATGTCGTGATTGGTGCGGAGAAGAGAGTGGAGGGCAATAAGCTGTTGTAGCAACTGTGCATGGTGGCCCCATGCCACTATGATTATGTGGCAACGGCAATGGCCGTGTTGGGTATTGCGTCCGGTAGAAAGTAGACCATGTTCTCAGCATTCTCCGAAAATCGTCTATCCAATTGCCATTTCTGCCTCTGGCCCTTCCGTGTGATGCTCGAAGTGCTTCAGCTCGTAAGAGTGCATTCCGCTGTCCGGGCTGAGACTCAGCCAGCCATTCTAAAAAGTGCGGTCCAGACTTGGATGATGATGATGATGATGATGATGCTTTCATGACTGGGATGGAGCCGCCATAATTGGCAGTGCGGTGCGGTGCTGCTATGACGGCTGCTTGGTCGCTGTTATCGATGTTGATGGGAAGACTGACGGCCACCCACGCATTGAGAGCGAGGAGGACGAGAACGAGTCTGCTCTGCATCGTGAGGGGCGACGTGACGACAGGCAAAAAGAAGGGACAGAGAAGCGAAGAGCGAGAGAAGACATCGCGACCATATATAAAACGGCGATCTTCAGGGAAGGAGCGCACTGTGTAACAAGCAGCCAATCAGGCGGAGAGCCTCCAATTGGCACATGCGCTGAATGAATGCGGAGGGCTTTTTTGACCAGAGGCACTTTTAGATTTAACGCTCAAAATCCGATGCTTTGAGGCAAAGGAATTCGCCGTTTCTGAACGCGTGGAAGCTACGCATGCTATGATTGGCCCAGTTAGGCCCACCCTATCTGTATTAGCATGGGCCAATCAAAGAGCCGCTCGCTGTCACGGGTGTATGTTTTCAGATTACGCTCCCAATACGGGTTATCTACGGTTGCAGCGTGAGGGACTGTGTACGGTATTTACCGCTCAGGGAATAATGATATTCCGGAAGCGTTTCCGATAAGCGATAAGCGCGTATGATTTATTTACCCACGTCATTGGTCCACACACTTTTACGCTCGAGGGGAACAGCAGAGAATGCTACTTCTTTCCCTACCCCAGGAAATCCTTGTGCTTATTGCAAGCCACTTAAGGACAATCGATTTTGTTTCCTGCTTACAGCTCAATCGTACGCTTTATGACCTCCTCCTTTATGAGCTCTTCAGACGAAATGTCCGCGAAACCGGTGGCTTGGCTATATCATTCTATGCCTTCTGGGGCTATGAGCGTCGTGTGCGCGATATGCTGTTAATGGGTGCCACCGTTGATATTCCACACTTAGGATGGAGAGACAGGACACCTTTAATGCTCGCTATTAGCCGGCATCATGTATCGGTTGCCAAGGTACTCCTTGAACATGGGGCCAACCCGAACTTCATGGAGTCTGTCAAGAGCGGGCCACTGGATATTGCCATTTTAAATGCAAGCGACAATGATTTCTCCATGATAGAATTGCTGCTGGATTACGGTGCCGATGTCAATCTGAAGGGCTATCAGGGTCGTACTCCCATATACACTGCAGTGCTTTGCCATGAACCTGCTAAAGTGGCCTTCCTTCTTGCTCGAGGGGCCAGTGTGTCTGTACGAGAATCGAAGGGAAGAACGCCGTTGGAATTTGCAGTTGGAGAACGGCATACTCCTCCTGAAATAATCACGATGCTCACGGATGCGGCGGGCCCTGTCTATGGTTCTCCAGACTAGACGGGCAGGGAATCGGTATATAAACGCAAAATGAAGAATGTACTAAACATATTGACAACTCATGTAAATAGGATTATTTTTAAGATCATCTCGACGTATTCATCAAAACACAAGGCCAACAACAAAACGAGCACATCAAAAAGGGCATGGTACAGTATTACTAACCACAAAAATGACCTGGGTAACTATACAATACACTCAAGACTACGATACTATACGTAATAATCCAATAATAATTCCCCCGTTATAACTTATCTTCTGGCATCTCCGCCATTGCCGGCAGCTCAGCAGCAAACTGGTGCTTGACATTGACGTGGCTATTATTGTAATTATTATCCACCAGCACAAACGGCGCAATCGTACTTGTCGTTGACATCGGGCGTGATGTATTATTATCGGCGCTGCTGTTATGGAACGAGGGTTTGTTTGTTGTCGACGATGCTGACGATAGAGAGGATACATGCGACCAGCCACCTGTACTCGGATACGAGAGTGTAGATTGAAGCGAGTCACGCGCATTATTGTGGTTGGCTGTAGTGGGACTTTGAACTAGACTCGTATCACCTGGGAGTTCAGTGGCAAATGATTTCCCGGGAATATGATTGTCTGCAGGACTTGGATAAAGGTACGTTTGCTGTTGGTAATCGTCTGGATGATAGATTGACCCACGCGTAGACGCTTGATACAGCTGAGGCGAGGACACCGACACAATCGGCGATACAGGATATTGTTCTTGTTCTTCTTGTTGCTGGTTTTGTTGCTGCTGCGCCTCCACAGACCTATCTGCCGGATTGATCGTTTTCAACTTCCCATTCTCCATCATTCCTTTCAATACACCAGCATCCAATAATTCAGCCTTCTTAATCAACCGATCAACAAGCACCTTGGTCGCCGATTTGAGCTGGTTTTTCACAAACCCCACCATTGCAAAATTACATCGAATCTCAATGTCTTCGCGCAGATAGAGGCCTGTCGCAGGCGCGTTGATCCCCAATTCTCGATATTCCGCTGGCTCACCGGGCTGGGTGCCCGCAACGCGATAGTTATGCCGCAGGTCAATCCCCATCGGAGCATAAACATGTGTTTGAACGCCCCAGGGAACGTCGTGGAAACACGCTCGGAAACTGATTTTGCTACCCCCGAGTCGACCCGTGCCGGGGACTACTTGGATGCGTTCGACTATTTCGTACCAGCTGGAGTAGTATTCTTCGGCCGGGGCATCGCGTGGGGCAGGTATGGCTCGATGAGAGAGTACGAGAGGGTTGAGCGTAATGATCTCGCTGTGGCTGTGGAGGATGTCGAGGGCGAGTTGGCGCGGAATGAAGGATGGGAGAGGCGTGATGTTTGTGTGGGCTTCTTTCTTTTTCATCATTCTGCCTGTCGGACTGTTTGTTGCCTTGGGGCTTGAGCCTGCCACGGATCGAAGATCTTTTCGGTGATAGTCTCGCAGAGAATGTGAATGTCCGCTCTAGCTAGGTGACGTTGAACAACAAAGAAGGAGAGATTCAAGTCCTTTCTTCTCGAACACACGAGGCTTTTTGCACGTGGTTCTTTCTCGATGTTAAAGTGGGCGGGCTGGAAAGCCCCTTGCCACGTTGTCGCAAACAAAGAAACAAGTGTTTGCCTTTTGGGGCATACAGTCAGTGCGGGACGGGAGTATCAAAGGCGACAACGGGTTGTTGGGTGTTGGTCGATCAACCACTGACTAGGAATGGGCATTGATGGAGACAGAGAAGTCGTCGCATCGACATAAACATAGTCGAATACAGGAACAAACATTCCATCGGCGTCGAATGTCTTGGATGTTGTTCAGCCTGCATGTGGGTCCGCATTGGAGTCTGGGACGGACGCGGAGCGCCCCACTGGGGCTGATAGATCTACCCGCAGCAAATCAGAGGCGGCCTACACATAGCTCGTGCTGAGGAGCATGAAGATGACGATGTCGTCGTACTTATTTTGGTGTCGTTTAGATTTCCAACAGCACCATATGACAGCTTGATGGGAAGTGTCGATGATGGGTGTCTTGACGCAGAAACTACATGGCAGAACAATGCTTGAGGATGACTAAGATACATCTACATATATATATCACAGAGTAAGAATTGACTTGCAAAAGAAGCTTCAACATTCGTCTGCTCGTTGGCCTAATAACTTGCAATGATCGTGTCGCAAACATATCAAGAAGAACAGAGAGAGGAGACCACCCCGAACCATTCAAACAACTAAATAGAGCACGCTCTATTTCACTCAATATACACTCACGTCGTGTCAAGTATGTCAACTGACGCGCGAGAACCCTGAAAAACGCCGCAGGCGGAGAATTTTCTCGACTATATGAAGTAAAAAAAGATCAAGTGTCACAAAATAATAATCGCAAAAGGGGTATTCAGTTTCGTATGCTTCTGATATCTCCCAGAGTATCATGCATTCATGCAAGGGAAAAAAAGGATTATAAATCCAGAAAAAGAAAACAAAAAATTCGCTCACATCATCCCCTTCATAAGTATACTTACACGATTGAGGACGTGAGAAAGAGAAACTCAAATCAAGAGTCGGATTGTTGTTTGGGCTGCCATTCGTCCAATAATCGTGACACCTCCTTCAGTGAAACTGGTTTGGTCAGGAACAGATCGACGCCAGATGTCATAGCTTCTGTTTCATCACGCGCACTGCTGAGACCAGTCAAAGCAATAATTGTGGCTGGTCGTCGTTCATCTCGCTCGTTCTCCAGAGAACGAATTGCTCGAGTTGCTTCAAAGCCATTCATGACTGGCATAGAGATGTCTGTGGGAGGAGCCGCATTAGTGGATATTCACAAAATGTTCTGGGCAAATCCTCTGTTGACGTAAAGAGTCTCTACTCACCCATAAATATTATGTCGTACCCCTCCGAGCGCTTCTCAACTGCTTCTACCGCCATCTTTCCATTCTCAGCCGAGTCAAGATTGGCAATGTTCCTCCTGCTGAGGAACGTCAACAAAAGCCGAAGGTTGATATGATTATCGTCGACAACTAAAACATTGACTGGAACCGCAGGCGAAAGAGATATTTCCTGTACTTCCGAGAGTGACACCGCAGTGTCTCCCTTTTCGTGACTAAGAGTGGGAACGGTAGGTGCCGATCGCCGGCCAGCGATTCCTTCATCTTGAATTTTGTGGGGTTCTTCACCCGTTGGCGAGAGCACGTCTGGCGGTGGGAATCCGATCTGCGACTCACTGCCAGACCGTATCTGTGCAAGGAGGGGTTTTGAGTTCTTGTCTTGCTGTACGTTGTGTCCTGTATTATCGACATTCGCTTCCGATATTGTCAGGCGCGTGCGATCGACTAACCGAGAATACTGGACGCTAGCATGCTGGGATGGCGGAAGTCCCGCAGACCCTCTGAAGCATCGAAGAAGACTGCGAGCCAATTTGTAGGGGCCACAAGGTCGATAGAGAAATTCAACAGCACTAGTCAGCTTCGACCAAGCAGAACGGTAAGTATCGTAGTCAACTGTGTTACTGCAAACAACCACCATAGCCCGCGCCTTGATGTTCTGTCGAACTTTCAACTCCTCGTTCACATCCTTGTCTATAGCCAGCACAAGATCCACGGAGTCAGAGGCAGGCCATGGGACGAGTGTGAGCCCACACCATTTTGTCACATAACGGGCAAGTACTGAGGTCATGCCGAAGTTAGACAGAAAGTGCGGATCGTGACCAAGTATTGCAACTGTCTTGTCTGCAAACCGCTCTTGGATCACACGTAAATCTTGACTGGGTACCGAGTGATGAGGCCGTAGAGGCGGAGAAACGGCGTCTTCATAGTTTGGTCGTGTAAGAGGCAAAGTAACTTTGACACTTGTTCCTTCTCCAGCTCGACTTTGAATCCCGATATGACCACCAATCGATTTAACAATACTGCGCACAATTGACAAACCCAAACCCGTTCCGACAGCCAGGGTATCTTCTTGGGCGAACGGTGTGAACAGACGGGCTCGTAGGAAATCTTCCGATATACCTTTGCCCGTATCTGAAACAGTTAGAACAACAAGCTCGTCGGCTTCCTTTTGGATCTTCGACTTTGCAGATGATATGTCTCCCTTGAGAACCTCCAAACGAACAACGATGTGCCCACTATCGGTATACTTCATGGCATTACCAAAGACATTCATAATAATACGACGTAAAGCTCCCGGCTGTGTCTTGTAAACCCAATCTCCTTCCTCAATGTCTACAATCACTTCAACCTCTGGACGGATTTCGCCTGTGGACTCACTATCTGGAGTAGATAGCGAATTTGATGCAGCACCCGATGGCATTGAAGCTGTGCGTGATCGGCCCGTAGAGCCGCTCGCTGAACGGCCATATAAATGACCCAAGCAAACTCCCTCCACTACCTCTTCTACTAAGATACATATGTCTTCACATATGTGCGTGTCGAGCAGGGCTGCCATGCTGTCAACTCCTTGTATATTATCCACTACATCTTCTTTCGGATCCCGTCGGGCCTTTTTCACTTGTCGCCAACTCTTCTCCAGCGACACAATTTTACTGAAATCGAGTACCTGATTCATCGTGTCCAGTAACGTCCGTCCGCACGCGTTAATTGTCTCGAGCAAGGATGCCTGGAACTCGTTCATATATGTACCATCCATGAACTCCGCGGCGGCGAGAATGCCATGCAGGGGACTGCGCAACTCATGTGAGATACTACCGATAAAATCGCCCTTCTGGCGGTCGGCAATGATGGATTCTAAACGACTTAATTCAGCCATTATAGAGTAACCAAACCCCATAATAGAGGCAAGTTCAACAGAGGGACTGAAAACTTGGGTTTCGTTACTGTTCCAACAAAAGCAACCGGCATACCATTGCGATGTAGCAGCATTCCACAGCGGCACAAAGACAACCTGACTTGCATTAGGGAAGTACTTGGATAACTGGGTCGCTTCAGAAGCCCGCCATTTTTTGTTGGTGCCTGGAGGGGGGTCGGGAGTTTTAACCGCCGAAACGGGGGAGTTCGGGCTCTTCTCGTCGTCATCAGAAGAAGCGAACAAGGATCTGTCATGGTGAAAAGTCCAGATCTTGCCCTTCGGATAGCGGCGAAGAACATTTTGCAAAAAACGTCGGTCGCAATTTGCAGCCGCGCAGGTAGCAGTTGATCCGGGTACAGGCGCAAAAGGTTCATCATTGGTCGATACTCCGAGAACGGGTGCAGGGGTGTCTGTGTCTTCAAAATAGTCCACCCGACCATTATCAAGATCCAGTGGCATGTTGCTATTTTCTAGGAAGATAACACCACTATCGCCGGTTAATTCCAAACTTTCACGGATAAGGTTTGCCGCACGGCGAAATGTCCAATGGTTGCTGCGCATTTCATCAGCCAGGCGAGCTTTGGAGCTTTTCGTCCCGGCAATCAGCCAATCTGGAAGGGGCGTAGTGATATCAGACGAAGTGCCAGTGTCAGCCTTTCCTTCAGATGAGGACGGTCCTGGTGATCGACTGGGTCGTACATCAACGCTACTTCCTCGTGACCCATGAGATCCTCTAGAACCCCGAGACCGGGCAAGTGGACTTCGAGCGGCTGGAGGAGAGGTGGATGACCGGGCAGAGCCAAGCGACCAAGCTGATCCGGAATTAGTACCTGAATGCTGAGATCCAGAGACTGGAGAGCCAAGACCGTCCACAAAACTAGAACTTCCTTCCACGAAGCAACTTAAGCCACGAGACAAACGAGCAGCCCGTCGCCCTTCGGAAGCCTGGCGACTTACACGAAGAAAATCCATGGACATTGCCGCCATGGAGCTCAACACTTGCTTCTCAGTATGAGTCAAACCATTGCGAGCATCGAAATCAAGAACGAACAAGACGCCAATGTTGATGCCATTCTCCGTAGTTAAAGGAGTGCCAGCGTAGAAACGAAAATGAGGAGTACCAGACACAAATGGATGGTCTGCATACCGTTCATCGGCGGATAAGTCATTGATGATTTGATAGTGGGCTTCTGTTTTTGAAGATGCTGGAAGTGCTACTGTGTTCTGATTCAGGTCGGGATAAAATCACAGTTAGATCTTTCAAGCCCTATGCTCATTCGTTCATTTGCAATGCATATGCTCACCAGGTTTAACTTTGGACCGAAACGCCCATCACTGCCATGTCCGGTCCACAGGCGTTGAGAACTAGTTTGTTCATCACGAGCAGCTTCAGCTAAGATATACTCTGTGTCGCGGCCCAAAACACTACAAGAGACGAACCATTGTTGTCAGAGCAAGGCATCGAAAAGGGGATTCATAGTACCCACCAAATAATAGCTCGCTCGACATTTAATTTGTGAGCCGCCAGCTGTGCAAAAGATGTCAATATGGTATTGGGGCTGGCCAAATCCTCTTGAGGGGGCATCAATGACACCGCCAGTGGGTTTGCGGTGCCTTCGACTGTAGGTATAATAGGATCCGAGGTCTCCAAAACGGGAGATTCCTCGGTAGCTGGGACATATTGTTTGTAGAGAGCGGCGGCAGGGTTTGTGGGTTGGAAGTAGCGGTAGAGTTCGCGGAAACGACGGTCGTCGCGATGAGCAACGAGCTCTTCATGCGATGGCGCCATAATGTTCAATCTTACGATGCCATATGTCTGAACAATAAAATTCAAACCATTCTTTCACCTAGCAGTGGGCGGGCGAACTGTTAGATGGCCCCGCCTCTTTCTGTCCTTCCTTTCTCTAAGTTATCAGCGGGAGACGAGGGTTCGGTTGGATATGCACGACTCGTGGGAAGCAATCGATGGGTAGTAATTCGCGTAGACGAGGTTTTTTTTTTTTTTAGGGGTTGGCGATTACCGATTGTTCTTGCGATGGGAGGAAAAAGCGATTTGTACCCACACGCACACGCAACAGAAAGGCGGCGGAGATTTTTGGTTGACGGGACGGAACAGTTGACCAGAACCTAATCTGCGATGGGACTTGCGGTGGAGTGTCAATGGATAATAATAAATGCGACCGAAGCTTTTCCAACATACGTATCCGAATTTGTAGCGCAAAACGATAGTTGTATAAACGAAAATAGGCCAGAAAGGGACAGGCTAATTGGGGCGTTGCGACCGACGAAAGATATACGCATGTAGGTTAGCCGCAGGAAATCCTGGTACGATGGTTGCTTGATGCGATCAGACGCGCGCTCGTTGGCTGATGAAAAGGCGCAGAACCGGTTCTGAGAATTTGTTGCAGGCACCTAAGACGGGCTAGGGCGATTTGCATGGCATCATAAGACAATAAGCACAACTATGGGTCGCCACGGCGTAGTACGTGGAGGTACTAGCACGAGGCGGAATATTAGTCCCCCAGACGTGGAAGGAGGAGGGAGGCAACATACTATGTATGATAAAGCGAATCACACCACGGTCAAGCTGCTTAATCACACGGCGGTCGAGGAAAAAGCATCCGAAGACTGTGGCGACAACTGAAGTCTGAAAGCCCAAGGGAAGCGACATCCTGAGGCCGGCAAAAAGAAGAAAGGACCTCAAGGAAAGTTGGAAGAGCCAATCACATGTCTCCGCCACCGGCCAATCACATCGCTTGTGTTTCTTTCTCCGCAGTGTCACTCGATCCTGCCCCATTTCTCAGGAGCCAATAGGTATGAGCCCCAGGCATCAACAGAGAGGGTGCCTGGAGTCTGGACCAGCGCAGCATCTAATGCGTATTCGGCGACGATCTTTTCATCGTCATTCTATTCCTCGACTTGCCTAACCACGAACACGAGGAGCATCGAAATCGAAAATCATCGTGATGTGCTCATTCGTACCGTGAGCGATCCAATTGGCGGGAAAAGCTTCCGTTGCTGGTCCTTGCTTTCTGCCTGAAATCGCAAGGCATCAAAACTCCACAATCATAAAGAGAGTCGGATGAGGTTATTTCAAGACCCAAAAATTGAAGCAAAATCAACAGATAAAATAAAATGCCGTCGTTCTCTGTGGACAAATTTGAAGCGAGGTTGTCTAAAAGGAATGCAAGTGGGAGACAATAAATAACAAGCCATCACCGTTCATTCCAACGAGCTGGGGACGGAATGAAGAACGGTTCTGCAACTCGCCTGGCTGATATAGAAGTTTATATAGACAGGCGTAGTTAGAGCTTGCCAGTTGACGGTGGCTAACTATTCCGTGGCTTGATGGCGGGCGCCCTGAGACGGGCCTAGTGCCTAGGGACGGAGTACAGTCCAGTCCAGTGCCTATTCCATGTTAAGTCTTTGCTCTTAACGACCAAGCCAGGCTAGTCCACAATTATAGACAAGAGAACTGGAACTTACGCTGTGTACCAGGTCATGTCAGTCAGTCAAGTCGCGCGGATTCGAAACGTAGCTGCTCAGGACAATGAGCAACCATTGCTATCTAAAGGATACCCCGAACTAGCTTGTATGTCCGAGTGTTGCGCTTGGAATATGGTTAGTAGGAGAAACATAACAAGATCATAAGAAGACAATTTTTTCAATTGAATAGTAAGTAATTAGTATGTACAACTGGAAGCGCGAAGAATAAAAAGGAAAGAATGAATCTCAAAGAGTAAGGGAACGCAAAGAGAAACACAATGGGAAGTCAATCTGGCTATTTATATTTGTCCGATTTAGCTCGTTCGTTGACGCCTTTAGGACCGTTGGATCGATTGTTGCTGTCCATTTCTGTCCATTCGTGATCGCCAAGAACCATATGATGTCATTTCCCGCTGCCCATGGTGTTCCTGTGCTTGCCATTGGTGTATGGGTTCCACATATACGGCTAGGGCCCACTGTGGCTGCCTTTTCGGATTGTGATTGATTGGTTGCTGGGTGGGACTGCGTTTTGGAAGCGCCACAGCACACACCATGCTATCAAGTTAGTATTCAGAGTAATCAAAGAAACAGGAACAAGCATAGATTCTGACTGTGTAATAAAAAAATCCACATGGTCAATGCATCAAATAGGTATAGATAATAATTAGATCATCACAGGTGTCAGGAACATCCTCAAAAACAAGTAAACAGAGCAAAGATGGAGACGCCAAAAACTGCAGAGCAAGCAAGGAAAAACGACCAAAAGGGTCAAATCTACGCTCTAGCCAGAACTCAATAATCACTGTCTAGACCTTCTCCATCAACTTCTTCTGCACCGTCCACATTCGCGCCCGCTTCCCATATATATACATCGGGATGGAAGTCAGAAGACAGGCAAGCTGTATGCCGCCAATGGCAATAAAGACAGTGCGAGCGCCGTCGCTCTGGAGCCAATCCACGATAAACAAGGAGAAGACCAGTCCATGGAAGATATCTACAAACGCCAAGAGTCAGCTCACAAGCAAAAAGAAATGAAAGCGGGAAGAACATACTTTTACTGAAATTCAAGGTCACCAATGCCTCGCCCGCATACTGTCGATAGCTATCCACACAGAATGTGATGGAAGTGGTACTCCCCAGCGAGCAACCAAATGAGACGATTCCGAAAAATACGGTGGGCACAATCCAGGCGTCCCTCTCCTGGGCGCTCCATCCAAAACCCATAAGGCCGATGGTGGTTGTAATTGCAATAGGAATAGCCATCACAAGACGAAATTCCGGTTCATAAATGCCTCCATTGCGCCGGGTCATGTATTGGACTATGATATCAGACACTCGTCCCGCGACTGCTGTGCCGAGAATGCCGCCGATGAACGGAGAAATATAGATCAGTCCGGTTCCCAACGCAGAAAAATTATAGGATGCTTTATTCTCATAAATCGTTGCAACTGACTCCGATAAAACAATCAGCCACCCGATAGACAATGAATAAACAAGAGCCGACCACAGAACTGCCGGGTGGGCGAAGAGAATGAACGGTCGAGCTGCCACTCGAAGCCACTTATCATGGCTTAATCGTCCATTCCACGGTCGCAGAGTTTGCAAGTAAGGAAGTCGCGGTCGTTCACGTAGGTTATGTGTATATAGGGCGGATGGGTTCATCGGAACGTGTTCCTCGGATTCATACCTCACAGGGGATCGGGTGCTGGCGTGTAGAGCTTCCACGTCCACCACGTCCACAACGTCTGAAGAACGGCGACCAGTCTCAATTACTTCGGGACCATCCTCAAGCCTTCCAAGAGTCGTATTTGCTGCATCTGGAGAAAGGTACCTTATATCATCAGGGTTGGCAGTATCTGTTGATTTGAATTGCGCCGCATCTGAGGAAACATTCGCTTGATCCACTGCTACCGTGGCCAGCTCAGAGGGATCCTCCTTGTCTAGAGTTTGCTGCGCCTTCTCATTTAACGCTTCTTCAGCGAAGCCAACACGCACATCTCTTCTCGGTCTCTCTGGCTTTTCTGATGTAGGGTGTTGGGCACCATCAGGACTCTGCGGAGACGACCCTTTATCACCGGAACGGCGTTCTGGATGTCTTCCACGCCACAAGCCAGAGTGCGCAAGCTCAGAAACGTTCCGGTAGAATCCTGGACGTTTCGACTTCAATTTTGGCCGAGGAGTGCGGTCCCAGAACGTTTCAGGAACAAATAGAAACAGGAGCACTAAGCTAGCTCCGACAACTATAGCAACGACCCTAGCTCCAGTCAGTCGATTAAAATTGGCAACAGAGGGGTCTTTAAATCCGCCTCACCAGAACACCCAGCGCCAACCAAGTGATTCTACAATGGCCGCACTGACTAGTGGTACGAGATTTTTGCCCCCGAGAAGAAGCAACGTATATATGCCAATGCGATAGGCTCGTTCATGTAGGAAAAAAATCTCCGCAATCGTTGCGGAAGGCAAGCACTCTACTGGGCTTACCGCGATGCCCATAAAGATCCGAGCTAGGACCAGACTCGGATAGTTTGGGGAGAGCGCACACCATACTGCAGAAATAATGAATAGAGTAGCACCTAACAGATACACGGGCCTTTTCCCAAAAAGAATGGCCGTCGGAGCCATTATCACGGACCCTATACCCAAGCCCGTCATGTAGAGGCCGGTCGTGTAGGCCACCTGCTGCGTACTCACATTATAATCAGTCGCCACGGCATTGAAGCCGGCAGCTAGGACCGGTGTCATTCCACCTCCCAGTAGGCAATAAAAGCCCAAGGAAAGCAGAGCAGCATCTCGACGCCAGCTCGGCCAATTGAGAGGGTCATTCATGGACTCCTCAGGTTGAGGATGAAGGACGATGCGGCCATCGGGTGTTTTTTTAGTAGCTGGGCGAGAAGGCGATCTGCTGGGAGGATAGGGAGAGGGGAATGACGACGCAGATGTCTGAGCTGGTTGGTTTCTCAGACCCAGAGGTTGATTTCGGTTCGAGGATAGGAGGAGGATGGTGCCTTGATGTCAGAGTTAGACAGCTAATATAATAAGATGGGTCAAAACATACCAGGAACTTCGTCTGTCTCTGGATGACTCAGGACACCAAGAGTCCACTTTTGGCGGTTCTCCCAGGGTGAAGACATTTTGGGCTGTCGTGAGGTAGCTGGAATTCAAAAGGGCGTGGGAGGGCGCGAAGCAGAAGTGACAAGACAATCAATCAACGGGGCAGACCCCGCGCAAAAAGAGCTCGAGACAAGGCCGCCATGGATCTATTTCACTCCATTTTTGCAGAGTGCCATAAGACGGTAGGAAAATAGAAAGTGGTTCACAATAATGAAGAGGAGAAGGCGTTGATAAACAGCAGCGCATGTGAAAGTACCATATGGCAATGACACTCCGAAGTCGTTACGCAGGCCCAGACCCCACACGTGCTGATACGTTTAGTACCGAATGAATACCTTCCCTCACCGCATGTTGCACGCAGTAACCACGGGAGCTGACGGTACTGATACGGTACCGATACGAGCGCGATACTCTCATCCGTTGACAAGCTAACTAACGGGATATTTGTATCTTAGCATCCATTAGGTATCGGGATCTAGAGATGCGTATCCTCCGTACTGACTTCCGACTCCCGGCATCTGCCCTCTTCAAGAGCATCATGGCCGGGGCATGACGTGTGTGTCCCCAATATCGCACGCGGCGGCCGTCTTGAGCTGAGGGATCTTCGCATCACACGACGACATTCGCCTCATCGCTCAAGCCTTTTGCCAGGTGCCGCATGACTGGGATTGCTTTGGCGTCGGACTTCAAGACGTCACGATCGTCCAAATAACGCTCGCGCCTTTCTATTCGTATATGTCCCGGGCAATGGAAGGACACTACTCTCGGCATTGGTGCATTTTCCGAACCCTTGAAAACCGATGTGGTAGTTCCGTGGTGTGGGCCTGAGGCATCGATAGACCTCGTCTGAGGCTCTGAGCGTCGGAATTTAAGTAAATCATTAGTGAACAGGAGAGACCATATCCTGTGTATGCAAGAATAAAGATAACCTGGTTTCCCAAGTCTGGAAATAGATATCGGCGTAGGTTATGCATTTAATATATGGAACGCTCCATTACCTAGGAAGTTATTCTCACATTATATGGCTAACCAATGTTGTATGATGTGGCATTCAGAGAAACCAGAGACTAATAACCTAAAAATCACAGGGAGATAAACATACAACATATTGTACGTGAGCTGCTAACACCGCAACAAAGTGTGGAATGGAGTTACCAAATATGGTCACGTGCCATAAGCCAGGGGTGGATGTGGCGCCCCTATGGGCTTTGCCAGGTGGCTTGGAAATATTGTTATTTTTATTCGCCGCTCCATCGACCATCTTTCATTTAGTGTTGCAAGTCTTTACACACAGCAATTGGAACTATACCTTGATCCTTCTATTCATACCCTTATAATACTTCGATGAATTGATTCCGAGTCTACATCTTTGGGATCTGCGGATCCGCGCTCGAAAATAATCGCCAGACAGCCACCCCCGGATTTTCCAGTCGTCGCAATTACTTAATATAAGTCGCTGCAATGCGGATCAGTCGTCTCTCGACGGCCGCTGCCGTGCTTATATTGACCATTGGTACTGCTGCAGTTGACACCTCCTCAGATAGTGTTGCAGGCGCCAACTATGGGGATATTATCGAGCCGCCGCCGGGCGCGTCAGATTTGCAAAAAGGCTCCAAAGCAGCTCCCAAAGGGACGCTGGATGCCCCCGTTGACGGTAAAGATGGCAAGCCTCACGATGGGCCATGGGTGGAAACCGAAGCCGAGCGAGATCGCAAGAAGGACAAGGCAGATGGCCGAACGTACATGGCTGCAGCAGATACAGAACAAGCTGGAGGTCGTCTAGGGCAGGGTGGGAGTGCTATTCCACACTCCAACGAAGGAGTCATGGACGATCCTGGTAGATTGGGTCCCAAAGAGGGTACGCGAGGTACGGAGGGTGGTATGACAGAGAAGACTAAGGATATCAAGCAATCCAAGGAGAAGGTCCCCGAGACTCCCAAGGAGGCACGCCCTCTACCACACAGCGAACAGGAAAAGATCCCAGGCTATGAGGACGTGTATGAAGCGACAGATAATAAAAAGACAGGAGAGAATGTTCTAGAGGTCTGATTTTTTCTCCTTTCCATTCTGCTTCCCAAGCCACCAATCGATATGTCATAGCTAACAGCGTCTGCATGCAGAAACCCGATGATCTTCCAGAAAAGCCCCATGAAATTCCTCTTCCCAAATCTCCCGGTCGAGTAACCGACGATTCTCACGATTATAAACAACCAACACCAGGCAGAAAGCCCTTCCCAAACGCCGACGGATCGTCTAGAGGAGCTGTTGGTGCTTCTGGCCCATTACATTCTTTATTTCTCTCATTCGTCATGATTATTTTCTCCGAGATTGGTGACAAGACCTTCCTTGTTGCTGCGCTCATGGCAATGCGCCATCCTCGGCTCCTCGTTTTTTCTGCCGCTTTCTCAGCCTTGGTCACCATGACTGTTCTCTCTGCTCTCCTTGGACATGCCGTTCCCACACTCATACCTACATCCTACACTCAATTTGCGGCTGGAATTTTATTCCTAGTCTTCTCAGCAAAAATGTTCAAAGAAGGACGTGCGATGTCACCGGACGAGGGTATTGGTGAAGAAATGAAGGAGGTCGAGATGGAATTGGAAGAGAAAGACCACGAACAACGACGTTTAAGCCGCAGACGATCGTCAGTTAGCCCGTATGCTCTGGAATCTGGCCGAGGCGGTCGCACTCGCTCAACCAATCGCCTTCCCTCGCCTCCAGAAAGCGTTTCCTCTGCATCGTCACGGGAAGTTTCTCCAGAGCGAGGCTTTTCGTTGACAACGGTCACTTCCGGAGCCAGGAACCTTTTCTCGCTCCTTCTAAGTCCTGCATGGGTGCAGACCTTTGTCATGACGTTTCTAGGTGAATGGGGTGACCGCAGCCAGATAGCTACAATTGCCATGGCTGCTGGGCAGGATTACTGGTGGGTTACAATCGGCGCTGTTGTTGGCCATGGCATCTGCACGGCGGGGGCAGTCATCGGTGGTCGAGCAGTCGCCGGCCGTGTCAGTCTTAGAGTTGGTAGGTTTTCATTTTTTCATCTCTTCTGGCATGAGACGTCACTAACTCACTTGCAGTCACTTTGGGCGGAGCATGTGCTTTTCTCGCCTTCGGCATCATCTATCTCATTGAAGCGATTTTCTAATAATATGCTTGATCTGTGCAATTTTTCCAATGTATTGGTACACACTTGCTATTATACATACATAATACCTATATTTCCTTCTTCTAATCTTGAATTACTGCCTGTAGCCAAGTACGTAGTTTCAACACACTAAACTTGATCTAACCGTAAACACGAAAAGTTGTTTGCAATAATTTTAGCACGCATTTGGCTAGTCCAGAACCCGGACTTTAGTAAATCCGACCCGGGCAGTCTCCGGATTTCGAGTGTTCAAGACTAAACACCAGAATCGATTCTTCGTCATTTAGTTTATTTGATTTTTATTGATAATTGCTCAAGGAATAAGCCCGCCCCAAGGCGCATGTGTGAGTACTGAAAAGATGGAAGACCAACGTATATAAGGAAATCATCAAAAAATGCACCACCATCTAAGCATCGCAGAACTGTAGGGTTAGGTTTAGGCTTAGGCTTAGGATTGGGGTTAGGATTAGGACTAGGGTATGGTAGGGTTAGGCTTAGGTTTCGGGTGCGTTTTCAAAAAGCGAGGTTCGGTCATGCTCTGTTCGAAGTGACTAAGACAGACGGTCGATTGGCTAGCTGCGGCAGAGTCCGGTTTAAAAGACAGAAATATTTTGTAAAGACGGAAACTTGAATTTACCGGGTGTGAAAAACAAATACGATAATGCCAAGTCTGTATTTATGCTAGCCAATCACGGCAGGCGGTGGGATGCGTGGCATAATCTACCCTAGTGTTAGGATAGTTCGGTCGCGCCGTCCGATCGTCCACCAGCTTCTCCTTTTCTTTTTTCCTCCTTTTTTTCCCTCCTTCTTATACACACCACAACAGACGCGTATCTCTTCTCTCGCCGTCCCAACGCTTGAAGACAACAGCATCTATTGTTTTTCCAGTTGTTCGGGTCTCAATGGTATGCGAAGCTTATCTTATCAGTGATTAATCCCTCGTCCATGTCGTCTGCGAACGCACCACACAAGTACCTATTGGGTACGACTCCTCGCAGCACGCGGTCGGCCGCGGCATCGCCCATAAAGAAGGATTCAATTAAGGCCTTGGGCGCGACTCCAGTGCAAGCGAAGCCCCAGACTACTCCACACCGGTCGCAGGCTGCTGGTGGTGGGAGGAGAATGACGAGGAGTCAGAGCCGAGAAGCGGAGGTGCCGCGCGGGAGCGGGAATCATCAGGAGAAAGCCCAGCCTGGTTAGTATCACCGTGCTTCCCACCAAGCACATCATGAGTTTTCATCGCTTTCTCATTGATTTGATCTGTTTCCTCACTTCACTTTACGCCTTCACCTCCTCTGCACGTTCTCGCCTACGGCTGCACAGATATCATTCCCCTAGCCCATACCATGCATTGCCTGCCTCAAAATCTCCATGGGCGGAACACAATCAAGGACTGCAGACACTAATCATGACAGGACAGGACTGGAATCTGTGGATGAAGAAGACACCAACGATAGTGGTTCGTTAGAAGTAACCTCGAATGCTGCAAACCAGCAGTTGAATGATGAACTGGAACATCAAGCCGTTCCGGAATCTCCCAATGGCCACGATGTATCTGGTGCTACGCTTGTTCCCATGGATCTTGACCCGGAAGCTGGTGAAATTGATTTGATTTCCATGGCTCAGTCGCTCCCTTATTTGCAACGAACATCTACTGAGCTTCTCGATTTTTTCGCTTCTAGCTTCTCGTCACCTAGCCGTTTTGCAGATTTGGCACGAGAATTAGCAAATCCAAAAAGCAACCAGTCCAGAAAATTAGAGTATTTAAAAACCAACTTTTTCACGCAACAAGAATACTTCGGCTCCGACGTTTATCTTTCAGTTGAAAAACTAGCTGCTATCTTCCCAACTGTCGATTCTGCGTCCAAGACCTGGCGCGTGGATGGCATCATCTATAAGTCGAACTGTGCTCAGTTTGCCTTGGAAATTCTCACCAGAATCGCAATGACAAACGACACCGAAGAAAGCATATGGACACTTGAGGGAGCGTTCCCGTTGCCGTTCCTAAATGCTCTGGAAAGTGGCAACGTAATTGAGAGTGCAGGGAACAGCGGCTTGCGACGGCCAACACTTGATTTGGCTATTGAAGTGAGAACTCAGCTCCTGAAGATCCGCCTCCTCGTTGAGAAGGACAAGGACCCGAACGCGATACTGGAAGCTGTGTTCTTCAACGAAATTCTCGACTCACAGCCAGCGGCAGACGCGGTATCTCCTCTCCGAGGTTTTAATTTGCCAGGGTTCTTTCAAGACGAGGATGGAAATCTACCCGATAAATATTTTGAGGATGTTCAAGAACGCGTACGTGAAATTCGAGCCTGTTTCAAAGAGCAGGATCGAGACGTTTTTAATGCACTCGAGGAACGCTTCCCTTGGGAAGAATTTATCTTTTCGGTAGCGAAATGGCTCCGTGCACGGAATGATGAGCTCAACCGTCACCTGGCTCAACAGCCCTCGGTGGATGACATTCACGATCAATTGGAGGATGCAATTAACCAGTCGGAGATATATGACTCTGTTCAAGAAACGCAGACTGGGGAGCCAACTTCTCCAGAAGAACAAGCCAATCAGCAGCGTCGGCGTGAGTTACTTCCCGCAGCCGAGATCAAGGACCGGCGTGAAGCAGGCGAACGAAAATCATTTAGTGACATGGATTCCCTTGTAGCTTTTGCCAGACTACAAAAGCAGCTAAATTCCGGCAATCTCAAAACTCCCGCAAGACACAACGATTTTGCTCCTCGACTCTCGAAACTTGCTTCTAAACCGGGTGGGAGAATATCGGTTCCGGTCACACCTGCTCCAGCTATTGATTCTGGCGATGTTGACCAGCAATTGGAACCTGATATTCGCGGAAACGGATTTCAGCAGAGTGTGACTGGTCAGCGACGACGAACTTTGCTTGAGCAGTCAAGAGGGACGCTGGCAACCAATCAAAGGTTGTCATTGCCGTCGCAGAGCGCGTTGCACGGAAGAGAGCGCGGCCTTGCTCCGGGATTTATCGATCGCCAAGCTAACGCTTCTAGAGTGTCCCCAATTGATTCTCAGAGATTGGGTAGTGGTGGTCCCAGCTCGTCCCGTAAACGTACGAGAGATGCATCCTTTGAGGATGACGAAGATGAAGATGGAGAAGGAGAATTTGAACTGGACAGCAGGCGCATTGATTTGCAGAACAGACGTGGCCAGAAACCGATCCAAAATGCGAAACGTCCAAGATATGATAATGAGCTTGATGGTAGACGACAAGGAGTGTCGAATGAGACCCGAGTGATCGCACGCCCTGCAGAACGAACGACCGCTCCTGTGCCTGTTCCTCGTCCTCCCCATCACTCATCCCCGCAAAAGCCGCCACAAATCCGCCGACCATGGACAGCAGAGGAAGACCGCCAATTTATTCGTCTTATTGAGCAACACGGCACAAGTTGGGCAGAAATTAAATCCCAGGATGAGACATCGGAATCGCCGAAACTCAGGAATCGAGACCAGGGAAACCTGAAGGATCGAGCACGTAATTTGGTTATGATTATGTTGAAGTGAGTCTATGCATTGACACATGTCCATCCAGATACTTTGCTAATTTTCTCCTTTGCAGAGGTGGGACACCGTATGACCAATTACCATTAAATTTCAATCGCATTACCCTAAAAAAGGTCGATATTGAGAATCTTCGAAGAAGGGGGATTGAATTTCCCGACCCAATTGAGCAACGTCGAAGGAACTATTTCTGATACCTTTCATGCTAGTATTCTTTGCGGCGACTTGAGCGAATTATTTACGCTGAAATGGTCGATGCAATGTATATATTAATTGCCAAACTGGATCGACCATTTGGGTTCCTTTTTGACCAATACAACTTTTTTTTTTCCGTTTTGCTTTCTCCTTTCTTTCAGTTGGGACTGGGATTCTTTTTTACACATGAATATGTAATTTATCTATTCATTGGGCCACTGAAAATATGGTTCGTTATTCACCAGGGTTCGATATCAGAATCAACATGCAAACACCATGCTATGACAGGCTTCAAAGAAGCTGCAAAAGTCTCTCGGCAATCAGTTCTCCCATCAAGTCATACCCCTTGTCCGTCAGATGCAGACCATCATCCCAGATCTCTTCGCGCCGCTGTTCGTCCATGGCATGATATGGAAGAGCGGACCTGAGGTCGAACGAGTAGCTACACCACTGTCAACGCTGATACAAACAATGTGCACATTGAAAATGGGCGATCCACTTACTATCTATCCTCCTTGTGCGCAAGAATAGACGCATTCAATACATCCCGATTCCGGTCTAGTTTTGCAGATCGATATGCGCATTCGGGAACGGTAAGGGCGAGTACTTTGGTAGTTGGCGAGGAGCCCAGGGCTAGGGCGTAGGTTGCCTGGAGTCCGGCGAAGATTTGCTCGGGGGTGAAGGAGCCGTACCCTAAGTCGCTATAGAAGCGTTAGCTGGGTGCTACCTCGTACCTAGGTAGAGAGGGGAGTATACTTGGTTCCGCCGAGGATGGTGATCCAGTCGTGTCTTGGATTGCACTGAAACTCTACGTCAACTATGGAACTGATGCCTATAGAACTATGTATGATACGTACACGCCAGCTTCATCCTTTCCAGAAACCGACCAGGCGGACAATTCACCAGGTCGCCGGGCTGCCCTTCAACGTCGATATCGACAAGCCCGCCGTTGGATGCCACGGCGGCATGCTCGGCGGACAGCAGCTGCTCTTTTAGGGTCAGTGCATAGGGGTGGTTGGTTTCGACACCGTAGTGCCAGTAGCCCGCGGTCAGGGAGTTGCCGAAGCAGAGGATGTTGAGGGGCATGGCTGGAATTTGCTCGCTAGCAGCTCAGTTACTCCGTCGTTAGCTACAGCGTGGATGCCTAGGTACTTGATACCCATGGCCTCAGGCACCACTGTGGGGGTGGCGGTGGTGAGGCTGCTCTATAAATAAATCCATACATCAACACGGCATATCTTTATATGCTCCGTACATAAACTAGAAGAGCAATGTTGCATGCCGGCTCCGAGGCAGCGGATTGATACTATCGCGTTCTCTGCGCATGTCTCACTTGGAGAGTGTTAGCATGTATTCGCAAAATAGTAGGCGTACGTCACAATGCTTACTTGCCCATCCTGCTGCAACCTTTCCAGCAAAAAGAACCGCAGGTGAAACACACTCTGGCGCTACAGGGCTGATCAGCCGGGCGTGATTGGGCGCAGTGTTGCATTTGGTTGCTGTGCTGCTAGTTTGGCCCCGACGAACTTCCTTTTCACTAGTTTGGCCTCTGGTTGGCGCGCTATTTCGTTCATTTCTATGCTGATCCAACTGTGCCCGCCACATGATCACCGAGGTACATTCTGCCTGTCTGTTTTTTGCTACCAAGCAGAATAAACACACATCAACGAGTATACATTGACGACTGCACACTTCTTTCTCCAAGATCTCTCTTGACACGACTTCACGAAGCCGACGATTTCCTACATTTGCTTACCTAGGCACATTTCAGCCCCGAAACGTCAACTGTCAACTGGCGTTTGGGAAATTCCAGAGTTACATCCAGTGAATCTTAAACGACGTGATCTCACTGCCAATTTCCCTATTGACTACGACTATTACCATAATACAGCGTTATTAAGAATTGGCCTGTTGATTTATTGTTTCAACGCTAAAAAGAATATCTGCTGAGACAGTAAGTTGAATCTGCGTATTTATATGAGGCCGCCGCACCTCTTCCCTGCTTGAATAAGCCTATTTCATACTAATAATTTCTTTTGTTGTTGTTAAGAAACATACCGCCTAATTTGTTTATACCATGCATTCGTTTGTCCCCGTGTCGCTTGTGGCGACTGCTACTCTCTTTTCTGCTGTGCAGGGTGAGTCCATCTCTCTTTTGCCTTCCAAAGCCAGACAACTAAGATTACCAGGAATCAACATCCTCGAACCTGCCGATGGCGAGACCGTCTACGCATCCCAGGGATTCGACGTCGTCTGGACCTACGACTCATCCGACTTCACCAACTGGGAGATTGAGCTTGCCAACCCGACACCCGGCGCACTTTTGGCCACCAATGTCATCCAGCCCTCGCTCGCCAGCGGCGCCACTTCCACCTTTACCTATCATATAGCAGCCTTCACTGGCGTCGCTGATGGAGACAACTACCATGTTGTCATGGACCCGAGGAACGGAGGAATCGGCTCATACCCGGAGTCAGGCGCATTCACTATTGTGAACGGCGCAAGTGGTACGACGACGACCTCTTCGACTAACCCGACGCCTACTTCTTCTTCTTCTTCTTCGTCATCGTCATCGTCGCCGTCGTCCTCTTCTTCTTCCTCTTCCTCCAGCTCAACCAGTACTAGTGCCACCCCTCCCCCATCACAGACCAGTACCACTAGCAGTCCCTCTATATCAACACCAAGCTCTTCATACAGCAGCAGTCACTTACCAAGCACAGCATCTTCATCTTCATCTTCAACTTCAACTTCAACATCCACTTCGGAAAGGTAAGAATTGCCCTCTCAGCCTTCTCTCGCTGCACAAATATCAATATCTAACCCACTCACAGCACAACACTCTCCGTCTCAACCACCTCAACCCTTATACCCACCACGGGCTTAAACAGCACCATCGTCAGCGCCAGCACCAGCTTCTCAACCTACACATCCGGCACCGTGTCGAGTGTAATTCCACAGTCAACCATCTACAAGACCACCGTCGTCGGACCCAGTTCGACCACCTCATCATCATCGACGGGCACGGAATCGGCCACTTCGTCGCCGACCATTGCGCTAGCAGCGGGTGGCAAGGCTGTTTCGCCCTTGGGATTGGTGTCTGGTGTTGTTGGGGCGGTTCTAGGATTGTTTATGCTTTAAACCATGCAATCTTAGTATGTTGGATGGATTTTCTTTTGGGAAGTTCACACTAAGGTTGAATTTGTGTGTATTCTGCATACATATGTATGTTTGTATATATGGGGTTCGGACATGGTGAAATATTATCCGAATGAATGACAAACGTTTGGCGAGGTGAAAGAGACAGTTCCATTTAGTATTCATTATATCTGTGTTTGTAGACCAGGCAAGCACTGCGTCCTGGGTATATACAATCATTGACATACGAAATTCGTGTTTTCATATCTCCATATATAACTTCTGCGAATTGATTCAGTTTACTCCTCCCATGTATCGAACGCCCTGATCAATTCTACATATACGCGAAAAAAAAATGTCAGCATAAACCCGAGAAAAGGGGGGAGAGGAAAGAGAAATTTACCGTAATAAAATGCTATTCCCTCCAAATGCACCGCAATATCGAGCTTCTCGTCAACGGTGTGGATGTTAGCGGACCCGCCATAACGCATCGGACTGAATCTCCAAATATTACGCGTCAAGTTCCAATAGAACCGTGTATCGGTGTTTCCGGTCATGACGTCGCCGGTGACGATCACCGTCTGGTTGAATGGAAGTATACTCTCAAAAACTTGGCGGGTGACGCCAGACATGCGCGTCCAGACTGCGTCCGATGGCGATGTTGGGCTGATCGGGGCCGGTTCGAGGGCGAGAGAGAAATCAGAGACGTCGATGTGATTGTTTGATTCGCCTGTCTTGCCCGAGCCGAACGCCGAGAATGTCAGATTGTGGCTTTTGGCGATTGGGGTAATAATGTCAATAGCCCGTTGACGGACGATATCGGTGTTTTCGTGCAAGGCAACTCGGTAGTTGACTGTCGCGTTGATTTTTTCTGGAAGTGCATTGATTTTCACACCGCCGTTGATGAGATCAGCTGCCTGGGAGGTTTGATACAGAAATCGCATGCGTTCGCCTCGTGAAGCAGCTAGTGCCTCGGCTAATCCAGCGAAATCTGATGATTCTAGTGCAGACCAAAGCCAGGGCTCGACATAATCGGCCGAATGCTTCGCTTGACATGCGAGACCGTGTCGAGCAGGGTGAGAAAGATCAAGTCGAGGAGTGAAGAGTTGTTCCCGCTCGAGATGGTAAATGATTTCGGAGATGATACCGATTCCCGTATGTGCTGGTGGTACGGAGGAGTGTCCACCGGCAATGCTGAGTGCGATATGCAAATCAATTGCCCCTTTCTCTCCTACACCTGGCACCGCATAGACCTTATCACCGAGAGGCAGCAAGCCCATCCCACCCTCATCAATGATGAACTCGAAGCTATCTTTGCCATAGCGATTTTCGAGGTGCTGAGCCAGATGGCCGGCCCCCTTCTCGCCTTTAGACTCTTCGTCATAACCGAAGGACAGCACGAGAGTACGTGTTGGGGTCCAGCCTTGCTTTAGCAAATCTTCGACCGCAGATAACTCGGCAATAAGGGTGTTTTTGCAGTCGCTGGCGCCTCGTCCCCACAGCCATTGGCCATCGAAGTGTCCAGAAAAGGGAGGGTAGGTCCAGTCATTTGGATCGTCAATGGGGACGACGTCTTGATGAGCCATAAGAAGCATGGGCTTTAGCGCGGGATTACTTCCATTGATCGTGTATAGAAGACCAAGACGATTGACCTTTTCGAGCTTGGCGTAGGAGTGACTGGGCCAATTAGTTATATAACTGTTACAAAAGAATGCACAATACAACGTACAGTAGTGGAAACGACTCAGCCAAAACATCGTGAAGGTCGAGGAAAGGAGCATAGTAGTCGCTCCACGGGTCATCCTCAAGCTCTGTCGAAGTGCTGGGCACTTGGACGACACGCGACAAGCGCTCAACCTGTCTTTGGCGGATGGAAGAATCATGGACAAAGTCAAGAGAGGAGTGGAAGCCGTCATTTGGCGGGGTGACTATTGGTGGAAGAGGGCAGACATCGTCGCCAGGCGAGCCTACAATGTCTATGTTGTGGTGGCCATGATGACCGTTTCCTTGCTTATCAATCGGAGTCTGGCCGAACGGATACGAGACCGAGCGGGCGAGCGCCCCTGTTGCCAGCACGGGCGCGAATAGTGCTGGGACAAGGCGCATTATTAGATGTGCTTGCGAAAAATTAACATGGAATGAATACCTAGGCAAGCAAAGAGAGAAAAAGTGAGAGGGAAATGAGGGAAAAAGTGAGGAGATTCCGTGCTTGCTTCGTGCTTCCCCACACCCAACCAACACTTACCTATCTGGGTAAGTAGCTTATCTTAGGTTCTTATCGCACACGAGAGCTAGGCCAACTCAGGAAGGTCCACACGCTAAGAAACATGTAGGGGCATTGGTGATTTCTAATTGCACAATATACATGATATCATCTATAAGGGCGATAGTACAAGAGCTAAGAGACTAATTAAGGCTTAGCCAATCTTTCCATTCATCGTTGTCTGTTAGAATTCAGATAGTCCCATATATTCTGTAGCTTGGAATCGAGCTGTGCCGAGAACAACTCATGGATTTCTTGTTGTTGACCGAGTACAGAGCTCGCTACTCATCCAAATCTGATTTGGGGTCGGGCCGTGAACACGAGAACACAGATAATGGAAAGGATAAAAGTTGGAACGAAACCAACCGTCCTTCTCTGGATTGCGGCGTTTCTCTCCGCCAATATGTTCAAGATCATATACTTCGCCCTCGACGTTCTCCACCCTCAATTTCCACGTCTGACATATGGGTCGCTCTCCCTCGTGATGTATCCAGCAGTTACTGGGAATTGCCAGTGGACTATGGCATCCCAGATGCCATACATATGATTCTCGGAATTGGTGGACCTCAAACTGTTGATCTCGCGCTAGATTAAATTGATCTAGAGGTACTAAAAATGGTTAGAACGGCCACAGTTAGACGAAAAATGGTACATACATTCAGGGAAAGTCATTGTAAGATTATATGGAGGTTTGGGGGGACCTGGGATTGAAGTTTTTGACGAGTCTCCGGGAAAGCCTTGGCTGCTGAAGGCGAAGGGTTCTGCTCAGTCTCAAGAATGTTCTAACAACGCAATATTAACCATTAAGCCAGCAAAAAGAGTACTCTTAATGGGGCTTCTGGTAGGTGTAGATATGCCTCGAAATTCCGCTGTCAGGTTCTTATGACGGCACACATGAACACGTACCAGCATCGTAGCTAGATTAAGGAGATGGAGGATATTGAGTTTGGTGATATGTAAAAGAGAAGGTCAAAAGTTTGAGAGACGAGGTTGGGGATATGGCGGAGATAGAAGACGGTGAAAGAAGAGAAAAGATAGAAGAAAACAAAGATCTAGCACTAAAGTGGATTAGGAAGTTGGAGAGGGTAAGAGCCCTATAACAAAAGCTATCTTCTTTGTCATGTTATATTTCTTTGTTGAAAACCACTGCCTTGAGTTTGTATGTGAACTCACGTATGAATGAAAGATGACCTCTTTCGATGGAACAGGGGTTATACAGAGCTAATGCTAAAGAGGCAAGGCTCCCGCCACTAACCAAAGGCGGGAAGGCTCAAGGCACAAACACACAATAAAATTGTCCATGAGAAAAAGGCATCTCCATACAAGTCGGAAAAAAGCACAAGTTTCATTGCACAACATGTAATGGAGAATTAGCAGAGACAGAGAGATAAGATGTGAGGAGTAGATCCAGATCCAACCCGCACTACCTATCTGTGTAAACAGCTTATTGTAGTCGCCGCACATGAGGCTAGGCCTATTCAGGAAGGTTCCAATATCCAGGCACTGGTTAGTTATAGTTAGTTATCACGTGCGGCTTACCTCATCATAGTTTCCCATAACAGTTAGTACACTTTAATTAGTTCCTCCAATCAGACACGCCGAATAAACGACCCATACAACAATTCCAGTCAACTCACTACCAATCAGTCAGTCAGAGTTTGAAAAAGATACAACACTACGAGCTTAGTATGAAGTGTGGAGTCGCAGATTAGTGATTGATTCGGAGGAAGTTATCTGATAGCGTAATCGCACATGCTGCGGTATCCCCTCAACGCACTCAGCGTGTGATCCCTTCCATTCGACGGTAAAGGCGGCGCCAGAGAGGAAAAGAAAAAAAAGAAAAGAAAAGAAAAGAAAATGTCCGACATACAGCCACTCCCAGCACCACCCCTTAACGCTCCATCATCAGCCAATGCTTGCGATTTGTGGGTGATTGACGCAGCGACCGAGATTGTCTGCGACCCAGCATGTCTCTTGCAACCCACCATACACGGACACAAGAATCTCAACCTGCCGACGTTTGCATTCTACATCTATAACCCGCGACACAACAAACGTGTCTTATTTGACAGCGGCACACGCAAGGACTGGTGGAATCTGCCGCCGCGGGTTGTGGAAGCCGTCACTTCTCGCGGGGTTCTGGGACTCCATGTGAAGAATGAAGTTTACGATATTCTTGCCGAGCATCATACAAAAGCCCCGGATAGCACTATTGTCGACCCGGATACTATTGATGCTGTAGTCTGGAGTCACTTCCATTATGACCACATAGGCAACATCCAACGCTTCCCCAAATCCACGAGCATTGTGGTCGGACCCGGGTTTAAGAAGGATTTTCTTCCGGGATACCCTATTCGTGAAGACGCCCCCTTGCACCAGGCGGATTTTGACGGGCGCCAACTGGTTGAGGTATCGTTTGACAGTGGTCTGAAAATTGGCAAATACGATGCCCACGACTATTTCGGGGATGGCAGTTTTTATCTCGTGAATACACCCGGGCACACGCGGGGACATATATCGGGCTTCGTGCGAACGACCGCAGACACATTTGTTTTCCTGGGTGGTGACATTTCCCATTTCCCGGGTATGTACAGACCAAGCCAGTACAGGCCCATGCCAGCGACAATTCCTGCTGAAACGCCTCTGGATACACCGCGATTACCTGTTCCGTGTCCCTGTTCGCTATTCACGGCGTGTCATCCGAGGCATCCAGACGAGAAGGCGGCGCGGACTGAGCCCTACTATCAAGTATCGCAGGACCCGACGTCATGGTACGATTTCCCCGCCGAAGCCTCGCGCACCGTCGAGTCGCTTCAGGAATTTGATGCGGATGAGAACGTCTTTGTGGCTATTGCGCACGACCCGGCATTGCGGGAGATTGTAGATGCGTTTCCAAATGGGAAACTGAATGATTGGAAGGCTAAGCGATGGGGGGTGAAGAGTCATTGGCATTTTGTCAATGAGCTGCCGGTTGATGGACGTCCTGGGCGAGAGGCGATTGTAGATGGATTCTATAAGGAGGGGAAGCCTTACCAGGCTTAACTGTGGATAGAGCATTGCGTGTAAATAATTGCAGCATAGAGTAGAGCACACAGCGTAAATTACCTAGATGTAACGTGGGACAACAGAGATGCTACATTCCCCGCACATCCAGCGGTGGACTTTACCAGCTACGTCCTTGGACTTCACTGCAGGTGTTAAGAATATCTCTCAGGCGACGGCTTGTATTAGAATGTCACCGTCTTCAGTTGCAATCATAACCGGCGGTGCAGGCGACATCGGGCGCGCAATCGCCAGACACCTCGCCCCGACACACTCGCACATTGTGCTACTCGACATTGATGAAGTCAAACTGGAAGAAGCCCGCGACAAGCTCCCCATCGAGATACGCAGAAAGATAACCATCAGAGTCTGCGATGTCACGGACTCAAATGCGCTGTCCCGAGTAGCAGAGGACATATTCGGGGCTGCTGATGCTCCGAAAGCAAGCCTCAAAACGCTCGTCAACAACGCAGGCGGCACAACGATCGGGTCTCTACACAAAATCACGCCTGCGGAATGGAAGCAGGAAGTCGCACTCAACCTTGATGCAGCCTATTTCTGCTTCCATGCGTTTTCAGCGGCGCTACTCAGAAACAACACAGGCACAATGATCAACATTTCATCTGCCAATGGCGTCGGCATGTTTGGCAACCCAGCCTATAGCGCCGCCAAAGCCGGGCTGAACCATTTCACGCGCGCGGTTGCGGTCGAGTATGGCAAGGGTGGAGTTAGGGCTAATGTGGTCGCGCCGGGGACGGTGATGACGGACGCGTGGCGAGGGAAAGTGGAGGACAAGCCTGACGTGTTCGCTCGATTGAGCGAGTGGTATCCCTCGGGACGACTGGTTGAGGCTGACGAGGTGGCCAGCGCTGTCGCGTTCTTGGCCAGCGAGCAGGCCAAGGGGATCAACGGAGTCTGTCTGCCGGTGGACGGCGGGCTGACGGCGGGCATGCCACCAGTCGCGCGGAGTTTTGGCGTGAGTGAGTATTATTGATGCATTTGTAGTTCTAGCTAGCCAATGAAGACGCTCAGTTCGTTTCGCGATGAAACATTGCGTAGCAGCAGCAGCCAGTGAGCTCGGTGCTCTGCGAGATGCTAAATTGTTGGGTCTTTACGAGCAGGAAGGACTAAGGGGTAGACTAGCACGCAGTGCGGGTCGGCCTTCATGGGCCAAGCTCCGTTTCAGCCTCAAATGCAGAAAGTAGACCAGACCTTGCTTTTTCCCAGCTGCAAGAAAAACTTAAAGGGAAAAAAAAAAAGAAAGAAAAAAAAAAATTCTCTGGCCGCCGACAGCTCACTCCAGTTCCTCCTCTTCTCTCTGCGTGTTTGCTGCACGGAGTGTTGACTCTCTCGCACCCCCCGCATCTCACTCAGACAGACAACCCAAATGTCGACGCTGCAGGTGGACGACGCACGCCTGCGCAGTCGCTCCAAATCCCCCAGCGGCAGAAGTCGCGATCGTGCGCCGTCGCGTTCTCCAGCGCCGTCGTCGAGATCAGCCGGGAGGAAATACTACGACTCGGATTCAGCAGAGGAAGAACGGCGCGACAGGCGATATTCCGGCCGCAGTAGCCGTGCTGACTACGACAAGCGAAGCAGCTCAAAGTACGGCCTTTCCGACTCAGAGGAAGATCGCTATCGGGCCAAGGAGCGCACCAAAGATCGGTACTACCACTCGGAATCGGAGGACGATGGTGTAAGGAGACGCTACGCAGAAAGAGTGCCTCAACCCACCACCAGCAAGTCGTCACGCTACAAAGACGAAGCAGAGAAGAATCGTGCGTATCGTCGCTCAGGTCGCGGCCATTCGCCAGTGTATGACAGTGACTCGGACACGGAAAGCGACTCTGATACGAGTGCGCTCGCATACGGAGAGGCTCATGGCCATCTGAAGCACCGCCCGCCTCAACAGCAGCAGCAGCAGCAGCAACAGCAACAAGATCCACGCTCGTCGCGTGAGTCGATAACAAAACTGGCGTCAAAAATGGCCTCAAGCGTGGCCTCCAAGCTTGGTGCTACTTACCGACTGGATGATGACTCCGACCACGAACGGCCCGGTGCTCATCCCCGTTACGCCAAGCCCGGTCAATTCTCCTACCAGCAACCCCCCGTCGCGACGCATGCTCAGCCAAGCCAATACGCCGATGCGAGGCTACAGGCGCAAATTAACAATGGCCAAATTCCTCCTGTGCTCCCTCCCGATTGGGCTCCGATTCCCCCGTCTGAGATGCCCGGTTATGTGCCTCCGAGCTCCCATCCGGCTAGCACACAGTCAATCCCAGGCGCTTTCCCCGGAGGATTCCCAGCCACAGCGCCTCCTCATACGCAGGCTCCAGCGTATGCCCCGACACAGTCATATGCAAACCCGGCTCTTTACCAGTACGCAAATCCTGATCCGAATATCCGGTATACTTCCAAAAATGAACGACAACCCTATACTGCGTCAGCGCAACCCCAATTCACAAAGCCCTATACCGCGAGTGCCGAACCTCAATTTCTGGAGATTGCACCTGGGCGTTCTCGCGATGAAAGCGTCGGCCGACAGGGTCGTCCTCATAGTCTGTCTGTATCTAGCAATCTTTCGGTAGGCGGTGGAGGAGGAGTACCTGCCGGTAGCCGACCTCCAGCTAGCCCCCTTCTCGAAGCGTACAAGGGCACCTATCAATCCATCTCCCCGATGCCTTCTCCGATCATTAGCCCGGCCAATTTGGCCCGCGACGAAGACATCTCCGACATGGACGAGCTAGGTGGGGGATCTGGATCTGATCGTCGCCGGAAGCACCGACACACCAAGTCTCGAGATGAGAAAGAACGCACTAGAGAATCAGACAAGGATCGCAAGCGTCATTCGAGGCATGCCAGCCGTAGTGGTGGTGGTAATGGCAGCGAAGAAATGATTCTTATCGAGCCATCGGTCCGGAAGAGAGTCACATTCTATGACCCAGTCCCCGATGCCATGGACTTGAAAGATGCCCTATCTCGCCATACCAGTCTTGACACGCGACCACTTCTAGAGATCCTACCGAATCTCGCTAGCGATGATATCCTGGCTCTGAGACAGGAGTACAAGAGACATGCCAAGGTGCACGGCAAAGGCATCAACATTGCTAAACACATCAAGTTGAAGCTCGGCAACACCTCCTTCGGCAAGGTCTGTTATGCCACCGCCCTGGGTCGATGGGAGTCCGAAGCTTACTGGGCGAATTGCTATTACCAAGCGGGCACATCGCGACGCGAGCTACTCATTGAGTCACTGATAGGACGAACCAACGCAGACATTCGCGAGATCAAAAACTCATTTCGAGATGCGCGGTATGCGGATAGTCTTGAGAAATGCATGAAGGCAGAACTCAAGGCAGATAAGTTCCGTTCTGCTATCTTGTTGGCGTTGTCGGAGCAAAGACAGCTCGATAAGGGCCAGGTGGATGTGCATTTGGTGCAGGATGATGTGAGAGATTTGCGGCGAGCGGTGACTGCGCGCGAAGGTGGCGAGACGGCGATGATTAATATCGTTTTGCTTCGGAGTGACAGCCATCTGCGGGAGGTTATGGCGTTATATACGCATTTATACAGGACGAATTTTGCCAAGGATGTGATCAAAAAGTCGCAGAACCTGGTCGTATGTCTGAACCTTTTCCCTTTTGTCTAGTGAGATTGTATTAACATACTGTAGGGCGAAACGCTCGTACACATTCTCAATGGCGCCGTCAATCGTCCCATGCGAGATGCCTTGCTGCTGCATCAAGCCATCCGTGAATCGCACAGCAGCAGAGAGCGATCAGAGCTGCTCATCTCGCGACTGGTGCGTCTGCATTGGGAGCCGAAGCACTTGGAGCTGGTGAAAGAGGAATATGGGTATCGATACCGCGAGCGCGTGGAAGAGGCAATTGCGCAGGAAGTCATTACGTCTAGTGGAGGCAGTGAATGGGGGGAGTTTTGTATTGAGTTGGTTAGGAGTTCGTCAAAATTGGCGTGAATATTCTGTTTGTCCTTAGTCTTATTATCGTTTTCCCCCCATAACCTTATGATGATTGAATGATCTATGAGAACGAGCATGTGTATGCGCTATAAGCTTACTACGATGATGTTGAGATCAGTCCTAGGTATATGTATGGTAGGTACCCAAATGAATTGACCCAATGCTTTTATCTTTTTATTCTATGTATGCATCGTAATATGTACGGATATGCTTAATAACAACCAACCTTTTCTATCCATGGATGCCACCATATCAACTGCAATTCGATTCTATCAGATCAATCACCAGTCGCGCAACGTCCGTCGAACAACCGACGTGCCATTGCCAGCAGGCTTGAATTCTTCAACCCAAGTACGCATCTGCTTCAGCTCCTGCTGGACGACTTCCATAATACCGGCATTCCCCTCCGCATTCGAGTACAACAAGTCATAGCAGTGGCTGGCATTGGCCATGATGAAGATTGGGTTGGGCTCAGACGAGGTCAATGGACCGCCCGGTCGGAAGTCAGAAGAGACAGTTTCCTCACGCCAGGGGTCGTATTGTCTAAAGGCCCGTTAGTTCATACATAGATACACGCATTTCAAAGGAAGAGAGGGAGAGTAACTACCCCTGAGCCCAGATTACGCGCTCCGTCGTGCCAGACCAACCGCGGGTCCAGGCGTTCACGGAATTGGGACGTTTGCCATAGTAGCTGGCATAAGTGTATCCATCATCTGGTTGAAAGTATGTACCGCATGTACGGAAGAAGTAGTCATCCGTTATGAGGCGAGAGACGATTGAGGGTGTTCCATCGGGAGCACCACTATAGAGAAGACCATCAGTTTTTTTACTTCTTTGAGATTTTCCTTTTTTTTTGGGAACACGGATGAATAAAACTCACTCCTGCCATGCTCCATAAGGCTCGTTGCAGCAGAGCCATACCCACTGTCGATCAGCGACGTTGTCGAGAGACTCATCAGCGTATATGGGGTTGGACGAGTTGTAGCTGTCGTAGCATGCGGTTTCGTATTCGCCTGTCCAGTAGCCGTAGCTCGCACAGGCTGGATGGAGTTAGATACGTTCTAAAAAAGGAAAAGAAAAGAAAGATTTACATCCGGGGAAGTATTGAGTGGTCCACCATTGAATGTATCCCTGCAGAGCTTTGGTCACACCGACTCCCTTGGCAGTAGCGTTGACCGCGGGTGTAGCATGGACGTTCTATTTTGCCTGTTAGGGTTCTTTCTTTTCTGACATATGTGTTGGTCGCATAGTGCATACCTCAAGGTAGTCGCAGAACTCGTAGATCTCGCCAGCTTCCTGCCAGGCAGTAGTCTGGCCGAGATAGGGGCCTCCAGCGAGGGCTCTATTGTAACATGTAAGTCACAGCAAACGAGTATGATAGAACGAATCGGGTTAAAAACATACTCGGCAAAGTCATCATCTCTAAGATCACCTAGGAGGAAACTGTTTTTCAAGTCTTGTTTTGCTGTTTCATTGGATCCAGTCAGAATTCCGTCAATGTATCCCATCACATTGACCAAGTCTGTGCTGCAGTTTTGCGGGAGACGCTCTTGGATAGGGACAAAATATTGCCACTAGAAGAGGAAAAACCGTCAGTTTATATGAATACGTCGAACCGGAGTAAGTCATGCTAACATAGTTCCAAATAGCCTCAACAGGGGCACTAGAGGCATGGTAAGCCCAGAAAGTACCAGGTAGCGTGGCCGCAACCCAGCCGGCTTGGGCACCACTGTAGGAACCACCGACAAGAATCCATGGCTACAAGATTTATCTATCAGTTTCCGTGCAACCGGCAGCATCGGAATGAATCAAACATACAACATTGTCCGGAGAACTCTGATTCGTGGTATCGAACGGAAGCTGGACATTTTTCGCAAAGTTGACAGTGTCGGCAAGTGCATTCTTGAAGGTAAGGTGTTGCATCGTCTTGGGAGTAAGAACATCAACGGGAGAAGATTCGCCCCAGTAACGGTCTTGTTCAATTAACATAATTTCACCAAATGTCCATCACATACATCGAATAAGTGACTCACGCTCGAGGATCAAGGTCGCAGCGCCAATCTCCTGCGCATAAAGACCGCTGAGGGTCTCATTGGTGAGATATCCCTGATATCCATCTGCGCTTGCCTCTCCGGGCTGGAATAGAACGACCTGGAAGTAGCAATAGCAATTTAGCACTTAGCGAAGAACCCGCGTGAGTAGATTGACTCACAGGTGACCCCGGTCCATTCCAGTACTGAGTATCCCAAAAGTAGCGCTGAGAAAAGGTACCAAGCTCTGGATTCTCGTGATCCAGCAGCTGCTCGAAGTACCCGGTAGAATAATAGCTGTCAGCCTGAGAGCTAGAAGCTGCAGCTGGCGCGACTGGGATCTTGGGGAATGCCGCCGCGACTGACGCCCACGAAGCGCAGAGCGCTATGAGTGAGATGGTGGAAGGCATGGTAGCTTTCCTGTCGAGTACACAGATCTTTACATAGCAGAAGAAGGGAGGGACCCCTTTTAAGATAAAAGCTTTTGCCTCGATGCTAGCAAGCTTAGGGTACCACCCGGGCACGTCATGCGAGTACGGATAGTTCGTAAAGCAAAGCACCCGAGAGCACATCTGGTTAAAACCGAGCTACATGGTACGGTCATCAACCACCATAGCAGACTGGTCGGAGGGTAAAAAGATTAGTGGGAGATTGCCCGCTCGTCGATCATAGGTGTTTCGGCGAATAAAAAGGGCCAGATATATTGCAATTTTCAACGGCGCAGCGACGATGAGAACCTTAAGGCGCGTGGCGCTGGGCTAATGGCCCAATACGGCAGTTCGGCTTAGGGCTGGGCGAAAGATTGTAACATCGTGGGGTCGCAGCTAGCGGGTCGTTGACGAAGACGAACAATCGCCTGATAAGAAAGTGTGGGTAATGGTGTGCTGATCCTTACAGCTTCAGCCTTAGTTAATCCTACATATTATTAATTCTGATTCTTATTAACTTTATTTAACTAACTAATTAACTTAACTATATCAATGATTCCCTGGAATGCTGCCGTCAAACCCTAAACCTAGCCCCAGCTATCCATCGGCGCTAGCAACAATTAATCGCTGCCTAAGGTGTCGATAACAATCCGTCCTACCATCATATGGGCCATCGCGGGTGAAAGTTATTCATCCTATTATGATCTTTCTACTTTTCTAACAAATTCTATATAGATACACATGGATGTCAAATTAAAGTAAACTTTCTCGGCAAGCGGGCCGACCCATCATTGTATACCTTATTTAGCAATTTGCATCAAACAGCGAACCATGCATGACGTTTGATCTAGAAAATCGATGAAAAATCTACCAGTGCGGTAGCAAGGTTGAATATCTTGAGTTACTGCTTTGTAGAATTATATTTACCTATTTGAAGTTTTCAAGATGTATGTGCCTTCGATATGGTTGCCAATACCCTCGGGTATTCTCTCCTATCATACCTTCGATAATCACGATGCACTTCGGTTAGTCGTCCATCTGCAGTACTTGAAGGCAAATATGACGATCGTAAATAATTGTATTGTTCCTGGCGAATTTCTTCCTGAGTAGCAAATAGAAGTAGGTAGGATGTGTTGAACCATTTGACAAGAAAAGCTTAGCGGCGGAATTGGCGGCATTAAGCAATGAATAGAACATCATGATTCATGTCTGGTATGTTTGGCAGACAACATGTCTAGAAAGAATAGCCTTAATTCTGCTACATGGCCAAACAAAGGCAACTACTTACGGTTGAACAAATTGAGGACAAGCTGGGCTACATCTTTGACTATTTGGACGATCCCGAAAGCGAGGCTACAAGCACGTTCTACTCTGATCTCACCCGAGTTTCCAACAATCCATACGAGAGAGCTTTGAAGGAGCTTGACGAATACACCAAACAAAATACAGCTCCACGACAGCAGCTCCCAGGCCGATGTCTGCCTAAAGTAAGTTAGCAATTATCAGTTGTCTATCTAGTACAACACCAGGTTGACGATCATAGATCATTTCTGTACGCGGGGAGACTGTGGCGATAGAATGCACAAACAACCTTGGACTGTATCGTTCCATTGTTCGGATTCAGCATGAGTGCGGGTTTGATTTGCCTTTACTATTTAACGAAAATGAAGATTCGAGGCTCATGACCGTTACAACGGTAAATATAAGTTTCCAGCATCGTTACAAGTGGCTGATTAGAACGGATAGTTTCAAATAGACAGGAAACATGCATCGGGCTTTATCTTTCAACTTCCAAGAGAGCTTCGTGGCAAGATCTACGAATTCTGTATACCCGACGGAAAGTGGAGCGTGGGCGATGTTGACGCATTCAATACAACCACGTTTGCTGGAAATATAGGTGACCCGACCGGCTTTTGTTTTCCCCTAAGCAAAGATCTAGCGATTCTTAACATCAGCAAGCGGATACGTGAGGAGGTAATTCCTATCGCCTACCGTAGGACATTCTTCCGTTTGGATGATATAGACGAGTCCGTCAAGGTAGCGGCTTCTATTGGCAATATTGGGCGGGCAAACGTGGAATCCGTGGAGTTCTGCTGGGAAAGCCGAAGGTCACTGACCTTCAGTGGAGGAGGGATGAAAATTCTGATTTGGATGATAACTATTCCCGGCTTCCGTCCCTTCACGTCCTGAGATGTGTTCAGCTTCTGAAGCAGTGTAGCAGGCTCAAGCTGTTACGGATTTACTTTGACAGCGATCTGGTATCGAACTTGTCTTTCGCTGACCTTCGAGCCGACCCCGGCATTCGTGAACTCTCTTCTGTTCACGGAATTCGGAGGGTGGAATTTTGTAATCTAGTCTGCGAGCCACTGGACCAGTACGAACTCGTTGGTTGGTTGAAAAACAGAATGCAGTCCACTGTCGAGCAGGACGAGGATTACAGTTAAAACGACCACTTTATTGCCACCGTCGTCTAGATATTTATAACAGAACGTTGACGGCTGAAACCCCCAAAGGGTACCATGTCATTTTTCCGAAAATGAAAGCATAGCAGGCGTATCAAATCCTTTCATTTTGTCATAGCATCGAATCTCGAAATCGAGGTAGGCCCCATCAAAGTCTTGGCAGGCTAGGTAGCTAATATTTAGCTTTCCCCTTCTTTTATAGATATTCACTTGAAAACCAATTTAGTTAAGCTTCCATCGAGTTTTGATGATCTTTCTGTCCAGCAGTTATATGAGAAATACGGCAAACCTGAGAAAAGTCTCCGTGACTAGATGTGACGGAGAGCCATTACCTTCTAATGGCCCCGCCAATGCTGTAATCCCGTTGATTCTAGGGAAGTACGCCGAGGAATTCTCATTATCTGACGCGCATGTGCTTTTAGGTGACTTTGGCGAAGCATTTTCGCCTGGAGCAGAACCTCGTTTGGGGAAAGAGTGCCATACACTACCAGCTTTCCGGGCTCCAGAAGCCAAATTCGCGCAGAGGACTCCACTCACATATTCCTCGGACATCTGGAGCCTGGCCACGGCGATTTGGGGGATAATCGGAATGAAGGCAATTTTTAGCACTGGTTATGTGGCTATGTGGCGCAGGGTGAGATAGTGTCTCAGTACGTCGATGTACTGGGGCCTATGCCTTGCGAGTGGTGGAAGAGCTGGGAAGGGCGATCTCAATTTTTTGATGAGCAAGGGTTCCCCACGGAGTCGCATAGGGCAAACAGATGGCCAGTGTCTGAAGAGTTGTTTGAAGTTGATGTGCAGAAATGGGGGCGTAAGGTATGAGACGAGCTTGACGAAAATGAAAAGTCGCGTTTCTAGATTTGATGCGCCGCATGCTGTCAGTTCGACTCGAGGAGCGTGCAACGGCTGAGGAGGTGCTACAGTCGACATGGATGATTGAATGGGCATTGCCTGCCTACGAGCAAAGTGAAAAGCATCACCCTGCTGACTCTGGTGGCATCTAGGAGTCACGATCTGTTAGGGCGATCCTCGTTAAGCTGTCTTTATATTGTCTAAGTGCATTCGCCTCATTTGTATACCTCTAAATCCAGCAAAGGCTTCCCATTACCTAATTATGTACTGGAACTCTATAGCTCTGTCTTCGCAGGACATTCGCATTATACACTACTCTAAGACATACCCCATCAGTCTGTCAATGCGTTGAATTTAGGGCTCGTGGTTGTTACTTATACTTTGCTATCTAAGTATAATGAGTACCTAGAGATCTGCCAAATTTTCCTCATTCATTCTCTGTATATATCTATCTACTCATGGAGTTCAGCCAGAGCCTCCGTCCTGGACTTGCTATTCGGATCCAAGTACGGCTTCTCGCCAATACCAACTGTTCGATGACCGAATCGCTCTCCCAGGCCTTCATAGTCAAATGTGGCAGAGTGGAAAACACTACGGTTATCCCAAATTGCTAAAAACAAAGTGTTAGTTAGTTCTATCAAAGTTTACAGCCGTATGATAAATTAGGGGCAGCCAATTTACCAATATCGTTCTTGTTCCTCCACTTGAACCGGACCTGCAGGTCGTGGTTATTGATGAGCAGGGAATGAAACTTCTTTAATAGCTCCTCCGATTCTTCCGAATTGAGCTCGTTGATATATTTAGGAAAAGTGCCTAGTGCGTAGATGCTCTTCCAGCCTGTGACGGGGTTGGTGCGCACAACGGGATGCACAGTGATGAGCCCATCACCGACGTTGAGTGGGCTTCCTCTGGGCTCAGTATAGATTCGCACGTTAACGGGATCACGCTCGGCCGCCTTGATGAAGCCGTCGCCAGAGAATGTCGCGGTGAGGCCTTCTAAGAATTGCTGGTACCTGCGGGAAAAGCGGTCGTAGATCTCGTATCCCGAGGCCCAGAGCGTATCACCGCCAGAGCTAGGTAGCTGTGTGAGGCGAAGTGAGGTATAATCAGCCGGGGCGGGCTCAAACTGGATGTCTGAGTGCCACTGAGCCGAGTCGTAGCGTCGACGGTCAGACTGACGGTCGTGCTGAAACATCTTCTTACGTGCGAGCGAGCTAATGGTGCTGATCTCTGCGTCGGCCACTCCGAACTCACTGGTGTTGTTGAGCACCGGGTGGATGTGCAGCGTTGAGCTGGCGGGCTTGCCAGCCAACTGGCCTAATCGCTGCACCAGCTCCTTCTGCAAATCATCGGTGAGGTTATCCTGGGCGCGGAAGAAGACAACACCGCGTTGGGAGACTGGAGGGGGGAATTCATCAGCATGAAATGTGAATGAAACAAAAAGCCCGTGGGTTCCTACTTGTGATGGCCAGATCCCGGACCAGCTCATCCGAGTTCGAAGCGCGCAACAGATCGTCTACGATATTAACATGGAGGAATTCTCGGCCAATAACTGGAGTTGTTTCCTCAAAGGCGAAGTGGTTCAAGGCGCCGCTCAGCTTGAGCGGTTCCGGGTACGAAGACGGCTCGTCCTTGCGCTCTTTGGCAAGAGAGTGGATGGGGAGAGTTTCAGCAATGCTCGGAGCCATGATAGTCAAGGTATAATAGAGAGAACGTGGAATGACCGCGCCATTCCGACTGTCGTGGACGCGGTGCATGCATAACTTATACTATCCAGTTTAGCTTCCATCTCCATCACGCAATAGCTGGCCCTAGTTGTGCAATGGCAGGCAACCCCGCACCCTCCCGGTGAATCATCGCATGGGCGACGAAGGGGGGAGCCCGGGCGTTGAAGGCGCGTATCTTCACTTCAAACTCCACGGTCCATAATCAGGATTCGCAATAGCCCTGCGTCGACGCGTCATGCGAATCCTCCAATCGCTCCCGACTGCCATATCATCCAGGCATCCACTCACCATTGGATTTGCACGTCAATGTCTATTGGAGTTAGAATGTTCTGTCTTGTATTCAGCGCTGTGATTGATTTGGGCATTGGTGGTGGTTGTTTCGAATTGCTATTTAACCCTAGGCCAGGGCTAGCCCTAACATCACCGCGCCAGTCCCTGATTTTGCCACTGGCAAGAGAGCTGGTCTGGTCTCTATGACATCAATTATAGAACGGTAATACAACTCAGAAAAGAAATAAGTAAAATAATCCGCTTACTGCAATTGACGTCGCTAGAAATTGACAACACGTCAAGGAACTTTCCAATTTGAACGGTTTTCAACGAAACATATGGACTATAAAACACACACAAGAGAAACATAATGGGAATCAATCAACACAGGAAGACAAGAAGAGAAGAAATCGAGCAGGGGAAGGGTAATGCTAGCACTACAAATGTCGCACCTTCGGGATGCTACTCACAAGACCGAGGACGTGAAATACATACATTTCCCTCTATTCACGTTGGCGCGCCCAATTGTGGTCAATGAAAGAGCCTTCACTGCTCATATGTCACATGGAACGCAGTCTCATGGGCCAAAGAAGGAAGTATTGTGCAAAGTAGTTGGTGAATAATCGATTGATGATCAACGACCGGCGCCCGGCCAGAGAGAAAATAAGTAGGGAACTGCTATACGAATATCAAGAGAGCGAATGTTGTTAATAGCTCGTTCGTGGCAAAAACATCTCCAAAAGAAACCCCCCAAAGAGACAAAGCTTTTATTTTGGTTTGCGAATTAGAGAAAAGGAAAATTCACTTGGCGAGGGGTGGACTATCGTGTAGCACGGCCACCCCTTGCTGGCGGAGGCCCATAACGCCCTGAGTTTGCGTTGATGGGCTTCGTCGGTGCTTGTTGAACATGTAGCCGACTTGTGCGCCACCGTTCATAGCACACCTCGCGACTTGTCTCCCGCAGCTCGGCACGCCAGTCTCTGAAGACCGACTCCTTCAGTTTCACGAAATCGCAATGCTCCGGGTTGTAAGGATCCGCGTAGCCCCATGGAAAGTATCGACCGATGGGGAGATCTGGCGTTTCTAGGGAGTGCGAATCAGGGGACAGGATAGAGAGGGGGATGAAAGGCGTGTCCGTTGTCGAGGTAGTGGAAATTGAGTTGTTGGATTTGTGGCTTCGGGGAGATGAGGCTTTCACGGCTTTCTCTTGTAGCAGAACGTTGTCTGCCTCCTTTTCAACGACAGGCGTGGCTTCCTCATCCTCTTCATCATCGTCAGAGGACTCTTGCTCTTCATCTTCCGGTTCTTCCAATGCCAAAACCTCCAATGGATCAATCCTAGCTTGTTTCAAACTATCCCAAACCGACTTTTTCAGGAAAGCCATATGCGCAGTGGTGATGGTGTCGGCTTTGCTGATCACAGGTACGACTGCTGTCTTTCCCTGCATCACGCGAAGGACTTGTAAATCCAGATCTTCGTCAAGAATGCCGACCACTCGGGACGAATTGGTATACTTGCCATTGACTTGTCCAGCAGCCTTTTGGGCGGCCGCAAGATTGGAATCCAGGCGGACAGGATCGAGAATAAGGAAAACACAGTGAATATGGGTGTCTCGAGCACCAGGAGAGCGCACAACTTTCATCTCCTCTGTCAAGGTATCCTCAAATTTACTTTCCAAGAAAGCAGTGATGTCTCTCAGTTGTAGATCAACGACATTTTTCTCCAACCCCTCGGAGTCCCATAGCGTCAAGCCAACTCGCTCGCCCTCGATCTCGGTCTCTAAGTAGTGGGAGGTGAAGTTGGGACTGGATGAAGAATTGATCTCCTCAAGGATATCCTCAGAAGAACGAATAGGGTGCTTGTTTGGAGGGAGCGCGAGCGACTGTCGCAGAAAGTTGAGGAAAGACGTCTTTCCACTGTTCTTAGCACCAACAACGAGAAGACTGTTTTCAAGAGCACGTTAGTTGCTATCCTCTCGCAGTTCTTCAATGCACGAAGTATAACTCACTTGTAGGGCGTAGGATCCTTGCGTCGACGAAGTCTGCGAGGGCTGTTGATAGTGCTCACAGCGCTGCTGGCATAGCTATAGCGACCACGATGAGTCATGCTCTCAGTTCGTGCATAGGGATCAAGCACTGCTGGTGGGGGAGGAGGCGGTGGCACGCTCTGGTGTGAAGAGCTCGATCGATTCTGAGGAGCAGGCGCGCCCAGGCTGGTAGCTTGCTCCTCTCCTCCAAAGGTCTGCATTTTGGGTGCTGGGGCAAGATCAGGAAGACGCGGGGCGTGTTGAGGGACAGACTCGCGCTGGCGACGCAGCTCCTCCTCTCTGATCTGATCCTTCATCTTTTTGCTGGCTTTGCTGCCAGAGCTCTTGCGCTCAGACAGCGGTTCGGTTGATTTAGAGCGGCGCAGGAACCCAAGCGAAGATCTGCGCGAGGCAGCGTCCAGGTTGTTGACGCTCAGGCGGCTGTTGTTGTTGTTGTTGTTGTCAATGAAGGACGAGGAAGCCTCAGGCGGCGGCGGCGGAGGCTGGCTCTTGCCTGGCGTGCGAGGTCGGACGGCAGCCATGGGGGGGGAAGGAGCCTTCCTGTTTGGGAGACGGCGGGAGTGGGCTAGAATCCTCAGTCAGCCAACTGTTCTCCCGTCTGCGTAACAAGACGTCTTGCACGACAGGCTGTGCTTTTCCGATGGCACAAATGATAGATCATCATTGATACCGGGGCCGCAGACAGCGGATACTCACCGCGGAATAAATGAATGGTGGTTTAGTTTGATCCAGTCTTGCAAGCAGGTATTATTGCTAATAACCAATTGCGACTACAGTCTGCTTGAAGACACTATTCCCCCTTGGCGAAACGAATGGCTTATCCACGGAGATGACAGTCACAAGTCCAGCAAGCGAGTGTCGACCTGGGCCAGGGGTAAACGGAACGGAAAAGAAGGTTATCGAGAGACGGGCCGGCTCTCGCAAGAAATAGGATAGTCACCACGTCTGCCCGTGGCTCCGCGATGGAAGAAACGAACGACAGGCGGACACAAATCCAGAAGAAGAGAAATGAAAAACAACCTTGGCTGTTCCCCAGAGTGAGAAAGAGAGTTACGATTCCCTCCTACGTGAAGTTTTCCTAGACTCGTTCTACGAAGATAGCGTTCTCCACTCGAGCCTTCTAGCTTAGGTCGTCTCGGCACTCCATACCCTGGGCGGCCTGGGGACCTGCGCGATCTTTTCCCTTCCCTTTGGGAAGGGAACGAAAGTTAAAACTGTCAATTAGGATTGAAAAGGCCCGGAGCAGCGCAGACCAGAATTCAGGGGCTCCCGTTTCAGCCAGTTCGCGAACCCCACCTGTCTAATTTCCAGCTGTCGTTGGCTGACACGATGACGCCGTTCAACCACTAGGAACCGTCCGGTGCTAGAGAGTGGCGCCAGAGGACTACGACGACTGAATGGATGACCGAGAATTCGTTGAAATACGGGGAGTTTTGTCGGAAAGTCAGCCAGAGTACGGAGTACACTACACATGCTGCACTGAGACAAAGTCCTCCCATGTTTGAGGTGCTGTCGGCTTTTTTTTTTTTTTTTTTCCCTTTGTACTTATTGTTTTTATTGTATGATTATACGTATGTGCGCACGTTCTGGTTCTGCATTCTGATTGACCACCGCGTGCCGGAGCACGGGCCGAGTCGTGGGTCAGCGCCGCTGCAAGCCAATCAGCTTTGCGTCAGCAGGCTTGGCACCGCGGGTACCTGGTGTGACGCGTGCATGTCACGTGCTCAAGTCAGGGGCTCCTAAATTCGACGTGAGTCTACGCTCTTATGACATGACATGTCTTGAGAAATTATATTAATATCGCAAACTCCAAGCACAATTCTATTGCTTGAAGGGCGGAGACTAATAGTTGATCGTCAACGGTCTGGGCAATCTAGGAATATCCCGTACCCCTCAAATACCATGCATACATATAATTTTATCGCTCATCAAACAACGCTAGCTGATCACATTCCAGTAATTTAGAGAAGTATATATACAAGAGATCGCATTATATTATATTATCAAGCCAGATTCGCGATTCAGACCAAAAGGTGATCAAGCACATTGCAGGTACCGCCATTGGGACACGTTTGAGCGGACAAGGTGCTTAAACTTGGGCCCATTAGGGCCACCGGTGTATTTGTACTCAGCAAAGACACCATCTGGCCCAGCAAGTTGCATGTCACCCCATTGGCCGTTGGAGTATAGCCAGTTGACAGGGTAGCCCGAATCATGCGGTGTGAAGCTATTCCTCATGTTGTCGTAGCTGTACGCATAGTAGTTCCCAGTTGGGTCCCAGAGAGTGCCGTTGCTGGCATTGTCGTTAACAGGACCGAAAGGCAAGTTGATTGTGTGGTCGTGGATTCTGTACAGGTTTTCAGTCAATCAGTATTAGATTGGGCCTATACGAGTGTTGAATATAAGAAGAGTTTACGAACCCTGCAATAGCGTAATTGGCGTGAGTTCCACGACCGGAGTAATCAGGGCATCGTAGGTGAAAGCCTCGCCAGAAGAGTGTTAGCTGAACCACACAGCTTGTGGCACGCCATTGTCAAACCGAATCATGTTATGCTCCCTATAGATATGTATAAATTCCGGAGTCAGAAGTCTATATTCCGGAGCAGAGAACTTATGTATATATGATGTATCGCAGTCCCCAACGTGGTCACCCCATACAAGACCGATGACAATACCACCCATATTGCAGCTAGTAAACGATCACCACCTGAATCAGCGATACAAGCGCCGTACATCAAAAAATGAGTGACACGGAATTACAATTCACGGATAGTAATAAAATTAAAACGCATCAACAGTTCCATCTCCATGATCAAATGTAATAATAGTGCAGCTAGTAGCATCTTCCGCAACGCCGTTAGTATTGGGCCTTGTGCCATTGAACCAGCCCGGGTAATTCTTAATACCCTGGTTGGAGGTCACGTATACGCTGGAGTTGCCAAAGTTGTTTAGTTGGTCGAGATTGTCGAGCGTGAGAGGGGTTTCGTAGGCCGTGATCTTGGTGTGGTTCAGGGCTGGATAGGTGTCTAGGACCTGGCCGTAGATGTCACCGGGGAAATAGGTTTCGTTGACATCAAGCCAGACCAAAGGTGCTACACTCAGATCTGGTCAATATAAAAAGGCGTTTGTGTAGGTATTCGCAGAGGATTCATGACCGGGTATTTGTAGAGCACCATGACCTATCTAGTATTCAGCAAACGAGAGATGAAGAAATACTAGGACAACAAGTACGTAGAAATTCATATGGTCATTTTTATTTTATCAAATAATTTACTAGCTCTGATACCTTATGGTTTTTAAGTGTCTCCTAATAGTTATGAGAACTCCGAAGTCCGACCAGATAGCCCTAGCTAGGTACTACTACTACGACTTGAAATTCTGCCGGTCCTCATTTCTTCAAGGGTGATTAGAACATGACTCTAGGTAAATGGCGCGTATACAAAGTCAGAATGCACAACAGAACGGCTCTGAAACGTGTCTCGGTGACTATAAGCCGTCACTTCTGCCCCTACACTCCTTCAATAACTCCGCATCAGAAGTCATGTCCAACATGGCAGTGCCGAACTCGTCAATATTCATGGGTTCGGCATGGCTCCAAAGTCTCGCGCATTCGAAGCGCTGCAAGAACCCAACATCGTTCCCAGAGCACTGATTGTCCCACTCGCTGGCGCTCGTGGCATTCCAAAGACCGCCACGGTTCGTGTACATGATGTCGCCAGGACAGGTCGCCCAGCCCTTCTGCAGCGCAGTGAAGACTGCGGAGATGCTGACGGCGACGAGCCAGGTGCGGCGGATGCTCTCCGACAGAATCCACAGGTACCACTGTTCCTGTGAGTGTGAGTAGGTTGACGGCCCTGGCAGACAACCGACAAGGTGCATAGCACCAGCGTGGCTCTTTGGCATTGCCTTCGCGGCAGACTGAACCAACTTTCTAGCCCAACTATTCTGGATAACCATGTGGCTTTCGGCGACATGGCGGGAGCGGATGTCACCGTCGAAAAGGCCGATGATCTGGTAGACTAGGAGGGCGTGCAGCCTTGTTAACTGCGCGAACAGGTCGACATCTTGCTGTTCCCCTTCATGAACCACTCCCTTCTCCTGAAGCAAATCGTTCGACCTGTCTTCTACAATTTGAAGGACAGTGTCTGTGTTTGCAGGTGTCCGGTGGATATAGCTCGCCAGCGTTGCATACGCAACCTGCACGTACGCCGGGAACGTCGCACTGTATAGACGTGGATGGATAAAAGGGTTGCTGCCGGTAGTGACCCAACGTTCGAACCAAGACTGCAGCACGGTCACATACTTGCTCATCGTCGCTTTGCCAATTCCCACGTCGGCCGAAGTGATTCCTCTACGGGATATGCTCCATGTCTCAGACGCAAGAAACCAGTCTGTCCTGGCCGCCGGCGTACAGGGAGCTTGAACGAAAGATGATGCGACAGCGAAGTCACTGTCCATAAGTGGGAATGCCAGATCCAACATAAGGTCGTCGTCTGCAAGGATTGAATTTGTTGTGAGGGAGGATGTATTGCCTGCAACCCCAACGAGTAGTACATCATCCTCTGCTCTCCGCGCCGAGCCTCTCGAGAGCAATGGACGAGATGAGGAAGCCCATCTTCTTTTCGACGGCGGATAAACGCAGGAAATGCCCCTATCCTCGCATCGTGCGCACGACGGCATCTGCCGACCGCACTTCCGCTTCGACCTTGCGCAAGCGCTGCAGGCGTTTGATCCCGCGTGTGTCAGCATGGCCGAGGTGCAAGTACTTCTAAACCCCACCGAATCAAGCTTGTCTGCAGCGGTAGTTGAGGGAAACTCATTTGTCATCAGGATGTTGTTCATTGGGCGTTCGCCCGCACGCTAATCCGCACAGCGAAAGCCCTAATATCTTTCTGCACTGAAGAAACGACAATGTGCTCCAACCAGGAAGCTATATTCTAAAAGCAACTTTTTGGGAGACTATGGACAAAATAGTGCGCGGGCTAGCTGTCGGATATCGCGCGGATGTTGTGAGGTAGCCATGAGTACATATAGGCGCCTTGGAAGATCCTAACGGAGACTGACAAGCCGTAATTATCGCAATACAGCATTCTACTTTGCATCTCGCAACTATTCATCTAGATATAATCACTCAATAAGTCCGTGTACGTTATTACCGGGGTGTCAAAGGGCATCGGGGTGAGTCTGTCATATACCATGTCACGCCATTGATTTTGCTTATTCTAACTTATCTAGTTCGAATTGGTCAAGCAAATTTCAGAAGACGCAAGGAACCTAGTCGTCGGCCTGGTCCGCGATAAGGCTGCGACCGAGAAGAAGGTGGCAGCAGAGCTAGGCGATCGTCCCAATGTCCACATCCTCCATGGAGACCTTACCAGCAACGCCAGCCTAAAGAAGGCTGCTGCCGACACTACCAAGATCGTTGGCGAACGTGGCGTCGACTACCTAGTTGCAAACGGAGCTTTTCCGTCCCTCTTCGATGCCTATGACCCCATCGGCGTACTGTCGGTTCTACTTCCTTTCTGAGTACTTGGCTGGGGCTGATCTGATTTGTACAACAGGGGCGACAAGGTCGCGGAGTTGGAGGCTGTTTCGTCGAAGCTATTCCAGACCAGTGTCGTCGGCAACATTCAGCTCTTCAACCTCTTCCTTCCGCTTGTCATGAAGGGCAAGATCAAGAAGGTCATTGCTGTTTCTAGCGGCCACGCCAACCTCGACTTGATCAATGATCTTGAGGTTGAGATAAGCGCTTTGTACGCTGCCTCCAAGGCGGCCTTGAACGTCATTGTGGCCAAGTTCAGCGCACAATACAAGAGAGATGGTGTGCTCTTCGTGAGTATGAGCCCGGGAGTAGTAGAGGTGGGACACTTTGCGGATGGTACGTTATTGAAAGACGAAGTTACTCATTACCCATTTTGCTAATGCACACCCACACAGCCACTCCAGAACAGGTCCAAGGCGTGATGGGATTCATGAGCAAGCTTGCAACCTACGCCCCTCACTTCAAGGGCCCGACCCCGGTAGACGAAGCCATCCAAACTATCAGGTCGACCTGGGAGAGAATCAGCATCGACAATGGGTATGGCGGGGCGTTTATCTCGCAACATGGAAACAAGCAGTGGTTGTAAACCTCATGGTCAATCCTGATCTGCGATATTGCGTTACTGAATTGGATTGTTAGCGCTGGATCATCTGTCTACACCAGACTTTTTGTATGTCTGATATTCGTGAATCATAAACTCTCAATTTTGCAGCTTTCATAGTTTAAGCTAGTCGCTTCTCTTCCATAAACTTCTCCATAATTTTATTAACTTCGTCCGCCTTCTCTAACTGCAGCCAATGCCCACCATTCACCTTCTCAACCTTGAGATCAGGGACGAGTGGCCGCATCTGCTCCGGAAAGTTGGCCGTGACAGTGATAATATAACCGGTAGAGGCAATTAGTAAGGTTGGGTGTGTCAAAATGTGAGCGGATGTGGGAATGTCTGTATTGCATATTAATAGGGGGCGAAAATTGAAGGTGATAGAGAACGAGTTTCAGGAAACTGAATGGGAAAGAAAGGGAGATACAAGGTATGGAGGGAAGTAGTACATACTCTTCTCATCTTCTTCATTGATATTAAGCAGGTGAGCTTTGTACCAGTTGATCGCAGGGCCATAACCACCTTTCTCGACGGAGAAAACATGTTGATAATGCTCACGGTCCTGTTCCATGTAAGCTAAATTGGAACCCCACGTACTATTAGCTAGATACTTTACTTCTGATGCCAGATAGCCTGGCAAGTCAACAATCTTGCCCTCGGTTAACCAAGTGCGCAAACCTCCTGGGGCGCCCTTGTATTTCTTGTTGATCTCGTTGTCGTTGGCGAAGAAGAGCGATTCCACGGATTCGGACTACAGTATGGTCAATATTAAGCGAGTCAGAATTTTCAAATCAAAAGAAACCTTACATGCTCATTTAGGAGCTTCTCAGCATCCTCTTCGTTAAAAAATAGGAAATACCCAAAGATCGAAAAACCAAGCTTGGCTTGCACCGAGCTATTGATATGTTGTATCGTCGCGGTAGTGAGGCCACGGCCAGGAGAATTATATCCGTGGTCAATGAAAATATAGGCCGAAAAGTGCTCTGGATGGTAGTTCGCTAGGCGTGACAAAAGAAAAGATCCCCTGGTGGAAGAAGCGTTATCATAGGGAAATCCAATGAGTGTGACGACTGGGAGAAAGTCAGAATGAGTCGCAAAAACTTACCAATCATGCGCCACGCCCACCACCACTCCAACGCCCTCGGAGACCATGATCTCAACAATGTCCCTCGCCATACCTTCGCCCTTATACATCTGTAAGTCACTCGGCTTCGACGTTTGCCCGAACCCAAGTAAATCTGGAGCTAGGATTCCATAGCCCTTCGCTACGAAGAAAGAAATCTGATGACGCCAGTCGCGCGAGGTGGAGGGGAAGCCGTGTAGGAAAAGAATGTATTGACTGTTGGTGGATTGTGGTGGGACATGGATGTAAGAATAGGTGAGTGCGCGCGCGGTAGTGTACGTTGAGCGAGGGTAGGACATGGTTGATTATACTTATTGGATGCAATGTGAATGATTATACAACGAATTTCCGACGAAGGAGAAGGGGAAACCGACTTATATATACTTAGTCCAGGAGTGAAAAAGTCCATTATAGATAAGTCCTAGCATCCGAGGCATAGAGTGGCTAAGACGATTAGGGCTCCCTCAACCTTACAGTCATTGGCTCCAGCGTAACATTTCTGAACCCCGACGTCATGACGAGAAAGGGCTTCTATGCGCTTTTGGTCCAGCTAGGCTGCAGTGCGATATTGAAGTCAATAAAGAACTTTTGATACGCTCTGAAGACTGTGATAGGTTGTAATGGCTTCCAACGTCTTTCTGTACTGTAGCACGCAGAAGTCTTGTACGAGAAGCATGTTACCCACATTAGATTGCGCACAGCGTTGCAATTTGATTATTTACTGGGCATTTTCGGTTTGTTTTTACCACATTGTAAGATCTTCCTCTACAAGTCGGCATGAGCCAACTCTCTTTGATAAAAATAAAATTATCTATCTATTAGTTGGTTTGCCACTAAGAAATTGACTTGAGCAGTGAGCTGAAACATAGCACTGGCAAGTAGATCATGTCTAGTAGATGAACTGCCGATCTGGCAGTTCGATCCAGCCTGAGTAGAAACAGCGAGTGCCCTATGATGCCTCGTGTAGAGGTTTTCAAGTATGGCACATCCAGCCCGGATATGCATCTCAGCCCGGCTATCGAGTCCTAGGAGAAACTCGATGTAGCTAAATACAACGCTCGTTAAGACGGCAAGCTCTAGACTTTGGGAAGATCCATCAAGCCGACCGCAGAGATCCTGGATGGCCATGCTATAATGTCGAATTGAGAACGCGATCGTTGAGGGTGTGTGCCAATCAGGATGGTAACGGCTGCTGGTCAAGGCCCCAATTGCTAGGGCCGCATGATGCAATGCTGGTTCGGCAAGAGTGGCCTGGAGGATGATGTGTTTCCATGCCGGGAGCTCAAAAAACAAAGAGAATTCCGCAGCACAAACGATTTGGAAGTACTCCATGTGCACATGTTCGCCATCGAGTAACGGCCTGGCAGAAGGGTATGGCAGACGACGGATGGGCGGAGTCATCGCGTACTGCGAAGCTTCAGAGGGAAACGATGAGACGAAGTCACATTTCCAGCCCGCTCTGATACAGGGCGAGCAAGCTGGCCTGGCCTCGTCGCACTTCTTATGCCTGGTTCTACCGCAAAATTTACAAGCTGATCCAACTGGTTACGGGCGGAACTCACTCACTTGCATGTCAAACATCCCGTGCTGACTTTCCGAACGCCCCGAGCACCATAGCGTGATTTCCTTGTCATGTCTGGACCATTACTATGGCGATATGGTGACTCAAATCATGACGAGGGATTGCTCCGCATGTCTGTTGAAGTAGAGAGGGATGGTGTTACGAGCGAGCGAGAAATAGTCAAGCGCAAGCCTAAGAAAGAAGCCAGGACTGTGATTGGCTGAAGCGTAAGTTGACGTACGCTAATGTCGGTTAGCGGGTCCTCATCTCTTACAAATCTAACCTGCATGACGCTTTACTTGTTTAAGTTAGCAGCTGGCACCACCACTAAGCCACAAATAGTCATATAGTTAAGACATCGCTTGATTCCTTTATCCATGGGGGAAAACTCTCAAGAGTCAAAATATTCAGATTACAAAGATGCTTATCTAAAGAATGGCGCTAGCTTGGCCAATAGCCACTGGATACTCAACCATCCAATCCGGCCAATCCAACCAATTACTCCCATCGTTCAAACGAGTCAGGCACGGATGTCAGCGGATATACATGGATGTAACTTCACCCTATTACCACTTCGCATACCGATAATTTAAAAAGGAGGATGGCGAAAAAGGTACAAGATGCCGAGTCGATGTCCGATTGTCGGCTGACGAATACGGGGAGTTTAGTTACATTCGTTACCTATCGATTATCGTCCCGGGTGTTTCACTGCTAAACATTGGAAAGAAGGAACTATTTTCATCATAGTCACATACAAATCTTCATTCGCAAACGCAAGTATGTCTTCGATTGTTCAATCAATCAACTCTGACAACAATCTTTGTCGCACTAATCCCAGCCTTGACAATCTCGAACGCTTCCTGCGCAGCTGCAATCCCACCATCGACAACCCTCACCTTTGGCGCTGGAACGATTTTCTTCTGCTCAATAGCTTGGGGCAGATACTCGTTAAACATCCAGCTCCCCATCTCCACATGATGTACAAACGCAAAAGCGGCCATCGTCATCGAAATCTCAACACCAGCAGGCTTCTCGTCGCCCGTAGGCCAGGGCAAGGTGAGCACTAATTCGCTTCCTTCCCCGCCGGATGCGAGTAGAGTAGCAGCAGAAAGTAGAGAACTGTTTCCTTCGCTAATGGAATCAAAGCCGTATCGGAGAGGCGTGCCGGCCTCCTTCGCGAGTTGAGCCAGTTTGGAGACAGCATCGGGGTCGCGATAGTCGACTACTTTTGAAGCACCTAGAGACTTTACATACTCATGATTCTTCGGGCTGGCAGTCGCAAAGACCTTGAACCCTAGCTCTTTGGCTAACTGCACGGCAGCTGTTCCCGTAGACGATGACGCGCCCCAAATCAATATCCCAGACTGCTGCTGCTGTTGCGCCTCCTGCGGACGAGCAATCCCCAACCTCTCAAAATACGCAACAGCAACAGTTGCAAACGCCATCGGGAACGTAGCCCCATCCTCGTAAGACAAAAAATCCGGAATCCTTATTGTCGCATTCTCTTCTAAAAGCGTATATGTCTGCCAGGCCCCATGCTCTGGTTTATTATTTGCGATTGAGAGCGCAAACCCGGCGACGCGATCACCGACTTTGAATTTGCTCACTTTGCTGCCTATGGCGGAGACAATGCCGCAGGCGTCGCTGCCTAGTACGGTAGGGAAATCCTTGAGATGGCTGGGGAAGTCGCGGATTTTCCAGTCCGCGGGGTTGGCGGCGATGGCATGGTTGCGGATTAGGATTTCGTTTTCGCCTGGGGAGGGAATGGATAAGATGAGGGGTTTGAGGGCGGTGCCTACTTTTTCAAGGACGGCGGCGAGATTTTCTGTGGACATTTTGAGGTTTTGACTTGTCTGGCGTATAAGATGGTATGTGTCTACAGATTGGTTTCTGGACGAAACAAGCTTGTCTTTATAGGATCGTGAGACCAGCTGGTTCTATCATTAGTAATGCTACGGACAGAAAATTCTGTGAATATATTCGCCAAATGGAAAGGTCACCCTCATGATATCGCGCAGATTGACGCAAGCTGAACGGAACTATGATAGTGCTGAAAGGCAACTATTGGCTGCGTCGTCTACGCATGTGAAAAAAATGTATATAGACCAGCGGCGGCCTAGGAAGGATTCCAGCCAATCGGAGGCCGCTGTTACTTATCTTACTACATTTGGGATTCCGCTCGCCAATTGCCCAATCGGGTATTTAGGGTTTCTTCTAGTCGAGGTTTGTTTCACTTGTAGAAGTCTTCCCTTGCTCCTGCAACACATGTCCATATTGACGACTGTAAGTAAGTGTAAATATCATACTGTGGCCTTTGTGAACTGCAATAATTCCCGGACCTGGTGGCCCTCGAGTTGAACGTGCAGAGAGCGTATAAGGAAAGGACTGGTACTTTGCATTAGAAAGAGAGTATAACTGGTGATTCTTTATATATGTCTATAGAAACTAGTGTGCGAATAGATGACACATTACATTGGAGGACGAAAAGCAAGACGAATAACCTTGGAAGAACAAGCTCTTCCTTCCCGTATCTCGTACGTTACTATTCCTGTACCAATCTCTATCACGCAGAGTGCATGTGCAAACGTCACCTCTCAACAAGTTGCGGAGGAATAGGAGCACCTGGCTGACGATTTATTGAGTCCCAGGCGTTTCATGGGCTTGCTCTACTGTACAAAGAAAGTTTTAGACATATTAAGAATCAGTCTATAATATACCCAGTTCCCACAGTCTATAATGCATTAGATGTCCTTAATATTATCAGAAAATGGGAAATTTCGGATATAGATAGTCCAAAATTGTGCTATTGAGATATAGCGACGTTTTATGGCAGAACAGACCGTCTTGTTCCTGTTCCAGACCCTGCTGAAGAACTACCACTGTGCCTTGACATCATATTGTCCATCATCGTTCATCACTTTTCCTCGATCCCATTCTCTCCCCTCACCCTTTTTAGCCCATGTAACATCTTCAATCCTCCCTTCCGTGTCGTTACCGCCGCGTGCGGTGAAGGCTGGGTCTTGCTTCCACCGCTGAACGGTGTTGTCATCAAATCCTGCTGCACGTAGGCGCTCTTCACCTTTCTGTCTCCAATTTGCCCGGTCGCGAAGCGCTTCAAGTGCCATATCCCAATCATCGTCTTCAGTCATAAGGCCGGCAACGGGTCTTCGTGTGGATCGTTTCGACGATGACCCCTCTTCATTCTCCGAAATATCGACATCGAGTTTTGGATCGTAGTCACGCGCGAAGTGAGAATCAATCGTACTCGAATTGAGACGATAAGAGCCTCTCCCACGGGTTGGGACGCGTGGTTCTCTTTCACTTCTGTGTGATGAAGCCGGTAAAGGGCCAACGAAATCTTCCAAGGGGTCCGATTCACCATCCGAGGGGTAAGAGTCTCTTTCCGACTCTAGATGCTGATTGTTTTCAGCTTGAGAATGGTCAGTAGCTGGCTTTCGCCGTTCATAATGATTGGAATCATCCCGACGTCGCCGTGAAACTTCCGGTGATCTCGATCGTGAATGACTAGGAGAGCCGTCTCTATCGCCTCTAAAATGCCCGGAAGATTGATTCCTCAATTTAGAGGAGTCTCGGGCCCTTGCCGAGCGCCTCTCGTCGCTACAATATCTTCGATGAGACCTCGACGAACGTTCGCGATCATACTCTGATACACTCTCGTCATCTTCGTAGCGCCGACGAGGTCGCCTAGAGGATCGACTTTTATAATCCCTGTCAGAAAAATTGTCTGATTGCTTTCTTTTTGAAGAGCGCTCTTTCTCTCTGTGGTGAGGTGACCTATGTCGATAACTCCTCTCGTTTTCTCGGTGTCGCTCTCGGTGCTCCGATCTATTGCTAGGCGGAGACCGCTCTCTACGGAGTTTACGCATACGTTCTCGAGCCTCTTGTTCTTCCCTGCGCCTAAGAGCAGCATTGTGGCTGTCCGTATCTCTGAGGATGTTTTTGAGAAAGCGCGTATTAGGCTTTGGAGCTCGATCTGTTGGCCTGTAAGGAATTAGTGGGGATGGATCAGGACAAAAAGAGGGAGAGGATGCGACTTACCGACGAGGAAGGTACGCTTGAAGCCCAAGCGCAGAATACTTTATCGACTTGTCCTTCGCCTCCGAGGCAAGCAGCTGCGCGACATAATCGTCATTGCTGGTGGGGTCGTCAATTGGCTCTCCGAGTGTCATGGTGAGCGTAAATGGTAGGTATATAACAATAGTGCTATTGCAAATGTAAGTGGACTGCAAGAAAGCAGTCTTCGAGACAAAACTTCAGCGCATTTGAAGCATGATGCCCGCAAGAGTGTGACTTCAAAAAGACACTTCGGAATTTAGAGCGATTTGAGGTCTGCGTCCGCGATTGACAAACAGTGCAAACTTACCGCGATAGGCAATCCAGATTGTTTACATTTCGCGGGCGGCTCAATCGCGATAGCGATTTTCAAGAGGAGTTTTCAAGCGATTTTGATGCCGATTACGGCTTTCTCTTCGTGGTCTCTGGGCTGATATACAATTATCCATATTTCATTGATTCCGGCATCATCTCCGAGAATGGCGACCTCTATATCCCCCGCCGAAGCTCTTGCGACAGTCCAACAGCTCCAACAAGGAGAAGACGCAGAGTCTAGCACTTTAGCGATTCTGCGTATTAGCGAACCTATAACATCCTCTCTGGACATTGACGGAATACCACGATCGCCTTCAAAGCGCACTTCTGATGTGTCGACAGATTCTCTAGAAAATCCGACGCCCGTGTCGTTGGAGGCGGACTTGACACATTATAAAGTTCGTATACCATTGTCTACCAATCTCTGTCTATTGCCAAGCAGATCATTGACGAGTTTCTACTCTGTAATTAGGAATTATTCTCAAAGCTTCGCTTCTCATATCTTGAACAGGTCACAAAAGAGAAATTTCTTCGTGGAATTGTTGGCGACCCGCCACTGATTGTTGGGCACAATGAAAATGTAGATTTGGAAGCGGAGCTAGTATCGCAAAAGCAGCAATTGCAGCAACGAAAAGAAGATGTCAGGGTTATGGTGGAAGAGATGGAGAAAACTGGAAGGGAACTGGCTAGACGTGAGTAGAAAAGCCCTTCTATACTTCTAGCTCACATCGCTCACTCTCAATACAAGGCTATAAAAACGTGCGATTGGAAACGACCAGATTATCCGAATTGCCAGATGAGATTGCAAGATTGGAGAATACTATCACATCACTGAAGGAAACCCACTCTGCATATTCCTCAGCCGCCACGAACCCCAAAGGCCCCTCCTCTTCTTCTCAGAACCTTTCTCTAGCAGCTACATTATCGCTGTTGGCCGATCGCGAAGCTGAGTTAGCGGCGATTGATCGCCAATTAGCTTCTTTGCACAACACTCTTCCGCGCAAGACACGGGAGGCAGAGGCAATGGAAAGAGAGCTGGGTGTCTTGGAGCGGAGGAAGGTTGAGGCTATTGGCCAGGCGCGAGAAGCGGAGAGGAAAAAGCTTGAAGGCGAAAGCGATGGCTTAGAAGAGATGGGAAGATGGTATCGTGGTGCGGAAGCCAACTTGAAGAAATTGATCAATGTTGAATGACATGAATAAAGCCAACCTTGTGGTTATGACTGATGATGATGATGGATTTGGCGTTGTTTACGGTGTAATACAAAAAAGGGAGCTGTTTGTGTTCTGGTCATGTTTACAATACCATGAATTGAGTGTCTCTAGAAGGAAAGCTACGTTCGTAGCAAATTCATATTGGATCGTGATCATACAGCATGCTATCCCGTGATGCAACAGAAACCCCTCAGAGAACCTGGTATAAAAGAACTTTTTATTTGTTATTTGTTTACTCTTCCTCCTCCTCGTCACCGTCACCATCGCCACCCTCGGCGGCCTTGGCCTTCTTGCGGCGAACACGACCAGGACGACCACCACCGTAGGGAGAGGTAAGGGCGAAGTCAATGTGCTTCTGGGAGTCAAGGCGGACCATGTAAGAAGGAACGTTGACGATCTGCTTGCCAACACTGTAATCAAAGTATTAGTACCGAACGAGTGCGAGTGACGCGAGATGTATTCCAGATGCTTACCGGATGTGACGCTGACGGATCAGGACACGGGCGTGGTGGATGGACTTGGCGAGACCAAGCTTGTAGACACAGGTCTGGAGACGACGCTCCAAGAAATCCTCAGTCTTCAAGGCCAAGACGTAATCGAGCTTCATGCGGGACTCATCGAGCACACCGACACGGACGAGACGACGAATGAGGGCATTTCCTTCGAAGAGACGCTTAGGGTCTTTCTCATCGAGAGTAAGAAGCTCACTGCACCCAATTAGTGTCCTGGCCAAATAGTACCAAACGGTAGACTCCATATGCAATCGCTTACCGAGCAGCACGACGAATCTTAGAAAGAGTGAGCTGGACGCGCCACACCTCACGCTTGTTGCGGAGACCGAACTCGCCGACAGTCTTCAATTCGGAGTCACTATCGATTTGTTAGGAAATGGACAACACGACATAAGTAGAAGCACGCTTCCACTTAGTGGCCGGGGAGTACTGACAGACGAGCCGACTCGTAGGCTAAAAGGATGTCAGTTTATAGAATCCTGAAAGATATCAAATTTTCTTCTTGTAGGGATACTCACGTCGACGAGGGACCTTGTAGGTCTTGGAGTAGGAACGCCTGGAAAACACAGATCAATCAGAATTGATGTGCTTGTATTCAAGTATGCGCAATAGCTATACTCACGGAGCTGGGGCCATGGCTGCGGTGGTGCTCTCCCGATTGTCGCGATGAGGTCGAAAACTTGCAACTTGAATTTAGAAGTTCGCTCTTTGAGATCAACGAAGTGGAGGAGGCCCGGGAGGACCCACTAAGCGAAGCGAAGCGCTTGTGATTGGTGGCTGTAGGGCAAGCCCTAATATATTACCCGATGCGACTAGCCCGCGCACTAACCGAAAGACCCAGCATCACCAAGTTTGCATGCGGAGGCACTTCTCTGTGTAAGTCGACAAGCTTCACGATCCCAGCACAAACGACAACACCACCGAGATGGGTCACTCACACGGTCTTCGCTCCGGCACTCGGGTATGTGCACTCGTCAATTCCATCCAGAGAAACCGGGGAGAAATGGAAAATCATAGACGAGCAACGAGCTGATGATTCTATGCATATAGTATGCCTTTTCTCGCGACTTCAAGAAGAAGGGCTACATCGCCCTTTCCACCTACTTAAAGGAATACCGGTATGGACGCTCTTGAACAACGGGATATATTTCGAAAGCGAGATTCTGACGGAATACAGGGTCGGTGACATCGTGGACATCAAGTGCAACGGTGCCGTTCAGAAGGGGTTAGTGATTGTTCCATTTCCGCCTATGAAGCCTTATTCGCAGCGCCTTTTTTTTTCCCGGGGGGGATAGTTTTTGACTGAAGATTCTCTGCAGTTTGCCATACAAGCTCTACCACGGCAAGACCGGTGTCGTCTACAACGTCACAAAGAGCGCCGTCGGTGTTATCATCTACAAGCGCGTCGGCAACCGCTACCTCGAGAAGCGCATCAACGTCCGCATTGAGCACGTCTCTCACTCCCGCTCTCGTGAAGAATTCATCAACCGTGTCAAGGAGAACGCCATCAAGAAGCGCCAGGCTAAGGAGCAGGGTATTCACGTGCACTTGAAGCGCCAGGCCGTCCAGCCCCGTGAGGCTCACGTTGTCGCTTCTGCTGACAACTTCCCTGAGACGATCACTCCTATCCCTTACGACACCCACATCTAAAATATATTTTCTTGTTGCTCGGACGGTGGACTCAGGGAAGTTGGGTGTTTTTTGTTTTGTGCGTCTTTTACCGCCATATGGTGGGTTGCATGATGAGCAAAATGGTTCGGGAAACCTTATGTCACCCTATTGTTTGTGCATAGAATTCCTGCAAATGAGAAAAAGAAATAATACCAAAATTTTCAAGTTCAACGCCAGATATCCGTGGTCCGACTCGGCGGTGCAGGTAGTGTGCGTGTTCTGTGGATTTCTGTTTCTGGGAGTCTTCTCTGACAGGTTTTCTGTCAGTAGAAACTCCAGTTGAAGTCCTGCTCAATAACGAGACCTGGAGATTCCCATGTGGTTTTATGCATTGGCTACTCACGTTGGGAATTTTAAAAAACGGGAATATAAGGAGGTTACCCATAACACCTACTGCTGTATTCTAAATGACACCGAAAAATGTCATACAATGTATCAGGTTATTAAGGTAGCTAGCTAATTCTTGAACTCCCCAATCTAAATTCTCGAAACGTAATTCTGCGTATCGTTTCTTTTTTTTTGGGCACAGAATCGTTCTGGCCTTAATGCCTTGCTTGTGATTGGCTGGCTGATCTGTTCCCGGCGCGCCGCCAACGCCGTTCAAAAAAAAGTTCTCAGGGATTTCATTCAATTTCGAGTTGCTTGCTTACTTCTCTCCTGTACAATATCTTCTTTCTTTCCATGTTCTTCCATACAAGCCTTTCTTTATTCAATGATCAAGAATAGATAATATTGTCTGCGGACAAGCGTTTTAATTTCACACTCCACAATTTGCCAAACCAAAGTTGGGGATGACCTTCTCGACTACTTCCCATGGCAGCTCTGCGCAGGCGCATCTGCCTAATAAAGTCCATCTCGAACAAGCCGCGATTGAGTCCAGAGAGATGGGCGGTGTCGTTCCAGAGAAAGATGAGAAGCCCGCGGCGAAGCCTCTGGCCCATTTTGTTGCTGGAGGGTAGGTCCTTTCACAAAGCGCATTTGACTTTTACCTGAATTGCTAACGTGATACTTTGTTTGCAGCGTTGGTGGAATGACCGCTGCTACGTTGACAAGCCCCCTTGACGTTCTTAAAACTCGACTTCAGTCCGACTTTTATCAGACTCAGCTGCAAGCTCTACGTGCTTCACATCCCGTCCGCCCAGCTCCGTTTTTCATCGCCCTCCCACGCAGCGCCCTCGTACATTTTAAGGAAACCTTCCAAATCCTCCATTCTATATATTCGCACGAGGGCCCTCGTGCTTTATTCAAAGGTCTTGGTCCCAATTTAATTGGTGTCGTACCAGCCCGTGCCATCAACTTCTATGTCTACGGTAATGGCAAGCGCATCCTCAGCAATTACTTTGGCTATCACGATTCGATGACGACGCCATGGAATATCCACCTTGGGGCAGCGGCTATTGCTGGTATAGCTACGGGAACCGCAACAAATCCCATCTGGCTTATCAAAACTCGACTGCAACTAGACAAGTCGAATGCTGAAAGTGGCAAAGGAGGCCGACAATATAAGAACAGCTGGGATTGTATCAAACAGACTGTTAGGCACGAGGGAATCCGTGGTTTATACAAGGGACTATCTGCCTCATACCTCGGTGTGGCAGAGAGTGCGACGCAGTGGGTCTTATATGAGCAGATGAAATTGTATCTAGCTCGGCGACAGGCCGCGAAGCTGGCCGACCCGCACCATGTCCATAGTGTCTGGGACGATGTGGAACTTTGGGGTGGTCGTGTCACAGCAGCTGGCGCGGCGAAGTTGTTTGCTGCAGTTGCTACATATCCTCATGAGGTAGTGCGAACACGGCTACGACAGGCACCTGTTGTTCCGGTAGGAGGCGGTAAGGTGCAGGTGAAGTATACCGGTCTTGTTCAGTGCTTCAAGGTTGTCGCCAAGGAAGAAGGGTTGGCCGGTCTGTATGGTGGTTTGACACCGCACTTGTTGCGTGTCGTTCCGTCAGCAGCCATCATGTTTGGAATGTAAGCGATTTTGGTACTTCTCTCATTGACTATGAGCAAGCTAACCTTTCTTAGGTACGAGGTTATTCTTCGTCTTTTCGGAACAACTTCCTAGTGTTTTCGCGACATCGCCTAATCCTCTAGACTTCTTCGGCTTGTATTATAATATCTTATTTCTTTGCATTTTTTTTATCGCTGCCTCGCGCTTGAACGGAATGCGAGACTGTGATTAATTGATCGGCTTTGGGATCTTCACTCCCACATAAATATCGCATCATCGCTGGCGCTATATGAGGGTGGGATTTGCCTTCATTTTACACTAATCATGACGAGCCGGAAATTATTGCTTGGGGTCCGTTGCTCAGTTTGTAAGATACGGTACAATCACTTCTTCGGTGTTTTGTTTTATGGGATGGTATACTTAGACAGGAGGGCGGTGCACTACTCAGCTTCAGATAACTTCTCACAGACACTATAGAATATTATAACATGGAATGTATATTGATTGCTTTTCTTGTACCTAGGTAGAATGTAAGCGTAGTACTGTATGTCTTCGTGCGAGCACCAATGCGGTCAATATCACGCTAGGATCGGTGGGCATTATATATTGTTAAATGAGAGCCTGCTCAGCGGGTGACTGTTCTCGATTTATAACTACATAATGAAATTCTCGAGTTACAAAACGGACTATACAGCTGTCTGTCCTGACAGAGATTAGTTGTTCCTAGTTTTTCTACTACAATGCTTTTTCCAAGGTTCTAATCTCCATAATCTTATTTCGCACTGTCTTCAGGCCTATCCGCTACTACAAAGTTTTATCATGATCTTGTTCCAAGTTTTCCTGCACATTCTTCTCACGCATGTTATCGATGCCACCTAGCATTTCTATCTTTATGCATTGACGCTGCTAAACACGCCATAGACGGCGACTGAAGCCAGCTCATGAAGTTGTGATAACCATGCTCGCGCTCCGGAGGTTACGGCGACGCTTGGAATAGTTAGGCAAGTCAGACTACTGACCAAACTCATGATCTGTACCGAAATATGTAAAAAACATATATGTAAAATATATATTGATTCTAACTCTGGGCCTCAGAGATATACCGAGGCGAAAAATTAGAACCACTTTCTTGTTTTGGGTTAGAGAGGCGAGTATTTTTGCCACGCATCGATGTTAGAAAAACATGAATATTTGTTATCCTCCAAACACTTGAAGAAATAGGATACAAAAACGGATCGTGTACTGGTATTAATGAATTCGAGTGAAACACGAATATCTAAAAGATTCACGCTCGCTCAAATGATGACCCAAACCCTAATTGCTCGGGAATTACCAAATATGGTAAAAATCAATACATGTACATCACAATGACTTTTTAAAAAGATACAAAAGGAAATATTAGAGAAGACATGAATAATACAAGTAAGTAATGGATAATAATGACAATAATAAAAGAAGTGAAGAAGACGGAAATATTCAATTGCTCTTACTCTCAATCCAAAGTAATCACGTCGTTGGCTTCTCTTATCTCGCTCACAAACATGGCACGTCCGTCTGAAGCATTCTGCCCATTCCGATCGGCATGGAACACAATCTTGGTGCCGTCGACCAAAAAATCAGTACCGCCAGGAGCGCTCAATGGACCTGATGATCGCGTCTCGACTCCTGTATCCAACAGCGGGGCGTAGGGGCTGGATTGCTTTGTCCACGGGCCCGTAATCGTGGTTGCGTACGCGTATGAAGTATCGTAAGATTGAGTCCAGTAATAGTTCGATGAAAAGCTGAGATAGTATATTCCGTTACTCAGCAGCAGGCTGGGGGCTTCAACCAAAGGTCCATCAATAGAAGAGCGGTCAATAAGCTCGATAGGATCGCCAGTTGGCGTTACGCCGTCCGACTCCATCTTTTGAAGCATGATCGGTGTTGAGTGTGTGGTGCCGTCATTATCTAGGGTGTCTCCATCAACCTTGTAAACAACATAAATGGTGCCGTCGCTGTCGATAAATCCGTCAGGGTCAATAGCGCCCCCCTGTTCTAAGGGACACGCGAGATAATTATCGACTGGCGTGTAAGGCCCTTCTGGAATCCATGAAGTGGCCGCCCCAACGCAATGTAGATTTGTGTTATTAGATGTGATTGCAGAAAAGTACATGACAAAGCTGCCATCGGGCTAATTTTCGTCGTTAGTATCGCGGAACATAAAACATGAGAGCTAAACACACCATCACTAGGACATCCGGAGCCCAAATGGCCGGTGAAGAGGAGTCTACCCAGGACGGAAACGGCCCTGGCAATGCATCTACACCTGAAAGGCGAGTCCAGGTAGAGAAGTCTGGTGAAGTAGCAACCTGTGCATTGACTCCGTTACCCTCTGTCGCAAATGCCCAGTACCCACTCTCTGTCTGTATGATACTGGGATCTGGAAAGTCGGCGTCAATGGCCAAAACTGGCTCAGCTATGGCCCTGCCCAGAACGGCGAGCAATGGAGCATATGAAAGGACGCGTCGATTCATTATGGCAATAAGAGAACGCGAGCTATATGGTATACTATGAGTATGGTGAATGCAGACACAGTTTGGGCGTTATATGGGAGCGCTACCGCAGAGACAGGGGACGGTCTGGAAGGAAAAAGTTTCCTATTTATATAGACCAGACTAGCCTAAATCATTATTCTCTTAATTTTACATAGTTTACGTAACATAATAGCATATCTAATTAGATTCGAGAACAATTCCGAGAGATGCAGCTGTCTTCTGGGGTTACACCGATTCTGACTCTGAGCAGCAGGGGACAGTCATGGCTAGTGGTTCGATATACGTACTCTAAAGGAGAAAAGTAAATAGTCTTTCTGACCTCCACACCACTCGGGCACTATTTTGATTATTTTTATTGCTTAAGCTTCCCTTGCAGTAGGGATGGAAGCCATCATGCGGAGGTGCAGTGAACGCGCGTGATATTTTTAAAAGTGGGGAAATATCTTCAAATGTATCTCGAATGCCTAGATGATACTGCAGGCGTGCCTCGATTTTCTTACATCCATCCTTGTTTGATTGAATAAAGTAGAATATTGCACCCTGTGCTTCAGGTCGGGTACACTCGACTGTCAGGAAGTTGTGGCTTATGCCATTTACACAGGTCACAGCATGACACCGAATGGGTCACACCGATCTTCAAGAAAATGGCCGATTAGCATGCAACTAGTCGAGTTCATTTAACTCATACATATACTAGTAGTAACTACTCAGTACTGTCTGCGAACCCCTAATAGGCCTCGGTAATGATCAGCGTTGTTTCATGCAAGGGAATGAGCCTATACCCACCAACATTGGTGAACCGAGCTTAGCTTGGAAAGACTCGATCGGAATCATCAAGTGCTGTATTGGTACTTAGAATTATGACTAATTAGCAAGAAGGTTCTCCAAGCCCTTACTTGAGTTATTCACTAATCTTTACTTCGGTTGATCGCCATTTGACCGCGAGCCTGCATAAGCAGTGTTCCCAGATTATATATGCATTGGACAAGTCGTCGTGGCAAGCTGCGAAGCGATTTCAAATTCTGTCGATCGAGTGATTAAGCGTCGTCAGCTACGCGAGAAGTCATACGGTGATGAAGAATTGGGAACGGCGATGTCTAATATTCTCCGTGAAAATACATTGTAGTTACAAGGACAGGACTGATGACTAATTTCCAAGGTCATGATGAGACGAAGAAATCTCGGTGAACTTGCCAAGGTCTGATTACTATCGGAATGAGGGTTAGTGTACCTATGTACATGTACGATCATGTAGTTCTTCATCTCTTCAGATACCTTATTCGTCTATCAACGTGCGATCAAGTTGGCAAGTTTCGCTGACCAGGCTCTGCGGCCTCTCTTTTTACAGGGTCAATCGCTTTCTATAGAGCCTTATTTCGTAGGTTAATAAGACAGGATAGTTAGTAACGTAGTCGAATAGGATAATAAGCATCAACATACACTGTTTTCTAGACGTGGTTTTGGGACTTTGGGAGCTTCAGGGATCCAGTAGTGCTCTATGGGAGGAAATCACTGCCCAGTAGCTTGTCAGCTAATCTGAGATCTGATATGATCCTCACTGCGAATGAAATTTTTTTAAAGGTCATCTGACTTTCGCTGAAATCCGCAGCTGATTCAAGTGCTGAGGGAATGGTGGGAAAGGGTATTTTCGGCGAATTGACATGAACCGCAGCGTTGCATCTAATCGTTTCAAAGGAAGTTTGTTCGCCTATTAGCACACAAAGCTGGCTATTCTGCACCAAATCATATTTGAAAAAAAAGTTTCAAGAATACGAAGTGGTCCACTAGTTCTCGCAGAAAACGGAGTTGTTTACCGTAGCCGCCGCGTGGTGATCTAACTAGTTACACCGTGGAGGGACAAAGTCATCATAGAGTTGTACCACACGTAAACACCAAGTACTAGTAGTTTTTTATTACCATTACACCTGGGAGTTGACATATAACCATGTAATTCAGGGAGCCAATGATGAAATCTGACTGAACGACTCACTTCGTGTAAGGTTGTACCGCGTCGAGCTACGGAAAAGGCTCATGAACATCTAATGCTCAGTTCTAATTGCTCTAACGCTGATAAGTACACCGACGATGAGAAGCTGGAAGTTCCGAAGTGATCAAAAGAAGCAAAGGGCGATTGACCGATGCAAATCAGCCAAGCTCGTTCGGCCAGGATACATGCTGATTGACAAGAACACTGGCAAGTTCAATTGATATTCTAGTAACACAAAATAAATCTACATGCCCAAGTAAATACGGAGAAAAAGAGATAGTGTAAATACTCAAATAAGAAGCTTGATGAATCACAAACTAAGAAGGATCATCGGCCACTACGTCATAATGCAGAGAGGCGGTGACTTGTTCGGATTTTATACGTCTATTCTGTAATATTATCATAAACTAAGGTGCTCATTATCATATGACAAGAATCACGAGGAACGTGCCTTAAGATGTCGAGGTATGTAGGTTACTTTAATGGCAGGGCCTCATTGTGGAGACTTCAGCCTAAGCCCTAAGTGCTTTCCGTTTTGGGTAATAAACTTTGGGGCCACAGAACAGCTGGTATGTTCTTTGCTTTTCGCCAAAATGTTAGTGTATTCAATCTCTGACCCATTGGGGGATCTTATACGGATGGATTGCCGTCGTCTGGATCAGATGGCATATAATTTACAATACAATGCAACTATGTCAGGCTAAGTAGATACAGGATTCGTGAATATTCATCAGTGATATGAAGTCATGAGCATACTAGTGATTCAGTGAAAGGAAATGTGATCAGAAACTGTATGAAAATGGTGATAAGCACAAATAACGGCTGAAGAAAACTGTGGATGCCCTAACGACTTGCCCTCAAGGTCATTTCTTTCTGCAAACGAGAATCCGAACCCAGAATCTGCTTTCTCAGTGATTCAATAATCCATCACCACTCGATGCTGTGGATCCTGATATGGGCAATCGATGCAACATGAAGTGATCTTGTCCGAGCTGGGCAGTCATCAATCTAGCCATGGCTATGGCCGAACCAGTACAGCAAACACGGGGCATCTCCTCAATGCCATGAAAGCCAAAGGCTATATATATCATGGATGTTGGAAGGTGCCCACTTATAACGGGATACGATAAGGGTTGCAGGCCTTGCAGAATGTAGGCCAGTACAGCGGTGGTCTTTGGACGGTTCGATTTTGCATGTTCAGAAGAAGCTAATGGAATTTTTCCTAGCCACTGGAATGAGAGCCCATGTGAACCGACATGCTCCCGTTTTTCTTTTCCGAAGATCGCATAGCAAAGGTATCGTCAAGAGTTAGCTCCTGATTCCAAGCTGTGCCTGGAATTGAGCGCTGGCCGGTAGAGCTGCCGGGCAATTTTTCCAAGAGTAGGAGTTGGCTGCAACGAAGTTAGATTTGAAGATATGAACAGCAGCCATAGGCAATAAGTACCTTGGTTCTGGTTGGTGACCGCTGGCATTTGCCAAATTATGCTTCTGCAATGATAAATCCTGAAGATCTTGCTGGTCTGTGAAAGACGGAGAGACAGTTTTATTGCCGCCCATTTCGAACAATAGACGAATAATCAAAAGCGATGGACAAGAAGACACAAACTCAAAGAGATTCAGTCCTTTCAAATCCCAATATTGATTAATGCTGGTGCGATGCGATATGAGATGCTGGTACGAATTTACTGATGTCGACTATGGAGGAAGAGCAGAAGAAGAAGGGGGAGAGGAGAGAAGAAAAGAAAAGAAAAGAAAAGAAAAGAGAAGAAAGCAACAACAACGCCCGGAAATGATGATTGTGTTCAATGGTCAGTCTTACGCCCTTTCCCAACACTTTCTCCGTACGATGGATACAAAAGTGGTGCGTGCTAAGCCCCGTGGAGTCTCGTTGCCCTTAGCGGAACAAATCTCACGGTGTACTCACTTACCAGATCTACAGTTTTGTGGAAACACGCATTCATGCATCAGGTTTATTGTTTCTCGGGTCGAATTGTGATCGAGATGATAACTCGCCTCAGCGTCGTACGTGCGATGTGAAATATTGATTCCTTTCCTTCTTTTTGGGGGTCGATATTTGGTAACATATTCCACAGACTAAAACCAACCAACGCTAGCATGGATGTTAATGCACAATCTCCAGGGGCAGCAAAATGATTAAAGCCAGTTGTACAAGCAAATAAAGAAGCTGCTGCCAAGTCCCGGTTTGCAGAACTCACAATATTGTCCGGTTTTGCTAGGTTGGTCATCGGTGCTTGTCGGAAGTTATTTTGCTTCCCCGTGCAAATTGTGTTTGTCCCCAGCCTCTAAGAGGATGGCATGACAGGAGCGTGTGTTACATATCGACTTTATGTTGAATTACCGGATACCCTTAGCCTAATCGCCGGAAATGTTTCACATTAATTCAAAATACACAGTGTGGCTGAGGCAATCTTTGTGGGGAAGGGCAGAAAAAGAAAAAAGAAAGAAAAATATCCCCAAATTCCATTGCATGAGTCATGTTTTTCAGTGCGTGAAGAAATATTCTATTGCCGAAGATCAACCAGCATACTCCGAGTTGAAAGGCGCTCACACTGCGCACCCTAATCCCAAGGATCTTAGGCTAGTGTCTTGATTGATGAGACTATGATAGCATTGTAAAATATTGATTCTCTCTCGGCGAGCTAGGTAAAGACACTGACAGCCAACGGCATGGCCTGGCCATACACGCCGCTCCTCCACTCATCAACCCCATTACGACACCGGATACTTGGATAGCCCCGTCAAGTATCCCAAGAGCAGCTGATCCCCTAGCACCTGCACTTTGTAGAATCGCAAACAAGCTCCCGGTCGCTACGTTTCCGATGCTCGCGTGTATAGCGGCACCCATGGAGGCTAGGGCTCAGAGAATAGAGTCAGACCACGAACGATAATCACGGCTATATAGCTATCAATTGATCTTCAAACTTACAAGTTGAACCCCTGATATTGTAGAACCGGTACCTGCCAGAAGGGGGCCAGAGACTACTGCAGGTGTAGCAATCAATAAGGCGCCAGTTGCTCCAGCCACAGCACACCCGGCCAAAACTGGGTTGTTGTTCTAATGGATGTAAGCAAAGTTTGAAATCGGAAGGGAAAAATATAGGCGAACAGACTTTCATCGTGCCATTCATGGAGTTTTTTATAGAATCCTGCTCCCTTCGCAGCAACAACCGGGCCGTATGTTATGGCTAATTTGCGGGGTTAAGCAACACCATATTCGATGGCTTCCTCGCTGATTTCAGCGACGAGTGCAGCGATTTCCACAGCTCGCCCTATTTGACTAGCAATCAGTGGGCGAATATCGAAACGATCTCCGGGCGCACGGAGTAACGGATTTGGACTCCTTCAAGATTTCAATGTCTCTCGTATTGATGATACGTGCCTACCGACATCTACAAGAATGTGCGAAGCGCTCGAGCGCCCAAAGGGACACCGCCGGGGCGCTGGTCAAGCAAGCGAGAGATGGATGTGAGTGCCTAGGGCATCTAGTTCGTTTCCTTTGATCGAGATGTTACTATCTCACGATTAGAAATAACCATAATCTCTGCAAAGTTTCTGATATTTCTGTACTCCATGACCAGCCGAAAGACTGTCCATTTGGGTATTTCTCTAATTGGATCATTTCGCCACGGTATTATCATATATCTCAGGCGGGGGCCTTGGAAACAACCTACTTTACTATTCCTACGATAATCAAATCGCATTGGAGAGGAGTTGTGTAGGGTCTTATTAGTTTTCATGTCGAGACGAACGTAAAGCTAACGGATGGACTGTTGGATTAAACTTCTAACTGTAAACACTCTACACTGTTGATTCTAATCAAAGCTACTAACAGAGCAGACGCTATAAGAGTATGTCTCTGGCAGCAGATTCTAACAATGCGATGTAATATTTTGAACATAAATTGATTCAAGGCTTGTTGGAAGTGAAAAAGCGAAAGATGCTCATCTTTCTTCTGTACAATGTCTAGGACGTTGCTGATTGTTGCGTGTTATAGGCGTTGGTTCTAACTTGCATAACAAAGGATGTTTTGCATACATGTCCGGCCCCTAATTCCGTACGCAAATATGAATTCCTTGGGTGCCTTCTTTTCTCATTGGAATAAAGCAATCCGAAGCCATTTCCACGTTCTTGATTGTGGTCTGGTAGAGCTCTAGCACTCCCTCGTCACCCTCATCCCTCACACCCTGGACAGCATCTGTATTTGCCGATCCGAAACGACTAAAGATGCTCGACAGGCAGATATACAACTCAGCATATGCCAAGTTCATACCAAGACATTGCCTACTTCCCTTGGAGAATGCGACAAGATACCTATCTAGCCACTTGTTTTCAATCCATCGTTCGGGCCGAAACTCGTTGGACTTGGGAAAAATGGACTCATCATGATGGAGCAGAACACTGGTCATACCGACTGGTGTCCCTGGTGGGATGATCCAGGTCTTGCCTGACGAATCGGGGAAAATAAGATGCTTGTCTGGAGATATTCTCTGCAGACGTGTTGCCACTCCATTGCTCATCCGGAGGGCCTCCTGAACTGTTGCTTTGAGATAGGGCAGCTGCTCTAGCTGCGCTAGTGGGATTGGCTGGTTTCGGTCTGGAATGGCCGCTTTCAATTCCTGTTTAAGTTTTGAGAGTAAATTAGGCGAGACAAGCAGGTAGTATATCGCAACGCATAGCGCCCATGAGGTACTTAGAGTGCCGGCACCAACCACGATAAGCGCCTCGTCTTTCAGCCGTGATACGCTTTTGTCAGACTCGGGCAAATTGCTTTTGAGGATCTCATGGAACAAAGTCGGATGGCCGAGATGCTCATAGGTGGATCCTGATCCTGACTGAGACTTGATACCAGTAATGATATTCTCGACAAGCTAAGCGACCCGTATGTAAGAACTTGTGTTGGCACTTTTGGATTGAGAGAGTATGGGATAGGTTCCTACCGTGTAGAATCGAAGCGACGACGCTAATGCGGGTGATAATTTCGCTTGCAGCCACGGTGGAAGGCTGCTGATGAAGTGGAAAATAAACATCATCTGCTTCATCAAGTTTCCGGATTTGGCTATGGTAACGGCGGCATCATAGTATTCGGATCCCCAATCGTCCTTGTCCAGATAGTGATCCGACTGACCGTACGAGTACTCCCTGACAATGTCTGACATTCCAGTTAGAGTCTGGGGGGTGCTGGTCGCCAACATACTACACACATACCATTCGTAAACGCAGCCAGTGCATATTCCAGAGGAATTGGATTCTTCGAGGCTTGAGCTTTGCGGAACCGGCCGATCAAACTCTGAGCGCGCTCATTGAGCAGTGGTTGCAGCCGTCTCACGCTTGCTGTTGAAAAGAAGCGATTCAATGCAGCCCTGCGTACACGATGTTGGTCGTGCCCGGTCGTTGAGAACATGGACTCTGGCGTACCAAACTGTTTTGTAAACCAACTCCATCTATCGCGTTTCTCGCCACTTGACGTTGAAGCATACAAAGTGTCGTAGTAGTCGGGATCCGCTATATGCAGTTCGTAGGGATTGATACGAATGATGGGTCCGTACTTTTCATGGAGATGGCGAATGTGGAAGACGTACCGCCCGCGACGGACGACGTCGTAGTAGAATTCGTACCTGCAGTTCCAAGATATTAGCGCATGGTTGCAATTGTAAGTAAGCCCTTTTCTCATGCAAACCACTTTGTCTGTTCTCCCGAGGTGAAACCCCTACCATAGAGTCAGCGCTGCTAGTTTTGGCCCTGGAAATTTGGCCAACGGGCTGAAGTAGAGTCTGAAAATGCCCAGTGCAACGAGGTATACAGTCCACAGGGCCCCGAGTATCGAAAGCAGACCGGCCATATTCTGCTGGATTTGATTGTAAATTGTTGTGTCTGTTTTTGAGTGAGCATAGCTAGGTACTTGGGGAGGCACAAACGTGGCCAAATTTGGACTTTTTAAGTCTAGTTAGTGAGTAGCATTGGCTTAATAAATGATTTAGCATACAGAGTAAGCAAGCCACATAGCCATCATATTTGTGCAACCCAGGCTGTAAGCTTGCATGATTGTTGCATGACACGATAACGAACCAATTTTCCTTTGGCTGCATAGGTTGATTCGGAGTGGGGCCAAGCAGGATTTATATTGAAATTTGAGACTTATGTATGCACCTACTAAAGTTGGGAATAGGCTAATATATCCATTGGCTAGATTGGTTACTAACGATGCTCGCCCATTCTTCAGCTTGCTTCCTACTTAGGGTTAATCGTGGGGCTGCTAGGGCCGTCGCGCTCGCAATCACCACAGACAAGTTGCTTGATTGAATGGCTGTTTGGTTGCATACGATTTTAACTGATATATAGATACTTTGTACCTCGCAGTGCAACTGATAACGGGGCTGAACCCCGACAAAGCGCTTTATTGTAACTAACTATGGCGATACCTGCTACGCTGTATTGTCCGACCTCAGAACAGAGACCTCTACTTGTTTCCTAATCCCTAAGTGCTCTTCGCTTCCCAGGATCCTCTCCAGACTGTCTGCATCTCCTATCCGATCGCTATCAGTCACAGATCTTTCGCCGAAGCGTCGAGAACCACCGGTTACGGTGTTTTGTAGCGTATTAGTCTTGTTATTATTAGTGCCCGGGAACGGCCCAGTGAGTTCGTACGATTGTGACTTGGCGACGCTTGAGATTTTGCGAACAGATGACATGACCAACGGCCAGATGGCTGGCACCGAGGACGTGATGATGATGATCGCATTTTCTGCGTACGCCCAGCGTATCAGGAGGATACCGCCGGTAGCTCCCACATTTGTCACGCTGGGAACGTCTTCGAGCGCAGTTGTTTTGATAATCGAGGCAACCATAGCCCTGAACGAGGGAGAGAGGGGTTAGAATGAGTATCTCACAGGCTAGGTGGCTTACACGTACAGTAATCCCAAGCTGAGAAGGAAAATCAAACTGATTTTGACCTTCAACTTCAAATTCAAATTCCAGAAAACAGTAGCCGGAAAGACGACCAGAAAGAAATCAGTGGCTGTATTCAAGGCTATTGAAAAATGCAGCATAGCATGTGTTAGCTCCAAAAGCAAAATCTTGTAATGGGGTCGATGCACTAACAGGATGAGAAATACGAGAATTTGACGACATCGCTGACATTTCCACAGGTTGTATGGACGCTAGGGTCCCAGAGAATTCTGACATTTCGGCATATACTGAGCGGCAGCACAGCTGAGACAATGTTGGATGAAAGTTGTAGCAACATGCTAGTCCATAAGGCGATGCGATAAACTGTATTAATGCTAAGAATCCTGAGCAAGTACAGCGAGAATGATAATCGGGCGATGGCAGTGCTGATGGTTAGAAGCGGCACTTGAATGGCAATGCATCTCAAGACGTTCTTCAAAGGCTCGGACTGTAGAGTTGATAAGTTCTTGCCAAAGCCATTGTGGACTGAGATAGTGAGGAAGGATGTCGATGAGATAGCGAGGCCCTGAATGTGATATCAATGAGCATGCAGAAAAGAGGGCGTGGGGAATGAAGAACGCAGACATACCAATGCTACAAACATCAATATATCGTCTATTCCGAAGTTGCGGATTTTATACTTGGATATCGCTCGCAAAAGAACAATGACGACGGCGATGCCCATCGCCGCCCAGATCCCTCTGACAAGGCCAGGCCCTGCATTAGAAGACATAGTCTTTCACTGCCCGTGTATAGGACATAAGTTATGTGGCTAGGAGAGCTGTTTATCTTCCGCACACTGCGGTCAAGTTCGTTCAGAATAGAATCAGAATAGAATCATTATTCATTGCCGAGATTTACTTTACAGTGGAAAAAGTCGAAGAGGTCAGAGCGTAGCTCAGGGTTGCTGGTCCCATGGTTTGTATGTGGCGCTATTGGAGGTTTCCATAGTCCAGTCACACAATTGCAGCGGACCCTAAATCTGGGAATGTTCAAGAACAATCGTGGCCATCTGCCTTCAGGCTAGTAGTAATACCTCTTTATACAATACCCACCATATCAGCCTTGGAATCCGTTACTGCGGAGTTTATAAGGAGTTGATCAGGTTATATAGTATATATATAGTTATATGGAACAAGGATATCTATGTACCTTTTTTTCAGCCACATCGAATCTTTCTGCAGCCAAATAGAGAAATGTAAATACGAACTCCGTTCACAGCTAAACCCATTGCGAGCACGCCCCGTGTGGTACGCGCTGAAAACGTCGATCGCAAAAAAGCCACCGACCCAGACTTTTTGCGGCCCTTGGTCCCAGATTTTCGGTGCAAATTCAGATCTAAGGTAAAAACGCTGCAGATCCTCAACAACTTCTAACAGCCTGCTTGGCATCCCCCGCTTACCCCTTCCCTGATAGGCAACTTCTCCGACAAGATCAGATCCCGAGTTTTCACGCATGTCGGGTGTATGTATAACCGCTAGATATACTAATCCAGAATGTTCAAACCAACGCCAATCATTTCACCTTGACGCACAAGATTGTCCAAACCATGATGCTTGCAAGCCACGTGGTTGCGCTCAGTGCTATCCTCTTGCCGGCGCTTGCATCGTGCAGTCTCGACTGCTACTGTCTGCCCGGAGATAGCTGCTGGCCCTCAGCATCAGCATGGGATCAGCTCAACACCACTGTCGGCGGCCGTCTTGTCGCAACTGTTCCCATTGGAACACCTTGCCATGACCCTACCTTGGATGAGGCGGCGTGTGCAACTTTGCGGTCCAACTGGTACCTGCCGGAAACCCAGTAAGTCACGTTACTCAGTGTTCTTACCTCCTGCTCAACAAGACGGAAGAGCTTATTGCTGCATAGCTTCGTGTCTTCTTCGTCGGTGATGCAACCCTACTTTGCGAATCAGAGCTGTGACCCATTCACTCCGGAATCTCAACCATGCCTCCTTGGCAACTATGTGAGCTATGCTGTCAATGTATCATCCAGTGATGATGTGATTGCAGCCATACAGTTTGCCCAGTCCAACAACATCCGTTTTGTCATTCGCAACACGGGCCATGAGTAAGTAGTTCGAATATATGAGGTACATGTGTACATACATTGAAATGAAACACACTGACGGCATTCATTCTCGTTAATTCAGCTACTTTGGACGCTCGACGGGTGCCGGAGCCCTTTCAGTCTGGACTCATTCTTTGAACGATATCCAATACCTTGACTGGGCCGATTCATCATACACCGGTCCAGCATTTAAACTTGGAAGTGGCGTCCTCGGATACGAGGTACTTGATGCAGCTTCCGCAAAGCAGCTTGTCGTCGTTGGCGGAGAATGCCCGACAGTTGGCCTAGCTGGCGGTTATACCCAGGGCGGAGGGCACTCGGCCTTGAGCACGGCCTTTGGCTTGGGCGCTGATCAAACACTCGAGTTTGAGGTAGTTACTGCTGCCGGTGAACTTGTCACAGCCTCGCGAACCGAGAACACCGACCTTTACTGGGCTCTGAGCGGTGGCGGTGCTGGGAACTGGGGCGTTGTGGTGTCTCTCACCGTAAAAGCTCACCCGGATTCCACTGTATCCGGCGCTGCCCTCGAATTCCTTGCTGCCAACACGACAGCTGATCTATTTTATGAGGCCGTGAATCACTTCCATTCTCTTTTGCCCAGCATGATTGATGCAGGCGCCACGGTTATCTATGAAATGAATTCGGAGGCTTTCATTATCCATCCAGTTACTGCCTATAATAAGTCATCAGCCGAGGTTCAGTCCATCCTTTCACCATTCCTCTCCGTTCTCACCAATTTAAGTATTCCATACGCTGTTTCCTATTCGGAATTCAGCGGATACTATGACCACTACAACAAGTACATGGGTCCTTTGCCTTACGGAAACCTAGACGTTGGCACTTATAATTATGGCGGTCGTCTAATCCCTCGCGCTGTGCTTGAATCCGAACCTGCCACTGCTACATTGAGTGCAACTTTGCGCAACCTGACCGAAAATAGTGTTCTCGTCGTCGGTGTTGGTCTCGATGTGTCCAAGGAACAACCCAACGCCATATTTCCTGAGTGGCGCAAGGCTTCTGTCACCATGCAATTTGGGACTCCCTGGAACGAAACCGCTCCTTGGTCCCAGATGATCGCAGACCAGCTTCGCATAACTAATGAATTTGTGCCCCAGCTTGAGGCCGCAACTCCTGGTGGTGGTACTTACGAGAACGAGGCTGATTTCCGTCAACCCAACTGGCAAGAAACATTTTTTGGCTCTAATTACGAGCGTCTAAAGGAGATCAAAAACAAATGGGACCCCGAATCGTTTTTCTATGTCCTTAAAGGTGTGGGGAGCGAAGTTTGGCATGTCTCTGAGTCAGGCCGGATGTGCAAATCCGATAATTAATACATGCGCGTGCATAATCAACTAAAGTAATTGCATCTTTGCTCTTCCTTTCCCCTTTCCCTGGGTTTCCCTTTTCCTTCTTCTAGATAGATAGAGCATTGTATTAATACATCATTGACAGTTCTTATCTTTAATTCTTGGACACGTAGAATTCGACAAGCTGAATAATCTATATTACTCCGCGCTAATCCTGTCTATAGACCACGCATTCCACAAATGTATTGTTTGGGCCGCTGATTATAATATATAAGAATACTGCAACATGAAGTTACATTAAATAAAGATGTACCTATATCTTACGTATGTGAGCGATTGAAAACGTTGGAAAAACAAATGCGCACTTGACACTGTAGTTGCAATCGTCTCCGTACCTATTGTAGGAATATCTATTTCAGAACTCGTGGCCTTACTATCAGTCGGTGTTGCAGTAGACGATGTAAATGTAGCAGTGTACCGCAATCCCGCCCTGCACTGCGAATAAAGATACTCCCACCCAGCAAATCGAAGGAAATTTCATAGCGTGGTCAGGGTACAGTCTTCTTGTAGTTTGTTAATTTCTTTCATTGATGCAGATGTAAAAGAAGGAATGGAAAGAAAGGATACCACAAAAAAAGAAAAACGGACAGAAACTGAGACTAAGTGGAGGATGTCTCTCTTATCTTACATTGCCCTGTGCTTCGCCTACTGGGATTTAGCCATTTGGCCCGGAAATTTCTGACCAAAAAAATATGATAACACGGTTGATTTCTTGTGACATTTATTCCGGACTAACCTTCGCAGGTGGACAAGCCGGATATCTTTGCATTTGACAGCCCATGAATTGATATACCCATTAAAGCTGAGTTGTAATGGTATAAATATCATTTCCCTCCTTTTCGATAATATATCACATACACAGAGTCGATGGTAGGAGGATATCCGATACATACTTCGTATATCGGGTGTGTGGATACTTGCGGAGCGGGCCGTTGCCCAAATCTTCGAAAAGCTTATCGGGAGGCCCACGATCGTGATTCCCATATCCACCCTATAAGTTGCTCAAATGTCTATACATTGACTATTTTCTTGTTGTTCCATTAAACAGGCCATTGAGCGCAAAATTTTATTTCGTGGCAGGCACGCTATACATTGACTTGTCCCTAGCCTCACCTTCACACATCCAATCACGCTGCAAGGCTTGTCACCGGTCTCAACAATGGGGTCATCAAGGCAAATTTACCCTTAGCGCTCTCTGTAGCCAATGAAATACTATTCAGCCAAGTCTTGTTACAACACTGAATTGACAACATACACGGCATTTTCAAAAGCCTACGCAACATATCGAACACGAATTGTGAAGGGGGCTGTCCCCAGTTATATTGTAAAGTTGAGTGTTATTTGTCTTTCCATTCTTGAGAGAGTCATCATACATTAGTAATTCCCTTACCCGCTCGACAGAAGTCTCATGCTGGGCAGTGCCTGTTGTCATAACGCGGCGCGCACTGAGCACGACAGGGAACAAAAGAGAAATGGCTAGCTTGTAAATTACCAAGGTAGGATGATATAATTCAAGAAACAATTCCCCTCGGTCCTCTAAGTTTATCTGGCCCGATTGAGGCGGTGCAAACAATTAAACACGTACATCCCCATGACTACATGCACGAAGGACTCATGTAACCGTAATTTACTGCAACGAGAGGCTATCCGACGACCATTTAGTTGATTTACGTAGTTGATTACTCTGAGAATCCATTACCTACTGACAAGAAATTGTTCTAGACCAGGGACTACTTGTAGATCAACCACACCCTTCTACTTGGTATCCAACTAACAGGCCAGACTCGTTCCTTTTGTTGCTGTAGGTTTGACAGCTGCGCCTACCACTTAGTTATTTCTTTTTGTCCGGGTACTAGGTATTTCGTTTGTTTACGAAATGGCGGTGACTGTCTCCTACAATAAACTTCCCCATGCATGGGTAAACTCCATCAGTCCATTCTCAAACAAACACGCCTATTGAACGTATACCGCTGACAAAAGGCAGTCGGGCGTATGTCAGAGCTGTGTATCTGGGTAGGTGGCGAATTTCCTGGCTGTGCATATGCACCCGCTCGCTCTGGCCTTATCGCCTGGGTAATCAGGCTTCACTTTCCCCACCATGCATGACTCCGAAAGAGCCTCCGCCTGATCATCGTTTAGGTATAAATATCTCCCCCGTTTTCTCTTCCTTATGCGTTAAGCATGGTGGTCCCAATCTTGGGCCACGCAACATCCCTATATTCCTTCTATATATATCACGCGCCTGGCTTTCTGAGGCTCGGAAGTTCATTCTCTTGAATACAATACCTAGCTATTTCCTCGACAGTCGTTGATTCTTGACTCTAGGCCTGGTTCGGCATAACACCTAGAAGGCAGCTATCAAATCAACTTTGACGTTGGAGTACTTGACTCATATATAATTGAATGACACGACCTCACAAAGAAAACCCAGCATTGTTCAGTCGCCAAAAGCGAATATGAACCCAAGATTCATGGACTACTCCCACCTTGTCCCAGGGTTCCATTACGAGCGTCGTCCGGCGAGCGAGCGAAGGTCTTCGGTCTCAATCACTGATGGTACGAGTAACATGCAGCGAGAGCTCTCCAGCTCATCTCATGTCACTGAGTCATCACACACTACCAATTATATACACTCAAATATAGGTGACTCGTCCCCGAATTCTCTCATACCCGCGTATCTACGACATGACTCCGGCGCCTTCTTCTGGAACAAAGGTCAGATCCAGGTAGAAGATGACAATTCATTTATCGCCGATGGCCATAGCCTGCTGCCTCCAGCGCCTCAGCTCCCTCAGCTTATACTGAGTGCCGATCATGGTTTGCTTAATATCGAGTCCAACGTCAACCCGGATGCCCTTTTCGAATTCGTTATAAACAAACTGCGACAGGAATACCGTGCACAGCCAGACCGCTTAACCTATGCACGGAATTTGGCCCGTACATACTTGGGAGTGGACTCGATTAACAGTTTCTTATCCTCAAGAGAACAGAATTCTAGACCCCCCAAGCCACGGACCCAATCTCGACCCAATGCCCAGAATTCTCAGAAGAGAGAACAATATCTTTGTTTACTCTGCGACTCACCTCTTCATCTATGCTCGCGAGGTGCTTTCAAACGCCATGTGAACGAAATGCATCAATCAAAGTCCATATTCCTGTGTATGCACTGTAATTGGCATAATCCTCGTAAAGATAAACTGCGAGACCATCTTCGGATCAAGCATCCGGACGGTAGTCAAACAGCGCACGACCTCAATGATCGGGAGCTCATGTTAGATGTGCCCTCCACCTGCGACCTATGTGGACCTTATGCGTCACCAATCCACAAACCACCGTTTCAATCATGGCAGTCCTGGTTTGAAGGCATCGAAATGCACTGCCGTGTCGAAGATGATGAGGGAGGAAATACCGAAAGCGGATCTAATCCTCCCAATCAGAATGGGGGGAATGCTGAAGGGACCAGCCGGGGGTATTTTCCAAGCACTCCCTTTCTTCAAGGGTCAGATGCAGGCGGACTGTAGCTCCGTTCTACCCACTAAAACTTTTGAAGGAGTAACATTACACTATGGGATTGAGAATAGACAAAATTCCATAGAATCAAACGGTACATCCCAAGTTCCATCGACACACGAAGATTGAAATGGACATGTCTTCCATTCGGCGCTGGGAGACCTCTTGCCCTAAACTTTTTAGTCCATTTGGCTCTTCTCGCAGAAGCTAGACTTTCCCAATCTGCGTATAACGACAAGTCCTCAAGTAAGACTCTACTTACGTGAGCCTGGATCTCTTCGGCGGGGAAGTTGCTGGGTTGCGGTAATCCAGCATTGCGCAAATCGTCGTTGAATGCAGTTTGTTCAACTGCTTTGGCAGGGGCCTCGTCCGGATCCTGGGAACGCTGGCATCCTAGGATCAGCGGAGGTCTAGGGCTGAGGATATAGATCTGTGGGGGACACGAGAGCACGGGCCCATGGTTGAGGGAGGCATAAGCTGTGTTAGGTATAGGACCCAGGGAGCAAGGGCACGAGTATGAAGCCGGGGGACTAGGTCGCGAGATCCAGGCCATGGGAAGTCAAGCCGCGGACCTGAGTCCATGCTGGGTTGATGACCACGGACCTAGGTCCAAGACCCACCAGGATTGTTAGGCCTCAACATGATTGGCTTGGGTTGCAACACCTACAAGCACTATAAGGCTGTGGCACAGCCATTGGGGATTATTGCAATGCTATTATATAGAGATAATATACTGCAATTCATCGAACTAGCAGATTATTTCTTTGTTCGGTCTTGCGTTTATTCTTGCTTGATTGAGTCTTGCAGCAGTGCTTTGTTTAAACAACTATATGATCTCAAATCATAACTCCTAATCAAGGTGATTCTTTTAGCTATGTAACCACGTGGCAAAAGCAGATGTCCTGTTAGATGTGGCGTATATACGTCGGTGTGTAAGTAACATATAAATCGTATTAGAAGTATTCAGCTTGATACTCCTAGCTCCTCGTCTTGCTTATGAAAGATATGGTTCCATTCACAAAATCGAGCCCAAGACCGAGGGTCCCACCATTTTTTATATTACCCAAGCGGCTGAAAGAAGCCCTGTTATATCCACCAACAGTACGACGTTAATTTGTGATATGTACATACCGTCTCGCCATTGAGTTGGCGATCCCCCGCGAGGAAAACCATCTTCCTCCATACAAATTAACAGCGCAACTTTTACAAAGTCCAAAGGCTGCAACGCGCCCTGTGCCTAAGATTTTCTTTTATTATGTGTATTAACACACAAGATTACGCGTCATACTCGGTTTTCCATTTCTAGTGTTTTGGGCAGTCACAAGGATAGGAAACAGGCAAGCTTCTTATACAGTATAACTTTCGTAAATAATCCTTACTTTTGACCTTGTTTCATCGTTTGATCAACTAACATCATGACTAGAAACCTGACGGCGTGAAACTATTATTATTATATTAAAGTCCTTTGACTTTCAAGCAGTGACTTTCCTCCCTAAAAATCTGAAAGGAATAGCAATATGATAGACTACCGCTACTCAAAGCTGCAGAATGCCTCAGATGAGGATGAGCTGCAAGAAACTGCTAGAAAACATTACAGAAATGACCGGGACGCTTATCGTATAAGGATCCTGGTTTCTTGCGGAGTGCTTTTTATGTTTATTGTGAGCCTCTTGGTTCTGTACTGCAGAAGGCACACCGTATCTATGATCTGATGTATTGAATGAATGGTACGTTGAATTCATGAAAGCAATTCAGGAGTTTTGACTAAATTGCTATTAACTTAGGGTTTGGAATATTCTCTAATGCTCAAAGTCGTGACTTAGTTATAAATGGAGCTACAGGGCCTCAGTCTGAGGAACATGATGTCCAGGGATGATTGATTTGATTCTTCATATAACTCGCATGTAAGCCTACGTGTGGCCGGCGGAGCTATCTAATTGGGCAACAAGCAGCATCTCACAAACGTCATGCCATCTTCCACTTTTCATCAATCTGCTATATATTCTTTTTTATTTGGGTGCCCCGCATACCCTTATTTTACATGGAGTTATGTAACGGAAAAATCGCATCATGCTAGTATGGAGTTTTAAGAAGAAACAAATTCGCGAAAGCGAACCATCTGTGTTTTCAATAGATGTCAAGGCAACCAACCCCCTCCAGAATGGATAGATGAAAAAGAAAAAAAAAATATTATATTGACACATTCAATCAAAAACACAGCATCTTGCGAAACGCCCAGATGGATCCTAATCAATTAAAAGTATGAAAAAGAAATGAAAAAGGGAAGAACCAGATAATCAAAGGAAAATGCGCCATTCCAGATATACTTGTTTGACAGACGCACATTGAAGAGAGAAAACAAAAGCATCATAGTAACTGAAAAGAGGCAAAAGACAGAGACAGAGAAATGCTTCGGCATTCTCGTTCCTTCCAATTTATTTCGGTACATGCAGAAAGGAGATGTTGAAAAGAGCCTTGAAGACAGGAGAATAGGGAAATATTTTTGTAACACAAGTTTAAGAAGAATCAGATGACGGCAAATAGAGCGAGTGCGATAATGACACACAATTGAACGATCTCGTCTCTCAGATAGGGAGGAAAGAGAATCACTCGCTTGGATTCTGCGATGTAGTCTGGCTAGAATTCATCGCGCGAGATATAGTAGAATGATTCAGAGATTGTAGGTTAGTAAGCTATTCCTGCCTTGTCCTCTTCGCACCGTGAGGATTCCAGGATCCCTGATCGCCACCACCCATCTGAGGGTTGCCCTGGAAGCCACCGCCGAAATTGGGATTGAAATTTCCCGCTTGAAATCCTGTAGATTCAAAAGACGTTAGAAAAGAACAACCGCCAAAGCATGCTTGTGCTTTGAATGACCAAAAAAGATACTTACCCATGCCCATATTGCCCATCATAGGATTCATTCCCCCAGTCATTGCAGGATTCATACCCATTCCTCCCATCGGATTCATTCCCATGCCCATCATGTTAGGGGCGCCGCCCATACCGCCACGACCACGCATGTTAGGACCCCCACGCATCCCACCGCCCATCATGTTTCCACCGCGGTTGTTAAAGCCGCCATAGTTACCCATAGCTCCACCCATGTTGTTCTGGAAGCCTCCACCCATAGGACCACCGCCGCCTTGGAATCCACTGTTCATACCTCCGGAGAAATTGCGATTGTTATAGCCCATGCCACCACCACGGTTGAACCCTCCACGTCCACCACGGAAGCCCCCACCGCCAGCCATGTTGGTCATACCGTAGTTCATGTTCTGATTGCCAACTTGGTTGAATTGTCTGCTATTGCGGTCATCCTTACGGGCAGGAGCATCCTTTGGAAGTGTGCGGAATGGGTTCTGATGTGGGTTAGTGTAGTTGGCGCTGTGTTTACGACCTGGTTGGCCAGTATTGGCGTAGTGCTCGATCAAATGCTTAACCGCTGTGGCAGCTTGTAAAGTTGTGAATTCAACATATGCTTGACTAGAATAAATTGCAGACACAAAGTTAGCTATTACTGTCACCCTTATAAAAAGCGACTTGATACTCGAAAAAGGATGGGAAAGCAAGCTCAAACCTTTTGCTCTTTCCATTCACTTTGTGTTCGCTGAATGTGACATCTTTCAATTCATTTTCGGCGTCGGCTTCTCTTACCCAACCGCGAATGTCGTCGTCAGTAGTCCACCAGAACAATTCCGAGACGAAGAGAGCAGTTGTAGCATTTGGGTCAGTTGGCCGGTCTTCGGACGAAGATATCTCCTTGCGCTTCTGGCCTTGTTGTACGGGCTGCTGGTGGTGGTTTTGAGTGACATTCTGGCCAGTGCCCAGATTTTCATGCGAGACATCATGGCCGTTTGCTGTCTGTGCATTATCAGTACCGTACTGGGCCTCTCCACCTTCGTGGCCGTTCGTCTCTGGGGCATCCAGAATCAACTCGGGGCCTTCCTGGCCATTGTAGCCCCCATCTCCGTAAATGTCAAGATCAAAGTTATCGTCCTCAGCCATCGTGATGGGTTATGTGTAAAACGGGTTTGGTTGATAGACAAGTGAGAACAACTATCAATATTGATTTTTCTGGGTCTGTTTCTTTCTTTCTTTTTTTTATGCACAAGTCTGGGGTTATGTCACTCCTCTTCCCTGTGTGTATAGACTTTCCCCTCGATGAATCAATATGAATACATGTCTGTTCATGATGAAAAAAGTATTAGCATGGAGAGAGTTATCAACAGGACCTGGTGGTAAGCAGCAGGAATCGAATGTGCAGTTGCCGATTCACGAAAAAAAGCTCCAGCGATCAGAGACAAGCACAAGAAAGGTACGTACAAGCTAGAGGTAGGTTTTTCTTTTCTTTTTCTCTAGAAACAAACAGGATACCACCAGGGGAAAGCTTTGAGATTATCTTCTTTTACCCGGACTGTCCTTGATGACAAGTGCAGGGCTCTTTTGACAGAAGTGTCTGTGACGAAAGAGATATGGACCTATCCACAAAATGCAGCAAACTGCCACAGACCAGCAGGGATTGATATCAAGACTTGAGAAGGAGACGCGAGCAAGTTGGGGCGAGGCAGTTCCGGCCGAGTTGCGGCAAGTGAGATGGGTCGTTCGGAGCTGCAGAATGTTTCTCCGCCGGGCTAGGCTTAGTCGGGCCTAGCACGCATCTTGCCATGAGGCCAGCTGGATTAATCCCGTCGCAACCTCAACGAGGCAACTTAGAGTCAACCAAGCCAATTCCTCTCCTTTTTACTCCGGTTTACTCGTGCTCTCTTTCTTTTTTTCTATCATCTTAATCACATCTCAATCAAACTACACAAGAGAACCATTGAGCGCGATGTCTGACACATTCCAAGAACTCGCCGATATCCCCAAGGTATGATTCCCGTCCCTGATTCTCTGGCAATCAGCCCATGATATTTTGTCGTTTACTAATTGCCTCATTATTTCTTGTAGGACTTCGTCCGCGATGGCATGCAATTTGTGAACCGCTGCACCAAGCGTTAGTTACTCTCCGCTGAACTCCTGGACGTTTTTTGACTACCTTCGTCGTTGATGTTCTAACCCCCCTCCGCAGCAGACAAGAGGGAATTTCTTAAGATTTCTCAAGCAGTTGGTAAGTATTATTCTGAATCTTTCCGATCCTGTTTGTCGCCTCTTGCCGCAAGTAGCTAATATATTTTGTGATTTGTGAAACAGGTGTCGGCTTCGTTATCATGGTATGTCTTTGGAAATAAGTATCATGCGGATTTAGGAGTCTTTATATACTAAACAATTGTTTGTGTGCTTGGATAGGGTGCTATTGGGTACTTTGTCAAATTGAGTGAGTTGCCTCCTATTATGTCTGCGACTTTGGGTGCTTTGCATGAGCCTTAAAGGTTTTGATTTGATTCAGGCCATGATGCTGGAAGCCTCCCATATTCATTTAACGTCGACTAATCATTTGTTTCATAGTCCACATCCCCGTAAACAATGTACTAGTGGGATAGAACCCATATTCAAGGCATTCGCCTCGACCATGGATGTCAGACGAACGATGGTGGACGGGATTAGAGAAACCGAAAGGAAGAAACACGCTCACAGCCTACGATGTATGAAGGGCCATACATAATTACCACGCATAATTCTCGTATAGCGACACATTACACGGGGAGCAACAATTTTGATTTTTGATGATCAAACATCTAGGAGTTTTTAATGGGTGATGGGGAAACAAAATCACTATATACCAATTGATCTTTTGTTTCTGAAATTGTCTTTTTTTCCAAAGCACGCTTTTTCAACCCTCTTGATATTCAGTCATACAAATTCGCGCAAGAAAGAGAGAAAGACCAGCCTAGGCTATTGTTGTATATTAATTGAAACCACAAATGGGAAACAGGAAATTTTTGAAAATGATTTGGATTGCTCCTGATATAACTAGCGCAAGCAAGTTGCGTCAAGACCTTGTATGGGTATATCATCAATAATTTAGTTCAAACTGTAATGTAGAGTAGCTGGGAAATCGCAGTCAAGAGTAAAGTATAGTATCTGGATTTGCATTGAAAAATTCCATTCCCCCCAAAAACCGAATATGAAGTATCAAATATGGATGTGTATCGTATTTTGAATCCAACCTTTCAGCGGCTTACGATGGCGCAAGTCTGTAAAAACGGGTATTCACATGAATCTATCTCGGATATTCTCGCGATAGCTGTTGAACTCGCGATGATAATTGAGCTTTTCGTCAAAACTCAAGCCCATTGGAGGATCACCTTCATCCTCAGTCGCCGAATCATTCCAAGAATGTACACTACACGTGCCGGAGGACATACCCCATCCATTCCAAGACGTCGCTGAAGAGGTAGTTAGTAAATGTTCGTGAGAATGAGGTGATATGAAATATTCAACTTACCGGCTAATACAGGTGCAGATGGGTGCCAGCTCACATCACGGACACATGTCTTCCAGGCATCATCACCCCGTCTCATCTCGAACTCCGCAAATAGCCCCTGATCCTGCGGTCTCGAATGTGCAGTCACTCTCCCGACATCGATGACTCCAGCTAAAGTCGCATCGATATTGTATATATACACTTTGCCATCCTCACTGCCAGAATAGACATACCGAGAGTTGGTGCTAGATGGGGGTGAGAAGTGGCAGCGGATCAAAGTTCTCAGTACGCGGTGACCTCGGAAGGTTACAACAGAGCAGTCATGAGGGTGAGGAGCGTAGTCTTCATCTGAGTATGACATATATCTATAGTCAAAACCGGTGGTGTAATGACTAATATTGATTTTGTCGAGTTGCTCGGTTGTGCACATCTTCCGCAAGTCCCACAATTTCATCATTTGATCCTTACCATTCGATAGAACATAACGGCCGTCACCTTTGCTATCAACATATGTCAGACCTTCTGTATGGCCTACAAAGGCTCCGGCCTCGCGATTGTCATTCATGGAACGTCGGTCCCAAATTCGAATTGTGGTATCGTCCGATCCAGAGTAGAGAATATGAGGCGAGGAAGAATCGCCAAAACACACCGCATTGACTTCATCTTCGTGGTTTCGTAGTTGAAGTATTGATTGTTGCGTCTCTACATCGTAGACGATCACTGACTGGTCGGATGTGCCAGCCACAATTTCTCTGCCGTCACCGGAGAATCGGAGAGACCATATCTATTCAAAACGATTAGCAGGTACAAGATAAGGCAATAAGGATGTAGAAAATTCATACGCCAAAACGACGATAAGACTCTCGTTGTCGTGCTGAAAAATCAAGTAATATAGGGTCAGAAGTGTCATTGGGGTCTGTCGGAGCCAAAGTTACTTGTCGTTGAATCGAGCTTATCGCAAGGTATTTATTATCCGGACTCAAGGTGGCATCTGTTATGGTCCATTGACCCCCGATGAAGCGGGCCGTCTTGTAATATTTCCAGTCGTGGGGATTGGAGGTGTCATACATCCGCACCTTGAAATCCTGCCCGCAGCAGAAGAAGAAGTTCCCGTCGTCCGAGAATTGGCCCGAATAGCATCGGGCATCGTAGTGGATGACTTTTTCTGCCGAAGTCTCGGGGATCATATCCTGTTTAGCAACGTATGATAAGCAATATTCTCAGCGGATTGCGAACATGCCAGTATAAATAGGCCCCGTACCTGAAGTACCAACCGTGTATCTCGTTTCCTCTGTCCAGGCGCTCCAATACCAAGCTCACGCCACATCATCCTCGTTGCCAATTTCCTCTTGCGCCTCTTTAGCACATCCACATAGTCGGGGTTGTTGCCGTAGAATCCGGAGTTCATCAATGCTATCCCATTCTCGCTGGGGACCTTCGGAAAATCGTGACGTGCTGCACGGTTTTGTCGTCGTCTGCGGAGTCGAGCAGAATCGTACCCATAGCCATCATCTTCATCATCATCATCGGCAGCAAACAGGCCACGACCAAAAATACCGTGTGATTGAAGGATTCGCTGAAGTCCCCGGGTGTCTAGAAGCTGGAGTATTTGTGCTGGAGTCACTATTGACATCGCTCGTTAGCGACAAAAGAATAATAAAACCCTGTAATTTCTGGGGCAGGGTACCTCTTGCTTGTCGGGAATTAGGATCTTCCCCTGTTTGTTCGTCGCTCAAAGGACCCATTGTCAACTCGATTTGAATATTGCCTTGTTGATCACCTAGTAATACCGTCAGTTATGAAATCATCTGACATTCCCTGACATTGAAGCCTCACGAAAGATTCCTGCAGTCGCAGCTCTATCATCTTGGCTATCCTCCTCGTCTTCATCTTCGTCGTCGTCGTCGTCATCGTCGTCATCGTCTTCACCGTCGTCATCGTCTTCACCGTCGTCTGCGTCAAAGAATAACATTGGGTTTGTCAAATCGGTCTCGGGGTCGTAGTCCATATCGTCGTCGTCATCATCCCCGCCATCGAGCCACTCGTTAGCTGGATGAAAGTCGTCTGAGACGTCGTCAGAGCTGGGCCCATGCACCGGCGGGGAGCTGTGGTCAGCCATCCGGGTTCTCTTGGGGGTAGATAAGAGAAGATAAAAACAAAACCAGGATCACAAAGGAACCAAAGCAAAATTATTGGCTTCAAGAGCTAGCACGAGGGTCGAACAATTACTAAGAGCAACAAAATTTGGGGAATGAGTGACGTGGGAAGATGTGAGAAGGTGTGGTGTGCTTCAAGCGTCGTCGGTGTTGTTGCAGTGTGGATGCGGAGTTGACGGTGAGACAGCTTATCGATAATACCCATACCCACCTTATGTCATGGCGGCCCTGCTTAACTCCGTCTTTCTCACTAGCACTATATAACACACGTTGATTTATATCTTAACCATGGCCTCCCATGAGCCAATATTCCTCTTGGCTTGCAGTGCCATACTATATTGGACCGCTTCCTGGCTAGAGTACTAAGAATATATAGTCACAGTTCAGGCAAACGCCCTTTTCAAGCCAATTGTTGCGGCGTCGATGCTATAGAGATTATTGTTAGCAACAGCTTCTTTAAATGACAAAATTTGTGTGCCTCCGCCAGAGGCCCTATGGCTAGGAAGGGTAGACGAGGCAGCATGCGACCCAGTCACACTATTCGAAGTCATGTAGATGGGGAAACGCTCCAGAATACCAATTTGGACAGATTATGGTTAATTAGAACTTGGATGCATGCAATCGATATCTGTGGGTATTTGAGGTACAGTCCTCAGTTCACAGGATAATATTATGGGAGCCATATAACAACGTTCCATCTTTTGCCGGGACATGGCCCAAAATGCTCGTTGCAGCACTATTGACAGGCAATCTCTATTAGGTAATTTAGCCTTTCTCTCAGGCTTGGGGACAAAGCGTGCTGGGAGCGCAAAGGAGGGTTGTTATATAGACACGCTATTCGTCTATCACAGCATGCTATATTCCTGAAAGGTATGAAGTTCCCTGAAATTAAGTTCTCCATCATCAAAAGCACGCCCAGTGGGCCAGTGGCCTCCACTCATAAATTTTCTTGTTACGAGTCTCATTTGTGGGGAAATCTACCTAAATTATATGGCTACTGGTTGTACTCGTTCTTCAACTTGGGTTCGTGTAATGTGCTCAATGGTTAATGAAAATTTCTCATAGACGTGGACATTGCATACTATATCCTATAAACCTCACATTTACGTCATTAGATTCTATTGAGAAACTACCTAGGTAAGATTTATTTATGGTTCTCACCCAGTTTTGTTGATTTGTGGGCGGTTCACGGAGCCCCAATATTTTCCTCGTGAAGCATTCGCAATCCAGATAGAAATACAAGACCAGGTTTCTAGCTGCGTTAGACAGCCATCATAACTGATGTTATGTCCATACTTAGTGATATCCTGCTACGAGTACTTTGTACCTGAGGTGAATATGCGTCGATGTCGGAATATAAAATAATTCCCGCAAGTAATCATGTCATAATAGTAGTGGGAAAAAGAATCGAGACGGGTAAGGAAATCATAGACAAAGGTTATGTAGGTCTATTGAGAAACCATTAATACCCCATATCACGCATTCGAAGGAATATGGTACTGAGTGCTCCATGGTACATAGTTACACTGATATAGTAATTACTTGCTTAAATCGGTTTGATGAAAAACTTCAGCGTTTACTGCGCGACTTGTGGTACTTTGTAACTAAACGACGTTTTCTCCTTACGAAATATGCTTTTTCTTTGACGTGTCACTGCGCCTCACTAAACCTTGCAACCGGAATCGATATTTCCCGCTCCTAAAATCTAATAGTGCAATACACCTGGGCATGTGGGACTATAGAGCACTCCTCGTTTATACATTGAGCTTATGTTGTTATTGCTGCTACCTACAGTGCCTTCGCAGTAGTGTTAACACCTTACACCGCCGCTTATTCTGCCGGATAAATCAAAATCTAGACATTATCATTGGTTTGAACTTTACAAAAGCTAGATTAGGAAAGCGGTGCGGGTATTATTTTTATTAGTAAGCAGGGGGTGTTAACACTACTGCACCCCCACTGTAGGTAGATAAGGGCCATGTCAAGACTTCGTAAAGTCAGCGTTTATCTCGACAAAATGATGTGCCAATTCAAAGACGAGTGTGAGTCAATTCAGCTGAGTCAAAACATGTATCAAGTACTTCTATTTATCGTCACAGGCTGGCTAGCTATACGTAATGCTATTCTCTGGAATATTTGGATGTTCAAAGAGGAAAGCATTCATGCGGCCATCCCCCCCAGACCCACTAATTTGTGGGTTTCCCATCAAGTTTGCCGATCCGTGCTTGGTCTCTTTCCAGAAACGGTATAGCTCTGTTCACTTATCAGCCTTAATGCGGGGTAGCATAATTTGGAAGTATTTATGGCTCTACGCTCGCTGCTGGCACTTCCCAAGACTCCAAGTCGTTTGCCCTAACCAACCACCACCAGCAACCACAGCAGCGCGAAACACAATTCATCAACGTGAAGATCTCCATTTCCCACTCGCAGTCTGTCTATCACCCATGAAGATTGTGGAAACATTCTACAGTCATGGACTGTGCGCAAGAGTAGGCGCAAACATTCAATCTGGTCAAGTCTGGTAGATATATGCTCTATATATAGACGCCTCTTACGTTCGAGTTGGCGAGATAGAGAAACAAGCTGTGCCTTCTAGGCATATACACTATTACCATATGCTTTCATCTATAAGCTTGTGTCATTAATTTCTACTCGAGGCCATATTTAGTTGAACCATGTTAGGACTTTCTAGTTAATAAGTTGAATATTAGTGTTTCTAAATTTCATCATAAGAATATTTTTCGTTGAACGCTATTATCACTCCCCAATTGTCCAAGATCATTCGCTGCATGCCAACGTGTCTGAAGTTTATTTGCCTCCTCGTCCCTACCTATCCGTGCGCATGGATGCATTTATTGATAATTTCGATTCCGACGTAAGTAACTTCCCTGCACTTCGACTACATCTCAACACACGGAACATTGCCCATTACGGTTGATAATCAATTACACGATGACTTACCAGGTCCCCCATATTTAACGTATGTAAATCCGCTTTTATAGTTTACATGGCTGAGAAGCTTCGTAGAGAAAGGTCATTGATATTTGGGAGTGTAGTTGTTATTATCTGTGCCACATCAATGGGCACCTGCATTTCGGCAGGCAGCTCCTCGAAGCGACCAAGCAAGTGAAAGTTTGGTTCACCCCTGAATCAAGAAGATTTCGAATGTTTGCGATGACTCTCGGTTTGAGACCTCCCCAATGGCGCCAAGACCAGCTCTGAAAACAGCCCGAAACGATGAATCTTCCACTGGAGTCGGTCGATCTACTTTTCGTTTCGGAACTGACTGATTCACTTCCCCCTCCCTCCTCTAGGAAAGACACTTTTATCAAAAAATACAGTGGGGGAGTTATTCAAAAGGCGTTGGATATCGTTAAAGCTTCAATTATGAAGAAAAATAGAGATTCTGTTGCGAGAAACTAGTTGTGATGAAATGCAGTTCCGTAAAGTCATTACGAGCAATCCAGAAAAGAAAACAGTCGACATGTAAAGTTCTGAGTACTCTGGCAAAAAAAAAAGAATTTCTAGCTTGATCAATTGATGCACAGAGTCTGCAACCTATTTAGTGTTGTATAAAGCCTTCCAAGGTTGCCTAGGTAGGCATCGACATTCGCGAAGATATGCAATAAATTTCTTCTTACGATAGAACAAGCTGCTTAGTTTCTAGGTACTGTGGTATACTTGTTTTGTTTCTCTCAATTCGCCACTACCGTCCTTATGTTACAAAAGGAGAGTAGAATCATATTATTAAATACAGTGTTCAAGAGGTACTAAAAACCAGCTAACTGTGAATTATTTATTATACCTATTTTATGATCGTTCTAGTGGCCTACCTAGATATCGTGAAAGGGAATAGCATATAGGAGTAGCTGTAAGCCTCCCGGGGTATTTAGGAACGAACCGGGCCACAAAGCAACAATCGTGCATATGTTGATAGTGGGAACAACCCCCCTAGAAGACTGTACCCTTGACTTGGGCAACCTTACCAACGTTGATATCTCTGAAGAAGAAGATCCAAATAAGTGACAGTCCCATGACGCCTGTTCCAGCAGCAAGCATCCTCGTCTGTCCATACCCATAAGCCTCCTGGATAGCCAGCCTTGTAGGACTTCCAGTTGGAAAACTGATCTGCGCGTTTATATCGTCATAAAGTGCGGAGTAGTTTCCCTTCTGAGATTCTGGGAGATAGCTATAAAGGGCGCCACCATAGGTGTTTGACCAAATAGCGCCAGAGATGGCACCGCCCAAGGCTCCACCAACACCGCCGACAACATTAAGCAATGCAAGGGCAGCAGCAACGTGTTGATGGTCAACGGCAGCTAGAATGGCTAGCTGTTCAATAATAATAAAGACACTTCCACCAATGGAAATGAAAATCTGACACATTACAAGATAGCCAACGGACTGGTTTGGACGACGGAAGTAGATCATCAAACCCTGTGCGAAGATGTAGAGTGGCACAGCAATGTACAACAGCCACTTGAAACGACCAGTTCTCCTGATCAACCAACCGACAAACAACAGAAGCACACCAGAGACCACATCAAATGTGTTATTGACATATCCGGCAGTGGTAATGGTCAAGTCATTAACGACAATCAGGAAGGAGGTAAAGTAATTGTCCCAGCAGTAGTAAGATACTTGGTATGTCACGTCTAAGAGGCACGCAGCAACGACGGTACGGTCAGACAGGAAGCGAAAGTCAAACATCGGCTTAGGTGCCACCTTCCACTCGTAGGTGCCAAAAAGTATGAGCAAGACAAAGCCAACAACAATCATGGCGATGATGTAGCCCGTTGCCCAACCATTGGGAGCGGAACTGGCGATATCAAACGGAATGAGGAAGATTATGAGCCCAGCCGTAAACAGGAAGACACCGACCGCTGTGCAAAGTTTAGTTTTCCTCAGATTCCAATGATGAGGCAGATATACTCACTGTCAAACTCGATTGCATAGTACCATATGCTTTGGATCAAGGTTCGACCGCTCTTTTCGTTTACCAAAAGGCCGTTTTTCTTAGCCTTGCCAAGGTTGTGCCTTAATGTAAAGTATAGAGGGGCAGCCGCGAAAGGGAAGATTATCGACCAACAGCCAAATGCCCATTCCCAGCTAATATCGTAGTTGAATTCCTCTGCTACCTTGGGGCCAGCGAACGCCGTGATGATATATGGGGAAGATGTGAAGGCATAAGCCAAACCTCGGTTTCTCAGCTTTGACGAATCGGCAGTAATCACATCGACACAATATGTTATACCCGAAAAACCAATGGAGTAAAAGACCTTGTAGTGAAGTGATAGATCCATGTTAGCGGTCTTTGTATGGTTACACAGTAATTGACGTGGGTATGACAGGTCTTACATATGCAGCGCAAAAGACGGAAATATTTGTACTGCAGGCCATGAGTACCAGGCCCAGAGTACAAAAGAAAGCCATGAAAAGAAAGCCGTTGGCTCGACCCCAGACGTCCATGATTTTCGACAAGGGGATGAAGACTGCAGCTGACGTGGAATAACCGACAACGTAAATGACGTTCAAGAGCGACTGGGCCGAAAAATCACTAGTGATAAAGTCGACGAGATTATCGAGGGTCGACTCTTGGAATGCATCAACAAGATAGATCATCCAGATGCTGTTGGATTATCACGGTTAGCTTTAAGTCTGTCAAACACATAGGGCATAATATGTTGATTGGTAACGTCATGGATCATGAAAGAGAAGAAAGTATACATACTTGCAGAAGACCGCAATCAGTGTACCTCGCGACCAGGTTAATGCTAGTGCTTCAGCTTCGCGAACACCGCGTTGCAAGCCCTCGCTAGGGGGTTCCTGTTGTACCCCATCACCTTCCTGGGTTCCAGCAGTGCTTTCAATGGAGGCAGGATCGATGTTCTTTTCCTGGACGGTAGTTGTCGTGACCGGAGCACTGGGTTCGTCGATTGACGACGCCCGATGCAAGGCTCCGAGGATCTTGGTAACCACTGGCATTTTTGTGTGAGACCTGAAAAGGAACCAACCAAAGTATGTTGCGGTGGTCAGGAAAGAGGAAACGTGATGTCCCAGGGGGCGTGGAAAAAAGGAAGAAACAAATCGCTCAAGCGAATGAGCCTCCCTGGCCTTTAAAAGACAAAAATGCGCTTAGCATTTCTAGCAATGCTGGAATAGAGTGAATAGGCGTTTCCCCGAAGTCGGCGGGAACAAGCGACATGGAACATGCAAGACTTTCCTCCCTGCACATGGCCCCACCGAGAATGACTGGTTGGGAGCGGCTGGAGGACGGGAAAAAAATCTAATCAGATAACTCCAGACAATCTAATCGATCAATAGTGGAAAGGTTAGGCGCTAAATAAACAAACAGTCCAATCAGTGGAGGGCCTGTTACATAAGTCGACCCCCTTTTGATTAACTTATGCTTATACAGTAAATACTGCCAAGCTCCGTCCGGCCAATGAGAGTGTTCGATAGATTATCAGATCATTTAGCCTTTTTTTTTCCGCATGGTGTGGTGGGCTTTCGGGACAGTACGGATACGCGGAGACGGACATCATACATACTAGCGGTTTTGTAATGAATGCACTCTGTAGTCAACTACTTTCACTCACCCGGCATGCTCGGTCCGTGAGTTCAGTTTCACTTCAAGAGTGTTTCGTTGTCAATTGACTTCCAAAATTTAGACAGCGAGCAAGTCTTTCAGACCGACGATGATCAAGTTGCTCCCTTTTGCAGAAACCCAAAAATGGAAGATTTGAAAGTTTTGGGACCCACATGCGTTACAGGTGGGGACAAGCTACGTGTAACCACCCCTCATCTGGGAACCGCCGTGTTATCAATCTAATCTGATAAGATGAAATCTCTGCACACCCCTCTCTCGCTTTGGCGTGCGTTGCCTATTTTAGCACAGTTAGCTAGTGGACTTTGCATCTCATGCTCTAATAAATGCTGCAACAGGAGGTTTTATTGGGTGGAAATTAGTATGAAGAAGGTAAGAGAGAAAAGATCATTTATGAAAGCATTTTAGCATACATCCGCTTTGGTCCTTGAGAGATTACAGCTTCGAATTTATCCAAGTCGGCGGTCGTTTTTCGACAAAGGCTCGGATGCCTTCAGCAAAGTTTTCTCCATTAACCAGACGTGGATACCATTCGTCAGCTAGACTTGACACGGCCTCTTCCACGCTACCTGTCTCCCAGCTTAGGCGGACCCCGTGGCGCCCAACAATCAGGCCATCTGGACTGTTCTTGCACATTTTCCGAGCAACTTGTACTGCAGCATTGACAACTTCATCTGCAGTATCCACAATTTGGGAGATAAGTCCCCATTCATAAAGCGTCTGGGCACTCACGTTTCGGCCGGTAAGCACAAGGTCCATAGTACGTTGTAGTCCCAGTGTACGCGTCAGCCGGGGCAAACATCCGGCTACGGGAACTATGCCTCGTTTAACTTCCGGCAGAGAAAACACTGCTGTTGACGAAGCTATGATCATATCGCAGTTTGCCACCATTTCAAAGCCCCCTCCCATGCATATGCCGTTGACAGCCGCGATGATCGGCTTCTTCCCAGTTCGACGTGGCAGTCCCGCAAGGCCCGGTGCAGTCATGTCATTGACCACGCCGGCTTTGTTCAACTCGTTCCATTCTGCGCGTTCAGACTGTGATCAGATAGTGTATGATAAGAATAACAACAACATAGAATACTGTACCTTGTAGATCGGCCCCGGTACAGAAAGCTCTCCCGGAGCCTGTGATGATTCCCACCCACAAGCTCTCGTCCCGGTCAAATAGATTCCATATCTGCTGAATCTCCCGGCTGGTGGCTTTGCTTATACAGTTCAACTTTTCGGGTCTGTTTAGTGTCACCTGGATGACTTTGTCATGCGGAAATGAGACTATGAAACTCTGGTATTGCGGTGGTCTCGATTTGTCGATATAATGTAGAGACATTGTTGACAAGTTGTGTATCGAGCACAACGAAAGCATAATGCTAGAACAGACATCTCCGACCATAAGCTTCTACCTTGATTTTATATTTTCCGGTGTGTTCCAGAGAGACAACCCCAGTACCTAGTACTTGGCAGTATCTTTGGTACAACACACCAACAATGCGGTATCGGTCCGCGGTACAAGTGCAAAATTACGGTTCCTACCAAACCCCCCGGAGTGATCATCATTGCACCACTAAGTTTTTACTTGTCAACGCAAGGCGATTAAGTAAACCGTGGCACGGTTCCAAGAGAAGCCAGATATGAAGGATTCAGTTTCTCTATATTTTATCTCCTGCTCCCTTGCCCTTTTGTTGGGATTATTGAGAACGTATGGCCTCTCGCATATTGCCTTGACTGGAAAATGTACCTAAATGCCTAGGTATACTGTGGCTGCATACGTTGACTTTCTAAGCAGAGAAGCAAGCCGCTCAGCTTGTGCACGATGGCATCTACCTCAGCATCTCCACACCAGTACCCTCTGGTAAAACTTCCCCATCCCTTTCTGGCCGCCTACCGCGTGCAGATTGTTGCAGAAACGACACCAACCAGATTCACCTTGACGCTTGATGACCAGCCCCAAGCTGGACTACCTCTACCCCAGCCACTACACAGTGACTCGCTCTCATGGCTTGACTTGTCCTTCCCGCCCAAGAAAGTGTGCCCCCCTAGTTCAAATAACAGCACCTGGGCAAGAGCACGACGAAGTCCGCAGACTACCTTCCAATGGACAGGAAACGATCCTCCTTCTCTAGGCCAAATATGGAACGTGATTCACGCGATATACCTCGCTCATCCGGCGTACGAATATTTCAGGCTTTCTCTCCTCGGCGCGGGAAAAGAAACCATTCGGAAGGAAATCCTGTCTACTGGTCTAGGAATTGAGCATCCAAAACCGTGGCGTTCTAACGATGATGTGACATTCCACACAGAAGATATTATGATCCTCCGAAGTTCATTCTGGCAAGGCGCAGCTTCTCCAACAGGTCCCCGGCCGATCTGGGTTGTTGGAGATCGAACAGATGGTTCCTTGCGACAATCCTTGGCTCAGTATCCCATTATGCCAGAAAACTACCATTTCACAATGAAGTTCCCAGAGGAGCCTATATACACTCGTCATCCGATACGTCGTCCCAAGCCATATCCAGGATCAATCGTCTACAGCCGCTACATTCCAGACCTCGACGAGTACTTCTCACTTGAAGTAGTTGACTGGCAAGATGATGAGCATTTAAAGATCTTCAATACGTGGCAAAATGACCCGCGCGTTGCAAAAGGATGGAATGAGACCGGCACATTGGACCAGCATCGCGAGTATTTGCGCAAACTTCATTTCGATCCTCACGTTCTTTGTTTGTTCGGGCGCTTCAATGAGTCTCGGTTTGCTTACTTTGAGCTTTACTGGGCAAAGGTATGACCGCTTTCTGCACTGTTTCTTTACTGTTTCTAGCTTGCTGATATCGCAATTTCATCTACAGGAAGACCATTACGGTGCCCATTACGCAGCTGGGGACTACGACCGCGGGCGTCACTCTCTGGTTGGGGACGCGTCATTCCGGGGCGCTCAGCGAGTTAATGTGTGGTATTCCAGCTGCATTCACTATTGCTTCTTGGACGATCCACGAACTGCAAATGTTGTGGGCGAACCCCGGGCGACAGGCGCTACTATCCTGTCTTACGAGAACTCCCAAGGTCTCGTCATCGACAAGTACGTCGACTTGGGACACAAACGGTCAGTCCATTCAACGGCCAGCAGAGAAAAGTGGTTTCAGCTATGTCCGTTATTTTGGGATGGGCGTGAACGGCCATTGGAATCCTCTGACCGAGCAGCCTGGAATGCGAAACTTTAGTGTGTACATACGACAGGCAGCATATACAGTTGCTATATGGCATTGTAGAAAACAAAACAAGAGAACATAAAAACCCCACAGAGGACTAAATCAAAAACTGGGTCACAATGATAGTAAAGACTTGAATTATGGAGGATTTGACTATCATACAGTAGTATATACCCGACTGAGGACTTGCTCCGACAGAAGAGGGGTGGGTATCAAGGATTTTGCGTTATTTTCCACCATTTCCCACATTTCTACGCCCTCAATGGGAAGGTTGCAAATTAGTGCAGTGCTTGAAGTGGGTTCTTTGGTCCATGTTTTCTTATACCCCCGAAAAACAATGCGTTACAGTAATGTAAAACAGATACAAGCATTACGGTACGGTATTACAGGCAAACTAGTACAGGTTACGCTCAGGACCACGATCAGCAGCTAGTTCCGGAATGATAATGGCGGCCTTTAGTCGTTTGTTCACACTTGCGTCGGAATCGAAGCTTTCATCGGAACAGAACCCGATGTCGGTGAGTCCTTTTTTTCTCTCTCTCTCTCTTGTTGTGCCATAGGTTTACGATGGGCCACTAGGTAGGAATGTCGAAGCTCTACCCTCATACCTAGGTAGAAGCAAGAGATACTCGTCATATTTCTCTGTGTCGATGCGAATGCCAAACCTACCTCGCAAACAGCACATCGATTGAGGCATCGTCAACCTTGGAAGACAAAATGAAGTTTGGCAAAAAGCTCGCAGGCTTTCCCAGTCTACTTCTGGCCGCTAACCCTTCAAGAAAGGATATAGCCACACTTCTGATGGGCATAGTATGCGCAATCGCATCTGGTGTCCCATTTCCAGTGATTGGGATCATTTTTGGTCAGCTCCTCGACGACTTCAACGCAGTCACTTGTGACGAATCCCGATCCTCCCCCTCAGGAAAAAACTCTGGATCTCATTATCAACATAGCATCGACAACAGAATTCTCCTGATAGTTTATCTGGCCATCGCCCAATTCGTTTTGATATATGCCCATCTTTCATGCTGGACACTATACGGCGCTCGACTGGCACAGAGACTGCGAGAAACCTACTTGCAGAACCTGCTCCGACAAGAACCTTCATACTTCGACAACCTTCCACCAGGCGAAGTTGCTTCGCGACTGAGTGCCGACATACAGACAATTCGCTCGGGCACGTCTGAGAAAGTAGGCATATGCCTCGCAAGCGTGTCTTTCTTCGTCACAGCATACATAGTCGCTTTCATCAAAGATTATATCCTTGCAGCAGAATTAATTTCCTTGATCCCGGCATATTTCTTGATGTCATTTATCGGAAGTCATTACATCGAGAAATATTCCGTGCTCATGTCGGATTATGCCGCGACAGCCGCATCAGTTGCTTCGGAAGCCCTTTCCAACATTCTTGTGGTACAAGCCTTCGGGGCAAACCGTCGGTTGGAGAGCAAATTTTCTGATGCTCTCAAGTCCTCAGAACGTGAAGGTCTGAAAAAGGCTACAGCGGTTGGCATACAATCTGGAGTTCTGTATTTCATCGCCTATTCCGCAAATGGCCTGGCTTTCTGGCAAGGTAGCAGGCGTATTGCCGTTGCAGTGCGGGAAGACTCCCAAGGTGCCACTGTTGGTGCTACTTTCACTGTGATTTTTATCCTAATCGAAGGTAAGTCGAGCTTGGATGACAAGGAACCAACCGGGTAGCGCTAACTGGGCAATAGCTACGTTACTCTTGAGTCAAGTCGCCCCCTTTCTCCACCTGTTCGTAGCAGCCGTTGCGTCCTTCGAAAAATTACGTGAGGATATAAATCGTGAACCTTTGATTGATGGAACTAGCGTCTCGGGTCTTCGCCTGCCACACGCAGAAGGCAGCTTTGAGTTCAAAAATGTTTCATTCATTTATCCCTCCAGACCTGAGATCACGGTAATCGACCAGATCAATCTGTCCATACCGTCCAACAAGCATACTGCTATTGTAGGTCTTTCCGGTAGCGGCAAGTCAACTATCGCCGGCTTGGTCACAAGACTGTATGATGCTACTGAGGGACAAATCCTCTTTGACGGCAAAGATATTCGTGAGATCAATGTCCGTGACCTAAGAGGTTTTCTTAGTCTAGTGCAGCAGGAGCCTTCTCTTCTAAACCGTTCCCTGTTGGAGAATATTGCGCACGGCTTGATCAATTCAAGCTCTCCTAGTCACGAGCATCTGAAACCGGTACTGCTTGGCCACAATCTTGCAGGTCTAGCAAGCGAGCTCAGGGAAGGAAAGGATCTCATGGTAGCAGCAGAACACAGAGGCGCGGATATCCTTGAGATTGTTACCCTAGTGCAAAACGCCGCGGTGCTTGCTGATGCAGATTCCTTCATTACCGCCTTGCAACATGGATATGGCACCGTGGTCGGCTCGACTGGAAGGTTAATTAGCGGTGGCCAGAAGCAACGGGTGGCACTTGCTAGGGCCCTAGTCAAGGATCCTGCTGTACTCATCCTGGACGAAGCTACTGCCTCATTGGATTCACGAAGTGAGCAGCGTATCCAGAAGGCCATCTCGAACATTGCTAGCGGTAGAACAATAATTACTATTGCTCATCGTCTGTCAACTATAACCAATGCCGACAATATTATCGTTATGCAAAAGGGACATATCTTAGAGGAGGGCAATCATTCAGCATTGATGGCTAAGAATGGTGCATACGCCGATCTGGTCAAATTACAAACACTTGGATCAACGTCTAAAAATAATACCCAAACAGCAGCCACCAGTGACAGTATTATCAGGTCTAATCGCACTTCCGTGACAGACGGTGATGTCGAGAAAAGCAGCCTTTCAAACCATGAGGTTGAAAAAACTGAAGAAACCATTGTCTCAACAACTGAAGCCTCAGATATGGACGGCACTTCATCCGCACAAGGAGATGAAGAGCCGGAGACTCCATCCAAATCCTTGTGGGCTCTTGTAAAAGGCTATGCACCAGCTGTGAGGCCACATCTACTCATAGTTTTTATCGCGCTCCTTGGGTCCAGCATTGTCGGTGGAGCATTTTCTGGAGAAGCTGTGATCTTCGGTAACACAGTGGGGAGTTTGAATCCATGCAAAAGCCCCAGCAGTATTGATTCTCGTGGAAACTTCTACGGCCTCATGTTTTTTATACTCGCAATTATTGAATTCTTCGCAAATGTGGCTAGCTGGTCCGGATTCGGCTGGGTTTCTGAAAAAATGGTGTACACGGTGAGAGTCTTATCCTTTCGGTCGTTGTTCGAGCAAGATCTCCAATGGCATCAATCGCAAGGGCGAACACCGGCTCTGCTTCTTTCTTATATTACCAGAGATGGCAGTGCCTTGGCTGGTTTGAGTGGCTCCGTTATTGGCTCTTTGTTCTCCATCACAGTCAATCTGATTGCCGCTATTATTCTGACTCACATTATTGCTTGGAGAATAGCATTGGTTTGTTTATCCCTGGTACCGCTTCTGCTTGGGGCTGGTCTCATGGAGCTCCGTGTCCTTGGTCAATTTGAAGAGCGTCATGAAAATGCATTTACTACTTCAGTCGACATCGGGGTGGAAGCAATTACATCGATCAAAACTATTGCCTCTCTTTCTCTGGAAGAAGAAACGCTACAAACTTATCGAAAGTCCTTGAAAGGACCTCGCAAAGAGACACTCAAAGTCACCATGCAAGCAAGTCTTTGGCAGGCAACGACCTATTTTCTTGGCAACTGCGTGAATGCACTGGCTTATTGGTGGGGTGCGAAGCAAATCATAGCAGGAAACTATACCCAAACGCAGTTTTTGATTGTAGTATTTTCTCTTCTTGTCAGCGCACTGCTCTGGAGCCAAATGTTTGCCCTCGCCCCTGAGCTTTCCAGCGCTCGGGCAGCTATGGCTAGGATTCTAGGCCTGATCGAGATAGGCTCAGACAAAATGCAAGGCCATGTACCTAGTCTTTCGCCAGGTGTGTCTACGCCGTCAGACGAAAAGGATGTTGAAGCAATGGTTGCGCAAGGATCATCTTCTGCATCTGAAAATCAAGCCGCGAGCGTACAGCTCCGGAATGTTCATTTTTCATACCCTGCTCGGCCAGGCATCAAAGTATTGAATGGCTTGGACATTGACATCCCTCCAGGCAAGTTCTGTGCCCTTGTAGGTCCCAGTGGTGCCGGCAAATCGACAATCATTTCACTGGTCGAACGATTGTACACTCCGCAATCCGGTTCCATCTTGATCGATGGCGCTGATGTGTCGAGATATCGGGATGTCTCTTTCCGAGACACAATTGCGCTGGTGCCTCAAGAAAGTGTTCTCTTTGAGGGGAGTATCGAGTTCAATATAGGCCTTGGTGCCAGGCCAGGCCAGAAAGAAGTGGCCATGGACGAAATTGTTGAGGCATGTAAGCTTGCCAACATCCATGACACTATTCAAGCACTGCCAAATGGTTATCAAACTCTCTGTGGTCCAAATGGCAGTCAATTCTCAGGCGGTCAGAAGCAGCGATTATCTATTGCTCGAGCGCTAGTGCGGAAACCTAAGCTGCTGATTCTGGACGAGTCAACGAGTGCTTTGGACGCCGAATCAGAGAAGTTATTACAAGACGGGCTTGAGAAAGCCGCAAAAGGGATTACAGTTATTGCAATTGCCCATCGCTTACACACGATCAGGAAGGCAGACATGATATTCTTGATTGAAGCTGGTCAATGCGTTGATCATGGATCGCACGAAGAATTGCTTGAGAGGTCGGAAAGTTATAGGATGAATGTCATGCATCAAACAGTTGCGTAATGATAGAAGATAGCACAAATAGATAATTGCTATTGAAAAGTAGAAATTTTATGAACTGTTAGTTACTTGCCTTGTGCTTACACTACCTAGGTGGAAGGGTGAATTCCATCCCAAGATTCCTGAAACTACCTAGCACCTAGGGCCTAGACAGCACGTGTACCAAGTTTCATTCTAGGATGTCATACAATGATAAAATGCAAAGAAGAACTCAAGCAATTTATTCGTAGAGTATCCTCTCAACTAACTGGACTTTTGTACTTCAGGAAATAACCATCCATTAGAAAATTCGACCATCAAGAAAAACCTTCTCTGACCGATGCATGATCAGTTCACGAACAGTTGCATCCAGTTCAGCAAGAACCGAATCCACGAACTCGGTGTCTCTTTCATATCCAACTATTCCGACATACATCTGGCCGCCTCGAACGAATGAGACAACTTTCAGAGGATCTGCAGCATCCCCGTGAGGATTTAGAATCTCTACCCTGCAAGTACCCCCCGCAAATGGCATAGTATCGAAATCATCAAAGTCCTGATGATGCACGATAGAATCAAAAAATTGGCCTTCCTGCAATGAGAACCACTGCGCGCAATCCTTCGATATCTTGCTAAAACCGAGGAAATCATAGCCCGCAGATTCGGCACTCTGTCTCTGGACAGATCGCAGAAAGTCCATTGCTGTCCATTCAGGGTCGAATGCGACTCTGACTGGAGTCAATTGGTAACATGGACCCACAACGTTCTCTATATTTTTCAAGTCCATGTTTCGTCCCGAAGTGACGCTGCCAAATGTAACATCTGCTGTCCGCAGACGGCGAGCCAGCACAAGTGCCCATGCTGCAGAGAGCAAAGATGCTATGGTGATGTCTTCAAGTGGTAGAGGAACATCTTCAACAGCTCTTGTATGAAAGATCGACTTCTCTGCAGGCTGGTCGGATTTTCCATCTAGTACAGACAATGACGAGCCATTTAGAAGATTCCGCCAGTATTTTGTCGCTTCTATTTGAGTATTTTCGTTCCGAATTTGAGCCACATAGGATGCAAAGGACTCAAAGTTGACAATCATTCCCCCGGTATACATGGTCTCTAGGTCCCGAAGCAGCCTGGGCAAGGAAATCCCGTCGTACTGCGCATGAGATAGGCCTATAGCAAGGCATTGTTGGCCATCTTTATCTTCGACATGTAGGGTCTTCAGAAAAGATGACCCCAGTTGAAATTTCAATTCTATATCTTGCATGCAGAGTTGGTTCACGTATTTCTCGAGATCCCCGTCTGTTCTATACGCCCTTAGAGGGGAGTCCATCTCATTTAAGACAACTTGAAAATAAGAAGATTCGTTTTGTACGAAAACGGTGCGCAAAATATCATGAGCTTTGACCAGCTCATTAAAGGCACGGAGCAACTGCTCCCGGTCTATGCCTTTGTCGAAGTACAACATGGTGTATTGGATAGACGTTCGGGGAACCTGAATGGTATTTTTTATGTCGACTGCCTGGGAATCCGTGACTGGAGCTACGTCTTGAATCGAACAGTAAGGGTCCGCAAGATTTGGCCGGATGATTTCAGACAGGAAACTTTCAACATCCAAATGGCCCAATATTGAGAAAGCCTTGTATGGCTGGGCTTCTTTTTTGCTTGCGGTATCGCCCACTTTCAATCTTGTGGCGGCATCACCAAGACGCATGTGCTGAAAAATATCCGCTACTGTCAAAGTATGCCCCTGGGCTCGGAGATTTGACACCAATTTCATGGCCAAAACGGAATCACCGCCTAGACGGAAAAAATTGTCATCGACGTCAATTTTTTCTGGGTCAATCTTGAGTACGTTAGCCCAAGAAGACTGCAGGATTCTCTCACAAAGCGTCAATTTTTTCTGGGCCGTGTTCTCAGTCCACGCTTTCTTGAAACCTTCTCGAATTTGATCAAGGACGTGGGTAGGTATCTTCGAGGCCAACTGGTTGAGCAAACTATGATCAACATATGCCGCTACAGTTGGTATTTTGTCGACGACGACGTAGGCAGAGGGGACCATGTATGATGGAAGTGAGTCCTTGAGAAATTTGTTGAGCCTTTTCACTGTTGCGGCAAGATTGGTGGGAATCATAGCACAAGTGGTCATTTCAAAGCCTTGGGCGACTGATGCATCACAACTTATTCTATGTTGCATCCATGTGAGCTCTACACTGTCTTCTTCGGAAGGAGTGTGTTCTACGAAAACAACTAGCTCCTTTTCCACGACTGGCGAGGCGCCGCTTATAGATGTTTGGAATACAGCAGCAGCGGTGCGAATTGTTGATGGGAGTTGCCTTGTGAGATGAGCTTCGAGATCTGGAATATTCACCGCATGACCTTGAATTGGTATAACATCCTCCTTTCGACCAACAAATATCAAGCTGCCATCCTCTCGTAACTGGACCATATCCCCTGTGGCCTGTACTTTCCCTGTTCGGCCGACATATACAGAACTTCCAGCGACAAGCCAAGCTGGAGACTGGACCACATCTCCAGAAAGGAAATTCCCTTCAAGCCACAGCTCGCCGATACAGCCGATGGGAGACAAAAGAGATGGATTGCGTGGATCGCAAACCCAAGGAACTGCCACCTGAGGATAAATCGACCCTTGCTTAATGCTTGCATCTGTTCTCAGAATTCTGGATGACTCATCAAATGAACATGGAGGATTCTGGTTCCAACGCCAGATTTGGTCCAATTCCACCTGGGGGAGGCAGGATATCTCGCCAACTTTGCGTGAAAGACCATTTGTCAATTGCGAGCAAGCAATTTCAAGTTGCACGAGAACTCGTTTCATTTGTGCCACATCAATCAAACTGCTGTCAAAGCTTGCGCACACTCTAAAGCCACCCTTTCGTATCCCACATGCCAGCATCAGCGGATACGGGTTGAAATGCAGCGCTTCACGTACGACATCTCCATTACCGAAGCCAAGTTCGCTACCCACGTACTCTGGCTCCGGCTGAATGACCAAGCCCGTAGCAGCTTCACATGCATGTTGGGCATCGTGGCTGACCTTCCTGATGTTCTGCATGCCCATATGTTGATACGGTATGCGGGCCAACATCCCGTGTTGTATCAGTTGCAGGTAAGATTCCGTGGATGCTGTTCGGTGGACATGAATGCGCACTGGTACCGTTGCTATTAGTGGACCTATAATGCTTTCAACACCAGGTAGTGCAATATCCCGGCCAGTGAGTGTCTCTCCAAACACAACATCATCACTTCCTGTGTGCTGTGACGCTACAAGAGCCCATGCACCGCGGATCAATGTTGCCATTGTAAATGGGAACCCGGTAACTGTTTCTATAGATATGTGATGTTCAATCTCGGCATCCGGGTTTGGTAAATAGTCTCTCGAAGGTAGGCGTGGGAACTGAGGCCCAACTGCATCTTTCAGTTCTCGTTGCCAATACTCCTGCATAGAAACTTCGTCCGTATCGCGCACATACTTGACGAAGTCTCTCATTTGCGCCTTAGTATCAATATTCTGGTGGTACAGTATATTGCTCACTTGTTTGAGTAAGATAGGCTCTGACCATCCATCGTAAAGTACGTGATGGACTGTCCAGACCATATACCTTTTACCATCACTGGAATCATCCACAATGGCATAACGAGCTAAGCTTTGTCCAAGATTCATTTTCTCCTTTCGGTCATCATCAAGATACTGCACCAGATTATTTGAAAATTTCCAGGAGATGCCTTCTTTTAGCACAACTTGCTGGAGGCCAGGCTCTTGAAGTTGAGCTAAGCGAGTGCGCAAGATAGGGCTTGCTGCGACAACCTCCTCCCATGCCCTTTTCCAGGAATAAAGGCTTGTAGAAGATTCAATTGTCGCGACTCTTTGAGCGACATAAGGCTTGATTGATTTGAGTGAGAAGGTGAACAATGACTCTTGAGTGGGAGTGCAAGGGTAGATATCTTCAACTACTTCCCGCTCGAATCCATATACTTGACATGCCTCTGAACAGCAGGCCTCGGCAGTTTGGGAGATCATGGAAAACGGATACGTCTCCGTTCTGTTCTGTGAGTCTCGAATACGGACTACGCTGGCCATTGCTGAGAGAGTGGGGTGATCAAAAGTATTGGCAACAGAAACATCAAGCATTTGCTCACGACAGAAGGAAACAAGCCTCATTGCCGCCAAGGAGTCACCACCTAGTACGAAAAAATTATCTTCAGGTCGAATAGATTCCGCATCAAGCTTCAGCGTCTCGCTCCATGCTTGTCTTAATCGTTGCTCAAGATCGGTCAGCTCTCGAATAGCTATGCTCTCTGTTCCTTGATCCAGCTGTCGCAGGTCTACTGTAGCCCCAAATTGCCGAAGCTGTCTTCGATCAGTCTTTCCTGAAATCAGGACAGGAATGTAGTTGACCGGTATGTACACAGTCGGCACCATATATCGTGGCAACACTTTTGTCAACTCTGCATCCGCTTTTGATAGCTTGCTGCGCATTTCGTGGCTAAGATGTTCTAACTGGAGATTGGTGCTACTATCAGGCCCCTTGGTCGACTGGAAAGTGATAAATGCCACCAATGTGGCTTGGTTTCCAGTTCCCTGAGGGACAATGACCTCAGCAATAACCTTTGATTCCACGGGCAATGTGGCTTTGAGCTGGCTCTCAATTTCCCCGAGTTCAACTCGTTGTCCACGCAATTTAACCTGCGTATCCTTTCTTCCAGCAAAGACAATGCCCCCGGAGCCGTCAGGATCGTACTTGCCAAGATCCCCGGTCTTGTACAGGCGCCCTCGACGACCTGGATATTCTCCGTGGCCAGATAAAAGCCAATGTGGATCCTCAATGAACGCCGCTGCAGTTTTCTCGGAGTCATTCAAGTAGCCCTGGCCTACAATCGGCCCCTCGACAAGTAACTCGCCAACAGCGCCGACTGGCATGAGCGTTTCGTGGTCATTTGGGTTGACAATCCAGATAGCGGCACCATTACCTGTGCCAATTGAAATGTAATCTCTCCCTGTGGCAGCGCTGCTGTTCACTGTGCATCCTATCGTGCACTCACAGGGCCCATATCCTATGATGATCCTAGTATCTCGACCCCATGTAGTGACATCTCTTGCCGAGGCGGCCTCTCCTCCTAGACCAAGACCGCTGAGTGATGTTATAACTTCTGGCTCCAGCACTCGGGCCACTGAGGGCGTTATACCAGCGTAATTAACCCGCATCTTTCGTATTATCCCATTTATGTCGTTCATTCGACCTTCATCCGAGGGAATGCAAAGACAGCCACCGTTTGCCAATGTTAAAATCATACTGTCAATACTGACGTCGAAAGCGTAGGATGCAAAATCGAGTACCCTGGATTCCTCCGTATAACCAACCGCTTTTGCCCGTGGAAACGCACTGCTTGTATATGTTTCATGAGATATTTTTACCCCTTTAGGAGTTCCCGTACTGCCTGATGTGAAAATGATGTACATCAATGTAGACGATGGTACAGGTGTCAACTTTGACATGGCATGCTGGTTTGAGATATCTGTAAACGTATCGGCTTCTATGACAATAATGTTTCCATCAGGCACAATTGATGTAGCCAGGTCATGCTGCTTGCGCGATGCTAGCATATTTCTCGCGCCGACTTGATTTGCCATATTCTGGAGACGGGCGGTTGGAAGAGTTGGATCCATGAGCACAAAAGTTGCACCTGCTTTCATCGCAGCCAGCACAGCCACGATCGTCCACTTCGACTTCTCAAAGCACACTGGCAAGAAGTCATGTAACTCGACATCCAGTTCTTTCAGTGAGGATGCTATGAATGTTGAGTACCGGTCAACTTGACCGTATGTCAAGCTACCATCCCATGAATCAATCGCGACTTTTTCTGGGTGTTCATGAGCTCGCTGGGAAATGACCTCATGCATGCAAAAGTTGTATGAGCGAGGCAGTTGGTAATTCCATCGCCATATATCGTTAAGATCATGTGTAGTTGGGAGAATGCTCTCTTTGACCGATGCATGGGGATGGGAAATGCTCATCTGGATAGTCTCAGTCAGAGTTTTTATATATCGTGTCACTGTATATGGCAGCATATTCTCAGTGTGCCACACTGGGCTGATCTCAAGGCAGTCCTTATTGAACTGCACTTCCAAGTGAAGCACGCCCTTGATTTCATAACTGTTAGGTCATCTGCTTAACAGGATGGAATGAAATGTCAACTCACTCCGTCATTCGCTTTCTCAAATGTCCGTGAAAGCGAACTTGTGCTTAAAGTAAGTGACGCAGGGCTACCTATCAATGTATTCTGATCTAAAACGTTGGTAGTGATGTAACGCGCAATCGATGCGGAGGCTTGTTCGACAGTGGTCTGTAAATCCGGTATTACCTGATCTATAGATATACATCCGTTCGCTCTCTTAGACTCGCTTCGATTGGAGTAGCTTTTGTATGCCCACTCATAGGAAAAAGTTCCCTCCTCGTGCGTTCTCAAGAGCACGATGAACCAAGACAATAACACGATCTCGTCTTTCATTCCAGTCGGATTCAACTTCAGATCGGTGGCAAGACCAGTGATCTTCGAGCTCCTGAACCCTTCATTATTAACTCGACTTGTTGGAATTTTTTCCATAACTCTGTGTTCAATCTTCACTTCATGTCGACCGGGATTCAGGGTCTCGTTGAAATCCTGTATAGACCCCATTTTAAGAACAGTCGAGCTTCGCTTTCTTGTTTTTGGACTCTAGTATTTTGAATTCGAAGTACAGGTATGTGTATCTCTTTCCGGATGCGAATCGAAACGGTACAGTCTATGAATAAGAAGAAAGCCACAACAAATCCGCCAAGAGCGAACTGAAGTCTTTGGCAACTAACCACCACCCGAAGTCACCCAAACACCCCGTGAAACAACGTGACTATGCACAAATGATCCCACCGAAACCGGCGAATGCTACTAGGAAAGTGGGTGGGCTCGACAAGAACGCCCACATGCAACGCACATGCAATGCGTCTTTTTGGGCCCGAGCGATGTACAGAAACTTCAACATCTTGTAGAATTTCCCCATTAGACCAGCCCCCATATTTTTTTTGTGAGTCCTGCAGAAATTGAGATTACGCGAGGAATACAGAGACCCACGGGATGCCAAAGAAAGCCCAAAGAAACAACAAAACGTTGTCGTACTTCGAACAAAGTTATCTGATCCGAAATTCAGAAAGTTATCTGATCCGATTAGCGTTTTTAGTTCATTACGTATGCAGTGCAGTGGGGCGGTAAATTACGCACGGAGGCATGCTTCCAGGCCATCCACGCAGTGTGCCAGTGGAAACTAGGCTTCTTGGAGTAGTGAGTCATTGTTTCGATAGAGTCATAAGTTATAGGTGAGGAAGTACTTCTACGTTTGAGGGGATCGTCAACAGACCAGCGTCACATCCATGGTATGGGACGGCGTTAGCTGTAATACCAGATTCCTACAATACCTGTATTTCAAGACACACGTACATACAGGACAAGAACCGTATTGTACAGTATCGCAGAATTTTCGTACTACGCAATTTCTCGGTCTACAATTCCACTGTACAGTCAGATTCAACTCCGGCAGCCACATGATGCCGACCTCGGAAATTTGTTTGATCTGATAAGCTTGCGTTAGGCCGCGGTGGGTCGTACAGGGCATGACGCGAATACATAAGCGAGTGCGTGCCAGACAACGTACGCTATAAGTATACACACACGAAGAAACTCTAGAAATTGGCGGCAGGACAAAGAAAATTCCATTGCACTTCTATATTTCCTATCTCATTGCCATCATGTATTCCAAGTTCTGGCCAAAGGGTGGTCTTCCGGGCCTTTTGCATCATTACGTAGGCTGCCTACTCTTCTCCGGTTTATGGATATCCAGGAGCATTTAACTAATTGATTAAATCGAAATTTTTAGACAGAAACTCTCGTCACATTTGAGTATACGTCGAATACCGTTCAACAACCCCATAGCATTCTTTTTGTTGGAGGTCTAGGCGATGGCCTCGCAACCACATCCTACACGGCAGACCTAGTCCGCGCGCTACAACCGACAGGCTGGTCGCTTTTCACTCTGAGCCTCACATCCTCCTACCAATCCTGGGGTCTTGGACACCTTGACAGAGACACAGATGAGATCGCACAATGTTTACAATACATTCAGGAATATAAAACAAGTAAATATGGCAACAGCAGCAACAGAAAAATTGTTCTCATGGGCCATTCCACCGGCAGTCAATGTGTGATGCATTATCTATACCGACCAAACCCTCATATAAGCACACCATCCTTTGACCCCGATCTCGAGCACGTCAAACGCCAAGTTCTCGACGGAGCCATTATGCAAGCACCGATTTCTGACCGCGAAGCAATTCTCTGGGTCTTAACCGAAGGGATTGGGGGCAAATCCCCGAACGAAGTTCGAGAAATCTATGAAAAGGTAGAAACAATGGCAAAGGAAGCTGATCGTGAGAACAAAAAATCAAATTCGCCTTTTGATACTCTTCTACCTATATCGATGACCTCTCAGATTGGTTATCCAGCCAACACTCCACTCAGCGCTCGAAGACTGTTAAGTCTCGTGAGCCCCGAAAGTCCCCAGTCGCCTCGCGAAGATGACCTCTTCAGCTCTGATTTGGGCCACGAGCAGTTAGAAAAGACATTTGGAATGATTAGGCATCGCGGCTTGTTGAAAAACAAGTTGCTGGTCCTATATTCCGGAGCTGACCAGGCAGTCCCAGATTGGGTTGACAAGGAGAAATTGTTACTGAAGTGGAGAAATGTCACTGACCATAATGGTGAAACCCAAATTTGGGATCAACATCACAGCGGTGTCATTCCAGGTGCTTCTCACGCGCTGAGTAACGATGATCAAGCTGAGCCACGAAAGGATTTAGTCAGGAGAGTTCTAGGGTTTTTGCACGATTTAGAGAAAGTTTAAGGATAGCACAGCAGAAACGAAGAAATAATTTTGTAATTGATCAATGCGTCATAACTTGGTATCCATTTTCTTCTCAGATATTCGTCAATATTCGGAGGGGGAGCTTAGGGTTACGCCTTGCCTTAATAGGAAACGAATCTCTCATTGGTTGGACTGCCTCCACTTAGATCCGCCCACTCGATCCCACCTTGCTGAAACGGGTAGTCAATCTCTTACTGGTTGATGCATTCGAGAACCATAGGCAGTCTTCTTCTCTATCATCACATTTTTCTTCGCCTTTAAACTACAAACTCCGCACTTCATCGGTATTATTGTAGTTATGTCCGCTAATTCCATTATCCAGAATCGAGAAACAGAGCGCGAGAAGGGCACTATATGGGGTAAAGATATGTAGACAGAAAGGCATAAATAGTTGGGAACTCTCACTGCCAGTTGAACGTTCTAAACATAAGCCTTACTGATATATTCCCTCCCTATTCCGATTGATCTAGTGCCTAAATTTTAACTGGTCATTCAATCACCGGCAAAATGACTGCTACGTCTCACCCTGAGTTCAATGATCAAACCGAAGCCCTGGAGGTAGCCCGGGTGTTTGCCGATGCAATTCGCGGCAAAACTGTGTTAGTGACCGGGGTGAATCGAGGAGGTATTGGGTTTGCGACGGCAGAGGCGTTTGTAAGAAACTAGTCTCTGGAATTTTGTCTCTTATTGAAGCTAACAAATGTACATTTGAGGCCTCTCAATTTCCCGCCCACCTTATTATCTCGGGTCGTAACTTATCCAAGATCCAGGATAGCATCGACGAACTCAAACTAAAGTTTCCTTCCGTGGATTATCGCCCCCTTGTGATCAACCTTTCCAGTCAGCAGGCAGTGCGTACCGCAGCTGCTGAGCTCCTTTCCTGGCCTGATGTGCCAACGCTCGATATCATCGTGAACAGTGCAGGCATAATGCTGCTTCCGGAACGGATCATTAATGAAGATGGGATTGAGATGCATTTCGCCACGAACCATATCGGACACTTCCTATTCACCTGCTTGGTTATGCCAAAACTCATCAAAGCAGCGGAGAAAAATCCTAAGGGAAGTACTCGGATAATCAATGTCAGTTCTGCCTCACCCACATTCTCAGCCATGCGCTGGAGCGATATGAACTTCGAAAAGACAAGCAAAGAGCTTCCAGAAGCAGAACGGCCAAATTACGACGTGCACCGATACTGGGGAGAGCCCGATGCAGAGAATAAATCGTACATACCACTGGAAGGCTATAACGTGAGCAAGGTGGCAAATGTCCTGTTTGGCATCGCTGCAAATGCTAGGTTGTACGATAAATACGGCATCTTGAGCCTGGCTTTGCACCCGGGAGTGATCCAAACGGAACTAGTCAGGTACGCCTCAAAGAATACTTTAGAGGCACTTGAAGGTATAATGCAGAAGAAAATATATACCTATAGGAGCTTGGGTGCAGGAGCATCGACTAGTCTTGTTGCTGCATTGGACCCAAAATTAGGGGTCGGGAAAACCAAGGACGGAAATGAGAATTACGGGGCGTATCTGGCTGACTGCCAGATTAGTGATCGAGCTCGTCCACTGGCGGTATCAAGCGACGAGGCTGAGAAGTTGTGGGAGCTATCCGAGAAGTTGGTCAAGGAGAGGTTTGCTTGGTAAGGATAGATAGATGTTTGAGCAGCCTCCTTGGCAGACAATTGAGTAGATGTTTTTTGTGTGTACAAGTTTGACACGTACGTAACAAATGAAAGCTAGATCGCTGATAATATGTCATTGGACTTTTGGTCGTCATATGAAACATCTGAAACGTCACATAAGTTAGGATTGATGTACAGAATCCCATAATGCGTAGCCTGGTTCATCATGCAAAGCATTGATCCATGGAAACATGCTAACATGTTTGTGAGCTTTTATCCAGGTATTGATGCTCAAACGCTGAGTTAATCTTCTTATTCTCGGACTAAGCGATAATCCGTTGGGATTGCTTCTAGTCCAAATACCACCCAAAAATAATAGCCAAAGAATTAGATCATCATTAAGGTCAACTAGACTTCTGTCAAGTATAGTTTCCAATCGCGTAGAAACCTGCCCGAATTCCATGATTCGTCCAAATCTGTACTGGAAAAGTAACGTCATCATAAAGATCGTCAAGCCCATATGATAAACGGCTTCTATATCTGACAGCTGGTCGTAATCTTGCAATGACTGGAATCGAATCAAGCGTGAGAAAATAGACACTAGCAACTCTTCAAACGTATGAATATCTAACGATCTGTTTGTCGGCATATTGTTAAATAAAGAGGCGAGCCGTGTGACGTCCGAGAGTATCTCAGAAAGGTATGGACTGAGTGCACTGTGATGAACAGATGATGTGGCCGATTTCCGGTCGAAAACGAATCCTCCAGCTGTCAATTTCGTTAACACTTCAGGCATCTTATCACGACAGTAGGTCATCGGCTGTCCGCGTTGTAGGGCATAAGTTATATCTATTCTTTTATATAAAATTTAATGTTAGATTCAAGAACCACGAGACTTTGTTTTAGTGCTAGCAGCACCTACTTGCAAATCTTCAGCACCAAAGTGAGGTTTCTCTCGAATTGGTCGAGACCGCCACGCAACTCGATCAGTTGTTTTAGGCCTTCATAATGAATTTTGCATTCTCGTAGCCCATTCCTGATTTGCTCATGAAGTATTAGCGTGATAATAATTGCCAATGTAGAATCCGACATGGCGTTCTCGCTCTCGAGTCTTCTCTTCAGTAGTGCTAATGATCGGGAGAGATGCCGAAGAGCATTCGTTGAACTAACGCCCCCGCGTAAGAACAACTCATTGGTTGCTTCTAAAAGAGCCATGGTGCATAAAAATGCTATTTTCAAGATTAGTGGAGGCATATCTATTGATGATCGATGGCACTCACCAGCATCATCCGTAAGCAGAACTCGAAGCCACGTGTATTTGCTCTCGTCGGCTGAGAGACCGAGCTGGCAAGGGTACAACTTGTCCATCACGTATATAAAATCTAGAAGACTCTAAATAAGTAGCTACTCTCGATAGCCCTATTTGAATTCTCGCACACTCACGCTCGTTGATAACCTTCAATGAGTGTGATGTAAGCTCCATAGGAAACGAGAGACTCAGTAACGAATTTCCCAGATTTTTATGGTTTGCAACAGGACAGGGAACACTCTGAATGGCATTTGTTGCATTCTCAGCTGAAGCACGAGGGGAACGTCCAAATGTTCTGTTGTCATAATTATATGGAGTTCGTCGAACTAAGTCGAATCTCGAGGACCGGCGATGTGTCTTTCCGACATTTTTACCATTCATCACATGTCTTCGAATCGACTTCCTTGTGGTACTATCAACATGGGTGCTATCGACGAATAAGAAGCTCTTATCCATTGCGTTGCGCATGCGTTCGTTGGATGGTTGGATGAAGCCTGAAGGTTGCAAAGTTTGGGCGTTCTGTGATTGGCAACCGTCTGCGCCAAGCCACTAAGTGCGGGATGACATCTTGCAAGCCAAATAGGCTTAGGGCTAGGACCACCTCCCAATTTGCCAAAAGAGGGCATCGCGCATGTCGAGCCAATATAAACATTCTGAGAAATAAAAATGGGCTCCTCAATAGTTCAGAATCTTGAGCTTGGACATGCCTTTGTACATAGGAAGAGATAGGAGTAGCCAAGAGAGATATCGATGACCACGAATCCTCTAGGACGACATAAGAACTTGGTGATGATTTCATGAAAAGAGGGAACTATGTTTTGGAGAACAAATATGTCTCTTTGCTTCTTGTGTATGCTTTTTTGGACACTGCCTAACTGCTGGTCAAATCGGTTCTGTGCTTAATTCCATAGAAAGTATACAGCTAACAGATATGATTTGAATTCCGGGGCTGGACTGGATTGTGATACTATAAAGGAAATATTACTTAGCATATATATGGTCTATCATAATTCAAATCCTGACTAGAATGCGTGGCGTCGGCATAATTCCTAAGCATGGTAGTTTGGCTAGATGAATCTCAGAGACCGCTCATACTTCATTTGTATCAAAACAAAATAGGGAAGATTTTACACCGTATAGAACGGGTTCCGGCATATTTGACAAATCCAAAAAAAAAAGAAGGAAAAAGAAGAAAAAATTTGGGGGGGGTGGGTTGGGGGCTTAGTGATATGCTTTATTGTTGCCATTATAGTTGTGAGCTTTGGAGTGAAAGACGGAAAGTCTCCCACCCATAAGACACATCATTGTCACCTGGACAAATAACTACCTATGATGCGTCTATGTATTGCTACAGAACTCAAACGGCATTTCCGGAGTCCTTATCATAGTCACATATGTGATATTGTTCTTTATCTTTACTGGCCGTTTCATATATAATTCAAAACAGACAAATCTATTACCCAGGTTCACGGCTACGCACACATGTTCTTGCATATACAACAAACCCCTACCTACATTTGACAACATTTGACATATCAAAGCAAACCAGGGAACATCCTATAATTTGTGGGAACCATGTCAATTTCCAATATCATAAACTTGGGATATATAGCGCCTTCCAACCCAACAGTATCGAAAAGTTTTCTACATGTTTTTCAACGCTTACCTTTGGTAAATGCCACTTAGGTATTAGATATCTACTCTGTTCATCGTGGAAAAGCGTCACTATCTCAAGCGCCTTTGAAAACAAACCTTTAGAACCTTGTTGCATCTTGCCAAAACATTGCAATGTCTACCGAAAACTCAGTCCAAGGCTCCAGCCACCTGGCCAGCCCGCAGGTACTGCGCAAAGTCGATGAACTCCGAGAGAAAAACGTGGGCCAGCACGTTCCCCTACCACAGGTATATACCTCCTTTGCTATTACATATATAAGCATGCAACGCTCTGTCAACCACTTAGGCATGCATATGTGCTCATTTGGCTCTTCTAGCTCGTCGTCGTTGGAGACCAGAGTTCTGGCAAATCGTCCCTGTTGGAGAATCTAACGAAGATTCCTTTCCCTCGCAATGTCGAACTGTGCACTCGCTATGCAACTCAAATTACATCACGCCGGGATTCCAAGACCGAAGTTGTTGTGAACATCATCCCGGGTCCTCATGCGTCCGACGACCATAGGCGGCGCTTGGAAGGGTATTGTCCTGAAGGGTTGTCTCCAGCTGACTTTCGAGACCAATTCCCGAAAATACTCAACGAGGTATGTCCCTCTAGGCTCCAGAGGTGTTGAAGTGGTAAATAGTATCCGGAATAACGGTATGCTAATAATTTGTAATTTTGAGGTAAACATTCGAATGGGAATTCGAACCGATACTTCCTCAACCGACGGAACCGTTTTCAGCGAAGACATTCTCAAGATTGAAATATCAGGATCCAATGAAGACTACCTCACCTTGATTGATGTCCCCGGTATTTTCCGAACACCGACTGAAGGAGTTACTACCAAAGCCGATGTCTCGCTTGTCCAAAAAATGGTGAGAACGTACATCAAGGACAGTCGCACGGTTATCCTTGCCGTGCTGCCAAGCAACGTTGATCCTGCCACACAGGAAATATTGGACTTGGCCCAGGATTTCGACTCTGATGGAGAACGCACTTTGGGAGTGCTTACAAAACCAGATTTAGTGACGGAGTACAGCGCTCAAGTTGCGGTATGCAACGTGATACTTGGCAAGAGGAAACCCCTGAAGCTTGGCTACCACGTCGTACGAAATCGAGGTGCAGATAACGATGACGACTTTGATTTCGACTCCAGCGAACATGAAACATTCAAAACTGAACCATGGAGCAGCCTGTCCAAAGATCGCGTTGGCGTGAAGGCATTGAAGACACGACTGGGTGTAATTCTTGGCCTAATCACTCGACGAGAGTTTCCCAAGCTACGGAGTGACATCAGAAACCAACTTACCGATTGCCGGCGTCAACTGGGGGATCTTGGTCAAGCTCGACAATCTGAACAAGAGCAGAGACTATTCCTGAATAGGCTGAGCCAACAGTTCCAGAATTTGGTACATTCCGCACTTAATGGGCACTACAGCAATCATCACGCCTTTGACAAGAGCGATCAACTGAGACTAATCACCCGTGTCGTCAACATTACTGAAAGCTTTGGTTCGGACTTTGCTGAAGTGGGACATCATCGTCTCTTTCAGAGCCTACAGAATGACTTAAGTGAGAGTAGCGAGGATGTTCGCGGCTCACCGGACAATGAAGAGCTCCCTACCGACACAATTCGAGAAACTCCTTCCAAAGATTTCCGATGATGGTGAAGAAAGCGACTTTGGGGAGTTCCTTCGGGACTCGCTTCTCAATGGTCTCATAACGGACATGGACGTGGAACACCCGCAAGATGGCATCATGGACTGGATTGAAGACTTGTACCAACGTCCTTGTGGCATAGACCTAGGTACTTGGGGGGGCGCAATCCTTGCAAGTGCTTTCAAAGAGCAGTCAAGCAAGTGGGGTCGTTTGACACTGGGATATTTGAGCCAAGTCATCTGCTCTATTCACAAGTTTCTTAAAGCTGCTCTTGAGAGTCTGTGTACGGATCCACGTCTCCGTGATGACTTGTGGTCGTTCATAGCCGATGACATATTGAAAGGGTACAGAGCAGCTATCAGACATGCGATCTTCTTGCTTTCTATTGAACGCGACAAGAGACCGTACACTTTGAAGCATTACTTCAACGAAAACCTCCAGAAGTCTCTTGGGAATAGAATAGCGGATATGCTGGAAGACAACGTCAAAAAAGAACTTCAATGGGTCAATGGTAAGTACCAGTACAGCGATAATAGTGTTGTTGATGTCGCAGATGTCAGATCTGTCACTGCATCCAAAAGCAATCTCGATTCTGTCAAGGAAGATATCCATGATATCTTGCATTCTTACTACAATGTCGCCAGAAAACGGTTCGTCGACAGTGTGTACCATCAAGCCGTGGACCACTATCTGTTGACAGGGCCAGGTAGTCCTCTATTCATGTTCGACCAGGAATGGGTGATTAAGCTTGAACCTGAACAGCTGCAGGCGATCGCCGGGGAGTCACCGGTTGTTTCGGAAAAGAGCCAATTCCTGCAGAGGAAGATCCGTGATTTGGGGTCGGCAATGCATATTTGAAGTTCTGATGGCGATTATCAAATGTTTCCTATGTTTCTTTCGGGCTTTCCACATATCAATTTCGGTGTTTTTAAATTTCGTCCATAGTTGGAAATAGATAGAGAGATAAAGTTCAAAAGGTAATTTGGTGAAGATACTCAGAATTTGGGCGCAACACTATATATTTGTACAGTTATTCTGAGATGAGGTACGCAGTCCATTGAAGTATTTATGGATTGGCTCAGGACGATATACAGTTTCCCCCACCACACAGCCCAGCCTATACTAGGAAGCCAATGCGCCCCAATTACCCCGGATTTTACCCCGCCACTCTGTAGAGATATCATAAAGCATCTAAAATGCTTCTCTGGATGCTTTATTGTGTGCGAACAAACAGTCCATGCTCCCACGCTTGATTCATCATTTTCACAAGGTACGAATAGGAGAGATAGCAGGGTATGCTTGTTGGTTAAAATGATGCATATATCAGCACACACATGTATCTGTATATTTATAAGCCTCCTAGGTATACCTAGGTATACATCACAGAAATTGGGCAATTTGTCCACAATGGCATCCATCTCTTTACCTTCTATTCATTCAACTTGAAGTCTGGTTGCAGACCGGCAAGACATCTCATATTAAGACGAAACGATCAGTGCGCCATTTCCCAGCCGCCAAGTAGACTGGGCTTGCGACTACATCGAATTTCTCTTCACGATGTGAATTCCTTCGTATATCAAAAGAAGATGAAGAACCTTATAGGAATACAATAGATAGACGGCTGGTCCGTGCACGACATGCTGCACCGTGATTGGCGCGATTAGAATGCCCCGCCATGCTGGGATGCGATAGGCCTCGCAGTCAATCAGTGAGACTCAACGACATCGACAACATCATCAACGCTCACCCACTCACATACCTTCTCAGGCACAAGGAGCCAGCAACTTTCTGCATCCAGACTTGTGTGTATTGTACAGTATTCATTGAAAGCCAATCCTTGCTACTTGCGCAAGGCGTCGGTCGCTACTGAGCAGCATTCACGTCCACGCTCCAATAGTTGCCAAACTAGCAAGCACCAGCACGCGATCAATCTGCAGCCCTCGCCGTTCAACTATCCAATATCAGAAAGCCATCATGCAGTCTATACCGGATGCCCGTCATCAGACCTTTGAAGAAATCTACGGTCCGCCGGAGAATTTCCTCGAGATTGAGGTAGGCCCTGTTCTCATATCAGCAAGCATGATGATCGCATTGAAAAGGTGCAAATTAAAAGTCGATCTGACGCACCTGCCTCTCATCAATTAGGTCCGTAGCCCACAAACACACGGAACATCGCGATCAATGTACACATCCTACGAAATTGTATGTCGAACCAACATCCCGGCCTTCAAACTCAAACACTCTGTCGTTCGCCGCCGATACTCAGACTTTGAATATTTCCGTGACATCCTTGAGCGCGAGTCGTCCCGTGTCACCATCCCGCCGTTGCCAGGGAAAGTGTTCACGAACCGGTTCAGTGACGAAGTAATTGAGCACAGAAGGGAAGGGTTGCAGCGGTTTCTGCAGATTGTGGCTGGCCATCCTCTGCTGCAGACAGGAAGTAAAGTGCTGGCGAGTTTTATTCAGGGTGAGCTCTCTTATTTTTTCCCCCTGGTGTTTAGAAGGAGAGCTAATTATTTGATTTTATTTCTCAGACCCGAACTGGGATCGGAATGCATGGTGAATGACACAATGCATCGTTCTTTCTTCTTCTGTCTAGCAAGCAATGACATGTAATTACATGATTGATGTTCCCATTCTTTTCATGCCATTTGGTTGTATGTTCAATTGTCCGGTGGTGTTCCAAGCTGAATTTTTTTCCCTCCGCTATGCCTCCATTCGACTAAGTTGGTCTCTTTTTTCTTCTTTCTAAAAGTAAACTTCGGGCTTGCAGGGCCATATTTCGTGTTGATCATGAGCGTATATTGTTCACGAATGTAGCTATTCAGCCAAGCTTAAACATGATGAGAATTTCTAGGTATATAGACAACCGTGACTCGAGAGTGTTCATTCATCAGATATTGACTAGTTAAAAGCCTTCTAGAAGTTAAAAAGAAGAAGACAATTCAAAGGCCGGCAATAACAAGTAGCGTAAGTATTCATTCAACCCTAAATTTACTCTAAAACACGATCATCAAGCGAAAAAGAGATGTAAAAAGTTCAGCGAAAACAATCATGAGTCATTTAATTAAGGTCATCCCAATTCAATGGTGGAAGTGTGTTGTCCTCCCACGACGTATTATTAGTAGCAGCAGAGTTGAAACTGCCACTGTTGTGGTTAGCCGCTGCCAACAGGCTCGAGTTAGATGAGAAGGACGATATTAGACCTTGTCCTCCCCCTCCTATAGCAGTCGCAGCAGCACCGGATGACTCCAGTGACATGCTCGGCTGGCCAAGTAGTGCTGGTGGTTGCAGCAACGAGCCTATCGATGCTAATCCGGAGGACTCCGGTGGTGATTTGCGTTTCTTTTCGGGTTGTTTCGTGCTTTCGTATGTGCTGGATGGGGGCTTTGGGAGTACTGGAGGAAGTGGTGGTATTGATATAGGCTGCTGGGTATCCTTTACTAAGGGTGCGGCTCGTCCCTGGTTATCGCTCGGAGACGGTTTATTTTTGTTGCTAGTCTCGCGTCGTAGTGATCCTATGTTTCCACCGCTAACACTTCCACCTTCTCGGTAGGCGTTTGGAAACTTGGTTCTAAACCTATCTCTCAGGTCAGTTGCCCTACGATGCGACAGATTCAAATGTCGATCTTGTTGAATAAGCGTCCATTGAAAGCCGTGGACAGCGTAGCCTTTGAGAAGAGCTTCGTCTTCAGCCGGTGTGAAAGGCCGACGCGAGCGTCGTTTGGACTTGATTGTAAAGTATGGTTCCGATATACCCAACGACGATAGAGTCGATTTGGATTTGAGTGACTGGTTGGGCGTAGATTTTGATGAGTTAGAGTAGGGGGATGCCGATGTTGAGGAGGATGATTGCTTTGATCGCGTCAACGCTAACGCATCGTTCAACTTGGATGCAGTAGGGTCAACATGCTCTGTAGAAACTGTACTATCCTTGGGCCTTGGGTCAGGCAAAAGAATTTTACCACCAGCCCCTGAGGTCAAAGATTCGGCTTTCATCAACGCGTTGGCTAAGGTGTCTTGTATTTGCTTCGTTGCTTCATTTGGGTCGGCCGCCCCGTAAGCCCATGGACAGCAGACTCTGAAACGGTCTTTCAAATTGGCGGCACTACGTTTGTTGAAGTTCAATTCCGGTTGTTGCAGAATAGCTGTCCAGTTTCCAATGCCACATTTGACCACGCCTTTTAACAGATCAGTGGTCTCTTGTTCCGTCCATTTTCGAAGATTCTTGCGTGAGCGGCCACGCGTCTTGGGCGACAGGGGCTCATTCGTGTCCCCAAATTTTGCCAAAGATCTCTCTTTGTTTGTCGAGTGTTGTCCAGCACTTTCATTTCGATGATTTATGGGAGCCTGGCCCAACCTCCATTGCTCGGCATCATCAACGGCAGGTCTCTCCAGACTGTTTGGGTCAAGAAGCTCTGCTAATCGCAGCTCTCGTTTATCCGCGTGTCTCTCGGTTTGCTTTTCGGAAATGGCGAACTCGGGTGGCTCATTCGTAGGCCTCGTCAGAATCGGCGGCAGGGTCGGTTCAATGGGAGGGAATAATGCTGCATTGGGCGGCGGCTCATTCAGTCCATTCAAGATGGCGAATGGACCAAAAGGGGGAGGCTTCTTTTCATTTTGCGTCTGCGGGACGGGGAGCTGGAGATGCTCACTGGCAAAGTGATCTCCCAATACATCTATGCGGCGCCGCTTCGATAGACTGTTATGGTCCTCGAATAGGTATGGTAGGTTTTCGACCGTCTGGAGATTGATGAAGGCGGGTAGGATGGTCTTCGGAGGACCAGGCAGAACGTTCGAGTCGAGGTGGTTGCCCTCGCTTGAGCGAAGGTCAGTGTCTGAAGTGCGAGCCGCATGGACAAATTCCTCGAGAGTTGGAAGCCTCTCCGGCAGATTGGAGCCCCCAGATGCGGCGCTTGCATTTGTGGCTGCCGCTGGGTGAGCGGTTATCTCGGGTTTCAGAGGAAAGGGGGGGGCGGTGCTCCAGATTCGACGAGGAACAGGCTGGCGCAATGGGGCAATCCGCAATGCCGGAAGTTGCGAGTGCACATCGCGAATCTGGGGCAAGGACGGCTCGTTGGGAGGGGATGATGACAACAAGCTGCTCGTGGTAATAGTATTGTTATCCCCGGATTTCCGCATTTCTCGGTTTACGATTCTAGACCGCGGGAATTAGATCGGCTGCGTGGTGGGACAGTGGACATTGGGAGTGCCGGAGGGGACTGGATAAGGCTCGAATCACAGAGCGGATGGAAGGTTTCCATCTGGCCGCAACAGAGAAGAGCACTGCTGTCTGTTGTTGATGTTGCCGTTGTGGTCTGGTGAATTGTTGTTAGTTGGTGTTGGTTCATTTTGGTGGGAGCCTGAGGTGTGCACCTTTCGGCCAATGCACGGGCCGCCGTCCTCCTTCCTCTTCGTCCTCCACCACGTACACACTCCGTACTCATGGTCAATAGTCGTCCCTTCATAAACATGCCGACTCTATATCCCACGTGGCCATTCATCCTCTTTGCAGTCGTGGAGCCTATCTCCATGTGAGTATACTATATACTGCGTTTCATTACAGAGATGGGAGGACTGATCGGCCACTCATCGCAGGGTTGCTGGCACCCTCGCACCCATTATTGACACAAACAACTTCATCGCCGGCCAGTTCTCTCTCGCCCATCCCCCCGCACTGCCTCACCATCCCAGTGTTCTGGCTCTGAACTACCAGCTAGCCAACATCTACGGGCTTGTCGGTCTTCTCGGCGTTGGCATTGTCTATGGAACTTCTGAGCCACATGTGCTGCGCAACGCCGTCTTAGCATTGGCGATTGCAGACCTTGGTCATCTGTACGCGACGTACGCTGCGATGGGGCCCGAGTTGTACTTTGATGTCGCATCCTGGTCACCAGTAGCCTGGGGTAATATTGGATTCACGGCATTCCTGTTTCTGAATCGGGTCGCCTATATGTTAGGCTTGTTTGGGTCCAAGAGTGCCAAAGCTTCGAAATCGAAAAAGGGAAACTAAGCTGGTGAGTGCTTTTGTTGCATTTCGGATCCGTTTCCTCCGGTTTTATTTTACATATTGCCTAAGTGCTTTCTAGCGGGAATTCATCCAGATGTATATATAAATGACTATGAGATGGTCGTTGCAGAGATCCATTGTATGTAACCCCTGGCTGTCTTCTATGGGACAAACCGCAACATGTTGATAATCAACTATGAACTTGAACATACAAAACGATAATTCTGAGAAATACCCTCGTCAATAATGCAGGCACGAACTGGACCCGAACAGTAAGACACCGGATGAACGGCGTACGCTTTCTTATTTAATTTGGTGAGGCCTTGAATGGGTTACAGACAGGACAGGGATCGGTTTGATGTCCGCTTCACGACTGAAAACACTTGACGCACAGGATGACTTGGCCTTCACACCGCACAGTTTTCCCTGTCTCTCGCTAGCATCGATCTCGACAGCAGCTGTCAGCCAACAGAAACACGTTTTGGACGCTTGAATGCCAAGCAGTCACCTTCGGAATCCGAGGAACCCCGAACTAGGTGGCGAGCTTGATAGATACTAGTTATGCACCGTTGCAAGTACCTACAGCTCAACGTTTTCTGGATATCCCCCTCAACTTGTGAAGAGGCGCTCGATTGGCTTTTACTCAACGGAGGCAACGGCGATCGAGGGTTGCCATAACCGGGATACGTACATACTCAGTTACAGGGGCTAACAGTCCTTTAGTCCACTTCGTGCATGCATTCAGCTATAGAAATCGGTTCTCTTCAAAAGAAAGGAAGGAAGGAAAAGAACTGGGGGTATCGGACAGCAATTTTCATTGTGCATTTGAGTGTACTCTATAGTTTTCTTTCCTATAGTTAAGGGCGCATGCATGTCAATGGGGATATGAATTATAGAAAATGTGAGGGATCAGCTTTTCGAGGTGAGGCAAAAACAGGGAGTACTTGAACTTACTCGGGTCTTATAGTCCGTACTATTAATCGCGTCAAAGTTAGTTATTTGACTACGCCGCCTTATTTGCTAACTATTTTCTCCGTAGTTATCATGAGCACGTATCTCCTCAAAGATGCGTTAGCCCATGACAACAGCGGGGGATCGGGATTTGGCTGTAACTTAATCTAGCTACGTGCCTAGATACTGCATCCAGCCTGACAAATCTTTGAAAGCTTATTTACCCAAGAAAAAAGAAATACAACTGGCGCCGTGACCGTCAAGCAATCATTTGCCACCCAAAGAGGTCGAGACGATCAGCAGGGCATCACAGGACCCGAATAAAGGGGTCGACGGTGCTTCGACCCATGGGGTGAGTCCCAGCAACCGAGTTTAGTTTCTGGGAGCGCACTAAAAGAGAGTTAAACTTACTTGGAATTACGTAGTAGTAGTTATTTCTGAACTTTTTACTCAGACGGAACGACTGATCCGTGGTACTCCGGAGCACTGGCTCCGGAGTAGCTAACTAGTACGGAGTATGTAGTATCTCCATACGTAACTATGATCCACTCTCAACATATCTTCATGTGCATACAAAACATTTAACGAAGGTAACTAAGGTACTGGCTTACAGATTATGTGAGATGGCTGGCTGATCCTGCTCTCGCGAGATGCCTGGTGATATCCATGTATGTTTTGAAACCCTCGGGACTCCGCACTTACTACTGCGTAGTTATGAAGTGCCCGTTCTCCACGCCCTTGATGTTGGCATGATCGATACGTAGTCTGTAATGGGCATTGTATTTCTCATGAAACTCTACGCAATCCTCGTCTGACTCGCTAGGCAAATTAGCTGCGTTGGTACCAACAAGTTACGTAGTATTTACATCGAGAAAACAGACATATGTACTGGTATGCCATTTTAAGGTCTGGCCGGTTGCAACCGGAGAAGTGCGTACCGAAATACCCGTGCTAGACCCAACGAAGGGAATAGATTGCCATCAATTTAGATTTCAAACACTAGTCTTTGGCCTTTGCCACCGCTAAGCCTGTTCCTGAGCTTTGATGCTGAGTCCCCTGGGTAGCGATGATTGGATAAAATTTCCGAGGTAAGTGCGTGCGTGCGTGCATTGCCAAAGCTCGAGGCAGTTTTTGTTCCTCCTTCAACTACCGTAGTCCTCTAGAGTCTGGATGGTCAGAATGTGGTTAATGTTGCATTTGAATCCGAGTCTTCGACCCAATTTGCATTTCTTGGTACGCTACGGCACGTACCGGGATATGCCGGCTAAATGCGGTCCGTCCCTTACGGTACCAGAATTCCGTCTTTTTCTACCTCATTAAGATTCATTACTTCCCTCGCCTCAAAAACCGATGCATCATTATCATTATCAGAGCAAGTTCACAGAGTCACTAGAGTTCCGGTCTTTGTGATCTCGCCGGTGGAGTCAGCGGGAAAATCTCTCCTCTGTAGCGGCATTCGGACGCCATGATAAACGTCAAATGATTCAGGGCTTTTATTCTTGTCCGTTTCTTGGTATCTCACACGTTATCTGCTGCACACATCCTAAATGACAACACAATAAGATCAAGATCAACCGGATTTTCACACGTTTACATCCCGATGCCTGTCCTTTTGGCCCTTTCTTTCCATCCGCATTCGATTCATAGAGACCTTAACTAGTAACTAGCAAGACAGTTGAGTCTGACAGATTGGTGATCACTGACCAATGCGGCAGTTACTCCCTATGTTAAAACACTGGACCTGTCATATCGATGCCAGAATTTGGGAACTCTTTTTTCCCCCTTCATTTTTTTGCATAAATGACTTTCGAGGACAGCCACGTGTGTCAGACGAGGAAGCGAGGTGGGAAAATAATATTGAAAAAAAAAAAAAAAAAAATTATGAAAGAAAGAAATGTATGCACTGCCAACGAGTGAGGGTCTTCTTACAAAAATTCTAACGAGACGAAAAGTTAATAGGGAATTGAAACACAGAAGCCGTTGATCTGTATGATACATCATGCTCTACGGTTACATGGATTGACCTCATCATCGCCATCCCAGGCAGCGATTGTACAGTATGACGACAAAATACTGTTATCGGCACGACCGGGTTCACCGATCCCTTCGTTGTTTCTCCTGGACAAGCACTTCGCCTCCTAATGGCGGTCTGTCCTTCGACAATGCAAGTCCAAGGATCCATGCTTCTCTCTTGCCCTGACCGCTTTTCTATGCTTCCAGGGTTTTCATTATTGGCGTTCCCTTCTTACTTAATATTTTGTGCAGGGGTGGGTGACGATGACCTGTTTCCGCGGAGACTGACTTACTCGATACTGATAGTAATACTAAATTCTACCTAGGTAGCAAAGTGAATCAGAACTAAGAAAGGAAGATAAGAAAGAAAACTCGGATGAATATTTCCTACGCGCCCCGCCGTATTATTGGGACAGAATCAGCCCAATCGCGAAATTTTCAGCCCTGAATCTTATTTCATTCCGTTCTTAGCAATGGCCACGGCAGGGGGAGAGAGAGGGGCAGCGGGTCTGTGTATAACACTGCAAAAATGAAACCGTTTCCCGAATCAGGCAGAATCGGCCTAGCTTACTAGCAACTGCATGGCGAGTATCGAATAGTTTAAATCTTACGTAGCACATACGTACTACTGTGTCCTTCGTACTGACAGACTGCTTACTTGACTGGGAATAGTATTCAGGTATCGCTGTGTATGTATCTCGCCCTCATCCGGGGTACATCCTGCGATGTATTTTTCTAGCGTAACTATCGTAATTATCGTAAATGTGCCGTATCGCGGGCCCACCAGAGAGAGTTTGTCCCAGCGCGCCGGGAACATAGCTTACCATACCGTATTATATTGTGCCGCCAACCGCATCCCTGCGATCGCCCACAAACTCGTTACCAAATGGCAAATACCAATACCAGCAGTTGAACTAGCTAGAATCCAGAAACCAGGTTCCGATTCCCGTTCCCAGTCCAGATGGAGATGGCTAGCAGACGCCAGATAGTGCTTACTAGGCCTGGAACTGTGCATGCTACCTACACTGCCGCTCCACCAAGGAAACCGAAGTCAGTCCCTCTCCCTCACGCCCCTCTTCCATTGTGAACATGCACGCTGTTCTGCCTATCCTTGTAGGCCATCGTGACCTCCTCTGGGATAGTGAAGTGATACAAACAACTGCCGTTCAGTGGAGCGCCTTCAGTGGCTACACTAAGCAGATAAGCTCCCTGTTATATCAACCTTGATTGGTCCCGGCACAGAGTACTCGTCCTCGGCAGTTAACGCTGGAAAGACATTGAGAAATAAGAAAAAAAAGAAAGAGAGCTAGCTCCCCTCTTCCGTCTCGCCTCCGCACCAGGGACCACCGCACAGGAACACAGCGCGCGTGGCAAACGGTCGTGCTGCTCTGACTGGGCCCTCGACAGCTCCCTTCGTATCCAACCCCCTCCACTCCGTGCATCCAGCAGACGCTGGACCGTCGATTTCCCTAAAGATAGGCGCAGCTGGCTGCCACCGCTCTGGATAGCGCATAGCCTTTGATTGACTAGTCGATATCATTCATTCGAAACAGCGCCCAGAACCTGGACCGCCACCACCACCACCATCACGCCTGCACAACCCTTTTTTAGCAGTTCGCCGCCTTGCCTTGACTTGACTTGCGCCAGACACAAGTACAGGACAGCTACTGACTGCTACATGTACATAACAGCCAAGGCGGACGCTGGCACGGACAACCGCAGCTACACGAGGAACTGGCAATTCCAGCATTGACCGGCTATGCTATAGAGCTGCAGACAGTAAGCCAATGGTGACGCAATGGGCCTTCTAGCCCTTCTTTCATCGTAGACTCCATACATCAATCAGAGGACGGATGTGCATTATTGTATCCTGATTTGCTTGGCTGACACCTCAACGGCTGTCCATTATGATGACGGCTGCTCCGGATGATTTGTGGGCAGTGCATCCAACCACAATTTCCGTGTCGCCTCTGGCCGAGACAGCTCTCATACCTTCTTCCCAAGTCTATTCTCCTGTCTCACCCTTCGGTCCCGAGCTATCTGGAAGCGTTATGGCGGCAACGACAAGTACTTCAGCGCCTTTCGGGTCTGCTGAAATAATCTCTCACGGCGATGGGAGCGAGCATGCGAGTACCAACATGGCACAACCCATTGCCCAACACAGCAACTCCTACCCTCTGCTATTTCGCACTGCGTCTGAAATCCCTCGCTTCTCCGTTCCTTATCGCTGGTGGGAGGATGATGCCCGCACCATCCTGTGGAGTTTTGATGTGCGTCAAATCAGTTTGGTGATTCGATTCAGCCTTTTTCATGACAGCAACCAGCCTCGTGCTGCTCTTCAGAGACGGGATTCCAGCTTCCTTGACACATTTTTAGCTACTGTCTTACAACCTTACGAGTTACCTTTCATCCATACCCTTTCGCAGACCCAGAAGATAGACGAAATTCTCCGCAGATCTCAGAACACCATGTCGGTGAATCCTCCCTGGAGTTGGCATCCAGCCCAGGACCTTCGAGGTCCCGAGCCAGCGACTATTGCACAAGAAATTGAAGCAGAGAGTCAGCTGCATTTTAAAGCGGTGCCGTTTGAGGCATGGGTGAGATGCTCGCTGGGGTTTCCTGCTGCAGAAGTCGACTGGTTCCTGTTGCAGCATAATGCACTATACATTATTCTTTTGACTCATTTAAAAGCACATCAATACGACATAATCAAATACCGCAAAGTGGAAAAGGTATTGTTTTTCTTCTCGTCCCTTTTTAATCTTAATCAACTTAAGCTAATGATGAACCATACAGCTACTTAGAGGGAAAAGCCCGCTTGCCCATAAAGCTGTTGTCCACAGTCTGAGTCAGTTCCAAAATGGCAAAGATGCCCAGATCCCACAGACCAACACACCAAGTCTCGATTTTATTGTCGGTCCAATACAAGAGTTATTCAAACGGTATCCGGCCAATTTGGTATCAACCCTGAAAACGCTGAGCGTTGTTGCCATCCGCTTTCAAAAGACCCAGATTCACGTGCCGAACGTGGACTGGTACAAAAAACTCGACACAAGAGTACCATTTCTGGACAATTTGCTGGCGTCCCTGTCAGCAACAGAACTAGCTCGCTCACTGAACCGGGCTGATCAGTCCATGTTCTCTCAATTGTCTCCCGAGCAGCTCATGAACGAGCAGAGCCCGATCATTGAGGCTCTACATACTCGATGGTGTGATTTAGTGGTGGCTGTGTGGGAATGTTGCACTGCATTGCCAGACCATGTACCGTGGATACAGGAATGCATCGAGGTAAGTCTATTTGCTTCAGCTGCAGCTATTAGTTGACTCACTGGCTTATTTATTGTTTGTTAGATTCTGCATAGTCTTCACAACTACAATTCTACACTGGCCTTGATCCAGGGATTGAACCGCATCAGCATGTCGTTCCTCTGGAGCAATCTTGCGCCCAACAACGACCAGCACGGCCAGACGGCGAATGCACTCTCGCTTGCGCCGGCCAGTGTGTCATATCTGCTGGATTCATCCAATAACTACGCAGCCTACCGTCAGGCGATGAAGATTACGCCGGGCATACCTTTCCTCTTGCCACATGTCATCGAATACCGACAACACGGCAAGGCAGCTCTTGATGAGTTGTTCATAACGACATGAGCAGGTTTTTCTCTCAATTTCTATTCGTCTTTCTCGCACTTTTCGGTCGCTTTTCCTTCCATTCATTTCTATCATGTATAACTAACTATTTCACTAAAATAGCTAGCTTGATCCGTGATCGCTTAGAATCCTACCCTTGAGAGTAAAGCGAGTCACTCTGGTTTATCTTTTAATCTGAACTGTCTGTCTGTCTGTCTGAAACTTATTCCTGGGGAACATTGTGCTCTCTTTCCCCTTGTTCAGTATTTCGCTACCCATCTACCCTTCAGACTGCATACATACATGTATGAGATTTTATATCGATTTTAGCTGGTGTTTTGTTTGGCCTTCACAATTGATTGAACTTTTGCTTAGCAATTTACCTGATTTAGGTACCGTTGTATATAGAGCGGGGACCAGATGCAAATCTCTACATTCTGGCGTTTTATTTTTTTTTGATATTTTCATGCTCGGGGTTGTTTTTTCTCTCATTATTTCAAATATATCTCTTATTTCCACGTTGAACCTATCCGGCTTTACATTGCGAAGTGACCTATCTACATGCAGTGAGACGAGAGAAATCGTCGGTCAGCTTGAATTATTTCGTATGCGATATAGCCGACCATTAAATCAATGCCTGGTTATTTTTTTTTTTTTTACAGAATTTGTTAAGCTCGTATTCGCATGATCTGCACGTATCAGTCTACACAGGGACATGGATGCCTACTCGGGTTACAGCTGAACGTGGTTGGAACTGCATCCCTGAGCGATAATTGCCTATTATATGCATTAGTATTATAGCAATATATTTAAATAAACGAAACCGGTTGGCCTAGGTAGGTATGAATTTTTGCAGATCTGAAATCCAGGTACCCTAGACAATTTGAAAGGATCTCAATGACATGGTGTATAAACGGTTTCTTTTATTGGCGAAGGATTTACCTAGGTGCATATAGTTAAGTAGGTCATCGTTTTGACTAACCCTTACTAACTGACTCACATCTAGACAAGAAATTATTAAATCCATCTTTGGCCATAGAAAGGAAAGAAAATACACTTCAATCAAACAAAGCATTCTAACGCCTAACTTGGATATATATTTTTATCATAATACTTACCCTGTGTACTCCGGGACTATTTCTACAAAATCTGCGCTCCAGACCGTGTTCTACTATTCGTTAATTTTCCCTAGATGCAGTTAGCTAAGGTGGTGTGTTTCGAAGCCATTGGGCCCAAACAGTTAGACGCATGCATGCATGCACTTTGACAAGTTGCGGTATTTGATATGTGTCAGGCAGGGAATCAGGCACCATTGCAGTGTTACTTCAAGTATAGATGCATTTTGGCAGCTGAATTCAACTGAATATTGTGTCTGAAACCGTTGATTTAGCGAGATTGGTAAAATACCATTGGTCATAGGTGGCTTGCTTAAATTGCTGATCTATTGAAGTCATCCAATAATTAGATATGTACCATACATCAATGTATGCAGGAGTTAGTTAAACGTTACTCCATTCCTCAGGCCTGGTCCTTGACCGGGAGTCTAGAACTCGTTGGACATGTAGATGCTTGGAAGTCTTGACGGACGCCCTCCTGGTCACTCATACTGACCTACATATGCATAACCATATCTAGTAAATACCTAAATAAGCCAAATCAAAACTATCCGGGGATTGAGATATCTGACCCAATCAAATTTTCGTGCACTGAGTACTAGCATATATTCCGAGGGAATTCAGTCGGAATTCCAAAACATCCACCTACTACCCGGTTGATATCAAATCAGACGAACTCGAGCAGTTCGGTGGATAATAAAACTAGGCTTACTGCATCTACTATTCAGGTATGAGAAATTCCTTGCATCTGTTCAATATACCAGGTATGAAGTGCGTGTGTATGCATGCGGGCACAGGTAGGTACCTAATGCGAGAGCCCGAATAGCTGGGTATGTTTTATTCGATTCCAAGGTTGATGATTACAATGGCATTGTCGGTATGGCATGCCGTTCAGGTGCATAATCTATCTACACGTACATACTAATATTGTAGGAGCGTGAAATGTCTCATCTAATATCTACCTATACTGCGGCTTCCCCATGCACAGTATCAGGAATTTCTACCATTAGTAACCACGACCGAGCGGTCAGCCTATACCCTGGAATTGTGAATCAGAAGATGTATATCTCTTTTGAGGGAATGGGGGCATTCCCTCCTCTTATGCCTCAGGCCGACGCAAATCCTAGAGTAGAACCTCATATAGCAGGTTTCCCTACTACAAAAAATTCTAGGTTTGTTGTACTGGAACGAAGCTGACCTCACTCCAGGTCTAGCAGTCGATGGAATTAGGGCTAGGGCCTAGGGTTCCCTTTGCAATACGAACTGTCAAAACACTACGTGATGATTGATCAAGAACATTACATATCCAAATCACCGGATGAACCAAATGAAATACTATATTGTGTCATGTCACGTCACTGTCTGTGACTTAATGGGGTTATCATTAAAAACGTCAATTCAAAGTTCTTCTTTTAAAACACCATGAACCGACCTCTTAAAACATCAATCTGTTAAACCAAGATGAAATTGGTTTCGTTTCTCGGTAACAAATTGCGTGGTATTTTCTTGAAAACAGAATGTTCAAGCTAATTTTTGAAATTTTTTTAATTTGCCACACCACTCTACGACTTCTATTAGAGTAAACTTAGATACCCTGGGCGAGAGCATAGGCACGGCGGCGATCACGCTCCTCAGCAATAGAGAGCTGGAAAACATGCAAGTTAGCTGATGATTCTGCAGTGAAGATAGTTGGAGAGGGGTTAAACCAACCTTGACACCCTTGCCCTTGGGAAGCGAGATCCATGGCTTGTCCTGTCCAATGATGAACACGTTGGACTCACGGGTAGCGAATGTGTTGTCAACAGCGTCCTTGATGTGAACAATGTTGAAACCACCATCGTGACGCTCACGGTGGGTGATGACACCAACACGACCCATGTTACGACCACCGGTAACCATGGCAATAGCACCAGTGTCGAACTTGATGAAGTCAGTGATCTTGCCGGTGGCAAGGTCGATCTTGACAGTGTCGTTGACCTTGATCAGAGGGTCAGGGTAGCGGATGCTGCAAAAAATTCCTAATTAGCCCACTTTGTCCCGCACAGAATCACAGCTTACAGAAAAGTTCTTTCGTCCTCCGCCGATCAACCAAAGCTTGGTCCAACGACTGAATGACGCAGAGAACTTTGTGGGAGTTTGCACTCACGTTCTCGCATCGTGCGTAACCAAGAATGGGATCCCGCCTTTGCCGAGCTGAACACGCTTGACCTTGCCGAGCTTGTACTCAGCCTCCTCGGCTTGGATGCGGTGCACAGTGAAGCGACCCTTGGTGTCGTAGATAAGACGGAAGTTCTCGCCAGTCTTCTCGATGGTGATAACGTCCATGAAACCGGCGGGGAAGGTAGGATCGGTGCGGACCTTGCCGTCGACCTTGATGAGGCGCTGCATGAGGATAGCCTTGGTCTCGCGGCCATTGAGGGCGTACTTGAGACTATACAACCACGACAAGTCAGTTTTTGTTTTCCGTCTCTCCTTTTATCCGTTGTCAAAAAAGCGTCAAAAACGAACCGGTTGCGGATGAACACGATCAAAGGCAAGCAGTCACGGAGCTTGTGAGGACCGGCAGAGGCGCGAGGAGCATAGGTTCCGGACATTTTGTCCAGGAGCCAGTGCGCCGGGGCGCTCAAGCGCTTTTGGTGCTTCTTACTGTATCACAAGTTTGGTCAGTCATATTAATCAGTTGGGATGTGAAGAATTTTCTTTTTCTTGTTCAGCAACGAAGCACACAGTGCATCGTTCACCCAAACACGAGTGTAGAATAAAGCAATCGAGAGAGAGTCACTTACGGTCCACGAGGCATCTTGACGGTTTTGTCGACTTTACCGTTGAAGTTGTCGAAATGTCGCGCTGAAGGGGAAGAGCTGAAGTTGCAGACGTCGAAGGGTCAACTAAACAATTCTCGCTAAGCGAGTGGAGCGTGTGGACGCGGCTAGCCCCGATTAGGCCTGCTTAGGGTGCGTGTGGATCACGTGTGCTTATTAACTTCTATTTCTGCCGTGTCTTGCCGCCTCTCTCTTTTACAATCTCGGATTGGCTCTACGATATGACTGTGAAGGTATGTATTTCTCTCGCACACAACGAATGCTGACTGCATAGCCAATTGAGGAGCCGCGACCATATCTTGGTTCAATACGACAATCTCCTGCATGACTGCTCTACACATGGAGAAAAGTGTTATTTGCTCGTTGTCCTGCTCGTGTTTTGAAAGCAGTGGCGTTGCTATCACTAAATCTAAAATCTTTGAGCTCTGTTCTCAAGTTTTCATTCATTTATTAACTAGTTACAAGACTAGCATGTACTTTTTGATATTGAGTACGGTACATATACACAATATACAATCTATACGGCAGGTTCCATGCTGGTATATCTCAGGATACATGCAAAGCAGAAACTCCAAAATCCCCTGCCTCATATGCTGAAAACGAAAAGGTTCAAACAAAACATGATACGACGCTACTTGTGCTTCTTTGCGCCAAATTGACGCGCCGACTCGAAATCGGCCGCGTTGGTGACATGAATGTCCTCGGAATAATCGAATATCTTGCCGGGATTCATCAACCAGTGCGGATCGAGAGCGCGCTTGACGCTTCGCATGATGTCGATTGTGTCGGGCCCTAGCTCTTTCACAAGGAACTCCTTCTTTCCCAGACCGACGCCGTGTTCACCCTGTTACTGGATTAGCGAACTTTTCTCATTTCATTTCCGACGTAAAACCATCTGCAGAAAGAGCATGCTGAGCATACCGTGCAAGAACCCTCCATTTCTATGGCCCGATCCACCATATCGTGAACAACTTTCTCTACACGCTCCGTCTCCTCGCGATTTTTGCGATTATATAAGATACTGCTGTGGAAGTTTCCGTCGCCAATGTGTCCGATAATACTAGCCACAGTGCCGAGTTCTCGGAGTTCCTTCTTGGATATTTCTGGGTTGGTCAGTAACCGAACTTGTGACAAGCGCGGGATTACAAAGGCTTTGACCACGCACCTATCAAATCCGGAAGTCGAGACAGAGGGACGGAAACATCAGTTGACCAGACGTCGCCTTCACCTTCGCGCAACGCAAGGAAGGCCCAGAGAGACTGCTTGCGTGCCGACCAGAGTGAATGAGCTTCGTGCTCGTCCTTGGCGAATTCAAATGACGTCGACTTGTTGCTTTGCGCGATATTCTTGGTGACTTGAATGCTGTCCGCAACCTGGGCAGTTGTACCAGAGAACTTGAAAAATAGGGTTGGTTCTTCTTTCCATGTCCGGCCAGTCCCACCGGCACGATTGATGACATTCATTTGAATCTCGTCCATGATCTCCACTGCCTGAACGGGGACAGACCTGTGTATCACCTGCATGGCCGCGGCAGCAGCATCTCGCACTGTAGGGAAAGTTGCAACGCCCACACGCATCAAATCAGGGATCGGGGCGAGCTTGAGGGTAACTTCAGTCACGATGCCCAAGGTACCTTCCGAGCCGACAAACATGCCGGTCAAGTTGTAGCCGGCAGAGGTCTTGCGCGGTCGTCTTCTCGTTTTAATAACCCGACCATCCGCCAGTACTACAGTCAAATTGATAACCCAATCCTTCATGGTACCGTACCGAACGGCATTGGTACCACTGCAGTTGGTACCGACCATACCGCCAATCTTTGCCGACGGGCCAGGATCAACGGGGAAGAAGAGACCGGAGCTCGCAATTTCATTGTTCAGCTGCATCCATTGAATCGATGGCTGAACCACGACATCCATATCATCTTTGTGTAATTCCAGGACTCTGTCCATAAAGGCGAAGTCGATGGTCATGCCACCGAAGGGAGCGGAGAAGTTGGCTTCCAAACTGGAACCTGCAGCGTACGGAACCATGGGCATCCGGTACTTGTAACAAACTTGGGCAATTTTGGAGACCTCTTCTGTAGTCTTGGGGTATGCAATCGCTACAGGAAGCCTGTCTGCATTCACCGTGGACCACTCGGAGTAGCCGTGCTCGTGAAGATCGTCGTCGTCCGTGCTGATGGCATCTTCGCCCAAATCGGCTCGCAATTCGGCAATTGCCTACCAAGACGTTAGAACCCATTTGTAAATCATGTAGTCCGTAGAAAGGTCGGGGCTAGTGCCTTTTCAAACTGTTTGATGTCTCCATAGCGGGGAGCTTGGGGTACCGCTGCTACCGTTGCCGGCGATGGTCCTCGCTGGTACGCGGCGGCGAAAGCGCCTGAACCGACGACTGCAGCTAGAGCCAGAGCACGGCTGGTCGTCCAGAATTGCCCCTTGCTCTCTGAAGCACCAGAGGCATTGCTGCTGTTCCATCTTCCTCTCTGGCATGTCTGCAGCAGTTTCGCTGGTGTGGGGCGGGCGTGGGCGCGAACCCCGGACAGTGCGGAGAAGGGCCTGAGGGGAAATCCGGCTCTCATGTTTTGTTCCGATGAAAAACACGACCGTCTGTTGCGTTACAGGAAGGACAACAATAACAGGAGGACGAGAAGGAGACATGCAGAAGAAGGGATAAATATATGTCCGCCTCAAGGGCATCGTCGTGGCGAGCTCCCACGTTTCTATGCGCTGCTGGCGTGGGGGAGAAGAAGAAGCCCGGACAAGATGCCGATGATGCCTTTGGAGCTAGACCCGAAGCAGATGCTATTGTTCAGCGAGAGGCAGTTAACTATTCAGCTAGTTAACTTGGTTGGTTGGTTGGTTACTTAACTAACTAGTTAAAATATTCAGCGCATGCTTACAATGGGCGGTCTACTTGCTAGACAATGACACTGCTGTGTGAGATCTGACTGGCTCGGGGGCCCTATACTCTGCCTAGCCAGCGCCTTCACTCCATTTCCTCTTTAGACTCGTGATGTTCCGGTTGAAAACATCCATGAGGCGCACTCAGTCGCCAAGGAGTTCTTATTCAACAACATTGCTGGTTGTAAAAACAACGATCCCAATGTTCCCGTTGCTGCCTGAGGCTTCGACCATGGATCAGGCGGTTGAGGGGGCAACCGCCGAGGGGAAAGAAACACCGTCGCCGCCACAAGCACGAAACGAACAAGTCTTGCTCTTGACATTGGTTCATATAAGATATGGATATTGACTAGAGAGGCCTCTCTGGCTCACGCATAATACACCTTTTCCTCCTTCGACTGTGGGACCGGACGCAGCATGCAGGAAACACTCGTGTGCCTCACCCGCGAGGTGCAGCGTGTGATTACCACGCCGTACACTCCCTCGCTGCACGTACGTGCCCTGGAGAGATATAAATCTACTCAAAAAGCTTTTCACTAATCCTTTGAAGAGCCTTGAGCGTATCGTGGACAGTATCCCATATGACACTCTTCGCCAGTGGGCAGATTGCAAGCCTTGCCAGGTGCCGCTTCTGGCTGCTGTGACTCTGGAGCAGTTTCCGTATACAGTCAAACTTTTAGCAAGATTCGGTATCATTGATTCCTTTTCTTTCATCTTCCAGTCTCATTTGTAAATTCGCATAGGGCTAAGTAATCTACTACAGGATATATCCAAGAATTCCGTGATGCCCTGTTGGATCGTGAACCAATTTTGTTGGATCAATTACTTCAGCATGCTATTGAAAATAGCAACGAGGAGGCAAGTTCTTTTCACACAACTTTTACATCGTACTATAAACTGACCTTGCTAGAATCTCAATGTTTGCGTTGCGATGCTATCATGCCCTGTACCCAAGCATGTGGCCGTTCCAGCCCGAGTACCCATCTTTCTAACAAAGCTGCTAAGCAAAGTTGTAGAGAACCCTTGTCCGACTCATATAAAGCCTCTATATGAAGTCATGGAAGGTCTTCTCAGTAATTCGGAGCTGATCAGACTTTTGCCAAACGACTTGATGGAGACGTTCCAACGTGAAGGCACCAGAATATTGAGGAACTTGAACCATCCTCTGGAGACATTGTTGTCTCTAGCTACATTTGCGCGAATACGCAGACTATGGCAGCCGACGGCCGCCAGAGACTATGAGCCACAATGGCTCGCAAACATATCCCAGATATTCGGTTCCAAGAGAGCTTCAAAAACCCTTGACTTGGTGATTATATCGGCAGTGATGGCTTGTTCTAATTCGAACAACCAGTACACACAGGAAAATCGCACTTTGTTAGTTAGGCTCGCCATTGAAATTTGCCACGAAATCGACGAGGAGAGGAAGAAAGAATGGCTAAGTGCCCACTCGGCAAAGTTTGTCAAATTATGCGACAAGTTAAGGCATCCAGAGATAGATGCCGAATTACAGGTGATGGTAAGCTAGATTCTCCGCTAAAAAGCAGATCTCTGCTAATTGAAAACGCAGGGCTTGACTCTACTAATAAATTTCTCGTGTTCGCTATTAATACCACGGGAGATTTATCAAATGATGGACGACCGGCTATTCACAGATAAAACGTGTAATATGATTAATATAGTGCCGGAAATAGAAAGGGAGACGTTACTCGATCGATTGATGGTAAGTCACAGCTTGTCATGGCGGAAACTTGAAATGGAAACTCACAAACATTAGACTCACTGTGCCGATAATGCAAACCTGAATCACCTCACCTACGCTATTTCAGCTCTGGAAGCAAATGGAGATGTAGATGATTTCTTCTTGGCCAGAATCAGAATAAGCCTGCTCTGTCTTTCGTCGTTGAAAAGATTACGCAAACATTTGCCCGTGAGCCGATCGTATATGCAGCATCTGCGTGTTGAAGAGGCGAGGATTTTAAGAGCTTATGCTCGGGGCTTTGCATTTCGTGATGCATCATCCCAATGTGAAGAAACTCTTGTTTGCTACAGTGAGGTAGACGCTTGGAAAGACCGACTTTTTCTCGAATTTCTGAGTTTGATCCTTTCAGAGGCTACCCACGATGCCGAAGAGAGTATAGATGCTTCGTTCAACTCACAGGAGTTCCTTGAGATATTCCTTGGTTCTCTGAAACAGAGCTCGGTGAAAAGGAGCTGTTGTCTGTTCAGTCAACTCAGGGAACCGGAGCGGATTGGTGGCTTTGCCGTCCACGGAAGATCAAAGCCAACATTGATAGCAAATACCGAAGGCCCAAGTCGGGAATGGCGAACCAAAGTGGCCAGTAATTTACTGGAGAGTGCTCAGGCATGTCATGAAACAGTTATCCAACAAATGCAAGCCATATGCCAAGACTTCGAAACTCGGTGCATGAAAGTCGAAGAGCCATTGGCAGTTGCGTTTCAAGAACGTGACCAACTCAAACAACAGCTGGAGGACTCCAAGTGCCTCAACCTGGAGTTGGAGGCCCAAGCCCGACAGTCGATGGAGTTGGTGGACACTCTGAAAAAGCAGATAGGTGAATCTATCAAGCAGGTCAACGAGCATTCTTTGCAGGTCGAACACCTGACTGAGCAAGTCGATGCACTACAAACCGAGCTTGACGATACCCGAAAGGAGTCGCAGGAGAGCATCGAATCAGTGCGTTTAAAGGCACGCGATCGGGAGTTAGATCTCATGGCTACAGTTGCTGAGAGAGACGACCTTCTCGAAGAACAGCAGACAGAAATCAATTCCATGTCAAAGGAAAGAGCTCGGTTCAAAGAGGCTATGGACAGTGCCTCTGAACACCATCGGACAATCTCTAGAGAATGCGATGCTTTGCGCCAAGCGATCGCGAGACTGCAGAAGGAGGCCGCGCAAGAGCGTGATACACTTCGACACGAGGCAAGTAAATTACAGCAAGTAATGGAGATACGAGAGTCGACGAATGTTGAAAAGGACAACCAGATTATGGCTTTGAGTAGCACAGCCAAGGACCTCCGTAGCGAGAATCACATGCTGAAGGACAAGGTAAGTGACGTTTTACAAACATATCAGTTGCTTCCCTAACACTTTATCAGTTGGATCAGGAGAAATCAAATGCAATGGCGTTGGTGTCATCTCTCGAGGAAGCGCGTCAAAACTACCAGACCAGCATCGCTCATATGGAAACAAGGTTTGAGGAGCAAATGTCTCAAGCTCACAAACAAGTAGGCTCAATTATCTATACTTGGTGTCGTTTAAAAACTGATTCAGTCTCAGGCACAGCAAATGACAGATCGACATAACCTCGAAGTGGCAGACCTGCGAAAGAATGCGGCAAATGCAACAGCCAAATCTGAGAAGGAACTTCGTGTCAAAGACAAGAGAGTACAGCAATTGGAAAAGAAGGTAGTTGTCATACACCGCGCACATTGTTCGTCTAGTAGTAACGTTGTGATAGGTTGAGTCTCTTCGAAACGAAAGGGCAGCAAAAGCTCGTGAATTCAGCGAGGCGCAGGAACATATAAGCCGCTTGATGAGTGTAATGGGTTTTACCAAGGATTATAAGGACGAAAGCAACAAAAGACAACTAGATACAACTCCCACAGTCAACAGAGAAGTTCGACGGTCAACCCGGCCGAGCGAATTACAAACTCAGTCCTGCCCACCTTCGCAGAGCGAAATGACTACTATGCACACGCAGTACTCGATCGCCCCTCCGCCTCCACGAGTGACAGAATTTGTCCGTCCAGATACGACAACGCGCAGACGCAGCCATCGTTCTGCGGAAGCAATGAGTTTTGCCAACGACCCCAACTACTCGTTTTTGCCAGAGCAGAAAGAGCGCCAGCCTCTGGGTCACCTTGACAGGAACAGTCCCATAAAGTCATCACAACCACATAACCCGAAGGAGTCCAAGTGCAATAACCAAGAGTCTCCCGTTGGCTCCCCGACCAATATAAACATGACTGAGCTGGGAGATATCGATTTGGACTTTGATGATGACGATCTTCTCACGAGTACTCTCCCTAGATAGTTGCGTCCCTAGCACCTACGTAACCCAGAGTCAACGAATACTAGGTCATGCGTTACTGCGAATGAAAATGAGAATGTTTTCACTGGCATTTTGCCTAACTCATCCTCATGGATCTCGGGCTTCTTCGTCTCTGTATCCTCCGCGGGTGCTCGCCTTGCCCGTTCCAAAGCCGCCAACGCGGTGATGCCCCTATTCATTGTTCATGCAGGGGTCTTTGTCTAGCGTCCACTGTTTATTGCGAATTAGTCGGACATCTATTGGATACCAGCGATAAAGTAAGGCCCATAAATAGTGATTGCTGTTTCAAGATTTTCCACGGCACAGGCGCAAACAGAGTCGTTTGACCTGCTGCATCATTTCTAGAAAACCAGCCTCTCGATTTCGTGGTCCCTGAATGAAAAGCGAATAACCATTCGATCACGACCCGTAGCATGAATAGGCCCTGACCTGAATAACTCTTTGAGAACAAACAGTATCCTCGGATGCGCCCCGAGAGACAACGAAACATCGGACTGCCCAATATGTCTCCGCTCAGGATGTTGGGCGTGACTAACAATGGAAGGCTCATTGTTCCTTTCGCTGAGCTAAGTATGCCCGGTATTGTGATCCCGACCACAATCAACCACATTCAGAGTACTGGAAATCTCCTGAGGTCTATTCTTTACGCCACCTCACGAGCACTCGCTGGATCAGAAGGAAGTATCAGGGTGGAAAGCCTCACTTGGAAGCTCACTAAACCATCATTCTTTGCTGAGCTGGGATTCATTTTTTTCTCTCATCCTCTATCCATCAGCGATAATCAACTCTTGAGCTTGATCTTTCTCGATTTTTCTCTCTCCGTTCACAGCCGGAGGCACGTGTGTATCACCTGACGGTCACTGCTTCCTCCTTTCCGCGATGGCCTTTCGTCGCCCAGCTGCGCCTGCTTCACCTCAGGCGCGCCGACGTTCTTTCGCTGCAAAGACGCCGCCAGAGAATGCATCGAAGAAGTCGCCCACGAAGCCCGCCATGTTCAGAATGAGTGAGAGCCGCGCCGCTTTGGCATTGAAGCCGGACTGGCAGACCCGGGAATCCCTCGCAATCCACCTCTTCGATGTCCCGAACGATGCGAATGCAAAATTAATCTATGCGGCATTCAAATCGGAGGGAACGCTGTATTCAATTGACCTCTACGAGGACTACACTGGTAAACGCAATGGGAAAGGCCGGGTGCGGTTTAGGTGAGCGTTCCTTCAAGTTCTATATCAGGGCGAGCCGTCGGAGGTAACATTGCTCATCGCTGTATAGACCGCCCCCAGCTACAAACTTCTGGAGAAGACTACGTTGGCAAATCGAGTTGCCAGATGGACGCAAAACGGATATCAAAATATCGCTAGTGTCTGAGGATAGAGATAATAGTATTCCGAGTCCGGTGCACCCAGATCAGCTCTATCCGGCGGAATTGGTCAGTTTGCTCTTGCTCTCCTTAGTCCACATGTATCATTCTCTAACTTTTCCTCTTCCTATAGGAAATACCAGTATCAATGCTGGATTTTGGCCCCAGGACAGGTCCCATGGCCATGCTTTCTATGCGACGTTTTAAACGAAGCCAGAATGTGTATCTCAGGTTGCACGTTGACCTCAGGAACCGAAAACTGCTGGTTTTCTTTCCAGTAGCACTGCATACGACCCAGAAGGAATCCAGTAACCAAACCATCTATTCCCACTTTCGGCTGAAAGTGCCTTTCGCTCAGCTAACAACGCTGTACCAAAACCGCGACGATTCTACCCAATCTTTGTCTCACATGATTCATTTCGACAGTCCACCTATCTACGATCGCCATCTTCACAATGTTGAAAGCACCTTTGACAGCCTTGACGCGGAAAATTCCTGGAGAGAAATGGATTGTTGGTACCGCCAGACGGATATCGTCCATCGCTACGCTGCCGCAGGGCAGGATGACAGGGTCCGCCAGGCAGCTTCGGACAGGCTCCCCATTAGTCTGCGCAAGCGGAATCCTATCATCGATATTGGGCGTTGGAATACAATTCGAATCACTTACGACAGGGATACGATCCAGTCAAATGAATTTAAGCTACTGTGCAATGCTTTGAGAGACTTCAATCTTGAAATCAAAGAGAGCAATGAGTTCCAGCTCGCCATCCCACAGATTCAGCCAGTGCCAGTCATATGGGATATTTGTGATGAGCCTGAGAATTCACAAACAGCTCTTCATGAGTTGATCCGCGATTCGTTTGTCGGTCTGCCATTTGCTATTCGATATCAACTCGAAGTGTGCATTTCACATGGCTACATTAGCGAATACAATGCTGCTAGTGAAGTTTTTGTGCGCAGGTTGAGAGATATGGATGAGAGCAAAGCGCTCACGTTATTGGAACATGTCGCCACGGAGAAGAAGGTCTACTGGGATCCCATGAAGATATTCGGCATTTTGTTCCCAAGGGCTGCTACCAGAAGAATCATTCCCAATTACTGCTGCATGATTCACACAGCCACGGTGACCCCTTCAACGATTTACTGGAACACTCCATCGATGGAAATCACCAACCGTGTTCTACGCCGGTATTCAGAACATAGTGATCGGTTTCTGCGGGTTCGATTCAGAGACGAGAAATTTGAAGGCAGAATAAACTCAACCAATCATAACACTATAGACGAAGTTTTCAATCGCATCAAGCACACAATGACCAATGGAATCAAACTTGGCGATCGAAAGTACGAATTTCTTGCTTTTGGTAATTCTCAGTTTCGCGAACACGGTGCATACTTCTTTGCCTCCGATGCACATGTAAGCGCAGCCAACATTCGTGCATGGATGGGGGAATTCTCGGATATTAGGAACGTTGCCAAATACGCAGCAAGGCTAGGTCAGTGCTTCTCAACCACGCGAGCTGTGCATGCCTGTCGGGTTCACCTGGAACGCGTTCCTGATGTTGTACGGGGAGGGCACACTTTCTCAGATGGGGTTGGAAGGATCTCCAACTTTCTTGCCCAGATGACACAACAGGAACTCAAGATCCGAACCCCAGACCGAGACCCGCCATCTGCATATCAATTTCGTCTAGGAGGTTGTAAAGGGATGCTGGTGCTTTCAGCGCAAGCACGTGGGCGTGAAGTGCATATTCGCCCAAGTCAGGAGAAGTTTCCGGCTACACACCAAGGCCTTGAAATCATTCGTTGGTCACAGTTCTCAATGGCTACCTTGAATCGTCAGCTCATTTCCGTTCTCTCTTCGCTTGGAGTTCCAGACAAAGCATTCCACAAGAAACTACGCAAGATGGTCTCAAACTTAGAAGAAGCCGCTCATGACGAGAAAGCTGCTATGCGGCTTCTTCAGAAATATGTCGATCCAAACCAAATGACTCTTGTCATCTCGCAAATTGTGTCCGACGGATTTCTCGTATCAAAGGATCCGTTCGTGACATCGATCTTGACGTTGTGGAAAGCATGGCAAATAAAGTACTTGAAAGAAAAGGCAAAGATTGTCATTGACAGAGGGGCATGTGTCCTCGGTGTGATGGATGAGACGGCTACCTTGCAAGGATTCTCGTACGCGAAAGCAAGAGCCCAGCATTCATCATTAGAAGACAAACTCGCCGCTCTTCCAGAGATTTTCATCCAGGTATATCGCGCCGATGAGAAGGAATATAAAGTGATTGAAGGGGTTTGTTTACTGGCCCGCAACCCGTCGCTCCATCCTGGAGACATCCGAGTCGTCCGGGCAGTCAACCGAGCAGAGTTGACCCATCTCAAGGATGTGGTTGTTCTCCCACAGCTTGGTGATAGGGATGTTGCAAGCATGTGTTCCGGAGGTGACTTGGATGGTGATGATTACTTGGTTATTTGGGATGAAGACCTTCTCCCCTCTGAATGGTTCCGTCTCCCCATGGACTACACTCCCATCAAGGGATTCACCCTTGACAGGCCGGTCACAGTCAACGACATCACTACATTCTTCGTGAACTATATGAAGAATGACACTTTGCCCAAGATTGCTCATGCTCATGTCGCCTGGACCGACTTCCTTCCAAAAGGGGTAGAAGAAGCAAAATGTATTCGTCTGGCTCAGTTGCACTCAAATGCTGTGGACTACAACAAGACAGGAGAGCCTGCGTATCTTCCTCGAGAATTACGCCCACGCAAATGGCCCCATTTCATGGAAAAGAACTATAAGCCCAAGGATCAGATATACCACTCCAAGAAAATCTTGGGACAGCTCTACGACGCTGTGGACCGAGTTGACTTTCATCCCGACTTTGAAATGCCCTTTGATAAGCGAGTCCTGGAGTGCGGAATTGCCATTGATGAAGAGACGAGAAATTTTGCCAAAGAACTCAAAATAAGCTACGATGTTGCTTTGCGACGCATCATGGCGCAGCACGAGATCCACACCGAGTTCGAAGTATGGACGACCTTTGTTCTCAGCCACTCTGATCAAAGCAAGGACTACAAATTCCATGAAGAGCTTGGTAGAATGTCCGAATCGCTCCGAGACCGCTTTCGAGGCGAATGTTACAACAAAGTTGGAGGGCGTGACTTCAAACAAATTGCTCCGCTGGCGGTCGCAATCTACAGCATCACTAATGACGAGGTTGTTACAGCGCTGACCGAATTTCGCAAAAAGAATCCAAACGTGACTTCCAAGCCCAAGCCAGATGGCTTTCCTCTAATTAGCTTTGCTTGGCTCTTCCCAGACATTCTAGGTAGAGTTGCATTACGTTACTTCGACGAGCGAAAGGAGGAAGCTGTGAGCAGAGGCGAAAAAATTAACATTGTTAGTGACATAAAGCTGCAGGAAGGGGAAGTCGTCAGCAGAAGTTCCTTCTGTAGTGATATGCCTTTGATTGACCTAAGCTTTCCCCCCTCTCCACCTGACACAGACACATTCACCGAGACTAAATCATTGGAAGGGATATTCGAGGCCATTGATGAGGAGACGGGAGCCGAAATAATTGAAGAGAAAGTGCAGATAATGCCTAGCGCCATTGACATCCTCGAGGATATGCTTTTGGACTCGGACTCGGACGAGCAAGATTCAGCTTGAGTGTGTAGAATAGTATGGCTGTGTATTATTTCTGTGCCTAGATAGTTGAAACATGGTGCAATAAATGAAGAATGGTCAACATATTCATTCACAAGAAACATTAGCTGTTCTCGAGTGATAGTCTGTCTGATAGACCGATAGCATATACTAGTTAGATAGCGAGTATATACCCCGCAAGCGGACCAATCAGAAACCCCGCCGAAACTTTTTTTTTCTGTATACATTTTTGGACAGACGTCATACTACAACTACATAACCCAGCAAAGCCGTCGCCGTCAATCCAATTCATAAGTTCCAACTTATATACGAAGGAAAAGGAGAGAAAAGAGAAGAGCGAAACATGCCCGCTCAACCCCCCATCCCGCCTCTGCTAACGCCCTACATCTCCACACTCTCTCCCCAGTCACTCACATTGGTAACCTCCGTGCTGGCAGCGACATCGAACTGGCTGGTTTTGCGATATTTATACTCTGTTTTATCACGATCAACAGCACTCGGCCAAGCCAACGATAATGATGTTCACCGCGACAGCAGCAGGGCGGCTAAGAGGATTGTGCTCGTGAGTTTCTTGCGAGACTGGGTGTTTTGGAAGGCGGAGGGGAAGAGGTTGGTATGTTGTTATGTATACTGCATTTTCTTCTTCTTGCCCAGGATCAAGTGCTGACTTCGCACTGATTTCACAGGGCTTAGATTTACAGAGATTTGTGGATGCGGACAGGCTCAGGTTTGTCGATGGTTTGACGGGCTTGTTTGATGGGCAACCGCAGCAGCAGAATTCAAGATCTGCGGGCATTCCGACGCGACCAGGAGCTGGACCTGGGTCTGGAAGGACAATTCCCATGCGAGGAGGCCCAGCGGAGTCTATCCCAGTGCGAACACATTCGACGGCGAATGTGATGCCTACATCCTCAACAAACCCGAAGCAATTGCACATCTCCAGTGGCAGTGGCGGTATGCCCGTCTTGAACGGACTCGAAAACGATATTCTATCCGTCATCAAATCCATCGTTGCTAAAGGAGCCGATAATCAACATAATAAAGACGAAGAGCAAGACGTCCTCCTGATAATAGATCAGCCGGATTTCGTGCTCGCTGCTACTCCGGGGATTGATGCGGATGACATGTCTGACTGGATTATGGGATTGCAACAGGTACTGTTTATGCGTCCTTTGTTTTTTTTTTTTTTTTTTTTCTGTGGAAGACTCTGCTAACATGCATCAATAGCATGTCCATTCAACAATCGTAACTACATCCGCCGATTTCCCGCTTGTGCATAATGCAAATGAAGCTTCACATGATAATGGGCCACCGACTCCGTTAGAAAGACATCATGCTGCGTTTGTGGTTGGGTTGGCTCATCGCGCGTCGATGGTTCTACAGCTACGGATGCTTGATACGGGAGCGGCTAAGGATGTCAGTGGGGTGATGAGGATGAGCAAAGGCGGCGGAGGGTTTGATGCAGATGACGGCGCTGTAGAGAAGGAGGTTCTATATTTTGTGCAGAGAGACGGAGGGGTGAAGGTCTTTGGGAGGGGGGAAGTATGATGATTGATGAGACTTGTCGTGAAGAATTTTTGGTTGTATAACGGGTCGAGAAATGTCCGGAAAATTCACTGTATACCCCTTTAGACAAAGAAAATAGATAGATATAATATCATGAGATACTAGAAAGCGCCCGGATCATGGATGTGTTTTTGGATTTCTCAGTTCATTTCTGATAGATATGAAATGCCATGTTTGGTTTGACATGATGAATCCATCCCCCGTTGGCCAGGTAGATACCAACGCATATTAAGAGAATTCATAAGCTGAGCAACCATTTTCAGCTATACTTTTTCCAGCCAAATAGGTCGCCGTGAAGAAACAAGAGAGTTGGGTTACACTCTCCCTTTTCCAACAAATCCACAAATCCAGCCAAATCCCACTGGACGACTTTCTTTTCATTTTTTTTCCTTTCTTGTCAAATTCGATATCCACTTTTTACCAACTCCGTCAACTATATTGCGAAAACATTATGCGAAAACGAGTAAAGAAAAGAGGATTCGTTAAAAACGGTAATCTAACTCAAGCCACGTGGTGGAAAAAGAGCTTAAGCAGTCGTGGGGCCACGAGCACCCTTGGGAGTACCGGTTTGGAAGCCGTTCTGGAATTTGCGGTCGACGGTCTTGAGGTAACGCATGCGACCAGTGCCGGTGGTCTTGCGGCGCTTGGCCTTCTCGCTCCAGTTGACTGTTCTCGAAAATTGTGTGAGATCTCCAATTCAAAGAAAAATACCAAGCGTTGAAAGAACATAGCGAGGAATTCGTACACTTTCTTGTCTTAGCAGCAGGGTAGCCGCAGTTGGCGCAGACGCTCTTCTGGATGTGGAATGAACGCTTTCCTGGAAATGTCGAAGAATTTCATGTTAGCCAAGGTATGTCTGGAAGATTTGTATTTGATTCCAATCTCGCAAGCTCATTCTCCGCTGCTTCTTTCTTCAGAGGATGTCCGCCCAACGACTCATGTCACTCCTTTTCCTTTTTTTTTTCCCTTCTACTCTTCTTGACATTCTCCAAGCTTGGCTGATTGAATTGAATTGAGAAGAACGGGTGTACTAACCGCATCGTCGGCAGAGCGTGTGCGTCTTGTTGTGACGCTTACCAAAGCTGGAGGTACCCTTCGCTGTAGGACTGTCAGTCTTTCCTGCTGCGTATTCGTCGGCGTGGACGGCGATCAAACAAACGTACTCATCTTGAATCAAGGGGATCTAACGAGCAGGAAAAAAGAACAGTCAGCCGTAAGTCAACAATGTGCGAAAAATTATTATCTGTAGATAAAAGCACAGCACAAACGTACCTGGATTCCACTGAAGGGGGTTTGTCGATGTCGTCGTCGTCGTTCAGTCGCTGCAGTCGCAAAGTTCGTCTTGCCGACCATTTGGTCGCTTAGCGTCGTGCGGAACGGAGACCTAGGTTTAGCCCTACCCGCTGTCTTCTTTGGGACTAGTGCACCTCTGACGCCCTGAGAGCGCGCTGATTGGTCAGTGTTTATCTCGGCTGTGATTGGCTGTTATTTTTGTTCTATATAGCATCGTTTCGCTTGACATTGAAAGAGAAGGAGATACAATACTTACACTACGGTATCGTGCCAGTCCCATAAATATATTACAGCCGTGTTTCTATGGTTGCAATGTGTTCTGTATCGCTGACCTGGATTTCTTAAGTCATATGGCCATAGAATAGGAGTTCTTCTACGTTCCATAGGTACCTAGAATCTTATGTTACGTCGAGAGCTTACAAGTACGATTACCTAGGTACTAGCAAAAATAATCTTGATGTATACTTGCAGTGAATAGATATCCAGCCAACAACCTTTACTTGGCTTCATCATAGTATCTTGCATTTGCTGAGGCTGCCATCATACAGGTTCTTCTACGCGAACAACCCTGATACGTATTCTTGGCAAGTTGATATATGCAGCTACGCCTAAATCTAATTCGACAACTGGAGACTTGGTTATTTTAAATAACACCTGTCAATTGTTCACTTAGTTAGTAACAATCATTGTACGCATTTCATGATTTACACTACCATTAAGTGGAGGATGCAGGTATATAAGTATTGGCCATGCCTTATTTCGTAGTCTCAACGACATCCCCCAGCATCGCTATGCTTAGCTTAGACCGGTCCAAGAACTTCTCCTCTTCCTCTGCTATCTGAGCGGCAGCCTCTGGTGCTTGAACTTTCGCAACGAAAGCCTGAAGGGCCTCTGGGCTGGCAAATGTAAGTTCGGCCTGGGCATCAAAGTCAAAGTCTGACTGCTGTCCGGCAATCACAATAGCTGGAGTTGTGGCATTGCGAGCAGTGGCACCGTCATTTGGCGTGTTATTGCGCGCGATATAGCTGCGCTTGTGAGAGAGGGGAAAATCGTCACCCGCCAGCTTCTTCAAGTTTGCGACATGTTCCTCATAGAGCGTTCTGAACTCCTCGAGGGATAGACCGGGCTTTCGGTAGGCGAAGATCAGAACCCTGGCAGTCATGGTCGCAAGAGGCGGCGGTATGAAAAGAGGCTGGAGTTATGAGAAAGATGGAATTGGGTTTAAGATAGATAAGGTCGAGGTGTGAAAAAGGTAGGAATAGCGATCATTTTTAAATAGCCACGTTGCTAGGTGTCTTCTACTTAGGTACACCCGCTTATTCAACCAACACATCGATACAAAGTTTATGTAGCGGGCTCAGCAGCTAAAAATAATTAATTAGAGGAGCTTTTTATAGTAATTTCCACATCTGCCAACCAATCACCCAAGGACGCGCGTGATAGATACCAAATAAACACCGCTTGGTACTCAGATGCATTGAATATATACCTTCCTAGGTAGGTAATTGTTGTCCGTAGCATTGGAATAATGTACTGTTCTTAGATTTTATGAACTGCATCCGGGTATTAACTCAAAAACAAACGCCATCTGATGCTGATACGAGATATCTGCGAAATCACCTAGGTATCCGCCATAGTACAGTGTAGCCAAAGATAATATACCACAAAAAAAAAGGGTTGCTACTGAATCAGCTCGTCCTTCCCCAAAAAAGCCGCCATAGGATCTGCTGCAGCCAACCGACTTCGTTTATACGACTCAAGTTCTTCCTCATCTATACCCTGGTGGAATGTATGGAGGTCTCGCTTTTTCGCATCTACAGCCGCCCGCTGCTTTTCTTCCTCCGCTTGTTTGGAGGGCTCTTCGTCTTGTTCATCTTGATCAACAGAAGAATCGAGGATGGCTCGATTCTGCGCATCTTCAAAGGCTTTTTTGCCTTGTTCACCCGTACAATAACTGTTTTTAACCGTCGAATGACAACAAGCATAGCCCCACTGGAAGTTAAACCACCAGCTACCCCATACCGATTTGTGGTTGTTAACAAGTATATCCTCGGCGTACTTCGATTTGACTGCTTTCTTTGGCGCTCCTTTGATAGCGCCCGTCTCGTCGTATTCGACAAATCGCTCGTTCTCAATAACAGCAGCATCGCGTAATGGAGCGGCTTTCATGTGCTCTTCACCACCATACTTCTCCAACAATGCTTTTCGCTGTGTCTGGCGTTTCGCTTCTGTCTCTGCCAATTCCCGCTTCCGGAGAATCTCGCCGGACGTAGGATTTGCCTGAAGATGGTGTTGCTTGTTACCGCGTTCTTGTGATTCCCATGCATACTGCTGAGCTCTCTCGAATTCCGCAGCGTCTCCCGAAGCTCGAATAAAATTCTCCTCGGCAACAAGCGCCGACGTCGCATCTGCCTGCACTCCCATACCAATCATCGAACGCGTTTTGGGATCGTATTTTGCCGAGTCAAGATCCAAGTTCAAAAGATACTTGGCTGTATCTTCACGGATACGCAGATTCCTTGTAGCCGTACTCTGTTGTCGACCCATATCCGACTCTTCAGCATATCGGGCTTCTTCTTGGTCGCCTGCGTCATTCTCGTCATCATCATTATCGCCATCGGCTGCCTTTTTCGTACGTCTTTTGAGATTCTCAAGCTCTTCGTACTCCTCGACTACGTTACGATATTCAGTCGCATCGTATCCATTCCACCGATCTCGCTTGGCATCCCAGCCAAGCTGGACATCTTGTATAACTTCATCCGCCTGAATATCCTTTCCAGTCCATTTTGCACCGTGCTTTCTAGGACGACTGAGGCATTCCTTGGTCTTATGTGACATGGCACCACAGTTCTCGCATGCGCCCTTTCGATACTTGGTGGCGGCGGGCCCGGCGCGCTTCCCTCGTTCATACCATTTTGAATCCGCTGCTTGTTTCTGTAGACGTTGATGCTCTAAGTAATCGGCCGCCGAAGATTCGTCGTCGATATAGAACGGCTTCTTTGCAATGAAAGATGGGATATACTCATTGCGCTCTTTCGACGGCACATCGGTGGGTTTCCGCGACATGGCGACCGAAGTAAATGGATGCTCATGTACGACAAGAGCGAGAAAGAGAACAAGTAGAAGGCGCAGTGAAAAGTGGCGATTATGTTTAGTTGAGAGAATCTCTGCCGCTCACCAGCCTCAAATGCCAAGCCCGCCAAGCCTTGACTGGAACAATATCACGTGATATTTACTAAAAACGGCATAGCTAAGATATGCACGTCATCATGTTGATGCATTTCATTCCTTCATAATTCGCGGTATGCAGAAACGCGCTCCTTGACTGACGATGATTGACTTTTTGACGCCATCCACGCCTTTCAATTACTGTAACACAACACTGTATATGTAGCATCATGGTTCTGGTTAACCCTGCATATCTCCTCAATACATACAATGGACAACTTTCGCGTCCGTTTGAATTGCATCGATCACTATCAAGCAGCCCCGACTGAATTCGATCCTCCGGTTCCTTTTGCCAACGGAGTCTCACAGCGAACTGAAAGACCCAAAGTCCCCGTCATTCGGGTCTTTGGTGCAACAGAAACTGGCCAAAAGGTGTGCGCTCATATCCATGGAGCCCTTCCGTATCTGTATATCGAATATAGAGGCGGCCTTGCATCGGACGAAGGTAGGTACCCTTAAAGATCTCTGCATTTGTGAGCTATAGCGATTTACAGTTTACCCATTTATCAAGTGAATAATGCCATTCGCAACTTACATGGATCTATCAATCATGCCTTGGCGAGCAGTTATCGCCAAAATGCTTACGATGGAAAAGTCGCCTATGTTGCACACATCTCCTTGGCCAAAGGCATTCCATTTTACGGATTTCATGTTGGATACCGGTTCTTTTTCAAGATATATCTATTAAATCCTTTGAATATAACTCGGCTGGCCGATCTTTTACGTCAAGGTGCAGTGATGAAATGTTCGCTGCAGCCTTATGAGAGTCACTTACAGTATATTCCTCAATGGATGTGTGATTACAACTTGTATGGCTGCGCCTACTTGGACTGCTCCAAAGTCAAATTTCGGTCTCCCATACCAGAGTATCTCGAGTTGTCCAACCTGGATCATCGGTGGCATGATCGATCTATTCCTCCAGAGAATATCACTAGCGATACAACCCTACCAAAGCAGAGCCATTGCACGTTGGAAGTCGATATCTGTGTTCAGGATATTGTTAATAGAAACGCAGTTAAGGAGAGACCACTACATCATGATTTTATCGAACGGGTGCACCCAATATCAGCGGAGGAAAAGCTTGTCCATAGTATGGCTGGTCTGTGGCAGGACGAGACACGCAGGCGCAAGAAAAGACTGGGAATTGAAGATCCAGGGAGTAGCCCCTTCACAGATGAGGAACTGGTCTCCATGTCAGCTAGTCCGCGGGACAGGGAAAAGGCTGGCTGGATACACGAAGAGGAGTTTCGAGAGCAGTTGCTTAGAACTGTGGACGAGGGAAAAAAGGCAGACAAAAATGAAACATCAATTTCTTTTGATGATTATGTTAAGCATGATCCTCTTGCACATACAGTTCAGTCCACCAATGAAAGTGTGGAGGACCTCTATCCTCAGAGATTGGAGCCATTAATGACACAGATTGCATTGCCAGAACTGGGCGGCAATATCAGCATGGATGATTACGATAATACGATCTTCTCCGATGGGTTTGATATTGAAAACGAATCTGACGATATTCATGCAGATTCAGAAAATGAGTTTAATGAACAGGCTGATTTGTCTGCCGATGATTCACCCAATTGCTCGTTCCAGATCGACGACGACTTGCTGAATGCTTTTAACGGTGGACTAACAGAAAACCACGAGGCACATGAAACTCTTGTGAAGAGTAAAACAAGAGCGAACGATTGGTACTTGGCGCCTTCAAGTATGGCTCGTTCGGTTCTTCGCAAGCGGGCAGAGCCAGGAGATGCAACTACCACTGAGGAACGGTCAAAAAAACGTCTAAGACATGAATATAATGACTTTGACAGTGGTGGGCTTCAAGCGAATCTAACAGGTAATGACGGGTTTTCCTCATTCGACGTGGCTGCAATCTTGGAAGAAGCCGGCCAAGATGACGAGCGTATCGGGCCAGACGATACTCCGCCTCTTTCTTCGCAGAATGAATTTCATTCTTCTCAGAAGACTGTGCGGGTCAAGACTACAGGTCAAAACCAACGACTCTCATTCCCTGTTGTTAAAGATCCCAATAATCCCATGACTTTACAGCGTTTTAGCCAGAGAAGTGTTTTGTCCAAGGAGAATTCGCAGCTTTCTCAACTCTTAATAGATGCGAGTTCAGGAGTGGCCAATGGCTCAGACAAGCCCTCAGAGCCACCGTTGGTAACCGGCGCTGACTCGACAGATTCACAATCACCCATGACTGCCTCGATGGCCAACATATATGATGCATTCAACATTTCGACTAGTCGCAAAATGCTGTTCTATCGTTATCCTTGCCCCAACCCACGTGATATTGATAAGACTATCGAGGATGATGGGCGGCCGGCAGTGGTCTACCAAAAAGCGTACTATAGTGATGACAACGATGTTCCTGAGCGATCACGCGAGTATGCAGGACGTGATTTCCGCTTGGCGAGTAGTTCGATACGTTATTTGCCTGACTTCGATAGGCAAGGGTCAAGTATACATTTGTTTACGGACAAATCACCGCCCATTCTAGGTCTCGAGGAACAACGGAGACAGGACCAAAAACTCCGTGAACTTGCGTCAGCACGGATATGGGAATTTGCCCAACTTCCCCCAACTCGTGACGAAGTTATCGAATGGCTCGAAAACGAAACAAAGGCCCATTGGGACCAGAAGAGCCAAAATCCTCCAACAAAACTCAATGTATTGTCTCAGATAGAGGGCGCCACACAAAAGAATCCGTATGGGTTCAAATACTCTCAGAAACAGAAATCCACCAGTGTGGAACACCAAACACAGTACATGAGCGTAATGAGCTTGGAGGTTCATATCAATACACGAGAGGGCTTAGCGCCAAATCCCGAAGAGGACGAAATAAGTTGCATTTTTTGGAGTCTTCAATCGGATGACGAGGACCTGGACAACAATAGTCATCTACAGGGCGTACATATCGGCATACTCGCACAGCCCGCCGATATTCTAGTTCCAGTGGCTAGATCTTTGTCTGTCGAAGTGCAAACAGAAACTTCGGAGCTAGACTTGATTACCGGTCTAGTCGACATAGTCCGAACTCATGACCCTGATATTCTCACGGGGTACGAAGTCCACAACGGCTCTTGGGGTTATCTTATTGAAAGAGCTCGTTTAAAATACGACTATGACTTATGCGACGAATTAGCCCGAGTCAAGTCCTCAGCACATGGGAGATTTGGCAAAGAAAGTGATCGATGGGGATTCAACAGCACATCTTCCATTAATGTAACAGGTCGACATATGATCAATATCTGGCGAGCTATGAGGACCGAACTTAATTTATTGGGATATACAATGGAGAATGTTGTGTTTCATCTGTTGCATAGGCGGATACCTCACTATCCATTTCGAGATTTGACTCGCTGGTTTACAAGGAGCAAGCCCCGAGATGTCATGAAAGTTATTGAGTACTACCTCTCGCGCGCACAGTTGGATTTGGAAATTTTGGACTCCAATGAATTGATACCGCGGACCAGTGAGCAGGCTCGCTTGCTTGGTGTGGACTTTTTCTCGGTATTCTCTCGCGGATCGCAGTTCAAAGTGGAATCGTTGATGTTCCGAATTGCCAAACCAGAGAACTTCTTATTGGTATCTCCTAGCCGCAAACAGGTTGGCCAGCAAAATGCTCTCGAATGTTTACCTCTCGTAATGGAGCCGCAAAGCAATTTCTATACTAGTCCTGTGCTGGTGTTGGATTTTCAATCGCTGTACCCTAGTATTGTCATAGCGTACAACTACTGCTATTCCACTTTCCTCGGAAGACTTGACAACTGGCGCAGCCGAAGCAAGATGGGGTTCATGGAGTATGAGCGCCAGCATCGAATCCTTGAACTATTGCAAGATCAAGTGAACATTGCACCGAACGGAATGATATATTCTAAGCCTGAAATACGCAAATCCCTACTTGCCCGAATGCTGAGCGAAATTCTGGAGACTCGTGTCATGGTCAAAAGCGGCATGAAAGCGGATAAGGACGACAAGACCTTGCAGCAACTCCTCAACCACCGTCAATTAGCCCTCAAGATGATCGCCAACGTCACCTATGGCTATACTTCAGCGTCTTTCTCGGGCCGTATGCCTTGTGCTGAGATCGCAGATAGTATTGTTCAGACGGCTCGAGAGACGCTGGAAAGGGCAATTGCTTTCATTCATTCAGTTGACCGATGGGGCGCAGAAGTGGTATACGGAGATACTGACAGTCTGTTCATCCACCTGAAAGGCCGAACACGGGATGAGGCTTTCACAATCGGCGAGGAAATCTCCAAAGCAATCACCAAGATGAATCCTCGCCCGGTCAAACTGAAATTTGAGAAAGTCTACCACCCCTGCGTTCTACTTGCCAAGAAACGATATGTTGGATTCAAGTACGAGCATCGAAATCAAGTGGAACCTGAATTTGATGCAAAGGGAATTGAAACTGTTCGACGTGATGGCACGCCTGCAGAGCAAAAGATCGAGGAGAAGGCATTGAAGATTCTTTTCAGGACGGCTGATTTGAGCCAGGTCAAACAGTACTTCCAAAAACAGTGCTTTAAGATCATGCAAGGAAGAGTTTCATTGCAGGACTTTTGCTTTGCGCGTGAAGTCAGGCTAGGAACTTACAGCGAGAAAGGTACGCTTCCCGCGGGGGCTTTGATCAGTACCAAAAAGATGATGGAAGATCCACGGCTGGAGCCACAGTATGGCGAACGTGTACCATATGTGGTGGTCACAGGTGCTCCAGGTTCAAGACTCATTGATCGCTGTGTAGCGCCTGAAGTTCTGCTAGATAACGCACATCTTGAACTTGATGCGGAATATTATATTACCAAAAACATTATCCCTCCATTAGAGCGAATCTTTAATCTTGTCGGAGCAAATATCCGCCAGTGGTATGACGAAATGCCCAAGATACAGCGAATTCGCCGCATTGAGGGAGCTTTCACAGGACTCGGCAGAGAGAATGGGGCAATGGTGATGAACACGGCCATAACTGCGACTTCGAAGAAGACTCTTGAATCATACATGAAATCCTCTACTTGCATAATCTGCAAAGAAAAGATCCAAGATACTACCGATCTCCCGCTTTGCGCCACTTGTTCCAGTCAACCTCACATAACCATGTTCAAGCTGACCTCGAGGCTTCAGCAAGCAGAGCGGCGGACAAGTAATCTGCATAAGGTCTGTCGGTCTTGCATGGGTGTTCCATTCGGTGACGATGTCAGCTGTGACAGCAAAGATTGCCCCGTATTTTATTCGAGGACGCGAGAAATGAGTCATTGGAGAAGCTCGGACTCTGTATTGGGACCTGTTATTAGGGAATTAGAACGACGAGGTGACGAGCGAGCTTTAGAGTGGTAGATGAAGGTTTTGTCTACAGTCTGCTTTGGAGCGGAGCATTGTTTTGGCGTTTTAAATGATGGTTAGATACCCCTAATGCACTACTTTTTGTTTTTGTTATGTGCTTCAGAACATTTTCGCGAGTCTTGCTGCTGGACAATTGCACTGGACAGACATACTAGCCAAACATACGCGGTAACTAAGGGACAGCACGAAGATCTAGCTGGCAGATCTCGCTATTTCCGGTATTCAATTGGATGCTAGGAATACTGTCACTGGCTGATCGTAGATTAGGGCAAGCTCAATCCAATAAGGTTAGCGGCAATAAAACCAGGCCTGAGGCTCTTAGGGCTAGGGCTGTGATGCACTTTTGTAAAAGCAACCCAACTCTGCAGACTGATCAATCACGTAAAAACGCCCAGACTGCCGTGTGTTTTCATCCCGGCATTTACACCGAGAGGGATATGCTAGCTACGGAGAAATTCCGGTCTCTTTCAGGCCACGAAGTGGGGAGAACACCGACATCTTGCAACTAATTGGTAGTAACCAGCTTTGCTCCATAGATGCACCCCGTGGGGAACGAAGAATCTCTCTATCCATCTAGAGCCTATATCGGACGACTATCGTCCGACATTCTTATCGTGGCTGTTCAAGCAGCTGAAGAACAGAGACGGGTTGGTTGTTATAAGAAGGAAGGTGTCCCCTTTCGAGACTGCCTACCAGAAGAAGAGCTTCCAGGTCTTTTGATGGCCATGGTATACTAGAAAGATCCAGCTCTTCATCAAGTATTTCTCCACTTCTACAATGGCCTCTTATATGGATACAGATGGCCAGCAGCCGCCCAAGGGTGGGTTTGTATCTTTGACCAAGAACCCTTACCTCTTCGGCGTGGCTTTGGTATACAGGCTCTCTTCCACGTTGTCTCTTTCAAAACTAATAAGCCATACTCGAATAGTTTTCGACTCTTGGTGGTATGCTTTTTGGGTATGATCAAGGCGTCGTCTCGGGCATTCTGACTATGGAGTCGTTCGGGGCTCGATTTCCTCGAATTTATACGGACAGTAACTTTGAGGGCTGGTTCGTGTCTACGCTTCTTCTATGTGTGTCTTTTCTCTTCTCAATTCCTTGAGAGAAACCTTCAGCTAATATTTCAACAGCGGCATGGTTTGGTTCCCTATGTAACGGCCCAATTGGCGATCGACTAGGCCGTAAGGTTTCGATGTTGATTGCAGTTGTGGTTTTTGTGATTGGTTCTGCAGTGCAATGCAGTGCCATGAATCTTGCCATGTTATTTGCCGGTATGTCCCATTTCTTATACCCTTTTCTCGCCTTCTTGGCTTGATCTAATGAGAAGGTTTCAGGCAGAGCTGTAGCAGGTCTTGCTATAGGGCAACTGACACAAATAGTGCCACTGTTTATCTCTGAGGTTGGTCTTTCGGTGATGAATTCCCATATAAACCCGTGTCTGATAATGGCCGATTAGATTTCTATTCCTGAAATTCGAGGTAGCCTAGTCGTACTTCAACAACGTAGGTCACTACCACTCCTGAACGACTAATAAGGCTTCACTGATTAACAAAACCAGTATCAATCACCATCGGAATCCTCGTCAGTTTCTGGATCGACTACGGCACGAACTATATCGGCGGTACTCGCTGCGCCCCCGATATCCCATATACCGGGGGAACATTGTCAAAGCCGACCTTCAACCCATACACCGACGTCCCATCTAACCGCCACTGCAAAGGACAATCCGAAGCATCCTGGCGTCTCCCCTTTGCGCTCCAAATCGTGCCGGCATTGAGTTTGGGCATCGGAATGCTGTTTTTTCCCGAGTCACCGCGTTGGCTACTCATGCAAGAACGCGATGACGAGGCACTCGCTACGCTGTGCCAGTTGCGTCGAAAGAGCTCGCGCGACGAGCCGGAGCTTGTCACTGAATATCTGGAAATCAAAGCTCAGCTCATGCTTGAGAACTCCTTTGCGAAAGAGAAATGGCCTCATCTTTCTGGCCTGAGGTTGGATGCGGCGCAGTACTTGTCGTTGTTCAGCACTTGGGCTCGGTTCAAGCGTCTTGCTATCGGGTGTGTTGTGATGTTCTTCCAGCAGTTTATGGGTGCCAACGGTATGTTTATTCATTTTTGTTCTTCTGTTGAGCGTTATGCCTAACTTTGCATTAAGCAATGATCTATTACGCGCCAACAATTTTCTCCCAACTTGGCCTCAGCGGCAACACATCATCTCTCCTTGCAACTGGCGTCTACGGCATCATCAATAGTCTGAGCACCTTACCAGCGCTTATCTGGATTGACAGTGTTGGCCGTCGAGTGCTTCTGATGTGCGGCGCTGTGGGCACTTGCATCTCCCTGGTCATCGTGGCAGGCATTATTGGCGCCTACGGATCTACTCTTGTAGACCATAAGACTGCTGGCTGGGTTGGCATTGCGTTTATATATATCTACGATATCAATTTTTCGTATTCGTTTGGTAGGTTCTCCCTCCCCTTCTTGCATCAAGAACAGAGGGCTAACGGCCTCAAGCACCCATTGGATGGGTTCTTCCATCGGAAATATTCAATCTGTCGATTCGATCAAAGGCTCTCTCTATTACCACGTCGGCAACATGGATGTGCAATTTGTGAGTTCATGCAGTCAGACCGTTATGGAAAGAATGTATTCATATATTAACAACTGCTCTCTGTCCAGCATCATCGGACTAGTTACGCCTGACATGTTATCGTCCATTTCTTGGGGCACATACGTGTTTTTCGCAGCTTTTTGTCTGATCGCGTTCGCTTTCACGTATTTTGTGATTCCGGAAACAAGAGGAAAGGTATTTGATTACAGATTTATAGTTCTATTGTTTTTTCCGTAAAAGGAAAAAAAAAAAGGAAGAATACTTTTCTATCCAACTTACTAACCAACAACGCCATATCATTTTCACAGAGTCTCGAAGACATGGACCTCATCTTTGGCGACACCGCAGCCCACGAAGAAAAGCAGCGCATAGTCCATTTTGAGGCACAGCTACGTGGCATGCCGCTTGTTAGTGAGGACGTGCTCAAGGAAGAAATTGTGCAGCAGGAGCATGTCCATGCACAAAACTAGTGCCTAGCTGGTAATGGTGTAAAGAAGACAAATTGACATGGGCCGTGGAGGTCCAAGTCTACTACTAACATTTGGCCGTGACACGAGTTGTTCAGTCCGCAGTGTTATATGCATGTTTGGTTTCAAATGTGTGTTTCTCGAGAGCTGAGTGTAAAGCAACAGAAAAACTTTCCAGATATCTGAAATACCAATCTTCAAACTACACCAATGGAGAATGCGTGTGAGGGTAGTTAGCAAGGTCTCAAGTGAAATTCTCCTGCCCTGGAAAGTTCACCCACTCGCCGAAATTGAACCCTGCTGCGCTGGGTGGTCCAATTCCGATTGCGCCAGGGCCTCCAATCTCATTCTGGAAAAGTCCAAAAGCGCCGCTGTCGCTAAATAACTGTCCAGGCTGCTGCATCATGAATTGGGTCTGCATGTCAGACTGTCTTTCTGCGATAGAGGTAGGAGAGCAGAGGCGGGTGATCACGTCGAGGCAGCGCAAAGCTAAACCATTGTTGCTGAGTGATGGATGGTTTAGTATAGTCTTGGTCGTTTCAACATCCTGGTACCAAGATGCAGCCTCCGGGGAGTTAGGATCAGTCATGATGAATAAGATAGGAATTAGAGCAGCCTGGAAGAGGAAGTACAATATGTACCAGGCACCGAGCCGGGTACACACATGGGTTTCCATGTATTCCATCATGGCCAGGATCGTAGTTCTTGCATATTGTAAGCAGTGGAGTCTGCATTCTCGTTCCGCTTGATCTTCTGGGGCATTTGAAGCATTTGTCGATTTCCAACGTTCAGACGCCCATCGAAGAACGAGAGGTCTATAAATCAAAATCCTCATATTCAAGTCTCGCCACATCAATCGACTTCTCATGAGCGCAAGCCAGTCCGGTTCATCAGGTATGGGGCTCTTCAAATATATAGGCAACTCGTTGTACCATTCCTCCATGGGCTTTTGTAATTCTTGGGTCTCCTCTATAGTAATTGTTGGACTAGAGATGAGTAGTCGTTGGTAAACATGATTGGTTTTCAAATGAAAGTTTGTCTGTGCAATAAGACCGGTATACTTTGTCGGTCCGTTAACCTCGGCGGGCATTGTTGTTGTCGCTGGTGTCAGTGATTCCTCATGAATATTGAGGACGTGCTTCGCGTCCATGATGGTTTCATCTGGCAGAAGAATTGGACGTCCAAATGTCTTCGCCGCTCCACTATCAAACATAAAAACTCCCCACCATAAACGTCTGCGGATCTCTCGCTGTAGCAAACTGATTTTCCAGCCTGGAAACTCCTTATGAATTCCAAGACTCATCGACATCCTTACAGCTAGCCCAAGATAATTCCAGCCTGTGTTTGGTTTATTTCGCTTTTGCGCGTAGTTGCTGAGAAGGAGCAATGCCTGTACAAGGGTAAGGTTTCCCATTTCAAACGCGGAGGCCTGTTGCACGTGATTTCTGGCTTCTTGGTAGAATGTAATGTCCAGATCTGAGCTATCGTCGCCGATGCTCCATGCACCAAGGGCTAAAATCGTGTTGAGCAGAATGTGCCATGCTTGCCCGTGGGGTCGGGGAATCTGCTCGTGGTATTGTGCCCGGAATGTACTTTCGTGAACAAAAGGGTAACTGGTATGATAGTTCAGAAAATAAGCGTCGATAAAGGCCTGTTCCACTAATCCAGAGGGAGCCGAGCTAATCAAATGGGACTTGAGTGGCGCGGTCCTGTGGAAGCTCGTCGTCCCACCTGGCGATGGAATATCCAGGTTGAAGCCATGCTCTGTAATTGTTCGTAGCGGAACCACACTAGACGAAGCTCCGAAGTAGCCAGCTCCTTCAGGCTTGATCGACAAGGCAGCCATGCCATCGGCTAGATCGCCGAGGGAAATTTCTCGCTCTGCCCAGTCAAATCCGTCGGCTTGTTGAGGTACTGCTTCTGCGGCAGGTTCAGAATGTTTGCTCTCTGGACGAGGGCGTGGCGATTCCTTCGATGATGTTGATGGCGATAGTGACTTTCTATGACGAGGCTCATGTTCCTGGAGTAAGGAAGCCACGACATTGTCCACATCACCGCCAGGGAATAACTTGCTTAGTGCCGTTTCAAACGCACTCAAGCGATCTTCCACATAAGTAAGATGTCTACACAGACACTCAGTAACCTACTTGGTGGCAACAAAAAGGGGTATACTGACTGTCGCGTCAAGGGACTCCGAACAACCTTGGGGCTGTAGACACAATCCTTGCCAAGCTTCAAACATTGGAGACATGTTGGCTTCCCTTTGGAGCACTGTATCAAAGAAACTTCGTCAGTCGAGCCTCTTTCTTCGGTTAAGCATATTCAGAGAGAACTACCCTTGATTTTCTCGCTCTGCACTCGTCACACTACATACAATGTCAGCGATGTTTCGGCTGTTCAAGTCAAGCACTAATCATACAGCGAAGTTTTGCACATCACGAGCGCTGCTCATTTCGTAAGACTTGGCCCGCACAGCAAGCCGAAAGAAAGGACATTCGTAGGCTCGTAGAAACACATTCAATCATCTGAAGCAGATTAGCGAGATGGCATATATAATCTGACAGATCATGGAACAGCGCATTTCTTTTTTCCTTTTGTTTGTAAAAATAAGTACCGCATCCGAGTGAATACAAAAATAAAAGGAAAGGTAATAAAAAAAGGAAAAATGGAAATGAAAAGAGAAAGTGTTCACAGATATATCCGGTTTTTAGAACAAGGCATGTGGAAGTCCTAAGTAGTCTGAACACGGCAGCGGCGGCACTCACAATTTGCGAAAACCCCGAGTTCGATATGTATCACCTCACGTCACCATCCGGAGATGCGAATACCTTGCAAAAGTCGCCAGCCTCGAGATCTCATTCAAAGCAGATGGCGGAGCCGACATGACACTTGGATCACGGCCTGGTTCCTGGTTCTGGAATGATGCTTGGACAACAAAAAGCGAAGAGTCGAAGACATCGAAATGCCCGGATCAGGAACCACGTGATGGCGACGGTTGCGCCAATCACGGCGCGCGCTGGCAACTGCGGGCCCCATGTCGCCACGCCGGAACCGGAAAAAGGTAGCTCCATTGCCTTCTATGAAACTTACGGATAGAATGTGGCAGCATGTTTGGCAGATACAGCCCGCGCCTAGGAACGAACCAAGCAATGCCCCCTATTACACGGACAGACCTCATGCAATGCATACATACACCGAAGTTTCCAACATATTGACGGGATGTCATCCCCTTTCATTTGATCTAGGTTACATACAAAGGAAATGAACAATGCAGAGACAGCAAGCACGTAAATGGCTCCAACGCCATTGACTTTGAGTTTGGGTCGACCCGTTCCTCTTTATATCCACACAGTTGCCGGTGTAAGGGAGTCTGAGATCGCTGGCATATTGGGAGTAATGGGTAATTTTTTCATAGATGTCACATGATTGGTCGAACTTAAGCCTTGTCAGGGTTGTGGTAGTTGACGCTGCTGTTCCAACTGTTGTGTTTTTTTAAAAAAAAGAGAGTTTAGTATCTTTCGTCAATCGCGGACATGAATATCCGATTGCAGCTAGCATAGAAATCCTCGGACACTTACAACAAGGTCTGTCGAATAGTTAGTAAGTTATCTTAACCAATGGATGTTTCTTCCTCAGCGGCGATTACATACCTTGTCACCGTCACCCCAGGGGAAGTTCTTAGAGCGGACATTTTGGTAGGCGTATTCGGTGCGCTCCTCTAGAGGGGGCATGTGGTTCCAGTGCTCCCAATGCTCGGTCCACAGGTTGTAAGCGTTGACACCTCCTCCGATAAGGCAGGGAATCACAGCGCTAACACGGAAATGTCAGTATAGAAGAGGGAAAGCGTCGAATCGAACGTCGGATACGTACTAGATAGAAAGTCTCTTCCAGAGAGCTGCGAGGGGTTATGTCAGCAATTGAGTCACCAGAGCAACAGCAGAAGAAGCAAGAATTGATCCAATATCATTCGAGAGGAAACTTACTGCTAGTAGTGGCGGCATGGTGCTTGACATTCTCGCGCTCACGGTTGAAGGCGTTGTCAACGATCCATTCGGGCTTGGTCTGGCTGCTGTTGAAACGGCGCTGAACGGCGTTGCGGAGGGGAGCAGCACGGGTCTGCTGGCCCAGACGAAGACCGAGTCGGTACATGTTGCGCTGAGAGGAGATGTCTTGGGGGGAGGAAGGCAATTGGCGATGGGTTGGACTTGGGTTCTCGAAGTGTGGTGAGGTTCGTTCGGGTGGTCTGACGAAATCCACTAGTGAACCCCGTGATTCGCCGGCCAGCCGGCGCCAAGACTTTCAGCTTATGTCAGCCGCTAAGGCCCGTGACATCACTTGCGGCCTCAGGCATGCAAGGTTTTCGCGAGGGTCGCCGTGACTTTGTGCCAAACAGCCGCGAAGACCGCGTAGCATATGTCTTGCCGCGTGATTTTCCGGAGCAAGGAGATATACAGCAAACTGCTATAGAGCCTGGATATCTACTATTCGCCATTTCTTTCAACGAAGTATGTGAGACGACGAAAGAGACCGTCGCGATGGGCTTCCGGATAACGACATGGAACGGTACGTTTGGTTAGCTTACTCCTGATTCGTGATTGAGGCTAATGATATATATGATAGTCAATGGCATACGGCAAGTATACATGCATACCACTCGCTCAGTGTAATATAGTGCTTATACTTTTGTCTCTGTATAGAAATCCATTCGGATATCAACCATGGGCGGATAACCGGTCATTCAATGTGAGCAGCATTGTTCCGTTCATCTTAACGATCAAATACTTATCCGGTACCAGGCTATGTTCGATATCCTTGAAGCAGACATTGTCGTGTTTCAGGAAACCAAGATCCAGCGAAAAGATCTTCGAGATGACATGGTCCTCGTGCCAGGCTGGGACTGCTACTTTAGTCTTCCCCGGCATAAGAAAGGCACGTTTTACAATATGCCGCTTTATAAACCACCACGATCTAACCGTTCTCCAGGCTACTCTGGCGTAGCGATTTATACGCGCAATGCAACATGTGCGCCAATCCGCGCAGAGGAAGGCGTCACGGGCCTCTTGTGTCCTCCAAACTCCGCAATCCCATATCGCGACCTGCCGAATCATCAGCAAATTGGGGGATACCCTTCTGAGGAGCAGCTGTCCAGCTTGCAAACTGACCCAGCGACACTCGATTGCGAAGGGCGTTGCGTCATACTTGAATTTCCAGCATTCGTACTCCTTGGAGTCTATTGCCCGGCTGCCCGTGACGAGACTCGCGATGATTTCCGCCAAGGGTTTATTGGTCTGCTGGATGCCCGCATACGGAATCTCGTGTCGATGGGTAAGAGGGTTATCTTGACAGGAGACCTGAACATCTCCGTGGGCGAGATAGATTCCGCTCATCTGACCGAAGCCATCCGCAAAGGCACTGGGAGCGAAGATGAATTTGTCTCGACGCCTGTCCGGCGAGTCTTTAACCAGTTAGTTGAAGGAGCGAAAGTAATAGGTGAGCGTGACCTGGGGAGGGAATCCCCCGTGCTCCACGATATCTGTCGATCGTTTCATCCAGACCGAAGGGGGATGTACACTTGTTGGGAGACGAGGGTGAATGCAAGACCGGGAAATTATGGAGCGAGAATCGATTACATCCTGTGTAGCCTGGACATGAAGGACTGGTGGAGCGAGTGCGATATTCAGGAAGGTCTTATGGTATGTCCCACTCGATCGTTTCTACAACTCTTACTGACTCGCACAGGGCTCTGATCATTGTCCGGTATTTTCTGTGTTCAAGGACAATGTCTTCATCGACGGAGCTGAGAATGATATCCATGATATTGTAAATCCTCCTGGCGCGTTTGCAAATGGCAAGCGGCAGCGTGAATATTCGACAAAGGATCTTTTGCCTTTGTCCGGCCGTCTAATCCCGGAATTCGACCGGCGACAGAATATCAAGGATATGTTTTCCCGCAAGCCATCGTCGTCTTCCAAGGCAAGCCGCACGCCCACCATACTTGAATCAAACGGAAACCATGCCACAACTCCATCTAGGTCTGCGTCCTCGGAATTAATCCAGCTCTCTCAGAGTCCATCTAAACAGCCAATGCAATCAAACACATTTCTCCCCACAAATGGTTCTTCCAAACGTATTCGAAAAGAAAGCACGCCCGCACCGCCGCCCAAACGAAGTAAATCTACAGGGAAGTCGGATATAGGAACGTCAGGCAAAGGTCAGCAAAGTCTAATGGGCTTTTTCAAACCGAAGAACACGGACAAGGCACAGAACCTGAGTGAAGTTCAAGAAGCCAGCGATCCAGCTTCACAAGCTACTTTTCAATTCAGTCCTTCGAAGCCGGCAACTCCGTTGCCGTCCAAACCTATCCCAGAGTCACAACCTTCGATTCGGGCTCTAGACGACGCAACGACAGAAGCAATTGATGAGCCTGTGATCGATCCTATAGTCAGCAAGGAGTCCTGGACAAAGCTATTCACGAAAAAAACAATGCCCACATGCGAAGACCATGAAGAGCCTTGCATCATGCTCACGACTAAGAAGCCGGGCATCAACTGTGGCCGATCCTTTTGGATGTGCTCACGACCGCTAGGCCCCACGGGGCAGAAAGAGAAGGGGACTCAGTGGCGATGCAGAACCTTTATATGGGCCAGCGATTGGAATGGGTAGGCCGGGCATGTCTGGTGTCAGGCGACGTTGATTCGATTCATCGGATCATATCTTTGTGGGAAGTCTCGTCTGTTGTCATGTTAGCAAGAATATCAAGACAAACACGAGCTGTGTTGACTGTGCAGGGCATCGAGCGTAGAGTCTATCCAAAGTCAGCCGACCGGAGAGAAGCTGATCTATTCTGAACGTTTGTAAAGATGCTTCGACACAATTGCTGATTGTCGAAAACGAAGGCGGTTGAGTCCTCAGGCACGCACCTCCGCAGAAAATTGGCAGAAAATTGGCAGAAAACTTCATCTCTATTCAAGTCCAAATTTGTCAATGGGATAACTTTTTCTCGCGGCAGCTGACTCTCTGTGTCTCACATCTCTCCGTCTGGCCACGCCTCCTGAGACATCTGAAACTGCCTCGCCTCTTCCCAGCCATCTGACCGTTTTAGATAGGCAGCAGTCCCAGCCATCCCAGCCACGACAATTGATAGTGCAGGCCAGCCCCTCGTCTTGTCTCTCCGTCTGAATCAAACAATGCCATTCACTCCCAGCCTCCCGCCCAACTTCGCCACTCGATATATGGTTGACTAGGCTGCCATTGACCGTGCTGGACAATATATAATGCCTCTGTGGGCACGCATAAAGACCGTTCTCGCCCTCAAGAAGGATGCCTGCTCGACCACATGACGAAGTTTCTGAGACATTTGCCACTTGATATAGGCCAGCCACCTTTTGCAGGTTCTTTCATAAAGAGGTGGTTGTGATATGCAACATAGGCAGAGAGGAAAAGATCATACGGCCTGGACTGACAAAATGATCTCGAGATTTTGTTGTTTTCAGCAGACATATTTTTTTCAGAGCTTGCGCCCCTATTTCGCCATTCATATGACCTACGTACCTCACCAAGTCCTTTCAAGCGCTTACTTAGGCAGATATTCTACATAGTATAGAAACCTCCTATTCTGTAAAGTCATCAACACTTTTGATTGATTGGATTCTATTACCTGCACTAACTAATTGCCTTTTTTTTTGCTCGCTTTTTCTCTAGCCAAGGCCTTTATCTCACTCCGAAGAAGGGGAAAGTAAAAAAAAGCAGACACCGATCTAGCATCTGAAGAAGGAAAATGTCCTGGTCATTGATTAAAACCCATAGAACTGAAGCGTGCGAACGTGCGAACGTGCGGACGACAACGAAAAGTGTAAGAAGCGGAAATTGAAAGAATTGAAAGAAAGAAATATTAAAAAGGAGTAATAAGCGTAACCATGCATAATCGTTCACCCCATCTTGACAGACCATTAAACGGCGCCAGACATTAGAAAGACGAAGAAGAAAAAATGACGAATGGAAAAAAAGGCAAAAAGACCAGAAAAAGAGGACAAGACTTGAAGTTCCTTTTTTTTTTTTTTTGTCGAGGGTTTTCTGTTTTTCGAAATTTTTTGATATAGGTTTTCATTCCGGTTTTCGAACTGTTGCTTCAAAGCATCTCCGATTGAATTGAATAATGGCCTTGCATAAGCACTCAAAGAGAATGCAAACGATGGACTGTAATGCGTATCATAATTGATTGGGATTTTTGTTTTTCGTGTCATCCACTTGTGGATTTGGTGTCTCCATGGTATCGTGTCAAGGAAAGAGCTTGAGTACTCGTCGAGAAAGACTGGGCGGATTGAGGTGTCAATAGTCTGTGCATGATTGGGATGGGGACTTTCAAGTGACGAGGTGCTAAGGATGTTAATTTACTGACATGTATGCTGAAAATAGCAACTTACCGAAATGAATCTCACGTGTATGTAGTATTCAGTGGTTGCCATGATGAAAAACGAGATACTCATTGTTTGATTTAGATGCAACGACCATACCACTGGCCGTAGTGTCCTCAAACCCTATGTCAATGAACCCTTCAAGGTCTCCTATATAGGCATCAGTTTTGCTAGCAGTGAAGTATATGTTTTGGTTGCTTTTACCTATGATGGTTTCGAGAGTTGGGAGAACGTCTTCTGGGAAGACCCTTTCATGACTGCATACCCGCGGATTCCATAAGTTGAGCTGAAAATGAAACTGCAGGTGTGTGAGTAGAAGTAAATTCTAAGCAGTTGTCATTTCTTACTGGTAAAGTTTCGCATCTGTATAGCATTGGTCTCAAATGTAGCATCTCTTCAGAATTCACCTGCGCAGCAGTCAGAATGAGCGCCTTTGCTCTGTTTTTGATGTTTTTGCTTACCCTATCTGTAATATCCGTTCGAAAGTGGTCTGGAATAACTGTCTGCTCAATTCGTTAGCAAAAATCCAATTGCTTCAAGCTTATATAACTTACTTGATGAATCCTACGCCGGACGTCTTGAAAGTTTTCGACCCAATCCCTCCACACTGCAATGCCACCCGGGGGCATGATATGAAAATTCCCTTTCACAGACTCAGTGTCTTTGAAATGACTTAGAACAGAAACATTATTGAGGAATTTGACTTTGGGGTTGATTCCACTTCCTGGTGCCTTGTCTTTCATGAATTGCTGCCATGGTTTGAGGTCATATTGATAGGTAGGATGCCTCAACCAAAACTCGATAAGGTACTCAGATTTTTCAAGCCTGTTCCAACAAGATTCACTGTGTACTACCCCAGTGGTATTCTTCCATTTTTCATTGTTCGAGGACAGTTTTGATAGAAGTACAGAGTGAAACGTCATCATGGAAGATTCATTAGGGAATAATTTCGGGTAGCGCTGTAAACGACGGACTTCCCTGGCGATTTCGACGAAGAGGATGGAAGTGCCATGAATAACTTGGCAAAGCTCATCAGACATAACAACAAAACTTTCAGGGGGTAGTAAGGCGCCGAAAGTGAACTCTTCATTGCCCCCAGATTGAGCTGAATCTTCGTCCTCGATGATGAAATGTTGATAGATATCATCATAACCACGATCCAACCTCGTGTTAAGTTCGATGAGAAAGCGACTATCACAAGGCGAAATAACCTCCCCACGATCTAGCAAAAGATTAGTTGTCACCAGTACCAAGTCTTTCTAGTCATACCATCAACGGTGCCCTTATCAAAGTTCCATTTTAAGGAGCTGCCCACGTATAAAGGCGCATCAGGATTGTCCGAGGGGACAAAGGCGTTCATTTTGAGGATTTTGATATGGTAGTTGGTGATGAGTAGAATTATGCATCACAGAAAATATGCAATCAGTCCCGCTGGTAATGTGAAACAAATGCTAACATAATGATTTTTGAAAATGGATGCAAAGTGACCAATCCGCATCTAGTCGATAAGTGAATGAATGTGTCAAGGGTTTCTTTGTTTGCATTACAACGAGTCCCAGCCTCCCCCATCCACCAATCCACTGATACCAGCCATTCTCTATCAAGCTCACGAGGCAGCATTAAAGATTTTCTGCCCCTCTCTCTTTGTCATCTCATCCTCCTTCTCTCTTCTTCGTACTCGACTCACCTTCACTTCAGGAATCTTAATACGACATCAACAACGTCAATATTCTCTATCAAAAGCCTCAGAGACTCTCATTTCCAACTTCTTTTCACTCGTATCCTCAATCTCGGCTTTTTCTCTACTAGTCTTCAATTCCACTGGTCTCTTCCAATTCAGAATTCCTTCCAATTCAGCATGGCGGTCAACTTGCTTGGTACGACGGATCTGAATCCCTTGCAGAGGGCATTCAACTTGTTCATCATGAATCTCCCTTCCGCGGACTTGAACGACCTTGTGAACTTTGTTAGGGAGTCCGATGACGCAGAGAGTATCTTCAGTCAGAATGAGTTCATGAGGCAAACGAATGAGGTTCTTCAAGCACTTTCTACTCGAGAGCACAGTCCGGTATCCCCTGCATCTTCCAGTGGGAGCACTCGCTCAAACCGTGGCAAGAAGATAACCGACCGGAAGTTACGTCCTCTCAATAGTTTCATTGCATATCGAAGTATGACATGCCAGTTATTTCTCTTAAACAACCAATGAACTCTATGCTAACAAAAAGTCTAGGCTTTTACTCTACAATGTTCACAGAGATGACCCAGAAAGCCAAATCCGGCATCATTAGATACCTTTGGCAGGCTGACCCGTACAAAGGCAAATGGGCTATCTTAGCGAAGGCTTACTCTATCTTGCGTGACGATCACAGTAGCGATGTTTCTCTTGATACGTTCCTGGAATTGACCGTTCCTTTAATTGGTCTCATCCAGCCTGGGGAGTATCTGGGCGCTATGGGTTGCGAGATCGTAATGACCGACGAACAGCACTTCCGCATCCAGAATATTTCTCCATCGAGACCTGAGCTGTCCGACTCTGCGACTAACTACTCTGTTAACGACATCGTCAACTACTGCTATGAGCGTGGCTATGTTGAGAATGTTAAATCCACTCAGGAATCTGGAAACGCCTCTCAGGTCCTTTTCGTCGCCCAGCCTAATACCAATATCCAAACCGACCAAGGCGTTATCGATTTAGATAACGTCAACCGTGTGATCGAAATCAGCGACAATCTTCCACCTGAAGAGGTGGAGGAAAATCTCAGAATCAGCGCTTTACTCGACATCCACGAACCAACCAAAACTCAAGATGACTTGGTTACAGACATCGACAAGGCGGTCCTTGATCTACAGGAGTACAATAATGGAGACCCGGACTTCTATGCCCCTTTCAATCCCGCAGTCCAGACTTTCCCAATCTATGATCCTATGGCACATGATCCATTTAATGCATACGATATCAACGAAATGCGTTTCTAAGCCTGGGTCTCACGGACTAGGGCGTCTTCGTCTACGCTGTATTCACATGAGTTATCCCACGATGAAAATTTACCAGACTCGGACATTGACGGACATGCATTCTCGTGCATCTGTCGACGCAGGAAGCGAGCCGGAAACATTGGGTATTTGGTCGCATGTTCTCCTTCTCTGGGTGATGAATTCTACGATCGTCTTTTCTCTTCTTTTTTTTTTCCCTTTTCCGTTTTCCGTCATTCGACTTTTCTAATTATTGGGATGGTCTTTCTTTTCTTTTTCCGCTCTTTGTCCGCAGGGCCCCCCTTCAACTGGAGTAGCACAGCACAGTCGGCTATCAGTTCATGGGATCAGGGCAGACAAGTTCTTGCATGATAGGCGCAGAGGGTTTCGGTTTACGCTGGTGTCGATGGCACACTTGCATGCTTTGGTGCGTTTCTAGTTCAGGATGGATGCCCCCCAAGAAAATCATGTTATTCCGTTGTTGCTATTTCAGGTTCTCATTCTCGACCCAAAAAAATCTTTGACAGTCATTATCATGGCCTCAAGCTAATAATTTCCTTCGTATCGCTAGTTTAGTTAGTTCCCAGTTAGTACAGCAGAGAATCAACGAGTTACGCTTCATAATCAGTTCAGATGCAGCTTTAGTTTCTCCTCTTTCGACCTCAGCGACATCCACCACCTGTCGGCTCTGTTTCCATGCAGGCAGCCAGCCCTCCGAAGGCCTTGTTATCACCGTCGGTTCTAGATGCCAGAGCCGGAGATCCTTGCCCAGAGTAGGAAGCACATCGTCGCACTCCTTTTTGAGGCCGTTCTTTGTCGGGCTTTGTCGTCGACGTCACTTGCTTCGGCTCCGGAATGCGAGAAACAGAACAGAGTAAGTGATGCACAACACGAAGGGCCACGCGAGAGAGTTCGCAGGCATAAAGGGGTACATTAGCCAACTTATGCAGACACAACCGAACAAGGGAAACAAGACGAGGTCGTGATAAAGTTGGACTCGCAGCCCAAATCGAAAGCGACGGCTGCGTTCTCGCCATCCCCCGGAAAAAGCAACGACAGCCGCAGCCTATCTGCACACGTGGAAAACACTTCCAGACTCGATTCTGAATCTTGCATATGCGGTTCTCATACCATGCCATGCAGTGCAATGCAATGCAATGCAACCCAGCCAGACGGATCGGCCCGGGAATAAAGCTCCTGCATCCGGAGCGATGCACTTCGACCGATGAAGAAATTCTATCTACGCACGCAACAGGTCTACCAAGGTCGGTGAGAACAGCTATTGATAGTCAGACACGAAAAGAAAAAGAACGAACAGAGTAGCACTACTATACTACCAAACAATACGCAATGAAAATAAAACGACTTGTGACTAAGTCGGGAAATAACGAATAGACAGAGGAATAAATGACAGGTGTGAAAAAAAAAAAAAAAAAAGAAAAAGAAAAAAGAGGCAATTTCTGTACAGATGTTTTCTTCTCCTCCAAACATTGGCTACTCTTCTTGATAAGAAATCTTGCGCATTTCTCCCAATCTCGTGCGAGCCTGGGAGAGTGCGTTTTCGAGTTGGAGAATCTCAACCTGTAAATAGACAAATCAGTAACTACGAAGCAAGTATGGAGAAAAGAGAGAGAGCAAAGAAAAAAAAAACTAACCTGCTGCTCCATCTCGCGCACTTTGAATTCATGGCCACTCAATTTCGAGTAATCAACAGCCTCGCCCTCATCCTTGTTCTTCTCTGCAATGATAGCCTGCACCTGTCGGACCAGGCTCCTGCAGGCAGCTCCCACGGCTTTGCTGGCCGTCTCGAGGCGCTCTTGCGTCTTGCTCATGAATGTCGCCTTGACACGCGATGCAGCCACCAGCTGTGCCGTGCTGGCAGCCACGTCGTTACTGGCCACGATGAGTTGTTCGGGAGAGTTGCGGCCGGAAATAACACCGTCGGCCGTTTCAATAAGACGGTTTGTCGATGTAGCCACTGCTTTGGCCGCCGAGATTAACCCTTCTGTCCAGCGGTTGTTCTTCTTGTAGAACGCTGTCCGTGACGAGCTGCCGCGGCCTTCCCGTACAATCTCTTGCTGGGACTCAGTCGCCGCTTTGATGAGCTCCGCAATCGCACTGGTAATGGCCAGTGCTGCCTCCAGGATTGTGTCGTTGACACGGAGCTCGTACGTAGTGTAACCATCACGGGGCTTCTTGCGCAATCTGGCCAAGCGCTCGACCGCTGCGTCAATTGCATTCGCTGCCTTCTCAAGTTCCTGGTCCACAAGGTCACCCAGATCCCCGGATGTGCTAATTTTGCTACCCTTGGGAGCGAATGTGTCGACGAATTTGGACAGCGTCTGGAGATCGCGTTGTACTTCCAAGTTGTTATTGATCACCACGTCAGTCTTTTGTAGTGCCTCGAGACCCTCTAAGCGGAATGACTGCAAGCCGCGGAGGAACCGGATTGTCGCCTGTGCGGGTTTGCGAGCAGCATTGATGAGCTGGTCGGAATTCTTATCGTCCGTAGCGAAACGCGTCAGACCCTTGGTGTTGCTCAGCACGTCGGCAATGGAGCCAGAGAAAACCGACACTGTGCGGATAATCTCAGCGTGGGAGCTATTCGGGCCATCCGCAATAAAATTGTTGAAAGCAGTAGAGAACTCTGTAGCCGAGGCAGAAGCTTTCTCCACCTGAGAAAGCACGTAAGCCGGCGATGCATTTTGATTACCGGCCTGCATCGAAGACTCCAACTCGTACAAGGCGTCATCCACGCGCTGGACACCGCTTTGTAAGACAGAGTCAATAATATCATTGATCTTGGCCACCGTTCCATGCAGGACTTCGTCGATCTGAGAATCCAAGGCGTGGTCTGCATCTCCTTGGTTCTACAACAAAATGAGCATCATACATAAGACATAAAGAAATCGTCATGCTTTTGAAATAGAATGCAATCTTACCAATCTCAACTCTTCTAGCTCCATGAGAGCCTGCTCCATACCAGACTTGTACACTTCAATTTCCTCATCTTTCTCGCGCAACGCAAGTTCGTGGTCTTCGTTGAGCTCGCCACCTTTGGAAGCGTACTCTTCTAAAGCACGCGTTTTGTTCTACTTAGATTAGTACCGGCACATTGACCAAAAGAAAGTCGATAAAAAGAACATACGCGCAACGATTCCTCCATATCAGCCATTTCACGGTTATACTTGGACAGCAGCGACGAAATTTCAGATCCCTTCTGTCGCTCCGCATTCTCTGCACGCTCGATAGCAAGCCTTAGCTCACGTTTCAGCTTCTCGGTATCTTCCCTGTTGGTACCGGTCAGGCGGTCTCGGTCGTGCAAGGCACGGTCACGCTCTCTGATCATGTCCGCAAGCTCGAGGTTCTTCGTCTTCATCTCCCGTTCGAGCTTCTCGCGCTTGTCGATGGCTTCCTGGGCCGACGCCGCCTTCAATTTCAATGCTTTGGTGGTTTGCAACAGGTCTAAATGTTCTTGTCGAAGCTGCGAATACAGCTTGGCCAAAGACTCATACTTGGAGCGCCATGTGTTTATCTGCTCCTGGAGCGCCTTGATCTGGTCATCCTTTGAGGTAATCTGAAGGTTGAAATTGCCGTTTATGTTGTTTAGCTGCTCCTCCAGATCCTTCATTCGCTTATCGTACTGTTGCAGCAAGAGTTGATCGCGCTCGTACTGTGCACGAGCATTGAGGTTCTCCTGCTCCAACTCGGCCATGCGGCCTTGCGTTTGTTGCGCGTACTGGTCGCGAAGTAGCGCCTCTTGAGCAAGTCGCTGTTGCTCCGCTTGTAGTCTCTGTTGTTCCTCGAAATCGCGCTGTGCCTGTTGCTGGGCTTGGAGTTGTTGGCGCTGTTGCTCCTCCCACTGCTGCTGTAGCCGTCGCTGTTCTGCTTCAAACTCTTCCTGCTGACGCCTAGCTTCGTTATTCCAGAACTCGTTCATAGGCTCTGGTTCCGCCGCTGCGGGTTTGGGAGGTGGTGTGGGCTCTCGTTCAACCTCGTTCCTTGGCCGTGCCGGAAGTGCCGGTCGTTCCTCTTCTTCAGACAGGAGACTTGGAGGATCCTGTGGGAGCTTAGGAACGGTGATCAAACTAGTCAAATACCGCAAGTTCGAGCACTCATAGTAAAATCGGACGAGACGGTAGTGTTGCGCATCATAGCGCGTGCGAAGGGGCTCGAGGGCCTCGTCATCACCGGTTGCTTCAAGATTTGACTATTAGCTGTGAAAAGCCTCCATTATTCAGTCGAACAGGCACTTACTTGTGTGCATCGCGCGCAGCATGCTAGTGATGAATTTGTAGATTCCGTAACTTTCCTGCACCAAAGGCACCAAGGCGGATATTCTGCACTCATTGTTCGTGCCATGCTGGAAGTGAGAAAATATAAGTTTCTGGAAGGAGTCGATCTGGTCCTGCAGATTCATAAGATCTGTAATGGCTTCGTAGCTGTTTATCCGTTAGCGGTCAGCACTCTTAACGAAAAAAGTCTTCGGTCAGACATACCCCTCATTCGGATCATTGATCGTCTTCAAACTGATATATTCCTCATACTCAAAAAGACCTGTCCAACTCCTTTCAGCAAGAACTCAAGGTGGCGATGACAAGCAAGTGGCAACAACTAACCATTGAATTCGGGATGATTGCGGTGGAAATGGAGCTTTGATTCCAAAAACATAACATAATCATGGATCAACGGACCGTAGCCTTTACGTGGATGCCAATTATCAGTTACAATAAATCGCAAGTTCAACCGGACAGAGCAACAAACCTCGTAGACCTTCCCCGCCCACACCTCTCATCAAACTATCAATCCAGTTGGCATGGTTCTGAGCTTCGCGGATGGCGACCGGATGGCCTTCCTGGAGGACTTTGTGGATCGTGATAAGAGCTTTGAACGTCTGCACTTCATCTGCGAGGATGGGTTGTCTATTTGGACAAGAACGTGAGTCCGGTTTTTCATCCAATCTACAGCCAGCACTGGGAGGCCCGAAAAGAGAAAAGGAAAAGGTTATATCGTACACTTTCATGCCAGCCCAAAACGCAACGGAGGACTTGTGGTCCCAGGTGTAAACGATGCAACTCCGCACATGTTTTCCTGGAGATGCAATCGTCAGCGATCAGAGACACATCAGGTGTTCGACCGGGTACGTACTTTTCGGCGCAGTTTCCTCTGCATCACAGTAACCATCAGCACAATCCGCCTAATCAATATACAACAAGACAGACAAACATACCAACACTGGTAGCTTTGCGGATGTTTACCGCAAGATCGGCTTCGGTCCTAGCAGCAACAACAACACGAGTAAGCAACTGTCTCTATCTTTCTCTCTTTTCGGTGTTTCGAATATGTCGTGGTTTTGAGGATATATTGTACCTGCTCATGATTGATTATTGCTCTTCGGACCGGCCACACAGCAGCAAAAAAAGGAGGATGAGCAGAGGCGCTGAGGGGCGGGGCTCAGGAGCAAGCAAGCAAGCTTCGACTGACGAGTCTGGAGTACCAACGACACCCGCCGCCGCCGTGGCAGCCTTCCAAGTCGGGCGGATGGGAGTATAGGATGAGATACGTGCAGTGCGATGCCAAAAGAAACCAAAGGATGAAGTGCAGGCTGAAGAGTCAATTGCTCGGAGAGAATACTATGGTCAGGACAGACAGGCAGACGGATTAAACAAGCCCAAATGACGTTCCTGGGTTGCCGTGCGGCCGGCCCGAGCCAATCACGCTACAGCTGCGGGTCTTGGCATATAAGAACTATCAGAACAGTATGAAGAGCATAGATCTGTTGGTGTCTATCGAATGCTGGTATTTACATCAATCAAACCTCAAACGTAAAAAGAATCAACCCACACCCAAACGCCGCCTAAATCTTCCCAAACGCCCGTCGCAGATAACCCGATCTGCTATGCGCCTGATAGACCAAGACCCAAAACACAATATCATGCATACATACATCGGAGGGGGAAAAAATGCAACGAGAATAAGACGAATAAGACGGCTACAATAGCAAGTCTTCCTGAGACTGCGTCCGACTGCCCGGCTTATCTATGCGTCCACCAGTTCCATCATTCACCGCAGTCGTAGACTTACGATGTTGATGTAGCGACGCTGAATGATGAATATCTTCCGTAGACGAGCCTGAGATGCGCTCAAAGCCGGAATCTGAATGATCATCACCTTCGTCCTCACGATCAAAATGAGTCTCGCTTGGCTTTTCGTCATCCCGAGACCGTGTGCTCGTTATCTCCGAGGTTGACGAGGTCGGCAGCACTACATCAGCTTCAACCCTCGACGGCAGCGGCGGCGGAATCGCCATTGCAGGACTATTGGGTTCGGAATCCGGCGGTGCTTCGACGACCAGAAGATCGTCCGTGAAAGTCAAGTTGTTGGTTTCGTAAATAGGAACGTTCTTTCTTTTCGGCAAGGGTGGCGGCGGGACCGGCCTTCTTTCTTCCCTTTTCTCATCGGACAGTTGGCCAGGAAGTGGGGGGACGGGTTTTCTCTTAGGCATACTGATGGAACCTGTCATGAAACCGCTTCGCTGTGGTGGCGGTAGCGGTGTTCCTGGAGGTGGAAGTGGACGCCCGCGTCCAATGGGATGTTCTGGCGTTCCCGGTTTGGGTCCCATGTCGCCAGGTTGCCTGCGTTGGTCGGCCTTATTCAAAACATTCCAACCCCATTTCTTTGCTGCTGCAGTTGCCGTGCCAATCGCCGTGGTGGTAGACCGCTTGTCAGAAGATCCTGACTGTGTGAATGATCTATTGATGCTCTCGAATTTCCCTTTGCGGACCGCCTCTTCGCTAGATGTTATGGATGAGGTGAGAGAAACGGTGCTAGACATAGCCTCCGAGTTGGAAGAACCCGGTCGTTGAAAGTTCCCACTGTCGCGGCTAGCTGACGTGTCAGTAGCAGACGACATGACTACCTGGTCTCGGAACGATGTAGATCCCAGAAAGTTCTCCTTTGGCGGTGATCCATAAGGCGTGCTGGAAATGGAATTAGATTGAGACCGAGTTTTGATTTCAATCATTGAACTCGTGGCGTCTCGTTTCATACTATTTCGCTTGTCGCTCTTCGGAGATTCGGTCTCAGTCTTATCTGCTCTACCGTGATCTGCTGTGATGACGGGCTCTGCGACATTAGAAAAAGTGCGTGCGCGAATAGCTTCTAGAGGCGAAGAGTTATTCCGCTTGTCCACCGATGAGGAGGCAGCAGCAGCTTCATTTATTGGAGAATCGGAGAGCGTAGACTTTACGCTTTTAGTGGACCTGAGTGACGAGGTATTTCCTTTGACAAAATCAGGGGTACTCCAGCTGCGTTCGTCCTTTGTCTTCAATGCCTCGGCCGGAATAGCAACGGTTTCTTCTGACTCGTTCTCAGCTTCCGGTTCGTCAGGAATTTCTACCCCAACCGGAATCTTGGGAATTTCCCGTTGCCAGATACCGCCACGGAACGCAAAGGACGATGTGTCTAAGAATGGAACATCGTCCCAGTAAGGAAACACAAGGGTCTCCTCGACCACTTCGCGGATCCTACTCTCGATCGCTCGGAGGATGATTCCGTACGTGATTTGTCTGGCGCTGACAACGGGTTCGATAGACATAGTCATGTCAGGCTTGCTTGCGAAGCAGAACCAAATTCTGTTGCTGGGAGGTGGTTTGAAGCGAATCAGTACGTGGCCAGTCAACTTCTTCAAAACAACGGCCAGAATAAGATTGACTTCTCTAGCCTTAATTCGAGGACCGAGGTCGATTCGAGCAGTTGCTGAGATCTCAATACGGATGTTGCCGCTGTAGTTCACATCAGCTTCCACAGTGCAGTCTCCGTCAACAGTCAGGTCTTTAAGCCGTGGGTTCGTAATAGAGGGCGCCCCCTGGCCCATGTCGATCTTCTGCAATGCAATGTGGGAGATGAAATTCGGCTTCGGAACCCGCGAGATCTTTTTGGTTATCTTTGTGCGAACAAACTCGTACATCTCGGGTGTCTTGTACATCGCAAGGAACCACCTTCCGATCAGCGCATTGATCCAACGAGTCTGCAGGTGTTCTTCGGATGCGTGGAGATCCTGGACAAGTTTGACGATATCTTTGACATTATAAAGCTGCGGTGATGGCGGGGAGTTGGGCGAGTTGGGTATTTTCTCCTGATTCTTCAGTAGAGCATGGTAGAAGTCCTCTTTGACTGATTGGTTCTGACAAAACAGATAGAAAGGCGGAGTCAGTCCTCGTAGATCGGCGATTGAATCCTCCCTTCGACTCAGGCATATGGCATTCCGTTTGGCATAGAGCTCCCCTTCTGGAATATCCTCCCCGCCGCCGTAGATACTAACATCATGGTGTGCCAATGAGATCACATGGCGGACCTCGATCTGTTGTTCGTCGTCGTAGAGCATCAAATGGCCGTGTCTATTTTAACCAATGAGTGTCAAAGCTTCACGTTGCATTGCTCTTCAATAAAATCAATAGAAGCAGGGGGGGAAAAAAAACACACTCACCTAAGAACGATATAGAACACATTCCGCGCCTTTTTGAAATTCTTTCCGGTGTTATTCGCCGGCTCAATACTCGCTGAAGGCTGTCTCCGCTCAAAGATGCTCCGATACATGCTCTGATAGACACTGGGACTCTCAGTACCAACGACCTCGCCGGCCGGCGTGGTTCTTTCGGGCGGCTTCCCATTCACACCGCCGGGAACATAGTCACGACAAACAGCAAAGAACCCGGCTGCCACATCAGATTCGTGGGTGCGCTGGAATTTCTCGGCGAGAACATCAGTGCCGCTTTTCAGACTGTATTGGTCGTCGTTGGGTTGAAGTAGACTTGATTTCCTGCTGTTGTTGTTGTTGTTGACATCATACGGCGATCCGCCAAGGACCCCATTTTTGGTGCTGCTGTTGTTGTTATCGCGGACGGTAGCGGATATACTAGCAGCAGAAGAGGAAGACTCGTCTTGCTGCACGGGCGGTTTGAGCGTGAGATATGCATGGAGAACCAACAGGGCGATGGCAAGAGGTATGAATGTAACGCCGCCGAGAACGTAGACGATCACATAACCGGTGAATGAACCCATTGGTGGTTTCGAGTTCACAGGAGCAGCTGCAGCAGGCGGGAACGGTGCAATGTCGAATCCATGGAGGAACAAGACAGGAAGTGCAGAATAACAGATGGAGTTTTGAAGAAGCGGAGAGGAGAGGGGAGGAGAGCAGTACTGACTGTAACATCAGTGCGTGGTGTGTCTCAATAGACTATTTGCAGGCATGACGCCGACGCGGGACACCCGGGCTACTAGGCCGTATACGGCATTACGTCGTAACTTACCGGCCGGATGCTGGGGGTGATCGCATGGAGCCCCGCCATTCGCCCGTCTGGGAGCGTCAATACCGCGTATTGTATGCACAATACGCAACAACCCCCGTCTGATTCGCCGAAACTATATACGGAGTGCTGGTATAGTATATACAAACGTCGGATAGTCATACGGAGTCAACAGAGGATCGCCAGTGCCGATTCAATAGTCTTAAGAGTAATAGACGCATAAAAAAGGAAGAAGAAAAAATACATAAATAGTAAAACAAAAGCAAACTCCAGTCCAGTCCGCTGGCCACCCTTATGCACAATGAAATATATATATATATATATATGTTGACGATATATAGTCGAACCCTACTATGGAACCCGCTTGCTAACTACCTAGGTAACAACCCATCTATCAAGACTGAACCACTCTCGGCTCCTCAACAGGCGACCGCTCAATCCTTTTCGCCGTCGGAGGCACATCGTCAAGATCCGCAAGTTCCGCGCTCTCGGTATCAATCACGAGCCTGAGGCCGCCGAAATTCGTCTTCACAGGCGACGTATTGATGATGGTGTGCTGCTGCTGCTCCTGATTTCGACTCTTGACCGGCGACGACATGGGCGATCCCAATTTTCGAGTGCCGGCGTCATGGGGCGGCGTTACGATTGTCCGCGCCGCTGCGGTATTGAGTTTCAAAGCCTTTGGCTGTTGCGATTGTAACTGCTGATCCTGTGTTGGCCTGTCGCCCGCTTTCCAACTCTCCAAGTCACTGACAATGCCCTGGAAATACTGGGCTGCTTGCTTCGTGATGGAGTAGTCGAGAGGGGTATGGTTAGCTTTGTTGAGCGCCAGAGGTGGTGCGCCAGCCGCGAGGAGAGCGCGGACCGCTTTCAAATTGCCCCAGGCAGACGCATGATGCAGAGCTGTGTTACCCAAGTGGTCGGTCGCGGTGAGTGAAGCGCCGTGGGCGAGCAGGCTGGTGATAGCAGTGATATCCTCGGAGGCCATTACCGAGGCTGCCGAAACCGCGCGAGGTCGGCCAGAAAACGGCACATGGCAGGTACTGTTTACTGGAACATAACTGGGATTCGAGCTCTGCGCGGCAAGCATAAGAGCGGTTTTGCCTTCTTTATCCTTCCAGTCTATGATGTGTGGCAATGCTCGACAGAGCAGATCGACGCAGTCGGGATGGGAGTGGGCAGCGGCGAGATGGAGAGCTGTCGAGGAATCGACGTTGAGACTGACGCCCGGGGCCGAATCATAGCCGGTACGGTCAATGTTGGGCGTGCAGGAATCATGGCCAAGCGATAACAAAAGTTTCTATATTTCCAATTCAATGGCATAGTCAGGCAAATGACCTCAAGTAATAAAATAAACGGTGGTGGTGGTGGTGCAACAGACATACCAATATATACAAATGCCCCTTAACCGCCGCTAAATGCAAGGAAGTATTACTCCGGTCTTCGAAGTCCGGGTTCTCGAGACAAGACGGATTATTTTTTATGAGACGCTTGACCAGCAAGACATCGTTGTCCAGAATGGCGCGTCGAAGACGTGCCGAAACATCGAGCTCGATCCTTTGTTTATTGATTCATCGTTTCTGTTAGCTTGGTCCGCCTATGAAAAAGAGGTGTCAATACGGGGGAAGGGGAAAAGAGGAGCGGCAAACATTTCATTTCAGCTTCATGTTTTCTAACCAACTCTGATCTATGGGATGCAATCCATACGACAAGAAAGTGTTCTCAGCATAATATGCAACTCGTTAGTCAAATCACATGTTTTGAGGCTGCGTCAGCATCTCCAATTCTCCATCAACGCTAAGGCGGACTAGCCAGCTTAGCCCGTTGCACTAAAAATAGTACTCTCTCTCTCTCTCTCTCGTACGGACTGCATCAACATTATCAGATGAGTTCTTCTAAGCTCAGGTACTGTGTCAATCTTATCAATAGAAGTATCATAGAAGAAGCAAAGAGAGAGTAAAAAAAAAATCAAGCGTATGACCCCCGGCTAATGAAATACTATCGAATATGCAATTTGATTCAAAGTGTAAAAAAAAAAGGGCGACATCATCGCATTCGTGAGAGAGAAGGTGATTCTTTCCCTCGCGAAGAGCACATCTTAGCAAAGCTAGCTACATCATTTCGTTCCAGAGTAACAAACAAGAAAACAGATGGGAAAATGCTAAAGCGCTGTCAAACCCAAAGCAAATGAATGATTCCGTTCGTTGTAGGCAATGAGGGAAAAGTAAAAAGTGTGTAACATGTTCATGCGAATGCGTCTCCTTTCATAAATTCATTAGAGGACCAGATTAGCGTATTTTGGTGGAACTCCTTTCCGTGTTTCCGTTTCTTCCACCTTCCTTTTTCCCTCCGTTGGATCGTTCTCTCTCTATTTTATGATTCCGAAACGCTGACTATTTCCGTCCCTCATTCGGTTCCCAATGGATAGGCTCAAAATCAGAGTTGAGGAAATGAGCTTGATTGTACGGGGAGCTACAGGAAAAATGTTAGCCTTCTTTAGAACAAGGTGCATCGGGCAGGATGAGGCGTACTTTTTGAATGGTGTAGTAACCGGAAGTGAATGGCTAAGATTGGGCTTCATCACCAACGGATTTAGCCGGATTTGCGGGCCGTCGGACGATTTCGTTGTCGGCGGACTGAGCGGTAGAGTCGAAGGGGCGGGGGATGAGACAGTAGACGGCACTGGAGGGCTAATCGAAGGAGAATAGTAATCGTGCTGCGAGGGAGACGGCATGAAAGTAGGGGGCTGTGGAGGTGTCGGCATCAGGGGACTGGAGACGGAACCAAATGTAGATGGGTCCATCATGAGGCCGGGAATGGACATCAAATGGGGATTGGCGTCGAATGACAGCGCACCATCGTCCCATGGACTGAAATTTGTTGTCATCCCATATTGATAATTGACTATGGGCGTCATATGAACAGTGGGTTCCGCCGAGTACAAAAGATCATAATGGCCACTATTACAAAGACTCGTTAATTTAACATTCGAGGGAAAAGAAGAACAAAAGCTTACGGGCGGTACAGAAGTCTGATGCTCGCGATACTCTCTTGGTTGGGGGATAAAAGATGTGGAGTGACTGCATCGCCCTGACTTCGGTCGAGATAAAGAATTTCAACTGCCAATCCGGATTCTTCAATGACACCATCTACCAACGCTTGGAGACCAACCTCGTCGATCTCCGTCTTGGCCGGCTCAATTCGCGTGGTGCAATATTGGTCAACAGGGGTGGATAGGAAAGCCTGATAACGAACATGATTGAGTTTCATCCAAGCGCCGGTAAGGAGCTGCATGTCGATTAGAGAATTTCCAAAACAATGAGAAAAAGTTTGTCACCACTCACTCTGAAATGTGTAATTATAGACATAGATTGGCTGAAATCGTTGAAGATGTCCTCCAAGAAAGTCTCGTTGGGGACGTTCTTCTGTATCGCGTCGATTACTTGGCCGAAGGTCTCTTCGGTGGCATCAACGAAGGTCTCGTATAGGTATTCTTGATGGCCTACTTGATCGAGAAACCTGTTCATGGACTTGATCCGAGCCAGCTCTTGCTGGACTTTTAACGTGTCGCGGAGCGTGAACAAGTTCTCGAAATATCCGAAAGCAACCGCTAGAAAAAACCAGAGTGAGAAAATGAAAACACAATGTCAACGCAATTGGAATAGTCTTATATATCTTCGTACCTCGCCATCCACAATTTCCATCTCCTTTCATGGTCCGCGTAAAGGGATGTGTCAAGGCAAGAGCCTAGAAAGGTGCAAGCACAGTCAGTCAATTACTTCCCCCCACCCCCCCGCGTTCAAAATCGTGGTTAGGAGTATAGCGAACACGTACATTAGTCTTTGTAACATAGGTAGGGTCCGCGTTCATATACTCGGCCGATATGACTTGACTCGACCGTTTTGGCGATACCAATGGGCCCTGTAGTCGAAAATGAAATCAGCACACACGCTTATCAAACAATGCAGCGAGAGAGAATCGCACCGGTACTTCGGCTTCGTAATCATTTGAGAGCTTCTGGAACCGTTCCAGTTCTTCCCGAGATAAGGGCTCCATAGCGTAAGGCTGGGGCTTCGCGTACGCCGAAAGGCCGCTGAAAGGAAAAGGGAAATAATTATAAGCAATGCCGTAGGTCGAGGGATTGATGTTTTCTTCGAGGTTTGATGCCAAATATGCTCCACGAGAAAAGTGCGGGTAGTACAAAGTGTCGGGTGTTAGAGAGGCACCAGAAAGTTGCATCGCATTAATGATATCACCCTTTCGCTGCTCCAATGCTCTGAACCTGGGAACGACTAGAGAAGGCATGGTGAGTTTTATCCTGTCGGCAACGGGAAAAAAGAAGAATCAAGCGGGGTGGGGAATGCACACATCAAATAAGCATCATTAATTTATGTTTCTGTTGGGTGTATCACTCTGCTCTGGATATGATCGAGACTAAGGTGGGACGAAGCTGCGTGCGGAGATGGTAACAAGTGTAAGTAGTTAACTAGTTAGTGCAGAACTGCTGATCAATCAACAAGTTTAGAGACCGTCATGCATGTGGCCGGCCGATCTATTGTTATCGTATCGGACGGAGGAGTAAGCGTTCTGGAGAGCAGCAGCTGTTGTCCTCCAATAATGCTTAATCAAAACCGCGACCGGAGTTGGGATTGATTGGTTTGTCCTTGCGCACTAAGAGCTTCGTGCAGAAATGGCAATTAAATAAGTTACCAGCTGCAAATGCGAAAACGAAAACCTGTTCTCTGTTTGATTCGGTTTCAATTGACTTGACACGATGGAAGAATGCTCCTGTTATATATATTGCTCCAATTTCATGCCCGGTGGTTAATTGATCGATCGACCTGAGACTCGGACAATCCCGAATTTCCGTCGCGACTGTATTGTCGAAGGATGCGGGCTTCACATTCATTCATTCATTCGCCGTTGGGATGCGGAATTGAGGACGCTTTTGAATCTGTCATATCCAGTTATCAGACTTACGCAATGGCCGATTACTCGTTCTGGTCTTGTCTCCAACGTTTCTCAACAACGGGCGGCGCGCAAGACCTAACATTGTATGCAGGTCTCCGCGCGATTTGAAAGGGCTTTGCCAACGGTCAGGCAGGATGGAGGAGGAGGAGGAGAAGAAGAAGAAGAAGAACAGAAAGACGGAACTGGTTTGAATGGGCAGCACAAAGAGGGATGGTTCCCAATCAATAGGAAGAGCAGGCAGAGGAATCTCGAACGAGCCGGCTTGGGGTCAATGCGGGGGTGACACAGCGCGTAGGAATAGGAAGCAGAGAATTAGAGATGGGCCAGAGGACAAGCGATGCTGCGAAGAAGGAGAAGAAAAAAGCCAGCACTCACACCAACCCACGACCAGGCCCGGCAGTGAATGTATATATATTTGCTTTTTTTTTTTTATTCGGCAGCTCGACGGCGGCGAAGAACAGCTCGCTAGCGAGTTATCGGCGATATTATTGCTTGGTTGGAGTCAAAGAGATGCGCGCGACTCCAGCTCGGACGAGAAGATTCAATAAGAGAGGTAGCGATGTTGCCTCGAGCGAGGAGAGGAAGGAGCGGGGTGAAGTACTCGCGCTGGACGTCACGCCGTAAGTATCGCGTACTGTACGCACGTTACCTGACAATACTGCTGTACTTTAGGTACAGATCACATGTCTCTGTAGTATATAATTATTAGTCAGTCCGCGATCTTACTATTTTCGAGTGGTCAGCTAATACACAACACTGAAACTGCATGCCATGATCTCGACCAGCCTGGCGAGCATCCATTCTTTTTCTTCTGCTTCACAAATAAAGCAATCCTGCGAATCGGAATGGTTGATTGATCTCTCGCTCGGATTCGCCCATGGCGCATGCATCTCTATCCCGCTAACTATGTAATCTGACTACATTCCAGATTCACCTGGGAACAGACAGTTGAATTAAATTGAACCACAGCATCCTCGATAAATCCATGAGTTCCGGACCAGGGCCCTTGTATCCGGAACGGGGAGCGATATGTTCCTATTCGACACTTTCAAACCAGACCGCATGTCTTTTTATTTTTTATTTTTTTTCGTGTCGCCTTCTGTCTGTTCCCCTCCACGCCTCACCAAGTGCCGAGCAGATGCATGCATTCATGCATACGCTTGTCCCTTATCTCGCCCTTCTTATTGTTCCATTCCTAATTGCACGTAGTTCCTATCGGACTGTTGGAAGGTGTGAAGGATGGGTACATTCACCCGTCAGCAATTGGCATATATAGGCAACCCGGCCAATCAGCAGGTCAAATGCCTTTTATTACTGCATTGGGTAATTATTTGGCTTGCTATCTATTATCTACAATCCCGGTCAGCCATAGTCCATAAAGCAAGTAAAGAAACCGGAGTCGGATGGTGAATCGATCATAGCCACTAGTACAGTGACTTTGTTGTATGTAACTACATACTACATGCTGTCGTGTAGTTACATATGCACTAGAAAACTACACTAACCACGTCACTGAGCCCTAGCTAAATAACTTAGCGACAACAGTGGGGGCCCGCCAGGGTCTTGTTACTTGTTGCATCGTCGTAAATCTATGTGAGATTTGCCCTAGTAGCTTCCAAACATAGTAGACTTACGATGTATATGTACCTAACATTAGGTACCTAGGTATAGAACTCACGTACCGAAGTACCTACTCAGGCATGTTGGGTACATCCAGCGGATTTCGGCGCCGTCGGTCCTACGTCCACTACCGGAGGTAAAAACATTTCAGGAAGAAAGAACTTATTTCTATTCCGTATCAATCATTGCCTATCATCCACTCTCATTATCCGTGTGTGTGTGTGATGCATTTACCGCATGCATGCATGCATGGAGTCACCGTAGAAGTGATTCCCTTCAATAGCCTCCCGCTTTGCCCACAAATCCCGTCTTGCCCCTCCAGCCCCGTCCTTTGCCCGTAATGTGTGATGTTGTACGGGTATCGTCTCCGAATGCCGTCGCTTGGAATGGCGAGTGCATAGGACCCATTTGCGATAGCGCAGCTTCGTCGAGTCTAAACCCCTCGCCATCGTTGAGCGCGGTCCGCCACAGTCCCTTGAGTGACGAAGACCATTCGCGGACTGCCTGCAGACGCTCCAAGTCGCTGGCGCTCTCAACGAGGACTGTGCCGTTTTCTTGGTCGATCTTCGCATTGAGTTTTTTATCCATAATCAAGAATCCCAAGATCTCCTGTACCTCGGAAATCGAGATCTTGATCTGCCTGGAGATAAAACTCAGCGTGAACCGTGTGTACGGGGCAATGAGCTTGATAACGGCTTTCGTGCGCATGTTACGGCTGACTTCGTCGATGTTTTCGGCTATGAATGGGTCGGCTAAAACATCCTGGTTTTTTCGTAAAATGTCCTCGTATGTATGAATGTCATCCCTCTGATATGCATCCACGAGATCCGTCATGGCCGATATGCGAGGGTCGTTCTTGTACGGCTTTGTCTCTTGAGAGTCGAAGGGGTTGATGTTGGACTTCATAAGCATGGTAGCTAGCACGAGATATTTCAAGACCTGGATGCGCTGCATGGATCCCGCCTCATCGTAGTTGCGGAATGACTCGAAGAAGTCGCTCTGCGCCTGTTCCCAGTTCTCCTCGCTCATGTGCATCTTGCCTCCGCATTCACGAATGATCCCCATAATCTTCGGGTGTGGGACGGCAGATCGCACTCGCAATGCTCGCTCGTAGAGTGCTTTGAGTCGTTTGTTGTTTTTGGTCTCCGCGTACATCTGGATTTCCAGAGCGTACACTTCAAGTGAATATGTTCCCTTACTGGGGTCATCTGAGCCATCCTCCCGTTGGCATGCACGATGTAATTCTCGCAGTTTCTTCGTAAGTTGTGTAAATTCTCTCCGATCCAGCCATAGCCTCGCCAGCTTTATATTCGTTTTGAGCCATAGCCGTTCGTTATTGGTGTTTTGAAAAGTGTTGAGCGTCAGTCGGTAAAATTCCTCCATACAAGAATATGCCTTTTCGTCATCCGAGCCTTTCTCTATAAAGTCTAGCATGTTGTTTATTGACTTGTCCGAGTAATTTCGCGTGACAGCTGACTTCACGTAGGTCAAGAGCTCGCGGTAGTGTTCGATAGCCTAAGTAAAAGTGGTTGTCAGAACAAATTTTATCTTATGTTTCTTACTTTAATCGGTTGGTATAGCTCACATCATCGTATCGACCCAGTTTGAACTCAAGCTTGATTGCTTGCTTGAGTCCCTTAAAGCCCCTTTCGACATAATATAAGCACATGGGCCTTCGAAATTCTGCCTGTCTTATCAAGCCTTACCAGTCGCCTTTGTCCTGTTCCAACGCTGGCACACCCAAGAACTCATCGATGGCTTCTTCTGGATTATCCGCCTTGATCTGCTTGGCATTATAGTATTTATTCTCTATTCCGATATCACCAGAGTCATCGTCGTCGGAGCCTTCGTACTCGAAGTCATATCTGTCTGGTCAGCGGTAGCGATCAAAGGGAAGTGGTAGAGCTAGGCTTACTCCTCGTCCCCAGAATCTTGCATAAAATCATCGTCGTCCGACATGATGAGTTGAGTGCTGAAACAGTAGACCAGAGCTATGAGAAGAGCAGTCCCTGTAAATGCGGTTTGCAGAAGCGACTGATAGCAGGGCGGGTTGCTGGGTTCAACACCGCGAGACTCTTCAATGACGGTGACGCATGCATATCATTGGCTCCGCACAGAGTGGCAGTAAATACGCACGGGCCATGGCTCGGCGCGGCGCTTTGTTGATCCGGCGGTTCTTACAGCTACGCCTTCAGAATTGACATCGAGAGTAAAAAGCATCGCAATCTAGTTAAAGTAGTAATGTAGATTGGTCATACATACTATGCTGCGCTTAAATATACAAAGATGCACTAATAATGCATACTCATCGTAAATGTACACCCAAATGCCCAGTTTATGCATCTGGTTACATAAGCAACGTTAACCGAAAGAGGACTAGCGGCGCCGGCCTGACATCCTCAACTTCCAAGCCACTCTTTGCGCCACTCTCAAGTCTTCGCAACACCTGGTTTTCCATCGCAGGAACACTCGGTGCCGATAAGAAGGGCAACTTTAAATACTCGGTTTATCTACACATTTCACACGATAGCGTTTTTGCTACATCACCATGGGTGGCGATCTCAACTTGAAGAAGAGCTGGAACCCAGTCCTGCAGAAGAACCAGGAAAAAACATGGCTGGCAGAAAAGAAGGCGCTCGAGGAGCGCAAACGCATCGATCAGATGATGCGGGAGCGACAAGAAGAGCGACAGATGCTGGAAATTCAGCAACTCCAGGAGGCAGCAGGCGGGAAAAAACGAGCCAACCGCGTCGATTGGATGTATGCGGGACCTTCGAATGGACAACTTGGAACGACAGAGGAGATGGAGGGATATCTACTTGGAAAACGACGCATTGATGGCTTGATTAAGGGATCGGACAACCAGAAGTTGGAGAAATCAGCGAACGAGGAGTCGTTCATGGCCCTGCAAAACGCCAATACGGCTCGAGACACAGCTGCCAAGATACGAGAGGACCCGATGTTGGCGATCAAAAAGCAGGAACAGGCTGCATATGAAGCCGTGATGAACGATCCCGTTCGGCGGAGACAGTTGATGCAGGCCGCAGGAAAGGAGAATGGGTCGTCAGAGAAGGAGCGCCGGCACCATCGCCATCGGCACCGACACCGAGACGACGAGGATAAACGGTCTCGGCACCGCTCGAGAAGACATGATTATGACGACGACAATGATCGAAAGCATAGGCGCCGACGTGACGATAGCATTTCCAGATCTCGGTCGCCCGTCAGACATTCTCGCAGCCAACGGTCGCCTTCTTCATCCAGACACACATCACGTCGCGATCACCGTGAAAGGTCGTATTCTCCACAACCCCATCGCCGCGATCGCTCCCCTCGGCGTGACCGAGACGACAGACGACAGACCTGGCATCACAATTCACGGCCTGCGCCGCCGTCGTACCGAGACACGCAGGCTCCTTCCAAAAGCAACAACGACGCAGAGCGCGCAGCCAAGCTGGCGGCGATGCAGCAGAATGCGAATGACCTGGACAGCATGCGGGCGGAGCGCTTAGCAGCTGCAGATGCCCGCGAGCAGGCGGAGCGCGAGGCCGACGAGCTCGCTCGGGCTCGGACGAGCAAAGAAGGCGGCAAAGGCGCTTTTCTGTCGAATATCAACAAACGGGCAGGCGAGCTGGATCTCTCTGAACGGCTTCAGCGGGGACGGCGCAATGTCGAGAAGGAGCAGGAGGCTTATTAATTGTACATTTTCCGGGCGTTGCTTCCTAATCATCATGCTATACAAATAATGAACTAGTATTTTGCATATAGTAATATCAGCGGCGTTCATAACATTAACAATAGGTCACTATTGTAGCTAGCTAGCTATCTCGCAGCGAGGCTCTAGCGCGGCAGGTTCCGCTGCGTGGGTCTCGCATGTCATTCAATGGTCAGGCATGACATCGACCACCTTAGCTCGCCCTATGAAATCTGGCTTCGTCAGAGATTGCTCCTCGCGTCGTCTTTGCGCGGAACAGAGAAAGCCATCAGCTGGGGGAGTGTGCCGTCGACTGGTTCTCGACCATTCTTTATTTCTTACGTTTATATATATATCGCGCCTTTACGTGTCTCTCGGCATTCTCCTCGAGCTGGTGGAGGAGGCGGCGTCTGGCCTAAACAATCCCCCTGGTTTCCGTGCATACCACCAGATTCTGTCGCCCATCCGCCGGGGTTCTTTTTTCTTTTCTATATTTGCTAGACGGACTTGCTCGATTATAAACGAGAAGGGCGACTTTGTTCTTCATCACATCGGTCGATCGATTCGATACCCAGCGCCGCGCATCCAGCCAGCCAGCCAAGATGAGTCTCTGCGGCCGCCAAAAAGTCGTCCAGCGGAAGATGGTTCTGCTGTAAGTGTATGCCGTTTATTACGACGAAGGGAAGCGACGACTGATAAGTTCTTCTCATTGATGGTATGCTGGTAGTGGAGATGGAGCTTGTGGAAAGACCTCGGCTTTGAACGTGTTTACTCGAGGGTTCGTCTGTCTTCCTGATATCTAAGAATCCGAGAATCGTGGGTGACTGATTTCGTTTTAAAAGATTCTTCCCGACTGTCTAGTATGTCACTAGCTCTTATCGCTGTCTTTGGTTCTGTTAATTAACATCGCTCCCCTCGGGCTTGAAGCGAACCTACGGTTTTTGGTGAGTATAAATTCCGCTTGAGGCTAGATACTGGGAGAAGTATTCAGCTGATATGATGGATCGTTTTTTTAGAGAATTATGTTCACGGTGATTATTATCCCCCTCGACTCGCCGCCGACAAAGGCTTGACTAACCATCCGCCGAACCGAAGACATCTTCGTCGATAATACGCACATGGAACTGTCACTATGGGACACAGCCGGACAAGAAGAATTCGACCGCCTGCGCGCGCTTTCCTATGAGGATACACATGTGATCATGCTTTGTTTCAGCGTATGCTCTACATCCATCTTTGTCTCTCTTGTGTCGTCTCTGAATGGAAACGGAATAGGTCGACAACCGCGATTCCTTCGAAAATGTAGCCACCAAATGGATGGCAGAAATACACGAAAACTGCCCCGGCGTGAAAATGGTCCTCACAGCACTGAAATGCGACTTGCGAAAGGACGACGAGCAAAATGAGAACCCGGAGGCAGTTAGCTTTGATGAAGGGCTTGCAAAAGCGAAAGAAGTTGGTGCAGTAAAATATCTAGGTGTGTCTTTTACCTGGGAAAAAAAAAGTTTGGATCTAACGATTAGAAGAATGCTCGGCCGTCCAGAATCGCGGAATCCGCGAAACCTTCTATGAAGCTGCCAAAGTCGCGCTGGAAGTGAAGCCAGCCGGTGGCAGCTCGAGTGGAGGATGCGTCATTTTATAGACAAACCGGCCTCCCATTTCAATTTTTTCTATACACCTCGCAACCATTCTCTTGGCCCCCTACCTTTCTCTTCCATTCGTGCACATTCTTCCCACCTTTAGCTTTTACTTAAACCCGTCTCCTTCGCTTCTCAATTGACCATGGTGTTTTCCTTTTCTCTTTTTTCTTTTCTTTCTTTCTTTCTCTTTTTTCTTTTCTTTCTTTCTTTCCTTTTTTTTTTTTTTTCCAACTTTGTTGGCATTGATAACGGCGTTGTCCCTGTCGCGAAAAATAAACCGATGCGATGCGATGCGATGCGATGCGATGCAGTGCAGTGCAGTGCAGTGCAATGCAATGCGATATGATATGATATTTCCCCATCCAGCAGCAGGCCTACAATGCCATCCATGAGGTTGACTAGTCCATTGACATTGAATTGGGCTCATGGAACGAAATAGCCGATCTGGCTAGCACGCACAAGCAACATTTCTTTGATTTATTTTCTTCCCATCGATCTCTTTTGGACCCATCTTATTGAGAGATAATCTAATTATACCTTAACTTTTTTTTTAATTATACTATTTTTTTTTGATTTCCTGTCGTCCGTCGATTCCGAGTTTCCCATGTATTTCATGGATTAATGAGATGATTATTTCATATTTCTACGGTCTTTTATTAAACAGTCGGATTTCAATGCCTTTTAGTATTACTTTCTATCTATATACAATAGATCTACAAAGATGGTTATATCAAGAGATACTCTCTTTGCTGTCAAGAAGAAGAAGAAGAAGAAGAAGAAGAACCAACAACATCCTCCACCCCAACCTCATACACCCCTTCCAACGCCTCCCTCCGCCTCTCCGGCCCCGGTGGAAAATCAGCTTGTAGCCTGTCCACAAAGGCCTGCACAAACCCATCTGCAGCTTCCCGCAAGCTCAGCTTTACGCCCTGCCTTTCTAGACTCGTGGCTTCTTTCCCTTCTAGACCGCAGGCCACGATCTGCTTAAAGAACCACATGGGCTCTTCGGTGATGTTGAGGCCGATGCCGTAGGAACTAATGTTTCGGCGGAGATGAACGCCGACGGCTGTTATCTTTTGCGCGTTTGCGTTTGCATTTCTGTCATTGACCCATACCCCCGCATCAGAGGTCACGAAGCCGCGGACTCCATACTTGGATAGAAGATCGATAACGGAGTTTTCGAGCAGACGAATGTGGCATCGCGGCGAGAGCCCCAGACGTCGCAGGTCGAGGATGGTGTATGCTACGAGCTGGCCCGGCCCGTGGTATGTAGTCTGTCCACCACGAAGGGTCGGGTGGTATTCTGCGATTGGGGGGTTGCGTTGAGGATCATTGCTGCTGAGGAGGGGGCGGATGGGTTCGAGGGGCGGTGGCAGCGAGAGTTCGAGGGATGGTTGTTGGTCTGAGGGCGAGGAGGTGTTGGATGGCGGGAGGTCGCGGCGGCCGGTGGTGTAGACAGGGTTGGGCGTGAAGGTTATTATTGTTGGGTCGGGGGGTGTCGATGAAGTGTAGGAAGAGGATATGGCTTTTTTGTGGGCGAGATTGCGCAGTGTGAGGACTTGCTGGATCTGCGACACCGTGTTGAAGGGGGTGATGCCGGGGAAGTGCAAGTGAGCGAGGCGCATGGTGACTGGAATGAATGTTCGAGGGCTTTGGCCCGGACCTCAATGGAGGTTCTAAGTAGTGATTATCAAATATTTGAGTCGGAACATTGTTTTCTTGTGAACTTGAAGGTGTATCGACACGTCAATAAAGCGGACAAGCTCAGCGCAAGTGACGCCATCGGAGTTGCAGCTTGAACACGTGATCCTTGATCAGAGATGTCTGTCTACCTGGCAACGCAAGACAGAACCGAATAAGAATAGGATAACTTTTTTTTTTTTTGTTTACGTTCAAAAACGCTATACTCTACAAGAATCATCATGATACTATCCCATTGATCTGCTCCGAGCCGTCGCGCACCAGCTGCCAATCTCGCACGCCACCCTTCCAGTCTGCAATGCGCCCTTCTCGCACTTGCACTATAACCACGCGACTGTTATCGTCAATCATCGGTGTCTCCGCGACTCCGCTACCACGGCGCTGACCGAATGGGATCTCCTCGTTGGGCGCGGTTACAAAGGTATTATTCTCCAAATGCCGGTCCTTGCACCACCGCTCCTCCTCGGAACCACACTCCAGGAAGCGCGCAGTGCCTGTGATTGTCGTCGAGATACTTGATAGAGCACTCGTGTTTAGATTCAGCAACAGACTGGCCAGCGAAGAGCGAGTTGCTGCAGGGGGCGGCGAGCCGTCACGGCCACTCGGAGCCCGAGTTGGCGGACGGTGTGACACCCAATCGTGTACAAGCAGGGAGACGCGCGGATTGGCTTCTAGGTTCAGTGTCTTGCGCGAGGACGGGTTCGTGGTCATGATAATTACGGGGTAGGCGTCGAAGGGGGTTTCGGAGAGGTAGGTATATGACATGAGGGAGACGTGGGGGGTGAGGCCGTCGGATGTTGCTAGGTGCAGCTGCTCGAGTTAGTTTTATTCTGCGCCGTGCAAGCAGCAGATCAGATCAGCGAGCGACATACGTAGCGAGAGTTCTTGAGGCAGGTAATCACCTCGGGCAGCAACGACGAGCCGATATGGGGATGGGTGGTGGTGGCCGATGCCTCGTAGCTGAGCGGGGGGTTCGTTCCGTCGGCCATGATCAGTAAGAGCTACACAGTCGCGGTGGTTTGCTGTTGGCATGTGTTCACCACGCGGGGATTATCGAGAAGTGAGTGGGCTGATGGAGTATCACTGGATAAGCCTAAGACTAGGCCCAGTCCGGCCAGTTAGCGCTGGTTAGTCAGCGCAGCTCCATTGCATAACATCATCGCAGAACGTCACCAGAATGTGCGATGTACGATGGGTACGATGTAGCGTCATGCCAGCACGTATCGTATTCACTGCGCCTTGCTGCTCGTAGTGTCTGTAATTACCGTTACAGCGCAGTTGTGCCGCACCCAGTCGTAACCTTCCATACGGGGTAATTACCTGCCCATCCCTGCTTCCGCCCATTCCTCTCTCTTCCTCTGAGCATTTCCTTCTTCCCTCTCTCGTCCATTGCATTGCATTCCATCCCATCCCATCCATCCATCCATTCATCCATCTGCAGACGCTCGGCTGCCTGACTCATCCTAACAAGTGCTGTCTCCTCGTCGTCGTCATCGCCATTCGTGCCTCCTCATTGGACGTGATTGCCGCCTTAGTCTCTTACCCCGGACTTTACGTGGGCTGCTCTCTCTGTGTCCGCTCGCATCCACCCACCAACTAAACACACACACACACACACACACACATATACATATACATCTAACCTCCTGTTGCATCCGCGATACCCTCTTCCTTCTTCCTTCTCTGTGTGTTCCTGTGTCAATCCTCAGGCAGACACCATGCAAACATCCAAGGTGCTCCGCGCCTCCCCCGCATTTTCCACCCTTCGTCCCTTCAGCACCTCCTCCGCCTTCCATCGCTCCCCCTCCATTCGTGACATCACCCCTAACAATGCTGCCGACTTTGATGCTCGACAGAAAGAGTTTCGACAGAGTCTAGAGGCTGCTCGCAAGAAGAGGGAAGAGCAAGAGAGTCAGTCTGTCACAGCTACCTTCCGTGATCATGCCCGTGAGTTTGCTCGACTCCCACTGCTCCGCTTGTGAGCAATGCGAGTGGTGTATACACATATACATATATATCATATATATATATATATTTGTACACGGCTTGATTTGACTCCGACGTGGCAAATTCCCTTTTTTTCTCTATGCGTCAACGTGGTGACTGATCAAGGCATTGGTGATTGTGTTTTAGGACAGCAAGAGCAATTAGATGCCGCACACGACAATGCTGCAAAGCGAGGCCCTTTGTCGTCTCTCATCTACGGCACCAAAGAAGGACAAGTCTTTGACAAAAACATCGAGCGATCCTTCTCGCAGGTGATTGCCCGTGGAAAGTACGTGCACTCAATTGTCTTCCATGACGTCAAGCCCGACAAGGTCGACGAGTACGTCGAGCTCGTCGGCAAGTGGTATCCTCGCATGGCGGCTCTAGAAGAGAACAAGGTGAATCTTGTTGGCAGCTGGCGCACCCAAGTTGGAGACAACGACACATTTGGTACGGTTAACTTGAATATTGCTATGGAGATTGTGATCAAAACTTACTGGGTTCTTCTCGCATAGTGCACATTTGGGAATACCAACGTTATACAGGCTACCATGAGTCGCTCCATGCTATTTCCGAGCACCCAGAATTCCGAGAATTCGACAAAAAGCTCAAGTCCTTGATAAAGAGCAAAAGGACGTCGCTTATGCAAGAATTTTCGTTCTGGCCGACAACACCTCCCCGTCGGTTGGGTGGCTTGTTTGAACTGCGCTCTTATACTCTGCACCCGGGCAATCTCTTGGAGTGGGAAACACACTGGCGCCAGGGACTCAAGGCACGTCGTGAGGTCATGGAAGGCGTAGGTGCCTGGTTCGTGCAGATTGGCGATCTCAACACGGTGCATCATCTCTGGCAGTTTGCCAACTTGGAGGAACGCAAGATCCGCCGTGAACAGTCCTGGGGCATTGAAGGCTGGGCGGACACGGTACATCGAACAGTGCCGCTCATCCAGTCCATGAAGAGCAGGATTCTGATCCCCATGCCTTGGAGTCCAGTGGGTTGAAGTAGTTTCAGTTACTTTCCCGTTATCGAGTGCGTGCTAGTAGTTCATCGTGGTAGCGTATCTGTTATTAGCCGGGCTCAGGTACACGGGGGTCCTTCATATAGCACTGAGCCATATGTAGCTATACATCAATCAAAATGCATTTCTCCCCCCCCTCCCAAAATAATAATCTTAAAATACGATAACGAAAGTCAACCCGTATCAGCAACCCCAGATTCAAAAGTGCGTGCCGCGGCCCCACCGGCGGACCCAAGGAGAGGGAACCAGCCAAAAAGTTGAATGACGGCGCGTTTCTCCACATGCGCGAAGGGGAAAAAAAAATACTACTACTTCAGTCTCCAACACAACCAGACGCCAACACACCCATCGACATCGTCGGCCATTGGGCTGCTACCGGCCTTCACATTTTCCGTTTCTGCTTCTGCACGTTGACATATCGAAATCATACCAGCATGACTTGGATCCGACAGAATGATCTCCCCAAGCTGCGTGAGTACAAGTACTCCGGGGTTGATCATTCGCTGGTCAGTCGCTACATCCTGAAGCCATTCTACAGCAATTTTGTGATTCATTTGTTTCCCACGAGCATGGCGTAAGCTATCCCCTGCTGTTTTGACGATCTATTTCACGGTATGCTGACACGTAATCCCAGCCCGAACCTCGTAAGTCACCGTTTCGTACCCGCTGGCCCTTGATCGAACTAATCGGGAACGGCATTAGGTCACACTAACTGGCTTCTCCTTCGTCATCGTGAACTTTTTGACTCTGCTTTGCTATAATCCGACATTGGATCAGGATTGCCCGCCATGGGTGTATGGGAGCTGGGCTGTTGGGCTGTTTCTGTACCAGACTTTCGACGCTGTTGACGGAATGCAGGCGTACGTACAGCTACCTACATGGCATGATACTGATGAATAGTGAGTGACTCATGATATGATATAGTCGCAGGACTAAGCAGAGCGGCCCTTTGGGCGAGCTGTTTGACCACGGTAAACCACGCCCCTATATATATATATATATATATAAGATACGTCTATGGGGAAATTGACTGACTGTTTGTGTCTAGGTGTCGATGCTTGTAACACGGTTTTGGGGGTTTTTATTTTTGCCGCTACGATGAACCTTGGGCAGTCTTGGGCTACTGTCCTGACCTTGTGGGGAGGTAGGTTTGTTGCAGCCGATAGAAAGCAAACAACTGCTAATCACATACCTTACACAGCTGTCATGACATTTTACGTTCAAACGTGGGACGAGTACTATACCCATGTCTTGACTCTCGGCATCGTCTCTGGGCCGGTCGAGGGCATTCTAACCCTCTGCGCCGTGTTCTCGTTCACGGCGTACATCGGCGGAGGCAGTTTCTGGCATCGCCCGATGTTAGCGACTGTCGGCGTCCCCCAGTTCAGTTTCCTCCCCGATGCCGTGTACGAACTGCCGTTTACCTCATGGTACATGGTCTATGGAGCCTTTGTGCTCTTCTTTGCGACGGGAAGCAGCATCCTCAACGTCATGAAAGCTCGCCGTGCGCGATCCGAAAGCCCAGTCACGCCACTCTGCGGCCTCCTGCCCTTTGTGTACATGTGGTTGCTGACGCCCGCGTATCTGTATCTGCAGCCCAACATTCGCGAGAATCACCTTGTCCCTTTCCTGATCTATGTGGGTATCGTTAATGCGTATTCCGTGGGCCAGATGATTACCGCGCATCTGCTCAAAACGCGTTTCCCGCGAAGCAACATTCTCATGTGGCCGCTCGCAGTGGCTGTGCTCGACAGCTTGGGTCCTTATATTGGTCTCTGGCCTAGCGCGCTTGGTGATGATATCTACCAGGTAGGGTTTGTGTTTACGGCGCTTGGCCTTGCGGTTGGCGTGTATGCCAGTTTTGTGGTAAGCTCGCCCTTCTCCCCTTCCTCTGGCTATGGGTGTGCCAGTACAGGCAGGTACTGATGAGTATAGCACACCGTGATTGTCACCATCTGCGACTACCTCGACATTTGGTGCCTGACTATCAAGCACCCGTACGTCGAGGCCAATGGCAAGAAGAGGTCGTAAGCAGCGAGTGATATATTGGAATCTAATACGACAAGCGATGAGTTTCATGTAATGTCCCATACACCATTTATTTAGTTAGGAGCCCATGCAATAGAACTCAGAATTCGGTAGAATGTAACCATACCTGATTAAGTTAGCTGCGCGGCTAACTTGACTTCGTTAGTGTCTATCTTAGTCAGCATAGACCCCGGAGCCGGAAAAACAGGGCTAAGCGAGAGCACACACAGAGCGAGCGAGCGGCGCTGCGGCACAGCGCGAAGAAGGAGAAAGAAGCTTGGCGCGGGCTCCGCTAATTCAATTTCAGTTTCTGCCTCGCTCTTTCCCTCCCTCCATCACCGACCGTCTCTGTCAGCGCCCTCAACTCGTCAGGATCATTCATTTATCGCTGATTGCATATCAACCCCGTCAAGATGGTATGCTGACCTGCTCCCCGGCATTTCTGCCAGATGCATTTTGATGCTATGCGGAGAAATCCTCGACTAACCTTCATGTGTGCGTGCAGGTTCTCGCGGTCGATCTCCTCAACCCTACTCCTCAGTCTGAGGCTCGCAAGCACAAGCTCAAGGTACGAAAAACCAAGCTCAAAACCAAAACCAGCGCCATTTCGATGATAATATGGGGCGGATAATGGAATAGTCATGGAATAGTCGGATGATGGAAATGATGGATATATATATACACACACACACACTTTTTTATATGGATTGGAAAACTGACTTGGGATCTCCATGATATATAGACCCTTGTGCCTGCCCCTCGCTCCTTCTTCATGGACGTCAAGTGCCCAGGATGCTTCACAATCACCACCGTTTTCTCACACGCTCAGACCGTCGTCATCTGCGCCGGCTGCTCGACCGTCCTCTGCCAACCCACCGGTGGTAAGGCTCGTCTCACTGAGGGCTGCTCTTTCCGACGCAAGTAAACGAAGAAAACGCCCTTTTTGAACATACGACGTCAGCGAGAAAAATTCATCAGCGGAACCTTCCTTATTTTGTCATGAATTTTCTTTGAAAAAATAATCTGGTGGCGCTTCCGAATTCATTTTCTTCTTTTTCTTTTTTTCCCTCCTCTTTTTGGTTCATGGCCGGTCGATCGAGTCGATGAATATGTGTTTTATTGTGTCATGTCTCTCTTATATGTTTTTCTTTTCATCTATTGTTTGCTCGTGAAAAAAACACAAGGTCGCGAAAGAACAGATAGAAGATGGACCCCGGTTTCGCCCTGCAATTATACCAAACCAGAAAAAACCTTTCTACCCAAATACAAAAAATGTTAAAAAAAGATAAAGAAGCCCTCTTTCTCTTTTCACACATGGAGCGGAGTTCCGGATATCTGGCTCGAATTGAATTCTTCGAACTTTTATTTCCCCTGCTTCTTTTCTTCCTGAAAAGATCGAAAAGGAGGAGGATAATGGGTTACCATTTGCATCTACATGAGCAATGAATGCTTTTGGATTCGAATTCACCGAGGGAACTGGCTAGTCGACGGCCAGCAGGCTGAGATGCCTACAAGCTAGGTTATGAGGATGGTTATCTATGGCGAACGTTGTCTGTATCTAGCCAAGGTTCAAAATAGATTGGATTCTATGACCTGTATGCTAGCAAGTTATCAATTCAGCATTTGCACGTAACTTTCTGTTCAAGGTAGATTCTCTTGTTAGGCTATCAAGGTAGACTACCAAGGTACTCTGTAATTCTAACATAGCAAGCACTTCCATGCGCACCCTTTTAGGAATTTTCGTACAGGGTATTCTTAAAGACAGAAGCAAGAAAACATCAACCAATGTACCCTTATCCACCAACTTCCCACAATGAAACTTGTTCAAGGACAAATCACTGCTCCATCAGAACCCTCGCCTTGTCCCTAATATCCTGCCCAAAATCCACCGGTCTACCGGGATCGCCACCGGTCAACAACGCCAATTTCCCCGACGTATCGTTGATGAGATCATTGGTGAACGTATTCCGGCCCAGGACATCGGTGATCTTCTTCTTGGACTCGGCGTCGCCGGCGCGCAGTTTGTCGAGATCAATGGACTTAAGTTCCTTGCGCGTATTGCGGATAAAATCGAAGAGGAAGAAGAGCGTTGGATGGGTGTCGGGCGGTTGCATCAAGGGGTGAGCTTCGAAGGAGCTTTTTTGTTTTCGGGAAAAAGAAATTGTTATTATTACTATTCGCATCATCTTGTTATTCGCACATTATCAGGGTGCCAGAGGTAACCAACTCGAGTAAATCAACCATCTGCCCGTCCACCTTGTCCGCGTTGAAATCGAAGACGTCCGCGCTCGACATTGTTCTGCCTGGTGAAGCGTGTCAATCAAACAAACAAACAATCAATCAATACAAAATGATGTAGTTGTATGAACATGGTGTCCGAGTTTGCCACGGAAGCAACGTGAAGAAATGCAAGAAGTCGATGGAAAAAGTAAGTAGATAATTGATGTCACTTGCCCGCCACATGTGACGTCGTTGTGGTTGTACGGCAAAGAGAAAGCTTTCTACGAGTGGTTCAATTATGCGCCGTTATTGGCTGCGCATGCTGTTCCTGAGAAGACTTGCATTCGAGATTATATTCTCCGTGTTGGCATAATATTTCGTTCAATCAGTTCAATGCACGACGTTAACATGTTGTTGTTGTTGTTGTTGTATGTATGTATGTATGTAATTACACTGTATGTACGTTTGTATTCCTCGTTATCTTATCTTCAAGTAGCAAAATATACAGTTATAACAGCGGAATAGAAGGCATAATGTACACATAAATTGAGCATTACCAGAAGCTCCATAAAGGGGCCCCCTTTTGGTGGCTCACTGGTTAATATTCCGTCAAGTCAACATCCACATGCAACCCAATTCCATAGCCCATACGTTGGCATGAAACTGCCACTCTGTCTGGTTGTAAGGGACTCCAAAGGTCGTGGAAAAGATGATTGATTCTTCTAGGTCTAGAGGATGCGGAAACTAATGGACTAGTCTCCGGGCTGTCATCACGTGACATTGCTTCTCTGGCAACATTGATTTGGATTCGGTGCCGCGTGCTGGAAGTAGATTAGCTGCCGATAAGCTATCGCAAGATAATAAATATCTGTCCAGGCAGTCACTCTACTACAACAGCGCATTGTGTATAGCCTGTCCGACCCTCCTCCACCATGGCGCCCAATCCATCAGCATCATCACCAGCAAAACCCCTCAGAATCCTCATGCTCCACGGCTTCACGCAATCCGGCACCCTCTTCCGCGCAAAGACCGGCGCTCTCACCAAAGCAATCACAAAGGCATTCCTGCACAATGCCTCCTTCTCCTTCCCCACGGGCCCCTTACCACTCAACCCAGCCGACATACCGGGATACGTGACACCGGATATTAAGCAAAAGGAAATCCCGGACATGGAAGCATTCGGCTGGTGGCGCCGGCCAAGTTCTACCATCCCACCTATAGAATATACGGGCGTCGAAGACGCATTCCGCACTGTCGCCCAGACCCTCCGAGACGAGGGCCCGTTTGACGGCGTAATAGGGTTTTCGCAGGGTGCCAGTCTCGCCTTTGCAGTGACGAGTTTGCTGGAAAACGGGAGGAGGGAAGCATTCTCTTCTGCTGTTACAGATAAAGACTACTTCCCAGAACCGTTTATACCGGAAAATACGGGCAACCATCCCCCGCTCAAATTTTGTATTGTCTATAGTGGATTCAAATTCGCCGATATGCGATACCGGGCCTTGTACAATCCGCCCGTGGCGACGCCCATGCTGCATGTTATGGGTACTTTGGATGCGCTCGTTAGCGAGGCTATGGGTAGAGAACTGGCGGAGACTTGTGGTGGTGATTCTGATGTGATTTTCCACCCGGGTGGCCATTTTGTGCCTGGTGGGAAGAGGTATCTTGATGTTGCCGTGGGGTTTGTGAGGATGGCCATGGACAAGGTGAATAAAGAAGATAATAAAAAGGAGGAAGAAGAGAGGGTGGAGGATATGGATGTGCCATTCTGATTGTGTTCGCTGCGATAGACCATGATATTTATATTTATAGACTAGCGATTGCAAATATTGGCATAGCATGTATATAGCACTATAGAACTCGCAGATACATCTCTGTTCTCGTCGTACTATACAATTCTACCATATCTAGCTACTAATTAATCAGGCTTTGACCTTCTCGTTCTTGGTCGGCTGGATACGAGCCATCATCTCTTCCTTGGTAATCAGATGGTCAATCCTCTCCAGATGGCCCAACAAACTCCTCATGTTGCTGCTCCACTCGTTCAGCACATCATCGGCATCCCGGGACTTTGCGAAGTTGACCACACGCGCAGGACGATCAATCTTCGCATAGATCGTCTTCGACGTTACCAAGTCACTGATGTACTTCTCCGTCTCCTCCTCGTTCAAGTCCAGCAGTTGCGTCAAGCGGCTCGTCTGAATGCGGGTGTAGTACTTGGCAACAACCCGCACATTATGCTCGATGACGCGCTTCCGCAGATCTTGCCATCGTGTGTATGCATCTGGTTCGTTCGGGTTCTGCTCCTTGTCGAATACATCTGTGCTGGTAAGATGAGGGCTAAAGGTCTCTGCAATTTCCGGCCAGCGCATCAATTCATGAACCGTAAACAACTTTAGAAGACGAGCTTCCACGGGGACTTGTGACAGCCGACTATCTTGGTGTATACGGTGGAGAAGATCCGATTGATCGTTGTCGTATGGGGCGAGTACGACGTAGTAAACAATCCGTGCGAGGACCTTATTTCAATGATATCAGTCAGGTTCCCCTCCCCCCTTTTTGACTTAGCAAGTGTATAAATCTAAACTTACTGCTCGGAGCCTTTCAGGATCCTCCTCAACCGACTCCGTATCAAGAACGTCCCGGTAGTGCTTGCAGGTGTCTAGGTAGTTCTGGTCATGCTTAGAAAGGATAATCTGCTGCTCGTAGTAACGAAGCTTCAAGTCCTCGACTGACTCATCCTTCTCTGGCATCGGCTCGTCAGAAGCGCGTGTCTTTAGCCGCTCCTCATACTCCTTTTGCTCCTTCTCCAACTGCTCGGGTGTCTTCTTGGGTTTGCGTGCAAAGTAGCGCTTATTAATCTTGCGGCTGAGAATAGATGCTTGAGTCCAGTCACCTCGTTCAATACATAAAGCCACCTGTTCAAGGATAAACTCGGTCTTTTCTCTCCTGGACATCGATCCGAATGTCTCCACCTGAAGCTCGCAAAGGATATCGGTGGCCGAGTTCAGATCGCCTTGTGATTTTTTGATTTGTGATAGGTAACGGGTGATGCGAGCTCTCTCCACTTCTACGAAAATCTTCATCCAGCTCAGTCAGCATCAGTCATGTTTGATGAGTAGACAATGGGATGAGCGGATGAGAAACGCACCTTTCCTTCTGTGACAGTTCGTAGGGTCTCAATCACCGACAGCTTGGTTTCCAAGTCTGGGGTATCTTCTAGAAATCCCATGACTTCTTGGACCATTTTCGTCGTCGCCTGCTTGAGCTGGCCATGTTTCTTTGATAGCAAAAGCACCTGGTCGTTTAGTAAGCTCCAGTCACCGGACTCCTTGCTGATCGTGACAATGGCTATGAGCACTCGGGAGGTGGTGGCAAGATCGGATGCCTAAGTATTTTTGCAGATTAGTCTTTTCTGTGCTCGTTGTATAGGAGTTTGATGGACGCTTCAAGGCTTCGTACCTGGCGAGCTTGTTTCTCCAGCAGAGACAGCTTATCGATGGCGGCTTGAACATTGCTCTGTTTGGAACCTGCGATTAGAAGATGATTGATGCAGGGTATGAAGCCGCAAAGCAAACCTTGGCAAGCTCTTTCGCCTCTGGGATTATCTTGTCGGCATCCTTGCTGTAGTCCTTCTCTGGCTTGAAGAGTTCTCCGGACATGATGACGACTGGCGATGCGTCACCGTCCTATACGAATCGGAATCGAATGAAGTCGTAAAATCTGAGAATCTGGTATGTTTTCAACGACTATTGCACTCGGATAACAGTCCTTTCAAGGCAGGATGTAGTGTGCAGAGAGTGTTGGGATATGGATGAAGAAGCGCTGCGTGTGTCTGGCCGAGCTGGAAGGAAGCTCTTGGAAAGGGAAGCTGCAACAACAGTGGTCGGACATGTCACGTGACATACGGGCTACACGAAAGCTCGCAGATCTAGCATTAGATCAACTGCTTAATTAATTCTGAAGTAACTCTGCAAGAGATCTGGGAATAAAACAAGTTGATTATATCGATTACCCATCCACCTGGTAGAGATATCGTCGCCAATACACTGTCTGGATGGACGTTCTAATGCCAAGACAAGCACCGGCACGCAAGTCCTCGGAAATGTAGTTAATTACCTGTATTGATTACCTACACTGACTCCGCGGAGGCTGATTGCATGCCTGACTTCTCAGGCTGCTTATCGGCGAGCACGCCATTGCGGGCGAGTAAAAATTGAGAGTTTCCTGCTTATCGGACACGTGATTTTATATCTATATGTTTTATTATAAAATAGTTATACCGATGAATGCCCTCTTATTATTTTCCATATGCTCCGTCACGATCTTGAGCGCTTGAACATGACCTGCAAATATTAACACGTACCCTCAAGACAGCCTTTAGAACTACTGGTTTGGACCTGCTCTACGCAGCGCAGCCAATATGCCGGATACAACGCCAATGCTGCTTGCTGTACAAGGTACATCGCAAGTCCATCTGATTATTGGCTCGAATTCATTGGCAGCTGCTCGCTGTATCAAGAGTCTGGAGTCTGGCGCACAGCCAGTGATCGTCGCTCCCGAGACTGCCGATATACATTTCTCACTGAAAGACCGCTGCGAACAAGGCGCAGTTCAATGGATAAAAAGGGACTTTCAAGATGACGACTTGAAGACACTAGGCCGTGAAGAGGTTGATCATGTCGTTGATATGGTATTCGTCACGTTGGGTGGCGAACATACTCTCAGTAAGAATGCCTTGATATATCTCATGAGACTCCCAACTGACGCTGTTCTACAGGCACGCACGTATCTCAAATATGCAAACGTTTAAGAATTCCAGTCAATGTGACCGATGCCCCCGATTTGTGCTCTTTCACATTACTCTCAACATACTCTGACGGGCCTTTACATATCGGAATTACTACCTCTGGCCGAGGATGCAAGCTTGCATCGCGACTGAGACGAGAAATTGCCTCTTCACTTCCGGCCAACCTCGGAAAGTCAATTGACCGACTGGGCACCATAAGACGACGATTATGGGAAGAAGATAATGTATCAGATCAGCAAGCATCGAAACTCGAAGTTGAAGATGAGGACCTAGCAACCCAAAGTCATACATTTAACAAATTAATTACCAGTGAAGACGCACAAACAGCCAAGACCAGGAGGATGAGGTGGCTCGCTCAGATTTGCGAGTACTGGCCGTTACAACGACTCGCATCAATATCTGATTCCGACATTGACAGCATTCTCACGGCTTATTCTCGTGAACGCACCAATGATTCTGTTGCACTTGCAAATGGTGCTTTCCAGCATCTTAGAAAAGGAAAGATAGTTCTTGCAGGGTCTGGCCCAGGACATCCAGGCATGCTTACGCGAGCAACGTTTCATGCGATCACACGTGCGGACATCATTCTGGCTGACAAACTTGTCCCGGCGGCGGTCTTGGATCTAATTCCCCGACGGACAGAAGTCCACATAGCCCGCAAATTCCCGGGGAATGCAGATCAAGCACAGGAGGAATTCTTACAGATGGGCTTGAAAGCGTTGCGAGAAGGAAAATATGTCCTTCGGTTGAAGCAAGGTGACCCTTACCTTTACGGGCGCGGTGCTGAGGAGTACTCCTTTTTCCGGGATGAAGGATACATCCCTATAGTTCTCCCGGGCATAACTAGTGCCTTGAGCGCACCGCTATTCGCCGACATTCCAGCAACGCATCGTGGTGTCTCAGATCAGGTTCTTGTATGTACTGGAACTGGTCGAAAAGGCGCGGCTCCAGAGCCCCCGACCTATGTTGCTACACAGACTGTGGTCTTCTTGATGGCGCTTCACAGACTTGCTGGCCTAGTCGAGAGCCTGACAATGAAAACTTCTTCAGAAGCTGGAAGCAATCGAACACTCTGGCCGAAGTGTACTCCGTGCGCTGTCGTTGAACGAGCCTCTTGTCCAGATCAGCGGATTATTCGCACTACTTTGGAACATGTGTGCCAGGCAGTGGAGTGCGAGGGGTCTCGGCCTCCTGGCTTACTGGTTGTAGGTGCAAGCTGCCATGTCATTCATACCCCAGAAGGACAAAAATGGGTGGTTGAAGATGGGTTTAGAGGGCTAGATGAACTTGGAGTTGAGGGGGATTTGCTCACTGATGAAGTGAAAGTCACAGAGGCCACTAACAACATATAGCGTGGACTACGTCTGTTCAACAAAGATTCACCAATTGTCTTGAATTATGTACATAGATTTGCATGGATGGCGCAACAGAGCAGCATGGATTGAGATACCAGAACTTCAGTGTTATTCAATATTTTGTATATTATATGGTCTGCCGCAAAGTTACAGTACCCCGTAATTACGTATTATTACCGCCCCGTCGCTTGATAAGCCGCAGGCAGCCTCGCCTCAGCCTTCCTCAACCAAGACAGCATTGAGACTGGTCTATATCATTACACGACTGCAGGCATCAAATCCATCATCAAAGACAAGATGTCGGCACCAAAGGCCACGAAAGCGCCATACATTTCTGGCGGGCAGATGCTCGATTCGTAAGGCTGGCTACTTACTCCTCTTGTTCCGGGCATATCCTATGAACGTATCTTTGATTATGCAGTCTACTGATCTTGCTCCTGCACTTCTTACCCAGGCCCCCGCTCTCAACGCGAGTTGTGCGAATGTTTGATAGCCTGTACCTCTTTTTCGGTCTTTATTTTGTGTCTTTATTCGCGGTAAGGACAATCCAATTTGCATTCAGCATATTCGGTCTGCAGGAGGGCTGGTCCTCAGCACGCATTCTTTCCTTGCTGGTAGAGACCAGACTTTCTCCTCCTGGAAATAAATCCCCTTGAGTGTTCAACGTGTGTTACATACGGATGACTGACATAAGCCCTGTCTCCACAGCTCGACTCCTACGGCGCCGCACAAAGTTCTCAATTCAACGCCACCGTATCACAGAATAAGCAATCCATGAGATCTCGCTGGAGCAGTGGTCTTGATAGAGGATATGGCGGCGGGGGCGGAGGAGGACCAAGTGGTGGAGGTGGAGGTAGTGGCGGGAGGAGAATTGGCCGAGTAGATGATATTCGAGGGCCGGAATGTAAGAGCTGCCAGTAACTTGGGCAATGATTTTGCTGGGCAGACTAGATGCTTGGTCTGGGGTTCTGTTATTCTGCCAAAGGCTTTAACTTCAAGCGCTTGGTGGATATGATACATGCACGAGTTTACACAGTGCGACAACGGACATGTCGCTTATGTCGTTCTTCTTCTGCTTGAATTACTGAGGTAGTCGCGAGTATCTTCATCATCATAGCAATAACTACATATGCCATAATCACGTGCATGCGTTGACAGCTCCAGTGCGGGGAAGCCAATCAGAGGCTCAACCGCATTCCGAGCTATGAAGTCACTTTGATGCTTGACGCCTCTGGATATACAAACAACTTGCAAGATACTCACAAGTGGCACTGCCAGGGAGAAGAGAACAATGGCAACTAAGCTCGAAACACCCTCCACCGACCATGAATGGGCCGGGTTCATCTCAACCATCAAAGACGACCTGCCCGCTGCTCACACAGTATACCACACACCACTCCCTCATGGCGTCTCGCACACCATCGACCACACACAACTAGCACCCGATGCCACACCGGCACAGATCGACTCACTATGCGCAGAAGCACGTGCGCACAAATTCGCAACTGTCTGCGTGCGACTGCCGTATGTTTCGCGCGCCGCACATGATCTGGCAGATATCAAAAACGAAGTAGGGATAGCCTGCGTGGTGGGGTTCCATGAGGGCACGCACTCGACGGCCACTAAAGTGGAAGAAGCTACCAAGGCCGTGGCCGATGGTGCCACCGAGTTGGACATGGTCATTAACTGGCCGATGTTGAAACAAGGGAAATACACAGACGTATACAATGATATTCACGCCGTGCGGCGCGCCGCCCCAGGCCCCAAGACAAAACTGAAAGTGATCCTGGAGACATCTCAACTCTCGCGCGACGAGATTATAGCCGGAAGCGCTATAAGTGACATGGCCGGTGCCGACTTTGTGAAGACCTCTACGGGTTTCAATGGCGCTGGAGCGAATGTTGAGAATGTGCAACTCATGAGAGAGGTTGTAGGCCTACTGGGGAATGGGTGCAAAGTCAAGGCCTCGGGCGGTATTAGGACAGCGGAGGACGCAATTGAGATCTTAAAGGCCGGCGCGGAGAGGATTGGGGCCAGTGCTGGAGTGAGGATTGTCAAAGAGTTAACGGGGAATGCGTTGCGCCCGAACGCATCGACGCCTATTGGTGGTGAGTATTAATCAACCAAGTCAAGAAGCTATGCTTGAGACAGATCAGTCTTCGTGTCGGACTCCATGTTACCCAGCTCGATCTTGAAGACCTAACTGAAATGAAGACAACGATCGAGCAATGAAAATGCACATCCTAAATCCCAAACTGTGGATGTGCAAGAAAAGCATTTTCAAAATGAATTCAAATGCCATGGATACAGATGACAGTCCGTTGGCCTCGAAACGGTTCCATGTCAACAATGACTTTCAAGGGGGTTCGTTTGTTGCCTGCTTCTTCTTTGGTCTTCCATTCCTTCTCTTGCATGACTGGAATGCGACAAAAAAAAATATACGCACGTCTAGCTTCAATTATTTGCACTCAATGTACAGCGTAGTGTATTTAGGTTTCCATCAGGGCAGCAAGGGGCTTTCAAGCTCTCAATTGAACCGGGAGGGATGAACGAGTTAGGCAATATTTACGGGCGTATTTGTATCTCTCTAGGCAAAGAAATGGGTCAATTGTTCCAAATTGCAATGCATATAGAATAGACAAATCTATTTAGAGACACGTTGCTATGGCTTCTATATTTTAAAACACTAATTGCATTCCATTTGACTATATTCGTTGTATGCCAAGCTGGATGATCATGAGTATATATTCTAATAAATCGGTTATAGAAATCAAGGGCTACTAAACCGAACCCCAGGCGCCACTCAGTGGTATGAAAACGTCCTGTATTGTACAATGATAAGTCGTAATCTCGTCATATGTAATGATGGCTCATTTGTCTCTTATTCGCTCATTTTATCCGCATCATCATCGTCTGGATCCTGTGCACGCGCTTTTTGCAGAGCAGCGTCGCCATTCGTGCCTGTCTTCTCAGCTTCGAACCAGGCCGTGCGTCGCTCAAAGTCACGGTCTTCTTTTTCTGCACGGGCCGCAGCCTTGTGGCGGGTAAGTTGTGCTTGTAATGTTTGAAATCGGCTGTTGCAATCCTGTAATTCACGGATATTTGACTTGAGTCTCACAACTTCCTCTGCATCGGCGCGACGTGCGGTTTCGTTGATTGAGAGTTGTTTTCTAAGGTTGGTAATCTCCTCTTCGAGAGCGGCAAGTTGCGAAGAGTCAACGGCAGTGGATGTTGTTGTTGGTGAAGTATCTTTATGCACTCCCTGTCCATGGCTCAAAGCTGCCAGCTCTGCGAGACCTTCTTCAAGTAGAGATGGAGGAAAAACAGGGTGGGTCAAGGCTTCGAAGAATTTGTTTGAGTCGCTCTTCGTAGAAGCTGTAGGGGCAAGTTGGACACTTAGTGCATAGTTGTATGGAACAGTGCCATCCCCATAAGATCTTTCGGATATATTCTGTTCGTATCGAGGTTTGACGATATTTGGAATCGTAAAGTGCGGGTTATCTTGCAGTGGTTGTACCGGAAACCCTCCAGGTGGGAGCATATGAAGATTTGTTACCGCACTCATATAATCGGCCACTGTGGAAGAGAATTTCGCGCGCGCAATATCCCATGCCAAAACAGAGCCATTTGGATGCCCCGAATACAAGGTCATACCATCATAGGACAAGGCTAAAGCTGTCGCAGCGCCCTTGTCTGGCGACGGAACTAGCCACTGATGATCAGCGCTAATTTGAGACGGAGTACTCTGAAGTCGTTGGTCATATAATGGGTGCTGGCCCGATATCGTTTCATAAAAGTCTATCCGCTGAACGTTGCCCGAATCATAACCGACATAGAAAGCTCGATCTACCGGATCAACTGTTATGGATTTTGCCACCGACGGTAGCAAGAATGTTCTCAGTATCTTCCCAGTTGTGTATTCCCACACTACTGCTGTGCTATCCTGCGCCACAGAGATAGCGAAATTACTGCGCCCAATGCCGTGTCCAACAGCTAGCGCTGTGATCGCTGTCCGGTGATTGCCAAATGTCTGTATAGGTGAGTTCGGAGCTTTCTGGTCCTGCCCCGTTGACACCGGCTTTGAAAATGACAACAATCGTGGTATGGACCAGACATGGACGTTGGCATCGGGCGAGCCAGACAAGACAAAATTGGACGTGGGATCAACGACTAATGAGGTAACAGGTTGAAGATGAGAAGGTGCCGTGGAAACCTGCCGCCCTGTACAAGTCTACAAGGCACTTGTGAGCCACAGATGCACTTTCGCATTGGATAACAGAAAAATTACATACCTCCCACAAAATTAATCTACCGCCCTCTGTGCCCAGAATTAAGAGCTCGCCGTTGTGCCTGCCTGCCACGGCAAGACTTCGGATGCGCTCGGGGAATGGGACTGTAGCTTCTTGATTGCCACGGAGTCTGTTGTAGACATGGACGACAGACTTGTCTGACTGTGCAGCGAAGACATGTGTAGGCGTGACAGCAAGCGCATTGGGGGGAGTGGAGCTCTTTTTGAAGGTAGTTCGAAGCGCCGACGCAGGATGCAATTCCTGAACGCATATGCCCACGTCTTTTAGCGTCGACGACGTCTGAGTCTTTGCCGAGCCCAGCACGGAGGCTATTAGGCTTTCTGACAGCATAACTGGTTGGCGGAGTGGGCAATTGGAAGATGCAGGAAGAATCACAGCTCACTCTTTTCTTTCCTTTTTTTGCCCTGACTTTTCCTCGAAGGGCGTTGATAAAAGACTGATAACGGATGTTTGCTCTGTTTGCAGTGTTCGTGGGGAAGCTGCAAGTGCCGGCCTGAGGCACATGGAACTAGCTTCTTCTGGACTAGCCCACACCTTAAGCTGATGCATCTCAGAATCGCATCGCCAACTGATCTGATGAATTGATCTGTCCAAAACTCTCAATCGCCCCAAAAATCAAAGTTTTACCAACCTGACGGTGCAAGAGATGCACGCTTAGCCCCGAGATAGCTCGAGGCTTGGATAAGGAGATTTTACGCGAACTTGCACACGTCGCCTGCGTCATCGCAGCCTCTGCATTCGCGACTACATACATCCTTGTCGCTTTGCGAGAGGGGAGCACGGCTATTGGCCTTGAGCCATGTATATTAGCTTTACCATTTTGCCGTACCAATAAACTTTCTTTCCTTCCATTTGCTTTTTCTTTCTTCTAGGCTCTGTGTTGTTAACCATTCAGATCTCACGATCCTCCGCTAACCGCACAGGTCAAAACATCATCATACAATACGGGTGTACAACCGACCGCCGAACTCACACGAGCAACACCTCGCCAGGAATTGATTGACTTGCCTGCATCTGGAATGATTGATTTCTGGCGGCAAGTGAAGAAAAGACATCATGTATAGCTTCAGTTATGCTCTAAAGAGCCTCGTCAAAGTATGCATACCTTGACAAATCTTCGGCGAGCGGACCGACCCATAAATACGTCCAAATGCAAATATAACCTCCCTGGTATGTATCAGGCACTGTCTGCAAGTGCTTTCGATCAATACAGGATGTATATACGGAATCGCACCTATGTATTTGCCAGTTGCCACAGAGAAGCATGATCAAGCCGGGCCGCTATGCAAGGGATGGCCCTAGCAGTTTTGTCCGCGCCTCCTCATTTGCCCCGTTCGACTGCGAATTTTCCCAGATGTGCACCCCTTCCTTCTCCGGGATGCTCACTGCGGCAATCTTGCCGTCATTTATCGTCAACAGCCGGCATATTTGACGCTGTGCCTGCGATTGTATGAGGCTTCGCCCCGCTCGCAATCCGCGCCTGACTTATCCCATAGCCAATGACTATCTCGTTGCCTCGTTGGCGTTCTGCAAGTATGCAAGGATATTATGATCCGATCGGTACGTATATACTTTTCTGCTCGTTGTTCAGAAAGCATGGCATCCCACCTGCATTCAATGTTTCCGAACCCGGCCATTTTCCATAGGAACGGTACAGTCAAGGGGTAGTCCATCCTAGTATAAGGGCCTCTGGTATCCCTCTTCTCCCTTTTCGAAGAAAATTTAGGTTGCATTCCCCAGCTCGGCTGGACAATTCATCACAAGTCGCTCTTTTGTTTGTGGTTTACAGGCTACCGTTCTCCTCATCACCACCACTGCTTCATTGGCTGTCTAGTACCGACTTTCCTGATGCCCTGTGTTGAGGTCGAGCTACCCACCATGGGTAATCCGTTGCTCACTCACCCTCATAATTACGGCCATGGAAACACGAGTTTGAGCCAGACGTACATATCAAATAGCATTTCTCCACTCTCTCCTTCTTCAGTGTATTCACAGCCTTCACAGCCTTCACAGTCTTCACAACCTTCACGACCGAGGCGATCGCACGGGTCCTTGTCATTCCTTTCGTCCAACATGCCTCGCTCTGAGTCTGCCGAACAACTGCCTGCCCCTTCTCGACGAACCATGGAGCGAGCGCCAGTCACTGTTTCGCCGTTCCGGTCTGTTCGACAAATGAAAGAACCTTTCCAACTAAAGCTTCCTCATTCACCGTCTTTTGAAAACAATTCTGTCAATACTATACCCGGCAGGGAATTTAAGGAAGGTAAAGGACAATCAAGACGTCTTCAATCACCAATCGGTCTGCGACCCCTGCGTACGTGTAGGTCAGACCAGAACTTGGTTGCCGGTGCGCTGGAAACATTTGGACTCCTCCCCAGCCCTACTCTGTCCGACTCTCGAGTCACAGCAAAGTTCAGCGCTCCAAGAAAGGAGTCTACGTTCCAGAAATCCAAAGAAATTCCTATCACCAAATGCCTCTGCTCTGCGCCGGATCAAAGATGTGAAACTTGTCTCCTCAAGGCGTACGAATCTGCAGGAGAAGTGAACCCTTCCGTGGATACAGATGCAGAGTACATTCATTGTACGGAAGTACCTGAGGAACATCCGAAGCAGACGATTGCGCAAAGTTTTTCTTCTCAGGAGCTTCGAAATCCAACGTCCACCCCACAAATGCAGCAGCTCAATGAGGTCAAATCTCCACCGACATCCTCAGCTAAGAATCACAAACGGTCCAGAACAACCACGGTCTCCAGTGCGGCTAGTTGGGTTCCTGAAAACTTGACATACTGCGAGGACTGGCTTCAAAGGGTTCCATTGGAGACGCCGGAACGTCAAGATGGAAGGTCTCGGGAGGCTAACCGACGAAAGTTTCAAATAGTTCAGCAAACTGACGATGCGCTATCACTTAGCCGGTCTAGTCATCAGATGCGAAAGCCTGCTGATCTAAACATTGACACAAATGCGGCGAATAACCCGGTTGTGAGTTCTAGAAACTAATAGGTATTCTTACATGCAATGGACCAACTAACAGTTACAGATGCTTGCTGTAGCTAGCAAGACAAAGCCTAAGCTCGTTGATATTTCTCGGCCTTCCTCATCAGGCACCACATTTTCTTTGCCCATCAATCCACCGCCGTCTTGGAGACGACCGACGACGCCAGACCGACGAAGTGTCAATGAAATATCTGCTTTCAGCCCAGACACTCCTCAAGACATCCCTGATAGCGGTTATGTCACGCAGCAATCCAATCGATCATCAGATGAAAGCCATGAATTTCGAGACGAGGAATTTGGAGACCCTGGATTTGACATGGCAGCAACAACAGCCTCGTCGGAGCCGCCGTGCAACATATCCTTTGTCACAAGTATCTTCACTGATCAGAAGCCTAAGCACCGGTATTACATGTCAACCTATAACAGGACCAAACCAGTGTCGAACAGCAGAAGAGATGAGCCTCCACGCACACCTCCACCTGTGTCGCCGAAGACTGTCGACCAGGAGACGTTGGCGAAGTGGTGGGATTATGAATGGGCGCTTGACCAACTAGAGGATTCGATCAAGGAGTACCCCAAAAACGCGCTTCGTCTTACTTCGCCTGTCATTATTTTGATTAGACAAAACCATGAAAGAGCCCTAATTCGACCGTTCAAGAAGATATTCTCAGACGCACACGATAGCTTAATTGGCTATCTTTGTGCAGCTTTGATTGCCAAAAACTATCTTGTCTCGATGGCATCGTCAAATCACCGACTCAGCCACTCATTGATGGCACCATCTTATTCCATGACTCAATTTCCGTTCATTAGTAATCATAACAGCATTTACAATACCAACAGCAATCTATCGAAGCTGGACAGCGTTCCTGAAAAGGCAAGGGCGACGCTTGGGATTGCATTACCGACCAATCCAGGCAACAGCAGAATGAATATTCCTAGCCAGTCAATGAATGCTCGAAGCTTGGAGCTTCAAAAGGGTCTTGATCGGATAGTCGATAAGTTACTATTCACAATCTGTGGACGACAAGATGAGACCTTGAAAGCGGCTGTGACTGTGTTGACGCAGGTTCTCGAACCAAACGCTTGAATACGCTCTTTCACCCATTTCCTTCGTTTTGCATGCTCTATCTATCATTCTCTACTTGGTTTTTGTTTCTTTTCATTTATCTGATACCACTCACTGTTTTTATTTCTTGCCTAGTTGACCTACAAACTTTTTCTTCTCTTACAATCCACTCTCATATCTCTTTCCTTTCTTGTACTGAATGAACTTTTGTGATGACTTTTTCATATTTATTTGTTTTTCTCAAGTCTGTTTGACTTCGCTTCCCTATTCGCATTACAAGTAATGTTTATCACTTGATTCCCTCATTGCTCTTTCAAATACTGTGCTCCCCAAATAATTCCTCTCTCTTTTTCTTTCATTTTATCTTTTCTCAACTGGTTGAATATATCCGAAAAGTGCGGAGCTAGTATCTAGCCTTGTTCTCTTCCCTTTAACTTCACCTCTTGCATTAGTAGCGATCAGTCTGATATTCATTTCAATTTGCTTGTTTCTCTTTTTGCGCTCATTGATGTATGCATGCAATTGTCTGGCATATTAGTACGCATTTTAGTATATCATGCTTATCTCTCTGATAATTCTATCAAGCATCCTTCCAGCCAAGTAAGAAACTAAGCATCCATGTGCATCTAACTACATTATTATTAATGCATGCTCAGGGATTTGCTTAATCGGCAAACAAAACTGGCTTGTCCGCCGGTCCGCGGCGAACAATGCGCTATCCCTACCTGGGCCTAGCGTGTGTAATTTCATATCAATCCGGATGCCGAAACTCCATGCCAGAATTATTCGTGTTATCAATCCTGATTCTTCCCTCCCGACTCAGACTAACACAACCCGACATTTGTCTCTAGCACAGTCTGTCGGGCTTTTGTCTATACATATTCAATTGGCCATGGCCGCGTCATCGACTCGATTGCGATGCTTATATGCGACGTCCGCGCCCTGGAAAAGATCACCCTCTCAATCATTCAGCAACCTATCTCGCCACTATGCTACTACCACCAACTCGGATCCTTCTGCCTCAACAACGACGACAGCCGCATCGGATGGGAATGTAGCACCTCGACCTCGAAGGACAACTACATTCAAAGATAAACTCAATGCCGGGCCATCATTCGCTGATTTTGTCAGCGGCGGCGGAAATGCAGAGGCATATGCGCTCGACACCGTCATGGTTGGACCTGCAGGACGTAAGAGAGAACACACTCGTCTACCCTCGTGGTTGAAGACACCTATCCCCGATTCCGAGAACTTCAAACGCATCAAGAAGGACCTCCGAGGATTGGATTTGCATACAGTTTGTGAAGAAGCTCGGTGCCCGAATATCTCAGATTGTTGGGGAGGCAGTAGCAAGTCCGCAGCAACAGCGACTATTATGCTGATGGGTGACACATGTACACGAGGATGCCGGTTTTGCAGTGTTAAAACCAATCGAGCTCCTGCGCCACTGGATCCTCACGAGCCTGAAAATACCGCTGAAGCTCTACGACGCTGGGGTCTTGGGTACGTGGTGCTTACCAGCGTTGATCGCGATGATCTCGCGGACGGTGGAGCACGGCATTTTGCAGACACAGTTATGAAGATCAAACAAAAGGCACCTAATATCCTTGTTGAGTGTCTCACGGGCGATTTCGCCGGCGACCTTGAGATGGTATCTCTCGTAGCGCGCTCCGGTCTCGACGTCTACGCACACAACGTCGAAACCGTGGAAGCGCTCACACCTGAAGTCCGCGACCGTCGAGCCACTTTCCAGCAATCCCTCCGTGTTCTCGAGGCTGCCAAACGCGCAAACCCGTCCCTCATCACCAAGACCTCCATGATGCTGGGTTTCGGCGAAAGTGAGGCTCAGATGTGGGATGCTCTCCGCCAACTCCGCGCTTCCAATGTGGATGTGGTCACGTTTGGACAATACATGCGCCCGACAAAGAGGCATATGAAAGTACACGAATATGTCACGCCGGATAAATTTGAGCTGTGGAGACAGCGTGCACTAGATATGGGATTCTTGTATTGCGCTTCGGGGCCGTTGGTGAGGAGTAGTTACAAGGCTGGAGAGGCGTTTATTGAGAATGTGTTGAAGAAGAGGAGGGGTATGACAACTAATACTGATGCTTCTTCAACTGTTGCTTCTTCGCCGGATATAGCAACGGACGCTCTCAACCATTAATTTAAATAGATATTATTAATCATGGGGTTTTTGGGGACTTGGGGACACTTACCTGTTATCATTTATTGGAGTTTCATATTTTATTTTGTTGAAATGTCAAATTTCACTCTTTGCAGATATTTCATCTCCTTAGCTGATTTCAATGAAATAATAAGTGATATGAGTGACTAGGAATTATTGTAGTCCAAAAGATAAAAACGCAGAAATTGATACATGAAATATATATATCATTAAATATCATTATATATTTAAGAATCTCATCCCTCGCTTCATTACATGTCGTGTTTTTTCAATTCCTGAATGAGAAAGTATATACAGGTATTTGTCGTGTATATATCCCTGTTTTCTTCCTTTTCTCTCTGTAATCTTTTTTTTTTTAAGATTTTGTGTTATATTTTGCACATTGAGATATCCAAATCTTGCCAATATGGCTTAATAGGTCGATTCCAGCTCTTTAATCTCCTCATCCCCCAATCCCAACAAATATAGTATATCTGTCAGACGTTCCCCATTCAGACGTGTAGGCGCCTCTAATTGCACTTTGCTCTTTGCGCGCCATGCAATGCCCAGCTCGGCCTCGTGGAGCATGGGGAGATCATTCGCCCCGTCGCCAACGGCGATGGTCTGTGTGAGCGGGATATTGTTGTCCGCTGCGAGTCTGCGGAGGAGTGTCCTTTTTTGCTGCGCATCAATGATGGGTTTGGATTCTACTAAGTCGCCAGTTAGGGTTTTTGTGGATTCGTCAACTGCGAGCTGTAAATCTTTTGTCAGTATGTATGCTTTATAATTCTTCTTCAAGAGAAATCGGACGTACATGGTTGGCAAAGGCATAATCTAGGCCAAGTTCGTTGGCAAGCCATTCAGCCAACGGTTGGAAACCTCCACTGAGAACTGCCATCTTAAAGCCCAGCGCTTTGAGTGCCTTACACAGCTCACGGGCTCCAGGGGAAATAGTGACGATTTTTTGCAGCTTGTCAAATACATCGGCAGGAACTCCTTTCAAAAGGCTAACTCGCGCTTTCAGAGATGCGGTGAAATCAAGTTCGCCATTCATTGCTCGCTCGGTGATTGCCTGATTCTATTTAGTATTTGACCCACAGAATGGGAAACGGGGATTCACGCACCGAAACTTCCTTTTCGACACCGATAAACTTGGCAATTTCGTCAATTGTCTCGTTTTGAATCAGTGTACTGTCCATGTCGAATACCACTAGGCGCTTATACCGCCTAAAGATACTTTCTTTCTGCAAGACAACTTCCACATTCCATTCTCGCTCAAAACGCCATATATTTTCATGCTTGCGCAAATCGCCAAATGACAAATATTCCGGGTTGGGTAGAGGAGAAAGTGTCACTTCCACGACTCGAGGCTGGTCGTCCTGATCTAGACAGCGGTGCGATGTGTTCATACGCTGGTATGGAGTATGCAAGCTTTCCAAGATTTGCAAGAAGTGGGTGAGGCATAGCTGCGAGACAAAGGGCCCGTATAGGTGATCTAATGGTTCTGGTTCCGGTGCTGGGGGCTCTCGAGGCAGCTTCTCGATATCAACGGTTGGAGCAGAGCCCACGGGCACTACTGGAGAGGGCAAGACGCCGCCCTCGGCACTGAATGAGTTGGCATGATGATGAGGACTGCCTGATTTATAAAAGATGGTTGCCACAAGCTTCGTAGTACCAGCAGGCAGCGGATTCGGGGACTTGGGGAAAATGCTGTGTACAATGCCGCTCTCGGTCACCTTCTCGGGATCGGGGCTAATGGGGTTCGCATTGTGGAATGTATTGTCGCCCGCAGTCAGCAGAACATCAGTAATATTCTGCGTTATTGGCGGGGTGGGCTTGTATTGCTGATGGTCTTGAATGAAGGAACCGCCCTTCAAAGAGCTGTGTCGCAGTACTGGCCTCTCAGAGCGCATGGCGAGTTTGGTGGTATCGGCCATCGTGAATATGCACGAAAGAGCAATTGCCAAAGATATTTAAATTTCCCCGCCACCGGGTGGACTTGCACCGAAACCGGGGCTCTTGGTGTGCAAGAGAAAAGGGAGCAGTAGGAGATTTATGTACAAGAGAGGTAAACATGGAGAGGTCGGAAATTATTCCTACGTCTACGTTCTTTGCAAGTCAGGCGGACGATGCCACGTGACGGCGGGGACTGGGTTAACCGTTAGTCCTGCCCTGGTTTCAATCTTCCAAGTTCCAGTTCTAGTTCCCCCGCTGCTTGACGATGCGTTATTGGCCGGAATTCCAGCCTCGAGTGACTAATATTCTATTTGAGGTTGCTCGGATCCTCTACTGTTCAGTGCACACTGCCCCGACAAGAAACAGCCGAGCGTTCTTGAAGGGACGCTCTCTTCAAAAATGCATATGACGTCAAAGTAAAATAAAACCAATTGCTGTCACTCCGCTCCTTACGGATTCTTTGCAATGGCTTCAGAACTACCTGTCTGCGTACGTAGTTGGTAGCATGCATAGAGAGTCCCGGGTACGTCGTCGTACGTCGTCATCCAGCCCAATCGCAAATTCCGGAACCAAATGACCCTGTGAAGATATAGTCAAAGCTTAAAAAGAAATAAAAGGAAGCAAAAGTGGCGGCGGGGCGCAGGCTGCAACTTGGAGGCCGAAGTTTGCTCTGTTTGACACACAGTCACATGACCTGTTAACCCTACCCTGGATACGATCACGTGCTATTAGGGCTAGCGGCCGCATTACGGCGGTCGAAATAGTCCACAGACGCAACTATTGCGTGATTGTAGTCTGTTCCGAGCTTCCCGAAAATGGAAGGCGTCTGCTATGGCGTGCTCAGAATTTCCTTTTTGGGACATCGTGATGGCCCACTAGGCAAAGGCTGAAAGGCTGCGGTGATGATACCCTTGCTTAATAATTTTGATCTGAGGATTTCGCCATGCCTCTGTCATTCTCTCTTCCCCCGGTTTCTGCGGCTGACAAAGTCTACGCTCTCTCCTTGACACCGCAATTCATACAAAAAAGTGAACTGTCCTCGTTCGTATCTGCTTCGACTTGAGCAAACCCCCCCCCCAACGTTATTCCATTACTCGGTGTACATACATCCCTTCACAATGCCTGCCAAAGTGCCCTCCCACTACCCTGTGGACGAGACCGAGTCTGGCTATGCCAGTGCTTCATCCAGTGAAGCCAGCCTGCCTGAGGTCATCTTCACCAAGGCCCACCTTCAGTTTCTGAACCGACAGCTGCAGTTTCTTGAGCCTCAGGGTGTGTTGTTCTCCCCAATATTATTATAGCTACGTACTGACCCTCCACGTTCAGATGTCTTGAGATGGTGCATCACTACTCTCCCCAACCTTTACCAGACCACAGCCTTCGGTCTCACAGGCCTAGCTATCACCGATATGCTGTCCAAACTTAATGTTCCTCGCCCCCAAGTGGTCGACCTGATCTTTTTGGATACTCTACATCACTTCAAGGAGACTCTTTCTCTTGTGGATCGTGTCCGTCAACGCTACCCTAACATCAACATCCATGTGTACAAGCCTCTTGGCGCCGAGACAGAAGAAGAATTCGCGAAGAAATATGGCGAACGCCTTTGGGAAACGGACGATGAGCGATACGACTGGCTTGCCAAAGTCGAGACTGCTCAGCGTGCGTACCGCGAACTCAAAGTCGATGCAGTCTTAACGGGTCGCCGACGAAGCCAGGGTGGCAAGCGAGGCGATTTGGATGTCCTTGAGATCGACGAGGCTGGCCTCATCAAAGTCAACCCATTGGCCAACTGGACTTTCGACCAGGTCCGCCAGTACGTCAAGGAGAACGACGTACCGTACAATGAGCTCCTTGACAAAGGCTACAAGAGCATTGGCGACTATCATTCGACCAAGCCCGTCAAAGCAAATGAGGATGAGCGATCAGGTCGTTGGCAGGGCCAGGCCAAGACCGAGTGTGGCATCCACAACCCGCGGTCGAAGTATGCTCAATATCTGCAAGAGATGGAGCGCAAGCGACAGGAAGAAGTTATTGCACAGGCATTTGAGAAGGCTCAGGTGACGACAAGTGAAGCCTGAACGAAAAGTATATCTTTTACGAGCATATTCATGACGGCGTTATCTGAGCGGTATTTGGCATGGTCTCTGTTTACAGATGATTTTTTTCCCCTTCGATATATATATGTACATACTTGACACGACAGCATAAATGCATTTTTTGACTTGATTACGTATCATATAATCCATAAGTCTATTAAGTTTGTTTGTGAATCTATAAAGGGTAATTTTGATCCTGTAATAACCCCCCGCCTCTCTGTAGAATCTTGGCAGGAACCCCATATATTCCGGCCAATCAGATGCAGTCACAGAACTCTCTCTCAGAATCACGCAAGCCGCCAAGGCGATGTCGTGATTGAATTCCATGTCTGAATCGGACAGGCTTAAACTACTCTAGGCAGGTGGGGATCTTCTGTCATCTTACGCTTGTCCTGTTGAGGACTAGTGCGGGACCACGCAGTACATTTTTTAAAATACATTATTACATTCCATTACATTCCCTACATTGGAACACCACCCATCTTCTGTATATAATATGGTAGTGCATCTTGATCGCCCGTTCAAGGCACATTTCTGTCCGTATGTAACTAGGGCACGGGGCTAAAATAAAAGTACTCTAGTCAATCAACTGACATAGTGAAGTAGCAACTATATACTATATATCTTATCTGTAATAGATTAGATCATCAGCCAATAAAATCTAACTATTTCACGTGCCCCCGGCCGATCATCGAATAATACGGCCAACGGCGCAGTCCTAGACCCATCGGTAACGTAATATCATACGTACCGCAATGTTTCCTCTTAATAATCCCTCGAGCTTTTCTTCCCAAGAGCTCTCTCCCTCTCTGAATGTTTCATTCTTCTTGCAATACATCTGCAGAGCTTCTTGTCTTTGTCTTCCCTTCTTGATCTCCATTGCTCTGCTGTTCAGAAGAAGCACAAGTACTCTCTCAGAGATGGCCAACAAACCCCATGGCGGTGTCCTGAAGGACCTGATTGCCCGCGATGCTCCTCGACATGACGAGTTGGAGGCTGAAGCTGCCACATTGCCCGCCATTGTGCTTACCGAGCGCCAATTGTGCGATTTGGAGTTGATTATGAACGGCGGTTTCAGTCCTTTGGAAGGTATGCTTATGTTGTTTTCTCTTCATTGTTCAAGCGAAGGAGAATGTTGGCTGACGGTTTCTTTTTGAATGCAGGTTTCATGAATGAGAAGGACTACGACGGGTATGTATTATACACATACGCATATTTACTCATTATTTAAAAAATTTATTTGATTTGATTGTCTGACTTAAGCTGTCTCATAGAGTTGTTGCCGATTCTCGTCTTGCCGACGGCCATTTATTCTCCATGCCCATCACTCTCGATGCTTCGGGCGAAACCGTCAAAGAGCTTGGCTTGAAGCCTGGAGCTCGTGTCACATTGCGCGACTTCCGTGACGACCGCAATCTCGCCATCCTGACCATCGATGATGTTTACCGTCCTGACAAGTAAGCCTCTCTGCTTTACCGCTACACGCTTGGTTTTTGCGCCCAACAGTGCATATTAATTGTCTATTACAGGACGAAAGAAGCGAAGCTTGTCTTTGGCGGTGACGAGGAGCACCCCGCAATCAAGTATTTGAACACCAAGGTCCATGAATTTTACATTGGAGGAAAGGTGGAGGCTGTGAACAAGCTCAACCATTACGACTATGTTGCTCTACGATGTGAGTTTGCGGCTTAACTTCAGGAAGGATACCTATAAACTAAACAAATCAGACACCCCCGCTGAATTGCGTGTTCACTTTGATAAGCTCGGCTGGACCCGAGTTGTCGCTTTCCAGACAAGGTGAGTTCTACTTTTTAAACGTTGAGGAAAGAGACAAACTGATCAGTGGATAAGAAACCCTATGCACCGTGCTCACCGTGAGTTGACCGTCCGCGCTGCCCGTGCTCGCCAAGCCAATGTCCTCATTCACCCTGTTGTTGGTCTCACCAAACCCGGTGACATCGATCACTTCACCCGTGTCCGCGTCTACCAGTCTCTTCTGCCTCGTTATCCCAATGGCATGGCTGTTCTTGGTCTTCTTCCTTTGGCCATGCGCATGGGTGGTCCTCGCGAAGCTATTTGGCACGCCATTATCCGTAAGAACCACGGTGCAACGCACTTCATTGTGGGACGTGACCATGCCGGTCCAGGAAAGAACTCCAAGGGCGTTGAATTCTACGGTCCTTATGATGCTCAGCATGCTGTTGAGAAGTACAGAGAAGAGCTCGGAATTGAGGTAGTCGAGTTTCAGCAGGTTACCTATCTGCCGGATACGGACGAGTACAAGCCTGTTGACGAAGTGCCTGCTGGTACAAAGACTCTTGATATCTCCGGCACCGAGCTTCGGAAACGTCTCCGTACAGGTGCGCACATCCCAGAATGGTTCTCGTACCCAGAAGTCATCAAGGTCCTGCGCCAGTCCAACCCTCCTCGTGCCTCTCAAGGCTTCACAATCTTCCTCACTGGTTACCAAAACTCAGGCAAGGACGCTATCGCCCGTGCTCTGCAGGTATCTTTGAACGAGCAAGGTGGACGCTCAGTCTCATTGTTATTGGGAGAGACAGTCCGTCACGAGCTCTCGGCAGAACTGGGCTTCAGCCGGGAAGATCGACACAAGAACATTCAACGCATCGCATTTGTCGCTGCCGAACTGACAAAGGCCGGTGCTGCCGTCATTGCGGCCCCAATTGCACCTTACGAGGAGTCTCGGCAGTTAGCCCGTGAGACCATCTCGCAACATGGAACCTTCATTCTTGTGCACGTAGCCACGCCGCTTGAATACTGCGAGAAGACGGATAAGCGTGGAATCTACGCTCAGGCTCGACGAGGCGAAATCAAGGGTTTCACTGGTGTCGACGACCCATATGAGGCCCCTGCCAAGGCTGATCTTGTTGTGGACTTTGAGAAGCAGAGTGTGCGCAGCATTGTGCATGAGATTATCTTGATCCTTGAGAGCCAGGGATTCCTTGATCGGTCGTAAAAAGGATAATATATAAAGAGATTTCAAACGATGGGATAGGGTATTGAATTTGATTGGCATGAACATGTACATTTGACGTTATGATTAGTTACCACCAGGGCTATAGCCGTATGATAGAGGTGTCCTTTAATGCAGTTCTTTGATATCGTTCTCATGATCGTGGGGTATGCGGGGAGGATGTCGGAGTTTTATCCGACCTCGCGCAACTTCCCGTAGCACAAGTTCTCGACGATCGATTGAGGCCGTGGCATATTTGTATATTCAGACTTCAACTTCAACGCGCATAGTGCCGAAGGAATATAGACAATAGCCATGTCTCAAGCCCTCCACCACATCGCTCAAACCGGCTTCTCAGATGCCTCAGCCTACGACAAACACCGGCCCACCTACACCGCGCACGAGACAGAACTAATCCTGACGCGCACATTATCAAGCCCTGGGGAAGGAAACCGGAAGGTCGTAGACCTTGCCGCCGGCACAGGTCTTTTCACAGAGGCTCTTGTCGCAGCGAGACCGAAAGAAGAAGGAGAAGCTGGGTTCTACGAGATTGTGGCTGTTGAGCCGCATGATGATATGAGGAAGGAATTGGAGAACAAGGCATTGCCTGGTGTGAAAGTGGTGAAAGGATGGGCATCCGAATTGCCCATGGAGAGTGGTAGTGTAGATGTGGTATTTGCGACGCAGGTAACCTATTTCTTACCTCGGATGGATATCAATATCATTATGTTAATGAGATTGTTTCATTATGTACAGGCATTCCATTGGTTCGTCTTCACGCCGTAGTACGATCTTCATGTACGTATGAATTGACATAACTATCGTTCAATAGGTTCGCCAATCTTGAATCCCTGAGAGAAATCCGCCGCGTGCTCAAGCCAAACGGGTATTTGGCACTGATCTGGCACGTTGATGCCTGTAAGTTGTCTCTCTAACTTCATAGAAGACTATTTGCTTCACTCTCAAGAAGGAGAGATTCTAACTGCGCATTGATGACAAGGGAACGGATACCGAAACGACCCTGTCCCGAGCGACTGGGAAGGAGTCATCAAAACGCACATCTGGCTTAATGACGACAATGTCCCCCGTTTTCGCCACGGGAAATGGAAAGATGTCTTTGACGAAAAGGAACAGACGTATTTCGAGACACCGCTTCAGGAGGAGAAGGAGTACAATACGCAGTGGCTTTCTGTGGAGGTTATTTGGGCAAGGTTGAATACATATAGCATGTTTTCAACGGCAACGGAAGATTTTTTAAAGGTTTGCCTTACCTTCTCTGCTGTTTAATTTGCCTATCATTTGGTCACGACTAATAGAGCTTCATAGGAATTCAAAGAAAAGTTTGATAAAGCTCTCAACGATGCACCCAGGAACGAGGCTGGCGAGGTAGCTGTTCATGGAGGAACACAGTATTTCTGGGCCAAGGCGCTGTAATTGACCGATGTAATAGAAATGCTTTATATTGACCACGTCATTTATGAAGTTACTTTATCCAGGAATGTTGCAGACAGCAGTTAGGGTTAGGGTATGTTAGACAAACAGTACAAACACATGACCTCGACATCGACGACCGCATTCATTTCTTTCCGCAACTACAATATCCAAGAAACAGAGCAATGCTGTCTCATCAAATAGTAGCGGGGCGCATGCCTCGTTACTCACGCCTACGACACCCATTACTTCTACCGAGGGTAACTCACCAAAGTCCCCGACCCCGACCGTTCACGAATCAAACCCAACAGTCCTTCGTATCTCCCTCGCCGCTCCGTCCTCAACTGCCATTCCTCTCGCAAACCCAGGGCAGACTACCGCTCGCCATCCATCTCCGACAGCATTTCACAAGACTAATATCCACCTCACGCTCAGGCAAATACAAACGCGGAATTTACCGGGGACTGAAGATTTCAATTTCTCTCTATGTTATGCTCTGGATGCTGCATTTGATTAAGACGGGCGTACATCAAGAAGAGATCGAACATAAATGGCCCACGCCGCCAGAATGGGGCTGGAAGAGTCGATGGGATTTGCGTTCTGCGACTGCGCTACAGCACCCCGAGGATATTGGGCAGGTGACTGTGCAATGGCAGAATGTCTATGGGTATTTGAAAGACCTGCTAGAACGCCTGGAAGACCCGAAAAGCGAAGGTCAGGGAATAAAAGACCAAGCTGATGGTGGGATATTGATCGATGGTGTCGGGAAAGTCGGATACGATGTGTCGATGAAAAGCGAACCGTGGAGAAGAGGATATTTCCAATGTTTGATGGACTCGGCAAAGGCGGCGGAGAATTTAGATGGCTATATGACGGATTGGAAACAGCGCGTGACCGCTCAGGCTGAATATGTTCATGGACCGTCTAATCCGAATGCGAAGACGTTGCCGGGCCGGACGAATATTGTGATGCGCGAGGAGGACTGCACGCCTTCAGCGCCACCCCCGGAGGTCTTTTATATGAAAATATTGACGACGACAGGATTCACTGCGAGACAAAAGATTGATGCGGCCCTTGCGTATGCCGATTGGTTGAATTACAAGGGATTAGGAAGCACAGCGAGAGAGATGTATTCATGGGCGATGGATATTGCTACATCAGGAGAACTGCCATATGACGCTTCTAGCGTCGTGGATACGAAGACGGGTATTCTGAAAAACAACGGCAAGGATATTGCCTCGGAAAACATCATGCGAGTATCCACTGCTTTAGGCGTGCACAATGTGAAGGCGGGAGATCTTACCACTGCATTGTCGATATTTACTTCCGTTCTAAAGGCGCGTCGCAGCTTACCAGAACAAGCAACGTCTCAGAAAGAGAATCGGCCGGTAGACTCGCGTGGCAGAGTGCCATTTGACGATTTATTCGAGAAAGTACGAATCATGTTCGTGCCTCCTGTCTATCCAGAAGCACCGCCAGATGGGAATCAACCACCAGTGCGAAGCATTGGCTCACCATGCGAAGAAGCAGGGTTGATGACATACATAGGCGAGATTTTATATGCTTCATCCTCAAAAGAAAATGGCCTAGCCTGGACCCGTGACGCCGTCGACATCGCCGAGTTGGCGTTGCTAGATCTTAACAGCGGCGGCCACAACAATAGAAATGAAGCAGAGCCACGCGGCCGATGTTCGCAATGCCTCAAGGTCAGCCTTGGAAATTGGCGCACGATGGTTAGCAATCTAGTCAGCGAGGCAGTGCAGGCGGAGCGAGCTGCTCTGGCCGAAGACAAGGCGTGGTATCAGTTTAGCGGCAGCGTGAAGAAAGCCGCCGAGAAGAAGACTATGGAACGGAAACGATGGCAGGCAGAGCAGATGATTATTGAAGATCGCGCCAATCGTTTGTTACGGTTGACGAATGATTACACACTGTATCAGCCGTCGGGTTTTGGGACTTCTATGTTTTGAAATTCTCCCTCTTTGTTGGCTGGTGTTGTGGCGCTTTGGTGTATATGATGTCGTCGTGGCATGGATTTGGTCAAGTACTTGTACAGTATATATTCTTTCAGAACAAATAATTCGTTAACCATTTCTACGAAGACGAAACATGCAACGCCAAAGCTGCTGGGACGGCGTTACTAAGCTAGTTGGCGGAAGCCCTTCTGACCTGATAGCAGAGCTTACGGACCCAAGTCGCGCCAAGCCTCTAGATGATTGGTTACTCTTCATTATATCACGTGTATTTATTCACGTGATAGTTTCCGTTGGCCGGCTGGAACGTTGGATATCAAGCAAAATGGCGTTGGAATGTTGGAACGGTTTGCCGTAATATGCAACATTGTTGAGGGCGCGATAGATATGACTGCCTTGCATCTTTTCAGCACCGGGGTGGTTCACTAGCTAGAGCCTGATAGGCTCTTAGAACTCCCGCATAGCCTGTGCATCATCACGGAGCTTTCGGTAGACCTTGCCAATGGAGTGTTCGAAAGGTTGTGCCATAACGCCTTCCAGATTGAGTAGGACCAAGAAGGTGGTTTGTCACCGAGTTTCGTCAAGGTAGTTAAGCAAAATCTACTCAAGTTAGTACTAGTTAGTTAGCTATAAGATTGCTTGCTAATTATGCATTATTTAAGTTACCCCGTCGACGGATTACGAACGGTTACCACAATATGCTGCGAAACACCGTAGAATAGACTGCCGAATACACAGTCAATACTACTATGAATCTGTAATTTAGGCTTGCACTTCCGCGCATGAAATCGGAGATTCAACCCCTGTATATACCTGCGATGTAGCAATTATAATAGATTCTATATAGTATCTTTATACCACCGCATTATTATATATATGGGAAATCAACAGTATATAATTAGAAAGACGTGGTCGTCGTATTTACAAGAAATTTGTATATAAAGCTAGCACTGGCCTTTTGTTACCGAGAATTCCTCATCTGTCGAGTCCTGGACAGCTTCTCATCAATCTATCAAAGAAGGCCACATCAGCGCCCTGGAAGGCCCAGTCTTGAAAGTCGGCTGTGATGGTGGGAAGTTCCAAGTGCGACTGCAGTGTGGTGTCTTTATCTAGGCCCAAGCGGTATTGGGGCACAGACTGCTGTTCTTCCCTGGATGCTTCCAGTTGCCCGTTCAGCTCTTCCGGTCCCAGGAGCTCTCCCAAAAACGGTGGGTTTTGAGGCACGCCGTGCAGATGGATCAGCGGCTCCTGGGAATCCGTAGATGATACATGAGGTACGGACGCAAAGGCGTCGTTGGGCGTAGCACGGGTTGACGAATCCACGTACGTAAACTCGGTCTGAGGTGTATTATATAGTTGAGATAAAGCGCTCTGTTGCAAGGGCTCCCGAGAGATAGGTCCCTGGCGAGTGATCTTGATGGTGCCGAGGTATGGGATGAGCAAACGCAGTTCTCCACAACCCTTTTCTGCAGAGTCCTGTACATCACCGTCGTGCGTTTCGACGCTACTGGCAGTGTAGCTGCTTCCATTTGCTGCATCGGCCTCGATCTCGAGTAATTTTCGGATCAGTTTACCACTGTCTTCCATGACGGCATCCTTGTTATCGTCTCTCATCACGTCCATTCTCTCCAAGGCTTGATTTAGCATAGCACGATCGCTAAGACGCTGATGGGCCAGGAAATTGGTCGCATTCCGATGATAATGAGAATCGAGGTGAGCAAGTGAAAGTGTCATCGCAGCTAAAAGAGCAAAAAAGTCTACTGGTCGTGAGCAGGAGGACTTAGGTTGAAAGCTTCGGTGAGCAATGAAGCGTGTCATAATCTCCCGGCTCGCGTTGACGCACGTAATCTTGGAATATTCGTGCTCGGTATCATTACTAATTCCGTGCATCATGTATGGTAGATGGAGCTGGATCAGCAACCCGTAGTAGTAGACCTGGGCTCCCAGCCGTACTGCTTCCAAGAGGTTGTCGGGCGATCCTACCATCATGTTCTGGAAATTCGCCGGACGCCAAAAGCTTGCCGGCATATTTTTAGACACTCTCAGTAGCTCTGCATCAATAGACTGGGTTGAGGTGATCTCGCTCGTAGTAAAGGCACGCTCATCACGTTCTAGTATGTACGATGCTATGACGGTGAGTTGCCGCTCGAATTGCCCTAGTGGAGGATCATGCCCTGAAGCCGATGACGCTGCTATGCTCTTATCAGTTGTTCCCTGGGGTAGACCGAGCAGTAAGCTGAGATAACGGTCCATATAGACAATGCGGAACCACATAAACTCTGGGTCAGCATCAAGCGTAGGGTCGATGCGCTTTAGGGGAGGGATAGGCGAGCGGTGCAGGCCCATCGTTTGTGCAATTGTCAGTGCCCTGCGATAGATGACCCACGCCTTTCGAAGATTGTCGCAGTTGGTTTCATAGACAGCCTCGAGAATGATGCAAAGCAGGCTCTCGACAGAGCTGTGCGTCTCCTCCTGGTCCCTCAACCATGTCACAGCAGCCGCAACCAAGCGACGGCTGAGGATGCTCGGTTGCTCCGAGAGGCCGATAAACTCCTCACATGGAGCCTGTAGAGTGATGGCAAAAATGAGCATACACTTGGCGAGAAGGATGGGATGAGTGTTGGAATCAGGACATTTCGCTGAAGGGTATGGCGCCCCGAGCGCCTCGTAAGTCAATTTGCTATGCGGCTGGGTGTTGACCATGTAGGTATAACGTGAAGTTCTCGGGCTCTCCTGAAGCAGAATTTTGACGTCGTCGTCGGCTGGAAAGGCTGCCCATAAGGGATGAAGGGCTGTGGTTTCAGCCTCAGCTCGATCAGACACAGCTGGCGAGTCTGAGCTAAGCAGTGCTGAGTGTAGAGAGTGTTCTTCAAGCGTCTAAGTAACGGGTTAAAGAACAGCTTGTGTAATAAACGGGGCGGTCGAGTTCCACTCACTCTTGCAGGGGTGGGAGGAGCTCGCACTGACGAGGGCGTCAAATCTGAGGAATAAGCTTTGAGAGTACTAGAGTGTCCCCTTTGCTGTAATTCTTCTTCGACTTGGCTCGCGGCTCCGATATCCTTGGTAGCAAGCAAAGCTTTCATAGCATCTTCCACTCTTGCGATGCGATCACCGAGACCGCGATTACCCTTTTTGGGCAGCGCCAAAAACTCTGGTATCTCCTGGCCAATGCAGGGCACCCGTCGGCGTTGACAGCAGAGACATGGGGCCTCTCCAGACGCTGGGAAAATGCACCTAATCTTCCGTCGCTTGCATTCCCAGCAAGACCGCGTCCCCTTGCGCACCTTTCTTGGATTATCAGCTAATGACTCTAGGTTCGGCGTTCCCATGGCCGGTCCTCCGTCCCAGTCACTGAGCCTGATCGACTGTCTCTGGCGAGGAATGTCTGTGTAGTTATGTAGCGCTCCGACACGGCGGAGAGAATGGTGAAGTGAGGTGTTGAAGCGATTCTTGGAGTTGGCGACGTCTTCCTCCGCCGTCGCGGGCGAAGCCAACGGGCCTAAATTTGTCAGCTTCACATCCGACTCGGCGGACCAACGTGCCTTTACCATCTAACCCCTTATTCCTAGACCTCATAAAATCGCAATATTTCTTCTTCGATATAGCTTTCTTCAGATTCGATTCATTTACTTACGTCACTACTTCACGTGTTATCTGCGGTCGACCTGGTTCGCTGCAATATCCAGCAAAATGGTCTCCCTGATCGAAGCCAACGAGAAGAGAGAGACAGCAAGTGACAGCACCAACACCGTAGTCGCTCCGAAGCCTGAAGTTACAAAGCCGGCGGGACCTCCACCTCCTCCTAATGGCGGACTCACAGCATGGCTTCAGGTTGCTGGAGGCTTCGTGATCTTCTTCAATACCTGGGGGATGATCAACACATTTGCTGTCTTCCAGACCTATTACGAGTCGGGCGCACTCTTCACCGAGTCTTCCTCCAATATCTCCTGGATCGGCTCAATTCAGTGCTTCCTACTTCAGCTGACCGGCATCGTTGCTGGACCTATATACGATCGAGGCTACCTCCGCCTACTCCTTCTTACTGGAAGCTTTATGATCGTTTTTGGTTACATGATGCTCTCCCTATGTCACGAGTACTGGGAGGCGATGCTAGCACAGGCTATCTGCGTTGGTATTGGTAGTGGTCTACTTTTCACGCCCACTGTTTCGCTACTTCCAACATGGTTCAGCTCGCACATCGGCCTGGCCGTTGGCATTGCATCTTCTGGTTCATCGCTAGGTGGCGTCATATACCCGATCGTGCTCTATCGACTCATCGGGCCGATCGGCTTTCCTTGGGCTGTACGAACCGTAGCCTTTATCGCCCTCGGGATCTTTGTTGTCCCAGTAATTGTGATGAAACAGCGCATTAGACCACCCAAGCCTCGCGCCTTCATCGACTGGACGGCATTCACTGATGTGCCCTACATGGCGTTTGCATTGGCCGTCATGATTGTGTTTATCGGTAATTCCGTGCTTATCTTCTACGTCTCTTACTACCCGATCAATAAGGGCTTCACCGACAGCTCGCTGGGATTCTACATGGTTGCTATCTTTAACGCTGCGTCGGTCTTCGGGCGTATTGCACCCAACGCCGTATCTGACCGCATTGGTGTGTTCAATACGTTTGTGCCGATGGCGCTGATATTGAGCATCGTGGTCTTCTGTATGCTCGCTGTGACCAATACGGCAGGAATGGTTGTCGAGGCAATCTTCTCAGGCTTTTTCAGCGGGGTTATCGTTGCGTTGCCGCCTGTTTGCTTCGCCATGCTTACGAAGAACAAGGCTGTGATCGGTACACGTATTGGACAGGGCTTTGCGATTGGCGGCTTGGGTCTGTTGATTGGAGGACCGAGTGCTGGTGCCATTCTTGGAACAACCGGGTCCCTCAACTGGACTGGCCTCTGGGTCTACGGAGGTGTTACAGTTGCTGCCGCAGGATTTACCCTGATTGCCGTTCGCATCATGAAAGCAGGTCCCAAGTTGATGGTCAAGGTTTAGTGAGTGCTCAACATATGTTAGCACTTAGAGGATGGTACATTGCATAATATCTTGTACAAGTGCAAAAGTCGTGAGAAGTGAACAGAACATATTTCATATGTGTATATTATTTCCTAGTTAGGTAATAAATCAAGAATCTTAGGGCTGGACTCTGATGACCCCCAGTGGGTCTGAGCGACCGATTAGATAAGCTTCTTTGCACAACAGCCTCCGATCCTCATCCTCACTTCCACCGATTCATCCAACAATAACAGCAATCAACAATCCAGTTGTGATAATATGAACACACAGTGTTTCACGAACAAATAGGGAAACAGTCCAATGCACCTCCGGCCCTACCAGACGCAAGACTTGCTCGCTCTCGTCACCATCAAAGCAAACTGCGATTTGTCGGATCCGCTGGCACTGTTCTGTCGACGACTCAGTCCACGACTAGATCAGCAGCATCAAACAGAAGAGAAGTATGAAAAGCAATGGAGAGCAAATGTTAAATCTCTGCGCCGTTCGTTGGAGTTAGAGTTACTATTTGCAGGGACTGTTTGCTGGGTTGTTGTTTTGGATGACAACGACAATGATCGGACCCAGAATCCAAACCAGCGTCTCAGTAGTTATAGTGATAATGACACTGGGAATGGTAGAAAGGAGAGAATAGTTGGTTTCGCCATGTGGAGTCGTCATGGGTCTTCGTCCGAAGCACGGAAATGGAAGGCTGAGGGGAATAGATTATCAAGACGTATGGTCCTCTCCTTTGACTCGATATTTTTATTAGAAAAAAAGAAAGCATGAAGAAGATATTTAATATTAGGGGTAAACAGGAATAAAAGCACTCATCGCCTACATACACATGACAATAACATATCCGTTCGACAAAAGCATCAATCATACACGAATGGCAAAATTCCAGCAGCGAATTCGATCTAGCAGTCCGCAATCTCACCAACATAATACAAAGCCGCCAAAACCGGCAAAAGAAAGATGGGAACTAGAAGCTCTCTACATCCATCCTCGCTATCAGCGACGTGGGTACGGCTCTCTCGCACTACAATGGGGTATTGAGACGGCACGTAAGGAGAATGTCGAGATTTGGGTGTGGAGTACGCAGGCTGGGAAGCGGTTGTATTTGAGCGGCGGATTTGAGACTGTTGGCAGGATTGGGTTTGAAGATTTGGTTGATATGAGTCTTGACGATCGACAGAGACCGCAGCAGCGCCAGCAGGAAGAGAGACAAGTAGAAGGGGCGGCGGTTTGGGCTATGATTTGGAAGGGTCCTTGAAAGACTAACGTGAAATGCGTAATATTTGATAATTAATATGTAATTTGTAATATGTATTCTAAAATCTAAATAACATGCTTATATATATTTATATATGTATCGAAGAATCAAATCAGCTTTCCGAACGGACGATAGGAAAGTGTCTAATTGGTATGACTAGGACGTCGAGATGCCGCTCGAGACACCGCTCTAGAGCCTGCAAACTCGTCGTCCTCGGGGAAAACAAACTTCGAACTCTCCCACGGCTTGATCCTGCGGACGTACATGGTATCGATCTCCTCCAATGTGCGATCCTTACCCTCGATGACAGTGAAGTAAACCAAGCCCGCCGCCAGGAACAGACAGCCTGCAAAGACATATCCAAATCGGAAGTCAATCGCACCTGTGATGAAAGGAGTGAAGAATGCCAGCAGAAAATTCCACAGCCAATTGGCCGCTGTAGCAATCGACATTGCGCGTGCTCGGAACTCGGAAGGGTACAGTTCGGCAATAATAGTCCAAACCATGGGGCCCCATGTTGAGGCAAACCCCAGAATAAAGAAGCAGGCAAAACAGACCATAGCAATGCCGGCAGATGGTGTATTAGCCGGGTTATTACGATCAAGCGAGAAATGGCCCACAGAGGCAAACACCATGAAACATATAAACATCCATAGGGCACCCGCAATCAGAGATTTACGACGACCGAAATGCTGGATATTGTAAAGACCGAGGAACGTAGTGCCAAAATTAACACCACCAAGGATCATTTGAGTCACAAACGAGTTTGAGATACCGGCACCTTCGAAAATCGTGGTGCCGTAATAGAAGAAGTAGTTGGCTCCAGTGAGCTGCTGAAGAGATTGCAGCAGCACTCCAACCAAGAGGCGGTATTTCATGCGTGGCGCACGGAGCATCATCATCCACGTGGTTTTGCCATGAGCACATTCTTCGACGTACTTTTGCCTGATCTCCTCGAATTCCTGGGCGAGAACACGATGATTTTGAGGGATGCCATAGATCTTTGCAAGGTTGGCAACTGCCTCGTCGGGTTTACCATGACGGTAGTCGAAACGTGGTGACTCCGGGAAGAACGAAATGCCAACCCCGAGGATAATAGCCCAGAGATACGTGATGCCCATAGGAATACGCCATGAGCCAGTGTCTGGCCTGGCCTCGGTGCCAAAATCGATGCAGTAGGCAACGAAAATTCCTAGGGTGACAAAAAGTTGATACATGCTAATTAGAGAACCACGAATATGTCGCGGACCGCTCTCACCCTGGTACATTGGTACCAAGAGGGAGAGTGCACCAACCCCGAGACCTGTAACTAAACGGCCGACAGCAACCTGATACCATTTCCCGAAAGGCGATGATATTTGTACCGTTAAGCCAACGCATAAGACGACACACCAAATAGAGATAGACCATTTTCTTCCGATCCAGTCCGCGATGGGGGCACCAGCCAGGGCACCAATCAATGTACCGATTGATAGCTATATAAGACAGACTTTGTCAGTCTACTACTAGTTCAGACACACAAATCGAATGAAGAGGAGAGTGAAAACGAACCAATCCAGTTATAAGTCCACTGCGCACATTGGTGAACTCATATGCTCCTTTAGCAGGATTCCATTGGCCAAAATTATACAAGAAATCCTTCGTTTGCAAGAAGCCGGAGATCTGGCCGGTGTCGTAACCGAAGACAAACCCTCCCATTGACACGAGAAGGCCCATCACCGCGGAACGCCATGTGAGCAAGGGGACAGGAGTGTCGATCAGCTCGGGGCCTTTCTCCGTGATGGCCTGAGGGAGATCGGCAGTAGTGATGTCAGGAGCATTATTGATCTGCTCCTGGTGCTCCTGTTCCACCTTGTCGTTGGACGAAGGCGTGAGATTCATTGTGCCTGAAGTGGACGGGATATGATGCGAACAACAGAGACTACTATCGTCTAGACATCCAAGGTGCGAAAACAACGCTCGCCGCACACTTCTAGATAGGAAGGGAAAAAGGTGTGGCAAAGAAGAAAAGAAAAAAAAAGGATGAAGAAAAACGCCTGGGATGAAGGCAGTTTTATAGCCTTTCACGTGCCTGCCATTTGCCCGTTGCCCACACGCTTCGGGTAAACCGGGGGATGCGCACCCCTGACGCCCCCGAATTTTTCTTCTCCAAACGCTGGGTGGAGAGCCATCTTCGTCATTTGATGGAGCCGGGGAAAAGCGATTCCTGGATATGGCAAGCAACGATGACGTGGAGAAGCGGCGGGTTGAGCAAATGACAGTCAGTTCCGGAGTTTACCCTGGCTCCCTGTGAACACGGGCAGGCCAGTTACGCGCTGCAGAGGGCTCGTCTTGACATCTCACAGGCCGAGAACTGTGAGGGCACATGTGGTCCGGCTTTCCGTCTCGGACATTTGATGGGTGAATGAAAAGCCGTCCAATCGGTTAATACTCGGGCGTCCTGAGGCCATGTTATACGGATATTTGTTATATTGTTCCCTTTCACCCCGCCCGATTTTCACCAGAGATTACCTCGTACGGCTTAAGGCGGAGGTGGACATGTAACCCCAATTGGCAATTGTGCAGCTTTTTATGCAGCGGGCTGAGCGATTGGCGGGCCGGGAGACATGTTGGGTGAGCCGAGATTCCCGCCGCCCGAAGGTATCCCGGTATCACACACCGTACAGAGGACAGAGAGCATCGGATGTTGAGTAAGCATAATAGTTAGCGCGAAACAAAAAGCTGGAGAAGACGACGAGAACTTGTTCGCCACCACCCCAGAGTGGGGCTGCGCTGCCTGCTTTTGTTGACCGAGTCTGGAACGGCCCCATTCCGTGCATCCGATTGGCTGCGCGGCTCGTGGCACGTCATGCTTCTACGCAGATATCAAAATGTACGCTCACAGAGCCAAGAGCACGGAATGTAACGATAGCAGCAATAATAGCAGTAGTATTATCTTGCGCATGGCATATCCTAGCTATACTGTACAGGAAAAGAAGGATGAGTCAAAAATCAGAGATCGGTGAAGAAAGATAGAAGTACTATGTGGCTGTCCCATTGCCACCGCCGACAACGGTCCCGTTTGAAAAAGTGATGGTAAAATTGCTAAAGTTGAGAGCAAACGTCTCCGGCAGGTGGACGCTCATTTCCAGGCTGTTAGAACTTGTGCCGATTGACTGAGACAGAAGATAAAGATCAATCTCGTGCTGTGCCGTCGAGGTCGCATTAAGGTCACGGGTCTGCTCAAATAGGTAAAGGACGGCAACACTTGCAAACTCATACACCTGAGACACTGCCGCACTAACCGAGACCGACGCCGACGCCGACGCTGCCGTCGATGTTGCTGATGCCGTCGTCGTTGGTGCTGAAGTTGTGCCCGTCGCTATTACAGCCGCTCCTCCTGCGGTCTCGGTAGCAGCAGAGGTGGTTGTACCTGTGGGAACATTCAGAATTGGCGGAACGTCTGTGGTTTCTGTTGCCTCTGCTCTATTGATAAATGTCCTAGTAAGTTTGACCCCCATATATCCGCTAGTTATCTGTGGCTCTGTTTCTAGATCCCTAATCTCAGTCGGGGATGCTCGGCGCCGGTGTTTGGAAGAGACTCCGCCAAACGAGACCAACGCATTTTGCACAGTACAAGAGACGTTGTTAGCATTAAACAGACTCAGGATCTCCGTCTCGTTCAGCGGGATACCGAAATAACTCTCTGACTGGGTCAACAGATCGGGAAGAGAGCTTCCAATAGTAGCATTGTTACTCTCAGAGGTCTCCGTTGTTGTGCAGCTGCCATCACTAGCCTTGCCGCACTGGGTCCCTGAGTATCCATCAACACAAACACACGCGCACGTTGTGCCGCTTTTAATGCTCACGCCACCGTTCATACAGGGCAATTTTTGCTCGCAAGTCATTGTCGTCGCCGTCGTATTGGCAGTACTTGTTGCTGTTGTTGAAGAATGATCTCTTTCCCGAGGAACGACCACCAGAACCACAGGGATAATCACTGCTGCTGCGATGATACAAAATACGACAATGCATATGAAAATGAAAAGTCGCCGAGACATGCCACAGAAGCGTCTACCAGGTTTACTAGCATCTTCAGCTTCTTCCACCGAGTTAAGCCGCATCTGCCGTAATCTAGACTTCTCGGTAGCATTAGTTGGTGGAAATGGCCATGAAGTTCGGACACTATTATCCGGCGTACCAGTGCGAGGTGGTGGAAACGATGCCAAAATATCCGAGAGCGATGCTGACGTCCGATGGTTAGAGCCGCGTTTGCCTTCCTTTCCAATGTCAAACATATCTAAAATACCAAGACGGCTCGCTGTCTTTCCGCGTTCCAGATTCGAGGCCACCTTTGTAGCACGTCGAATGAGATCAGGTAAGCTGGTGAGGCTACCCTGGACTTCAGCTGCCCGCACGGCATCCATATCCAGGCGAGGCGGACGATGAGAGTTGGGTTTTCTGCTACTCATCCCTGCACCAGGCAGGCCCAGCCCCAGACCAATCCCAATGCTTCGCGCTTTCTGCTCATTCTCAATCTGTATCATCTCCTTTTCTAGGTCTATAGAGTCGGTATCGGTCGAGACAGAATCTAGAGATGCCCGCCGCTCTAAAACGTTGACAGTAGAAAATCCCAAGTTGCTGTCATTAGACTTATTGGACTTTTCATGTAACAATGGTGCTTCTGTCTCTGGCTTATTGATCGTACGCAAAGACGGTTTTCCACGCTTGCCCAAACTTGCTTGTCGCAAAAGCACTACTGAATCACGTTTGCGTTTCGGCTCCTCTTGTTCCGATGCGTAAGAATCAAGGATCTCTGACATGGGTGGGCCCGATCCCCAGCTAGATGGAATGACCGTGCTCGAAGCGTAAGACTCTTTCTTCTTCTTCAATTTCTTGAAATTCTCCTCCGGAATAGGAGATACAGAGGTGGCGTTCAGATGGGAATAAACTGGTGGTGGTCCTCTCCTAGAAGTTGATGGAGGTTCGGTATGTTTCGGCACTTGCAGGCCTTGGACTGGCAAGATTGGTACTGGGCCTCTGGGATCATGTTCGACTTGATAGACAACCTGAACATTTCCCTCCTGTGAATGTCCACGGCCGGATTCGGGTCTGTGTGTCGGCTCTGGTCGCGGCAGTGGAGGCATTCTTCCATTATTTTGGTTTTGAGATGAATTGTCCGCACGAACCCCAGCATCTAGCATCTCTCGCGCACGTTTCACTGATCCTCCCCGCTGTTTCCTCCCCAGACCATAGGAGGATTGCTGATTTTGACTCATTGGTGAAAGTAGAAAGAATGAACTGTTAGGTCAAAGTTTGTTTTGGCAAATAAGTCAGAAAGTATTTTGGTTGTGCCACAGCAGAAAGAATGAATGCATGTAAGCAAAGCTAAACGACAAATAGGATCAGAAACAATCCGTTCCGGCAGTTGGTAACAAATACAAGGCGCTTGGCCCTCGCGGTAATGGTGTTCCGCAGTGAAACGAATTGGTCACTGGTTGAGGTGGCCGAGAAAAGAATGTCCATATAAGACGATATGGCGGTGGAAAGAGAAAGAAGAATGTGAATAGGCAGGCCTAGGCTGCAAAGGACAAACAATATAAAAGAACGGCTGGCACTCAATGCCTGGCGGTTGTCAATCATGATTCAGATACCCACAGATGAGTCCTTACCTTGAAAAAATTGACTTAGAGGAATAAACTCATTGCAGAACAATAGGTATCCCTAGTCTTGAATGTAAACTGGTGTGGTCGTACCAACCAAGTGACAAGCAACAAGACAACAATAAGAATCACAATATCTGCATCCAGCAGAATAAAGTGCTAAGGGGAGAGCTTCGAGCTTGTACGATAGAAGAAAGACCAAGTGAAGAATGGGAATGGCACCGTACTAGCGTCAGCATATATTAATCGTCCCAGTAATCCGAAACAAGCGAAATAAACTAAATAATGGCTGGTGCCATATATTGTTAGGTTAAGTATGGACCTTTCCTCATTTTCTATATTGCTTTACCCCTTGAGGCGTAATTAGTCCATGGTCGCTGCTCAATTTTGTCAATAGATGAATGTAACAGACTAGCAGGGGCAATATCGTTTCTGGCCAATATCCATATGTAAAAGCAGTGTCAGCTCATTTTCTTAATTGCCAGAAGGAAACATCACCAAATGAAACGCGAGTTGCCATTGTCTATTGCGAGATATTGACCCTGAATGGTTGGAGTGGAGCGAACTAGGTCGCATGAGAATCTCGGTGTTTCACGATGTAAAGGAATGAATGCCTTGTCAACCAAATCACAACGTAGCAAATGTCCGACGCTATCTCGCGTGGCGAGGTCTTTGCTTGCTTGTCGTTGGCTGATGCAAGTGGGAGAAAACAGACGGCGGCACTTGGCGCTGTTTCACATCAGATAAACCTTTTCCATTGCCCCATCAGACCTGACAGTCCGGGTCTAGGGAGCCGGGATTCATTTCTCCACCAGTTGAACTCAATAAGGGACGATGCGTGATGCTACCTCAGTAACATCACTCCACATTGCATCTGGATTGAAGATTTTAATAAGACAGCCATCATCGCAAGACATTGCGTGTATCCACGGCGAAGAAGTATATGTAGCTCAGCGGCCCTGCATTGTGTTCAGCACAGAAAACGACGACAGCTGAGGATACGGGGTAGTTATTGTTCCTGCTGACGGGCCACGCCGACGGCAGGCTATTAAAGCTGAAACGTACCCAAGTACGGATTACAGGGGGTGAAAACAACAATCGTAAAACAGCGCATTGCCGGACTAAGTTAACAGTGCTGGAGGTTGGTTTGTCCGGAAGAAAGCAAGATCCAGCAAGGAAGGTTGGAAGATTGTTTTTCTTCTTGTCGTCCGGTTGCGACTGCCTAGGGTCACGTTGTCGTCAACTGCCCTAAAGTGGAAGTCGCCGGCCGCGTTGCTTGTCGTAGCTGCCTCAGGTTTGTAACACAAGATGGCACTTGCCGCCTGGGGCAGAGGGAAACCTCAGCTTCGTTTCTCTCTATCTCTATCTCTTCTCCTGAACATGAAATGAGACATTCTGTGCATCATTCACGCTTGCATGGTTTTGTTGCTTGTTGATTGCGACTCCTCCCTCTTCAGAACTTACACTGCCATTTATCTCTTGACTGTACTAATACGAAAATGGTGAGAGGACCATTAGGTGCGAAATCATCAATCTCAAAGACGCAACTATATATAACTTTTTTTGCATACTTATTGAGCAATCGAGAGAAAGATGGTCCTCAGTCCGCTACTAAACTGCTAGAGTCCCAGATGGCGATGGCCACACTAAAACTTCGCGAAGTCCTAGTCCTCCACCAACCGCCGCTTATATTATGATCAGCAAACATGACCTAGACGAGCAATCTTCACAGGAATCTCATGCTGAACCTGAGGACACCCCGGTGCTATCACTGCCTGAACCAGCTGTCGGGCTAGAATATCATGCGTGCCTCCCGTTGGATTACCAAGCTCACAGCCACGTATCTCGCGAGCAGCAATCAGATTCGAGCGAAGATCTAGCTGGCAACCCTCTACGTGATGGTCAACTGACGCCATTTGCAAGTTCGACTGTTGACCCTAGCTTTAGCGGGCAACGTCCACCCATTGAACGTTCAAGCTCCCTCGAAGTCCACGCCTCGTCTCCAGTCCCATTGGAGAAAGACTTGAGTGAATTGTCAACCCTTCCATTAGATGAAGACCTTGAGAACAAACAAATCCTTGGCACTGATGGAGCTGCATCTTCTATCGGGGAAGAACGCGTCTTCCCAACACAGAGTTATGCTTCAGTATATCCTTTCTCTGAGACCACGAGCGAGTCGGGCAGTTACATAGTAGTGACACCACGAACATCCCATGCTGAAACCAAATCCTCAGCATATCCGAGTCCGAGATATTCAGAAGTACAGCAATTGAACAATTCTACAGTATTCATCCCGAGCCCCCATCTTGCGACGATAGACGAAGCCTTTGATGACCAGTTTTCATACCTGAGAACAACACATCCATTGGCAACATCCTACAATAGTGCGCCCCCGACATTTTGTGGTCTCAGCACACCAAACAGTCCAGCCATATATCCAACCAATCATGCCAGCGAGAAGCTACGACGACCACCGTATGGGGATGGTCTGAAGTATCCACCTTGTCGGACTACTGAGGATGGGTTGCTCATAGTACCCAGCGTACCTGGGGAGCTCCCTGGGGAGATATCGAAAGAGCCTACAAGGAATGAATATCCAACCCGTTCAGAAAGGAGTAATAACCCAGACGATCAATTCGCCGTCGCACCTCTCAGTCCTAACGTCACAGCGTACCGCAAGGGAAAGTATCCGAGAAGAAAAAGATACTCCAGCTACAGACAGTATATGCCTCAGCCACCTTTTGACGGGAACCAAACCATGTGATGTAAACGGAGGGAACTTTTTGCTTAAACTTCGTGCATTATATGTTCATCTGATGTCGATGTCATGATTTGGAAAAACCTGACGGACTTATTCTTACCTCCGAACACTTTCTCTTTTTAGATTAGGCAATTAGGGATTCAACTAGCTCATAAGTCCAGAATAGAAGAAGAATATATTTACTTATGAAAATTTTCTCGGAAGAAGGTTAGGTACCTAGGTACATGGTCATATGCACAACGCTCAAGCAGTCGTCTTTATCTGTCGTCGCAACTTGTGCACAAGATTTTCAACACGTTGCATCTCTCTCGCCACAGTGACGAGTTGTGGGATGCCATCATTGACAGCTTCAGTGAAGGATTGCTGCGCCCTTCTCAGAGATGGCGGTACTAGAATTCCATACCAAGCTACAGGATCATCGGATCGGAAAAGTTTCCGAGGTGGCACTTTTTTGGTGCCGTTGTGGTCGTCGTCATTGTTCGTGGCATCAACATTTCCATCTGTGCTACTATCCTGCGTTGTCTGTGACGGCGATGGTGGTGTTGCAGAGATCCCTGGTTTTTGCTTGTCTTCTTCGATCTCATTTAAGGCGCCATTGTTGTCATGAGTCTGGCCACCTGCAATTTCTGTAGTGGCAGTTGCATTAGCCAAGGCAGAATTGCCTCTTTCTTCTTCTTTATCTATATTTTTGTCCTCTTCGTGGACGTCCTCTGGCTCAAGTACTGATTTGTAATTGACTTCGAATTGAACCTTTCGCAGCCCCGTATTCTCGCAGCTATACCCTGACACTTTGTCCATTAAGGACGAAGTAATTTTTCTATCTCGGGTAGTCAGTAAAATATGTTTTCAAACATTACGGAAGGGGGAGAAGAGAAAGTGTTGCCGTCAGGTAAAATCTTACAATCTCCGAGTTGCTTTCATACGCTCGTCGTAGAAATCTTCACCGAATCTTCGACCAGGTGAGCAATAATTGGCATGTGTTAGCTGAAAGAATCCCTGGAAAATTTCGAAGTTAGCAATATTCATAAGAGTAGAGGTTTTGTGCTATTCTAGGTAGAAAAAATGGCGATGGTGGCTTCTCTGCATACCGATGCAAGTTGCTTTCCTAATGACTCTTGAAGCTTCTGATGACGGTCTAGAAGCTGAAGATAATGTTCGAGCAGTTCGTCGAGCAATTGGACCTTGTTAACCTCTATGGCTGTGCTTTCACACTCCTCGTTGGGTGGTTCCGCGGAGACTCCGCGAGACGAGGGAGGCGTTGGGATCTGTGACATTGTTCTGTTCTTTAACCACCCTCTCGCATAACGTGTGTCCGGTGACGATATGTAGCCACAATCATGAAATACTGGTTCGTTTTAATTTTAGGCGACTGACAATTGAATATGAGTCTGTCTGCCTTATCTCCGTTGACGGTTACCGGACAAAGTATAGAAGGCCGGGGCCACGTATTTCCGATGCTCGAATTCCCGAGAATTGCGGCAGAAGAAAGGGCAGCTCCGTCATCGCCGAAAAAGCAGAAAAGAAAAAAAAGCAAACCCAACAACTTGCTCTGCTTCAACCTGCTGGGCTATATGCACATCTGCTCTGCATTCCATAATTCGTACGCATTTTTATTTATCTTGACATCCACTATCGTGGCGAACTTGTTGTTTGGAGGAGTACTAATAACGTTCATCTCTTGATAGAGCTACCGTCTCTCCATGCGTCATCTTGGCTTCTGCTGTTATTTCAGATACACCACGCAATAAGACCTAATCAATATCTGCGGATGCAACTCTCCTGAAAGTGCATATTCACACGATTTCAGGTCCGGTTTTTGGGTGTAGACTTTTGATCTGCATACTATCATCCTCCTGTCTGTGCCGACGTGACTTGGGTTGACCGAACTCCAATTTCGACAATATCAGCCTTATCCACTGTCGCTATTTCCTAGAGATTTACATAGGCTCGCCATGTCATCAGTTGTCACTCTCCAACGCGATACGGCCTTTCAGGTTCGATCGTTGGTACGTGGCCTATGCCTCTTCATCCTGGCGATTCCTTCGAGATTATGCAACCAACAACTGGGGAATATGGGAAAGAAATTTGTGGCTAATGTTGACAATTATTTTGGATAGTTCCGATCTCTCTTGCGACAATCGTCTCAGTTCTCGAACTATAACTTCCGCGAGTATGCTCGGCGGAGGACGAGGGATTCCTTTCGGGAAAATGAGAAGGAGAGCGAGGATCGCAAAATACAAGAATTCATTCAGGATGGATTGAAAAATCTGAGAATAATGAAGGTACAAATCTCTGCTATGCACAATTTTCCTTTTATTTTATGGAATTTTAGGCTCACACCAACTAGCGACAAACCATAATTAGCCAGTTCTATCAATTGGATAGACTAGTTGTGGAGGGGCAGAAAACGGTCAGTGACGATCTCAACTCTTGCAGCGAGATAGATATATCTAACGAAATACAGGGCAAGCAAACCGGGGAGAAAGGTGATATTGTACGCCAAAAAGACGTTGGGTAAGTTAGTGATATGCCTCATTTTCTCTGAGCTTGCTAACACATCGGTAACAGCTGGGATTAAACGATACTGTCAACTTTAGATTTACATATTCTTTTCTAGTTCAAGAGGAGGTCCTCAATGCACTTTACATGCCACGGACTACTTAATAACGAATGCTTCTTATCTGTATACATACTATTTGTTTTCATATTGAAGTTTGGTTCCATCTGGATACAAGCAGATTATCTGTCAATTACAATTTACTCTCGACTCTGCCTCACTAAGGTCATTCAAACAAACTTGCATATATTTCCTCAATAGTAATCTGACATACTATCGCATTTACAAACTTTTTGGTCTTTCGTATGGATATGTTGTTCACTAGCAAATAATGTACCTAGGTAGGGCTTGACACGCTAGGACGGAAAAGGATGAATCACGTGTTTCCGCCGATTGTAACTCTCCGCAAACGCCTCCGCGCTTCAATTCCTCAGCTATTGTCAAATCGCGCGCCTTTTGTGATTAACAGATAATTCCAAAGTCGTTCATCTACTACTGTTGGATGTTATTTGCAGGGGACTTTAGATGATTCAAAACCATCTGCGAGGGCATCAATTGATCCTGGAGTAATTGCCAAGCGCGAGCGTTTTCTCCGCGCCTCATTCATCGAAGATGGCGCCTACAGTGAGTTTCCCTTTGATTCCTATTGTTTTCTTTCATAACTTGTGTTTTCCTTCTTTCGGTGGCCATGCGCTACAAGATTGAAGTAAAGTATGGCTTTTACGATCATTCTTGAAGATTGTGGTGGTCAATTTCGTCGCTCCAAACTTCCGCATATAATAGCTTCTTTTGAATAATCAACTTACCAAATCCAACAGTTCAGATCTTCCCGGTCCGGCCGGCAATTTTCAGAAAACACAAATCGCAGCCGGACGAATGCAGCAGACCATGACATCTTCGAAGGATTGCCTATTCGCCGCTGGACACGTCAGAACCACACGGTTTCTCAAGACGCCAAAATGGATATCCCAGACAACGCCGGCGACAGTGTTAAGGCCAATCAACCTTTCCCCGAGCTGCCGATGCCCAAGGACAGCCACTTATTAGCTCCTCACAGCCGTGCGTTACTTCGTGCTGCTCGAGCAGGATACATTTACCTACGTCCCGCACCCAAAGATACCCAGTCGGTAGAGGAAAGAGAGACGAATGAGATGGAAGAGTCGACTCCAGCTACGCATATGGAGAGAAGTTACACTGCGCGAAGATGGACCCAGCTTCCCAGGCATGTCGAGCTCCCAGAAGTTGAATTCCTGGCCAAAAGGAGAACCGGGTTGCCTTCGCTTTATGGTGCTTCTGGTGCAGTTACTGCCGCGGTTCCAAATGGTTCGCAGCCTATGCGGAAAACGAAAATCCGAAAAGTGGATCCTGGGACTGGCAATATTACTATTTACGATGCTTGGATCCCAGAAGGTCAAAAGGTAGAGGGAGAAATCAGGGACGAATTTCAAACGTCTGCTCGCCAAGATGTCACTATTACCAAAGCAACACCGGCACCGGGAACCGTGATAGAAGGTGTAGGGGTCGCGAATGCTGAAGGCATTGTCGTTGCATCAACAGCAGTGGAGTCCCCGACTAAGCGCAAGGGGCCGCCACCACCGAAGAGAAAGGGAAAGGGTTTGAGAGGTAAAGGTCGCAAGAAAGTCATGTTTGCGCCCGGTGAAGGCGTTGAAGCTGGTGGGGAAGACCAAATGGCTATTGACGGTGAACAAGACGACGACGAAGAAGACGAAGAAGACGAAGAAGGTGATGATGGTGATGACGCAGAGGGCGGTGAGGAAACTGTCAAGACCGAGGAAGTGAATGCAGTGGAGGGAACGCCTCAGACAGTCACGCATTTGAAAGCTACAGCTCCTACGCTAGACGTTGATACCACGCCAAGCTTGCCTCCATCTACAGCGGATAGCAATATTTTGCCACCACAAGAATCTCGGCCTCCTGGGTCTCCGGAAAAGTCAGCTTACACAAATGCCACAGAGCCACAGCTTCCAGAGACTCCCAACGTCGAGCTGATCAAGGCTAGATCAGAATCACCTGAAAAACCGCGCACTCCAGTTCAACCCCAATCAGAACAACTGACGCCACCAGCTGTACCCGTTACAAGCAATGAACCAACAATATCAAATGATCAAGATATTCATGATGAAATCAAATTAGACCCAGATGTACAAGATGGCGAGCCTAGTACTGGAGGTCCATTCATTCAGCACCACACAGATTTGATGGAAGACGTACAGCACACCCAAGCCAGCGCTGGGTCAATTGGCCCTGTTGATAATAATCAAGTTACTGAGAGTGCTCAGCCTGCAGAAGATAAAGTACCTGCGGTGCAGACTGAGGTTAAAGCTGAACAAACCACAAATAGCATCGGCCAACTACCCTCGATAGAAACGCCAGCCCCATCGGAACTAGCTTCTAAACCCCTGGCAGCTGCCTCTGGAAAAAGCCCTGATCTCGTGGGCGCCTTTCCAAGTAGTTTGGAAAAGGGGCCTGTTCAACCAGCACAGACAGCGGGCGAAGTGAAAATTGAACAAGAAGAATCAAGGACCATCACAGCTACTACGACAGCTCCAGCGCCAGCTCAATCAATGGCACCCCCGCCACTTATAGAATCGGTGCCAGCTCCTGATCCAATTGCTGCTCCGGCCACAACGTCAGTATCCAACATTGTACCCGAACCTGTCTCAGTGCCTGAAACTGCTACAGCTGATGGGACTTCCCTGGAGAATATCTTGGATGAAGCCCAATCCACAAAACCACCTGCGAAGGCTGAACTTTCTGAATCTGCCCCGCAAACATCAGTCGATCAAACAGCACAGCCCTCTGACCAAGCTCCCCCCCCCTCCTAAATTTGGTGCTGCATAATAGAAAACGTTATCACATTCTATGCCTTTCGTGTATTTCTGACGTCAATATACATTAAACAATCTATGCGCGGTTGATTTTGTTTTGTGTGCATGTTATGGCTTTATTTGGTCAAGGCGTTGGTTATCATATTTCTAGGAGTGTGCAATGTATTGCAGCGGGTGTCTATATTTCAGTGCTGGCGGTGTCTGCCATTTTGTTCTGGTAGATAAAATAATGAAGCAATTTATACACTTATATATAGTAGATAAGTAAGGTAAACACCAGTCACGATAATATACATGTTTGGATGAAGATCTAGGCAGCTCCGACACCCAAGACTAAGACTGAGACCAGTAAAGAACCCCCATCATGCAAGATCCACGGATATTCACTATGTCACATGATGATTTTTCTTTCCATCCTTGGATTATACTGACCGCAATTCCACATCATGTTCAACTTCATCATCATTGCGAGCAACAACTTGATAATCTCCAGTCCTCGTCTGGGACTGATTTGCTGCTGTCCCTGACCCATCGTCATACCTCGAGATGGTTAGCAATGCAATACCAACAAATTCCAAAAGGAACCCGCAAATCAGAGAAATAATGTTTGTCGGATCGTTGGTGTTGAGGCCCTGGTAGAAAATAAAGGAGGCTGATAACGTGCAGGTTGTGAATCCGACATAATACATTGCGTTTACCCTGAGCAACGAGCATTAGCTCAAGGATATGATATATACTAAGCAGAAGCCAGAAAAAAGAAGGACAAGGGGTTGCAAACTAACAAAGATGCAGTGTAAATGCTCATTGCCTTATTCAAGTAGTGTGTTTGTGTAAGTGTTGTGATCACGAGAACAACGAGAAAGACATAGGTGGAACCATGCAAAAACTGATTGTTGCCTGCAAAAGTGATCTTGACAGCAATTCCGAATGCTTTCACGCTCATCACTGATACTGAACCGACAAGCGAGCATATACTCATGTAGACTAGAGGGTTGGTGCGCCCACTCCGAGGGGCGATGCGGTAGATCGCATACAAAGTATAGATGGTGACGAAGAGGAGGTATATTACAAACACTTTGTTTTTCCATTAGTTCATTGCTCTTCGGCTTCCTTTTCTCACTTCCCATACCATCCTCATGCGTAAAGAAGACTTACAAGGTTTGGTAGCTAGGTCCAAGACTTCATCGATAGATTGTATCTCTCGATCAGGCGGAGCATGCAGAACGAGGAGAATGGAAGCTAGAAGGCAATTTGCGCAGCCAACGCGCCCGACTGTATTGAGGTTCTCATTGAGAAAGTATGCGCCCAACACAGCTCTAGTTTGGATAACACTGTCAGTCAAAGCTGTCCATCGCATGTCCATTGAAAGAGAGCAAACTCACCCGATGAGCACGCTCAACGCTCCCAACGGCGTGACAAGGACAGCCGGGGCAAATGCATAAGCAGCAGTGTTCATTAATTCACCGGAAACAACTTTGGTTAGGCAGTTGTGTAAGTGTATAATCGTGAAAGAGACTTAGAAGATGTCTACAACATACGAGTAATTGTGCCACACCACCAAAGTGGGTTCTGTACGTATTTGAAGCCAGCGCCATTATATCCATGGCGGTCAGACGATTGTATAAGACTCTGAACGTTTCAAGTCAGCTAGAGACCTGCGTGTTTCTTTCCACAGTTTAGTATAAAGACCTTTTTGGTGATAACATAACTCGTCCCTAATTCCGGTCAGCCTTGACTCGCGTCTACCTATAAAGATGCATAACCCTTTAACTAGAGACCGCCATTCAGCATACCAATTGCCACCGATGCCAGCATCGCCAAAGCCAGTCCAATAAATCTGGAGAGTGAAGGTTAGCTAACGATCAACCGACTCCATAAGTCAACGTACTTGTCGTGTGCTGTGGACATTTTGTACAATACGCGGAGGCGTCTTGACTAGAACATATATGCATGTATGTACGGGCTCATTGATGGATGACTCGGCAAAATAAATTGCTTCTACTGTAAAATAACAGTGATCAAATAGCGATTTGTTATAGCAGCAATCAATTATGCTTGAGGTGTTGTTTCAGTTCAGAAGTCAGCTAGGCCATTTTGGGTAAAAATTCAACAATCTTTGCGGCCTCAGGCTTACAAAATATTAGGCAATCAAATTCTATTGTAACTAAGCATGGAAACGTTATTTGTAACAAGCACCAAGGAAGTGCGGTCAGGCTTGACGTTTCACAAGCCCTACATTTTCTAATCTCCTCGTCTTGATGCAGCTAGCGATGAGGCTTATGAAAATCGCATATTGCGGTGTCTCGTGATATCCCTGCCAATTTCAAACCAAATTGGAACTCTTAGCAGCGCCCCGCGACGCCATCAAGGCACACAGGCCGCTATATATCAAAGGTAAAAGGTAAAATTCTGCATCGAGACATCTCTGAGAGCGACATCATCATAACGGACGCCAAAAAGACTGGCTTTATGGGGTTGCTGGTCGATTTGGACCATGCCGAGGCTGTCAGCACCGGACGCAGCGATGCACGCTGTGTTGACGCCATGCAGTTTCGGCTTACGAGGTACTTCATAATGTTGACCATACCTATCGACATGACCTTGAATCATTCTTTTACGTACTGATCTGGCAATGCGCACAGTCGTGGCTGGGGCGACAGATGGCCGGGAAACAGTCAGTTAAGCAGCTGGTATAGAGGCATTTATGAAACTATCGCCATCGGATTTTGATTGTCTCAAACCCCCTTGCCTGGAGTTGCGAGGGCTCTTATTTCATCTTCGTGGAAATGACATGTTCACGGACACACCTACAGACTCGGAGATGCTCTACAAGCCCATGGTTGAGGCATTTGACAAGGCTATCAAGACAATCAACCCTTAAAATGGATAGCCTGGCAATTAAATAACCCTGGAGCCTTTGTATCAATATTTATTAATAAGTAGCACTTATCATTCTTAAAGAAATTGACCGAATAGCACAATGCCTAAACCTAGATTCTGCCTAGAACGTTTCTCACCAATATTCGTTTAACGAGTTATAACAATCCCAGCAACACATAGAAATCGTATATAATAAAAATCTCTCCCCGACTAAGGAAAAATCTCATTAGCAATGAATAAAAGAGAGCCACTCTTCCTATCGCATATCACACTGTCTGGGAGCAAGCCAAATAATTCTGACAGCTTAAATTCGCGGCTCATTAATTGACCCATAACTAGTCCATAGTGAGGATGAAGGTAGTTCAAAGGTCGTTGTTTTTGAACTGAAAGAAGGGAAAGCCAAGCAGGGTAAAGAAAAGTAGAAGGGCTTGGGTAATGTTGAAAAGAATAGAACAAATAATAGAGATAACAGAAGAAAAAAAATGAAAATTCATAGCACCCGACTCGCACCAAATGCGAACATAAATTTATCCCTTATAAAAGGATCAGGGAGAAACACCTGCGATCAAACAGCAACGCCGAAGGGTCAAATAAAATGAAAGTTAAAGCCGATATAAGGACTAGAAGAGAACGGAAATGAAGCGCGCGAATTTCAAGCGGTCTCGAGATAGGAAGACTCGGCGATTAGGATTCTTTCTCGGTTATGGGGCTCCAATTAAAGTGTGGATAGTGATCGCTTCATTTGCTGGCTTTAGTAGAAGCCGCCTTGTTTCTGATGCTTCCATTCTGGCTGGGGCTCCTATTGGGCGTGTCCTTGGTAGGTGTTTTTGAAGGCGTCTTTTTGCCGGGAGTGGCTACCTTCTTATTTGCAGGACTCTTCAGTTTCAGCGTTTGGGTCCCCTTTTTGAAACTTGTTGAACGGCGGGCCGTCGCCTTGAATCTAATCCGGACTTTTTCTGATGCAGATACAGGCTTGGATGCGGCCTTTGTCTGGGTGGCAGTAGTTTTCTTCTTAGACTGCGAGGCCGCCTGCTGCGCTTTTCCTTTGGATGATGTTTTCGCTGTCGTGGCTACTTTGGTGACCTTAGACTTGCTGATTGTCTTCCTCGACTTCGTTGTGGCACTCGTCGAATTTCTAGTTATCTTCGTGACAGTGACATTCTTTTTGACCTGAACAGGGGCCTTCTTCTTGTTGTTAAGGGCCGATTTAGCTTTGGAGACTGCCTTCGAAAAGGTCTTTTTCACTGAATTGTTCGCCATTACCTTGCGCTTTTTGTTCAGTGCAGAAGTTGATTCATCAAGGACATTGCTGAGCTTGCGCTTTGTGCCTGCTAGAGCATTCTTCGATTTCTTTTGCTGGGCCCCCTTCTTCTGTTCTGCTTTTGACTCTCTTAGCTCACGTTCCTTGGGTCGAGGACCGAGAACACCGCGACAAGTTGGAGCTCCACAGCGGCATTGTTGCACATTCTTCTGTGAATATGGACTGATAAAAATTAAGCATGGAATCTTAGATAGCCATTATACGTAGACTGTACTCACTCGAAGTTGTAGTCGTAAGTAAGCTCTTCTCCAGTCATAATACCCCTATCACCCGCAAAGAGTGCCATGCGTGGCTTTCCTCCCACAGTCCACTTCTCCATGCGGCAGTTGGGAGCGCAGGAGTGATTAACAAAACGCGCAATGGAGCCGCGGGTTGCGTCAATTATCATGTTTTGGTCGAAGTACATCAGATAGTAGCACTGCATGTGGTTGCGTTAGACCATGCTTTGATAACGTAGCTGGCGAGAACACAACCAAGAACTTACCTCGTTGTTCTTGTAAACTGTTCTCATGCGCTTTTCGCATTCATTCTGTGTGATAATCTCCCCTGTGTACTCCACAATAACTTGGTTAGGCTCAAAGGTGCGATTGCTGCGTACGCCGTATCCTCGATCTGCTGTCTTAATAACCTCGACGCCAATATTATACTTGCCACCAGCCTTTGACCGCTGCTTTAATTCTTCAAAGCTTCGATTCCCGCAGTTGGGACCAATGCGACAATTGCTTGAATCGCATTCATAGAACATAAAACGGTTCTGACAGTTATCGTCGCATCCAGTCTCTTCATCGCAAAGGCAAGTAGAGAGTTCAATCTTCTTGTTTTCTCGCCAAAAGCTTGCAGCATCTCCAACAAACACATCTAGGGTTGGTTAGTTTAGCTTGGTTGATACAATTCATCCACGCGCTGGCGTTCAACTTACTTCGATTCACTTTTTTCCATTCGTCCGGCTTTGGTTGGCCAGGGGGCAGTGGGGAGAATATATCGAAAGGCAGCTTGAAATCTCGGCCGTTCTTTAATAAACGCTCGCCGGAGAACATTGGTAGGGGAAGGAGTTTTCGTTGTGGCTCAAAGGGCGCTTTGCGCTTTGCTGCTCTGATCTTATTATTGGCCTCATTCAATCGAGCGTCGTAGTCACGAGTTTGGCCAGTGTATAAACCTTGATCCAGCCACCGCTTAGTCCTAAACTGAGGCACAGCTGAGTTAGGCTTCTCGCCTTTCTCAGTCTCATCAGCCTCCACTTCCAACTTCTTTGATAAGAGATCACCCTCAGAAACTCGGCGTTTCTTAGCATCTGGGAGTTGAGAACTGCTTGAGCTTGCCATGCTCTCGTTTGCGGGCAGGGAGTGTCGAGGACGTAAGCTCGCCCGACGCTTCAGTACAGCCTTTTCCATTGCATCCCTGGATCGTTTGCCTAAGACACTAGCAGCTCTATCTAGTACTTCCGTAGCCCTGGTGACCAAGCTAAGGCGAGCCGAGCGACGTGGTGGTGAAGTTCTCTCTGGTTTGTTCGCTGACTTGGCCGCTTCTTCCATGGTACTATCAGGTGTCTGCTCCGTAGCTGGCTGGGCTCGTAGAGATCGACGCCTTGGTGCTTCCTCTGATTCTTCAGATCGTTTTGAATCGGGGGTTGCAAGATGTGGATTTTCGTCAGTCTCCGTATTCTCTCGTAGGAGAGTGATCTGGCTCCACGAATGGCCGTTGATGGTAGCGCTACTATGATCATTCTTCAAAGACGACTGAGAGGCGCGACTCTCGACAATGCTGTTTATGAGCGTTTCTCCCGAGACAGTACGGTTTTTCGCATCAATTGAAGTTGAAGATGGCTCCACGTCCTCGATTTTGTTGTCCTCCTCCATTTCACGCATATTCTCCAATCCGCGCAGCGACATACGCGTCACGCGCGTAGACCTTCGCCGTGTAATTGGTTTCTCATCGCCGGGGACGAGATCCAGATTGCTGGAGGTTTCGGAGCGACTGGCTTCGGGGGTGAGCAAAGGACCGGAGAAATCAACGCCAATGGGGTCATGGGCGTGGTCAAAGGCCTCCGGTTCCATGTCTATTGCGACGGTTATCGGAGGCGCCGACGTTGATTCTAGAGAGGAGCGGGTTCGGCGCGTCATGGTCTTGGAAGCCGGAGCAGCAGCAACGGCCTCGCGCTGGACGGAATTGGGCGGGGCCGCAGGTGAGAGGAAGTTCACAATCGACTCGAACATGGAGATTGGAAGGCAAAGGCAAGCCGCCCCAGCTGGACGGAACCTGACGGGGGGAGCGCTGCGAGTGCCGGATAGAGGTGGAGTAAACGGGCTGGCTAGCTGCAACTTAGATGGTTCGACTCCTCCTTGCCAGTCTGATAGCAGAGACTGCAGCACGCACTGCCTCTTTCACGCGTCCTGACGGCGGTGATTGGACTCGAGATGGTCTGAAACACGGCAAGGCTGGGGAAGAGAACGGCCAGATATGCTGCGAGACCGAGCCCGGTCAAAACACCACGGAGCACGCAAACGAGAAGAAGACAAGGGGTGCAGCAATAGCCGCCACAGAACAGAGTAGAACAAAATAGCAGACAAACGAAATAGGCCTACACAAAGAGCAGAGGCTGTTGTATTAGGGGGGACAATGACTGAGCCAAGTACGGTGTGGCGCAGAGAGAGAGAGAGAGAGAGAGAGAGAAAGGTAGAGAGTGGAATGTCCTGAGCACAGATCAGTCAAATGCCATCCCCTACTTGGGACTGGAGGTAAGCATCACCCCGCCGAGTCAGCATTCCATGGAATCCGGCCAGCCTAGGAACGTCGTACGTACTATATGAGTAAGACCCGACATTTCTTTGATTCAGTTCTACATAATGCAGTGCTTATCAACAATGCATGTGGTGCTAAATAACGACATTTGCTCACTGGGATGGAAATTAGTCAATATAGTAAGTACTATTAGTAGAAAATTATAGGCTATAGGTTATAAGAAAGAAGAGAAAACGTTTTTGTACAGCCAAATTGGGAATCATCAAAAGAGAGGTCGTCGTATGAATGACAGTTCAAGATCGTTATGCCAGCATATGGAAGAAAGGTGAACAGTGTCAGTGAAAGCTGGGTATGCAAAAGATAGAAAGAACAGCGAGGAACTACAAGTGATTCTAGTATAATAATAATCAGACGATGAAGGAAAGGTCAAGATTGGTTTTGCGTATTCGGTCGAGTTGAAGCAGAGTTGCGCTCAACAACTTGCATTTCCATTCCAGCTTGAGACTCCAGGTCTTTGGCCAGGTACTTGCGCTTTTGTGTTGCAAAACGCTGATCACCTTGCTGGTAGGGCTTTTTGAATTGGAGATAGGTGGGAGGCCGCGGCCGAAGGAGGACAGCAATCCAATTCCGTAGAGTGCTGCCTTGGGTGAATGGTCTAAGACGGTCTTGTTTTGCAAATTTGTGGGAATTGAGATATTCGCGCGTAGTTTCGCCACGTCCCATGAGAAAGAGATGGTATATCAAAAGTGCCGCAGGGTAAGGCGCGGCTAGTATCCCATATATCACCATGGCAAATGGAACCCTCCATTTGTTAATAGACTCGCCAAAAGAGACATGTTCCCGAGTTTGGTATAGAAGGACGTGAGCTAAAGAGGCTCCGAATAAGAACAGCGCAAGGATTGTTCCGGAGCTCACAAAACTGAAGAAATAGCGGTAGTTGCGACGGCCAACACAGTTGTTGAGCCACACACAATGATGATCCAGTGTTTCAACACAGTTGTCGCATACTCGACAGTGGAAGCATCGCGGTGGCCGCCAGATATTGCAAGTTTTGCAGAATTTAACGGGAACCACCATAGCATCAACTTCTGACGTTGCCAGTTTGATCATTACCCAATCGTTCGTGGGTGGGCCAAGGGCCAAGGGATCAGCTGCCGGATCAGTTGTCGGTAGAGGATGCAAGTTTCTTGGGATTATCTTCACGCGCAGTTAATTAGCAATCACAGTCCATCCAGCATAGAACCAATTCCAGTCACTCACCCCAGGATCCACAACAGAGGCGTGAACAAAAGACGAGAAGCAAACATAAAAGACATAGGCGAATACAATGGGGATTGCTGGCGAGACATGATGCCATAGCCAAGGCGCCCTGTATGAAGATTAGCCCAGTAATTCCGATAATCTAGCTCCCAATGGGTATACCATACGAAAATGCAAAAAATAACGCGACGGGAAGGACGATTATAATGCCCGTCGCAATATTGACTGGTTTGTCACGGGAGTTTTGGAACCTGCCCCTGCCCCAGAAGACGGTGTTGCCCGTGAAGTATTCATAATTCTTGCCGAGGTCTCTGGGCGGTGGTGACGATTGATGCTTCTTCATTGAGCGTGGCGACGAAGATTCTAAGGAGGACAATCTTTCGTGGCTTCTACTGTCCGGCCGTGGGGCTTCTTCGCTTTTACCGTGTAGAGATAAGAGGCCTGATCGGAATGAAAGTGGTGATCTCTGAGGCGGGTCGTGTAGAGAGCCCGTTTTGATCGTTTTGTTAATAGCGAGGCGTTCCGGAGCAGACTTTTCGCGCTCGTGGAGCAATTTCACGCTTTCTCCAAGGCTCCGGATAGTCGTGTTCCCTGTCGGGCTCGCGTTGGATGTGTTCCTGTCAGGAGTGACAGGATCTGTGAATTCCGTTCCACGGGAAGGGGGAACTTCCGACTCGACTGCGTGAGCGCCAAGACGCACCGTACTGGCCGAAATCAGACTCCGGCGGTTCAGACTCTCTTCGTCTTCGGCTCCTTCTGCTGTGTCGATGTTTGTGTCCAGGGGGACTTGACTTGGACGACGATGTGCCTGCAGCCTTTGGGAGCTCATGGGACGGAAGAACGCCTGGGGGGTCAGCGACGGGACATGGGTCCTGCTGATTCGACTTAAGCGACTCGATGAACTAGCTGGGCGAAGCGGATTCGAGTTTCCTGTTGATAACCGCGTTGGAGGCGGGCCTCGTCGGGATGACGGTGGCTGGACTGCACCCCCCGCAGGAGGCAATGTAATCGAATTGTCCCCATCTTGAGAGGTAATGTCTGTCATGCGCGAGGAGATGCCATCAACCGAAGGGGGCCGCGGGACATCCAATGCCGGGTATGTTGGAAAAGAGGAAGAAATAGGAGTAGACGCGGTACTGGAGTCAGCCATGACTGCCCAGTTTTTCCCGTCGGTTTTACAGATATCTCGTGGCGATCAAATGGAAGAGCGAGTATTCATGATTCGTCGATTATTGGGTACCGGACATCTCTGAGCAAAGTAATGGACGTGATGCTGATCCGGGCGGCGGTGGGCCTGAAGGCGAGCGGCAAGGAGCTGGAAATGATATTAAAAGTGAGGGTAGTACGTATATAAAAATGAGCACGGCGCAGGTTATAAAAGAACGGACGGGGATGCAAATGAGGGACAGGGACGAAGAGGCGTCGAGGCGGATTGGATTTGTGATCAGTCTGCTGGTTTTCCCCTTAACAACATTAGTTAAACTGCGATCTAAGGAAGGAAGTGCCTGGCGCGAAGCCCGATCTAGTCAAGCGCCTGGCTTATATCATGACTGTTGAGTTGACTGACTCAGGCATCAACGCTTCTTCAGTCCTCAGTGCGAGTATTGGTTGTACAGTACAACATTATCAACCAGTCTCTGCAGGCTTTACTGTGCCTACGTATTTGCTCTCTGTGCAATCGCTTCACTGTTTCTGGTCCAGACGTCATAGTTTGCCTGGCAATCGTGGCGAACCATTGTCGATTATATAGCAGTACTGCAACCACAAGTACTTTCTCATATATAAAACAGATTTTCTATATTAAGATTATACATGATCTGATCCAGAGAGCTAGTAGATTTCAAAATACTTACTTCTCAGATTCGAAAGTTGACAGTTACACCTTAGCAGCCTCAGGCACCCACTCCTTTCCGCCGTCCGCGCCCGGCAAAAAGCAGAATCACCTGATCCGCGGGCCGAGATATCATCGTGTCGACATAAACCAAGTCATACCCTCACGCCTTCTAGCACCAGACCCTCTCCCCTCGCCTCTTCTCTCTTTCTCTTCACCCACGAGAACAATGTCTTCAATTGCTGCTTTTACAGCTCGCCGGGCCTTTGCTGCCCGTCCAGCTCTTGCGCGTGCTCCTGTTCGCCGCTATGCCTCTTCTCCCACCAAAGCTGAAGAATCCGGCTTGGACAAGGCCCCCAAGCGCGATCCTGAGCTCTACGTATGCAATTTCCTTCTCCGATGAGCGATTACAGTTGAATCGCGTTTTTCTAATATGCGATAAATTATAGGTCCTCCTTGGCGTTATGTCCGGTGCTTTCCTGCTTGCTGGATGGTAATTACATGCCTTTCCCTCGTCCTCCACAAAAATGATAATCCGCAATTGCGACACTCCATTGTGAATTCGTATACCGGACTTGAGAAGGAAGGAAGAAGGAGAATTAAGGAAACAAAGCTAATGATGTACAATTGTGAAGGTACTTTGGTCGCAAGCCCACTTCCGTGACCTCGGAGAGCAACGTCCGCGTCGGCGAGTCTTCGATGCCTTGGGAGGGTTCTGAAAAGGAGGGCAAGGTCTTCAAGTACCAGTACCACCCTCACGGCGACAAGAGCCAGCCTCTTCGCAATGCTCCTAGCGCCCTCAACACCGTCATTGTCCCCAACGTGACTCTACCTGAAGTACGTCTCTATGCATGCGTTCTTTGGAGCGATTGTTATTGACAATTTTATTCTCAACAGGACCTCCACGAGAAGTTCAACAAGTACGGAAAGGAGGAGTACGACTACTAAATCGCAATATTGTGTCGATAATGAATCTATTGATCACAACCTACTCCATTTCTTTTGTTCCCTGCATAGATCCATCAACCCGACTTTGCGGAATGCTTGTACTCTAGACAAGATGGTCAGCCAAGACAGTCATCATTGTCACCGGCAACAAACCCAATTGAAAAAAAGGAAGAAATCAGACAGGCTATTTGATATTGTTCTTGTATAGTTTGAGCAATTGCGTATACAAAATCGAAGAACCATTTTCATTTGTTTATTTATACTTCTCAATATAATATCTATCATTAAAGAAAGGGTCAGACATCAAGACCATACATATATAAGAGATTGTAATTTTATCTGCTAGCTTCATTCATTATAGAAATAGCAAGGAAATAAGGTATGTTACAAGATGGAATGAATGAACACTATAACAATACTGCATCAACTGCTGGGAAAAAAAAAAAGACAAAGGCCGCTTCATAAACCTTCAAAATATCAACTTATTTTGTTGCTCCCTGGTTCTCACTTGCTGGCTTGGCCGCGCTGGCTTCCTTTTCATCGTAATCCGACTTTGCCGAACCTGCAGCTGATGCTGGCTGGTTACGAGCAACGCTTTCCTCGCCATTGTTGCCCTTTCGATTGGTCTCTGGATTTTGACCCTCAACATCAGGGTGAGGGGGAGCGTGTTCATCAACATGAACATTCTTGATGATTTCGTTACCATCTGCATCGATGACGCGGGTTTGGGTCTGGTATCTTGTTTGTAATGAGACCTTGCCTTCTTTCGATAGCATGGATACGAGTTCGGGATTCAGAACATTGCCGTATTCATCGCGGTATTCAACACGCTGCTCACGACCAATAAATGTCGACTCTGGCGGTGGCGGGTCGGAGATGACGAATTGGGCTTGGTTTTCTGGTTTGTCACCAATTGGCTTTTGCTTCTGCGGTTTGTGCTGCTGCTGCTGGTGGTTGTTTTGGATAGGAGAAACAGGAGGCTGTGACCTCACTGGCTCATTGGGATTCGTGTATGCTGTTGTGTACTGGCTCAACTATTTCATCCATCACTCATTAATCACTGAAATTTTTTGCCCTGCCGCGACGATGCGACTTTCGGACCGGAGGACTTACGTCAGTATGGAAGATGGGACAATCAAAGTCCCATGAACTTAACAATTTCACGCTGTTACAAGCGTCTCTTGTCCAAGGATTTGCGTAGACCAAAGGAGAGTAGACGACAAAAACAGAGATGCTCAGAGCAAGGAACGCAGCGATAAACCCGCTACCGACCACAGGTCGTTTACCAAGGATAGGCAGCTTAATACGATTCAAGACGAAGTCGCAAATTTGAGACAAAGCCATGATGGCAAAGTAAAGGGCGGGGAGGTAGTGGTGCAAAAATAGTTGACGGGCCATAAGGAAAAAGGGGAAATAATGGAAAGCCCAGCCAAGGACTGTAGTGCCGACTTCGTAGTCGAAGCGCTTGAAATTGACGTTTTTGTAATCACCATAACTTCGTTGCCAGCGAAGAACTGCAATACCCTTGAAAGCAACATAAACAGCGATCGCAGCAGTCGATGACCACCAAATCAGGGGGTTTCCGAGTAGATATACTTGACGATGGTCTTTACCCCAGAAGTTGATACCGCGGAGCAAGGTGGGCCAGGAAGGTGGGCGAGAATCCCAGGCATGCGACTCAGTCAAGCCTGCATTAGTGGTCCACATGACCCTCTGGAGCTCCCAGAATTTACCCAAGAAACCAGGGTTTCTGTAGTTAACCTTTTCTGCATCTTCCGGCAACGTTGGGTGGGCGTTTGATTCAATATACCAAAGACTGTTGGGGAGGGTGCCTCCTTTGGCGCAAGTGACCTCTTGCTGGTCATATCCCCAGTCAGGCAGTTTCACTTTGTGCGAGAACAATGTACAACCAGTCATAATGTGGACCAGTCGGAATTTCGTTTCAATCGTGCGCAGGCGCTTCTTGGCCTCCTCGCCATCGGACCAGGATGGGACAATTTCGACCCGGAAAAGATCATTGGCATCTCCAGCGAATCCTTCAAAGCCATAGGCTGACACCTCGTTCTGCCAATCGGCTTCGGTGATAGGAGGACGTTCATCATGGGAGTGAATACGGCGGTGGGTCAGTAAGTGGTACAAGCGAATTGTAGCTCCATCATAAATGTATTCGGCAGTCACGTTATCCCAAGCCAATGGCCCTGCAATTTCTTCTCCATCGACACCAAGAGGCTGCGTCTGATTTTCGACGAGGAAGATATTGTTCTCATCCTTATGCGGGTAAAGCGTCACTTGTTGCTGATTACTTCCAGTGGGATACATGTGCTGATGCGAGTGCAGATAACCACCTTGGGTGTTGACATGGCGAAGGGTAACACGGGAACCAAATGCAACATCAGCCGGAACATCTTGCATGCCTTTAGAGTTGAGAGTAGCCTGGAATTCAGAAGACATGAAGCCATCACCTTCCCCAGGGTTCACTAAACAGGTAAAGTGGATTGCAAACATGCCGACATAGAAGGCGAGGGGAATGACAATGAGACAGAAGACCCGGGCAAAGAAGTGTTTGAACCAGAGGCGCTGACGACTATTAGACATGTTTCTACGACTGTCCGTTCGGGTATTATAGACTTACCGGTGTAACGGTCTTGGGGTCACCCAGGAGAACCCATAGCTGAAGGACGGTGATGGACCCTAACCAAGCCGTTGTAAACAGTCCGACCCATTTAACGCTGAGCGTGGCACCCAATGACAGTCCACTAAAGGCGAGCCAGAACCACCAAGGCGCTGTGAACGCTCTGGAGGGGCCCTGCTCATGGTGATTGGTGAAACACGAGAAACTGAAGGCGGTTAAGGCGGTAAAGAAAATCAGGGGCGAATCAAGTAGGATTAGACGGGATTGAGTAGTAAGAGCGTTTTCTGTGGTGTTGTATATGTAAGCTTGCCTGCCATTTCGGTGCTCGTCAGATAATCACTCACCAAAAGTAACCATAACTGCACCCATGACGGAAGTAGAGGTTCTACAGCCGGTTGCTTTCAGAGTCAGGAACATGAGAGGGACGGTTAAGACGCCGAGAATTGCCGGCAAGAGACGCATAGCAACATAGGGGACTTTTGGTTCAATATAGTCCATGCCAATCTCCTTGAAATCAAAGTCACCTTTGAAGCCGGCAAGCCATCCAGCCAATGTGATAAGCAGTTTGGCTAGCGGGGGGTGGACATCCATGAAGAATGTGCCCTTAATGTATTTGGTTGCAAATCCACCGAAACTATGGAAACATCAATGTATTAGCCAAAGCAGTGCCTACCAGTGGATCTAACAGAAATAAGAGTGCATAACATACTGGACCTCATCGAAGACGACACTGGAAGGTTGATAGATGCGAAATAATCGGACTGCGGCCGCCACCAGGGTCAAGCCAACAAGCCATTGATAATCGGAGGCAGGAAGTCGGAAGATATCATTGTCCGTAACACCCTCCGATGAATAGTCCTTTATCGTTTTTGACCCGGACTTCGTCGACTTAGGGTTGGGGGAACGAGAACGGCTGCGCGAACGGCTTCCACGAGACACCGGCCGCACACTAAGCGTATCTTTAGATCTTGGTCCCATGATTGCAATTGGATCGCATCGGAGAAGAGTTCCAAAGAGTAGGGAGAGGGCAATTGACTGTCAGCGCTTTCAATTGTGCGACTGGAATGGAGAATAAGAAGTGAGTAAGTAGTCTTGCCAGCGACAAGTATAAAACAGGCAATAGGAGAGCGGATGTAAACGAAGGTGGGGAAGCGAAGAAGGAAAAAAAGATTAAAGAAACGATCCCATGTCAAGAGGAAGACAGCGAGAGATCCAAGCGAGCAGCAAATCCGGAGTTCCCAGGGGCATCCAACGGGAGAACGTGGTTGAGGCTGTCTTGGAGCGTCGACAGCTGGCCAGATGAATTTACGGGGCGGAACAACAAACCACATGAAAGCGGCGAGCCACGCTATTTTTAGCATGGCCTCAGGCATCCACACTACTACCTACTAGTATGATTGCGTCTAGCATCGATTATACATTGCATTTCCTCGCAGTCCTATTGAGATTAAACTACGTCTTTCTTCTACTAGTAAGAAAGCAGATGCTAAGCACACAGACTGAAATGTAGCTTGCTTAATAGACGCTCAAGGCCGAAGCGCGCGGCTAAAAAAGGCTAGCGCGGCGGCAAGAGCTTGAGAAATATCAATCAATCAATGCGACGTTCTGCCGCCCATCCCCAGACATCCTCACTCGCGCTCCATCGGATTCCTTTGGATTTGCACTACCGCACGACAATATGGCTGCCGCTGTAGCCAACGGTAATCATGCATCATCAACGCCTACCACCCTAGAAGAAATAGCGAAACCCCCGGAGGGCGTGGTCGTGCCGCCCAAGGATATTCGAGGTAAGTCGGAGGAGCGACTTTTGTTCTAGAGATATACATTTGCTAATCGCTTCCTTACAACACCAGCGATTGTTGAGAAAACAGCAGGCTACGCTGCCCGAAATGGTCCCGTGTTCGAACGTAAGTTGAACACTCTAATACGTTGGTTTTCCAGTGCTAATCTTCCATACACGTACAGAACGCATTCGCGAAAAGGAACAGAGCAACCCAAAATTCTCTTTCTTGAGCCCCGGAGATGCATATGCGGCATACTATCTATGGCGACTCGATGAGATCAAAGAAGGTCGCGGAACCGACATTTCAGCTGGAAGGCCGGGCGAAGCGCCCGTGACGCCAGCTCCAGAAAAGCCCAAGGGACCGACTGCCCCACCGGAATTCCATTTCTCAGCGCGAATTCCTATTATTAATGCGCAGGACCTGGAGGTTGTCAAGTTGACGGCACTTTTTGTTGCTAAAAGAGGAAAGTCATTTATGACCTCACTGTCGCAAAGAGAAGCGCGAAACTTCCAATTTGACTTCTTACGGCCACAGCACAGCTTATATCAGTTTTTCACACGCTTGGTGGACCAGTACACGATATTGTTGAATGAAGAAGGAATTGATGCGGATACTACAGCAAAGCGTCGGCTAGGAGAACTAGACCGGAATATCAAGGAAAAACATCATATCTTGGATCGGGCTAAACAACGAGCAGAATGGGTCAAATATCAAGAACAGCAGAAGCAGAAGAAGGAAGAACAGGAAGAGCAAGAGCGTATTGAATACGCACAGATCGACTGGCATGACTTCGCTGTCGTTGAGACTGTCCTCTTCGATGAGGCAGACGACCAGATAGAATTGCCACCTCCGGCTTCACTTGGTGATCTACAATCAGCATCTCTAGAGCAGAAGGCTATGATATCGATCAATCCATTACGGATTGAAGAGGCAATGCCCACAGATGAGATGGAGCCTGTATATTACAATGCCTACCCGGCGGAACAAGTTGGTCCCACACAGCCACCAGTACCTATCCCCACGGACCAGCAGCCTATACAGCCTGCCTTCCAACCTACACCTGCGAGTTCTGCCGCCAATGAAGAAGAAGAGCGACGTATTCGGGAACGTGCCGAAGCGCGCGATCAGGCATCCGCAGCGCAAGCAGCGGCGAAAGGCCAACCGCCATCAATGCGTATTCGATCCGACTACGTCCCACGGGCACAATCTCGACGACAACAGAATGCCACCGTCACAGCTCTCTGTCCCAACTGCCACCAGCAAATCCCAGTTGCCGAACTTGATCATCACATGCGCATTGAAATGCTGGATCCACGCTGGAAAGAGCAGCGCGAAAAGGCAGATTCTCGTGCCGCCCATACCAATCTCATCACAACCGATGTAGCCAATAACCTGAAACGTCTAGCAAGTCAGCGTAGTGACGTGTTCGATTACGCCAACGCTCCTGCTCCTACAGCCGCTGCTGCTACCGCTGCCACTGGTTTTGGAGGTTATGAATCTCACCAAGAATCAGAGGAAGAAGCCCGCCGGAAACGGCTCGCCATGATGGCTCCCCCAGGTACGACAACAGCAGTACCCGCGCCAGCCCTAGCTCCTCCAGCAGCACCTGGTACACCAGGGTATGAAAGTGCAGCGAGTGGACGATTCCCACAAATGCCCACTGTTGGTCCACCACAGACCATAGATATCAACGAACAAATCCGGAATCTGCATGAGAAGTATGGTGCACAGCAGCAGCAACAACAACAACAACAACAACAACAACAACAGCAGCAGCAATATCTCCACCATCAACAGCAGTATCCGGGAAGTCACCAATAAATTCCTCCATTTAAATGTGGATAATAATCGGGAAAGATGAGAAAAAACAAAGAAAGATTCTTTTCGTGTACTAAAAACTGGAGTTCAAATGTGACTTTTTGGAGATCAAAGCATTGGGCAGCGTTATGGGCGGATTTGTACGATTTTGGTTTTTTTTGTTTCTTCTATTAAACTACTGCTTCCTCTGTGCTGTAAAACTTAGGTAGCAGAAAGGGATCTAAATGAACTCAAAAAATGGGAGAAAAAATGCAGGATCCGAAAATTTTTTGATTTCATGTACTCAATTACCATGACTGAATCGATTAAGAATAGCCACGACACATGGACAAATGCATGTATCAAAATGAAAAATAGAAGCATAAAAACAATATATATATATATATGTGAATGTCCAATGAAAGAAAAAAACCAGAAGGTTGAGAAAAGAAAAGATCAGAAGAAAATAAGGGCGAGAAACGAGAAGAAAGATGATGCAGACACAACGACAACGACAATTAATCAGATTGTCAAAAGAAAACCCGAATATCTATAATGAGTTTGTTTTTCTCCAGGTGTGTTTGAGATGAAAGAAGGGAAAGTCATGCAAGAGCAAGGGATTCGGATGAACCGAGAGCGCTCGGTATCAATACGGGCTTCTCCAAGGTTGAAGATAAAATGCAACGGGTGAAAGGGTGAAGAAAAAGGGGTATGGGTATGTGAGTAAATATTACATTATTAATACAATAGAGCAAATATGTAGTAGAGTATAGGATATATGGCGGGGGAATCATCAAATGCAGAGCCAGTGGTGTGGAAGGGATGAGGAAATGGCGAACCCCCGAAAAGGGAGGGTCGATGCTGTAGGAATAATAAAAATGGCCATTAGCGATATGTCCTTCTGCTCCCGGGGATCGAGAGAAGCATGGCTTCTTAGTCAAAAGCACCAGGGACGGCCTTCAAATTGTCCGAGTCATTACTCTCTGAGTCGTCGTGATCATTGGGTTGTTGAGCCTTCTCAGTTGTTGGCGTAAATGGAGCATCCAAGGTGGCCGCATTGGAATGTGACGCGTCTGGAAGTGTGGTTTCCAAGTCAGTGTGCAATTGCTTGTCCGCATCGTCATCGTCGTCCTCTCCCTTGCTAACGACTTCTTCAGTCTTGTTTTCGGTTTCTACTATCGACACCGTCTTGACGTCAGAGTCGATCGAATCCATCTCAACGTTGCCATTCCGCAGCGGCAAAGCAGGAGGCGTCGTGGCAATCTCTTTGGCCGTGCCATCTGGTGTTGAAGACTCAACTTCGGTCTCAGTCTTAGACTCCGTGGTATTGGATTCCGCTACAGCAGCAGAATCTGATACAGGCACGACCTTCTCGGAATCGTCAGTAGAAGTGAAAGAGGGCACGACACCACCTCCAAGGCGAGACCAAAATATCCGCTCTCGTAAACGAATTGTCTCTTCCCATGCTTCCTTCTCTTCCTCCACGTCTCCAACATGTACGTAGCCGTCGAGAATCATTCTGAGATAGCCCGCGAAATCGCAGCAAGCTCGGACCTTCTCAAGACAAAGAACGCAAAGAGAGTATCGCTGGGCACTTTCGCTATCAGATGTCCGGAATCGATGTGTACGTTCATTTACATCGTCTGTCCGTCGCTCGCCGCAGAGACTACAGGGAAACATGTATTTCTTATGGCTTGCGGGCATAGGTTCCACGATCAGTGTACCATCGCAGAGACTGCTAAAAACAGATCGACGTGTGAGCCAAGAAATTGAAGGTGCAGCGTCTAAACGAAGTGTAGGCTCAAAATCTTCGACAAGAATGCGTTTGTAGAAACGAGTGTCCTTTAACGGCGTGTGGACGACATTCGGCTGAGGACTACCGTTAGGTGTCGAAGACTGGGGGGTCAGAGTACCGCCAACATTCGAATTACTGCCGCTCGAAGTCAAGCCAGCAAGCCCCATAACGTTCAAGCCCCCGTACGAGCCACTTGCAACTCGACTAGAGGGCTTAGAGGTTTTGGCAAAGTTCATCAGCTCACGAAAGTCGTCATATGCAACCATGTCTACTCGATAAACCGGCTTGATCAGATGAGGGAAAGAAGTGGAGGGCGCAGGAGATATATCAGCAGCGATCATAGCAGAAGAGAGGTTGGAGGAATCTAAAAGGCGGCCTATATTGGCCTGCATTGCTATGGCTGGCGATGAAGGAGCGGTCGACTGGTTGGGCGTGGTGTCAGTCTCATCTCGTGAAGAATTCATATCTTGCATAACTGTCTTCAATTCCGCAAGTTGTTCCTTTTGAGACGCGACCAGTGCCTCGGTGTCCTGGATCTGGGCACGAAGCTGCTCATTCTTCTTCTCCACCGCTTCCCGTTCTTGTTTTGCAGCAGCAACCATCTGTTTGATTGTCAGCAAGGCCTTTTGTACTCCGTATCTCTCAAATGGATGACGATTATACCTTGTTCGCTTCTTCAAAAAGTGCCGCAGTCAAAGTCTCCAGCTCCTGCTCCATCTCTCTTTTTTCCTGCTCCGCCACCGAACGCTTGTTTTGTTCCTCTTCTAGAGCAGTTTTCATAGACAGGATCTCCGATTCCACATCGCTACGTTTGACCATGATGCCACTAGATATGTCTGTGCGATACTGTTCATTCTCGGATTCAACAACTGCCAATCGTTGTTGTGCTGCGTCCAGTTCCTGACGAGTGGCCGATAGCGAATCATCGAGACTGGTTTGGATGTTGATTGCTTGCACTAGCTTGGCACTCAGAGTGGCCACCTCGCTGTTCAGATCCGGGTGATGCGACGAGTCGGCGGTGCCGGATAAATCGGTAGTGCTTGCAACTCGCGGGTCCCTGAGCGTATTGAAATCGCTTTCCTGCAGATCTTCCAACCCAGCTGGAGAAAGCTTTCGACCATTTCTTAAATCCGAGAGGGCGTTGGTTGATTTCATTTTGGTGAGAAACCTCGCAGGCGAGCGCGATCGCTTCCCTGCGGAATGAGACCGCTTGTGGTTGGTCGGTCGAGACAACATGCTGGATGGCGATAGAAAACTGTTATGTCCGTACGAGTGGAGGGAGATAAGGCTACTTGAATAGTCGGTCAGTATCATGGGAGCCATGTCGTGCTTCAAACTTACTCAGCCATGGTGAAAATTTCAAGAGGTGATGATGTCAATGTCGGCACACGTTGTTTTGTTGGACAAGCCCGTTGCAAAGGAACGAATACGGGGTTTGATGCGCTGAAGATGGACCAACGCGGGCCATAAAACGAAGGTAGAAGATGGAATTGGCCAGCGGATCGATCTCGTTCTGGCGTTGTCGCGACGAGTCTCACTATCTCCGTGCGGACAGCAGCATGTTAAATGAGGACCCACAAAGGATTGAGGCTGGGCAGGTCAATCAAGAGGCTTGTCGGTGCAGTCTGGCGTGTTTTGCGTCGTCCCTAAGGAATGGAGGAAGCCACACACCGTCGACCAGCCCAAGACGACAAGATGCCGGGAAGAGACGTTTGGCAGTGGAAGAGAGAGTAAAGTAGTCTACTAGAGCCCGAGTTCGTTCCAAGTGGCAAACGCTTTTTCCCCCGGCGGCTTGGCGGAGACGGGCGCAATTCAGCGTGACGGGCGGCGAGGGCGAGGTGATTGGCAGATAGCGGGTGAGGAGAAAGTGAAAGTAGAGTACGTGATGAGGAGAGGAGAGAAGAGATTCGTCACGATAAGCGCCGCCAGGAGAGAAGAGCAGCTGGTGGCTGGCCAGGCAGAATCGTTAATGAGCTCGCGGACGCTGGCGGAATACGCAGCCAACTGCTTGCGGCCGTCTGGTTGGCTCGTGCTGCGTCCCGCCGCCCCGCTCACGCATCCGCTAAGCCCAGTCGAGCAACACAAGTCACGCGACGCCCGCCAATCAGCATTGAGAATCCGCTGCCCATCACGGCGCCTCAGGCACCAGTCTATCTCCAAGCTTACCTAGGATGCTGCAAGTAGGTCGAAAGCACGGAAGATGACAGCCCGTCTGCAGAGCAGCAAACGCCTAGCAAATCAAGCGGCCCTGCCCCTACTCAGCGACGTAATCCAAAATTGTACGCAAAGAGGATTGTTTCCTCAATGGTCATTTGTGATGACGCCAATGCTGAGAGCTCTCTCCCCCCCACTAGGTGAAGCCTCAGGCCGCAAAGTGGGGTACAAAGGACTGTCGATGGTAAAGTAAAATAATTCTTCCGAACCAATGCATTGCTTTGGTTTTGTCCGGACTGCGTCGTCGAAAGGCAGGCAGAATCATACCTGAACCACTGTGTTGCTGGAGGAGCAAACCACTTCGTCATGGCGGACGCCGAGTTGGAAGAGGTAAAATTGTTGCGCCCCCGTGAAGACCTGCTGCCCCGCCGGCACACGATGCTGCTTTGCTTGTGCACATGTGATGTCACTTGCGTAAGGGAGATAAAATGGACTGATATACTAGATCTAGATTCGAAGAGCTCGTCTCGCTCAGTTACAAAAGCAGGGCGGCGGCCGAGGGGGCGTTCCCGGTGGTGAAGGCCAGGATGATCAGAGAAGGTCAGTATATGGCTATGCCTGCCTGTCATATCGAACCTCTGTTTGCTAATATCATTTCTTCACGCGGTTACAGACAAGCAGAAGGTAGTCCTAAGATTGCCATGCATTTCCTCCGCAAACTCCAGTGTCAACTAACTACCGTCAAACCTTTCGCAACACAGCCGAACGACGTTCCTCCATACTCTCCCAGATTCTCGACCCAGCAGCAGCAGACCGATTAGGGCGAATACGGCTCGTCAAGGAGTCTCGCGCCACCGATATTGAGAACCGTCTGATTATGCTTGCACAAACGGGACAACTCCGCCAGAAAGTGACCGAAGATCAACTAAAGGAACTTCTCAACGCCGTTGCCGAAAACTCCCGCAAGGAGGAAGAAGAGCAAAAGGTCGTTTTTAGTCGTCGCAAAGGCGGTTGGGATGACGATGACGATCTGTTGGATTTGTGAGTCGTCACGGTTATAAGGTTCTTACAATTGGGTTATGCTTTTCAGAAAGACAAGCCAGGGGAACATTATTTTCGGACATGTTGTAATGAATGAAATGTTATCCATATACCCATTTACCCGAGCTGGAGTGCACACAGCAGAGCATCTTGATAACGATCATTGAGAGACAAAAAAGGCACAAGAAAAAAGAAAAATAAAACGCCCCAATGCAAATGTGTATGATATCTGTTACATGTAATGTACAAAAGGCAAGAGCCGGACAGAAATACTAACTTAAATACTTGATAAGCCTATATCTGCTTTGGCTCGGAGCGCTGCTCCTTTGCCCTCTTTTCCTGCTGTCGTATCATACGACGGATCTGCCTCAGATCCGGCGGAGCCTCGATGTTTAACTCAGCGCGCAGATCATCAACATTCCGTTCCAGCTGCTCTTCCCAATACACGTTAATCAATTCTTCACTCGACAAGCCACTGCGAACCGCCCATGGAAGATGAAGCTTAAAAAACCTCTCCCGCTCAGCAGGTTTCAATCGAACGACGGCAGCAAGACTCAGGGCTGTCATGGGGAGTACTGTATTCAGAAACTCAAATGCTTTCAGCGCCAATTCGCCTTCCACCATTGTTGGCAAGCCCGTCACAGCATGGTAGAAATCGTGACACTCGCGATATCGTTGCATGACATATGCACATTCTTCATCATCAATATACTGCACGCTGTCCCGCGTGTCGGGGGAAACGCCCTCCCGATCAAGCCATGTCGCGTACGTCCGACCAACAGAATTCTCCGGTAAAGTGCGAAGGTAAGGGAGCTTGAGGGATTCGGAGGTAAGTCGAGGACGGTCTCGGAGGATACGACGGCCAGTGGGATTGGCTAGCATAGCGTCACGGAGGCGGTAAATGAAGTAGGGTGTTGCGGTGGCTTCACCGAGTGCTGCGATTAGATCTAGAAGGAAGTGGGTTTGTCAATGGCTGAGCTGGGATTCAGAAATTGCGGATGGTGACAAAAACGAACCGCCTCTCCTAGGGTTGAGTAAGGACCCAAAAGCTGAACCTAGCGTAAGCACCCCACGCTCAACTCTCGTGAGAGGAACATGGCCTGGATAATTTGGAGGCGGCCGACTGAGAACGGAGAACGCGCGGCGGGATGATGCACTTTTTAGCGCGACGTCATGGCATCGCGAGCAGCAGGATTTTGGCGTAATGAGAGATGCAGATTTGAGAAATGGAGGCATTGTCTTGCTGTGACTCGGTAGCCGAGCAGTGCGTAGTACTTTGGGCATAGAATTGATCAGTTATTGGTGCTGGTGGAGTGAGTGTCAACTGAGAGCAATGGAAGTAACATGCCAGGTGGAGAATCACAAGCTTGATTTATCCGTAAGGACCATGTATCAGCTAGTGTGTTACACATGTGAATCCAAAGCCTGCCTATGGAAATGCAACGACATATGGTAATTTACCCGGTAAATACACCGTACTGACCGGAATACCTGGAAAATAAGGCCCACAAATACTTATCAACGAAGCTAGCCGCCCTAACCTTAGCTGGACAAAAAAGACAGCAGCACAATCTCTAGTCAAGCCCTAATTACTTGCTTTCTGGTTTTCCACTTCCAGTTAGCTGTACACAAGCTGATGTGTAATTGATGTAGTTGCAAACGAATTGCTCTTTGATGACTAAACAGCAAAGGTCGCCCTAAAATCTGTCACTATAAATTGGGACACAAAACCCTAACTCGCTTCCAACTCGAGACTCGACTCCCTCCCCCTTGAACACACCTTTGCAGCCTACACCGCATGACAAACAAGCAACTATTCGTCTTTTAATTTGCCTTCTTCTTAACTTTCTTCTTAAAGATAAAAGAAAGAAAGGAATATACCATGGCCTCTGAACCGATTTCTGATCTAACCCCTGAACATGCCACCAAGGCGTCTGCTGAAGAACAAGCCGAACAGGCCATGTTCGCTAAATACCCTTCACTCCAAAAAATGATGGGCGTCCCACCTGAGGAAATTGTTGAATCACACGACGGGCGTGAGACAAGCTTGCTCAAGTATATTTACAGCCATCCCAAGCTAGACAGCGAATTGCGCGGCTCCCCCACAGCCATCATGGCGGCCATGGACGAATTCGCCGCAAAGGAGGAGTTCTTGATCAACATCGGGTCTGACAAGGCAAAGCTTTTGTCTGACTTGATTCATGAGCATAAGCCAAAGGTCCTGCTGGAACTAGGTACTTATGTCGGGTATGGTTTTTTCTTCCCTTTTTTCTCTGAGGCTATCATCTCTAATTTCGATTGATCGAGTCTTTTTTTTTTGAGCTCTGGCTAACGTCTATCACTGGTACTAGGTACTCGGCTATTCTCTTCGGAAACGCCATGCGAGAGGTCAGCCTCAAAGGAAATGAAGCGAGAGACGAGAAGCCTCGCATCTACAGCCTTGAGCTTGATCCATTGATTGCGTCGATTGCAATGAACTTCGTCAACCTCGCCGGCTTGGGTGACATTGTGGAGGTCATTGTTGGGCCCTCTGCTCACACGCTGCAGCGTCTCCATGACCAAGGCGTCTTGGGCAGTGGTAGTGTTGACATGATCTTCTTGGACCATGCTGAAGAACTTTACAAACCGGACCTTGAACTGTGTGAGAAGCTGGGGTATCTGGATAGTAGTGGCGCTTGTGTCGTCGCCGACAATGTCGTCCGACCTGGTGCACCGGAGTACAGGAAATATGTGCGCAACAACTCTCGATTCAGCAAGAGTTGGGGAGTGCCTTCGCTGATCGTCCCGGGAGATCTTCACGTATGTTTATACTACTTCTATATTTCTATTCTGCCCTTCTATCAAAGTAGAAAGAACACACAGGCTGACTTACTGCGTATAACAGGACGAGGTTGAGATTAGTCTCGTTGGCGACTCGGAAGTAAAGGGGGCCGAGAAGAAGAGGCAGAGGACCGAGTAATGCAACTGTTGGCAGAATCAGTCAAGTAGCAGGATAATGTTGCAGAGAAGAAATGCTCTTATCATTGTGCATATCTGGCTGTTTCATTGTTTCATTGAGGATTTCGATGATATTTTACCTTCCAAATCGAGCAGTTTTGTTGATCAAGCATGATTTCCTTTTTCGGCATGGTGGATAGGTCTTCGATGTCACGACGTGATTGGGTGGCCCGATGGATGTCGTATTAGTGGTCAGCCCTAGGGCTAGTCCCACTTTCCTTCTTTCTTCTCATATGAATAAAGCAGCCTCAGACATCCAGTTCTTCATTCTACACATTTTCAAGTATTGATAGCGCAAGATACCCATCAACGTCCAATGAAAGGACATTAAAACATTAGCAAGCCTATACAACCCACGACTCACATTGCTTGCAGACCGACATAGAAGATGTCAGCATACAGTCCGCCTGGTGAAGAGCATGTCGCCTTTATGCAATGGGCTATTGATCAGGCCGTCAAGGTGAACGGGGTAGAGCCCGCTAGAATTCCTGGCCGAGGCTTGGGCATGATAGCCACAAAGGATATTCAAGTAAGATTGTATACACATGCTATGCTTTGTATCAGTCAATTGGTGTCCTAAAAGATTCTGCGCCTAGGAGGATGAAATAATGGTTGAAGTGCCACTATCGGCCATGCTAAGCATTGACAGCATTCCAGCCACATTTGTGAATTTGTTCAATGGCAAGATATCCTTACAAGGTCTGCTCGCGGCATTTTTCACCCATGGCGATCCAAACATTCTAAAGAAATTTGATCTTTGGAAAGCTACGTGGCCCAACATGGAGGACCTCGAGGAGGGATTGCCCATTCTCTGGTCCAAGGAACTTGGAGGTCTAGATCTGAAGCATAATAGCCCCAATGAAACTGCTATTGCTGATGACTTGTCAACATCCATCACACTCCCGCCATCAGCTTCGGGTCTATGGAACACATTCCGCAGAAAGTCCCTCGTTGAAGATTACCAAACAAAGCACCAGAATTTATTAATTCGGCAGGAGAAGCGACTACGAGATGCGTGGCACGACGTCCTTGCTGTCTTTCCTGACACTAACTGGGAAACGTTTGCGTATTATTGGTTGATTATAAATACCAGAAGCTTTTATTATTTAATGCCTGGCCAGGAGCGCCCCGAGGATACGAATGAAGCTATGGCACTGGTGCCGTTTGCAGATTATTTCAATCATATCGACAACGCAGTACGTGGTCAGTTCTTAGTGCTAATTTGTGAATACTAATAATTGAGTTGAAAAGGAGTGTGATGTGAACTTTGATGGGCAAACGTATACATTTCGAGCAACGAAGGTTTACAGTCAGTCTCAGTCTCTTCTCCTTTTTTACTTATATGAGCTGATTCCGGTTCCTCCTGTAGAAAAAGGGGAAGAGGTGTATATGAGTTACGGGCCACATCCGAATGACTTTCTTTTCATTGAATGTATATTAGCCATCCTGCCTTCCCCAAGTGCTTCGAATGCTGACAAGATCATTAAAAAAGATGGGTTTTTCCTTGAGGAAAACGAGTCCGATGCGTTATACCTCGACGATATCATCTTCAAAGACTTCACAGCTGCCGAAAAGGAAGAACTGATCTTTGAAAGATATTATGGGTATGTATTGCGCATCTATTCCCACGCATCCGTTTCTAAGAAGTTATAACTGATGGCTTCCCTTTTTTTCTAATCGTCCAAAGCAATTATCAAATTACAATCGAATCTGGACCATGTTTCCGCACTGAAGTCGCAGCGAGCATGAAATGCATGTCTCGCCGTAACTGGAGGAACTATATTCAAGGCCGCGGTGCTGCACCGAATGCCACCAAAGTGAATGCCATCATCAGAGATTGGATTGAATTGTACCTCAGAGAGGCAAGGATTGCAATTGATTCACTGAAGGAAATGCTCTCCGAAAAAAAAGAAACTTCGTCACGGTCAAAGATTAAAATGTTGCTAGGGAGGTGGGAACAGATTAGACAGCTATGTGATGGAGTGATCTCAAAGCTCGATTGATTTATGTATGACGACGACGATATATGGGTATACATGCGAAAAGGAATAAAACAGAAGCGAAATAGAGAGAAGCTTCTATCATGCTTCATCCTCAGTCTCTAAATTAGACGTATCAAGCGGAACCGCACCAGCTTCTCGAAGCCTCATGATATGATTTTTGCCTAGCACCAGCTGCATGATCATATAATTCAGAACGCATCTAATACCGAGTTCATCCCCTCGACGGACAATGTACCCATTAATGTATTCAATTTCCGTTCTCTTCAGCGCCTGCACATCCTGAAGCATTGAGCTCGTATTTGCAGCTGTTTTGTTGGCCAGGTTGACTGCTAGATTCTTCAATCGTTCCGTCGCGAAACGTGCCTGAATGCCAGGCACGCCTTCCAACTCAGGCAGTGCACAGATCACGGTGGATATTTCGGCGAGCAAAAGTCGCATGGAGCGAGTTATATGGTAATTGTAGAGGAGTTCCCCATTTTGCGAATCTAACAACACTGTAAATGGGTTTATGACGCAGTTCATGGCTAATTTTTCAAGTTGGCATTGTAACACGTTAACTGCACTCTCGGCAACGGCTACTAATGGTGGTGTCAGAGTTAGTGTGCGTAGAAGGTACTTCGTAGAGGGAGCCCAGTCCTCTTCCTGAACGTCGGAAGTCGTGCGTGAAGGTAATGCTCCGAGAATGGTAGTCCCGAGACCGGTATATTCCACGTGAAATGGCCTCTTCATTCTAAGGCCATGCGAGATAACTCCCTGTATATAGTGAGGGCGTTTCTCGGGGTCCGGAAAGATTTCCTTGTTTACTTCGTCAATAACTCCCATGCCATTCTGAAGGAAAAGCACTGTCGAGTCCGGCGTTAATCGGTGACTGACAGAAGACAATGCTTGGACTGTTTGTGGTGCTTTGGTCGTTATGATTATACACTCTATTTTCTCGTCGTCTCTTTCCGACGTGAGAAGGTCCATCTCCTCGTCTGTTTCGAATGCGTGAGTGGATTCTAGATCTGGGTCCTCTTGACGCCGTGATATCAAAATCTCAGGCTCATGGTTGTCAACGTTGCTGTTATTAATATTATCATGTTGATTCCAATATGGTAGAGAATGCCATGTATTCTCATTGAAAACATTGACATCGAATCCAGTCTTTATATCGTCCAATCCATTTGTCATTAGGGCTATCGATTGTTTTCGCTGTAGCCACCGCGAGTACATATCACGATTGTGCAACAGCAGGGTTATTGGTGGCCGTGTCTTGCGAGATGCTAATGAATGCGCCACGAAGCAGCCAACATTTCCCAAGCCTATAATATGTATTCGTCCAGACAAGCTGCCGCTTCTATGCGTCGCATCGTCCAGCGTCTCCTTCTGCACGGGGTTAACCAACGACGGCTGCATTTTGGTTGCGTAAGTTCGAGACGCAAAACAGTAGCCCCATGGAAATGGCAATATGGACGACTGACATTTGGCGATTCCATGTGCACCGACTAGACCAATCCGCAAAAGCGGATGGTTAATGCTTTTGGCATGCACTTTGGCGACCTTTCGGAGCGTTGCGAAATCGTGGCTGATTTAAATATCGGTATGGATTGATATGGAGCAATAATAAGCCTCAGCTCTTCATCATGAGGGTAATCTGGCGTGTTTGCTGGCTCCAATTCACATCAAATGTCAACAATTGCCGGGAAGAATTATTTGAGCATCGATCCCTGGCGGGTTGCTTGCCGACAGACCGCCTTGGCTCACCGCCTTCTGGTGCCGCCGAAAAGAACCGTGAGAAACTTTTTAGTTTCATCGCTTCACCGCATGCCATTTCAAGATCAAACACGATCAAGCGCCCAAAATGGAGGTCGCGGATTTGATACCGGTAGTCGAGCGCTTCGAAGATAATCTTGATGATTTGGAGGAAGTGATTAAGCCGCTTCTTGCGCGCTCGTTGGAAGAGACATCCAAAAAGCTACCGCTGTTGGAGAGGGCCAAGCTACATGCTCTGGTTACATATACAGTGGAATCGCTGATTTATTGTATGTATGACCGCGATTTACTTTAGATTATTTACTCACGGGACTAGCATACTTGCGTCTTCGAGGAGTGGAGGCCAAGGAACACCCTGTCTTCACGGAGTTGACCCGGGTGAAGCAGTACTTTAGAAAAATCGCAGCGTTGGAAAGTGAACCGGAGAAAACAGACAAACCAACAATGAGATTAGATCAGGGCGCGGCCCGTCGTTTCATATCACATGGTCTTGTATGTTTACTCACTCCCGTAATATATTCTTTCAAGCTTACTGAGTTTGGTTCCAGGCTGGCAATGAACAGTACGACAACGAGCGAGCCGAAAAGCTAGCAAAAGAGAGAGCACGAGCGCAACTCAAGGCGGCGATGCTCGCCAAGCAGTCAAAAAACAAACCATCGACTTCAGTTTCGTCACAAGAACCCAGGGAATCGTCCACTTCCGCCAGCAGTTCAGATTCCGAGGCCCATTCCGAGTCCGAGTCCGAGTCTGAGTCTGAGGACTCCGAACCCGAAGCTCAGTCGCAGTATGTTGAGAACAATCGTAAGGTACAACCATCAAAGGAGCCGCAGGCCCCGGAAGATTTTATTCAGTTACCATCGGAACCATTTGTTGGGTTAGAAACTGCAAAGTCGAAAGCAAAGAAGAGGAAAGAAGCCGCTTTAGCTAGGAAAGCCGATCGCAAGGCAAAAAGAGAAGGGAAGCCAACGAACGAGGCTAGCAATAACAAACAAGCCCTCGATCAGAAGAAGGAGAGGCGGCGCAATAAACAAGCCAAGAAAAAGGCAAAGAGAGCCAAGCAGAAGCAGAAGGGAAATGCCTAAGGCGATATATTTGGATGTTATAATTTAGTCAAACATGCTGACTTTTGTTGACTGTGCATTGCATCTGGGGGCGGTTGGTTGGCGTTTGGAGGCTCGTTCGCACTACATTGATGTACATACTACATCATAGCATTCGTACGCATTGTTATGCTCTTGATTCCAGTGATCATAGTCCGTTGTGTACAGAGTAGAAATGCATCGGGAGTAGATCCATAAACCCGCGGCTAACCCAAGGAAGCCCGCCAGCCAATCAGACAAGCGCACGGCAACATTCGGACGATTTTGCCTCACAAGTCCGACTTTCGACTTTCTTCTGGAAAATACTCAACATCCCATCCATCTTTGATATTCTTCACCCGTACGCTTCCTAAGACGCACCGATCTATCTATTTTCACCACCACTATTATCACCACTTAATAAAACCAGCGAACTTGAAAATGCCTCGTCAAAACCGTGGTCGTGCCCCTGCCGCTCCTGCGCGCAGCGCTCCTGCTCGCCCTACTGCTGCTCCTGCCAGACCTGCTGCTCCTCAAACACAGCAGAGCCAGCCTCACTCGACTGCTGCTCATGCCCCTGCTCCTGTTCAGCAGGCTCCTCCTATGCCGGTTCAGAGCCAGGGACCTGGTCTGTTCGGTCAGATGGCCTCGACTGCTGCGTAAGTTTATTTCACCGTCAACCGGTTACCCATCCTCCCGCATCAGTATGCACACTGCAGTGCAAATCCAAGCTAACCTATTTGCTTTTCTTCAGTGGTGTTGCTATCGGTTCCTCCATCGGCCATGCCATCGGTGGCCTCTTCTCTGGTGGCAGCTCCAGCGCCCCCGCTGAGGCTCAGCCAGCTGCACCAGCTGCTCAACCCATGGACAACGGACTCTACGCCAGCTCAAACAGTGCTTCGTCTTGGGAAAATCCAGCCTGCGCCACCGATGTGCAAAATTTCCGCAAGTGCATGGATGATAACCAGGGAAATATGTCCATTTGCGGATGGTATTTGGATCAGTTGAAGGCTTGCCAGGCTGCCGCTAAGCCTTATTAGAAGATTTCTTCCTTTACCCTTTTTGTACCGAATAGTTTGCTTTCATGGAGCATTGTGGCATAGCATAAGATATCATCTCTAGGCAAGGTGGTTTTGTCTATGAGCAGGTCTTTTTTCTTTCTTATCCCTTATATACCTGCCGACTAGTTGACTAGAGAATTCTTGTACACTAATCACATATTGGCCTGATGACGTTGTTGACATAACAATATTCATTTAAGAAGACCACAAAACGAAAACCAAAAAAAAAAAAAGGAAAACCTCCACTCAAATTCGCTTTGTTTCTGATAGAGGAAAATAATCCCACATCTTCACTGGTTCCATCACTTCCTTTTCCATAAGAATAACTCTTTAGTCGCCAGTCATCCATTCTTGTTAAAGAGAAGGTCATTGAACTATAACCTATATATTTTCGCACAGTTGTCGCTAACCATCGGGGACGAATATGTTGCGGCTGTCACTTCTCTTTAGAATCATCATCTTTCTTCGGCTCAAAATTTAACTTCACGAGGTAGAGCATCGTCAGCATAAGCAACTCATCATAAAAACGGAAAATGAGAGAGATCTTACAGTGTTGCCGTTATAAAATTCATTCCTATCTTGGTCATTCCACTGGTCATGCAGTGTTCGGATATTTATTTTCTGACTACTTCTTGTTGTCGTAGGCCGCGTATGGTTGTTACCGGTAGAATCTGATGTTGATGTTGCTTGTAGATCAGGAGTACTGCCATATCCCAAGAGACCTCCAACCATCCCAGTCACACCACCCACTACTCCGGAGACAAGGCCATATCCCGATGATATCACGCGACCTGGAAGACCGCTCATCACTCCAGATGGGGCGTATGCTTCGATATACGATGGTACTGGGACCATGACCAGACTAGCTGTTGGTCCCAATTCTAATTCCTCTAATGAACGCTCCTCTTCTGACACAGAGATAGTGCGGTTTGGGAGAGGAGTCAATATGTGTTTGAGATTGTAAGGCTGAGAACCATCTGAACGCTGAGTTTCAAGCCAAGGGCGAATATCCTTTCGAATTGTTGCCGAAGGTGGAAAGTTATGGCGAACTGAACTACCATCAAAGAGACGGATCTGCAGGCGATAATCTGATGCCTGTCTTTTCTCTGGCCTTTCTGCTGAAATATTCTTAGGAGTAGAGGAAGAAGTGGATGAAATGCCTTTCTCTTCTGCAGCGCGCTGCCTTCGGGCTTCCTGGTCATGTTTGATTTGATTCCGAATCCTCTCTCGCTCTTCTCTCTGTTCCTTTTGTTCGCGTTGTATCTTGAGTTGCAATGCACGACGGTCTTCTTTTTCTTGCATAGCCTTCTTCTCTTCGGCTGTCATCTGTTTGTCAGGCTGTTTGCCATCCCGTACATTCCGCCTATTTGTCCGCTCTGTCGACTCTATCGTAGCTTGATGGTTTTGGTATTGAGCTACGGGCGTGTGAGTTTGGTTCAGATCATGATCCGTCGTCGCCGTAGTTCCAATTGTTTGTGAATTTCCCTGTTGGGCAGCAGCAGGAGGGGGAGTAGGAGCAATCGGGGCCGTATTCGGATTTGGCGATGCTGCGAGCACCGTCTTCAACCTTGTCTGAAATTCATCCTTCATCGTCCCGGAAAAAATATATTCCTGTACCACACCATTCCTTATCACTATGAGGGTCGGATAGCTTTGGACGGGACATATCGAGATCAGAAATCCCGTTTCTCGGGTACCGGCTACGAGGCGAAGGGCAACCGCATAATTTGAAAGCAGCTCACGTAGCTAGTTATTTCAGAAATCAGTCGACTTCATTATCATATAGAGCTATCGGTACCTCATCGTTATCAAAATAATCATCTTCCCAACGAGTGCTTTCTTCCTGATTGTCTATACGACCGATTTTGTTAGTAAGTTGTGCTCGACACGGAACAGTTGGCATACCCCGAACGAAACAGACAACAGCCTTTGCCTCGCGCATGGCGAGAGCAATGCCGCTTTGTAAATCGCCTTGGTAGAACATTGCGAGCTACTGCATTATATCTGGCTTTGGTTCTCAAATGGGTTTGTGATGAAATCAATGGAATAGTAAATGATACGTAGTTGCTTGTCGGAGCGCATGTGATGCGGAGAGCTGATCATTTCGGCGATTGCCGCCGGTGAAATAATTGTGCCTGAGGCACCAATCCGCTCTGTCCATTGCTCGCATCTAGAAGAGCAAGCTTGATTTAGCCAAAAAGAAAAGAAAGAAGAGAAACAGAACATGTCCTATTCTGTTAGCTAGAAAGTCTACCAAGTTAAGTTTCATGAAGAGGTAAATTGAATTATGATTCCTAGGTCTAGGTATTGGAGTGAATTGTAAATATATAGAAATAATCATTGGTGATAGATTCGCAGAGTTGGCGTGCATTGGGTTGACCCCTAAAAAGAAGAAAAGTATCTTGTCTAGAATCGTCTGCGTTCAGGCTTCTCAACTTGAAAAATACCGAAGAGAACATTGTTTCATGGTATTGCAACGGTGATTTGAAACAGGCGAACCTAAGTAGCAGCAACAGCCTTGGCCCCAAACAGCTTCTCCCTCTTCAGGAGCATTCCCGTCACAAAACACAATGCTCCTGCCGTGATCACGAGAGCATAAAGGCGAGAAATAGATTTTACGATTATGTCTATCGCCTCGGTTTGAATATCGCTTGGCAAACTGTTGAGCAAAGTGCTCTGGGATCCGGCGACAGCACCGTGGATCTGCGAGGCAGTGAATCCCCGAGGAGTAAGAACTTTGCTCAGGTGAGTAAAGGTGACATTTTGGAACACAGTGCCGGAGATAGCCAGAGCGACAACCAAACCTCCAATTTGAGCAACGTTTATGAACCCGATTGCTGCTGCCATATCCTGGGGCGCAGCTTTAGAAGGGGCCACACTGTAGCCAATCTGAGCAACCAAACCAGCCCCGATGGCGATCAAGACCGAAAAGCCGTAGATAGTACCTGTATGAGTTGTGGCACTGGTTGTGTACATGAGAGCGGCGCCGACGAGTAGGAAAGCCCCGCCAACGATGTAAAGTACAATATAGTATCCCAGATACCCCAAGAGATGCCCAGAGCCCATGATGAAAACACTGAGAACACAGATAAACGGCAGCAATCTTACAGCAGATTCAATCCCGTTGTCACCATGTGAAAACTGGAACATAAGAGGGATGTAGTATATGACGACAAACATGGCGGTTGATCCGCACGCCGTGCAGATGTGTAATATGACCATGGTCCGAGAAGCGATGAATTGGATGGGGAACAGCCGGCGCTCGGGAGTAGTAAGTATAGCAAAGTACTGCTGGGCCATGAAGAGCAACAAGATCACGCCGCAGACTACCAAGGTGGCGATCGTCCGACCATCATTCCACTCCCATGTCACGCCTCCAAATGTAAGAGCCATTACAAAGGTGGTGTAAAGTCCCGCAATAAGAGTTGCGCCGACCCAGTCAAGCTCCTTTAGTTTCGTGAGTGTTGAGATTTCTGGTTGCGGGTTAAAGCTTGGGATGCAAAGGAGTGCTGGCGACAAAGCTCCAAAGATGACGAGGTTGATGTAGAAGGCCTGAAATGAGCTTGTTAGCATCAGTTGCCAGTGCACGTAAGACTTAATCCAATGACGTATACCCATCTCCATGAGGCACTCGAGTCAGCAAACGCGCCTCCTATGACAGGGCCCAAGATGGTTCCAGCTCCCCAGATCACACCGGTACCACCCATGTACGCAGGTCGCTCTTTTTCTAGGGTATTGATGGCAATCAGGTTCAACATGCCGAGATATAATCCCGCGCCGCCGACGCCAGCAATGACTCGTCCCACGATGAGAGCGTCCATATTGGGGGCGCCACCGCAGATAGCACTCCCGACGGCGAACACGACGATGCTTCCCAGATGAACATACTTGACATTAAACATTCCGTAAGCTTTCCCACTGGAGCAAGATGTTAGCTTGGCAATCCTCACTGGCGGCTTTGACGACTTACAAAGTCAAGATGGTGGCAACGGATCCTAGGGGAAACCCATCACCTATCCAAGCCAGCTGTCCGACATCTCCAAAAGTGTCTAGGACAGAGCTCTGGATGTCTGCAGCAATGGTATTGTCGAGCCCGTACAGAAAAATAGCGCAGTAGAGGCCGGCACAAACCAGTACCCATTTCCAACCCGTCACAGCTCTAGTTTCTGGCTGCAGCTCGGAGGAGTCGGGTGTGATTTGTTGCTCCTTCTCTGAAGCCTCATTGAAGGTCTTGTCGGAATCATCGAAAGGAGGTTGTTGCACGTCTGGTGCGGAAGCCATGGTGAGTTTCGGCCTGCAGAAATAGGCTTAAGATGAAGAGGACGAGAGTGCTTGCACGCCATGACCATGGTTTTTGGCTTCGATACATATAAATAATACCTCTGAGGGAAACCGAGGAGCGGGAGGAATGGTGGTGGGAGGCCGTCGACAGCATTATACGCGAATGAAAAAACATACACGAGACGATCTCGGGCTGACAAATGACGCTATTCTAGGTTAGCTGCCGTGTGGGATGCGTGAGGAAGGAGCGTCGCTAATTGCACATTTGTCAGGGAAGATCAGGGTCTAGAGCGGGAGCCGGGTCCACACCGCACGGGTGCTGCCGTAAGTGCTGACTATTTTGGCTTAGCGGTGCTGTCTCGGACCCGCATCCATTGACAAATGACGTCTCGTTCGCATTGGGCTTCTAGTTCTACAGATGAGGGAATCTCCAAGTCACTCCCGCTTCTCTTCTCTCCACCTATGTGGCTCTTATCCGGTATGGTACACACAGGGTTCAGCCGCGGTTGCGAACGCTGCCGGAACAAGCATCTGGCATGCGATCAAGCTAGGCCACAATGCACAAAGTGTGCCTCTTATCGAGCTTCTTTACGTGTTCTAAGAATTGGGTTAAGCTATGCGCATCTTTAGTGTTGCCTCAAATATTGAGTACATGGATGATAGGATAGCTAGCGCTTCTCACATAGGATCACGTCCTTGAAATATTGTCTTCATGTCAGCTAAATTTCCTTGGCCTTCATTACGTCCTCTAGCAAGTCATCTTTTACCAGGAGTACTAGGTTCAGTGATCGACCTCCTTTGATACTATAACCCACTGCGTGCACCTCGGGCCCAACCCACGTATTAATACCTGGTGCGTCCAGCCAATCTCTGAGGGCGTCATCTGTGATACTCTCTCTGTCTAGAAGAATTCTGTACGCCAAATCACCGGTGGGTTTCGGCCTTTTATTCATCCCTACTAGCTTTAGCCGAGTATCTGATCAGATGCCATCGGCAGCAAGCACGATATCCCCCTCATCTCTCCTCCCTCTATGCTCACGCTAATCTCTTCAGTTTGAGGCCGTTGCTCACCGTAATTCACACCACTGACTTTGCATCCAAGCTTAATCACGACGCCCAGCTCCATTGCTTTCTCTGCCATGGCCACTTGTAAGTCTGCACGGTGCTGATACCACAGGGGTGATCCGTGACGACCCTCTATCTCCTCTGCATACTGCGTACGTTCATCAAGCCATTCGCCATTAAACCTGCGCATTTCTGAAATATTCTGGAGGGGCAGCTTGAGGACCTAGAGTTTTAGCAGGGCCCCAGGCTGTCAGGAGGCGTGTGCCATTGGGCGTAATTTGCAGGCCAGCGCTACTTCGCGAAACTCTGGTACGGATTCTAGCACTGTGACACGATTACCGGCAAGGCGGGTAGCAATAGCAGCAGAAAGACCGCAGAGGCCACCGCCGATGATAATAAGGTGTAGAGGTGGTTCCGGGGCTGCCATGATGCTCTTGATGTTGAGTATACTGTGGACATCTAGATGATGCGTGCAGGTGTGACAGTGTCAGTGTTGGAGGTTGAAAATGAAGGAGCCAAAACTCGACGTTTAACAACTTCATAATTGCATAACCTTTTCGTCCTTGTCCATGTTGCTATCTCTCTCCTAACAAAACGCGGGCCCATATCCAAACGGGACTTCACGCCCCCACGTAGAATGTTACGCTCTACTCTGATGCGTTCGCTACTGTAGTAATAACTAAATAGAGAAATGTTTGCGATAAGACCATGTACATTACGATAACTAGACGGCATAACCTTTGCGGCAGAATCTATAACGAGATGAAGAAATATCTGCGAAATGATGCACTTCCATGTATGCATAAACTTTTATAGTGGGCCTCTCTGTGACACGTGGGGGCTATAATAGAGCCTATACGTACATGTAGTGGGGAACTGTAATTAAAAAATAAGATCGTAAAGTAGATCGATCTACCTATGCATGCCTTTTTGGCAACGCCGACGAGGCTTAGAAATGCGGCAAGGCTACATCAGCTGACGCCTCAGTTGAAGTGCCGATATTCATTTTGCGCGACTGATGATCGCATATATTCCTCTAGGCACCATTTCACCCCATCCGCGATAACCTCTGGCTGGGTCAATTCAATCCTATGGCCACTTTCTTCGGCGATCAAAACCTTTGAATTGGTGGAGTAGACCAATCCATGCCGGATGGCCAACGCTTTGAGGACTTCCAAAGGCTGAACCGTCCATCACCGGATATTCTACGTCTACTAACTTCGACAGTGATATCCTTCCACAAACGCCTCACACTGACCTTGGTAGTCTGACCTTTGTGTTTTCGTCAACACCTGGTCTCCGAGTGCTCCCCCCTGATGTCGCGCAGAAGCCTGGCGCCTACAGTGAGTCTGACTGGCTCTATGTTGAGCCACGAGCTGGGCACGCCATTTGCCAACATCGGTGACTGCATCACCATGATGACTAATGGCCTACTCAGAAGTGCCCTCCGCCGAGTTGGCCCTGTTACTGGATGCGCCATGCTCGAATGTTACAGTCTGGCATACCTCATGTGGCCTGAGGATCAAACAGTGCTGCGCCCTCTAGATAGTCCCCTCATCCCTCAATCTGTTGCCCCTGAGGGAGCCGCTGTTACCAATGATGCATTGAGCAGAAAGAAATTCATGGCCCTCCGCGGCACAAAGGATGCGGGCAATTTTGATCAAATTCTTACTGGCGGCCGAGGAATTCTAGTTTAGGGAATGGAATGACTGGATACAGAGCTGATTTTATGTACACCTGATTTGTCTTCTTTTTTCTATTATTTTTTTCTTGAGCAGCGTAATTTGGGAGATCGAATAAGCAGGATTATCTACTTTCCTTACTTTTTGATTTAGAGCAAATAGGTGGCACTCATCGTGGAAATGTGTAGGCTTCTACGATGTGAAGATATAGTATAGCGGATGCCGACACTGAGCAATAAAGCTAAATATTAGCAGAATGGCAAAGGTAGCAGCAACAGCATATTAATTGCGAAAGGTTTTTGGTCGAAGACGAAGGGTATAGCGCAACTTTATTCACATGGTTGATCAAGGGAATGCGGACTGCGCTCCATGTTTGGACAAATTCAAAAAGAGCGAAAAAGAAAAGAGCAATATATCTCAAGTCTAAACTTTCAAAATCAATTCCCAAATACCTTCACCAGATCCGAATTGAGTAGTCTCAAATTGAAATCGTCCGTCCATCTTCGCAGCACAAAAACTAAAGGCAATCTGGATGCACATATCCCACCCGGATATAACATTATCTAACCAATAGCCCTAGTATAAAGTCACTTTTGGCGCTCAATGAGGGCCGTGATATGGTATGCATGTTGTAAAATATCAGACGTTATGAGGCTTGCGTTTTCATCCGAGGTGACAGTTTTGGACTCCCGGGTTACAATGTATACCTAAATATATGATTCTTGTGTTCAATTTTTGGCCCTCTCTTTCCTGCAGACTTGCGGGATAGGAGAAACCCTCTCTGAAAATTGGAGCAGTTGTACGCGTCAAGTATTGAGAACTAACCTCCTAAGGATATTGCTCGTATCATGCAGATTCGTCTATCTTCTATTCGGTCTTGGGCTATTGATCTTCTCTAGAGCTCCTAGTCAGTCATGATAGTAGTATTCTTTCATATTGGCTAGCCGCAATTGCCAATCTTCGAGTTTCCAAGAGGCGATGGCAAGATCTCATCAGAATTTTGGAAGAACGAGGGAAATCACATTTGCTTTCCATGTGCGGCCATGTCACCTATTGTACGAAACATTATAGATATATGCCGCGCAGGAAACAGCTAAAGAAATTCTTAACCTATTTTGTAACATATACCTAGGCACAGCCCATGTCAACAAGCATCTGAGATAGATGCGAGGAACTTTGCCCAGCTGTCCCCATATTCCACTGCCAAACTCGATGATCAAAAGCAGTACAATAAGTGAGTACAAACAGTGTCCATAGTATATGCAATCCGATAACATTTCTTTAAATCCTGGTGTATCTTCTTGAACACTAAAAGTTGAGGACCAGCATGGCTAGTCCTAGTAGTACCAGTCACACACCGAAGTCATGAAAGCTAGTTGAAACAAACATCTTTACGTAGACAAATATACTCTGGATAAACAAAATCTCTATCAATCAAACTTCAAAGAGACAGTAGGGCTTGATATGTAGAATTGCCTAATTAGGACTAGCGCTAGTAGCTAAAGCAGCGGCGGCTCTACGGAACATTTCTGTTCATCGTCAACATCATTGATTGCTCTATTTGCACAGAGCAATTGGCTTGTATCAAGATGACACCCTCGCTCTTTGGTCTGTCGAAGACTACTAGCTCGTCTAGTAGTAGGCTATTGCTTTTATTACCACACAAACGTCCACTTCAAGTATCATCGGCCTTCGAGTTCGTATGCCTACGATGCCGACGTCAACAACTGCAGCATCTCCAGCAACAACAACTGCCCTTCAGCTCTAGCAGCAGGCGTTGGAATCAGCAACCAGCCGATGATCCCCAGTGGGTGTCTCCTATTGACCGGCCGTCACAAATTGTACGTGTTGGCGGCCGTCACGGTCCGGGGCTTATTCTTCTTGGTAGCACCCCCTCCGCCCATCCAATCGGTTTTTAAGACACATTTTTGACTTATTTTGCTACTGAAAAAGCTCTCATCCCAATAACAGCGTTTGTCCTGGGAACATGGCAAGTGCAAAGACTCGACTGGAAAACGAAACTAATCGCCAAATTCGAAGACCGCCTAGTCAAGCCTCCACTACCTTTACCACCGCGCATTGATCCCAGCGTAATCCCCGAATTCGACTACCGACGAATCGTAGCAACCGGGAAATTTCGGCACGATCAAGAAATGCTTATTGGGCCGCGGATGAACGAGGGCGAAGAAGGCTATATTGTCATTACGCCGTTGGAAAGAAACACAGATGATGGTAAAAGTACTAGCACGGTGCTGATCAACCGAGGCTGGATATCGAAGAAATTGAAGGACCAGAAAGATCGGCCATTGGGTGTGCCTACTGGTGAAGTTGTGGTTGAAGGCTTGTTGAGGGAACCCATTAAGAAGAACTATTTTACCCCGGAGAACAGACCGGACAAAGGGGAGTTTTATTTTCCGGATGTTGAGCAAATGGCCGAATTGGCGGGAAGCCAGCCTGTTTTGATTGAGGAGACCATGGGTATGTTTGAAAGCTTCCTCTTATGATTTGTTTCTTATTTGAAGGGATGTGCTGATTTCTACCAGTTCCTGATTTGATTGAGTCCTATGAGCGAACATCAAAGGGTATACCCATCGGCCGACCGGCGCAAGTGAATCTGAGGAACAATCATCTTCAGTACATTTTTACATGGTATGTCCATATATATCATTCATTGGTCACACTCTAATCGATCGACGTTGACATCTATATCAGGTACGGTCTGTCCGTGTCAACAGCAATCATGCTGTGGATGGTTGTTCGCAAACGTCCAAATGAAGCACTTCGTCGAATTCGCCAAAGCAAAAACATGTAAATTTCATCTCGGCTCAGGAGGCCAAAATTCGATATACGATATGACATACTTGTGTTGTGTATGATATGTACATCAGTATGCAGTCTTTTCCTCAATCAGGACCAAGCCTTGTATATAGAGCCAACTCCATAAATCCGGTCTTCAACCCCTTGGGTCCTGCATTGCGCGATGCAGCGGGATTTTATATACGTCTCCTGCAAATGTCGCTATGTTCTTAAGATATTCCATCAATAGCCAGACATGCAGCGACTCTGTATCGACAATTATCGACGGCGGGAGAATATCGAAAATTTCTAATGATTATTGTTACCAACAGCAAAGATGAGCAGTGGCTGGTCGGCTAGGGCGGTAATGACAGTCGTATATCTTGTAACAGCTCCTTTGGCAAGTGTTTCTGGGCCAACGAAAATACCGTATTTGTACTATTGACGTGACGTTGTCTGTTCATACATAAGTGAGGAGAAAGGTTCAGCAAATGGAATTTAAAAATGGAAGAGATAGGACCATACCGTCGCATTAGTGTCATCACATCGCTCTCGTCAATAGTCTTCCGATTTGCATGTTTCGCATACGTGGCAAGATCCTCACTGGCTTGTTCAAAAAACCATTCGGAAGCCTGTTCAATGGCAGTGAGGGTTTCTTTGTTGATTTTGGATTTTGCACCTGCTCCCACACGGGCGAAACGCGTGGCCAGTCTTTTGACCACGCCCGTGGGTAGCGTAGGGACGGGAATTCCATGACGGGATAGCTTCTTTTCTTTTCGACTCTTTGTACGTGGCTCGTCTCTGAGACCGCCTCCGACAAGTTCAGCTCCAGCTTCGGCAGTACCTGTAGTACCGGCGTCGGATACTTGATCTGCCATATTCACCTCAAAGCCTCCGAAATCTCCTGCTCCTGCGTCATCGGAAGACGGATATGGAATATCATCGGCTTGTTCAGTCTGCAGCATAAAATCCTCTTCCTCGTTTCGCAGAGGGTCAAGTCCCGCTGCTGGAGCAACGGGACTTGGGAAATTGAAATCCAGATTGAATCGCCCTAGATCCGCAGTTTCACCGCTGGTGGTAGATTGTTAGGGTGCTTTTGTTCGGTACAAAAAGGTGCGGTTTTTTCAAATGACTTACCCAGCGTCGAATGCTGCCTCATCCAGCTGCGACTGCTCAATGCCCCCCCCATCGTCATCCTGAGGAAACATCGTGGTGTCACCGTGTTCTGAGAAAGCATCTAGCCGCGTAAGGTCGCCAAAGTTTTCACTCAATCTTACGTCTCCGAAGCTCATTCTCTCCAACCGTTGCCGATCCTGTTCGCTGATGGCTCTTCGTGGGTATTCCACGGACCGTTGCGTAATGTCGTCTTCATCGAACTGCAAGGATAGCCGTGGCGGAGGGAGATCTGGACTGCCATTTTCACTTGTCCCGCTATCGACATCAATTGGCAGAGACAGACGCGGACGCTCCGGCAAGGGCTCATTGTCAAGAACCAATGTCTCATCTTCTTCCTCTGATGATGAATCCTCCGGACTTGGGCTTCGTTCTTCTTGTGGAGACGACTGTATAGGTTTGGAAATGGGGGCCAATGCTGTAGAAATGAAAATTATAAGCATATGATTCTCTTTACGGATATCAGCGTCTTCATTTACTTCTGCCAAGATTTCGCAAGATGTCAAAGGCTGTTTCTTGTTGTGGGCCACGTGTGCTCCGTCGCCTGTCTCTTCCGGGCGTATTTACACGACGCTGTATTGCGCGAAGGCCAAATGGTGTCAAAGGACCGGCGCGAGGAGTTCGTCGGGTTGCTGAGCGGAGAATGGAGGGGGTCCCTAGTGCGGTATATCGAGGTGTTGTAGGCTGTATCTCTGACGCTGTTGAAATCTGAAGTTAAAAAATAAAACTGTTAGATAGATTTGTCCAGCCTTTCGATTTTTATTCTTTTGGGCGAAGTCAACATACAGTATGTGTCATGAAATCTTGATCCTCCATGTTTGTTGACATCCGCTTGGGAGGTCGACCGCGGTTGTGTCTTGGAGTCGCCATTGCGAGCTGGCAGCTCACAGAACAAGCCTGTATTCAATTCAAATGCTGCAATCCCCAATTTGCAACCTCAGCTAGACGATAAATCAAGTCTCTATGCCAGGGACAGACTTGACGTCGATGTATGCGTGAGGGAACGCGTTGCGACAGTCGCGTGGAGCTTTTTCGATAGGCTATCGACTTTCCCCAAAATAGCTAGTTCGTCAGTTATCGATAAGATAGTGACTAAGCATGCAAATGCGACAAAAGAAAAAAACCGCAAAATTTCTTGAGTCTTCATGTTGAAATAAAAAAGACTTACCTCAGAACGAGCACTGTCCGAATCATCAATAACTATGGCAGGAACTCAAGCTCCAAAGGTCCAGGACAAAAAGCGAAAGAGGGACGACGGCGACAAGACAGCGCCAGCTAGCAAGAAGCAAGAACGAAGCAAGGACAAAAAGTTCAGCAGCAAAAAGAACAACTACAACGGCAAGAATAAAAATAAGAAGGGCCAGGACGATAAGAAATTCAACAAACAAACGAATGCCTACCAGCAGCCGGAAAGAGAAGAGGGGGTTGACGAAACTATCAGCAAGATGAATGAGCAAATCCTCGCAGACTATTTTATGCAAAAGGCCAAATCGCATAACAAAGACTTGACAGCTGTCGAACTCAGTGACATGAGTGTCCCTGGTAAGATTTTATTCGGAGTTGAATTGGGATATTCTTTTTTTTCCCCTCTTGTTCCTACTAACCAACAAAAATAGTGCACGCATTTCTCGACACCACATCATTTGAGCCATCGCGAGATTTGGAGCAGTTGCCCGATTTCCTCAAGACCTACAGTCCCGATAAAGGCGCTCGCCTGGGCGATGCATCGGAAGAGAAGGGCAGCCCGCACACACTGGTGATAGCTGCAGCAGGACTTCGGGCAGCCGATTTGGTCCGGTGAGTGAATTAGTGCACTAGACAAATATGAAATATCTGGTTACTAAACGGAATCTTTTTTCTTCTCTTTGCAGTGCTCTGCGGTCTTTTCAGAGCAAGGATGCTGCAGTAGCGAAGCTATTCGCGAAGCATATCAAAATAGAGGAAGCCAAGCAGTTTCTCGAACGATCTCGAGTCAGCATCGGCGTCGGCACTCCACAACGGATCATTGATCTTTTAGAATCGGGTATGTCAAGTTCTTTTGCCGTTGCTTTGCTTTATTTTGGTCATGCTGACTCGTTGACACGCCAGGCACACTCAAAACTACGGGACTAGAACGCATTGTGATTGACGGTTCGCATATCGACCAAAAAAAGCGTGGTATTTTTGACATGAAAGAAGTATATGCTCCTTTGTTGAAACTCCTGGCGCGAGACGAATTTCGGAAACGGTACGGACCGAAGGAGAAGAGCCTGATGGTCCTTGTATATTGATTCTATTCGATTCTGTAGAAAGCATCAGGCTGGCGTTCTTTGTTTATTAGTTCATTCCTTTTTTTTTTCCCCTCTTTATATTCATGGAAATATGGAGTATAGTCCGTGACTTTCCCGCTGTGATTCCTGCAAGAGACATCCACCGATGAACAACGAAAAGACAAGTCAGCCGAACCATACCGAGGTAGGCAAGGGACCAGAATATTCTAGTGCAGCACGCTTATTCCCGAGGACGGAGATTTGGGACAATGCACGGAGGATATTTATTAATATCATTCAAGGCTTCAGCGCATGCTTCAAAAAGGCCGTGTAATTCAACTTGTATTGTATTAAACCCCGGTAATATTACGGCGCCATCCCGATACAAGGTAAAGCTAAACGGAACTAGATTAGCTCCACATAGCCAGCCACTACCATTGGCTATTAACACGCATAGTGGGGGCCCCTGGCCCTGTCTCTCGGGACGGCCTAGGAGAAATACGTAACAATACATTGCGTCAGTAACTACTAACAAGTGACATCTTCGTTCTTAGTCGCAGAACTTCAACCGATACTCAGACTCACTCATGCCCAACATACACTAAACAGCACTTTTCATGCTGAGTTATTTTTGCCAGCGCCATAGGTCTAGTTCAAAAGTTATGCAGATGCGGCATCAATGCGCCCGCCAACATCCATCACAAACGCTAGCTCCGCCTTTCACTCATAAGGGATAACCCGAGAGTCAGAAGGCGCCCGGGACGAACACAAGGGCAAATAACGGGTGTCGTGTACTACATAGACCTATATATCGATGGCATCCTATCGGTGAGAACGAGGGAGCGAAGACACGCAATTTTTTTTTCTTTCTTTTCACCGACTAGCGGAGAGCCAGACTCAGAAAATGGCGGTCGTCGATAGAGCTTCAAGTAATGCTCGTCCGATAAGCAGCAGCAATGCAACACCAAAAGTGGGCGAGCCACTGCATGTCGACGTACGCGTGCTCTCGATCTTTCCACGCAAAGTATGAGTAAAATCACTAACACCGATTTCACATGGCACTATATAGAGAGATCTCAAAGACACTGTTTGCGACGCAGCCTCCACAATCGACGACCGCACGACGATTGTGTCCTCTATAAAGCATTATAAATATGAGAATGGCCGGCGGTATCATTCCTTTCGAGACGGCGAATACTTGCTTCCCAACGACGAGCGGGAGCAGGAACGCTTAGAGCTGCTAAACCACATATTTAGGATGCTGTTAAGTGGCGAATTATGCCGGGCTCCGATCGATAATCCTACCAGAGTCCTGGATTTTGGCACAGGTACAGGTGTATGGGCCATTGACTTTGCAGAGGTATTTCCCCAGGCCGAAGTACTAGGGACGGATTTGAGTCCGATCCAGCCATCGTGGTTCCCGTCCAATTGTCGATTTGAGGTGGATGATGCAGAAAGCGAATGGCTGTACGGCAATAAACCTTTTGATTACATTCACGGACGGGGCATGACGGGCGGAATCGGCGACTGGCGGAAACTAATTCGCCAGGCCTATGACAATCTACGGCCTGGTGGGTGGTTGGAGTTGCAAGAATACGAAACAGAGATTATGTCAGACGATGGCACTCATCTACAGGCACAGAGCTTTATGCTATGGCAAACCCAATTGAATGAGGCCAGTCGGCTCTTTGGCAAGGCTTTCACGGACTACCATTATCATAAGCAGCGGATGGAAGAGGCGGGCTTTGTTGATGTCGTTGACGATGCGTTCAAGGTGTGTGCCACATTCTATGTTCATAGAAAGGAGAAAGAAAGAGGCGGATTAACATTTCGAATGACTAGGTCCCCATAGGCACATGGCCCAGAGACAGGCGCATGAAAGAAATTGGCAAATTCCAGCTCTACCAGATGCTTGAGGCAGTCGAACCGTTCACGCTGGCGGTTTTCACTCGCGTGCTGAAATGGAGACCTGAGGAAACGCGAGATTTGATCGATAAAGTCAAGGCCGAAGTGTGCAATCCGCAATTCCATATTTACTCCCTGTTTCGGTTTGTATATGGACGCAAGCCTGAGCGCTAGCCAGCGGGTTTGATTTCTCACGTTGTTTCAGATGGTGTTGCATGTGGGAGGTTGTCTGGCTGGAAAGCTTCGTATATATTTGAGTCTGCACATAAGCATTGTTTACTTTATTCTGCCTCCCACCACACCGCCTTGTTCCTCGAACACCGCAGCGCAGCTCTTTGATTGGCCAGAACTCCGGAGCAGCGGCAGAAAAGATTAAAAAAAATAGGCCAATTGATATATATTCCCAATTATGTCTTCTGTTCCTCCTCCTATCCTCCCTTCCCTTATTCCAAGAAGTATCTATCCGAGACAAAAAAAGGGGGAACCAATCTTACCGTCGTCAGAAAGATAACAAAACACAAAAAATTAATAAATATAAAAATGGGCGACAAAAAACGAAAGCGTGAAGAAGCCGCGGGGGCCGCCGAACAGAAACCCAAACGCATAAAAAACAAAGCCAAATACCAGCCCAAGGGCAACAAAGCGCGAAAGAAGGCTGCTGCTCCATTGATGAATGGCGCGAATGCAATTCCTGTAGGGGTACGCGAAAGCCTGACTACTCGTGCTGAACCTGAATCCGAATCGAAAGAAGATGTGCCAATGGCAGAAGCACCAAAGGGAGATGATCAAGAAGATAAAGGCAAGGAGAGCAACACCAATGACTTTTTCATGATTGATACTACGCCTATGGATGCCCAGGAGGTGGAAGAGAAGACAAAGAGCAAGGCACAAAAGAAGAAGGAACAGAAGGAGCAGCAGATGACCAAAGAAGACATTGCCGCTAGAGAGGAGAAAAAGGCGGCTAGGAAGGAAAACAAGAAGAAAGAAGATAAGATCAAGAGGGAGAAAAATGCTCTGGAAAACAAGGAGAAGAGGGAGCAAAAGGAGGAGGAGAAGAGGGGACGGAAAGAGCTGATAAAGGCGGGGAAGGAGAAGAAAGAACTAGCAAAACAGGAGGAGAAGAGAAAGAAGAAGGTTGAAGGAAAAGAAGAGAAGAAGGAATCTGATTCCTCTTCCTCCGATTCCGAGTCTGAAGTAAAACAGAAGACCACTACTACTACTTCTCCTAAAGAGACTCTCAAAGAGAAGAACCCCGCCCGCGGCAAGCAGACTGACACCAAACCAGCCAAAGCTGAGGAAGGGCAATTAGGCTCAGACAACAAGTCTCGCTTCATCGTTTTTGTCGGTGTGTATAGCCGTGTCTATCCCTCAGAAGACATTGAGATTTTACTGACATATACGACTCGCTAAAACAGGAAATCTCCCCTTCACTGCCAGCACCGACAGTGTCAAGGCACACTTTTCCAAGATCGAGCCCATCTCCGTTCGTGTAGCCACCGACAAGAAAGACACCGACAAATGCCGGGGCTTTGGATTTGTTGAATTCGAGCAATTCGATCGCATGCAGACGTGCTTGAAGCTGTATCATCATTCGTCATTCGACGATGGAAAGAGTCCGGCAAGGAAGATCAATGTTGAGCTTACGTATGTTTCTCTTATCCCCCCCCTTTCTTTCATTGCTTCCAAATGAACCCCTGTTAATAAATTGATGAATTGAATGCATGGACACTAATCCGATATACCAATCCATACAGAGCCGGCGGAGGCGGGAAATCAACAACGCGCAAGACTAAACTGAGAGAAAAGAATCAAAAACTCGCCGAGGAGCGTGCAAAACTGGCCGCGGAAAAAGGAAAGAAGAAGAAGCAAAGCAATCAGGATGGACAGCAGGACGGGAACGAGAATGAGAATGGTGAAGACGCTGGAGGCGAGTTTGCGGGAATTCATCCAAGTCGATTGAACAGGATGGCTTAAATATAATTTTCTCTTTTCTTTCTTTCTATTCATGCGCTCTTTTTGGCTAAGTTTATATGCAAATCCTCCATGTCGATATTAATTCTTCATCAAAAGTCTATTTCGGTGTTTTACCTCCTAGCCAGGTTTCTCTCTGTAGTTCTCGTGGACTTTAAAAGTGTTGCAAGGAGAAGATCTATTCGAATATACAATATATACGTTATCTGTCCACGTCACTGACATTGCCTGCTCTTGTTAGAACAAGCCAAGTAACAAGTGACTTTGAAAGAGAGATCGAGATTGTGAATAAATCATATATCGTATCGAGGAAAGAGAAACACATTCCAAAAAGAGAAAGAGAACGCCTCAAAATTAGAATCAATCAATCAATCAAGCCAGTTGAGCTGAACAGACGGTATACATAATATATATGTATGTATATCACACAAAAATCAATATGTAGATCAGATGGTAGTGTAAAAATGAAAATAAGGAAAAAAACGAACAGCAGGGATATAGGATGGAGTATAAATTAGAATATGAAAGATGAAAGATGAGAAATGGAAGGTGAGAAATGAGAAAGAAAAGAAAAGGATTGTTGAAATAAATTCACTTCTTACATAATGACACATCTCTTTGCCTTGTTCTTAGGTTGAGGACGGGGATTGAGAACGGCACTGTATGTCAAGATTAGCATAATACATCGATATCTTTAAATGAAAGAAGAAAAGAAAGAGGAAACATACCGAATAGCCTCGTCAAACACACTCTTCAAATTCCTCTGCGTCAACGCCGAACACTCCAAGTATTTGTGCGCTCTAATCTCCTTGGCCACAGTGAGAGCTTGCTCATACGAGACGGGCTCCATCTTCTTCGCCCGCAGACCATCCGCAGTAGCTCTGTCCTCTCGCAGATCCAGCTTTGTGCCGACCAGGATGATGGGGACGCCCGGGGCGTGGTGCTCGATTTCGGGGTACCATTTCGCCTTCACGTTGTCGAAGGAAGGTGGACTGACGATGGAGAAGCAGATCAGGAAGACGTCTGTTTGAGGGTAGGAGAGTGGTCGTAGACGGTCGTAATCTTCTTGACCGGCAGTATCCCAGAGTCCAAGGCTGATAGGTCGGCCATCGACCATGACACTAGCGGAGTAGTTGTCGAACCTATATTTTATTCGTTTGGCGTTCAGTGTGTGTATACAGAGATTGAATCAAGGACACAAACTGACACTGTTGGAATGTACTCTCCTGGGAAAGCATTGGTCGTGTATGAGATCAGGAGACATGTCTGTGCTCGTCAGTTTGACTGTTTGCACACATCACGATCAACTCCGTTGCAAGGGTACGTAATAACTGACCTTCCCGACAGCACCGTCACCAGTCACAACGCACTATCCAATTAGCCTGTCGTATTCTTGCTTGGAGGCACGTCGCGAAGGTACCTTCAATGATTGAGTGGCAGGCCCAGACGCCATTGTTGTTTGGTTGGTAATTAAATTATTTTTTATCCTTATTATCCGTATGCGATTGAGAAAGAGAGAGAGAAAAAGTGGGCGAAAGACGAGGTGCGTTATCAAGTGAAAGTAAAAGTAAGATAGTGATAGAGCAGTCCGGCGAAGGAGGAAAGGGGGGAGGGGTATCTGAAGGGTTACAAAAGCCAGTCAGTACGTATATCGTCAAGGAATCAGATTGCAAAGGAAGAAGGAGAGAAAGAAAGAAGAATAGAAAGAAACAAAACAAGCTGCTGGGGACCAGGGTGACTCCAAGTCTCTTGCAGTGCTGCAAGTCTGGTTTGGTTTTGACATGTCTCACCTCTATTAGTTGCTGCCAACGTATGACTCTCGAACGTCGCAGCACAAACAAGCGGCGAAGACAGAGTGCAGAATAAAAAGGAGGGAAAGAGTAACAGCAGAGCGCCGGCAATGGCAAGCAGGCGTGCGAGAGAGAATGAGAGAGGGAGGAAGATAGGAGGGAGAGATTACGAAGGTTAGGGAGGAGGTTAGTTAGGGAGTGAGCCTGAGTTCTAAGGCCCGAAGCGGAGGGCGGGGAGACGCCAACGTTGAACTTATCTCTGCTCGCTCACTCCCTCACTCACTCAACGCCGTCCCAAACTGTATCTGATTTGTCTGCGAATGCGCCAACCGGACAGTATGCTACGCTGCCGACTACGTGACTGCGCAGCATTCTCAGCTTGGACTCAAACCGGCTCGATTGGCAGCCTGTCGCAATGCAGAGTCCGGCATTTGCTCGCTGACTGGATGTGCTTTATGCAGGCCTAATTTAGTCGGCTTTTGTGCTCGAGTCATTCCATGGCTATTTTAAGCTATGCACTCGGAAAAATCTGCTATTTCTTCTCTTGCTACTGAATTAGCTACACTAAGAACAGGCCAGCTCGATTGCTCGCCTAGGATATTACTACTACTTATCAGGGAGGCCTTCTATGGATCGTGTCAGATCTTCATGCATGTGAGCTATCGAAATTTCCTGTACATTCAAGAAAAGACACATCTCATTCCATGCGTTGATTGTCCAGGGAGACATCAGCTAGCTAACTGATCTATCATTGTATGGGACTACTCATTGTTATTCTACGGATCTGTAGTCTTCGGCCGGATATAGAGCATATAATCACCCGTCACAGGTGAAGCTCGCGCGTGTCATGGAACTGCTTACGACTTCTCCCAAGTTTATGTCTGTGCCGTACTCGGAAGTCAGTCTACCTGATGTAAAGTTTTCTTTATTTTCTTGTTGACTAATGTGACGTATAGGACTAATATGTGCGTGGCTAGCTATTCTCGGAGTCGCCTAAAGATGCGTACAATGGTTTGTCGACACAAACACTCTATGAATCGCAATTATTCTGGCGGTATATCTAGGCTTAGATAGTGCACGTCTACAGGAATGGCCAAATCTCATGGCCTTCTATGCCTACATAGCGTCGGCTCATATCTCTCCCTCACGACCCTACGTACGCTATTTGGACTATGCGCTATGCTTTTGAGGAACGACCGGTGCCCTGGGATGCTGCTTTCGAGGGTGAGCGGGACCAGCGCATTATATCTGCTGCCCAGTTTATTCGGTAAGATAGGTCAGAGCTGTTCATATTCTCCCCCCAGATCGACGGAGGACAACCCAAGCTGGGCACTCGGCCTTTAGCACTTTAGCGAACACCGGCTTTCTCTGCGAAGATGCCATTGTTGAGAGGATGGCTTTAAGAAGGCTGCAGCGGACAGCTCGAAATTGAGTGAGGAATGTAGAAAATTTGCTGGAAAGGCGGCGACTTTGATCGGAGCAAATGAAGAGTATTTGGTGTTCTAGATGCTTATCTTCGTTTATCTGGTTTATTTTGCGTTACCTAGGTACGATGGCTCTCTCATATATACAATCTCTTTTTAGTCATTCACAGCATTGGGGTATCTTTAAATCACAAACATAAAATAGCTTTTACAAGGCTTGCCAGTGGTAACCAGCTGGCACTAAATCAAGACAGAATTCTTCAAAGCCCCGTCGGCGCAACCATAGACTCCGGAACACCATCAAAGACCCAGTTCAGCGAATCAAAGAAATCGGAGAAACTGGCCTCGTTCATAAATGCGTTATCCTCGAAATTAGTCGAAAGTATCCACGACGCATCGTTAAGTGGTTGTTCGGGATGAGGGCCCATTACACCGCTGGCTGTAGCTTGAGTTTGATTGACATTCGCTGTACATTTGATTAGCCGACTTGTCGGACAAAAGAAGAGGGAGCAGAGGAAAGGAAATCACCTTGGGCAGTATCGTCCGAAGCCTTTGACTGCCTAAATCTTCTCCTCCATCGCCACACTGTGTCGTACACGTGACTCATGCTCATCCGACTACGTATTCCAAGATGGAGAGCATCATCCCCAGAGCTCCCTGCATTCCACATTTGGGATATAATATTCGCCAATCGGACTGGTCGGTCGTTGTCGACTACGCTAATTCTTCGGATCGACGATATCGCCCCGTTGAAGAGAAACTTGCCGTGGTCGATATCAATCTGTCGCGCAAATGAGCTCTTTAGCAGTTTCATCAACGCAAACGCTGCCGATACAATCATCTGGAGGATGTAGTTTGTCGCGTGGATGAGTAGGTTCCCCGGGGACGTTTCAAGCTCCAGCACTCGGCCGAGGAATGTTGTCGTTGCAAGGAAAAGGTTTGTCAGATCATCACTTCTAGCGTTCTGACTCAGGAAAACAAAGTACCGAAGATGCAGATTCGCAGCACGTAGATGTATCATGTTGATCTCTGTGATCAATTGAGTATTCATCCAAGTCAAGATTGATAGAAAGAGAGAGTAGCTTACGTGAAAGATCATTTCCAAAATCCAACTCCATTTCCCTCAACTCGTTTTCCAAGATTCCTACAAGAAGCAATTTGTCCATGCTGAGAAATTCTGAAGGTTCTGGCCGCCCATTATAAAGACTCCTCGTCACGCGATCACAAAACTTCTCAATGCGCAGCCTCGCTTTGAGCTCTTCGGGCAGCCTGTAATCCGCTGCTTTGAGGGAAGCCGGCTCCAAAGCCCAGTCATAGATTGTGCTTGGAGGTTGTCCGTATCCAGTAGCGACGCTAAATAGAATTAGGACGCGTTCTCTTTCTGCTTCAAGTTTGTGTGAAATACTTACTTTTGCGCCACGATATTGCACAAAACCCATGTCTGTAGACGATCTTTTAATTCCTCTCCTCGAACCTCCATACGGAATGTCGTAAATTCTTCCGGCTGGACGGGGCGATGTAGACCCAACTGCATAGCCAGGTTCATCATCAAGCCGCTAAGCATGAATGTTTGATCGCTCTTCTGGCTCGTGGTAGGCAGAGGCCATGTACAAAGCAAGCATAGCGCCTTAACGACGTGGTAGTTCTGTGGAACACTGCTGATGCTTGCCCACAGCAACCTGCTGAACGGACCTGACAACGACACCAACAATCCCGATTCAAATGGATAGCGTCGGCTAGATACGCATATGACAGTCCATGCAAGGATTTCAGAGCAGCTCCGACACTCTTCGGGATCCTTTGTAGGATCCAGCAAAGGGAGGAAGGGATGATAGAACCTGAAGTATCTTTGTTGGGGTTATAAGAGTTAACAAAAATGCAGCATACTTTGAAGAAAGAACTTACTGCTCGAAAAGCCGATCAACACGTTGCTTTGATAGTGATATGTCCTCGAGGACCCACGCATTGCTGCTGTGAGAGACAGGAGTATCACTAGCGACATGAGATGGCAAAGACGGTCTCATGGGAGATGGCTGATGATCAGCCGAGGCTGATAGAGACTGTGCGCGCGACGAAGAGGGCGGAGAATTAGCATCATAATAACCCTCTGCAGAGGAAGGATTGATGTCGTTTCCGTCGCCAGCATCTATATCATGCTCTCCGTTGGCCAGGCGCCGACGAAGGTCGGCAATCTCCTTCTCCATCTCCGCATTGCGCCTTTTGGTATTTGTTAGGATGACATGTGACCTTCACCAGAGGATAGCATAGACTGACCGTCTCTTGGAGATACGCTTGAAAGACGACTCTACTTTACATTCAATGTTCAGCCTCTTGCAGCGCGAGCACGGCGAGCGAGCTGACACAGGAGCCTGCACAATATCGCAGCGCAACTAGAGTATAGACAGACCGTCAACATTTGTTCTGGCTCCACAGCGGGCTACATGCAAAAAGCGCACCTTCTGCTGCTTGCACTCATTGCAAGCCCTCCGACTGCCTCCCCTCCGCTTTTTAATTGGCTGCTGCGCCTTGTCTGGTTCAGCGGGCTGGCCAAGCAGTACCGATCCTAAGACTGGCCGGGGAACTGGCGGAGTAGGCATGCCAACGGAAGTGTGAATGCCCAGCGTTCGTCTGAACTCTGGGTTCATCTGTTCGATCATCGACGGCGGGCCATAGCCGGACATGATTCCTTTTGATCCTGATTAGCTGCGTCGAGGCGATCCAATCTGATATGTGCAACTCCGGCAATCGGCAGAAAACTTTGCGACGAACTCGGCACTTCTGCTGCACTGCTGACTCAGCCAGGCACGTGCGCTGATTGGTGCGGCACGGCGGGTGCCTTGGTGCCTTGGTGCCTTACCTAACTAACTAGTAGTTCGTGCCTTACTGCCTCGGTGCCTGCCCGCTGCCTCAGCCCCGTGTGGCGGAGCGAGCCTGCGGTGGATCGCCGACGTCGATCAACGTAGCCACATTTCACGGGGGCGCGCCTGCAGTTTGGACTTTCCCAAACTCAACACTGCTCTTTGCCCCAACATTCGCAGCCATGGCAGACTCTTCCTCCCCAGCTGCCTCGTTCTCTGCACATCGCTCTTCGCAAGACCACGATGAGGCGCTCAACTCTGGCGCTGCTGCTCCCGCCGACATCATGTCGCCCGGCGAGCCGGCCCCCAACGACCAAACAAAAGAGCGCATAGAAAGGATTTTGCAGTCAGAGGTATATTGCTTGTTGAGATGCGATGCCACGCGATTCCATGCGATGCGAATTCCTCCATGTCTCTCTTGAAACTAATGTTCGAGTCCCTGTGCGCAGATCGGTGTTACCACGCTCCTCTCTCGTTTGAAACAGAGCATTGCCTCCGCGCGGGTCTGTGACTTTCTCCTCCCCTTTTTGTTTGGCATTGTCAACCAAAATTCTCATATCTCTTCCCACCATAGGACTTCGCATCATTTCTTAAAAAGCGCTCCATTTTAGAAGAAGAGCAGGCGCAAGGCTTGAAGAAACTCGCTCGCAACGCACAGGAAGCCGCCCACAAGCCTGAAACCCGCCAAGGCACGTACGCTCGTGCCCAAGATGAACTCACAAGAATACACGAGCAGATGGCCGACCATAGTCTGCAGTTTGCCGTCTCGCTATATCAAATGTCTGTCGACCTTGCCGAGCTATCCGACAATACCGAAAAGGGCCGCAAACAATGGAAGGCAAGCGGTCTCGCCGCCGAGAAGAGAGTATCAGACGCGGAAAATCAGGTTGAGAAGGCAAAGGCAAAATATGATACGCTAGCAGATCAGTACGATCGCGTCAAGACCGGTGACAGACAGGGCGGGAAATTTGGCCTGAAAGGCCACAAGTCTGCGGTCCAGCAAGAGGAAGAGCTGAGTCGAAAAGTTCAAAATGCCGACTCCGATTACCAGGCCAAAGTTCAGGCTGCCCAGATAGCGCGCCAGGAGTTGACATCGACGCATCGGCCTCAAACTGTTTTCCAGCTGCGGCAATTAATCTTCGAATGCGATTCAGGGGTCACTCTTCAACTGCAGAAATACGGTATGTCCGCTATCTTGTACCGCTGAGATTTCCAGAGGGTACTAACATATTTGGAATGAAGCCGCCTTCAACGAAAGGTACCTGCTCGGGAAAGGCCTCTGCGTCAGCCCGTTGAAGAACGCTCCATCCGACGGACCAAAAAGTTTGCGCGAAGTCGCGCATGACATAGATAGCATCAAAGATTTTAACCAGCACATCTTGACTTTTGAGAATAGTTCCGGCTCGGTTGCGGCCCGAGAAGTGCAATATATTCGCCATCCCGTAAGTAGTCTGCTGTTTCAAAGCTATGTTAAACAGCTCGCTGACTTGCGCGCAGACCCTTGGGGCCTCTACATCCGCGCCTGCGCCTGCACCGGCTCCTTCGTCTCAGCCGAGCACCTTTAAACCACCTCAGGCATCAATGCCTGCACTTTCTCAGCCACCTGTGGTAGCAGCATCTTCTCCTTCACCGCCAGCTGCGTCGTCAGTATCAAGCGGCCTTACCCAACTACCGCCATTGTCTATTCAACAAACTCCTGACAGCTTGAGCACACCGTCTCAATACCAAGTTTATCCTGGCCCTGCACCTTCAGCTCAACCCTCCGCAGGGCCTCCGTATCCTCCCTCTCCTTCCGGAGGGTATCAGCCGACTACGTCTAACGCTCCGATGATGCATCCACCGAACGGTTATCAAGCGAATCTTCCTCCAGTCAGGCCAGTTTTTGGGATATCGCTTGAGGACCTCTTCCACAGAGATGGCACAGCGGTTCCGGTGATTATTTATCAATGTATCCAAGCGATCGAAATGTTTGGTCTTGACATGGAGGGCATTTATCGACAATCCGGAAGCGCCAACCACATCAACCATATGAAAGCGGCATTTAACAATGGTTAGCGCCAAACTCCCAAACCTTACACAATTACCAAAATTGACTCATGTCTATTGCAGATTCTTCTCAAGTAGACTTCACCAACCCGGAGAACTTTTACCATGACGTGAATAGCGTGGCCGGGCTTCTAAAGCAGTTTTTCAGGGAGCTACCCGATCCTTTGTTTACTCGACAATTCTATGGCGACTTTATAAATGCTGCTCGTACGTAGATGACCTTGTTCGGCTGCTATAAATTTGTGCTCATTCGGTTGAATTTAGGAATTGAAAATGATACTCAACGCCGGGATTCCTTGCATGCCATTATCAATGGTTTGCCTGACCCCAACTACGCGACTTTGCGAGCTTTGGTTCTGGTAAGACAGACGAACTGCTCCCTGTTCTTTTATCCTCAGACGCTGATTATGTTGTACAGCATCTCAATAGAGTTCAGGAGCACTCAAGCAATAATCGCATGACTGCGGGGAATATCGCCATTTGTTTTGGGTTAGTAATCCGATTGCATTTGTTTTTTGGGGGGGGGGGGCGCGATGCTAACATGCCTAGGCCAACTCTCATGGGCGCGTCTGGAAGCAGCCTGATAGATTCTGGATGGCAAAACCGTGTCATTGAAACGGTGCTTCTCAACACGTTCCAAATCTTCGACGACGACTGATCGAACACGCTACGATTATAATTCATATCCTGGATTATTAAACATATACACAGGTCGAGAGTCCACATTTGCAATACCCAGGGTCAGTGATGCTTGCATTTTACGAGGAGCGAGGGTTCTCAACATATCTCTCGTATTAGGTTGGCGCGGTTGTTCTTTGAATCCCTTTTCTTCCTTTCGTTCACCGATATTCATATTTGTTTTTCCTTCGACGTGTTTATATTGCGCCTAAATCTTCAGTCGTTTTCTTTCGTCGTTTAATTCACTTGTCTATTTTCTGTCGACCTTGCGTGCAAAAATGAAAATCAATGAATGGCGCGAGCGAAATGTTAATTCATCTAATTGTCTACGGCCTATATTATTGTTATCAAGCAGCATGTTACTTTGGCTTCAGAGTTACGCGATTCAGTTTTCTGTCCGAAGTAGCTAGTTATTTAATTCTACACGTGTACAATAATTACTACGCAGTCTTCCTTCCCTTCCTGCCCAAACGCATTTTGCTGCTAAGAAGAAAATGAATCATAATGTAAAATGAAGTGCCCCCGATACCTAGCTACAATCATACCCAGAGAATATATAACAGAATTAAGACATACGCAAACTCCTGCAGCGTCTGGAAGAGGTACGTCACATCAATTTGGTCATTCATATTTGAAGATTAACAGACATACAGGACAACTGCCTACCTAGGCAGTAATTCGCAGACGGCGTTGCTGCACATCGTCTGCCTTAAGCAGATACCTATTAGGCAGTATTTTGTATCTATGTCTCGCTGTGTGTACTCACTCCATTGTCTGTGTGCGAGATGTCTCGTGTGCCCCAACTTAATTTTTGTCTAGTTAGCAAGGGAGCCCAGGCACTGAACAGCAGCTAGGTCTTTGACATTTGTGCCTAGTTACTAAACCATATCCAGAAGTGACAACCCATATGAATTGAGCAACCTTTTGCCTGATCTGCGAGTGAACCATGGAAGGCCCTAAAGGCAACAGCCCTACCGTAGACTGCCTGATTGGGTAAAGCCCAATATCTAGCCCTAAGACGTTGTCCTCATCTCTATGTTGTTTCGTTCCTTCATGACTCTTGTGTTTGATTGTCAAGCGACACAACACTGCCTAACTCTGCCTAGTATTGCCTATTCTTATACATGTATTCTGGCGCGTTGTATGTCTTGTCTGTTTATGGTTGTCCAGACAGTCATGACTTACCTGTATTCTGAAGCATACAGTGCATGTTGTTCCAAATAATACACAAATTAGGCAAAGTAGCATGCGACAGGCAACGATCTCTGAGCCTATATAATCGCAGAACATCGATAGCCCTGGAGGTAGAGGAAACCTCTTTTCTCTACTCTCCTTCATTTGTTGACGCGTACTCTATTATAACTTCTACCGGTTTCACACACTCTACTTTATCACTTCATTCAAACTTTATTCAAAACATCCCAGAATCCCACCTGCTCAGTCAGGATGGCTGCCGCAAACCACTTTCAACCTCCGCAGAGAGATCCGCCTCAACAGCATAGCAGGCATGTGGCTCCGGAATATGCTTCATTTCCTCCTCCACCTTCTATTCCTTATCCTATTGCTATGTATGATCTAGCCATAGCATTCTACTATCCATGCCCTCAGCACCTGCCGCCTTGTCATATGGCAGGAGAAAGCTACCATTCTACCTTCGCTTCTTCTTCCTCTTCTTCTTCTGCCACTCCTATGCCTGTTCCTTATTTCCCCCACAATCATACTCCGTGTGATAATCTTTATTATTACCATCCTCAGGGCTACGCGCCTCCTCACCATCAACAGCAACCGTTAATGCCCCCTTTCCTGCAGGGCCTTCCTCCTCCTCCTCCTCCTCAAATGAATATGGCAAAACTAGTGCTGCCATGCCAGAAAATGGCCGACCCCGAGGCAAAGCTGTTTGTTGGAGAGTAAGTACCTCGTGAGCAAAACTTGCTGTCAAGCCCATACTAACAGGGTCTGTTCTAGTCTACCCATGCAAATGACGACAGACGAAATGCGGAAGGAGCTCATTGAAAAGTTCAGTTTCCATGGTCCATGTACAGTCAATGTTATATGGAAGTCTACCATAACTCGGGTGAATGAAAAGCCAATTCCGACTGGATGGATACAGTACAAGGTATGTATCTTTTAGCCAACAAGGAAGAAGTTCGCCATACTAAAACACTCTGGTTAGAACTTTATCGATGCAAACGCAGCATTGATGTGGGCCAAAAACGAAGGATTTTGTATTGGAAACCGCACTGTGAGAGTTGAACGAGCTGATGGCAAGAGTACGCCTCCCCTTGTAGTACCAGTCTAGTACGAAGGTTTGTTATTTCTAACAGACACAATTAAATCAGGAATCTGCCGTCTCTACCCAAGCGACCCCCGCGCTGTCCCGACTCTCGAGGACTTCAAGGATATTATGACGAAGTTCATTCATTGGACCGGCAAGCAGAAGAATGTGCGTATGCCAATACACATTTCCGATAGAATTGAGATGGTGGCAAAGGATTTCAGAGGGCAGAGATTCCAAGTGCCCTCGGTGGGCGTTAACTTCAGATGGTGCGAAGACGCACAATTCGCACAAGATGCATGTCCTTCTCGTTTGTCATTATTGGGATCAAAATGGCTGACTTCGTACAGAAATTCCTCAAATTCTCGATCCAATACAGAATCGACATTGAGCGGGTGAGCATCACTAACGACGTTTATTGGCGACTTCCCTCTGTCCTCCCCGAGCACCATCGTCTTCTGTCCTTGAATGGCCTAGGTCTGGACCCTAGCGAAGTATGGCGACAGGACCGTCAACGTCTGCGAGAACAACGAGAAGACCGACACAAGTTACGATTGCAATTGCACGAGCGGGCAGAGGCTAACAGCAACAACAACAACATCAACATTCATGGGAATGGCGCTTCGGATCCCTGTTACGACTTTGTCGATAAACTGCCCTCGGAGATACTTCGGTTCCCTAAGCAGAGCGCTGCTTCCCGCTTCAACAGCCGTCGAGGTAGCTCCATGATGGAAAAGAAAATGTCATATATAATAGGTATGGAGTTGAGAGACATCTGCGATCCGGCGCTTGAATCGGCATTTATGGTCTGAGTTTTCGGTATTTTGACCTGGAGGAACTGAATGGATGGAACGGAAATTGAGGGTGACACTTGGGAAAACTGAAAGATTTTGATTTGATATGTTCTATTTATCATTATTAGACTTATTATTATATGAGCATCGGAATAGAGGATTTTGGTGGTTATTATACATCACTTGCCTTATTTTCTAGACAGACAACCACTGATTCACCTTCTCCTCGCCCGCCATAATATCCAAAACAAACCTCCCAAAGTCATCTACTTCCTCTGGACTCGTCTTCTTTAACAACTGCGTACCCGACTCCAAACTCTGACAAAACAATAACCCATCACCACCGCGGCTGTCTTTCGTCTTCTCCCGACACCTCGCCCACCATTCATACGCCGACTCGGCATGCCACAGGCCCGCGCGAGGCGTAAACATTAATCCACCAGGGCACGCATTGATGCCGTAGCTCAACAGACTATAAATGCACTGCATATGGCCGGCGACTAGCCAGGTGCGACGAACGCTTTCGGCGAGGATCCAGGCCTGCCAATCTGAGCGAAGTTTCTTTTCGACGCTTGCCTTGCCGTTACTGCTACTGCTCAATAGATAAGGGCCCATGGATGTCGACATCGAATACACGTATTGGCTCGAAAGTAACGCGCTGTCGAGCATTTGCATGCACCACCGTGTTAGCACTGGGATGAGAGACTCTGCCATGACGCGCGAACGGATATCGCCGTCGTAGAGTCGAATTAGTTGATATACCAGTAATGCTTGGACGCGGGCTAGATGGTCTAGTACGCTTTTGGTCTTTGTGTTGTTATTCATATCATCAGAGATATCCCTGGTTGAAAATATACCATTGTCACCGTCGTTGTCATTATTTTGATATTCTCCTTGTTCTGCCAATAATGTCGCTACTCGTTGCTCAATAATCCCCAACGCCATTTTCCTATTCTTCGTGGTACACGCAAAATATGCCGCGCAAGACGTGTACGCATCTTGAATGCATTTTGGCATGTGTAGCCCGGCTGCGTCCCCACCATGAGGATAGCAATCATCATTATAGCTGTCGTCATGATAATAAAGGTTTTTGTGAATGAACATATTACTCCCCTGCTCAATCCACTCTCTCGCCCAGCACTGTACCTGGTGTACAGATTTATTAAGTTGGGGAATCGTGCGTCCAATACGATTACGGCGCGCCATCTCACTGCTTGCAACAGTCCACGAGTCGGGGACTAGGAAATATAGCGGATTTATCCTGGTACCTTGCAGGAGTAGTAATTCAGCTGAGTATAGGAGTGAGTGCGTTGTAGGTGGGAACTGCTGCATAGTAGCAGTAGCAGTAGCAGCCGAAGAAAATGACGGCGTTAAAAAGGGAGGGGAATAAGAGGACGGTGATGATGATGATAATGAGGTCGAGACTAGTCCTTGAGAATCGCCATCTTGGCTGTCCCTGTCCCTGTGCCGCCTACTACTATCACCACTACTACTGGGTGTTGCAGTAGTAATAGGAGTAGGATCATGGAGTCTCGTAGACGGGTAGTAGCACTCAATGCCCCTAACAATGCACCGTCGGCATGATGGATGTTGCAGGTCGCATCGTCTTTTGGCTTTGATGCATGCGTTGCAAGCCTTTCGCCGCGATTTTGCTGTTGCTGCTATCCGTCGATGACGGGCGTCTGCCGAGTCATGAAATGGCATTTCTTGTATCTTTTTGCTTTACTTTTCTTTTTCGAGCAGCAAGTCTGTCTGTCGATGATCTGAGATGTATTTGTAGAATGGACGAATTGAATTGAACTAAATGATGTTGGAAGTAACTCCAACTAGGTTCGTGGCTTACTAATCGGGGTGGTCCCGCTTGGGTTAGGGTTAAAAGTCTAGCTTCCAACAATGGAAGATTTTGATTGATCAATGGCTTCGTTTATATGGCAAGAGTTATAGCAACTTCCACTCAGTCATGTTCTTTACTGAGGAATTCGTTGATAGTACGTTCTCCGAAACATTTGTATGATGTCGTCGTGCAGATCGAACTACTTGATGGTTATCAACCATCTCACGCCTAGGAAACAATCACATATATGCCATGCATCCACTCGTGATTCCAATCTAGCTTGCTTCACTAAGAGAGGAACGAGGATTATGAAAAGGAGAAAAAGAAAACGCTAGTCAAATGGAAAAGACATATATACAGCCTGCCTTTCGCCCAGTTATCATATAATAAAACAACAAAAGATGTTTGATCAAACGCCATGCCCTGGAAATGCATACCACAATGTTTTGTCGTAATCCAAATGCTCCCATCGAGTGCCCCATAACTTAAACGAACCAAAAAGAAAATCAAATGTCCAATAGGAGAAAGTTACAGAGGGAAGGCGGAGTAAAGGTAGATAGAGTACAAATGAAAAGGGTCATCAACATAAAATGGAGGAATCTTTCAATAGTCCCGTACTTTGCGGGCACCAAAAAGATTCAGATCAATCGCAGTGTCGTTAGCCCCAACCACAGGAGCTGCCTCTTCTAACATCTCCCATGGGCGAAGCGAGTACGAACCGACTATACGTCCGCGACTCTGTACGCGAAGCCGATTGCTAATTGCCGAATAATCTTCTACAACCGTACCTGTGTTGACGGCAGACATGGCAGGTGGATTGGCAGACGGTGTCAACGTCGATGCTGGCGATGAAACCGAAACAGACCCGGGAGCAAAGGTTTCCGACACGGGTCCAAATAGAAATAGTAAACGAGGATCGTTTTGAACATGCAAGGATGGAGGGAACCTTTCCCGGATGAAATTGGCACATTGTTGGCGGGCCTCGTCGGGAAGACTGTCAACGAGAGAAGACGCCATGTCCAAAGCGTAAGTTTGAATGGTATTCTCCGTCCGTACCTCGCTTGTCGATGTGTTAAAAGGCGGTAATGCAGATAGGTCTAGTCGAGGTTGAACTGTGAACCCCATCGGCGTCCGTGATAATGCTAGACAGCATATGATAATAAGAGTTCGAGAAAGGTCTATAAATGCACCTGGACGATTATTTGTAGACGACGCCGGTTGGTCAAACGCTGCTCGGTGAATGCGAATCATTTGCAGTATTGCCGTGAACCAAAATAGAAAGTTTTCCTCGCAAGCTGAAATCGAATGCGTGGCCACCCCCGGCGATGTATGATTGCGGAGCTCACTCAAGTTTCTCACGTTTACGTGCATCGCAAAGAGTTTGTGAAGAAGCGAATTCAGCTTCTCGACCAAAGGAGGTCCCACGGAAGGGACACCCTCTTCTGGGATGCTATATGCAAGTCCGTCGATGACGGCTAGATATACGCGTGCGTTTTCCTGAAGATCAAGTCTTTCGCTCTCCGAGTCTTTCTCTAGTGCGCTATCCGATTGAGCTACGGAGAAGAATTCCTTCTCTGCTCTCTGGCGAATCTATTGAAAGGTTAGTCAGTCTATGCGCACTTCACCTGTGAACTCTGAACTCACCTGCTCTGCGGCCTCTTGACCCATCGTAGATACCAGATCAAGCCAGTAAGTATGGCCAGCGCGAACATCAGCTATTGCTGATTTGTACATAAGATCCACGATGGTATTCATGATATCATCGCTATGCTTCTCGTTGAAAAGGATCTGTAATTTCATTTGACACAAAGGCAATGAAAGATTATCTGTCTTCTTGATAGTCGTCGCGGCCTCGGTTAAGAAATCCAAACTACCTTGGTTGTTGTCATTTAGAAGCATATCGACCGTCTTTCGGACAACCAAACCGAATGCCGGATATCCCTTCACCAGGGTGCGAATAGTGTCGAGTGTGATGTCATCTGGATGGCGCACAATAATCTCCCGCAATAAAGGAACCATATATCTGACTAAGGGTTTCTGGTCGTCAAGCAAATCCTTTGACTGAGCCTGAGTGCACTGAGAAACGGCATCCTGGATGACACCAAGAGCTTCATGAGAGTGTTCACAAAGAAACTCCTCCTGGGCGATGCGGAAGCGGTACGACAGGAAATCGCAAACTGGTCCGAGATCATGGACAGGAACAAGGAGTTCCAAGAAATCAACGAGCAGTTCTAGCGGCTCCGGAACCGTGGGATTCAGCAAATCAGGCACCAAAACTTTCTTAATCAAGATGGCAAACGCCGGTAAGGTTACACATCCAATGCTAACGAGTGGGCGCAGGGTACGTGACAACTTGGGTCGTGAAGTAGTCTTTATAGTTGCCTCGAGCCATTGGACCAACAAGAGATCAAAATGTTTAGGATTGAATGACCTCAACTGCACTAGATGGCGACAGACCGTGCCGGGCATGGAAGCATCCTTTTCGTCGTAAAGCACAAGTTGTTGAATCAATTTCTGAAAGACGATCATCATCGTAGTTTCATCCATGCTGTTGCCAGACGACAAAAGTTGATCCATGTCCTCATTGAAAGAAGGGTTGGAATCACTCAATGTCTCTGCTACATGGTCGGACACAGGAGAGCAGGCAGCTAGCGCAAGATTACGATCCGCTCTCGAGAGCGCTTGTCGAAGCACAAGGAGTGAGTTTACACCATTGGGAAGACGGCGGGCAACTTCACAAAGCGAATATGCGAGGTCATAGACAGGTTGTGGGTTGTGCTTAACGCGAAGGAAAGCTTCGTAAAAATTTCTGAACAAATCATTCAGAGCACCGATGACGGTGAAGCAACCGAAATGGCAATTTAGCGTATCGGCTCCACATGTGAGTAATTGAACATCGTCAGAGTTAGATGCATTGATGAGAATATCCGCGAGCATTGAAAGATCTCCATATTGCTCAAGTGTAGATCTAATGGTGAGAAATTCTTCATGAGTCAATGATGACACTTCAATTGAGCCTTCATGATGATAAATCTTCTGCTGGTAACTGGGGCCATATTCATAATGTTCGGATACAGCTGCTCGAATCCACTGGCTAATATCGGCTTTGATAGACCAGGTAAGATTGTTTCGTTCAAGGTCAATCGCCATTTTATGTTCCTCAATGTCATCTTTCCGTAGTACTTGAGGGAGCCGCTTTTTCAATTCGCCTTTGATACCTTGTAAAATGGCTGTCTCGGAAGAGAGAAGTAAACCTGCGCGAGTCATGAGGGTGTCTCGAAGATTGCGCAGATGTCGTGGAAGACGCGAACTGGGAATATGGAATAACAAATCTATGTCAACCGGGACATGAGAATCGGGAGAACTTCCCTGGCGATACTGTTCGACGGCGCCTCTTGCTACCAGCCACTGTAGATATCGACCAACAGAAAATGTGTGCGACCGGATCAATTCTACAATCGTATGATAGATATTTATCATATGTGCTGTCTGTCCAATAGATGTCTGTGTGAGGAACGAGAAGATAAAGGCGTCGATATCCATGCCTGAACGCTTCCATTTACGCAATAGGCGCACGGCAATGTATACACGGATTATCCCCTGCCGAAATGGACTCGCTGTCCACTTCAACAATACAGAAACAAGTTCTCCTCGATTCGGCATAATACTGAGGCAAGTATGCGACAGAGCACCTATGTTGTAGGCATCGCGAGAAGAGTCCAGAAGCTTAATGATTTGCTGCTGTGGTGAACGTCGACTGTTTGAAATGTATGCTCGGGGTCTCTGAACACGTGCATTGCGAAGAACAAGAGATTGGAAAAGGGCCTTTTCCTTTGGATCATCGGACATGAGTAAAGAAGATATGATATCCTGATATCGATCCCATGACCGAGGAAGAATAACGCAAGGTGAATGGTTTTGGCAGAGTCGGCGGACTATCACTGAAACTCGATCAATCAAGGGCTGTAGATGTGCTTTGTACTCGGATAATGTAGCTTCTCTGAGCTTTTCTAGCAGCGCTTCCGAAAGACGTCTCCCCCGTTGTCTGAATCTTACTAGGTTTTCCCAATAGATACTAAGCATCGCAAGCCAGATAGGGAAAACGTCTAAAGTAGAAGCCTCTATCGAAGACATATACCAATCAAGGTAGCAATCCTGGTCAAGCAAATTTTCGAAGAACAGACGAGCAGCGAGTCTCACTCTGCAAAAAGAAAAAGAAAAGAAAATTAGTGTCATAACCAAAGAAACGGCAGGCGAGACGAGAGATCCTTACGCATAAGTCATTTTGCTTCGCCAACCCTCCTTGCCACATGCACCTATCACTCCTTCAATGAATTGTTGCACGCCGATCGTCCACTCACGAACCCATTTTATTTCCAGTCCATGTGAGAGCGAGCCGCTGGTTCCTTTTCTCTTGAACGCGCGAATTTCATTGGCACCAACGCATTTCGCCAACCACACAGCTCTTCCGATGGGAACTCCCTTGCCCAGACATTGGTCGAGCAGGACTTTTCCCCGAATGCCATGCGGAATTGTTCGGCTTAATCTTCGTAAAGGAACGGCAGAGTTTGCCAAATCTCGGAGCCACGCTTCTCGCTTGTTGTCTGTGAGAGTGACACGGGGCGGAGGTTTGAAAGTCGATGTTGAAGAGATCTTATCATGTACTTGCCTCTTATCTAGAGCGGCAGCAAACACGGCGGACAAAAGTTGTAAGCCGGATCGATTCTTCAAATGACCAGAAAGTTTGGAAGTGTTTGGTTGTAAATCGTTGTTACTTGAGCCTGGTATTTTGTCATAATACCCCTGCTTGACGGCGAACTCGGTTAGTTTGTCTTCAGGATGGTTCCCTAAGCGGCTCCACGGTGAATAATCGGCCACTTCTGTCACAATCGATTAGCCATTCGCCCTTTTGCGAAGCAGATAGCTTGTTGAGGATGCAGCACTTACTTTCCCTGTTGAGGCGTGGAGCAATAGTTGGGATTTCTGGGCGGTAGGGATTGGTCTGGACGTCGCGGGAACGGGTATCTTCTGGCGGACCAACATTTTCAACTTGCGACTGGCGTGCAGGAGCGTGCATCCAGGGTCGAACGGGAAACGGCGGCGGGGACGGGGGTTTGGGGGTTTGCGAGCCGGGAGTCGCATTCGCTGTGAAGGCAACCCCTCCATACGTGTCGGTGACTAGCTCTTGGAAAGAGTAGGCAGGCCGGCTGCGGCCAGAAACCGCAGTAGTTCGTGCAGTACTGCCATTGAGTATGACGCTTCGAGCTTCGGCGCTTTTAGAAGGAGTTCGGCCGTCGTGCCCGAGCGCAGCCACATTTGTGTCCAACCTAGGTCTTTTGTGAGGCTGTTCAGAATCCAACGGGCCGCCGTCGGAGGCGGACAAGTCGATGAGCTGTTGGGCAGGAGCTGCCGGGGCTACAGCCATGGACGGGCGAGGCTCGTTTGTAGACGCAGGACGGGTATAGCTTGTCCAGGTCTGATTGCCCGTCGAGGACGGAAGCGTGCTCATCTCATGAAGACGGGAGACATGGTGTCTCTCGTCGGTCGACCGGTCGTTTCAATTCAGAGCATTGGCGCGGTTTTGCGCGATAGAGGAGCAGAGCTGGTTCGCAGTCGTCTTAACCCCCGAGATCAGGTATCCGATGTTGGCGGAGACGACGGACGGATGGATGGATGGATGGATGGGATGATATGCGAGCAGAGGGCGGCAATCGTATGACTCGCGCCCGGCGTCAGTTGATGCCGTGTACCTAGGTATATGAATAGAGGACAGAGGATAGAGTTATGTGTAGGAACAAACAGATGCGGCATGCAGCGAGGAAGGAAGTATACAGCGGGCGGCGCGGGCTAGCAGCGAAAGGGAAAGATAACCTTCGGCGGAACCGGCTGACCAGCAATTATTGTCTCCGAAAAAACGCGGTGTATTGCCATTACGCACATTTTGCTGGTTTTATCCCCGGCTACAGACGTGCTTACGGTCAGAAAATAGGACAAAGAATGCATCTATTATGACTATAAATCTACTAATATAGTGCAGTGATCTCGCAATGCGGCAAAGACATCTCCAGACGCCTGATGCACGGATGTACGGACGTCGGACGATATTCTTCGCACGTAGTAATATAATAATGTTCAGCTAGTTAGTTAAATGCCTGGGCTAAGCCTGAAAACCCGCGTTGAGTTCTCTCGCTCGCGCTCCGGTGATCGGGAGCAGCGTAGACAGGCGATAAGAAGTGCAGCTCGAACATTTATAATTATAGAGAAGAGATCCGTTGTATGCCGTGCAACCGCCTTGCCACCATAGTCAGCTGTTGGCTGCAGATCCATTGATACGCTGCGATCTCACTAGCATTCCACCTATCAAAAAAGGCACAAAGGGGCCATGAACAGCAGTTCCGTTTCAGGTTGCTTTTTTGTTTCCCAATGCCAATGCTGGATCATTAGTAGAGTAGTACGTAGGAGATACTGCTCGATCCGAGATGATGCGTAGAATCGGAGGGGCGAGTCTCATTGGCGGAAATGCCCTCCTTGTCCAGAACAAGCTAGCTTGGCACGTGTCCGGAGATGGTTAGCTCTCTCAGCGTACGGGGGTGACTGTCAGGACTCAGTGTATACTATCACCGCACATCCTGCACCCTGAATCTGCATACAATGGCGTCCAAGAAGGATATGCGCCGGGCCGACTTGGGTGAGATTGCTCTTCGAACTCTGGATGCCGTGCATCGCCAGCGGAACTAACTAGCTGACTTGTTGGCACCTGGCCTAGTGATCCCATACGTCGAGCCTCCCGCTGAGAAGAGCGATGCCGATATTGGCGGTATGCACATGCAGATACACAAAGAGAAAGCGGGTCGGTGTTGATGGCGAGTTGCAGGTACTATGAGCACAACGCTGCCAATGGCTGCGGTAAGTTGATCGACTCATCTGTTTTGCATTTCTCTAACGCGCAGTATTACCTAGATGTTCACCCGGAATCGGTATGCTACCCAATTATCATCCACACGATAAGGACTACGGTTTTCAGTTTCTATGCTGACACCACGATTTTCTCCCCGAAAGAATGATCGGATGGTATGTGGCTTCTCACCGTCGAATATGACAAGGCAGTTGGGCTGATGGCAGCCATGGTTTCTTAGGTTGGCCGTTGTGGTTTCCCTCCAGAACTGGTTGTCTGAGACGCCCGAACAGAGCAAGAATGCCGCCACGCCCGGCTATATGTCGATCTTCATGTCCCGTAAGTCATGGCGCTCATCGAGCACTCGTCGCGCAAGTCATACTCCGTATACTAATCGCATTTCTCAACCGTTTAGTGATGTCTCTAGCTGTCGTATGTCTATTACACCCCGCGACCCCAATTCAATTCAATGCATGGCAAGGATAGCGCTAACGCCGATAACCTAGACATACATGCCCTTGTTCTTCCCTCCGCCAGCCGCTCGCGGTAGCAGCACGGCCGCTGCTCCACCCCCGTCGCCGTCGCCATGAGAAAAACGGGAAAAGTGCGCTTAGTTGGGAACTCGCATAAGGATATTCTATCGCGAATAGATTCGGTCTATTCAAAAAGGGCCCGTGCCTCGTGACCCATGTAATAATATAGGACATCTACTAATACACGCATAATAGCAACTATGTTGTGCCGACTCTCTAGTATCTAGTTGAAGCATTGCTGAAACGCATACTGTCTGACCCGGCCTGGTGACTCGGGCGCGTTGCCACCTGACTGGCTGTTCGGTTCAGAACAGAACAGAACAGCCGACGTGTATCCAGCCAGCGCAGCGACTTGTAGTGAGGCGCGCACTGCCATAGACTGCCGCAGTGACTAGTTATTTGTGATGGCTGCAGTGACTAGCTTGTGCCCTGTGGTGAATGTAAAGCCACGGAGTAGACGTGGTCAACCCCAGTTTTCGCACGCCGCTGACTCAGCCCGCCTGGCCAATCAGCGCATTGGCCACCGGGCTGAGTCATCCACGCTTGGCTGTTTCGGGCTGCTCGACGCCTCGCCCCTCGCTCCTGCCCTCCCTCTTTTCAGCTTTAAAAAGAATCCCCTCCCATCAACCCATCGGCTCTTCCTCCATCTCTCCGCTCTTACCCACCAGCTCCAACCCGCAGACGCTTCTTCCACAGAGACCTACGAGTTCTCGCTCCCCGCTGCTTTATCTATACCCCCTTTTTCAAACAAGTTCCAGCAAAAGGCAGAGTTTATGTCCATCGAAAACCTCAAGACCTTCGGTAAGTCCACCGACGATGCTCCTGCCGCAGTCCTCCATCGTGCTACGCCCTGCTACACAGCCTGCTCTACCCACTGGGCCGAGCGGGCGGTAATCGCGTGTTGCCGTGTTGGAATAATGGCTGCCGCGGTCGTGTTTGAAGAGCGGGGTATTTTTTTTTAGTTCGTGCAACTGGCAAAAGGCTAACAATCGATGATCACCACAGACCCCTTCGCCGAAGCCGACGAAGACACCGGTGAGACTAAACAGTCTCAGAATTACATTCATATACGAATCCAACGTATGTTTCTCTCTTCCCCACCTTTTTTTTTTTTAATTCCCAGTTGCTGACTTCTCGCAGAGCGCAATGGTCGTAAGACCTTGACCACCGTTCAGGGTCTTCCTAAGAAGTTTGATCAGAAGAAGATTCTCAAGGTCATCAAGAAGAAATTCGGTATGTTGCTGCGTGTACTTGAACGTCAGGGAAAAAAAAACACACAACAAGGCTGATAAGATGAATCCACAGCTTGCAATGGCACCATTGTCAACGACACTGAGATGGGGGAGGTGATTCAGCTGCAGGGTGACCAGCGTAAAGATGTTCAGGAATTTTTGGTCGACAAGAAAGAGGGTTTAGAACTCGACGCCAAGACCATCAAGGTATGCTCTGTAGTGACTGTTCTTCTTATTCCTGTGCTAACAGTCTATAGGTCCATGGGTTCTAAAATCACGCGCCATGTCGTTCCGGTCCTTCTCGACAGATCTTTCCTTTGAGGATACGATGGAAGTGCTTGTCTTCTAGTCGAATATCTGTGATATCATTCCTCTAAACAAGGGGATTTCGCACGACGAATATTCTTCCTTTCTAAAGGCACTGAACTGTCCGTCTGCTCACTGGCGATGCCCCACCATGGGGCCTTGGATCTGCTCTTTTTGTCGAACTTTCTTTACAAAGGGTCAATCAGTTGGTTCGGTTTACCTGTGCTCTCAGGTGAATGCAATAGCCGAGGCGCTTTGTTTTGTTCTTCGATGATTTTTCAATTTTAGGGACGGGATGGACTGGAACATGGCGTTGTAGATACCCATAGACGATATTGCTTACTTCCTTTTTTTTTCATATATAACCTAGTCTAGCATCATAACTCAGTTACAGCTCAGTCAATACGATGATGCTAGCTTTGTGCTTTGTGCTTGTTAGTATGCAAATTGATCAGAAGTATTTTTTGGCAATCTTCCATTCCACTCATGCAAACCAGTAAATTTTCAAATCAACCTAGGTTTATTCAGATATCAGGTTGATAAATAAAGCGACGATATATGGCAAAATCAATTTGAAAATACGATCTAAAAAAGAACAGAAGAAGACAACCGTCTTGGAATAAGTTTTGAAAAAGAAAAGAAAAGAAAAGAAAGTTAGGCCCCCGTCCCTTGCGCCGGCACAAGCGTAGTAGTAGTAGTAGAAGAAGAAGATATAGTAGTAGATGTAGCAGCCGCTATCCAATCCAAAACCTTCTGACCCATGACAAAAGCCGGCACCTCCGGCTCATTATCTCGTGTCAAGTGCATTTGCAGAAGGATTAGGGACATGCTGATGTAGCTCGCTACTGACAGGACAGAAAGAGAAGCGGTTGTTTCGCGTTTGATCATGGCGTGGTTTTGCGTTGCGTGGTAGAGGAATGTTAGTGTCTGTTGAGCAAGTCAGCATTGATTAGATGTATAAAAGGGAGAAAATAGCCCATACAGTGGTTATCGAAATCCAAGCAGGTAATAATAACCGTGGATCGGAAGAGGCGCCAGAAAGGAATAGAACGGAAGATGTGAGGTAGGCAAAAAGACCGTTTGTGGCCAAAAGACGAATCAAGACTGCGGGGGGGCTGTAGTTGAGGAGCCTGGGATACAAGTCAGCAATTCCTTCTTATATTCTGAAATAGTCAAGCTTGTGTTTCAACTCACCATCGAGACATCATACAGTCCATGAAAAAGTAGGAAAGATACGCTGATGCGCAGCACTACGAGAAGTCAGTCAGTCAGTGTGTACTATATATCCTATGGAATAACTCCAATACATACCCACATAATAGCCAAAGCGACCTCTGTGACTCGAAATCTCCTCTCCACATCCCAATCCGCTGCTGCACTGCTCACGATGATAGCCACCCAACCCTCACGCCACATGCCAGGTCTGATGCGCAAAAGCTCTGCTAAAAAAGTAAATGCACATCGCAAACCCCACCAGAGAGCCGGCACTACACTGAGCGCTCGACAGATGACGAGCGGTAGATACCACTTACGATCGACGCCGAGTATGACGGCGACGCGCGGAGATAATTTTGACGATGGTAATTGCGCTGATGTTTTTTCGGCCTCGTTCTCGGCCGCTGACCCTGACTCCGACTCTGACTCTTCATCCTCGGGAGGTTTCTCTCCTTCTCTTCTTCCTCGTCGTTGGTGACGGTTGGCAATGATAGCATCGCCTGTTTTGTCCCGCTTACTTCCGCTGTTGTGCGAACCATGATGCGCAAGCGAATTTCGGCGAGAATTCAGCGGGGACGGGGGTACAATTGTCGAGGCATCATCGACATCGTCCAGATCCTGTTCATCGTCTTCAGCTTCGACTTGTGGGGTTGTCGTTGTGCCGCCCAGAGCGTTCATGGGTACGGAAGAACGAGATTTATAGTATGCAGGCGGTCGTAGAGGAGCATCGGCCCTCTCTTGTTCTCCTTCAAACGGTTTCGAGAATGCCGCCAGTGGCAGTTGCTGTTGATGCTGTTGTTGCTGTCGCTGTTTGGACAGTTGTCGTCCTACTAGGGTCGACAGGTGCGGCGAGGCGAATTGGAGGTTTGCGGCATCGCGGCCGGTGGGAGCCAGTCTTTCTCTTTGGTCCTACGGCATACGCTGCCGTAGGGTGCTACGTATTCTGGAAGACTCGCGAGAGGGTGCGTTGAAGTACTCGATTGCGAGGGGGTAGGAGGTTGATTAGATCAATGATGGATGGCGTAATCAATGCGGGCAGGTAAGCCTTGAGGTAAGGAGGTTTAGGGAGTACCGAAACAACACGCCAACGCATCAACAAAATCCGCCCTTGGATCGATTTTGCTCTGCTCTGCTAACTACGTAGGTCTACTACGTGGCGAATGAATATTAATTGCTAAACGGAGTCGACACTAATATTTGATATGTAATGTACTATGTCTGGACCTCGGCAAGTCCTGCATACGAAGTGATATGCTTGATGAGTCTATGTGATAGATACAGAGCAAAGTGAACACTGAGCCGCGTGCAAAAATCAAGCAGACTGGAATGACTATTGCGTATCAAGCAGGTAGTTTGGAGGAGTTTGTGTACAATAACAAATAATATTGAACAGAGTGATGTTCATATGCTCCGTTCTGATTGGCCAATGCGAGCGGTGAGTGGTAGGTCACGTGGTAGATATTCTGCCGGGCATTTGTTTCTTCTTTTGCGGACGGAGCAAACAGAGTTGCTGCGAAACCAAGGCACATAATCCTATCATCCCAACAGCCTCCCCCGGGACTGTGGCGAGGAAAGAAATATCAAAATGGCACAATCTCTCGGAATCAGGGCCAATGCGCTTTCTCGCAATGCCCCTCGCTCGATATCCCTACACGCATACGGACCGACGACTGTCTTCTTCTCCGACACACAATGCCGCTCGTTCTCTCAAAGTCTAGCTCCCAAGGCAAAAGGTGGTGGCATCATGACAGCACAGCCAGTCATGCCCAAAATGCAACCGGAGATGAGTTTCAGGAGCAGGTTGCGAGATATCAGGCCTGAAGACATGCCCACGGATTTTGGTTTATTACCGGGCACCTTCGTGAAGCCAGAAGGGAAAGATATGCCCGACCTCTTTAAAGAGCCTAAAGATCGATTACGCATGGAATGGGTATGGCTAAAAAATTGGTTTTCCAACGTGATTGGGTTAGTACCGCATGTTATTCGTGATGTTATCACTATCTGTACTTACGTCAGTATAATAGAACGCTCTACTACCACAAGTGGAATTTCAAACCGGGCCTCCCATTGGAACTTAGAGAGCGGAGAGAAATAGGGAAGAATCTCCATCACACAATGTACACAGAATTCGCTCGGTAAGAAGAGGCACCCATCCCCTCTCATGTCTAGCAACGCCTGACAAACACCTCTCTCTAAATATAGCGGCAACGAACGACTTATACGGGAAAAATGCTGTCCAGGCTTAGCCAAAAACCTCATTTATCGTATCAAGAAACGAAATGTCGATGAAAGGGTTTCCTGGAGCATCGAAAAATACAACCGCACGCCATCCACATTCTTCACTGGGATTCGTGTGCTGTCAGATCGCGCAACCACAATACCCGATTTCGCAGATTCGGGAATCCGACAGATCGTGCTACGTATTAGCAGCCAGCAGAGCAGGCAAACATTCTCGGCGGCGTCGGGCCACCTCTCAGCGTTATCGGCGCCAGTCAAGACCCAGGACTGCACCGAGTACATCGTTATACAGAAAGTGAGGATAAACGGCATTCAAAAAGACTGGGAGATTTGGGGCTTTACTAAGCCGACCACGTTGGAGGATCTGGAGAGTCCTTACTTTGCGACGGGCCTTACTTTCAAAGAGCGGGTGCAGGCTATGCAGGATATGATGACGGGGAAGCGGTAAGAAATATAAAAGCCCTCGCTTCGCAAATCTGCTTTGTACTATTTACTTTCACCTGTATATTACAACGACCTGGAATAAATATCTGCTTCTGTCCAAAGTAACGAGAATGATACATAACGACAACATCGGAGTAGGAGTCGGAGTGGGCCTGCACTAACGCCTAATCGGGGTAATGGAGAGAGACCTTCCCTCCATGATTTTATTTAATTACTCTACCCACGTTTTTTGTACTCTTGTAACTCTGTTCATTCGATCCAACATGCTCTTGGCCTTAGCGGTGCATCTAGGGATCCAGCTCGTTTTACCTCGAACATGATGAAGCTATCACAGCTGCTTGCAAGCAACCGAAAGCCATGGGCTTTGCGACTTCGAGCCAGCAACTGGTTTACCGTGTTTGTGGTCACCTTTGCCGTGTTCACTGATGTACGTTTCGTCTCCCTTATGACCGTCTCGCTATCATCTGAGCTAATGTAGCTATGTATAGATTTTTCTTTATGGGGTCATTGTGCCTGTGATTCCGTTTGCTCTGCAGCATAGAGCGAATGTAGATGCCACTCGGGGTAAGAATCAGTACACCGATTACTCGATTACTCACCCGTGTTCTACTAACACTGAGTAGTTCAGTATTGGGTATCGGTGCTGTTGGCTGTATACGGTGCGGGCTTATTGGTCTTCTCTCGTGCGACGACCCCCCCTACCGCACTAGAACGAAGAACGTTTCACTGACATCGATAATAGCAATATGTGGCTGGTTCTCAGACACCATTTCCATGCGTCGATTGCCGCTCCTCCTCGGCCTGGCGGCTCTCCTCGGCGCAACAATCATGCTGAATGTGGCCACTAGCCTGGCCGTGTTCATCATTGGGCGTCTCCTCCAAGGAATCAGCGCCGCGGTTGTCTGGGTCGTTGGACTCGCGCTCATGGCGGATACTGTGCCCAGGGAGATGCTGGCGCAGTACATGGGATACGTGAGCCTGGGGATGACCTCTGGCTTCATGCTTGGTCCTCTCCTGGGAGGTATTCTGTATCAGAGAACGGGATATAATGGAGTCTGGGCCTTGTGCTATGCATTCATCGGACTGGATTTCGTGCTTCGTATTGTCCTTATTGAGAAGAAGGATGCAAAGCGTTGGATTGAGGATACTAGTAATGAAATACCGATTGAGGAAGGTGTTGTGATCGAGAGTTATCAAGACAATGTCGACCACCCCCATGCACCTGGGTCGAAAGAGCAGAATGTCGACGGTTTACCAGCAGTACAGCCGACACCATCCTCACCGCCAGACCTTCTTTCCGGACTGGGAAGCTCCAGCGCTACCTCCAAGTTAACGCAGAAACTTCCTGCCGTCGTTGCTTTGCTCGCATCCCGCCGTCTCCTCGCATCCTTGTTTGCCTCCATTGCGCAAGCCACTCTCATCGCTTCCTTCGACTCAGTACTCCCGCTCTTCGTCAGCGAGACCTTTTCATGGGGCTCATTGCAATCTGGCATTCTGTATCTCGCCATCGTCGTCCCAACACTGGCATCGCCAGCATTGGGGTATCTAGGCGACAAGTATGGGGGCCGCTGGTTCGCCGCAGCTGGGTTCCTCCTCGCCTGTCCCATGTTCGTGCTATTGCGTCTGGTCACTCACAACTCGATCTCGCAAAAGGTGCTCCTGGTCGCGCTCCTTGTGCTCATTGGGCTTGCTATGACGCTGAGTTTCCCGCTCATCATGGCGGAGATTACACATATTGTGAGTGCCAAGGAACGGTCGAGACCGAAGGGCACGTTTGGTGCCAAGGGGGGCGCATATGCGCAGGCTTATGGTCTATTTAACATGGCGTTTGCAGTCGGTACGCTGATTGGGCCTATCTGGGCTGGGTTGATCAAGCAGGACTATGGCTGGGCGACCATGGCCTGGACACTGGGGCTGTTGAGTGGTGTGACTGCCGTGCCGTGTGTGATCTGGGTTGATGGCAGTATAAGGAAAAGGAGGAAGAGGAGGATGGAGCTGATGCCGTAGAGTCCTGGTCCGACAGATGTATATATCTCGCCACTCCAATTGTATCTCCTCTCCCCCTGCTTCGTCGTTAGACCAAGACGGCTTGTTTGTGGAAGCATTAGCATCGTCACTGCACAATCTAGGCATCGAAGCCGAAATCATCTGCGCAGTCTTGCTCCGGTGAGACAAGCGACAGATATGTTGTTGGGACATGAAGAATCTTATTTCAGGGCTCTGAAGAGTAGTCCAGAATAATCGGAATAGAAAAAGCGAAGCTATTAGAAATAGAAATATTTCCAATGTTGCATTGGAAAGAACACTGTCGTGATAGGTAATGTTTAGGGCGTTATCCCGGCGAGGTGAGGCGCAAATGCTTACGGCCCGGGCGTACAGTAAATATACATAATGTCCTCTGTTTCTCGAGGCGCCTATCGGTAAGAAGTTCGCATTTGCTGTATGCCCGTGATCGTCTGGAAGTTGGACTGTTGGAGAGAGCAGGTTGGTTGTGCATTCCTAAAATGGCCATGGCTAACCAAATCGGGACTAGAGTCCTGCCTTGGGCATCGATGATCGGATTGGGAAGGCGCGCTTCCTCTCTGCATGGATCTCTCCATCTCTGCATCTCTTTTGCCTGCCTTCTCTTCATGCCAAATCACCCAAAGAACCAACAGAGTCATTCAAGTATCCAATACATTACCGGAGAGAATATCTCAAAAATGTTCCGGCGAGTCAAGGAAAAGTTCGGCGCAATGAGCGGGAATGCAAAGTACAAGCTCAGCCAAGAGCAGAAAGATCATTTCATGAAGTACGGCTATGTTCGAGTACCCGATTGCTTCTCTCGAGAAAAGGCGTCCGAATGGACCGCAGATGTATGGACTCGTCTGGGATATTCGCCCACTGATAAGGAAACATGGACTTCGGAGATAACTTACATGCCGGGTCATCGCCATGAGCATGTCAAAACTTTCGCCCCCAAGGCCTGGGCGGCCATATGTGAGTTGGCTGGAGGAGAAGATCGAGTTCTGGAGGAGGCTGCCATGTGGAATGATGCCTTCATTGTCAATTTGGGCAGGAAGGACATGGAAGGCAAATGGCCGAATCCTAAAGACCTCCACGGATGGCATGTCGATGGAGACTTTTTCATCCATTTCCTTGACTCCCGAGAGCAAGGCTTACTGGTGATTCCAGTATTCACAGATATCGTCGACCATGCCGGTGGTACGGTTGTCTGTCCAGACTCAATTCCATTCATGGCAAGGCATCTGGTGAGCCACTCATACCTTTGGAATATTTCCAGTACTGACTGACACTCCAAGTATAACCACCCTGAAGGTGTGACCCCCCACATGGTCCCTCGGGGCCAAGAGCCAGATCAGAATGATGGATTCTACACAGACATAATCAATCAATGCTCCGAGTTTCACGAAATGACCGGCAAAGTCGGCGATGTCATCCTTCTTCACCCGCTAATGGTGCACTCTGTGTCTGTCAACAGCTTGCGGAATCCGCGCTTCATCACCAATCCACCGGTCATGCTGAGAGATTCTTTCCGGTTTGATCGCAAAAACCCGAATGACTTCAGCTTGGTCGAGCGCAAGACACTTCAATCATTAGGCGTTGATCGTCTTGACAGTTGGAAAATCGTCGGCGAGCGAGAAATGGTAGTCCCTGAGCGACTACGTGCACAAGCCGAAATGAAGCAGCAAGAGTCGGAAAGATTGGCTGCTGCTGCTTAGCATGCATGTATTCTTAAAGCATAGGGAATGAAACTTAATTTGACGTTCAAGTGATGAATGTACTAACTTTGATTAACTAGGTTAGCTACATTAACACGATCAAGAAATGTAACCGATGTCGAATTCCATCACCCCTTGGTCTCATGCCAGTGCTACTGAAGACGTCAGTGCCAAATGTCAAGCAATCAGACCCATTCCCAAAGTTCTTTTTTTTTTCTTCTTCTTCTTTTAATTTAAGAAAGAAAACAAAACAAAACGAACATGAGTGGAATAAACCTGAGAGCTGAAATGGACAGTATCGAGCAAGCAGCATAACTCAGCCTGAAGTGAGTTGCTCAACTGGTTTTACCGTCTCGACTTCAACATCACAGCATGATCTTTTGAAAAGGAAAAGAAATGATTTCAATTCAATGAATGCAGTAGCAGAAAAGGGGAAAGGAAAGAAAAAAATTCCGAATCTGTCCATGAGAAATCATATGTATCCACACCCAGTTTTTACTATGATTGTTCTCCGTTGGAAACCACCGTCATCATCGCCGTCGTCATCGTTATCATTTGAAGCCTCGTTGCTGTTCCTAGACTTCCTTGCATCCCCTGTTTTGCCTTCAGTCCTGGGTACCCATCAATGCCATCATTTGTTCCAAGGACATTTCCATAGACACCTTCTTGTTCTCTTCCTTGTCAATCTCAGATTGTCCACTCACAGGGCTACCATCTTCATTTTCAAATGGTTTATTCGTGCGTTTGAGAGTAACTTTGATCGAAGACGCGGAAACATCAACCTGGGGAGTTCCATCTGTTCCAAGGTAGCGAGGAACATCAGTAGCGAGGAGGCGAGACAGAGCTGGGCCCAATTGAGCCTGTGCAGATTTCAGTGAAGAAAGATTGCGAGGAGCAGCAATAGTACCAGGTGCACCGCGGGCCCCAGCGCCAACAGCAGCAGAGGAAGCAGCAGATACCAATGATGCTGCTTCTCCTCCCTTCAGACCTGAACCCAAAAGGACCTCTTTCCGAGTGGGTCCAACATTAGGCCAGGGGAGTAAGTATCCGTTTGCAAATCCAGTTAAGAAAGTTTTGTCGAACACAATGTCGGTTTCGCCCTCGCGCTTTGGTCTTCCCATGAGAGACTCCACAGACAGGGTGAGCCCCTGGCCGGATACAACGACTTTACTCTTTGCAAAGTTTTTATCATGGCCAGGCTGGATGTTGATCACAATAGTCTGGGCAAGGGTTTTGTGGAATGGTGGCTCGGCAGCTCTCACCCATTTCTCAACAATTGTTTCGCGGTTAGCATAGTCAAAATACATCAGGAGCACAGTCTTGGTCACGCTGTCACTCTGGGTAAACCACCAGTCGACGCAGAACTGCAAGTATTTACGAGATGCGACGTTGGCGTGTGCGGGGCCAGTCTCGATGACCATCGTGGGCCACACGACTCCATCAGCGTCAAACTTGGGGTCATCGCGGCGAGGGATGAACATGCGGTCACAACTGTGAACTGATTTGAATTCGGCTGGGTCGTCTGGGAAAGTTCTGACACCATCGCTTTTGCGGCTCCTATTGCAAAGAAAGTCATACTCGTCTTCGATGATCCCCATCCTGGCGAGTTGTGTTTTTATTTTGTACTTGATTCTGCCGAGAGCATGTCCCTGGACGCCATGGTCTGTATCGTCGTACTTCAACTGGTCACGAGGAAGGGACTCCATGAAGCGTGTCTCTTTGGCGATATGTATGATGACAGTTTTCTGCACTTCGAGGTACATGAAGCGACAGTGAGGAGCAACATTGAAGTCCCAGACCACATCGTTATAAATGAGGTTGGGAGGGATGGGCTTGACCAAAATGAGCTGGACATTGGTCTTGCCATCCTTGAGGTCATTTATGTGCTTGTTCATGATGGTGTAGAATGCACCCCTGTTGGTGAAAACGTACTTGGCAAGCTCAGGGATCGATTCTTTGATGAGAGGACGCATGGGCTCAGGGAACGCCTCGTCGTACCAACGCTCAGGATACATATCCATCATGCGCAATTGAAGCTGGTGATGGAAACGTCTGAGCTCGTTGGGTGAATAGGTTGAGAGCCTAGTTGAGTAGTGAGGATATCCCTTGACTGCGCGTCGAAGAGGGTGACACGACCAGTATCGAGGCGATCTGCGAGTGCTCTTGCTACTTGGACTTGAGCTTGAGCTGGTGTAGCGAAGGACAGAGGATGAGTGGGAGGGGGGATAAAGATGAGTGGAAGAGGGAGAGTGGCAGTGAGGGCAAGAGCAAGAATGAGAAGAATCAGTCAGAGACTGGGCTTGCGCCTCATTTTGTCGTCTCTGAGCTACTTTCTTCTTGGGTCTGAGTGTTGACAACGACATCGTTGCTTTCCCAAGAGGGCTTGGTGTGTTGGGATGTGCTGGGGTGTTGTCGTGACGATGAAACTGGTCGGGGTGAAGACGAGTGCAATATCAAAGGGGAGAATAATGGTCAGTCAGCTGACTGGGCAGGTAGGAATTAGGCAGAGCAGCAATTCAAGGTGGCTGGGCTGGAAAGACATTTAAATGTTCACACAATCACAGGCGCTTCCCATTCATGGGCACTCCCATTGATACTTCCATTGCATACCAACCTGCACCAGCCAGACCCCAAGTGGCCAAGTAACAGTGATTCTATGCACATTCACTAACTGGTAGAGGCTCATTCCCTTCAAAAGAAGTGTTTACAGACAGAGAGGTTGCCACAAGACTTGTAGCTGATTGAAAATAGTCCTAGCCTTCACTGGCCTGGCATCCAACAGAAAACCACAAGCCCGGAGAACTTTGTAGGATACATTAGTAGATTTTTATATTAAGGGCACATTTGTTATATAGTAGTTACAAGTCTGAAGCAGTAACATTGCTAGCCACAGGTTCATCATTCTACTCCCACTCCTCCTTCAGCCCCTTTAAGCCCTTGGTGCCAGTCACCTTCTTTTCAGCCACTTTTTGAGTGTCTTTCTTTTTGTCCTCAGCTTCTTGCTCCGCAGATGGAAAGGCCTCTTTCTTCGAACCCCACAGCGTCCTAACACCTTCATCAACTGTCAAGGCATTCTCACCACATATCCTCCTCTCTTCCTCGATCTCTTCTTCACTTATGCCATTCGTAGCCCATATTCGGTGTATTCGCAGATCGTAGGGACCCTCCACTCGATCAGTAAGACCGATCCCAATTGACTTGACTCTATTTTTCAGTAAAGAGTGCTGCGGTTCGATGATCATGCCATAATTTGTGCGAACAAAAGACTGGAATGGTAGAAGCACAGTCTCCCATCCTGCCGAGCCAGATGTTGTTGCGCTTATAATGGTCTCTGCAGGAGGAATATCGGATAGCGATGGAGGAATGCCACCGGGATACAGCTTGTCATTAATGTCATTAACCTCTGATGCTTCAGCTGCCGCGGCCAGGGGACTTGAAGCTTCGGACGGCCGGCCATGGACGCGATGATGTCTTGTGTAAAGTCTATGTTGATGAATATCAGTTTCCACAATGGAGTCGCTCTGAATATTGATCGTATATCTTCGTCCATCGCTCTTCACTCGCAGGGCTAAGTATGTGTAAGGATCGACGTCCCAGAACAAGCGCCCAAAGAGCCAGTACCCTTTATCTCGGTTTCGGAAAGCAGCATATCCCGTGCGCTCCACGCGCCAGTTATTTGGCAGTTTTGTCGATATGCTTCCGTGGAATCGCGCATGTGCCGGCTCAGTCGCAGTCGCAGGGACATAGTCTAGATCGGCTGTACTGAAACCGCCGACGGCGCGATCCGCCATGGTCTTGCAGGACGCGACTGACGATTCATCTTCGAAATCGAGAAGCTTGTATGGCTTGGTTGGCGTTGAGAGTGCTTCCGTGTTCCATGCTAGATTGCAATGATGTTAGTGAACTACTCATAGGCGATGTGAATGGCGATGTACCGATGCGTGTCAGACGACTGAGCTCTTCCGTGCTTTTCTTGAAGAATCCAGGCGGCTTCGCAGCTAGACAGCGAGCTGTAGGAATCATTGCGCAGGTATTTCAATTATTCCATTCGACAGTCCGTGTGCTTGCAATGTAGAATAGGTGTTCAGCGATGATCTGGCGATGGAATGTCGTCGGATGACGATGTGTGGCGCTAGGAGAATAAATCAGGCCAAGCTAAGATAAGATAAGATAAACCGCGTTCGTTATCTACTCTGTATACTACGAGTACATGTGGTGACGCTGTGTCTAATCAACCATTCAAGTCTTTAATCCTCTCGTTCAGCTGTAGCCTGCTTGCGCAGAGCCAGGAACTTTGACGCATAGTCATTGGCCAGAACCAGGTCGCCGGACAGATGCATGACGGTCGCCTTTTTCGCCATCATCTCACATTGGCCCAACACGTCTTCAATAGCCTCGTACTCGTCATAAGAGCAATCAATGTATGCGAGTGCTCTCGTTACATATTCTTTCTTCTTCAATGGATCAGCGGTTTTGTGGTTCCTACCGTCACCGCCACTAGTAGACGAACATTCACCGGCCAGACCCATGTTTGCATCCACCAAAATAGAATACGACCGTGCGGTGAGATAACGATCGTCTAGCTCGAGAACTTGGGGCATGATGCTCTCCATCATCTCTGAAGCGGCTTCGAATTCATGAAGACTCAAGAGTACTACGGCAAGTACACGAATAGCCTCCCATAGACCTGGTAACACACGAGATCGGTGAGCAATGCTAGCAGCTCGCATTGCCATGGAAAACCCTCTTTGCGGCAGGCCAGTTTTCTCAAGAATTCTTGCTTTGTAGCAAAGTAGTCTTATTTGAGTCAAGACGTCGAAGTTTTCTTGTTGTATGGACTGCGCTATATCCTCCACGATTGCCATTGCTTGTGTATAGTGGCCCCTGCGGAGACGGAATTCGATTTCCAAAAAGGAAAGCTGAAGAATTAGGTCAATGTCATGGATTCCGATGTCTTGTAATTGAGCAAATAGATGTTCCACGGCAACAGCATCATCCCTAGTATACAAGCGTCTGTTAGTCAAGGACTAGGGCTTCTTGGTTGGTCTTCTTTCTCCTTCGTTGGAACTTGCCTATGGATCTGTCGCTGTAACTTCAATATCCCTGAGAAATATGCCCAATATTGGCTCACTTTGAGTGACCGTGAATCTGCCGGCAGTATATCGTCGATACGAGCCATTGCTCTTTTGTGACCACCGCTATGGGACATCTGCTTTTTATTAACAAACGCTCAAGACTTGAATCCTGCCCTGTACTTACCAACTGACTGCTTCGATAGGCAATTTTGAGATGGTCTTCCACAGGTGCTCCCTTTGCGTAGCATTCGCGGAAAATGTCGCAGTGTAATGATGCGATGTGTGTGAGACCTGCAGGCCATTAGATGATTTGATTGAGAAAAATCACAATATACTCCTTACCTATCCGAGAAAATAAGGATGCCTCCAGCAACAGTTGTGGGCCCATCGTTGTTCTCAAATCCTTGGTCAGATTCAGGTAGGAAGATTTGACGACGTTTTCAAAAACAGACGCCAGACTCTCGCCCTTTTTGCCCACTGATTAGCAATACGTATGAAATTGTCTTTTAATTGTCCACCTACGTTCTGCAAGTCGAGTTTCGCTTCACTCAGATGGATCGTACTGAGCAAGCCCCATGATTCAGTCTCTTTAGCCTTTGCCTTTAGAAAGGCAAGGCCTTCCTTTTCACTACCAAGCATGCCGGTGTTCTGGACATGCTTCATTTCCTCCGGAAATGCTTTTCCAAAATGATATAGCCAGCTCATGCAAAAGTTCAGACAATTCATATCGTGCGATTCCCGCGCAATTGAAATGGCTTCTTGCATGGCAGACACCGCCTCGGCATAAGAACCAAAGTCAGCATGCAAGATGGCTAGGTTGAGTAAAGCGTATTGGTAGAAACTTCGATCTCTACTGTGCACCGTATAGTCAAAATATCGATGCAGATTATCAAAGGATGATGGATAATCTCCAGCCTTCCACGCATCTAAGAAGCGTATATAGTGTGACATGCTCGGAACGGTCACCCCGGTCGAAATAATATACTCGAGCTGGTCCCTAACTTCATCCGGCACTCGACCACCAATTCTTTGCAGTTCTTCGACCTGGAAGATTAATAATTGCTCCACATCCTTGGTGCTTATTCCAGCCTCTTCATCAGAATCATATTCAATGTTGCGATAAATCACCTGGCCAAGGTAACTGCCAGAGTCCAGGCCAAGCTCTGCTAGGTTGGCATCAACAGCCGACTGTCCTCCAGACGGATGTCGTCTCGCCCAAGCCCGATATGTCGGCAACCGATATTTTATAAAGCCACGCCATAATCTAACCGAGTCGTGAAATTGAAGCCTCGTAAACTCAAGCTGGGCTCGACGCACAAAGGCACCGAGAGGAGAAGATCGGGACAGAAGCATACGATCCATCACAGGCACAATACCGTTGTCTCTCTCGTAGATCAGTTCTTCCCTCGGCTTTTCAACAATGCAGTGTATGTCGGCAAAGAAGCTTTCCAGGGCATCGCAGCAGTCTAATGACCACATTTTCCGAAGTAACAGATCCCACACAGAACGCCCGGGAATCGAGGAGGCATGGTACGCAAGAACCTCTTCCAACTCATCCATAGACACAGCGTGGTTCCTGTCTCGATTGAATGCACGGGACGACTTGTCTGAGTCTCCGGGGCGCACAGGGAGGATATGAGCGACTAGAAAAGAAAGAATCGGTACAGCCGAAGTGTTGGGGACAATTCCTTCGGTGTACAAGGACACCAGACATAGCAAGGCGACCTTGGAAGGCGTAAGATAGCGACTCATGTTGCGCTCTCGTTCATGTTTAGACCTCTTGAAGAGAGTCAGTCCTCCTTATCACGCCTCGGACGTTTCAGCCGAAAGCACCAGCCTGGATTGGGGAAGTCATGCAATTAGCGGCGAAAGTTGCGGAATGTTGGTCAATCTTCTTAGGTATCAGAAAAGTATCAAAAGCGAGATGCTTCAAGCTCTTGCAAGTCCGTTTTGAGGCTGGCCAAACGCGACTTTGCTTCTGCAACGGCAAGAACGCGATTGGCAGCCTGAGGCATCCAAGCCCCGCCGATAATAATCGCATCAGATTCCCCCGCAATAAAAAAATAACTCGCATACTCAACTCGCAGGCATTGCTCTCCAACAGACACAATGGCTGAAGCTCTTACAAAGACCGACTTGCAGGGCATGCTGCCGCTCATCGCTCGCGGTAAAGTTCGCGATCTCTATGAAATCGACGAGAAGACATTACTCTTCATCGCGACTGATCGGATCTCAGCATACGATGTGATTATGGACAATGTATGTCTTCAAACAGACATGAGCTATATAATATGAACATCGACTGATGCGTAATCTTTTCCCCTCAGGGAATCCCAAACAAGGGCAAACTTCTCACCCTGTGCACAAAGGCCTGGTTCAACATCCTCCAAAACGCCATTCCTTCCCTTCGCACCCATCTCATCACTCTCGATCTTCCCCCTCAAATCCCAGAGTCGCAACGCGCCGCTCTCCAAAATAGAAGCATGCAAGTGCGGAAATACAAGATCTTCCCGATTGAAGCGATTGTGCGAGGGTATATCACCGGATCTGCGTGGAATGAGTATAAAAAGTCCGGCACTGTACATGGGATTCCCGTGGCACCCGGTTTGAAAGAGAGCCAGGCATTCCCTGATGGTCCCATTTACACCCCTAGTACGAAGGCAGAGCAGGGAGAACATGACGAGAATATTCACCCGGACCAAGGTTGGTTTGACTCATGCTTGATCTTCATCCCCTAGATTGTCAAACAAGAAAACATCAGACTAAATAATCCGTATAACAGCTGCCAAGATCGTTGGCGAACCCTACGCCGCAAAGATTGCAACCCTCGCTATAACACTCTACAAGACCGCTCACGCCTACGCTTATGAGCGCGGTCTAATCATTGCCGACACTAAGTTCGAGTTCGGCCTGGACACAGAAACCGATGAAGTAGTTCTCGTCGACGAGGTGCTAACACCAGACTCGTCTCGTTTCTGGCCCAAGGACAAATATGTCATAGGCCAGGGCCAGGAAAGCTTCGATAAGCAGTATTTGCGGGATTGGTTGACGCGCGAAGGCCTCAAGGGCAAAGAAGGCGTCAAGATGACGGACGAAGTTGCTCAGAAAACGGCGGAGAAGTACAAAGAGGCATGGGAGAAGATTACTGGCGGTGGAGAGTTGTAATTGCATACTTCTTCTCTCCTTTTTCATTCTCTTTTTGATTTACGACATTGATAACGGTGGGTTTATATAGATGCAACACTGACACACATCATGTAGCTATACTTGTAATTCGAGAAAGGGGTGGCAATTTGAATGAGTATGTAAAAAACTTGTTAGCATATAGGAATAGAGTAGGTTCTTCCAGAAAAGGGGTCTTTATTTGCTTATGCGATACAGTAAAGAAACCTTCTAGAAACCCAACCATCCTCACAACCTGTACCAAGCAATCTGTCGAACACATGCACCCATTCCCATATATATTTTGTCTATTCAGAATTTCTTTTTCCTGAGATCCTTTTCCACCCTGTAGCGATATGATAAGAAGAAAGGGAATCCGAAAACTTTGTTTCTGGTATAGATGAGCGTGTCTCTTCATTTTTTTTCATTTTTTTCTTTTCTATCTTTTCCAGCGGTGATGTTGCAGTGTTCGGCGCGTATAAGTAAACCAAATGTCTGTCACACTTTGTATATTTGAAACGCTCTACTTGCGTCTCTTCATTGTCTTCTCACACATATCGAGCAAGCCGTTCTTAGCCTCGCTATCAGGGAAGATTTGAATAGCAGCGGCAGCCTTGTCAGCGTATTCCTGAGCGAGAGCCCTGGTCTTTTCAATACCGTTACTTCGAGCGACAAGTTCGCGAGCCTAAAAAAAGAAACACCGTAAGTTAGAATCGCATGTATATAGAAGCGAGCGGAACAAGAGAGAGAGAAAAGCAAGCTTACTCTTTCCACATCACCCTTTTGCTCAAATTTCCGCCCAACTAGAGCTCCCAACTCGGGATTCTCCTTCCAGGCGAAGAGCAATGGAGCAGTAGCGAGACCCAGTTCTAGGTCAGCTCCCGCCGGCTTTCCAAATTCCGCCGAATTAACAGTGTAGTCCAACATGTCATCAACCAATTGGAAAGCGAGGCCAAGGTTGCGGCCATATGAGTATGCAGCCTCGACGATTTCGGGAGTGCTGTTTCCAAGCAGTGCGGTAGCACGGCAAGACTTGCTGATGAGGCTAGCGGTCTTGAGGTAAGTCTTCTGCAAATAGTAGGTGATAGTGTCATCAGTGAAGACGGGAGAGGCCTCGTCCGATGCAGTGTTCTTCAACTGCATGAATTCCCCTTCAACCAAGTTGGCAATCACCGTTGCTAGGAGTTCGATGACTTCCGGGTTTCGTAGTCGGGCCAGAGCCACGGAAGCTCGCCCGAGGAGAAAGTCGCCAGCCAGCACAGCCATCTTATTTCCAAACTGTGTATTCGCCGAGCTCGATGATCTCCGGGTAATGGCGTTATCGATGACATCGTCGTGAAGAAGAGAAGCAGTGTGGATCAGCTCCGTGATTTCAGCGAGTCGGCGCTGAGCAGGCAGGATGTTGGGGTCTTCGCCGAAGATGCCTTCCAGTTCAGCAGCTGGTGCTGTCAGGGGGCTGGTGTCGGGATTCGCGTCGGCTAGCACAAGCGGGGAGCTAATGGGCTCGCTGATGTTGGACTGTGACGAGGGCGAAGGAGCAGACAAGTGAGAGCTGCGAGGAGCAATCGCCGTGGCTTGTGACATGAGCAGGACAAGTAGCGGCCGCACATGTTTTCCTTCGCTCCAGGTGTAGTATTTAGCGACCTTGTCCAACATGGGATGACCCGATCCCAAGAGCTTGCGGATATTCTTGGTCAAGAACTTCAATTCCTTCCCAACAATGCGTAATGGGTCGACCGACACGCCTGCTGGAGCTTTTGGTGCGAAGCCTTTGGTGAACAGATTCTGCGCCGCGGCCACCGCAGCGCCAATTGGTGACACATCTCTTCGCCGCGAAGGATGGTATTTTCGCGAATGAATGGGGACGATTGTCAAAAGGAGCTCATCTCGTAAGCATTGGGAGCAGATCGAGGTAGATGGAAGAGCTCGACTCGATAGTAGCAGCCCAGAAGAGGCGCGTACGGCTCGAGCTCGCATGCTCAGCAAAGTCTAGTAGTAGAGTAGTAATGCAGTGGAAAATAAGTAAGAGAGAAAAGGGAAAAAAAGAGAAGAAAAGAAAACGAAATATATAGTACAAAGGGAAATACAGCGGAAGGTCCTGAGCAACGACAGGACGCTGATGTCGTCAAGAGCTCCCGGAAGGTAAGCTGAATTTTGATTTGGGCCTGGCCATCGAATTAGCAAGGCACAGACCATCGGCGGGCGGCTTCCCGAATCAACCCGGCAGAGGCACTTTATAAGTTTATGATATCAATACGAGCCTAACATACATTATTTAACTAGCTACAGAGTGAACCACACAATCAATTGCATACGTCTTGTCTAGCGTTGCAGCTGCAAACAAAGGAAAGTCGGCAATGGCTGTCCTAACGCACACGGACTGTACATGGGCCAACCCATCCAGAATCCTTCTTCGGGATTTGGCAGTAAAAGTAATGTGAAGAATGAAGAAAGAACCCCTTGAGAACATAGTAGTATTCCGAAGTGCAGTAAGCTGTCCGACTTGTCTGAAACCCCCCTGACGCAAAGAAAGAAAATTAGGAACACACATGGCTTCGAAGTCCCCTCAGTATACATGTAGAAAATGATGGGTGCATCGCTATACTGGCTCTATCCGTGCTTCTGCTTAAATGCCATCAAAGTCACCGCCAGCATCGTCTTCATCCATATCACCTTCCTGGATTTCTTTGACAAGTTCTCGCTCCCGTTCTCGCGCTTCCTGTGCGTTCTTCAATTCCAGTCGATGTTGATTCATGGGGAAACGCATAGCCTATGGGTCAATGTCGTGAGCGACTGGGGAGAAAGTAGTGTGGGGAAAGGGGGAGAAGAACTGACCTTAACGCTCTCATCATGGAGACTTAAGCAAGCCTGAATACGAGCGTGGAATGCCTCACCTGGCTCGCTTGTCAAATAGATATCACCCGCGTCCTTGCTCTTCATGAAACCCTGCTCGTGATCCAAGGTAGCGTCGATAACGCCATCCCGAATAGCTTTGGCGACAATATATTCCGCAGACTCCTCACTATGCAGACCGAGCCGAAGGCAGATGTCGCGCAGTGATATCCGCGAGTAGGCAATTGACATGACACGAATGCCAGTCTTGATGACATTTTGCCGTAGTCGCAATATCAGAGTATAGGTTCCGTCTTTTCGGAAAGTTGCACCATGAGTATCGACAATGTTCAAGAATACATCAAGATCACCTGTGCTAACAGCACGCACAAGGAGGAAGTAAGGGTGCAGCGCTTTTTCCAGAGGCGGCTGGCGGAAAATCGAACGGTCGGGGATATCGCCCATGAGCAAATCCACGATGACCAAGAGCTTCATGGACACCTGGTAGAACCCGCCAGCGCTATGACTGGTCGGTGATTTACGGGTAGCTCCAGTTAAATGGTCGTGCGCTTCACTATATCGCAGTTGAATGGCACGGATGCGACCCAGGTAGTAGAGGTACCGAGCAATTTGGTTGTTCGATGCCGCGGCTGGAAATTCGTTGTGGGCAATCAAAAGATCGGCCTGAGCGATGTGTGATGTGGACAAGTAGTTGCGCAGTAAAAGCGTGATTACGGTCGCCTGGATATCAACATCCTTGCGGAGCACGGCGGTGCGAAGCGCAGCAAGCAAAGGCCTGCGTATCTGAATGACGGCAGCAGAAGAGGACGGAGGTAAGGGAGCCAGTTGTTCATAGAAGAGGGAGAAGTAAAAATACACGCGTGCGATCAAAGAGTCCAGAGTTCGACGGTTCAATAACCGCAATCGCTCAACCAATTTGCTCGAAAAGTCGGCGCCAAGCTGAGTTTCTTTCTGGTCGTAAAAGTAAATCTGAACGAGGATTGAGAGATAAGTATCGACTTCTGGCAAAATTTCACGGAACGCTTTGGGTTTATCCGAATCTACATCCATCTTCGATGAGGCAGCTTCAAAAGCATCCGACTTTCCAATGGCCTCTAGTAAAAAGGCTGCGGTCGGGTTTGAGCTAGCATAAGTATCAACAATAACTTCGGCAAGGACGTCGGGCGAGATATATCTGCGCATGGAGGATATTGATCGCAGGACCCGAAGGGTAAACCGAGAGTCGAAGTGCGTAACAGCACGCTCCAAAAGACCAAAGTTGTTTCGGATATCTGAATAGGCAAAAATAAATAGCGAAATGGTCAATAACAAAGCACGTTTTCGAGATTTTCTTTCTCTCCACTACCAAAAGTGGGAAAGACACTCACCTTGTACAGCCTTCGCCCTGGGGTCGATCTCTGGCTCTTCTGCCTGAGCATCCTTCTCGTCTGAGCCTTCCATGGCCACGTCTTCCTCTTTGTCTTTCTTGTTATCCTGGCCAGATAGTCTGGCACCCTTTGCTGGGGGCACTACAACAGTCATCTGGTCACCATCATGCTCCCTGCTGGTTTGGATGGACGATGTAGGCCCACCTGGCGTATCCTCTTCCATCTCCACGTCTTCGGCGCGGTTAGCACCGTTCTCTACTGGGTCTGTGCCATTTCGCTGCGGCTGGTCACCACTCATGGTGCTATTGTTGTTGCTGTTCGAGGCGCTGGCACCCTTTCCTGTGACGGTCTTCTTGGCCGGAGCAGATTTAGCCTTATTCGCCGCCGAGCGGGTTGTCGGGGCAGCTTTATCTTTGCCCGAGGTAGAATTCGAATTAGAACGAGCTTTTTCGCCGTTGGTCGATGAAGAGGTATCACCCTTGCTGTTGGACCTCAAAGATCGTCTTTCAACTGGCATTTTTCCCAGCTTACGATAGCTCCGATCGGGGGCGACGGAACCAACAAGCAGCGGTTGGGGGAAGGGGCTGTGGCACGCAACAGCCAGACAAGACAAGACAGAGCTGAGCAAGCAGACGAGAAGGGCAGAGAAGAAAAAAGCGAAGGGCCGGGGAGGGGGGTGGTTGACAAAGCGGGCGATGGGATGGGGGAGGAGTGATGATGATTGATGATGATGATGATGATGGAGGCAGAAGGTAGCAGAACAAGCAAGAGCAGCGCAGGGAGCAGCAGCAACCAGCAACGCAATAGTCAGTGCCAAGCCCGATGCCGAATTAGGTAAGCTGGCCTGGGTCCGCCTTCGTTCTGCCGGTCACGCGCTGGCCAAGCAGGAGCGACCAGCTTCAGATGACAAGCAGCAGCAGGCCTTGGTCCGCTGTGCAGTGCTCGCTGCTCGCTGCTCGCTGTTCCCAGCCGGATGCGCTGGCATGGTGCGTTGTTGTGTTGTCAGTCTTCGACGCGCGCGCTGTCATAGCTCCTGCCTGAGGCCGCCGCAGCTGCCAGTCTTGGCGCTGATTGGTCGCGGCTCAACAACCTTGGAAGTTACTGTAACGACAACAACAACAACAACAACATTTAATCGCGCTGTGTAGCAGAATACGCCGCTGTCTTGCTGGTCGCCATGTCGCTCCTGGAGAACCACCTGGAGCAGATTACGCTCTCTGCAAATGCTGTTTCTGAACTATCGTGAGTTGTACACTAACAAGGTCAATAAAGATTCACCAGGTCTTACTTCCGAACCCCTCCCGCAGATTCCCCCCGCCCAAGATATTCACAAATGCTTTGCTCAACACCCCCGATATTACCGCCTTGATCAGGGATACCGAAGCGCATGAGCGCGCCCTGTTTACCCTCGATTCATCTACCAAGCCCTCGCAAAGGCGCGCTACTCGTCGAGGGACTACATACCCGGCCGACACTCAACGCGAGACTATGATCAGTCGAATCAACGCTGCGAGAAACAATCGGAATCAATCTGCAGTTGCCCGTGTTCTCGGCACCGACATGATGGAGGAAATCAGGCGCTCAACGGGCTCCTCTACCAGACTCGCACGTGGTGAGATCAACGTGGAAGTGCTTCTCAAAGGCGCCGAAATCTTGTGCAATGTCTAGTACGTTACTTTCGATTACTTTTGTCGCTTTAAAAATTATCGAGCAATATCCTAACGAATGGCTGTGTACAGTCCCGTCGCTGGCGCTGCGGAAAAGATATCAGACCTGCGTTACCGCTACTCTGAAATCAGCGAGTCGCTCGTTCGACTGGAAGCCCGGGTCGCCGACAATGCTGCAGAGTTAGAACGTATGAATGAGGCCTATGATCGGGACAACGATATTGAGTTTTCTGAACCACATCACCATGAGATCCATGTTACCGATGAGGATATTGAGCGAGAGCTTGAGGAGATTCGAGACTTGGAGAGGAAGAAGCAGAACCTTGAAGACCGCGTTAACGGGATGGAGCGAGATCTGGGAGGCTTGATGAGATGATTATGCTCAACACGCATAAGTGAAGCTACTCGTTGGAAGCCTTGTCTCGGCTTTGCATATCGATTCTCACCCATTTGAGCTCAGCTTAAAGCTACAGAAAGGGTGTCTGATTGCGATGTTGTTTAATCCTGGCAGCAATAACGCTATGGCACCGCCTATCGTCGGCAGACAACCCATGGGGAGCTCTACCACGGCCATTGCACGCTTATCGGTAGACAGGGGACGCCGGTCCAGATTCTGGGAGTGACCCAACAGTGCATCGTATGCCAGTCACGTCAGATTGGTGGACTGTGATGTACTATGGATTATAGGCTGGATACTGGTCAATATCTTTTTTCGGATCTAACTGCCAACAATAGCATACTCTCGGCAGATCGATACTGGCTTTGCAAAGCAGAATTGAGCATATGTGTAGCACGAGCCCGCCTATCTCATCCATAGGGCAAGGCCAGTTCCTAATAGCATATGAAATCCCACAGTGTATTGGCCATACAATGATTTGTAGATTCAGGAAAACTCCAGACATGGAAACCCCCCAAGACTGTAACTAATCAGTTAACTAAGCATGGAGTTTATTACGCAGCGGGCGGAAGGCCGATGCCAAGCCCTGACCAACCAAGGATGGCAAAGCTCGGATTTCTGCCAACTCCCGACGTCAAACATCCAACAGACTTCAAGTAACTGTACGGGCAGGCGAAGAACGTGTTGTCCTCCAGGTATACCGATTTTATAACTATCGGAAATCTCCATTGCTCTTGCATCGCACCTGTATATTTCCTCAGAAAACCCTCTCGGCGCTCCCACGACGAAAAGGGCAGCCATGGACGGCCAGGGCGCCCAGCCTGCTACGAACCAGCAACTCCCTCCTCAGCAGCAGCCATCTCTAATCCGCACAGATCAAGTGGCCAAGTTGCCGCATCTCACTGATGCCCAGAAATCGCAACACACCCAGCTAGTTAGGGGCCTATGGGACATCTTAAACTCGCGCGACCCTTCGAGTGACGAGTATCGAAATGCGCAAGTACGGCTTATGCAGGTCTCACAGACCCTCATGAAAGGGATGCAGATGTTCAGGAATAAGCTACAGCAGCAGCAGCAACAACAACAACAGCATCAACAACCACCGCAACCACAACCACAGCAGCAAACGGCGCAACCACCTGCTCAAAATCAACAGCCCGCCCAATCAAATAGCAACCCAGCAACGTTCAATCAGCTGCTCCCAGCTATTCAAGCCAAAGTAAACAGCATTCAATTCCAACTTCCGCCAACCAGTACCAGAGAGCAGGCGGCCAACTGGCTTATCGAAGCCAAGCTTCGATATGGCATGGCGCTTCAGAAGCAGGAGATCGGACGAACAAGGAGCCTTGAAGTACGACAGCAAGTTCAGGCGCGTCAGGGATCGATAAGCTCAGAGGAGATGACAGCCTTCAAGACAAGACAGCTGCAAGCAGAAAAATTGTTTCGTGAAGGCCAAGAGTTCTTGAAAAAATTTCAGGAGCAACAGGAATCATTCAGAGCTGCCAGAGCTGGTGGTCAGGGCGCAGTTGCGCCACCAGGACAACAGCAGGGCACTAGCCAAAACGTCAGCTCCACGGCAACCCCCGCAAGCACATCTACACCAGTCCACCCAGGACAACCACCAGCTCCAGCCCCTCATACTGTCAACTCAGCTGTTAACGCTGCACGAGTACAAGCAGGTCAAGGACAAATCAATGCAGTGTCTTCTGTGCAAGGTCAGACAGCTACAACTCAGGCACAGGGACAAACGCCTACCGCAACTGCTGTAACACAGCCAATTGCGCAGCAAGCACAAGCTACAACTCAACCAGACGGGACAACCATGTTGCAAGGTCAAGCGCCCAATACTCAACCTCGCCCTCTTTCGCATGAAGCGGCCATCTCTCAAGCAGCGAAATCGTACCAAGGCAATAACCAGCAGCAGCCACAGCAACCGCAGCAAGCAGGCACGCCTCAAGCTGCCGCTGCCTCTCATGCACATCCTCCTGGTTACATGCAAAATCGCTCAACTGAGAACACTACTCGCAACCACAACATGGCTATCCCTAAGAACTTGAATATCCAGCCGCCTGAGCCTGTTGCAATGGGCACTCCACGACCTACATTATCAGGAGGTCCTAGCCACGGTGCCGTTGGAGTTATGGGCCAACCTGCAATCCAAAAACATCCTGGATACGTCCTCGAAGGTGAAGGTCAGAGAGTGTTGAGCAAAAAGATGCTAGACATTCTGGTCCGTCAGGTAACTGGAGGTGGAGAAGGTGAAGGCCTCACACCTGATGCCGAAGAAGTAAGTCCATCTAACTACTACTCAGATTCGAATGAGCTCGTCAACTTTCCACAAATGAACTATAACTAAATCTTGAATATCTGATCTAGTTCATCTTGCAAATGGCCGACGATTTCGTCGACGACGTCATTACGGCAGCCTGTCGCCTAGCCAAATTGCGACCTTCATCAACCCTAGAGATTCGCGATATCCAGCTCGTGCTTGAGCGAAACTACAACATGCGCATCTCAGGCTTTGCGACAGATGATCTGCGCACAGTTAAAAAGCCACAGCCAGCTCAGGGTTGGACCCAGAAGATGTCAGCTGTGCAGGCAGCGAAGGTCACACAGGGGAAAGCCGAGTAATCAACTTTTCTCTTTCTTTCTTTTTTTTGCAAATAATGCCCATTCATAATCACAACATCATCATGAAACGGAGAGGATAAAAAACGGGGTAAAATATTTTGGTTCGACAAGCGTGGCGTTTATGGGAGGGAACAGTGCATTATCATTATTCTCGAGGGGGGTTTTATGGGAAAGGACGTCTTGTTTTTTTATCTATTCAAGCATGTCATTTATTTTCAGACTATATGGAGCTTCAAATACTGATACAGAAGCAAGTTTTGTCTCTCATCTACGGTTCTTAACAAGTCATTGCTTTTCAGGGGGGTTATCCAGACAAGACTAAGCAGATTCTATCCCGACATCAAATGAATATATATATATATATATATATGCATGGGAATGGACACGTAGTGTTATATTTACAACCATACTAATTATACCTGTCATGCATGCTAATCTCTCTCCCCAGACGAACCACGCGACGACAACGACCTCCGCCAAAACCAATCCTTCCCCTTGCGCCCACGCTCATTCAGCCACTCCGCATCCTCCTCTTCGACCAACATCCCACTAGTCCTGCTAGTCCTACCGGGAGAAGAGCCGCTGCTATGCGGTCTTCTTGCAGATGACGATGGGGAACTGCTACTTCGAAGACGTTGGCGGTGCTGGCGAGAGAGTGCCGCTGCTACAATAACGTGGGACATGGGATTAGAGATGGGGGTATCAGTGCTGGCATCATGTGGTTCAGCCGCGGAGGAGGACACCGTTCTTGCTAATGCGCCGGGAACGGTGAGATGAGTTGTAATATTTGTATGATCTTGATCATGGTCCACTGACGACGGTGCAGATGAAGACGAAAAGACCCCTGGATGACCTGATGTTGGCGCAGCAGGCGCCGACAGAATTCCAGCAATCTCCGTAAGACCCTCACCAATGGAATGAAAGTTATCATCATTATGAGGGGCAGTAGTAGTATGATCACCGCTAAAACGCTCGTCACCGCTGATACTGGTCAAATCCTCAAAATCGCTATTCAAATTCATCAGACCCATTTCCGTGTCTGTTGTTTCCATGGTCGTCGTTGCTCGTCTGGATATCTGTCTTGTCCACCGTCGTGTTAGGTAGCGCTGGATTCTGGAAAGTGTGCCTAAGCCATCGCCTTGCAGCAATGCCCTTCCGGATATTGTGTCCTCGGCATCACTGGTAAGCGCTGCTGCGGCTGATGTTGCGGCGACTGTCATGCTGTTGCTGCTGTTGTTGTTGCTACTATTCAGATTTGTACGCCGAATCCAGTGCTTAATCAGGCTCCATTTCATGCGTGCAATTCTGCCGTCAACATGGACATAGTCTCGCGGGCCATTGCGAGACCAGAGCGTCGGGTTTGTAGCTGCCATCTGCTGGAAGAAAGACTCGTATACTGCGCGTTCGTGCGGCGAAGGCCGGCTGTAGGATGAACCGCGTTTTATAAAGAAGTAGAAACCGATGACGCCCACCATGAAGGGGATTGCAGCGATAAAGTACCATTTGATACTAGGGTTATTCTGGAACGTATCAACGTTCATTCCTGTTAGGTCAACAAACGTTAGCAGATCTTTCCGTGCCATATCTTCATAGGTGCATTCAAGTGTATAACACGCACCAAAAAAGCCGACGATAAAAGTCAATGGGAGGAATACAAAGGTAATCCAGCTCAATCGCCACACTGCGGTCGTGTCAGTATGCTTATATACTTCTTTCCGAGCCTTAATAGACCAGCAAAGATAGGAAAACAGGTAGACGTACTGCTCAGACCCAATTCCAGACTATGCCTGCTATCCCTGATCGAGACGCTCTGATACAGCAGCGAAATCAGCGACTCTGTCGGTTTGGTCAAATCCTCCGTAACCATGTTCGTCAAACGCTCAAAGTCTCCAGGGCTATCCTCAAGCCAGTTATCTTCGGAATCAACGTCGTCTGGAGCTCTTGTCTTTAGTCTTGTTTCTTCATTTCCACATAACGATGCTTCACCCACCGGTTAATTCATGCAACCGTGCCTTCATTTCTTGCATCACACTAATATGCACATTGACCAATTTCTCAACTTTGAGCCACGCACTCGAATTCACCCACAGCTCCGGCGCGCGAGACTCGTCATCTGGGCGATCGTAAACCTTATCCTCCAAGATATTCATATGCGTAACAGCGTGGTCCAAGAACACCGCCCAGTTCATAGCAAGAGCCTTGAAGATATCACTCAGGATTGACTTTGAGCAGTTCAACGCAAGTTTCGCATCGGCATTATCGGCATTATCGTCGTCTTCAATGGGGTCTCTGGACTCAAATGCCAGTAGAAAAGGTAGACGACGCCATCTGCACTCAAGCTCTCGTCGGGCAGGGATCAGAGTATCATCGAAGCTTCCCGAGAACGAATTGTCGAAGATGATGATCACGTTGCCATTGTCGTAATTGCGCACACGATATTGTTTATTCTTGAAGGGTCCATTGGCGGGGTCGTCGTCTTTGTTATCACCAGCGCCGAACGCATCTGGTGGGTAGAAATTCCTCCTTCTCGGCGGTGATTGATCTCGCGATAAGCTGTTGTTCTCTGATGGGGCTTGCCTGTGCTGGATATAGCAACTCAGTCGCTGCGCATACACATCATGACTGTATATCGGCTCATCTAGCACTATTTAGCCACACTCCACTTACGAACAGAATAGAAATGAGGGGGAGGGGGAAGCTTACCATTGTCATCGAAATCATTCAACTGCATCACTCTATCAATCTCGCTCTCCTCTCTGGCTCTATTCCCTCTTCTCACAGAAAACCCCTTCATATAATCCAACCCAAACGAAGTCTTATTAACGCCCCTGAACGGATCATACTGCACTCTCCACGTCTTGCCCACCAAAAAGGGCTTTCCGCCGCGAATCTCCGGCTTTTTGTATTGCAAATAACGCCCGAAATCAGCACCGACGTTCTCGTCGTGCGAGGACCTGGAGGCAATGTTGAATTTGCGCAAGAGGAATGGAACGGCCCAGTCGGCGTTTTGCACGTGGATGACGCGCATGGCGGGTGGCTCTGTTGCTGCTGTGACCCCTTGCTGGGTTCTATAGAATTTGTGGAGAGCGTGGATGTTGAAGACTTCTTGCGCGGAGACTTTGCGCATGTGAGAGCGCGATTTGTCTGTTTTTCCCCCTGTTAATTTAGGAAAGCATACGTACAAAACAAAAGAAGAGAGAGGTTGAGTTGAAAAGAAAAGACGAACCACTTCTTGCATAGTCAATCATGAGCACTCTCCCAGACTTCACGTCCAAGGCCGAATACTCCTTGTGCCATTTCAGGCCGGGGTCTTGAAGATAGCGACGGTACGCTGTATGGCATTATGGATATGAGCGTAGTGTACACAGTGTGGTGTGTTTTGATACATCTGCAAGCTCACCATTCCGTCTCTTCCCGGTAGTATTTTCTCCCGCGTCACTATCTTGAGTCCGCCGCTTCTTCTTCTTCTTCTCTTTCCTGTTCTTGTTCTTCTTCCTTCTATCATCTTCATCGCTGTCGTCGTCGCTGTCGTCGTCCCTGTCTTTGTTCCGGCGCGGAGTCTCAATGTGATCCGAAATGCGACTCTGGGAATCATCTAAAAAACCAGCAGGCCAGTCAGACTAGCGCCTATTTATCTTAATAGGACATAGCATGAGTGCGTACCTCTGTCCTCGTCTTTCTCGTCGGCGAATCCAGTGTCTTGTCGGCGCGTCTCAGTCGGCGACGACGAGGCCGTGACTGTTAGCGGCGGCGCTTGCCATGCGGGGATGTCTGCCATGGCAGATGCAGATTTGTACACAAATTGACAGAAGATTTTTGTACAGTAAAATATATAGAGAGAGGGAAAAAACGAAATGAAAGACGTTAGATGCGCCGGCATCGCTGATCGCGAGCTACCAACAGCTAGCCTAATGCCTAGCATGAAGGTAATTTGTATATCAAAACAAATACGAGGCTAGTTGCAGTCAGCTGAATGCTAACCTTAGTCAAGTAGACGCACATCTTGGGCATGATATATATATATATGTATGTATTGGTGTATGCATCGCTAGTTGACGTTAACTACTCTAATCTAAGCTAATCGACGACGAAACAAGCTGGTATAGAATCAACAAAAGCAAGCAAACGGCAAAACAAGACAATACCGACTTGTCTGTCAGCAGGAGTGAATAATGGCATACAATTTGAATGAGACGAAGCAAGAAAAGGAAAAGAAACAGCTGAATGAGCTAGTGGTGTATGTATGTATAAGTCATGATCAGGTTGATCACTCCCAAAGTGTGGTGTGGTGGTGAGTGGGAATCTTATATAAAAAGCAAGGCTGACAGTAGGAAATATATTCACGGAAAGGAAGGAGAGCAAGGCAGGCGAAGAAAAGACTTCCGCAAGACGCTTTCTGAAGAAAGATAATAACATAACAACGAATAGCAAAGGAAACCCGAGAACAAAAGGCGGTATCATGTCAAAGGAACAATAATTGTACAAAACGGTCGTTCATGATGGAGATAGAAGAAGAAGAAGAAGAAGAAGAAGAAGAAGAATTGGAATCAGCTTGGTGCTGGGGGCGACAACGGCGAAGCGACTCGACCTTTTTCGGATGCGCGATCCGACAACTCTGCGCGATTCTTGGGACTGCGGCCACTCTTTTGACTTCCAGCTTCACCGGCTTCGTCGACAATGGGCAGCGTGGACGGTCCGTTAACACTATTCGCGTCTTGCGGATCCCACATAGTCGACAGAGTGCGTGTTTGCGGCTCTGGGCCAGAGTGTCGGGCCACGTTCTCTGCTGCTTCCATGGTCCTTTCCACTGACTCCCGGCGCATGCCTTCGGTAGCCCTGACTCGGTCTTCAGAGGTCGCCTCATTGGCCCTGGCCTGCTCTAGTCGCTCTGCCTCTTCTTTGGACATTGTAATCCCTTCCATAAAGTTGATGAAGCGCTCTCCATATTGCTCTGGAGGGATAGGTGATATCTGTGTCCGATTGTTCGACAACCCCTTCCAGAAATTCTCGGCCTTCTTAACAATGCCATACTATAACCAAGCTCGTCAATACAATCATAAGGCATAAATAAGGACATACAGAGTCAGGGCCAAAACTTACCGGGGTCAAACAATCAATAATACCAAGGTAATAAATCTCCTCTCCCCGCTGCCCGTTCTCATGTGTCGCTCGAAGCCCGCCATCATCAGAATAGAAAACCAGATTCTTCCTCTCGTCGAGAATCTCATCCGGCATCTTGGCTGCCGTCTGCTGTATAGGTACCGGGCGCTCTCGTTTCAGCGTCAGCCGTAGCTCTCTAGCCTTGCGCGCGTTCTCCATTTTGGATGGCGTCCTTGTCAAAAAATTGGCACTGGGATCTTCATCCCGATCCCCCCCGGGCTGAAAGACTTGCAATGTCTTGTCGCGCAGCTTCTCCTCATTACCGCGACTCAAATCGTGAATCCCGACTAATAGCGAATAGTCCATGATCTTGAGCCTCTGCAACAGTCGCACATCTCGTCGCAGCTGGGCCATAAAGACCTCTTTCTTCATCGGCCCTTGCTCTAGATGACGGTTTCTTCGTAGCCAGTTGAGATCCTTCATTGTTGCGCGGGGGTTTCTTTCCAGATCTTCTTCGTGCAAATCGCGCCCAATAGTCGAACCTTTTAGATCGAAGGTCTGGTGAATATCGCGATGTGGAGGGAAAAGGTTGTTCATGACAACGAAGTGAATCTTGCGACCATACGCCATCTTCACGCGATGCAGGCCATAGAATTGAGAGATCAGAGTATTCGGGTTGTTCTCGATATGCTTGTAGTAGTCCGGCAAGATCTTGCGTAGCAGCTTGTGTTCCGAGTGGTGGATCGTCTTGATGATGTATTTATAATCCCGGGAAAAATAAAAGAAGCTTCCACTCTTGCCAGGTGAGCCAAGCTCCGAAAGGATATATTTGCTCGTCAAGGACATCAAATAGTCTGCTGGATCCAGCTTGAATTTGGCGCGCAAGTTGCGAAAGACCCAAGGAGCGTAATCCTTAAACTTGAAGTCGTATTTGGCAGATGGCGTCAATTCGTTACCAGTTCTGAACACTCGATTAGCTTTTTGACGTGCCTTGGAAAACAAATATTGCAAAAATGAAAAGACGTACATGTCGAATGAAAACTTGTGTTTCGCATTAAAATCAGCCGGTTCCAGCTCACGATCCATCTTTGCATTGATTCTCGATACCACAAATCGGATACCGGTCAACATGTTGTAAGCAGTCACCCAATTCTGGTGATTTTGGTCTACTTTGGTGCCTACAATCACGCGGTCGTCATCTTCCTCCTCGCGGCGCTTCTTCCTGGCCCGTTTCTGCTTGATCGCTTCGGCCCAGCGAGCAGCATCTTCATCGGTTAGGGCGTCGTCACTCTGGTCCTGAGCGCCCGTCCGAGTAGCTCGACGAACAAGACTCAACGACGGGCGACGGTGGTGATCTGAACGACCGGTTGCGTACGCTCGAGCCTCGTCGAGGGAAAGCTCACGGCTCCTGCGGGAAATCGATCGCGGGATTTGGAGCGTATGTCTATGGGAATAGGAGCTCGGAGAGGAAGGTGAACAGGATTCATAATTGATCGGCGCGGGAGGAGAAGAATATCGATGCTGGGAGCGCCTGCTTGGTGGCGCAAGACGGTCAGGTTCGGGGGGCAGATGATTAGTCGAATCGTCGGGGAGCGAAGTAGACAGCGGAGCATGCGTGTAGCTTCTGGTCGAATGGCTGGGGTCTAGATAAGAAGCCCGGTCATCGCTCGTAGACAGCCTCTGAGGGTCGCCGTTGGAGACTGGTTTCAAACTCGGCGATCGTGAGGGAGTCGATAACAAAGTACTACTACCATTCATATGAGGCGGCTCCAGCTCGTACCCCTGTTGCGCATGCCCATCGACCATCGCTGATCCTCGACGGCTAGGCTGCTGCTGCTGCTGTTGTTGTTGTTGTTGTTCCCGACCCTCGCGGAAGGACACGCTATTCAGCGAGGGCGTGCTGTCTGTCCTGGAAAAGGGGCGATCCCGACTATAAGAACCGATGCTTGACCGCGCTCCGTTCAAGGATGGAACACTGCCATTCTTCAGGTTGGTGATGAACTGTTTATGGTCAGATTGCTGGTGGTTGAAATTATGCGGTTCGAGACGGCCCACATCGCCATTGGCGCCAGGGGTGTACAGAAAGGTGTTGCCAACGGAGGTCTTTTCGTAGGACTTTCGCTGGGCAATATCAAACGAGCTCGACGGACTGGCACTGGCGGGCTGATAAGGGCTGTCGGCGACGATTGCGGGCATGTTCCCGACCGTCTCAACCGTTTGTCTATGTATCTGTTCCACCCGTTCTTTTTCCTTCGAAAAGGGAACAATGACGTGAGGTCGGCGTGGAGCGGTTCTGGCGGGTCGAAAGCGCAGTTTGTTTTGTTGGTGGTGCCACAGAAATCAAAGCCAGAAAAACTCTCGGAGTCGTTCGGCAGAGCAATCAGGAGGCACGGGCAGGCGTCTGGCCAATGAATAAGGGAACGGTCCAAAATTATGATTAGAGACAGCAGAAGCAGGGTTAGAAACAGAGGCACAGAAAACCAGCAGGCATCGCTCGCTGGCTGGCTGGCGGGCGGAGGTGGTGCAGAGAGGAGACGACAAAGGGGCACACAGAGAGAGAGAGAGAGGGAGAGTTGCGTTGGTGGCCGATGATTACTAAGTTGCACGGCAGGAGAGAATGACGCAGATGGCCGATCGCTGGTTGCTGGTTGCTGGTGCTGGTGCTGGTGCTGGACAGAGGGCAGAAAGACAGAAAGGAGCGGGCTCAGGCTGCAGAGAGCGGTCGGTCAGGGAGCAGAAACGAAGTTCATGGAAGTTGCTGGTTGCAATAGGAGACGAGGCAAGGCAAGGCAAGCACCGGCGTTAAGCTGTTTCCGCCCCGGCGTCTCTTCGCAGCCCTTGGCGAGTGGCTGAGCCCTGCAGGCAATTTGATTCCTGTCCTGGCAGCACGTAGGTTAAGCACCCTGGTCACTAGGAGTGATTCGATGATGTTTTTCTTTCTTTGTTTATTTGCGTGGTGAGCAGTGCAGATGGTGTTTTGGTTTGGCTGTCGCCAGCAGCCAATCAGCTGCTCGTACGCTTGGAGACTATGCCTATTCTGGGGGGGCTCCTGTACTATATCTAGTAGTAGGTATAGTAGACGCGTATCTCTATATAACCATGGATATACCTAGGTATTATACTTGTGTTGTCTCCTGGAGGGAGTCTGTCAGTCAATATAGGCACTATCTATTCAAAGTACCTAGGTATCCGCAGTGAGGGTTGGTATAGATATCTACTACTTATATAACACTATACATAGGCAACAGCCGACGACAGGTACGTATCTCATCAATGAATAGGTAAATGTCATATGCATATAATCTCAAATCCCCATTATCTAGCTCGCTCCACGCTTCACGCCTCGCAACTGGATCCAAGGACCCTGACCCTTTCCAGTGAAATAGTCGTGGATCTGAAACTGCCCCTTAATGCGTCTCCCCCATGGACCGCTCGACCCGTGTCCCTCCCCAACCGTGTTCCTTGTGGCATCGTCCGTCAGGCGGATGTCATAATGATAGAGGAGTCTCGCCATCATCAGGCTGATCTCCATATACGCCAGTTCCTTGCCCGCGCAGCCATGTCGTCCCGTGCTGAAAGCAGCAAACGCAGTTCTGGCAAGCGTGGCATCTTGCACGACTTCTTCCTCCGTGCCTGCACCGTGTAACCATCTCTCTGGCCAGAACTCAAACGGCCGTGGATAGTATTCCGGATTGAGGTGTAGAGCAGAAATGGGTACACCTACCTCCACGCCAGCTGGGAGATATTGCCCATCAATGGTGATCCCCCCTGCGAGGACCTCGCGGCCAAGATATCCTGGAACTGGCGGTGATAGTCGCAGTGTCTCATCTATACAAGCCCTTAGGTACTTTGCGCGAGAAAGCTCATATCCGCGCCGGATACTCTGGGCCGTAGAGAAGGTCGATCGAATTTCGGCGGTAAGCTTTTCGAGGCATCGCGGATTGTGCGTCAGATAGAAAAGCATGCCAGCCATTGCAGTCGCGGCAGTATCAGACCCAGCAACGATTAACGTAGTTGCTTCGGACTTGATCTCCTCAACGGCATCTTTGCCGAGATTTCCGTCCTGGTTGCGGAACAGACTGACGAAGTCGTCGTTCTCTTTGGAATCTAACCCATCCATCCGGGCGACTCGCTCAACTATGAGGTCGCTGGTGAATTTGGCAAAATTGTGAACTTCTGGGGGGATCAGGAGGCTCATAATCGGAGATCTCAGAATACAGTTGATCCCAAACTGAAGCGCGCGGGGAAGATGGCCAACCTATAGATGGTCATTTAATAAAAATCATAGGATGGTAAAAAAAAAAAATAAAATAAAATAAAATAGCTCAAGATATACGTACCGCAAAGTTGATCGTGACTAGATTAGCAAAAGTCTGAGGCAGAAATCGGAAACGCTCGCTCCTGGTGAGGTTGAAATCCTTGCCAAAGCCAATCTCGCCAACAATGTCTATCGTCATATAAGACAGCCACTGTGTCATATCAATAGGCTGAGTCCAGTCGTCTGCCTGCTGGCCAAATGTCTGGGTGACTTGGTCCAGCCATGACTGTTGATGTTCTACAATGGAGTCCTCTTTCAGTCGCAGGGCCCTTTCCGAAAAGGCATGAGAAATGATCTTTCGCTTCCGGCTATGCACTTCGCCATCGGAGTCGAGGAGATCTACACGCCCGTGGTTTGAGGCGATGAATGTGTCGTAGAGGGGGCCTTGCTTAACGTTTGCCTTGGCATCATATATAGTTTTGAACGCCGTGACGGTGTTGAAAGACACCCGGTTGGGCGCAATGCGGACGGTTGGGCCGTAGATTTCATGCAATTGCCACAGACGGACGTGGCGGTCGCCCGACGCTGCTGCGAAAAACTCAGGCCAGCTCGAGGCGGCGTTGAGAATGGGCCCTGAGATCTTGGAGAGAGGGTGCCAGAGGAGACGGTACAGGCGGGTAGAGAGTAGCAGTACTACTGCGCTACAGAGGTGCAGTACGAGTGACGGGGGCGCCATGGTGGTTTGTTGAACTTGAAATACCGCGAGGTATTTGCAAGGCCTGGGCTCAATTTATGCTTCCTTGCGAACAAAAGACATCTCTTAAGCTTACGTGAGATTTCCAGCTTGCTTAATTTAAATCCTCAGCCCTGAAGTCTGAAAATAATGCGCACGTGGCAACGACTTTCACAGAAGAATCCAGGAAGAGAAAGAAAATCGTTCATTGGTTTGTACACACTATTAAGAGAATAGAAAAGAAAAGAACACATCCCTATCCACGAATAAAAGAAACAATCCAAACAGTCAAAGCGAGTCGCCTGGTTGCCACAACAGAAAAAGGTGAATAATAGCAATAAACATCGATTCCCCAAATCCAACTCGATAACTTCAATATTCCCATAATCAAAAAGAAGAATGACACCCACCGAGCTTTCATGACGCCAGCCAATACCGAATAATTCAGACAGAAAAAAGATTTAAAAAATTTCCCACAACCATTTGGCGTCTTTCCCTCCTGTTCCCTTTTCAATTTTCCTCCCGAGGGTATGAAGTAGAAGGGTTGGGGGAAGAAAGGAGAAAGAGAATATCACAAAAGGAAAGAAGTAACACATTCGTAATCAAATCAAAGGCGAGCATAACAAAACAAATACGTGTTTCAGTTTTATGCTGCGGCCTTCTTCTTGGGAGTGGCCGCTTTCTTCGGCGCGGCCTTCTTGACAGCGGGCTTGGCCGCTGTTTTTGTCACGCGTCCGGACTTGGTCTTGGTGATGACCTTGGGCTGGTCGACGACAGCAGGAGCTGCTGTCGAGGTCTTACGCGGCTTGGCAGTGTTTGCCTTGGGTTTGGCGACAGTCTTCTTGGTGGCAGTAGCCTTCTTTGCAGGCTTAGCAGCAGCAGGCTTCTTGGCAGCAGGCTTCTTGGTTGTGGTGGTGGCGGCGGCGGCCTTGGGAGCAGCAGGCTTCTAGGATATGGCATTTAGCGACGGCGTTGTTACTACAACGCGAGGTGATGGACACGTACCTTGGCAGCAGGTTTGGCCGGCTCCTTCTTGGCAAGCTTCACGGGGCCAGAGGGTCCTGAGACGCGTCAGTATGTAAATGTTTCAACAATGAGAGGGGAAACTAACCCTTTGGCTGGCTGAACTCTCCCTTCTCAACACCAGCCTTGATGGCCTTGTTGAACTGAGAGTCGAAGGCGGCCTGCGACGTGACGGTGATCTTGTTGTTTGATTGCACATACTTCTTGAGCGACTGACGGCTGTGGGCAGAGAGTTAGCCTATTGCACCAGCTAACAGTAAAGAGTGCGGTGGTTGAACGCGCCATGGGGAACATGGCTTGATGATCCAGCCATGACGCGTAGGAACACACCCGGGAAAATCAAGCGCACAACATACCTGCTACCATTGCGTTCTTTCAACTGCAGTAAGAAAAACAATAATGTTAGCAAGGCGGAAAATACAACAGCAACAACAATAACAAAGACCATTTAGAAACAGCGGTGTTGGTTGGTGGTGGGAGCGCGCCAGGAATCTTCCACGGTCGCAGTTCCCGTGCCACAACAGACCACAGCGACGCGCTTGATCTACTCACATTAAGGATAGCATCCTTGATCATATCTATACGGGCGCAATCAGCATTGGCACGCGACTCAAATGACATCAGCAGCGACTTGACGCGACGTGGTGGCGCGAAAAGATCAGGCAAGACGTACCGCGATAGGAGGCATGGCTGGGGGCGGCCTTCTTGGTGGCAGCGCCGGTAGCTTTCTTTGGAGGCATCGCGAAGACGGAAGTTTGCTGAGGGCGCGTGGGTTGATGGAAGTCGACGATGCGCAGAAGCTATAGAGATGTCCACTGTGGAGGTGCCAGAGTGGGAACTGCAGAGGAGCAAAATGCGAGGAGAGAAGGGGGAGGAAGACGGCGAGAGGAAGCCGCGGGGCAGGGCAATTTATAGGGCAGCGGGAGCTGGCACCAGATCACCTTGGCTGCTTTTGCTCACGCCCACGCCCTCGCCCACTGCCCACGCCTACGCCTACGCCCACAGGTCACGGCTTCTCGTCGTAGTATTTTGCCTTTGCTTTGCTCTTGCAATTCCCCCATTGGCTTGCCTCCGCCCTCGACCCGTTTCCTCCCAATGTGTTCTTGTCTGTCTGGTGCCAGACTCGGCCGCTCACTGGTCCGTCCAGAAATGCGGACGCGTCTGGACGTGGCACGTACATCTTCTTTTCTTTTCTTTTCACTTTACTTTGTTTATTTAATCGTCGTTCGTATACTAGCGTTAGTACCCTATTTATATAACCCTTCCATGTTCTTCTTGCATCAGATCCCGACTCGAAGAGGAGCTCTGCCGCGAAAGGATTTAATCGCGCGCGCTGCCAGGATGAGTGAGAGAATGAATGATGTGTATCCGAATGCAGCATCATCGTCACCACCGACACTGGCCTGAGAGAGAGGACGCGATAAGGAATAAATAATACGACCTACTGCTTGCGCTGCTGCCTAGGTGAGGACCGCCATTATCCTGGTAGGCCCCAGCATCTCGTTCGATCTTCTACGTCTCGGAAAATATGACGACACGATTATTTCCCGGCATAGATACGGTTCAGCGATGGCAAGACTGCGCAGAGAGAAGGCTTTGACGTGGACAGAGTAGGGTTCCAGCGCGCAGGTGATTCGCAGCGGTCACATGCATGCCAAAGCTGGAGCAATCTTCCGCTTCGGGAAGGCGCCTTCCCTGTGTGTCCTAGCGTGCGCGGACTAGGCTGCATCGGGGCTAGTGCACCCGGACATCCAGCGTCTGCTTTGCGTCTGTTCGTTTCTCCTCCACCAACAAACATTGATGGTGTCGACTCGAGATGCCTCTGCACCGCGTCGTGTTTGCTGATCCCTCGCACCACGGCGAGAAACCGGGCTTATTATTGTCGCCGACCATGCGGTGGGTGGCAGGCCTCTCTCATGCACTCCTTTTTGTTTGTTGATGAAGCATATGCCACCCAAAATCAGCAAATGCAAGGGTCCATACGAAAACGGGTGCTTGCATTTGCCTGCATTTGACCTCCCCGACCCATTGCCAGCGACCAACGCAGTTTACATGTATAAAACATGGGATAGAAATGGAGCGTAGAGCTCGTTGAACACGGTGAGACTATTTCCGTTCGTTGTATTGTAGATTTCCGTGGAAGATCACCAAGGTTAGTTAGTCCGTGGTTACATACAGCGTCTCGTGATCTTTCCTGATCTTGGTCCCATTCGCACTCGCCAATGCCATTTTCTGAGTTTCCACAGCTGAACTGATGCAATGAAGCAACCTAGAGAGAAACAATTACACAAAGATCCCTCCGTGCCGGAGCTGGGAAGAAGATTGGTTTGTGACTGCAAGTCCCGGAACGCCAGTAACTAACGCCCCCGCTATATGCAAAAATGACTTCAAAGTTCACATGGCCCGGCGAATATCTCTGGCAACTCTTTGGGGCCAAGAGTCTTTTGAGATAAAAACATGGATTATCTGATTGCCAAGCAACGTTCATCGAGCTCAAATAGCACCGCGCGGCCGAGCTTTGGCTTCTTTCTTAGCCTTGGCCTCCTCTTTCTTCCGTTTCTTCTGCTCCTCAACCTTCACCTCGTGCTTGCGTTTCAGATTAGCTTTCTCGGCGTCCGTTTTAGCCACTGGTCGGAAAAACCCCTCAAGTCGAGACTGCTGTGCCGACTTCAGATTCTTCTGCAGCCGCGCCGCGCCGTTGCGAACTCGATCCTCACTGAATCCTTTATCCTTGACTAAAAACTCCACCAGTCCCTCGACATCAGGGCTTTCCCACTTAAAATCGCATTCCGGATCATCGGCCTTTCTCACGTCAGGGTTGAAAAATAGCTCGCGTGCCTCCTGGTACGGCCAGTCGTCAGGGATCGTATATTTTTTCTTGGGGTCGTTTTCAATGGCCTCCACAACCTTCTCGAGAGAACCATGTTCACGAATGAGCTTCAGTGCCGTGTTTGGCCCAACCTTGGGGATGGGATCCAGATAGTCGCAGCCCAGAAGAATACAAAGATCAATGAACTAAGGTGAAGGGTTTTCTTAGCCAACGAAAATCTTCTCGCAGGCAAAATCCAACACTCACCTGCTTCCGGTCCATGCCAAGGCCTTCAAGTGCCTTGTCTAGATGGATTTCTTGAATCGGTTCCTTCCGTTGTTCGCTAAATGTCAAATGCCGCAGTAAGATCGGCGCTTCAAAGCAGAGTGTATCCATATCCTCCGAAGCGGCGCCATACACCTTGCCGGCACGCGCTAAGACCGCACATTGAGCTTCAGCCTCGGTTGGTGCATCAATGTAGGGAACTCCCATCAGCTTGAGAAGCTTCTTGCACTCTGCATTATGCTCTCGGGTCACCCGCACCGTTCGCCGCGAGTACCTCTCCATGTCCTCCGCCGTACCGGTCTCTTTGGCCTCTTCATGAGCTTCGTGGGCTTCTCTTTTCCGCGCAGTTCGTTTGGCGAGTTCGCCACCCTTCATTTTCGGAGGAGCACCGTCGAAAACGTAAACAGGCTTGATTCCGTTATCGACAATTCGCAACGTACGATAGAACATGCCTAGTAGATGCGATGTGGTTTCGCCCGCTTCGCTCATCAGTTGCTGACCGTCTGAGCGGACCGCAATCAAAAAGCTGTAAATGCTCATAGATCTGTAGAGAGGAAACGAATCAGTATTTTACACCACGCCTAACTAGTCGGTATTTTAAGCCGACGGAAAATATTTACGCGTCCTGCATGTCCACGTCAGCGTAACTGCGCTATTTCTCGCCTGGATATACATACTATGGCGACTTTCCGACCAAAATGGTTCTTAATCTCGCCGGTCTTGACAGCATCGGGGGCATTTTCTGAGATGACCTGGAAGAGGTCTGCGCCAAACTATTAGTTAGCTCTTTTTGAAAGCATGGCGGATGGCAGAGAGTACTGACGTTTGATACCCATGGTGAGGGGTGAATCTCCGCGATTGTGAGTTTTATGTGCAAGTTGGATAGCAGGATACCAAGCTCAATCTATAGGCTGTTTATCTGCTTGACAAGGTTCTCTTCATGCAAAAGAACGGGCGCAAGTTGGAGGAGAGACGCGGTCGCGCTGATGACCTCAGCTCAAGCCTAACCGCGCCCGCGCAGCTATTAAGCCCCATTGGGACTAGCGCAGACCAACGTTACTGCCTTATCTTCTGCTGGGTAGCCTCAGGCACTACACGAGCCATCACGTGGCCGTTATTTTGTTGCGAGTCGAGGGTCCGGCCGCCTTGCGACCGTCAAAGGATTCCCCGCTCCCTTTTGATCCCCGGCGTGACTGCCGAAGTGCGCGCTCGCTGCAGCTCAATGTCACAAATCTTCGCCTGTTTCCACTCTGCCAACCAACCCTGCATTGCGGCATCACGTTCGCTGCTACTGGATCATCGTCACAATGTCCTTTGACAGGTAAAAGAACAGGGGGAAAAGCTAATAAACAAAGACAAAGAAAAAAAGAAAAAGGAAGAACCCCCCCCCCGGCCGACGATGAAGCGGAATCGCATCCAATTCGAGACCAATGGGGAGTACTCATCCTCCTCTCCTGCTGGGGCTGGCGGTGGAGGAACCCCGTTGCACGCTGCTGCAGATGATGATGCACGAAGCGCTTCCCGACATATACCCAAGATCTCACGCAAGATTCGGGCGTGCACTGAATGTAAGCGGCATAAGGTGCGCTGTGACATGAAGACCGGAGACCAAATCTGCCAGCGATGTCAGCGAATGGGCCTGCAGTGTGTGGTTAACAAAAGTCTTCAGACGCTGTTAGACGATGAAGCCGAGTGGGTGTCTGCTTTGTTTGTTGCATGACGATGACGAAGCTAACAGGTGATGATTGATAGATGGAAGACGACGATAGAATTAGCCATGGCAGACTTATTGAGGAAAGCCCAGCTACCGGAACTCTCGTACTACCAAGGAGGCGGTCCCTCGCCGCCTCAAAATCGCTTGAACGAACGTGGCCGGAAGCTATCTACTGCCTCTGTTGAAGCTGTGCCTCACACCGGAGAGAGTATGAGGAACAATGTGACAACTCACTCTCGTCAGCCCAGTTCTGGACATCAAATGCATAGAGAACAGTCGCACTACTCCCCGGAACGAGAGGAGCCTGGCACAGCGACTCTAGTAACCGCGCCAATGGGTAGTCTCTTTGAAGTTACACAACTAAGCAACTCCCGGGAAAATTCACCTACGCGCCAATATGCGCCCGACCGTATGGTTGCGGCGGATTTTATATCGCGGGGAGTCGTGGACTCTGCCGAGGCCGAAGAACTTTTCGCCTACTTCCATGGACGTCTCAACCACTACTTATGGGCAGGAATGGTGATGCCTCACAGGAATCTACTCTCTGTTCGCCAGTCATCCACACTACTTACCGCTGCTGTCCTGGCCGTTACAGCTATACATATCCCCAGAAAGGAGCGCACTTATGATACCTGCTACGCAGAGTTCGCGAGGTTGGCGTCAGAGTCGATGCTGAATAGACATCATAGTCTTGATGACCTGCGAGCTTTATGTATTGGCGCATTCTGGCTCTCTGAGGTTAGCTGGAAGCTTTCTGGCTATGCAGTCCGCATTGCAACCGAACGAAATCTCCATCAATGTTACCGAAAGGCTATACAGGGCTCACCAGAGCATCGAGAGCAGGGCCAGCTGTGGTATATTCTCTACGTACGTAGTGCCCCAGTCTGTTTAATGCGGAAGAAGTCTTACTCACATGTCATATGTTTCTTGCTTTGAATACAGGTTCTCGAACATCATTACTCTATCGCATATGGTAGACCACCTATCATTCATGAAGACATTTGCATCACCAATCACGAAAACTTTTTGAACCACCCATCCGTTGAGCAGCGTGACATACGCCTTCACAGCCAGGTTGCTTTATTCATCATACTGACCCGCATCTACCACGCATTCGGCCCTGATGTGGATGTTGAGGTTCTTGAGCATGAACTTCCTCGAATAGAAGAATTCGACAAGGACATCGACAACTGGAGGAGGTCTTGGAGACCGCGTTTAAGTAAGATCGCCTCGTTTGGTCCAAGTCTATTTTGCGGTACTAATGGGCTTTATTCTAGCGGGGAACGTCTATGTTGGCGATCTACCTTTCAAATCCGTGAATCTTAACTGCAGCTTCTCTCGCCTTACCCTAAATTCCATAGCCCTGAGGACGTATCACTGTGCAACGTCGTTTCGACCGCTTTCTGCAGCACGCAAGAAGCACGCGGAGATTGCCATCAAGTCGGCCATTTTGACTCTTACTATTGTCCTAGACGAGCCCGACATTCAAGCATGTCTGGTGGGAACGCAGCTCTTTCTGCTTAGCATGATCACATTCGCAGCGGTCTTCCTGCTCAAAATCGCTGTCAAAGTGCACCCTGCTTGTGTTACTGGCCCAGACAGTCAACGGAACTCTCTTGCGGCTGCCGGCCTCGATATCGATATTCCTTACGTACTCGAAGTAATCGAAGAGATCGCCAACCTGATGATATCCGCGAGCCAGAAAGCGAGCGAATACCACGTGAGCCATCATATCGCGCGAGGTCTGCGCAAGATGCTGGCGGGCTTCCGCGAATGGGAGCAAAAGCATGCGCTACGTAATAAGAACAACAATGATAAACAGCCAGCTCGATCACAACCGCCGCCGCCGCAGCAACAAACGGGACCGAGCTGGCTCCATGATACAACTTCACTTTTTGGTCCAATATCCCTTACCAACCCACAAACCCTCGGCGAACGAGCGACGATACTCAACCATCCGCATCCACCTGCGATGCTTGGTGTTGCACCTCTCTCGTCCGAACGTGGTAGCAACAACAACAACAACAACACCTTTCCTTCTTCAGCTTCTACGGCAGAAATACCCGGAAATCCACCCATTGGCGGCCTGTCTGAAGGATCGCTGGACCCGATGATGACGGATATGTGGGGATTTGAGGAGGAATATTTCCCTACGGGCATTTTTGACTTTTTGCAGTCACAGATGCCAGCATAATCGATGCATACATATACTATGGATATACTGTATATATACACACCATTATACCCTTCAGTGTCAATCTATGTATATGATGAATTCGAGTTGTAGAGAGAAATTAAGGATTTCAATTAGATCTGCTCAAAGTGACTTGCCCTAAGCGAAAGACCCATTATTGGGAGTCATAATTTGGCTTTTTCTCCTTTCTTTTTTCTTTTCTCTGATAATCAGATAGGTAGGCAATGCATCATTAACTAGTTAGATGCCACATCCACCATGGTCCATCCATTGTCGACACCCGCATCGCGAGTTCTAAAGCACAACGTTACCTTCTGCGCGGCGGGGGCCAAGTATTCTTGTTCTTCTTCCTCCCCCTTAGCCCTGAAGTGACGAGACGCTTCCTCCACAAGCCTTGGCCAGAACTCTGAGCGCACCACAGCAAGCTCAATGTTGAAATCTTCTTGACAAGAGTGACGATGGAGCACCGACCGATCCGGAAGACAGACTCGCTTGTTCTCGCGATCATACCAGATGTTGTGCTCATGAACACCGAGCGATGAAAGCCGCCTGGAGTAAACGTGTCGCGAGTTTATGAAGGGGTATGACTTTTCGTCGACAAGGATGCTGTAGCTTTTGCGTTTCGTGTGTCTGATGGTCGCGGTTAGTGAGATGAAGGATGAGATATAATCTGGAGATATACTAATGACTCACTTTTGAATCTCAAACAACCCATTCTTAATCGCCATCAAATCCTCGTTCGTCAGGTCACGCACAATATGCGAAATTGGTCCCCCAGCCGGCTTTTCCATGGCAAACAGGTGCAAATAGCCACTGGGGAAAAACCCAGTATGATCCTGAATTTGATTGACACATTCGATGCATTTGCCATTTGTGTCTGGGTCAAGGTCTGCCATGAACTTTTCGCGTTTTGCTTCGAAGGACGACTTTATTGATCGCTCTTCTTGTGTTGGCGAGGCAGGGTTTAGTCTACATATGAACTTGTATCAGTCGCATTGTATGTATTTCTATGATGAAATCCGACTTACTGCATACAAACCACCGCCAGACAGTCTGTCTCTTCATTCGTATAAGTGTCGACACGTCGTGACTCAAAAACGCCAGTTATATCATGCAGCACCGGGTTGTAGAATTCGTATAGGAAGTTGAGAAGCCGGTACTGCACGCTGCCCATGAAGGCCGTGTGTATGGTAGAGCCTTGCTTGGCTTTCATATAGAAGGTGTCCATTCCTGCAGAGACGTGCATGGCGGCGTTTGCTTATCTCCCGTATCTGCCAGGTTAGTTGTATAATGAGTAAATAGATGGAAAATTGCTGGTCTAGTCGAGGTCAGTGGATGACGCCGTATACAGTCATGCCCTAATGTATGGGCGTCACGGTTATGCCGTCTACCACTAGGCAGACACGTCTGCATCTCTGGGCTGTGTAAGAGTGACTCAAGATGTGAGGGCTACTGGTTAACAAGGAAGCATCCTAAACCTAGGATTAACTAGACCTAGGTTCTCTTTTGAGAGCTTTTTAGGGCTTCTTCGGCTTCATCTCCGTAAGCCACAATATCAGTTCGTTTGCAAAACCGTATCTATTTTACTTCTACTTGATATTTAAATAAAATTCTAATTTCAATTTGTAAACGAGATACAGAATTGAATACAATTCTGTTGTATGAAAAGCGATGGCAAAACAGTCTTGCAGTCTAACTCGCTGACAAAAACCATGCTCGAGGTTTAAGGACGTATGTCCAACCTCCAAGCACATCTACGTGCAAGAGAAGATGACATACCAGGCTGTCAAAATCCCTAGTCAAGCATACTAGTGTAGCGCAAGAGTGAGACAGGTGGTGACCGGTGAAGCACATCTGAGACGCCAAAAGAACGCCTCAGTGTGCCGCCTCCAAACCCAGACCTTGGCAAGACGCCTAAAAAGAGAGAAGAATTACTAGAATAAAGTGGATCGAAATACAAAATAATGTATTTGATCGTAAAAAACCCTGTCGTTCTCATATGAGCGTAGTTATTTATGCAACACCTTGCTGACCTTGCATACCCCTGACTGTTGACGATCATGGAACGAGTGTACCAATCCAATGCATTTTTGAAAATCAGCCTAATACAATTTTACGCTGATACGCTAAGTGCGACAGTCTACTTCTTACATTGATGATAGACAAGACAAGCTTGAAACCAACTTGTCTCTCTCTGTTGCCATGGGGCGGAATGAACTCTACACTATGTACCTAAGCTGGGTATATCAGAGAGCAGGTGTTGCCCTTCCTGGCATTATCATTTCCTTGGCCGTGTCTATGCTTTTTCTAGCCAGAGCAACTTATTGATATAAGTTGATAGTCCTCGTGGCTCGGTTAATTCGTCTTCGCCAGCTACATCTGCTCCCTAGTACTTCGTCCTTGTTTGTTCCAAAGATGGATATGGAGAAACTTCCACCGGAATACGATGCGGAATCCAAGAGTGAACGAGCAAGATGGCCGCCCCTCACGAGGATGCTGATGTCGGGCGAGATGAGCAATTATGAGCCTAAGCCATTGACAACTAAGCAAAAGTTTGATCGCTGGTATGGCGCTTGTTGCTGGCTATTCAGAACATGACTGACAGAGACATAGGATGATCAACGAAGGATGGCGAAGATTGTAAGCTCTACGCTACCAAGAAAAGCATTAAACTTAGCAATGATTAGGCGAGGCTAACTAAAAGACGTCTTATAGTACCGTGGCTCTCTTCGTACTTGTCCAAATCATGGTCTATGTGTTCGCTTTTGTAAATTACGCACTGAAAGTAAGTTCGGATGTGGACATCAACATAAACCGTGCTGATCATCGTGAAGGACAATTTGAATGATGCGCGTGCAACTTACACATGGACATACATGGTAGCAAGAGCTGCGGCGTTGACTCTACACTTCGACGTCAGCTTGATCTTGTTTCGTAAGTTTCGGCTGTGAAATACTTCAATTGAATGGCAGGATTATTGGATTCTGACAATTGTCTCTTTAGCTGTTTGTCGGACTCTCATCTCACTAATGAGACAGACGCCTCTCAATGGAATTATCCAGTTTGGTAAGCTCCAACAGACAAGCCATTTGTATCTGCTTCTGGTACGAGACTCACAATTGTACAAAATGCAGACAAGAATATCACCTTTCATAAACGTGAGTGCCTCCAAAGCCTCATTCTGTCTTAATGAAGGTAACCAATGGGACATAGTGGTTGCATGGGCAATCGTGCTCTTCACATGGGTGCATACAATTGCGCACCTGAACAACGTCGCACAGCTCTCAGCGAAGAACGGCCAGGGCTTCGTTGGCTTTCTTCGAGCCGGATTCTTGACGGGGCCTACATGGACCGGATGGATTATGCTAATTTCGCTCATGATCATGGTTTTCACGTCTATCGAGAAGCCGCGACGAAATAATTTCGAGCGGTTTTGGTACTCGCACCATCTTTTCATCGTCTTCTTCATTTTCTGGTCAATGCATGGTATTTGGTGCATGATCCCAGCCGATTTTGCTCCGTATTGCTCTGGAACCGGAGTCTTCTATCAATACTTCATCTACGGAGCTGTCATCTATCTGGCTGAGCGAATAGCGCGAGAGGTCCGCGGGCGACATGCGACGGTGATTTCGAAGGTGATCCAGCATCCCAGTAATGTGGTTGAGATACAAATCAAGAAAGAGAAGACCAAGACCAAAGCCGGCCAGGTCAGTTACTTCTCATCTCTTCTTGAGTAGTTTAATCTAGGTACCTAGATATAGTCTGTGACTGACTGATTCTGGCGAAATGCAGTATATATTCCTCTGCTGTCCAGAAGTGTCTCTCTGGCAATACCACCCCTTCACCCTCACCAGCGCCCCTGAAGAAGACTACATCTCCGTTCACATCCGATGTGTTGGCAACTTCACCAAGGCTTTAGCCAAGACGCTGGGGTGTGATTTTGAGTCCGGAAAGAACACCGGGAAAGATGGATCCGCTCTTGTCGGAATTGACAGAATCGGCACAGGCGACAAGAGCATTGACCCTACCATACAGCGTATTTTGCCTCGACTGTATGTCGATGGTCCGTTTGGCAGTGCATCGGAAGATGTGTTCAAGTACGAGGTTGCCATGCTGGTGGGAGCTGGTATTGGCGTTACGCCGTTTGCATCTATTCTGAAGAGCATTTGGTATCGCATGAACCACGGCAAACATCAAACTCGGTTGCGCAAGGTCTACTTTTTCTGGGTCTGTCGAGATTTCGGATCCTTTGAGTGGTTTAAATCCCTGCTTTCTGCAATCGAGGCTCAGGATTTGGGCAGCCGTATTGAAATCCACACGGTATGTTCCTTACACTTTTTCAAAAGTATTCATGCTCACTGTATAATCCATAGTATCTAACTGCTAAAATCAAACCCGACGATGCTACTAACATCATGATCAATGACGCTGACGCAATGCAGGACGCCATCACGGGTCTTCGAGCGCCCACCAACTTCGGCAGGCCGAATTGGGACATGATATTTCGATCAATTCGCCAGATCAATTCACCGGCAGCAGCAGGTGTTTTCTTCTGCGGGCCAAAGGGTTTGGGCAGTCAATTGCACATCAAATGCAACCAGCACTCAGAGCCGGACTTTGAGTTTGTATGGGGGAAGGAGAATTTTTAAGACATGGCATAGGCTTGCTTGTCTGACATGTATTCCATGTTCTCCTGGAGAGACATACCTGTAAGCGTGGCTGGTAGCTGTACAATGGATTATTCCTCTTTTAGTAATAATGGACAAAGTAGGCAAGTTAGGGCTATGTTTCTCCCGTTGTGGTTAGACGCGGGGCCCTTAAGCCTCGGCAAGTAACCCGTTAACGCTTCCGACGGTCAATTGCTTCCTCTCGTCTCTCCTCCAGCTCCCTATGATCTTCGGATCTCCTTCTTCTTCGCTTCCCTCTGTCTATGTAAATGTGAGTCTTCGCCATTGAATGATTCTAAACCCAGCACAGCACCAATTGCAGCCCAGACTCGGATCCGCGTCGCGTCTAGCACTTATCCGACGGATAAACGTCATCATAGCTGACAACTTGCGCGTTCTTCTAGATCGCCATTGAACTTCTATCTCTCGCCTGATATTACGGAATCCTGTTTATTCCCATTCTCTAAACATACCGATTTGATTTACTGGGAGAAAGGAAGGCCAAATGAATCGACCAATGCTCTCCGCTGCTACGCGGCAGTTGCAAGCTCTACGGAAGACCCAGAACGTGCGAACGATACTATATCGTGGCAGCGCCCAGACTTATAATCGCCGCTGGGCGTCTTCGACGACTTTCAATTGGGAGGATCCCCTTGCGGCGTCTGAGTTGTATACGGAAGAGGAATTGGCTATTCAAGATACGGCGAGGCAATACTGTCAGGAGCGGTTGCTGCCGCGAGTACTGGGTACAAAAAACAATGCTTTTCTTCTCTTTGAACCATCATGTGCTGACGTATGCGTTGACGCTTGGCGCGACAGAGGCTTACCGAAATGAGGATTACGATCGCAGCATAATTGCCGAAATGGGAGAGATAGGCCTACTAGGCGCGTCAATCCAGGGCTACGAGTGCGCCGGTACTAGCACTGTCGCATCCGGCCTCATTACAAAAGAAGTTGAACGGGTAGATTCAGGATACCGGTCGGGGATGTCTGTTCAGAGTTCACTCATCATGACGGGTATCTATGAGTTCGGGACGGAAGAGCAGAAAGAACGATTTCTACCGCAACTCGCAAAGGGGAAGCTGTTGGGATGCTTTGGTCTGACCGAGCCAAATCATGGCTCAGATCCCGGATCAATGGAAACCGTGGCGCGTGAACACCCTTCAAAGAAAGGATATTATAGTCTCTCGGGCACAAAGACATGGATAACAAATTCACCCATCTCCGATGTTCTACTGGTGTGGGCCAAACTGCAAAGCACAGGCAAAATCAAGGGCTTCTTGGTTGAACGAAGCAAATGCCCACCGGGTACGCTGGAGACACCGGCTATCAAAAATAAGACTGCTCTGCGAGCATCCATCACTGGCATGATCCAGATGGATGACTGTCCGGTACCAGTGGAAAATATGTTGCCAAGCGTTGAAGGCTTATCCGGACCTTTTACCTGTCTCAACAGTGCCCGATTAGGCATCGCTTTCGGCGTCACAGGTGCGTTGGAAGACTCGCTCAGCCGGGCCAGGGAATACGCATTGGAGCGTAAACAATTCAAGGGGAACCCGCTGGCCAAGTATCAACTTATCCAGAAGAAGCTCGCCGATGCTGCCACCGATGCCGCTTATGGCACTCTCGCTGCTACGCAGGTAGCTCGCCTAAAGGACGCAGGAAAAGCGACACCGGAAATGATTTCGATGGTCAAGCGACAGAACTGTGATCGGGCGTTGGTCAATGCGCGGATGTACGTTTTTTCTATTCCTCTCATCATGAACAAGCTACTTTTACTGATTTTTGCCGCAATCTATAGACTTCAAGAAGTGTTCGGAGGCAATGCTACCAGCGACGAGTATCACATCGGCCGTCACGTAGCCAACCTTTTTGTAACGCAGACATACGAGGGTCAGAGCGATATACACTGTAAGTCCAAAACAGATACTTCACAGATGGTTTGAAAATGCTGACCGCGATGAACTTAGCACTGATCCTCGGCCGGGCGATTACTGGAATTCAGGCATTCGTCTAGATGTTGTACACTACTGTATTATATGTTATATATACTTGGTGATGCTACTTCGAAGGTTCCTCTTAGAAATGCAAAGAGGAGATTTCGGTATACGGAGTACATATTAAATACAAGAGTATACACCCTCTTGTGCAAATATTGATCGAAAGCTGTCCGGAGGATCATGACCTTATCGGTGCAATAGTCGGGAAAAAGAAAAAAAGAAAAGAAAGAAAGAGAGAAAAGAAAACGTGTGCGTAATCTAATGATTATAGTTGCTCCTGCACATTATAAGCATCGTGAAGCAAATCTTATCGGTTGTCCTGACGCATTCAAAACCATGTATCAAGGCAGTAATCCAGATTTTACCCCCAACGTCATGTCATGTTCAGTCCGAATTCAAATGTCCCGTCAGGATCTTCGACCCCCCTCCCCTCCCTTCACAAATCCATGCTAGATATGTCGTTATTTGGTATTTGGGTAATCAACTGTACCAATCCGTCGCCCAATTCTAGCAATACATTTGAATCTTCAGTGATATTGATTGGAACGATTGCTTCAGACCTGGCGGCAGGCTGATGGATAGGAGCGTAACGAAATGGCGAGAGACGATTCAGACATGCCATTTTTGATGGCGTGTGGACATGTTCAACTTCCTTTGGCAGCTTGAAGTGGCTAGTAAATGTTTAAAGAGACTTTTGGTTTTCCACAGGCCAGGGGCTATGGCTGTCTCTGGTCAGTGTGATTAGAGAAACGACACTGACCAGGAGAATATCTGAGGCTGGAACAACACTATATTGCAAGCTTGTCCCTAATATCTAGAGGGTGAAGAAGAACTGTGCCTGAGCCACGTATTTTATGTGTGTGCGCTGCGGCGACGAAATGGGCACCGCCAGGGCGCTGGGCTGAGAAGAATGCCTAAGGCATCTCATCAGATACTCATCTCACGGTTGAATGACATCTTGATGAATGTCTCATTGTGGTCAAAGGCCATTCTGATTCAAGATTCAAATCTGCATCTGTGTATCTCTAGACAGGACGCCTTGCTGACACGCTAAGTAATAACCTTGTATGGCGCATAACGGCAAATGAGGGCGATTGAACGATTTGGCGCAGTTGCCTCAGAGAATGAAGGATTAGATCTCACGAGGATAAGCATTGAATAGAAAGGGAAGCCAGGCGGCGTCGGTAAGATATTGATGTACATGAAGCTAGAGAGTAGTACATACATTTTATTCTTTATTCCGTCTATACTGCAACTCGGAAAATCCTCTAAGCTCGATGAATCAGGCCATTCTATGCTATATACTGCCATTTTTGACCTGTACCTGGCGGCTGGGTCCGTAGACTCGGTGCGAAGCAAGAGGAAAAGAGCCTGCACGTATTGTCTGCGTTGCCATGCTTATACGCATCGAAGTTATCGCATCTCGCCAGATTTCAATTATTAAGTCGTCTTTGATTGTGATTTGAGTGTGCCTCCTGAGCTCCGGACATGGGCTTCCCACTTTCAAATTTAAGGTAGAGGTCGTCTGGTAACATTTTTCTTCCATCAGCCTTAGAAACCAACAACCTGTCAATTGCGTTGTCATATTGGACAACAGCGCTACCGTCACTTTTCTTCACCACATCAATGATCTTCTTAATCAGTGTGACTAGATTTTTGAGATCGCGTTGGTGACTGTCTTCCCATTCCCGAATTTCATCTGTAATGCCTTCGACTTTGGGCCGCTCAAATAAACCATAATTATGGGAAGCACGCACGAGATTGAGAGTCTGAGAGACCCATAGCTGGGGAAGTACTTCCTGAAGGTCGATGGGCTTGTGAAAGACACGTGTTTTGATCTCCAGAATTGAATCCTTCGGTACTGCTTTGCCGTCTTTTTTGATCACCAACTTCGACCCGACAGAAGCGGCATGATTGCGACGTTCGAGAGAGGGTAGAGTCATAGGTACTGTCATCTCGGACTGGTTGTCATTTTTTACTCTCGTACTCCTATTTGGTGCCTTCGAAGTTAAACCAATGTATCCGTCCGTTTCATAGCGGACCATCAACTTTATATCACCAAACCGGTATGAGATAATTCTGTGGTATCCGGTACTGTTTTCTACCTCACTAATGGTGAAAGCTTTCTCGAACTCCTTTCCATAGCCAACGAAATCATTTGGTCCAATAAATTGGACAGCGTCTGTGCCTGTGCGACAGAAAATGGCAGTGTTTTTAGTGACCTCAACGTTGATGATGAAAGGTTCAAGCCCGTTTTTGGCCAACATTGGGTTAATGAAGGACAGAAGCTTGCGAATACTATTTCTATCAGTCACCAGATCTACCGAGCTTATGTCAAAAGACGGGTTTTCGATGTATAATGCTCGAAAAAGGGGCTCGAGTGGACTGTCTGGGTGACGAGCAGCATTCTGGTTTGCGTAGACACGGCCAGAGTCCTTGGGCACCCTCTGGTGATCTCTTGGTGGACTCCATAGGCGAGGAGCGCCTGGAACCACAATGGTAGGCTCCGGTGCGTCAATCCAGTTGTAAGAAGACAGGTGCTGGACATCAGTGATTGATGCTGTGGTTGTGCTTGTTTTCGGATCTTCTGCAGCAGGTCGTGCGAGCTCTGCTATAGTGGTCGAAACCATCCTAGTGGCTTCAATGAACACTCGACGCAAAGAGGGCAGACTTGTTGACCTACCCAGCTCTGGGAGAACGCGATGATGAAGTACGCCTGAGAGAGAAAGAGTATGCCCCAGCACCGCTCATCAGGCGAGCTCTGCATGCTGCGAGGCTAGCCATATCGAGCACCGACGCTGTCATAACCTTCACAAACGTCTCTGAGTTGAGCAGCTTTGTGATATTCATGGCATTCTAGTTAACTTCTCCTAAGCAGAACCTTAGTAAGCAGAATAAAAATAGCCGGCAATGGATTTTATTCATTCATTGTAATTTATTTGTATTACCATTACGTATGTCATGTATTGGCTGATAAATACGAGATCGAAACGGTGTTACCCTGTAGAGTATATACCCCGCCACAGCCGCAGCCCGGTTCAAGTGGGAGTAATCGGCGTGGCGAATTTGAGTTTCCTTTTTTGTGAAAAAAAGAAAAAAAATTCCTTATTTTGTTTATATCTCCCTTTCTATTATTCTATTCTCAATCACACTTTCTACTAGGATAGAGTCGATGGAAAAAGACGCCGTAGTAACACTCTCATCACAAGCATGTGTTGATTAAAGAACAAGAGATAAAGAGAGGGGCAACGGTAATTTACGGCCATGATACGGTGATACGCGACGAGGCAAAGAACTCCGCAGAATATTACTGAGCATTCGGGTGAGTACCGTGCGGGAACACGTATTACAAATACATACGGCGGCTGCCTGAATGCCTGGCTGGGTCTGTTCGGAAACCGCAGGCCACATTGGGCTTAGCGGCAACGGTGACTAAGGCTTTGCCTTTTCTCAGCGCTCACTCAACTTTCCCTCTCTCTCTCTCACCTCTTCCCCATCCACGAGACCACGACCGACTTGCCAGGTGAGCCCTCTCCCTGTCTGCGACCTCTCCTCACTGTGTCGCATTTGATCTATACACACTCAACTTTATTTTCATTCTACCTTGCCATCTCAGCTGTCTTGAGGACTAATTAACTAACTGACATTGCCGTCGCTCAGAAATCTTTACTCAGCATCCACCTCCTTCGCTCACGCTCCATATCACATCATAATCTCTCAAAATGGCTTTGAAGCGCATTAACAAGGAACTCACAGACCTCGGACGGTATGTCTTCGTCCTTGTTCTCTTTTCTTTTCGTTTCGTTTTTGACTGTGTGTTGCGTGTCCTACTCCCCACTGCCGCTGCGGGGCATTGCGATCCTTCGCTGTCAAAAACGTCATCCACGAACACCATCAACGGCTTTGATCAGCCTTCTTTGATATTCTTTCTTGGTTCCTAATGACTGACTGGTCTCTCTCTCAGTGATCCTCCCTCTTCTTGCTCTGCCGGTCCTATCGGAGATGATTTGGTATGTGTGGCGGATCCCTGACTACCCAGCAGTGCAATCATCATGACTGATATTACAATCTCAATGATCGTGGCAGTACTAACCTTGTTGACTTAGTTCCACTGGCAAGCCACCATCATGGGCCCAGGCGATTCCCCATACTCTGGCGGTGTCTTCTTCCTAGCGATCCATTTCCCTACAGACTACCCCTTCAAGGCCCCCAAGGTCAACTTCACCACTCGCATATACCACCCCAACATCAACTCCAACGGCAGCATTTGTCTGGATATCCTGAGGGACCAGTGGAGTCCGGCTCTCACAATCTCCAAGGGTACGTAGTCTTATTGCCCCTTCTCCCGGTAGTAGATTCTCAAGGCGCGACTAACGTTTATCAAGTCCTTCTTTCCATCTGCTCTATGCTTACAGACCCCAACCCCGACGATCCGTTGGTGCCTGAGATTGCGCACGTTTACAAGACAGATCGTGCCCGCTACGACGCCACGGCTCGAGAATGGACGCGCAAATACGCAATTTGATCTTTGCCCTTTCCCCCTCTTCTTTCTCTTAATCGAAACGAAACTACCACTTTCAAGAAAAGTCGACAATGAGATCCGATCGATCGTTAACGGCCGATTTCGGTCTTTCCAATGGCCGATTTATTGCATTTATTTCTTTTCCATGATGGGTGTTTCTTTATTTTTTGCGAGGAAATGAAAATCAAAAAAAAAAAAATATTGATAACGACCATTAGATTAAGATCCGGAAGTAGCTAGCCTTGGCGTCCTGTGGTGGTTTTTGGAGCTCGAATTTTTCTTCTTCTTTCTCTCATATTTGCGTCGCGCCCTATTCTCTCCGCTGTGTCTATTACCTAGGGTTTTTTCTCCGTGCAACTTTTTCTCTGTGCTTGCTGTGCAATCATCATCATGATCATCATTCATCGGCGGGATATCGTTTCGATACTGGATATCAGAATACTAAAATCAAAGAATATCAAATATGATATAATCACGTCGTTATCTTGTAGCCAAACCGATCAGGAACGCGAAAGTAGAGAATTCATTAAGAAGGTACCTGAAATCCAGTGCTTAAGGCTAGTGTTAAGGCCTCCAAATAGTGAAACAGTAATTGAATACATATACAAAAAGAAGATTGAAGTAAGTCAATGTGATAAATCATTTCAAATCCATTCCGTATGCATCCATGCTGTATGTCAATTGTAATTGTCCTGTTGCACCAATCGCTTCCAAAACCTTTCAAATTTTATCGCTGTCGCTGTTACTGTCGATACAAATCAAATATTCAATATTCAACAAGGAAGAGAAAATCAGAATCAATGCCTCGAACCACTCTTCAACGAATGAACCTTGGAGCCCGCCTTGACAGTGCGGTCACTGCGCTCACTGACCCTCGATTTCGCATGGATATTACTCGAGACCTGACTAATGCTATCGCTTGGTTTGATGGGCATGTCGAATTTACTCTCCTTCTCTCGTTTGGACGAGGCAGTCGATGACGGGCCTGACCTCGAGCGATGCGAGCGTCCAGAGGACGATCTATTCTCGTTGCTGGTGTTCACGCCCACCTGGCTTATACTGTCATCCGGGGTGATCATGGTGTCTGCATCTGCATCGACCGCGTCAAGAAATACGGTGCTCGGAGCAGCGGATTCCGGCAGTGGGATTTCGTGGGGGGAGTATCTACTGCTTCGCTTCGATAACGTTGAGTGCTGGGCGGAGTAGGTTGAGCCTGGTTTGCTGTCTGGTAAGGCGATCTTGTGCGCGGACATTCGCGACGATGGAGCAGCGCTGTATACGACTGTTGCCGCGGGTTCCTCTACTTCGTCATCGGGGTAGCGACTGTGGTGGCTGCTCGTGTGGTGATGAGAAGAATGATGTGATTTGCTGCTCGATTTGATTGAGCGATGGGATGATGAAGTGCTCGAGTGATTACTGCTGGTGTGGTGGTATTTCTTCTCGCTTCTGGATGACGACGTTGACGAGCGTTGAGCCGACGACGCCAATGATTTCGCCGGTTTGATTGTCGATATTGATGAGAACTCACTCTCTGCGTCTCCGATGATGTGTCCTTGCGGTTGCGGCTCGGCGTAACTGCTGATGAATGTGCTGGGATCACAAGGGTACGATTTCGAGCGTGACTTTTGGGATGTTTGGGACTGTGATTGCGATGTGACGCTCATCCCGCTTGTGTATTCGATTGCACGGATGGGGAGCTCTCGAGTAGCATAAACGCTTCCGTTGGCTGTACGACGAATGCCATTACCACTGTTACTGCCACTGCCGGTCATGGTGGTTGGTTCTTGGGAATAGACGCTACCATTGAGGACTTGCGGCCCTCCCTCGATGGACGGGTAGTACTCTGTGTCCTCGTAGATGGTATCAGCTCGTGGACTTTTGTTTTTAGAGCTCGATGACGATCGCGTGAAGGCCGATATTGCATCGTTGGCAGTGAAAGTGCTCCGAGCTGCAGCTGGGGGTGCTTCGAGCGCACGGTATACTGGCTGTTGCTCTTGGAAAGATGCCGGCGCTGAGCCAGGGGCTGGTCCCAATAAGGGCATGAGCATTGGCAGGGACATTGACATCCCGTTCTGTGGCTGCTGCTGCTGTTGTGGAGGGGGGAGTGGTTGCTGCTGAATGTATTGAGATTGCGCAGGCATAGGCATGGGGTTTGGCGCAGATGGTTGAGACGTCGGCGTCGTTGGAGCTGAAGTCGACGCCGACGAATCCCCCTTGATCATCGCATAGGCAATTGCTGCTCCAGCAGTGGCTCCGAGAAGTGTGCCGATAATAGTTTTGGCCGACAGGTTACTGCCATTGCTATTTCCGGTATTGTCACTCTGCGTTTGAGTAGTGTATGATTGATACATTGATTGTTGTGATTGCTGCTGATCGTACAGCATCTGGACCCTTGACGCCGGTATATTCTCAATCGCATGCACGGCCCTGTCTTGCTGCATCACAGACTCGGTTTTGGTAGACCGAGCCCGCGAGACGACGGAGCCATTTTTGACTGAACCCGTCTGCAGAGCAGAAGGTCCCCCACGCATAGATACTATATCATAGCCGTTGTTGCCATTGTTAGTCTGGCCAGGAGGACGATAGACAGCCTCGATACTGTTCCCATCCAAGTCGACAACAGCAGCACTGAAGTATCCGCTTTCAGGATCTCGGACTTTGGGCTCGCCGTGGATTTTGCCGCCGGCTTTCAGGGCTGAGATGAAGAAAGAGTTCACAGCTTCTGTTGAAGGTGCCGGGAAGGCGATGTGTGCTGCGCCTGCTGGAGTTCTGTTGTTTGTGGTTAGCTTTTCTTTTCTGTATAATGGATGGAGGCAGCTGACCCCGGCTGTTCCTGGGCAAGCCAAAAGTCGGCTGGCTCGTCGGCTTTGGATCCAAAGCCAATGTATTCGTCATGGCGACCAATGAATTTATACCCCAGCGGCTGAAGACATGATAGGAAGAAAGAGGTTGAAGTAGGAAGGTGGGAGACGGTCAATGTGAGGTGGGAGAGGGGCATGTTGGAGGAAAAGTAGGCGAACAGTTGAAATCAACAGGGGGAAAAGATAGAATGAAGATGAAGTGATTGACACGAGTTGGATATTAAAGCTGTCGTTTCAAGTGGAATAAGTAGACGAGGTAAATGAGACGGTGAGGTTGGCAAGGAGTCTGCAAAAAGAATCAAACAAAAACCGCCCACTGCAGTAGACACCTAGATATATGTATTTATGCAATGGTATATATTTCTGAAATTCCAATCTGCGGATCGGCTTTGGACATTCGACGTAATTTAGTCGGTGGACACTACATACATTTTGAACATGGAAATACAACCTTACAAAGATGCGTGATGCCCAGTGAAGCGACCAAGTTTCGCCGCCTTGATGCGTGGCCAACCACCCAGTACCTAGTTACCAGTTAGTGCAGTGCAGGCGTGGTCCTATGGCTCGCTTGATTATTACCTCCTGTTAGTGATTCTATTACGGGGCGAGGACCCGTTTTCTGTTCGTTAGCATGTAGACCCAGAAAGGCAAGTTGTATGTACCTGAGTCAAATAGGAAACAGGGCCCAAGACCACAGACGAGTTGAGAGTGAAACGAAAACACGATTCATCGATGGCAGTCCGCGGTTGATCTGATAGGCTGCCCTTTTTTCCCCCTCCCATGCAGCAGAAGATCCATCGGGGTCTTACTAACCAACAGGTAGTAAGAAGTGTTGCTTCCAGACCTTCGGTTTTTTACCACGTATGGGATGCTATTGCGCAGGTCAGGCAGCTATCCGTACGGTGACGCTCTCCGACACTCACTCGGTGGAGAGAGTGCAAAGAGTCCTTGCTATTAGTTGGACTTTGGGCACTCGTGCTGCTGTTGGTCATCCAGTGACCGCCACTTATTCGACTATACAATCTCTATTTTGTAACTTAGTTCAGTAACTAGTTCGTTGGCTGTTAACTTGTTCGAGTATCTACTGACTGTGGTGACTCTCTCGGTCCGGTAGTTAAACGGCGTGAATAACCCCACTGGGTCTGACAGCAGTTGTAACTAGCAAAGCATACCAAAGTAAGATCCGAGACACACACAGTGTCAGTGGCCATATGAAAGCCCGATCAGCTAATTCAAGGCTATCGCAATCTGCCAGAGTCAGGCACTCGAAGTCGTCGACAAAAGGAGGAAGAAAGAAAGGCGGACGGACGGCCGGCCCGGGTAAGCGGGCCGTACCGTTTCCTACCTTTGTCTCGTCTACAGTCATTGAGCCCATTAGGTACTGAGGACATAGAATATTGATTTACGGAGTACTTGCGTAGTGACTTCCGAGTATTCGTTCAACTGACCGGCTCAAAGTGATGCTGAGAGAACGAGTCACCGAGAGAAAAGAGTTAAATTAGCTGCTCGGATCCACTCCAGCGCCCTTTTCACCGCAATGACCACGGGCATTTTGGGGCATGCCACGTCGAAAACCTAACTTACCTAATGAAATGAAACTAACTAGTTAAGTTCTACTCTAGGGCTGTGTCTGGCAGGATCAAGGGTACCTTAAAAAGGCTTTCATCCATCCAGCGTACCTTCTGTCAGGCAGTACTATGTCGATACGATGATGACCTCTAATGATAAGACTCATAGGTCTGGATTCCATAAATCTGGTTCACATGCCAAATCTCCCTCGGTGATAGATATGAGACGGTTGGGGTTTTCTGATAAACGTCGTCGTAAACAAAGGAGATGTAGAAAGTTTTCATTTTTGTTCGTCTGCTCGTCTGTCTCTGCCTCCAAATCTCAAAAACGGAGATTGAGAAATTGCGGCTGTTGAGACCTGGCCACGTTTTGGTTGTAAAAACAGATCAGATCCAATCAAGCAAACAATCAACCACCAATGCGCTAGTTGCAGATATCCTTGTCCCTTCAAAAAAAAAAAAGGTCCTGTATAAAAGATGGCTGAGATGTTGTTATCATAGCCATCAATTAGACCGGTACCCTTTTTTTATCGGGACAGAGCCACACGGGACAGATGCCTAGTCCTTAGTCGAATGTCGGAGACAGAAAAGTAGAGTGAAAAAAGAAAGAAAGAAAAACATAGACAAGTAAAAATAGACAAACGACAAGATACATAGTATCAGCATGAGGCATGGAAAAAGATAAGGAAGCCGCATTTCTATAGGTCATAGCTTGGTGATAAATGTCGATGGAAATAGACTGAACTTGCAGTTAGTGACCAGGGTGGATCCTGTGGAAGCCTGTTACCTCGTGTGTTAGATGTATAGCGATCGCGACCAAATCGACTAGACTGATGTCTAGAAATCTAGATAATATCCCAGACATCTTCAGCGGCGTGGCAGAATTTGCTGCAAGCCACACTGGCACTGAGACTGTAATTGCTAATAGCGATTGCATCATCTTTGAATGCGTCCGCGAAATCATCGCGGCCTTTGGCCATGGCGCCAACAAAGACACAAATGCTTTCTTTGGGACCAAGAGAACCAATGTATTCATTGACTCGCACGACAGGAGCTTCGAAACTCAGAGTGACTTTGCGGCAATTAGGCGGCAAATGGTCCGTGATAGGGTTCTTAATGACCTTGAGCAACTTTTCTTGTGAGTTGGTAGAGCGGATGGAAAGTCGATGGAGTAGTTGCACCATCAAGCCGGCAAATCGTTTAAAGGTACGAGGAATTCGGACGGTGGGGCTGACTTCAATGAGCACGCCTTTGGCTGTATGGATATAGATCTGGAGTCGTCCGGCTTTGTTGATAGGCGAGTCGAGCAGGGTAAGCAGGCACTGCCGCACATCAATGGTTAGATGGTGCATTCTTCTTTCCAAAACATTGTATCCCTCACCTGATGAGTGATATCGGGGCGAGCATCGCTAATATCCCGGTTCATTTTGCGCATTACTCCAATATGCTCATCACTGTTGAGGAGAGAGTATTTCTCCTCGCGACCATTGCGCCCACCATGCGAAGATCGATATGTCTCCAAACTTGCGTTGGATAGCACGACAATTAGGCGCTTGGTGTCCTGATCGCCAGGAGCGACAGGCACATGTTGTTCCGCGACGAGTTGGGGGAGCTCGGGGGGAGGGCAGGACTGGGTCCCTGCGTCCATGTTCGGATCAGTAAAAATAAACGAGGACCTCGATGTGTTGAAGCATCCAAGATCCGCTAGCGAATGACGCTTGGGAGCGCCATGCAATAATGGAAGGGAAAGAAGGGGGAGATTCGATCACTTGTAGTCTTTGAGGGGGAACGAAAAGAATTCTGCACTTACTAGGCCGCTTTCTCTTACCGCCGTCCTCTGCGCCGCTGTTGCTTGCGTTCGACATGATGACTGATTATCCGCGACGTGAGTGATTCTCGTCGTTCGGAGATATTTCCAGGGTTCTTTCTCTTCTTGTCCAGTGGGTGGAAATCAAAGAAATTTGCGGAAGCGAAGAGATTTTGGGATCTCAGGGTTCGACGGGATCGAGGAACGTCAAGCGAATTAAGCACGCACCACTCCAGTCATGGACCATGTGTCACAACAGCAGGACGGATGCAACGATTTTGCACACAGCCAGACAAAGTCCGCGAGCAGGCAAAAGACTGTCAGACTGTCAAAGAGTCAGCTTGTACGGTGGGGGCTGGATGACTGCCGCTGCTCGGCACGTGATTGGTTGCTTCTTTCGGCGCTCCGGCTTATTATTAATTCGCTCGATCCTTCTGCAGCAATTCACATCACAGTTCTCGGCTTCGGTCGGTGCTGTCGCTTGATGCATGCCTGGACAGACAGGATCTGTTAACAATCAGTGGGATACATCGGGGATTTGCTGGTGTGCACGGCTTCGGTCTTGTATGGCCTCTGTTGCCTTGCCCGAACTTATCTGTGTCCTAACTCCGCAGACCATCGAAAATCCGAAGATTTCAACTAGGGCATGATAACACATCGATGCAGCTGGGCTCCGACACCATCTCGTATTCTGACTTTGGAGCGAGTTTTGTTTTCCAGCGACTGCTGAGGCCGGCTTACATTACAGTTCATCTAGGTCAACTCAGCCTTGCTAGTTAGTTAGAGAAATCGAAGGCTGATCGTGACGTGTTGGGGGGAGCTACAGCGCGTGTACAACAACTCCAGCTTCCATTTGGTCTCACAAAACTGGAGCTCACTGGCCAGAGGCGTAATTTGGTGGTGGCAAAGAGCTTTTAGGCAGCCTGTAAGCATCCGGCATCTGGTGGGCTAATCTGACTTGGCCCAAGCCATGGAGGTACCTCAATTAAATTTGCTATCCGTCCTCTGATTATGATATAGCACTAACTCATCACATCACAATAAGTTCTCTACCTAGTGAGTCAATAATAATTAAGAACACCTATGTAGTAAGGCAAGCTGTAACTCCAGTCCCAAGTTAGGGGGCCCTGCCGGGGATCGCTGCTCCTTGGGGCCCGCGAAAGCTACACCAGCCAACCACAACTGCAGAGGCAGAGCAGAGACGTGACTCGTGAGACGTGAAAGGCTTGAGAACGAGGGCAAGAAGAGATAAAGCTTGAGTCATAGCTGTCTGCCTCCATTCCCGCTCTTGACTCTGCTTTCATTTTTGCCTCCCCATACCCAGGCAGGGTATGGAACAATAAGGAAATATCGATTTGGCTTCCGGCGAATTCCGGGCCTTTTTTGTTATCATCATTCGATCGCGCTCTCCTTTTTTTTCTCCAGCGGCCTTGATTAAATATTCGCTTCTCGACTCTGTGGAATCTCACGAGCGAGTCCTGTAAGGAGAGAGCAGAGAGGGTTCTTTTAGCCGGCACGAGGCATTTGGCAAGGTGGATGGGGCTGGGTAGAGCCATCTACTCATATCACCAGCCAGGGCCAGGCAGCAGCAGCCGCCGCCATAAATAACAAGCGACTCCAAGCCTGCTCGACGCCAAACGCAAGATTGAACAAGCAAAAACGGCGCGGATGGCCGGCGGGTGACGTTGAGCCAACACCGACCAATATAGCCCAAAACGGACTAGCCCGGCCCTGTCGCGTTCATAAATTATTTGCCCGCCCGCCCGCGTTAAAATAATAACAATAAAAAGTAAACACCATTCTCTGCTGCACCCATGAAGTTTCCCGTTACTGAATCCACCAGAGCCCAGTGAGATGCCGTGGACGGTCACAAACTCATTCAAAAGGTAAGCCCAGTCTACGTTGCGATCAAATCCTCTACCCCCTGAATAGGAGCTTGTCCTCGAGCTGTGCAAATGATTCCAAAAGCGTCCATTCTAACAGAATCAGGGGCCTCATGAAAACATACGGGAGACAGGTCCGTCGTGTTCACGATGAAGACACATATCATGCTTCGAAAAAACGACGCGTAGAAGCCGCCGACGATTCAGAGGATGCCGAGGCAAACCTGCGATATGCCATTCGCGAGTCGTCGGTCGCGGTGGCTGTGTCCAGCCCATCGCGACGCAACTCGGTCATCTTCTCGGAAGCGACACAAGAAGAGCTAGACGACCTGTCCACGCCGCCCTCGTCGCCGCCACCCCGTCTGACCCCGCCTCCCGTCAACACCCGGAAGCCGACGTTCTCGTTTTTGAAGCGCAAGAAATCATGCGCCACCAGCACCAAAGAATCCGCGAATGGAACTCCCTTGACGGAGGTGAATTCCAACAGCGTTCGTTCGGGGACCGATCACCAGTCCAACAAGAAGAGCCAACAGCAGCCTCCCGTGCTGAAACAGCTACAGATCGATGCCGGCATCAATGTGCGACGCAGTTGCAGTCTCTGCGGTATGGAATATGTTCCGTCCAATGCCGAAGACGCCGATCTGCACGACAAGTTCCATTCCATGAATGCCGTTGGTATCGACTTGGGCAAAGCGTTTGTCAAGGCAAACGCGTCGCGTTGGGTCTACGAAGCGGCGCGGTGTAAGGAAGGCTATGTGGTGATTGTCGATCGCAAAGGCTCGCCAGCGGCAAGGAATCAAGCGAAAAAGGTGCTTGATGTGGTCAATCGGGAGCTATCGTCGCCGCCAATCGACGACGCGACTTTATGGAGCCAAGTTGAGCCACCAAAACGCCTGCGCAAGAACGGGAAGAAGGAAGAGACCGACCGTTATAAGGTTTTCCTTCACATGAAAGACAGCAAATGCATGGGACTGTGCCTCGCGGAGCGAATATGGGAAGCACAGCCCGTCAAGATGGATAATGCGGCAACTGGCAGCGGTGGCAATGATGAACACCAGCATCAAAGTTCCTCGATCAGCGTACACAATACCTTTGACCCGGCCATTGTAGGCGTTTCGCGCATTTGGACTTGTGGCTCTGCCAGACGGCGAGGCATTGCCATGGATCTTCTAGACTGTGTCGTCAGCAGTTTCATTTATGGACTTGACATCCCAAAGGAGCAGATCGCCTTCACGCAACCAACAGAGAGCGGGACACGCCTGGCTGGATGCTTCTTTGGTGCTGGAGAGCCCTGGCACGTATATAACGAAAGCCCAGATGTGTCATAACAACCGTTCGCTTTCCCGCTTTTATATGCAACAGTTTTTGCTTTGACATATACACGACTGTCAACTTCTGTTTTGGATAGGGCGATTGTGGCTCTATTATATATTGATATGCCTGACATTATATTGCAAGCTATGATGGGCATTGTACTACTATTGACTACTATATTTTCGGCATTCTGTTTTATTCCGGACACTATTATATGAGCAAACTAGTTAAGTATCAAGTATAGTTATGATTACTCCCTATGGAGCCACTGGATATTTTCTTAGTTTTCATATCAATCGTATAGTTCTCTTTGAATTTACTGGTAGATAATTCCTGTTGAATGCTGAAAGCGGAGCTCCCATGCAGGCTGCCACTTACCTCGGAGGCTTAACAAAAACCAACACCACCACGCTGCAACTTTTTCCTTCTTCACACACAAACACACTTCCCTCTCTTCTTCGACCCTCTTGATGCTTGAAGGTACGCGGGTTGTTTGCGATGTCTGGGTCAAATCCTTTCCGCCGTAGCAAGATCATACCCACCGATGAAAGCCTTCCGTCAGTTCCGAATGACAGTCATGACGCGATAACGTCCGGCACAGCACATCCTTTCGATGGCGAGTCTTGAGGCCAACGCACTTTTCTTCCAATTGGCATACTAATTATATCCTGTTTTCACAGTTACAGTGTCCTCCGTGCCTCAATCCTCCTCTCAATCCAAAATAGTTCGCATTGCAACGCCGCCTCTGCCCTCTTCTCCGCCTTCCGACTCGACATCAAATTTCCCCGCAGTGTCCTTTACGGGGATCGGGAGGACACACCACAGAGGCTCACCATCACCGGAAAATAGCGACAGCAGCATATTGTCGGATCTACCTGGACCGAGTCGTTTTGATCCGCTTTCATCCGACCATGTCGTGACCGAGAAGGACAACAGTTATCGTCACCGCCAGTCCATTGCCGACACGAGGAGCCCCGCGGATGCAGCAGGGGCTTTGCCATCGCCACCTTCTGAACGACTCTCTTATAGCCGGTCTGTAATGAGCGAACCAAGAAGATTGAATGGGAAGTCAAATAATGACGACAACAACAACAATACGCTTGACGTCGATGCGTTTACGAGATTACTCTTAACGGGCAGTGCGCAAGCTGCGTCAAATACCACATCCAGAGCTACTACCAATCCAGATACAGCTTCGGATCCGGTCACACGCGCACAGTCGGATGTTTCTGGCGTTGATAGTAAGCCCAATAGCAGTACCGAGCCGAACACTTTGCGACAAATTGGGGTTGATGATATCGCAGGGATGACTAGGGCCTCTACGCTTCCTGTTATGACAGGATCAAACGAGATTCTGAGGTCATCAAGTACTAGAAGACCAAAACCACCACCGCCCAGATCTCATCATGGGAAACCTATCAAGCCCGGGGATTCGGCTCCGCTTTCGAGCAAGATTAGTGAACGCGACACGCCCAACTTCATGTCGGTGCAGTTTCGGACGCCGCCGCCTGCGAATCATCGAGAGTCACTATCTTCTTTGGGTCGTACATCATCACCTACCTTTTCAGAAACTGATACAGCAGATGATGCCTCCTCCCTGCGCAGAACTCCTTCTCAGTCGAAAAGACCACCCACGCCACCCATCGCGCGACGCCGCAGTCAAATGATAAAACAATCCACTTTAGACAGGCCCAATCGTTTATCAATGCCACCCAAATCTCTCGGATCTCAACTCTCTGGACCTCTGAGTCCCGGGATTGGAGCCAAGACACCTCCTCGACCGCCATCCCGACGTCACGATAAAGCGGTGGCCGCAGAATCTGTCTCACAACCCAAGTCCTCACTATCGCAAGGTGAACTCACACCACCAGTCAGCCTCTCGATGGATGAACAAGCTAGCACTGCGTCATTATCTCCACCCTCACGGCGGTCATCGGTCAAACAGAATCCAGCAGGTTCGACGACGACGACGACGGAAAGTGGAACGCTTATGCCACCACCTCCGCCGCCTCCTCGACGTCTTCGGGCTTCCAGCAAGGGCAGCAATAGTAGTGCGCAAGCGACTGCTCTCGTCGCTGGTATTCCCGCTGAGAAGGCTGGTGTGGATGATAATGAGACAAATACTGAGCCGCCCTCATCATCCAACATGCAGGACATTCTCGCCGATCTCTCGAGGCTTCAACAAGAAGTCGACGATCTCCGTGTTCATTATGAGGGTCGGAGGGTTAGTCAATGACCGAGTATCGAATGATCCAGTGAGTTGTATTGTATTCAGTATATAACCGTTCCTGCTACGATCTAGTTTTTACAAGGTGTATATATTACCTAAGGCCCGGCGTTTTATTAAGGTATCTGCTGTTAGTTTTAGATATCATCTTACATATTGAACATACATTATCTATCTATATATTTTTTTTTTAAAAAAATCCATTCGCTCCCTCGCATTTCTGCCAGAGGACATGACGTCAGCGCTACCGGCCAATAAGAGCCGCACAATGTTCTAGTGAAGCAACCCCCACGTCGAAGTCGGACTTCTTCCTTTTGCTCAACTTCATGCATGTTTTTCTATCTGCCGACTTTTTGTGTGAGCCAGCAGATGCAGAGGCCATCGTTGGATAAGCAGCTCTTCAAATTGCAACAGCTGGCGACTGTGTACCTCTACTTCTACAGACCTGCCTGAAGTTCCTTGCACAATCGCTCCTCGGCCGACACTGTTAGCAATACACGACAACCCTTCGTTGATATATACGACTCAGTTTGAAAGAGTCGTCAAAAAAGAGAAAACATGACGGAGAACAGAATGTCAACGCCAACTCTCATCAACTTACCTCCTCCGCCATCAGATCCCGTTACTCCTTCTGAGATGGGGCCGTATGAATCCCTCTCTTTCTAATCCTTAGCCATACCGTATACTGACCGAGTAAACCGCATACAGTGGCACTCCCAACTCCGGCACTACCTCCTTATCTGCCCTATCAACAACGGCCATCAAGGATGGTCACCAGGGCCATCCTCATCCCTATGCGCGGCACACGCACCATTCCTCATCGGCATCTGCCACATCAACCTCCACTCTAGATGCAGAACGCGCAGATCGCATATCACGTCTGGCTGGATTAGAGCGGATAGCAACAGCGCGGGCAGGAGGAATGCAACATGGGATGTCCGGTTCGGCGGCGGCGGCAGCAGCAGCAGGCGGAGGATTCCCAAGTCACAATTATACTAGCCCCAACAACAATAGCAACAATAACAACCAACTATACAACCAAGGATACTTCGATAGCTATCCACAGATGCTCAAAGAGAGAAGCACAGTTGGCAGCGCAAGTGCAACGGGCAGCATCGGAGGACGCACGACATGGGCTAGCGGGAGCGATGCGTTCTTCGACCCAGATAAGATGAGCGAGGACCATGATAATGACGGCGCTTCGAGTGTGGGCGGCATGAGTGACGAGGGGAATGCGAGTCTGGTGGGCTTTGGTGAAGGCGCCAATAGCACGATTAGCGGGCCTATTTCGAGTGCGCGATACCACCAGACTTCTAATTCTTCCTCCTCCTCCAACAACAACAACGTTTCAGGACGAACGCCGTCCTTTGGCAGCCCTCCTGGTGGTGGTGGTGGTGGCGGCGGTGCCACCAATCGCAATAATAGTGGAATGCAACCATTATCATTTTCTTCGCAACAGCAGCAGCAACATCTGTCTCCGTCGCCGGCTGGATCGAATACTCCGGAGCCATTGGACGATGCGCGCATGGTGGATGGAATGACGTACGATGCTGATGTTGTCGATACTACTGTGCGTACACCCCGTCTGGTCGAGAGCAACCATGGCAGTGAAGTACGAGAGCAGAACTCTTCTCATTCTGCTGGGGAGAAATAGTATGCCTTTGGTCTTGTTGCTACATTCGTGCTGAGTGGTGGGTTATAGCTTATGGCGTCTCTCCAGATGTGAGCGGGGGTTGTTTTTTTTTTTCTTTCTTTTCTTTTTTTCTCCTTAAATCTTGGAACATGACTGTGACCTTTGTACCTCTCTTCGACGGCATGTCTTATAACACAATTTGAAATACCTTTTAATTTTATTATCATGATTTTTCTGCCATATAAAAAATACGCCACGCCCCTACTTAGCTGATCTACCCGCAGATTAGCCGTTAGTTAGTAAGGTTAGCTTAGCTCCTCCACACAACCCAACAATCTCTTCACGTCGCCCTCGCTCTTCCTCTCTTTCTCTCTCCGCACCGCTTCTCCAATCCGCCTCTCGCCTTCCCCCCCCCCGTTTCACCCTTGTCATTGCTGGCATTTACTTGTCAAGCACAAATCACGGAGTGGTTCCTATTTCCTGCAATTTACTACGACGTCTAATTGCTCTTTTCAAACCGAGTCGAAAAGACTGACCCGCGAGCGCTGTCAGCTAGGTATGA